ATGCTGTGTAGATATAGTGTAGCACCTTAGCGCGAAGCTACACAGCGAAGGGTCATTCGCCTACCAGGTACCACGTTTCCCATTCGCGTGATTGTCCCAAACCATGTCACGGACCACAGCCTACAGCCAGCTATTAGATAAACGCAAGAAGTGGCATCGATATGCGACATAAGATATGCATTGATCATCGCTCACTTTGTGAACATATTTTACTCTCACTCACTGAATGAACACACCATCATTGTTATATGCTACCTTCTAATTTCCCCGCCAGTTCACTGATGATATAACTGTGGTTTCAAATTGACGCATAACAAATTCCTCTTACAGCGCGAAAAGACACGCGGTGTGTTGATGCTGTAGCACGTGATATAAGATGGCCAATGGTATGTGCTTGGTGCGCAAGACACAAATGTCTATGTGCTGTGTGCAATCTATAGCTTGTTCACATGTATTGCGCAGTGGGATATAATGTTCACACACTTGCTCGGATGAACACATCCTCATTATCTGCAATTCACGAACATTGAATCCTTTCATGGAGGATCCACATACAATAGAAGAAAATTAGCCTTCAAAAGGGCTGGCGTCAATAGTTGAAGCAGGACGCAAACTTACGGTTGTTCGTTCGGATTAAAATATCCTCGTTGTCGGCAATATTCGAACATTGAGTCTTTCATGGAGGATTCACATACATTAGAAGACAATTCAGCCTTCAAAGGGGTTGGCATTGACAATCGGAGCAAGACGCAAACTTACGGTCGTTCGTTTGGATGAAAAGATCCTCTTTGTCTGCAATATACGAACCTTCAGTCTTAGCTTCAAAATTGTAGACCTTACTTCCGCTGTCGCAATTTTTATTCGTCTAGCTCAACCGTCAGCTTTTACTGCATCTTTCCTTCAAGTTTGAGTTTGAGTGATGTCTCCACCTTTTCCCGATGATACACTTCTGTGAGAAAATCAGACAATCTCTTCCCCAATATATGGCCATATGATGCTCGATAGCAGCATTGTGCTAGTTCTTGTGATTATGTACTATATATTGTGTTATATGGCCTTCTACTTTCTTCACCAGTTCACTGATGGAGTGCCACCAGCCAGCTGGGTTCTCGCACGGCATCGACTAGTGTGACAGGTCGAACCGTCTCCATTGCCTATCATAACGTCGTCGTAGGCTGTTCATATTGACCAGGCTCATTCCAAAAATACGCGAACATAATCTTGCACGATTAAATCTAGGGAGGTAACTCGAGTTTGCCAGACAGGGAAAAATGTAGCTACCGTAGTCGGATTCGTTCTGTAAGAAAGACTGGTTAGAGACCAGAAAACATATTGAAACAAAGCAACATACATATCACACATATCGACCGTGGCCAGCCGCAATGGTTCTCTGATCTCTTAGCCCACTGGAGTTAGGTTGTCGAATCTCGATGGGTCGAATGGCCAACCAATGCTTGTTTGTTCTTGCTTGGTCTGGAAAATCTTGGCGCCAAACAACCATCGTTGGTGGTTAAAACGTTAATCCCTCTGGACTTCTGAGTCAAAACATTCCTCGGAGCCCACCGGACCGTCACTGGGACACCAGTGAATGAGTCCAACGGAGGATGCGATCGTATCCAGCACAAACTACACCTTATATTCATAATATTCGTACACCGCATCCGAGGAGCGACAATATATAACATAGCCACTCTACAAGCCGATTCGGTATGCATGTGGTATAGAAGTTTAAAACTATCAATTGAATTTGCAGTGAATCCAAGGGAAATCCAACAAACGTAGATTGAGCTAACTGCCACCGTGAGCTGGAGCACGGTTGCTTGTCGTTGCTCCATCCTGGCGGGGTATATCAACTCGCTCCAAACGCCATCGAGGAGGCGCCCTTAGTCTGCCATGAGACCAACAGGAATAGTAGCAGAGGAACGCCTTGCACCAATGCACGTCTGGCAGTGAATCGATGTCAGACGATTCAGTGTCCTGCGGCGCGCCAGGCTGCTGTCCAGATGGATGTCGGGTGTCGTCGACTTTCCTGTATTCGGGTAATTTGGCAGCAGCAAGCCGCTGTAGGGCATTGATTAGCGACCGGAACGGCCGTTAAGGGGATGCACCTTACAGTAAATTTCCGCCCGGCTGCAACTTCAACGACTGGTGGCCCATTGCTGTGTCTCGGCGTGAGGAAAGAAAGATGCTGTTGTAGGAACTGTGTAACTCCGTTCGAGGGGCTGGGCGGATAACTTATTTCGAACTGCAAAAATGCTCAGTCGTGCATTGCAAGTTTATTCAAGCAATGACTGACATTATCAAATTGAGTTGTCGCCTGTGCTGAGAGAGAGCGGTTAGGCGGTAAAGGGGATGTAGCAGGGAACTGCAGGGCGATCATCAAGTCAAAACTATGACAAAATTGAGATGAAGATACACACATCAAACGGATCGCGAGACTGATCATGCCGTACAGGAGGAGCTGCATTCGTGGGGGAAGACAATCGGAGAAACCTGCGGAGATGGTGAAGGAAAGTGGGTTGCTGCGAGTCTGTTGCAGGCAGGGGTTGTTGTAACCTAGGGGGAAAAGATATGGCAGGAAATGTCGCTGGGTTGCGGCGACGACGGGTTGCGTCAGACTGTAATAATTTATGTGAATCAACACAATAGAGAAAATATACGACATACTTCAAGTAACTCAAAGGTTGGATTAGTCTTCGAGAGAGTCTTAGTGCCCGGAAAATGTCTGAACGCTGATGAACACATACTTTGGAGAGGGCGTGACGTGCTTTCGGCATGAGCCCAATGCTAACAAGGATGTCGGGTGGAGTGTTGCATATATAGATCTTATAATCACCTTTGGACGATGTTGTGTGCGCTAGTTGCCGCGAGTTGGGTGAGAGGATTATGTGAGTGGGTTGTTGGACATCAAATGAAGCAAGGAGCTGGCGCGACTCAAAGGCCCATAGCTTGATGGTATCATCTGGAGAAGCACTAGCGAGGAGAGCGCCGTCAAAAGAAAGTGCTAGACCAGTGACAGGTTTGGTGTGCCCTGCGAAGGAAGTTCCTACAGTCTCGAGTGTCGATGCATTGAACTCGCTGATCCTTGTGGCGTCTGAGTTTACAAATGCAGTCAAGATGTTTTGGTTTTGGTGTGTCCAGAACACTGGCGCGGATGTGGTTTCGGGCCCACTGAAATTCCCTACTCTGACATCCAATGTCTGTGTTTTGACATCCCAGACCTCGAGCCACCTCCCCGTCCATGACTTCACTGCGAGTTTCTTCGAATCTGTCGATAATCGAACGGAACCCACCCAATCAACACTCCTGAAGGGACCGGCCATGAGTTCTCCGGTTTTCAAGCTCCATATTCGCGCTGTAACATCCCAAGACCCGCTCGCCAGTAATGTACAGTCCGCAGAGACATCAACGCAGGTGATCGACCCAGAGTGGCCTTCAAAGGATGTCACGATTCCCGTCTCAACCTTGCATGCTTTGAGCTCCACGCGACCAGACTCTCCTCCACCAGTTATAACCCATCGACCATCCCTTGATACCGCCACCGCGTGTACCTCCTCTTTACATACAATCCGCGCCTCCTTGATCTCCTTACCCTCCTGCAGATCCCATCTCCGAACAGTCTCGTCCGATGACCCGCTGATCATTCGCTTACCGTTCGGAAAGTAAGATATGGATGTAATAGGCAGGTTGCCCTTCAAGGCCATTACCGGAGTCAGCCCCATCCTAGTTGTCGCAGCAGGGGTTTGCGTTGATGTGGAAGCCATGGCCTGTGTCTGTGAAAGCAGCGTAATGTATTATGTACGTGCAGTGGATGCCTTCACAGGAGAGGGCTGAGAGAGCTGATGTTGAGATGGATTGTGCGTTCGCTCGAGGACGTTGCCCGCTGGGCCGATCGTCAGTCATCCGCGCAAGTTCAGACGAGATTTTAACGTTACCAAGTCTAGTGCGGTATTGAAAATGGGCCCGACTTACTCGAGAGCGTTTTGCCTGCTTGAAGTCGACCGTCAGTTCATCCGCACTGGAAGTTTAGATAAGATTTTGATATTACCCACGAGACCAGCAGGGAAGAAGAGAGCGCCGAACTCACCTGATGAATATAGCAAGAATATGGGCGTTTCTTTTTATACTATCCCACCAGTGTGTACTTTGCACGCATCCCTTGACTCTCTTCAGGGCAGCGGCTGCTGTGTATTGATGTTGCTAATATTCATCAGCATCTGCTCCTTGATTGCCTGCTCACAGCCAGCCCAAGTCTCCAGCTGCGTTGGGAAGTGTTCATCGATCATTTCCGTGTCATAGACTCACCTGTACTAAAGCCAAGTATGTCAGTGTATGCCGAAGCTGCAAGCTGCAAAGGGTGATATCGTAAACATAGACCATCCCGTTTCATGTAAAGTACTTAGGCGAGAGTTAAAAAATGGGCATCCGCTCCTGAGTTTATTTTATAATTAATTAATTAAATTCAACACTTACATTGATAAATTAGTTTACATAAGAAAACAAACAAGCCTCTACGAAGAATTGAGTGGCGATTCAATGCCTTGCATCAACCTTGGATGCGAGTTTTTCCGTTTAGATTCCTTCTACAAAGTCGACATTCGACCACGGAGAACATGGCCAGGCGATCGTCATCTGAATAGATGTCCACGTTGTGATATGTCATCATATAGTCCACCGACGGCAAAGTCTCTCCCCTTTCTCCTAAAGTTCAAACCCTTGTTCCATCCCCAGACTCCATGCTTGCGAAGTTCGACTGGGTCTCGTCTTCATCTGGTTGGACAAGGCCATATTGAACCAACGTCTGTAGTATCCACGAGGTTTGACTCGAGGGGAGGGGAGGGAAGGGCGCTGACGCTGACGCGTCGGCAAGGTGGTTGAAAAGCGATTATATAACCCACAACGAGATTGGCTTGTGCACCGAGCTGACGCCGACGTGCTCGATCTGAGCATTGCGTCTAGCACGGGAACCTTGGTGAGTATTTTGATTTGCATTTCGCCAGTCGGACCCTTTTTGAATGGGATGGAGTTTGTCTGGTCTGGTCTGCGCGTGATTAGTGACCCAGTGCGTGCCGAAAAATCCTTTTGATGAGGTTGTGTTTTGAAGAACACATCATTCTCCACGCGTCCTGACCTTGCAGGCGCTTAAAAATGTGCCACACGCGGGAAGGAAACATGTTGGCTACAGGCCCTTTATACTGCGTTTGTCCTTGTTTCACTGATGATATAACGCTTTGATACATCGTAGGAATGCCAAGAATACGGCGGGCAGACACCTACACAAATTTATTCCAACTCAATTCGAGTTGTTAAGTCAAGGACCAGCGCTAACCAAAATACCGCAGGTGCTCGGCGACCTCACATGACACTATAGCCGCGAGGCGATTCATGAGACTGAGTTCCTCATCGCGATTGACTTGATGGTGTGGCTCCCGGCTTGACCTTCGTTTGTATGGTCCTTTGTCGTGATCTGACATGTTCCACTTCACACACCACTTGTGCACACGGAGATCATGCGCCAGACTATTACGCGGGGTGCTCATTTGAGAGCACGATGACCGACTATCATGTGATAGAGAAGAGATGTGTTAATGTGTAAGGATCGCATTCGATGTCCGCGTGGACCTGTTCTTGGCTATCCAGAGACGCGATGCAAGTTGGACGCGTTGGACGCGCCCTTCTGTTGGTGGTTGGACGTGCGTATCTTTCGTTGGTTTCTATGAGCACGCGATCTCTCGTTCAATGTGTTTATATTGACAAATTTCGTCAATTAGATTTCAGAGTATGCAATTTTTGGGGCAGCATGTGGAGAAACCAACATCCATATACACGAAGGATATGCTCAGTCAAAGGAGAAAGTTTTCTAAAACTGGGATCCAGCGCGTCGCGTTCAGTGTTTGTTCATAAATTAACTTATTCCACTCTTCTCGACAATCCTCCTGATCGAACATCTTCACAGCCGTATGGGGGAATATCCGGGTGGCATGCGTGTTGTACCATTGTCAAATCTGGTCGGTGGAAGCATTCCTTTGTATAACACCAAGCTGTGCTCACTATGCCGCTTAGTCTGGGCGAAAGTTGTGGACGACAACGCAAAATAGGAAGTGATGTGTCCAAGACGCTTTGGAACGTCCACGAAATACTCGACGCTTTATACACATGTAGTCGGGTCCCAACAGTTTAAATACTGCCACTTGTGTCGCTCTACTCTACTGCAACACCCATCGCACTTTCCCTTCACATCTACCATCTAACTCGTGCATTGTGAGTTACTCTTGTATACTTGCTCCTCCTCCTGTTGTCACTCATCTTGTCCTATTATAGGATAAGGCCTGGCGCCATCAACAGTACATCTCAAGCATTCTATCATTGAATATGGACCACTACGCGACTCAAATGGGCCAAATTTCGATCCTAGGCCTGTCCCAAGATGAGCCTCGACTTCAACCTCAACCCCAACGTGCCGAACTTGTGCCTTTCGATATGTATGCCCATCCATCTCAGTACGCTCCACTTGTGCCGGCTCCGACAGCCTATGGAATGGCGACCACAGTGTTCAGTGCTAGTATGGCACAATGTGGACAACCTTCCCCCATGCCACATATGATGGGGCCTGCAGATGTTCCTCCCCCATTTGCATCGTCTTTTACCCAGCCTCCGATGATCCCAGGGCTACCGTACGGCCGATCCATCCCTCCTCCCTCTACGATTTATTTCCCCCAGCCTCAGATGGTCCCGGGGTCATCGTACGGCCACTACATCCCTCCTTATCAATCTTATGGTGGTTATACCCCAGGCCCACATGCTATGGGTGTAGCGCCGTCATACTATCCCTCCGCACCCTCCACGGTGAAATGCCTTGATGGCCAACACCTCGACCACGGACCCCTACAGAAAGCACGAGTAGCGAAGCGCAAGGCGGTGGATAGTGATTACGCGGGACGAGAGACTCGTACGAAACGCCTACGTATTGACTATGATATACCTCCCGAGCTTGTGAGTCCAATTTATTTATCGGTTGTTGCTATCCACTGACGGTTGTTTCGTCAGCAACCGGTCTTAGTGGACGGCGAGATCCGGTACAAATGCCTCCTTTTGCAGTGTCAAGATAAACGTGCAATGAAAAGAGGCAGTGTACCGAGGCATATCGGTTCGAATACGCACAAGGGCCAAGCCGGTCTGTTTCTATGCTCATACTGTAGCAAGGAGTAAGTACCATACGTCTTTCAAATGTGATTGTGGGGCTGATATAGTGATTCTTACTAGTTTAAGTCGTTCGGACTCTTTGAAGCGCCATTTCAAGTCTTGTCCCAAAACAAACACCTTCGCCTACGTCCCTCAAGAACCTGACGCTATTGCACCTGCCACCTTCGTTCCACAGCCCCCCATGCTCCAGGGGCCATTCACATTTCAGCCTGTTTGGGCCAGCCCTGCATTGGCCTCGGTTACCCCGGCTTCGGACGAGTCCTTGGGAGATTCTATCAACAATTTGGAGTTGGACGCAACTCCAGTGTGTCTTGATGACACTAATGATTCACCTTCGGGCAAGTTGTTTGAAATTGATGTCGACGCTTTTAATTGGGACTCAGGATATGAAACTGATGATTCGACTTCGGGCAAGTCATTGGAAGACCTGTTGAATGATTTGGATTGGACCAAGGTTCCAGGACACCTCCCTTAGACGAGATGCACGAGTTTGCATTGTCTCGTTTGAACTGCATAGCCGCAGTATTCATCGTTCATGGACTATGTATCACTTTGTTTGTCACTTATATTACTCAGTCGTATCTGCATGCAGCATCCTCCCACTCATTACATAGCATACTTATGTTATATATTGCTCGGTCGTATCTGCAGCATCCTTCACTCATTACATTTCACAGTACACTCGAGATATCCGGTTCTTATGGACTAATTCCAGTATGCACGAACGTATCAATGCCATTACTTTCTTTGACCATGAAACGAAACCGTCTGAGCATAAGGAATTCCGATGCAATTTATACCCCAAAGAAACTAGTACTAGTAGTAGGGAAACCGTGCATCTAGAGCGGGCCTGCTAGACTTGTACGAAAACATAGATGCCTTTCGTATGCCCGAAGCTGTGATCAAGTACTAGCGTTAAATCTCTCCCTAGCTTTTCTTATTAGATTCGCCACCACTCCATCCTGATGCTGTGCATATGAATTCATACTATGACCGCGTGCAATGATGATCTACAATCCCGCATCACCGGAATCAAATCATGCAAATCCCTGATCGGAGGTACGGAGTAGGCGTATTCAGTGGCTGTGTCTGCTTGAGGTCAGGTGCAGACACGAAACTGCTCAGAGAAAACAAACGACCAGCGATAACAAACGGTCTAAACAACACAAGCAAGTACAAACGGCTATGACCATCCACGAGCAGATCCACGACCTCCTCCATGACCCCTTTCCTTCTCAATGGCGAACATTGCGTCGCGCGTGGTGATTAACATTCGATCATCATCCTCTCCCGTTTGTGGTGATGTCGGACTGCCTTTCTTTCCCCCCATATATGGCCGCGCCCAGGATGTTGCTGCAGTTGTTGATGCTGCAGGAGCTGTGGTAGTCGCAGGGGTTGTGGTGGTGGCAGTACTTGGTTTAGTAGGAGAAGATGCCGTAGGCTTTGGTTTGGCACCAGCCGCAGGGGCATTTGCAGCGTTCAGCCATGAGTACTTCCCACCAAGTCCAGCAGCCTGACTTGCGACAGCGTTCGACATCTTTTTTCGCACATCTTCAGACATATTCCTCGCTGTTACACCAGGTCCCTCTTTCTTCTTCTTCTTCTTCGCACCTCCCTCCTCATCTCCGTCAACGGCCATAGCATTGCCACCTGAAGCCTGTGCAGCGAGGTTAGCAGCATGCGCAGCGGCGAGATCAGCGCGTTCTTTGCGCTCTCTTCGAACTTTCATCTCTTCCTCTCGCTCAATCTTTTCCAATGCAGCCAGTTGCTTAGCGACATCACTCTGCACGACTATGCTCCACATCGGCGTACCGTTATCGTACGGACATGCCGGGCGGTCAAACTGGGTATCCGTACGGTGGTTCGCTGCAGCAACCATCGCAGTAACGAGGTCTTGTAGGCGAGCACGGAGAGCGATAGCCAAGTAATTCACCGAATCTTCCGGGATTTTTGTCACCTTGTGTTCCGTGCCAATGGTGCGCATGGTGGCACCGAGGAAGCGTGTGTCGAAGGAAGGAGTAACTGGTTGTTTACGTGATCTGTCTTCGAAGGTCCGATATGACTGATGCGAGTCATGGGACCTCTGCAGACTTTCTTCCTCCGCCTACGGAATAGTTACTACCGAAACCAATACCTTGTCGGTAGAAACGCACCCGAAGATCAACACCCGCGCTCCCAAGAGCATCATTCAAAGTGGCAACGTCGGAGGTGTCCATCCCACTATTCGCATTTGCGGGCTGGGTAGCTGCTGCTGTTACAGGAGCTGCTGTTGAGGCCTGCGGCCTCTGGATTTGTTGTTGTTGCTGTTGTTGTTGAACATATGAGTAGTGCGAATACGCGGCTTGAGGATAATGGTGAGTGTACTGGTAAGAATATGGAGTTGTTCTGGATAAGATGGACATGTTAAGTATCCGAACGGAGAGGAACAAAGAGATGGCTTAACGTGGCGTGTTGAGATTGCTGCTGAAGCGCAGGATCAATTGGTATATCTAGGTCATAGAAAATAAATGTTGATGAACGCAGGGACATTTGGACAGTACTACATACGTGTGGTACCCCATTGTGCAGTATACGACGTCTGAGCGTGAGTTTGTGTGGGCGTTGGTGTCTTCGGAGCGTCGCTTTCAGTCTTCATGACCTGCCGTCTGACACAGAATCGGTGTAAAACTCTGCGAGATGTGCAAAGGGAGAGCTTGCTCAACGGGTGTCATGAACGTAAATGGCATGCAGGAAGGCATGCAGGATGTGTTGCGTTGTTTGGCTTTGTTGAAATCTAAAGCTTTTGCCCAACAAGTGCATAACACTGATCACTCAGTATTTTCTTGTCCATATTTACGCACGAAGTTCTGCAATGGACGTCTCAAATATCCTAGCATCTCATGCTGCAAAATTGTACGATTATTTTAGTCTGCATCACCGTCGCTTACCACATCCCATAGCCAATCTGTCACCGTCGAAAAAGAGACACCTCTCGACGTGGACACCGGCTTCCTGACTGTCACAGACCTCACCCCAATCGACGAGGATGATTACAAGTACGAACGATTGTCCATTTTCATTAAACGCAAACACATTCAACACATTTCTTCCAGATCAAATCTTGAAGAATACCTACAGTCAACTGCTCGAGATGGCATCCAGGCATTAATCGCAGCACTATATGCCCTGCCCACCCAACCATCACCAGATGGCCCACTCGCCCAACTTCCAGCACCGACAACACAACTCCCTCGTGCTAAACCCCTTCCCAAGCCTAAACCACCGACGAAATGGGAACGCTTCGCTGCTGCAAAAGGCATCCAGAAGCGTGTGCGTGAAAAGAAGGTGTGGGATGAAGAACGACAGGAGTGGGTTAACCGCTGGGGTAAAGACGGTAAAAATAAGGAAAAGGAGGAACAGTGGATTCATGAAGTCAAGGCTGATGCTCGTGCGTGTTATTGTTTTCATTGGGAATGAAACTCATCTAATCATCCTTTCAGCTGTGGACCATGATCCTGTCAAAGCCGCCCGCGATGCACGGACATCAAGAGTTGCCAAAAACGAGCGACAGCGGCTCCAAAATAATGCTCGTGCACAAACCACTGCTGGTGATCGGGAGGGCCGTAAAATGGATATCGAGAAGACTCTCGCTACCACTCGAATAAGTACTGCAAGCATGGGCAAATTTGACAAAAAGCTCGACGGAGAGAAGAAACTGAGAGGCGTCAAGCGCAAGGTAAGTCGGTTCTGCTTATTGTTGTGTGTTGACTCACTGTCCGTAGTTTGAGGCTGCAGAAACATCTGTGGAACAAGAAAAACAGGCATCACTTGCAGTGCTTTCGAAGTTGGACAGCGATGTAAAGAGAGCAAGAAAAGAGAAAGGCGGTGGCGATGGCGTTCTCAACGTACGGAAGGCAATACGGAATGTAAGCAAGGGCAGAGGTGGTGTTGCTCTCGCTCGCGAAGCCAACAGAAAAGGAGCGAAAGGCAAAAGAGGCGGCAAACGATAGTCAGTAAAAGTACTATATATTCTATGCTATCATTCATCAGCGTCGTCATATCAAATCATCACGCATATCGTTATAAGTACCACTGTCATTATCCGTAACAAATCGGTACACAAGGAGTGATTACGTCCTTTCACCGCTCAACAGGAAGCCTGTCCAAGTCAGCCCTCCCTTCTTTAATCCATTCCTCCTTCACCAATTTCTCCCTCTCCAGATAGTACAACCGATACACCAGCTTGATAGTGCCCTCACTGACACCAGCAACCACACTAATATCTCGAGAAGACTTGGGCTTCCCTAGTAAGTGGCAAGTAAAGTAAATCGCCCCGCCAGCGATAGAAACTGGACTACGACCATCCGCAACGCCGTGCTGACGAGCTGCAACAATAATATCACCGCAAATAGACTGGACATTGGCGGGAAGGTCAAGGTGGTTGCAGTAGCGAACAAGCAGGTTTTCGGGGCCAGTTGATGGGTTGCTCCCATTCGCATTAACCTGCGCGGTAGCTCCAGGCGACAAATTGAAAGCCTGCTCAAGTGCCTTGTAGCACTGTCCAAGTGTCTTCTTCGACACATGGGTCAAGTTACAAATCTCGCGGAATGTACGAGGTACGTGGGCTTGGCGGCACGCGATGAATATACACGCGGCAATCACAGCCTCAAGAGGTTTTCCACGAAGAAGCTTCTCCTCATCTGAGCGCTTGTATAGCTGTTTGGCAATATCGCTGATGGTTTTGGGAAGCGAGAACTGGTCGCACCAGCTGCCGATGTCGCGGAATGCGGTAAGAAGATTCCGCTCCGAGCGGGAATTCTGGGAGCGAGAAGCCGCACGTTGGAGCTCGCGTGCAATTCCTGTGCCGCCGTCACGGAAACTGATGAGCGTGTCCAATTGCTCTATACCCTCCAATAGAGGGTCCGACGCTGCACCGACACGGGAAGGGTCATCGCCTTCGTCGTTTGCGAACGTCTACACATGCAACAAGACGTGCAGGTTAATCGCAACGATAATGGAGACGACATGACTCACCCTCCATTCACTTCTTGTATCAACAATACGGTCACCCAGCACCAGTCCACAGCTCCCGCACACAAGATCTCCGCTCCCAAACTCTTCGACAATATTCGGATTTGGATCTCTGCACTCTGGGCAAATGAGACGCACGGCCAAGTCGGGGCCGAACGTGGGTTGTTGTGTTTTTTGGACTGCTGCTGCGAGTGGGAAAGGTTGAGCGAATGCCATCCTAATAACTGGCTGCGAGATCCCGTGTGCGGTTTCTGGGAGACTGGAGAGTGCGGTCTGAGCCGCGCTGAATACAACGAATGTGTTTCTTTCTAAAACGTATCTAATTATGGGAGTAAAATGGCTTTTTCACAAAACCAGGCATTAGCTCGTTGTTACATACCACTAGATTGAGAAATTCAGTCCACGATCTTCAATTTGACGAGCCTGACCAAAGCCCGTGGTAAGAGATGGTGGTGGTCTAGGACAAGAAGCTGCACTACTGGCCACATCCTGTGCCACGCAGTAAACAGGCTTGGATGACTAATAACAGCAAATATTGTTTCCGTATTTGGCATGTTATTGCCACGGCCTTATAGGAGCTAACTCATTGAAAGTGGGGAAGAGATCAAGCATTGCAAAGCAACACGCTACTAGCCTACATGAGTAAAATGTTCAAACAACAAGCCAATATCATATTCAAGACCCGAGAAGTATTGCAGTAAGAGAAAAACAAGTGAAACAGCATGAGTAAGGTAAGAAACGCATTGGAGCAATATGAAGTCTGTGAGGGTAACTGCTGAGGACGTCAAGATCGTGAGCAATGAAACGGTCGTGGATAGCGGTGTACGTTTGTATCCCAAAGCAAGAACAGAAGAACGAAAAACAACAGCAGAAAATATAACAACATGAGGATTAGTACTAATAGTAAACCGCCTGAGAAGCATGTGGGTCGGTGGGATACATCTCGTACTGTGGGACGTGAGACATGTCATAGTACTGGGAGTACCCGTAGGGCTCGGGATAGTAGTACGGCTGATGATATGGCGAGTATCCGTACAGGGTGGGCTCCATTGCCTGCTCCGGCATCGCCTGGTCATTGGCTTGGCTTGAGCTTGCATCATCCTGCGCGGAATGATCTGCAGATGACTGGTATGTCTGCGACTCAGTATTGGGACTGGCAGGACGCGAGGGCTCAAACGATGCTGCGCTCGTCCTCAAAGTGGAAGGTCGACGAGTACTCTTCAACTGCTTGAGCTCCGAATGAGAAGATGGCGATCGAATCTCAACGCGAGAACTCTGGCGAGGGAACGCGAAGAGCGGGTTACCAGTCGATGGGTCAATGTAACCATTAACAGGAGGTGTGTGAGACGGTGCAAGGAAATCTGGGGAGCTGGCGGAATGGTGATGCATAGGGGCATACGGGAGCCCTGGAGGTGTCATCATCCCATGCGCTAACGGGCGTGGTGTGTACATCGTCGGGTGTTGGAGATATACCGCTCGACCTGTGGCAATCTCATATGGCATACCGTGGTGGCCGATGGCAACGCCGGGTGGTAGAGGAGAACCATACCCATACGGCGATCCGTACGGAGGTGAGGGCTGCGTTGGCGGCGAGAACACAGTCTGCAGGGGTGGGGGCATTGATGGACGGACGGTATCAGAAGACTCCGGATTCGACGCGGGTTGCTCGATCTGAAGGAGAGCGGGTGCATTCTGGTCATACTGCTCCTGCAATATGCCGTTCGGCACATCTGCGGTCTCTTTGGCCTGCTGATCTGCGGCCGCACGCATCATTTGCTGCAGAAGCGGTGACGTGATATTCTCTTTCGGCGACATTGAGGCATCAGGTGATGAAGGAGCTGGTGCAGCAGGTTTGGGAGGCACATCATGTACTGACGTAGAAGGCTTGTGGTCATTGGCTGGAGGCGAAGATGATTGCGAATTTGGAATGGGCTGCCTTGGGGGCACGAGCCCTGGCCGAACTGTGAAAACATCTTCGATAGGAGGATCTGGAATAGTAGTAATAGTCTCAACAGCCTCAGGGGCTGGTTCAGATGCCTTCTCCTTCCCTGCCCTCTTGGGTAGGCGCACGATAAACGTCTTCTCACTCGCCTCTGAAGGTGCAGTCACAGATGGCGCAGGCTCTGCTGCTTGAGTGGTTCGAGCAGAGCTTCTGACAACCTTCCCTTCATTGCCAGAAAGCTTGACCCGATAGCCTGGACCTTGACCAGGACGAGGTTTCAAAGCAGGATCGAAATACAAGAAGCCCTCGTGTTGCTTTGTCCAAACACGCTCGGGCTTCATCGCGTACCACGTCCTGCCTGATGCAGCGGCAGCGGCAGCAGGAGGAATAAAGTGTGCTCCAGTTGACGAGGGGGAGAAACCGCCACGTGCAAAACCACCACGTCCACGGCTGGCGATAAATCCACCCCTGCCACGAAGTGGCAAGAAACCTCGTGTAGACCTTGCTGCTTGCTGCGGTTGGTGTGGTGCAGCCGTACGCCTCTTTTCATCTCGCTTCTTCATCTCCTCGAAACCGTCGTGGGTCCATAGCTGGTCAATAAGGGGGGGTTCAACTGGGGGTTTCTCTGTCTCTTGAGATCCAGAGGCTTCTGGTGTAGGGCGACTAGACTCTGGACCAGCAAAGGCTCCTCTGCCCCTACCGCGCACGAAACCTCCGGAAAACCCACCTCTTCCGCGACCCCTACCCTGCCAGCGTCCTCTCCACCACCCACTCAGACTCCTCAGGTCCTTATCCAACAACCGATCATCATGGCCCCAAAACTCACCAACGGTGGGAACATACGAGGGGTCTGCCTCTAGCCTCTGCTGATAGGCTTGACGAGCATTGTGTCCAGAAGGAGGCCTGGAGAACGAATTTCTGGATTGTTGTCGAGACGTCGATGCCTGGGGCTGATCATCTGCAGGCTCTGAAGCCTCTTCCTCAGTGTGAACAGGTGGGTGCTGAGGCGCGGTACCACGGTCAGACGAAGGCGCCGAGACTGCGCGCTTGGGCTGGGGACGCTTTGACGCTTTACTTGTTTTACGAGGGAGAGGGCCCGACAAAGTCTGTTGTGGGATAGAAGGGCTATTGAAATCTGCGAACTCTATAACTGGAAGTTCCGCAGGGCCATTGGCAGTTTCCTCAGCGACCATCTCCGACCAATTCCCAGCGCCACTGAAAAAAGGAGTAGAGTCGCCATCGATGTCTTTGGCTGATTGATGGTTGAGTGATGGGACATCCTCTGAGCTCTGTGTTGTATTGGGCGTTAGAATGTGTGAATGGCCGTTGAAAATAATGTCCTCTGAGGCAGGTTCTGTGTCGGAGTCGGTTTCAGTGGCAACTGAGGAACGATCATCATCGGACTCGGAGTCAGTTGCGGCCTCTCTTTCAAACTCCTCGTCACTCTCAAAATTGTTTCTCCCCCTTCCCCTGGGCTTGACCATGCGAGTCTTGCGAGGTTGTGGAGAAGACCGCGACTTTGCGGAGACATCTGCGCGGGGTACGGTAGAAGGTACAATAGCCGGCATATTAAGAACTGGTGGGAGAGACATGAGTGGCATTCATGAAGTCAAAAGCGTAAGGAAGTTTGTGAAGTGACTTACTTGCAAGTTGTGTGATATGAATGAAGTTGAGCTCTCAGAGTAGAAAAAACGGTGAAAAATCAGGGGGAAAAGCCTGTTATTTGAGGGATCGGTTATTGCGGGGAAACTGAAAGGGAGAAAGTAAGAATAACGTTGTGGAAGACCCGTCAAGTCGTAGTCTGCAGGCAAAGGCGTGTTGGAAGTATTTCACAAAGGCAAAACTGGAACTTGCCGGATTTAGTTCCCAGCCTTGCGGTGCCGCATAACACTGCCACATCTTCCCCGCTTGACTCCGCATCATGAATCATCGCACAGCTCAAATTTCAACAGGTCACATTTATCATTTTATCGACCAAGTCCCGAGCAACCACGATCCAGCTCGACCACCAATAATCTGTTTGCATGGGTTTCCTGATTCATGGTACTTTTGAAGATTTTTCAATATGAATGTTACAAATTTCTATCAGGTTCGGATGGCGGCATCAGATTGGTCCATGGTGTCGAAACGGGTTCCGTGTGATCGTTCCAGATATGCTAGGCTTTGGTGAAACCGACACGCCCCATGATTCTTCAGCATATTCCACCAAAAATATCTGCAATGATATTTCTGCTCTTCTTGATTTCCTAGAGATCCCCAAAGCTGTTCGTTTGTCTTATCTACTGGACCGTTATGCTAAATTCGAGAGCCGCAGGTGGTGATTGGTCATGATTGGGGCTCATACATTGCTGGCAGATTTGCTTTGTGGCACCCGGATCGCTTGATAGCACTAGTCATGTACGTATCCATTGAGTCCTAGATGCACCACCGACGCAATATACTTAGGTTGTCTATTCCATATATTCCTCCAACGATAGAGTATATGTCTGTCGAGGAAGTGGCTAGAAAATTTCCATCCTATGGATATCAAGTGTACTATGCGTCCGAATCATCAACGTCTGAGATCGAGGAAAACGTGGGCATCTTCTTTTCATTCCACGCCTTTGACTCAAGTGGTCGAAGCTCGTCCCCTTTCTCGGTGTGATATTCAAAACGCCTGAGAAGCCATGGCAGTGGTCAAAGTTAGAAGAACTCCGAACTCTGATCACCAATAAGCAAATCGATTTTACCGACGGGTGCCTCCTCAACGAACATGTAATTGATGGATCGTTCGCGATAACGTTCATGCTAATAATCTTTTGCCTGACAGGAATTGCAATTTTATGTTTCTCAGTTTCAACGCGGTATGCGAGGGCCTTTGTCTTATTACCGAACCACGAAAGCGCGATTCGAGGAGGAGAAAGGTACATGACTCGTTCACTGCATTACTCTTTTTCTCATTCCAAACTTCAGAGGCTCAGCTACCTGCAAATCTACCGCCGGATCTTCCTGTTCTCTTCATGTATGGAACCAAAGACATTGCATGCTCCCTGTCGTCGGTTCGGAACGCCCACAAATTCATTTCACGACTGAAAATCGTTGCCCTCGAGGATGTTGGTCATTGGGTGATGATAGAGGCGCAAGACCGCGTTACATCGGAAGTCCTGCAATACCTTGCGTCTCTAGGTTTTTACCATAAATCTCACATGTAGGAAACTCTGTACTAGCGAGTGTTGAAACAAAATTCTACCATATTCTACGTACGAGCATATTAGGGCCAGAACACTGCAGCGGCGGCGGTGCGGCACGTGACTTCCCTTCGCCCTACGCTTCTCCTTTTCTTTTCCCCACCACTGCCAGTACTAGTAGGGATGGCGGGTACCTAGCTAGACCTTCCATCCAAAAACTACTTTAATAAAGCAAACATTTCTTTTCATTCTTACTATACTACTACAGCCACTGCACGACAGCAAACACAAAGTTTCGAGTATACCTTCCAACTCTCCGACTTAGAAAATGCGGTACTGAATGCGAAGCCTTCACTGGAAAGTTCGTTGGCTCAAAAGCTCGTTAGAGACTGGATCATTTCCTTGATAGCAGTCGTCACTGCACCGACATCGCGCCGCCCTCGCCTAGCCTGGGCTTCCCGAACCAAGTCGTACAACAGGTCAATCTCGTCAATAACTTCATCTGGCCACTTTTCTTTCACGACCCCGACCATCGTTTCTTTCGAAATGATATAAACCTTTTGGTCCGGTATGTTGGCATCCTCCAGGTTGACTTTCACGCTCCGTCGGGTCTCCCTAATGAACTTATCCCGTGCAGTCTGATAGAGCTTCTCATCTTCGCTGTCAGACCCCACTGGCAGATCCTCCATAACATTGCGGATGTGCTGGTCTGCCTTAGAGCGCACGATATACGCGGGGATATTGAAACGCCTGCAGTTGATGAGGATGGCGATGTCGGCCGTGGTGAAGCGATTGTCAACCATGACAATAATGCAGTCAAAAATGTAAAGTCCTTGGTTATTGAAGTACTGCCAGTCTGGGATTTTGAGCGTGCCTGCGCCTGGAATATCGTACCAGACATACGGGTAGTCCGCGTTGGGATTGGCATATATGGTTATGTCTGTTGTTGTCTCTGTGATGCCAGTGGCGGCAGATCCGATATCCTTGTTACGCAAGCCGCGGAAGGCATTGATGAGAGATGATTTCCCTCCTCCTGCCACCCCGGCTACTGCAAGGTGGAAACAGTCTTCATGATAGTGAGCTCTCCGCTTGGTATCGCGAACTTCTTCACGTGTAGGAGTCACCACAGGTTGGATACCTTTGTTCAACTTGCGTTGTGCATCCTCCTTGACAGCATTGGCCTTCTCTACTTCTGCTTTGAACTTGCGTTCAGCATCCTCCCTGATAGCATTAGCCTTCTTTGTTTCCTCTTTCGACTTTCGTTCAGCGTCCTCCTCGACCTTCTTAACTTCCTCTTTCAACTTACGTTCAGCATCCTCCTTAGCCTTCTTTACTTTTTCCTCTGCTGCTTTCTTCATCGCATCAGCAGCCTCATCGGTCTTCCTCTTGTGCTCTTTGGCAGCCTCCTCGGCTTTCCTGGCTTGCTCCTGTGCTTCCGCCGTCGCTCTCTGTTTCGCCTCTTCATGGGCAGCGGTTTCCGCCTTCCAGCGGGCAGCCCGTTCGGCCTCTATTATCGCCATAGTCTCTTCACGAGCCTGCACCTGCCGGGCGTCTCTTTCAACTTGTTCTTCAGCGGCAGCGATTCGCTTCCGCTCATCTTCTTCCGCTGCTTTTCGCCTTGCTTCATCATTGGCAGCCTGGGCAGCAATTTGCGCCATTGAACGGGCTTCGTTGACAGCCCGTTCTGCCTCGATCATCGCCATCATTTCCTTATGAGCCTGCGCCTGCGCCGCTTCAATGGCAGCCCGTTCTGCCTCCACTTTTGTCATCATTTCCTTATGAGCCTGCACCTGTGCCGCTTCGTTGGCAGCCCGTTCTGCCTCCACCTTCGCCATCATTTCCCGATGAGCATGCTCCTGTGCGGCTTGTATCGCGGCCAGCTTGTCTTCCATAGCCTTTTTTTGCGATTCTTGAGCCTGGATGAGTGTTGCAAACGCAGCCTGAGCAGCTTCGGCGTCCTTGCCGGCTTGCTCGGCATCTGCCTCTGCGCGTTGGCGTGCTTCTATTTCGACGAGGGATGGATTTGGTGCTTCTGGCCAAAGGTTACTGAACCACTGTCCCATTCTAAATGTGATAAACGGCCTGTTAATCGTCAAGTCACATAATGGACTTCTATCCCTCGAGCTGAGGAAGCTTACTGGAATGCGTGCGTAAGTCCCTCGGAAGAAAATTGGGTTGCTCAGAACAAGTGCTGTATATTCGCACCGGATCACAGCGAAGAACAGAACCAAACGATAGAATAGAATGAGGGGCTTCGTGTAATGAACCCCTATCCCAAAACGAACACTCCGTCACAAGTGTATGACTGCAGAACGCCCGCAAATTTATTTCAGGACCAAACATAGTGCTATTATCCTCAAGGAAGTTGATCATTGTTGGGGGCGCAGGATCGCGTTAGTAGAATTAGTATGTAGTCTTGCGATAACTTTTGTCTGTAGGACCTAGGTTTATACCAGAAATCTCATATGTAGAACCCTTTGTGACTGTATTCATTGGCATGGGGAAGTCAGAATCGGTCGCGAGGAAGAAATATAGGAGTGTTATCACCTACTGCGGGTCAGCGGCCAAGATTGGTCACAAGCGGTACGGGGATGTCAAGAATAGACAAGTATCAATTTGATCAGCAAAAAGAACGATGAAGCAGGGCCAGCGGCCGAAGCCCAGAGCCATTAATGTTTGCAAACAGGCTACGATGATGATGATAATGCTAAGCTGTGAATATGAACATGTAGGAACCTAGTCTACATACTGACTAAGTTGCTGTCGAAAGGACCGTGGAGAGTCGAGACATCGAACGGACAGTCCCTGCTAGGCTGGAAATCCCCAGTCCGACAGTATTATTATCGACTACTTGTCTGTCATTGTGTTCGCCACCTCAGCGTCACGACGCGCTCGCCTGATCTGGGCTTCCCCGATCAAGTCGTTCAACAGCTCAATCTCGTCGATGACTTTCTTCGGCCGCTTGTCTTTCACGACCCCGAGCATCGTTTCATTCGAAACGATGTAAACCCTTTGGTCTGGCATGTTTGCCTCCTCAAGGTTAACTTTTACGCTTTTGCGGGTTTGGTGAATAAATTGCTGGCAAGCAGTCTTGTAAAGCTTCTTCTTCTGATCTCCCCCCTCGTCATCGTCACTGTCGTACTCCATCTCCTTCATGATATTACGTATGTGCTGGTCGGCCTTTGACCGCACGATATACGTGGGGATCTTGAAGCGCCTGCAGTTGATGAGGATGGCAATATCGGTCATGGTGAAGCGGTTGTCGAACAAGATGATGATGCAGTCAAAGACGTAAAGTCCTTGTGCGTTGAAGTACTGCCAGTCTGGGATTTTGAGCGTGCCTGCGCCCGGAATATCGTACCAGACATATGGGTATTCCGCATTAGGGTTGGCATATCTGGCCATAGCCAGCGTCGTCTCGGTTACGCCTGTGGCAGCAGCTCCTATATCCTTCTTAAGCAAGCCGCGAAAAGCATTGATGAGAGACGACTTCCCCCCTCCCGCTACCCCGGCTACTGCGAAGTGGAAAAGGTCCTCGCGATATTGAACTTTGCGCTTGGCAGCGCGAATTTCTTCAACTGTGGGGGTTACGAGGGGTTGAATCCCTTCTTTCAGCTTTCGTTCAGCCTCCTCCTTGGCAGCATTGGCCACCTTTACTTCCTCCTCTGCCGCTTTCTTCGACGCGTTGGCGGCAATCGCCTTCTTCTTTTCCTCGTTGGCAGCCTCTTCGAGTTTCGTAGCCTGCTCCTGCGCAACCTGGACATCTTTTTTGGCCTGTTCTTGGACGGCGGCGGTTCGCTTGCGCTCCTCCTCTGCTTCCGCTGCTCTCCGTTTCGCCTCTTCATTGGCAGTACGAGAAGCGGCTTCCGCCAGGAGGCGAGCTTCGTTGGCAGCCCGTTCGGCGTGGACCATCGCCATCGTTTCCATATGGGCACGCTCCAGTGCAGCTGCCGCGGCATGTTGAGCGGCCTGTTGAGCCTCCATAAATTTTTGCTGCGATTCTTGATTTGATTTTATAAGCTCGGCCATCAGGGCCTTTGCAGCCTCGACATCGTTGCGGGCTTGCTCAACAGCTGCCTCTGCACGCTGTCGCTCTTCTGCTAAGGCGATGGATGGATTGGGTACTTCTGGTTGACTGTGGCTACCACCCATCTCCGAGTGTGCTGAAAATCGTACTTCGTGGGCCTGTTAATGGTTACGCCACGTGATATTTCCATCTGTCGAGCTGAAAAAACTTACTAATATGCGTAGGCTTTGGAAAGAAGAATCAAGCTGACAGCGCTGTTCAGAGTAGTGCAAGTCAGTGCTGCAGATTTGCTGGATAAGAACAACGAAGCGATCTTAAACAATGTAATAGAATGTTTGCCTTGAGGCGTTTTGTATTGTGCCCGCATGGCGATAAGGGAACTGGTTCACTCAATGCGGGCAAGGGCTGATCATAGGTCGCCCAGGCCCGTGTGCTATACGACATCCATGACGTGAAGTGTGACCTGCAGGTCACGAAACAATAGACTTCAGTTTTTCATGGCGATGAATTGCAGACGGATATCATGCGGGTATGCGCCTCCAAATTTAAGGATTCCTGAAGGCATGAAGGTGGTGCAATCGCAGCGCTGCCGCAATTGTGATATGAAAACAACATTTCATGAATGCGGACATCCTGTAGATGTTCATTCGATCTTCGCGCTGGGCCCTGGCACCAAGTTAACCCTGCTGTGCTGCAGCATGTTGCCATGAGAGTCGGGAATGAGTTACAATATCACGTAATATGGACAACAAGTGTTTACCGACAAGAGATGTTTTTGAAGGAGGCGAAATTGTGAAATCGGAAGCTTCGGTTACCCTCTTTAAGCGATCGTGAAGCTTCGAAGCGCTGAAGGACGGGGAACTCGTAACCCAGGCAGGAAGAGACAGGGTATGATCACGGTGTGCTCGGCACTTGCCGACTTGGCCGCCGCCGGAATCGACTACTAGTACGGCTACTTTTAGATTCGCAAGGGGCCCTCCGGGCATACCTGTACCCTTTGTTTGTTGTGTCGTCTGTCGTCTAACGACTCTAACTCCCAAGCACGTCGGAGAGGTGAGCGAAAAAGAAGGTAATCTCTACCTCGTTATCGTCACTATCTCAATTGTTTTCTACTGGGATTGACTCAAGCCCTCCTTTTCACAATGTCGGACTGCAATGGAAACGTTTCTTTATATTGAACGTATGCGTGTTAGAAATACATATAGTTTAGCTTGACATACATGTACACGAAGCAGATCACAAACACAATCCTTTCGATCGGATGAAGACACATAAATGAGATGTGCGCTCGCAATCTCTGCATATTACTCTTGATTAAGCATCGGAAAATTGTCCACAACCATCCTAAGATGTGGTGCTATGGCGCTGGATCTGTTCAACTATTCCCCACACAAAATATGCACATATACACAAAGGATTCACACATACAGAGTCGCGTACCGTTGCCGAGATGTATCAGGATGCTTTGGGATTAGCGTGACTTCCCGTTTTGGTAGCACCGCACGACGACAAAATGCTCGAGCTTGCTGTTGAGGACAGCGAGCTCAAAGAGTTGCCCAATCCTTTACCCTTTTCACTAGTTCTTTTGAGGGAAAATAACAATAAGCTGTAGCTAGTTAACTATGCTATTTTGACCATAAATCTTCCATACTTACAATATTCACCCATTCCTGTCATGTATTTATACTGGGCGCTCTGAGGGGCTTATTATGGGCTCAATTAATGATGTATTTATTGCATAAATATATTAGAACTTCTACAAAGCCAGAAGTATTCAATTAGAGTCCAAAAAATACCAGAAAAGCGGTCAGGGTGGGGGGAGGAGGGGAAGGTGGGGAAGGAGGGTTGTGTTGTCCAAGAGTAAGCATAGTTAAGCTACAGGTAATTTTTTTCCTGAAAAGAACTAGTGAAAAGGGTGAAGGATTGGGCAACTCTTTGAGCTCGCTGTCCTCAACAGCAAGCTCGAGCATTTTGTCGTCGTGCGGTGCTACCAAAACGGGAAGTCACGCTAATCCCAAAGCATCCTGATACATCTCGGCAACGGTACGCGACTCTGTATGTGTGAATCCTTTGTGTATATGTGCATATTTTGTGTGGGGAATAGTTGAACGAATCCAGCGCCATACGGTGCCACCACGGGCAACAACACACCGGCAGGATATTGACTACACATAGGCAAACGCTCGCGAGAGACCTCGAAAAACGTAAAGAACCTGCGCAAGACACACGACGACACAACAGACGTCCCATCGTCTAGAAGCTCGTTATCGGAAATCACGAATGACACATGCGGAAGAAGTGACACAGCTTGATTGACGCCAGAGACAGAACTGGAAGCCATAAGTTACAACGAAGACGAGAAAGTTGTCTACAACGAAGAATACAGGAGACGACGAAGAACAAATTCTGGAAGGTTCGATCAATGCTGACAAATATTCTGAATCAGGATGAGAAACGGACCGCCTTCATGCTTTGGCGGGCCGGTATGATCGTGCGGACAGAGAAAATTTACCCCATACCTGTACCCTCTTCTAGGGTACAGGAATGCTCATGAATTCGAATGCATACCAACTTCCAAGTCACTAAAACTTTGATTCGTCCCATATTTGTGGTCCCTCGCAATGCCTTGTCATAAATTTGCAGTGGCTTCTGTGCATCGCGCTCCATTCTTGCGATTGAGCCCTTGCACGCATGCGGTGTGTGTTCATCACGTTCACGTTCATGGAACGGGGCGCGTGACGGCGCTTCTGACCTTGCAGATTACACTTTCCTTGCCTCAGCTGCTTGGCTTTTGAACAATGGTATATGGTAGAGTTTGTGAAACGATGTGCGCAATAGCATTAGCGAGCGAGCTGCTAGCCTGCTGCACGAAATCGTACACCAATTTTCATACTACTCTGGTATGGATCTTCTTCAGTAGGCTAACTATTTTAGAGGTGCGGTGGCCTCATGTATTGAATATGTGCGGAGCACAGCGACATGCAGCTCATGCATTGCCCGCTCGCAGAATGACGGCGTCTTCGTGTCCCATGGGCAGTGACTATGTCCGGCGCGCTATAATACCTTGTTGATGCAAGAGATCAATATCTTGTCCACACCAGTGCGCAATGTTAGGGAGTTGCTCATCCAATCCCTCTTCACACAACCTCGCTAATTCATCTAAGGTAAGTACGATACGAGGTACCTTCAGAACTCAGCAGCACGGTTCTTGATGTTCGACTGCAGACATCATGCAAATGTCCATATAACAAAAAACCAGGGAAAAATCTGGTTGTTTGCATTGGTGCGCGGTTCAAGCTGTTTTAGGTGACGATTATGGTTATTCAAGTTTGCAGATGGAACATCGAACACGAGCGAACATGTAGGTTGCGCATGCCTTTGCGATGGCTGTTGATGTCAGGATATCCGCCCCCAGAACAGTCACGTCTTCGAACTATACAGCAATATTGTCAATGATGATGAAAAACAGACAGCGTGGTACGCCACTGGTGTGGGAACGTATGTCAGGCCCGAAGGTTTCGCGTATGTGAAGGAGGTTTCGAAGATATTGGACCTGGTAATTGCTCAGTGAGTGCCGTATACTTGACCCTTCACGGCTCGCGGTAACGGTATTGAAGTAGTATCAGGACAAACATATTGAATGCCTATGAATGGCTCTCAGACAAGTACCATGACGGTGATAAGATCTTCCTGTTTGGTATGTCTCTCAGATGTTGCATTAGTCGACTATATTAAAAGGCGAGGTCAGGATTTTCAAGGGGTGCATATCAGGTCCGTGCTTTGGCTGGAATGATCCACGAAGTATATATCAATTTTAAACAATTATCCTTGTTGTTCGTCATTTTTTTGATAGGTGGGGCTTATCACATCCGCAAACAAAGAGCAGATACCACGGTCAGTACATTTGGTGATTGTTCTTGAATAATCTGTTGATTTTCGCAGTGCCTTCCAGTCTTACTGCGCCATTAATAGCGGGAAGTCCACGGATATTGATGTTGCGAAGGAGTTCAAAATGGAATTCTCCAGAAGCGTAGTAATGCATTTCATTGGTGTATGGTGAAAGTTACATCTGACCGCGACCATACCAGCATTCCTGACGAACCTTTTAGGGACACTGTTTCGTCTGTTGGTGTTAACAAGACAATGAATTTCCCGTCAACTGCTACATGCGATCACGTTTGCTACTTCCGCCAGGCACTTGCGCTAGATGAGCGCCGGGTGAAATTTCTACCTGAGTATGCCTACGGGGCAATGAGCAATCGATCGAACTGGTTTAAATACCAAGAGCTGGCGCTGCCTCCCACAGACGAAGGTCGTATCAAGGAGGTTTGGTTTGCTGGCAGTCATTCTGATGTGTATGTGTCCCTTCCACCGGAGTGCACTATTTTGATAACTTGTTTTAGCGGGGGTGCCTGTTGGAAGAAAACGAGCTATCCCCATGACTTCCGAAACATCCCCCTGCTATGGATGCTTAAAGAAGCTCATGAGGCGGGGCTTCTCGTCAATCCCCGCGATGTAGCTTTCAATTATGAATCTGAACCAATTATGGAAGCCAGAGTTACTGATTCTCTATGCTTCTGGTGGTGGGTGTTTGAGACGTTGCCTATTGTACATCTTTCCTTTAACTCCAACACGCTTAAAGCGCTGTAAGTGGCGTTGTCCCTCCATTTGGTTATACATTGAGCACGTGTAGACCGCACCTTGGAAGAGGGCGTATCATCATGCCCGGACAAAAGATCCACGAGTCGGTTCTATTTCGTCCCAACTACCGACCTAAAGCACATTTTTGGATGAATGTCCAGCCATGGCCTGAAGCGGTACAGTGGAATACAGCCTCCGCCGAGGAGCAGTTATCACAGCTTGACTTGGAATCGCTTCCCTTCGAAGGACTGACTGCTGAAATTCTCGTCATTTGTGTCCTTGACAAACAAATGCTTGATAGCTTGGCGTTTATGTGTTCATTTGGTGAGACACCAGAAGACTGTGACGTGGTGACCTGATTTGATGATGGATCCAGAACTCGGAGTTAAAGTAGTCAAGAAAGCGAATGCCCGTGAGACGCTGGAGGCAATAGAGGCCATACTGGGTGTCGACGACAAACGTATCGCAGGCGCTAAACGTTCAAAAGACAATTGGGGGAGATGGCCTCCAGTAGATTCTGAGAGGAACGGAGAAACTAATAAGGCCAGAGAGAAACACGATACCCGTCTCGTGCGCTTCAGTGCATTCATCGCGCTCTGCGAACTCGGTATGTCGAGTCCTTCAATCACTGTCTTCAAATTCTCAGTCGAGAGCAAAGGCATGATCATGATGATGGAGTACATCCTAGACGACCTGTTTCAATTTTGTTTTTCCTGGATTATAACTTATGTCCTACAGAGAGTATTACTATCTATGCAGGACTGGATACGATATAGTCGGTGGAACCCTAGCTGGTGTCCCTAGCGCATTAGCCTTAGGGTAAATAACGTCCCATTCGAATATTTGCGTTAATTAACTTTTGCAGATGTGTGGTCTTATTTCGTTCAAGGGTTGTCCAAATTCATGGTATTCGTGGACGGGTACATGTTGGCTTGTTCACGGCGTTACTCTGTTTCTGATGCCTAGCCACAGAGGCTCTGCTACCTGCACATCTGCTGTAGGGCTATCGTATTATGGGACCAATACGCCTCGGTGTCCCCCTGTCAGCGATCCGGAATGCCCACAAATTGAGTTCACGACTGGACACAATTAATCGTCCTCGAAGATATTGGCCATTGAGTGGTGCATTTTAGAGGCACAGAACGCGTCACATTGGTAATTTTGCGATACCTTTGTCTACAGGTTTATACCAGAAATCAATGTATAACTGTCTGCAAACGTATTTATGCATTGGTTTGTCGAAGTCAGCGGAGAAGTTAGTCACGAGCGTTACACAGGAACATTGCAAGAACGCGTAGACATATCGAAAATGGGAGATACTAACGTCGGCCCGAAGAAAGAAATACAGGAAGAATCATCATCGACTGCGGATCAGCGGCCAAGATTGGTCACGAGCGGTATAATGTCTAGGACGGAAAAGTATCAACGTCTCAGCCCAAAAGAAAGAACGTTATTATCACCGACTACTTGTCCTTCGCAGCAGTCGCCGCTTCAGCATCACGGCGCGCTCGCCTGGTCTGGGCTTCCCCAATCAAGTCGTTCAACAGCTCAATCTCGTCGATGACCTTCTTTGGCCGCTTTTCCTTTATGACCCCGAGCATGGGTTCGTTCGAAACGATGTAAACCCTCTGATCTGGCATATTGGCGTTCTCCAAGTTATCTTTCACGCTCCTGCGAGTCTGCTGGATGAACTGCTGCCGTGCAGTCTGATAGAGCTTCTTCTTCTGATTTTCGTCCTCTTCATCATCATCGCTGTCGTAACCTAAATCCTTCATGATGTTACGGATGTGCTGGTCTGCCTTGGACCGCACGATATACGTGGGGATCTTGAAACGCCTGCAGTTGGTGAGGATGGCGATATCAGTCATGGTGAAGCGGTTGTCGAACAAGACTATGATGCAGTCAAAGACGTAAAGTCCTTGTGCGTTGAAGTACTGCCAGTCTGGGATTTTGAGCGTGCCTGCGCCCGGGACATCGTACCAGACATATGGGTATTCCGCGTTAGGGTTGGCATATCTTGCCATAGCCAGCGTCGTTTCGGTGACACCAGTGGCAGCAGATCCGCTATCCCTGTTATGCAAGCCGCGGAAGGCATTGATGAGGGAAGACTTTCCTCCTCCTGCCACCCCGGCTACTGCGAAGTGGAAGAGGTCCTCGCGATATTGAACTTTCCGCTTGGCGGCACGAACTTCTTCCTCTGTGGGTGTTACCACAGGTTGAATGCCTGTTTTCAACTTGTGTTCAGCCTCCTCCTTGGCAGCGTTAGCCACCTTTACTTCCTCCTCGGCCATTTTCTTCGACGCCTCGGCCGCCTCTTGTGCGGCAGTCGCCTTCTTCTTCTCCTCATTGGCAGCCTCTTGAAGTTTCTCGGCCCGCTCCTGGGCAGCCTGTGCATCTTTTCTGGCCTGTTCTTGGATGGCGGCGGTTCGCTTCCGCTCCTCCTCTGCTTCCGCCGCTCTCTGTTTTGCTTCTTCACTGGCGGCATGAGCAGCAGTTTCTGCCAGAATGCGGGCTTCATTAGCGGCTCGTTCAGCCTGTACCATCGCCATCATTTCCTTGTGTGTCTGCTCCTGCGAGGCTGCCGCGGCTCGCATGGCTTCCTGTTGAGCATCCATAGCCTTTTGCTGCGATTCTTGATTCGACTGGATGAGCTGGGCGATCTGGGCCCTAGCATCCTCGGCATCCTTGCGTGCTTGTGCAGCCGCTGCCTCTGCTTCTTGGCGCTTTTTTATATCGACAAGCGATGGACTCGGCGCTTCTGGTCGACTCCGACTGAACAAACCTCCCATCTCTGAGTGCGCTCAAAAATGGTGATGCGTGGACCTGTTCATGGTCGCGTCGCATGATGCTTCATATCTCGAGTTGATAAAACTTACTGGTATGCGTAGGCTTTGGAAAGAAAATTTTCAATTAATAGCGAAGTTCAGAGCAAGTGTTGGAGGTTTGCAGGATGAGAACGAACGAACTAGTATTAACCGATGGAATAGAACGCCTGGCTTGAGGCTTTTATATTGCGCGCAGATTAACGGAATGACTGAATCCGGGCAGGCGCTGATCATAGGTGACCCAGGGCTATGGGCTATACCGCATCCATGAGATTGCGTGAAATGTGACCTAGAGCCCAGCGAAGCCACACTAGAATTTCATGAATGGCGAACATTCTGTGCGTGTCCTTCCTTTCTTTGTGTCCAAATGGATCGTCGTCGATCGCATGTTTTGTCGTTACAGAATCAGCACTGGAATGTAGTCAGGTTATGGTAAAAGTTGGGAATGGGTTACCAGATCAAGTTCAATTACGATCGTGCAGATCAGTGCACTCAATTGAATTCATCGATAAGAGGGCGCTTTAAAGTCACATTGGGCGAGAAGATTTCACTGCTCTCATCGCCGCCGCTTCCTCGAGGCCGTGCAATGATGCGGAAAACATACTGCATCCAAAAGCTGCGCGTGCACCGATATGAAATCTATGGAAGACACTGGTCAAGGAGCTCTAAGTCACAGGATGCATGCAGTCCAAGTCTAACCTGTTTAACAGGACTGATCAGAGATGATCATGATATCATTGTGGTTCAAGAAATACAATTGCGCCGTTTTACATAAACTAGGTACTATTAGTACGTAACAATATTATAACGCGCTTCAGTCCTGCAGCCAAAACTAATCAAACAACACAAAGCCCGCACCTTGACGAGCTTGTCCCTCTCCCGACCAGATACTTCAAACAATCATTCCTCCACCCCGCCAATATACATAAACTCCTTGAACCTTAATCGAAGCCCCTCGTCCTTCGTAAGCCTCGTGGCAAAATCCAACCAAGATGGGATGGTCAAGTCATCCAATTCGTAAGGCGTGTACTCCGACTCCACAACACCAGGTTGGCGAAGTTCTTCTGGCAAAAGCCGCAGAGGAATAACATATTGGTGATCCGTGACATCTTGTGCTTCCTCATCGGGATGTAAGCGTGAAAGAGGAAAGGTCATGTACTCGAGTTCGAACTCTGGATCATGGGTCTGATCGAACTCTGCCAGTCTTGGCATGTAGTACTGTGATTAATATGTGTTATTGGTGGGAGGTGCTCATGGGGTACGAACGCACCTGTGCGAATCCTAGGGGCGACCATAACGAGTTGCGTCTTGATGGTGACTGGCTATCTGAGTGCCGGGGTTTATCAAATTGGCACCGCCACGTGCTACGGCACTCCTTGCGTTCACACTTCGGCTTCTTGAATGTGCGAACTTGCTCGTGGTTCAAGGTGCGTTGCCGCTGAGTCGCTTTTATCGTTTGAAGATATGGATCAGAACCGACATCGCTGGTGAAACTTGACAGTCCCGTGGTGTTATACGTAAAAATTCGGAAGGATGGAATGTAAGGATTTGGTACAATGGCGCCATTAACGTTCACCACTGCATAGTTGTCGTAGTGAGTATCCACGAGAGGTTCCGGTATCTCCGAAAAACCAGCGATGAGCGTCTCGAAGAGTGTGCTGCTTGACGAGGTCTCTGTAGACATGTCGATATCATCAGCGCCCAAGAAAGAGAACTGCACTAAGTTGGTAAACTGAAGATGGCTTTAAAGCAACAGCACATACGTGGTCAACGTTTAGGTGCTGATAAACGGGAGTCAACTTCGACTACTTGCAATGAACATCGGATCTCACCCCATACAAATTGCCTAGAATCGTATCTTGGAATCGCAGATTCAACTCTACCAAACGGTAATACTGACAAAGTTGAGACGATGATCAATTCCAAATCTACGTAGAGTACTCACGCATTCGGGGAAGTACTTCGTTTCGGATGGAGGCACATGTCCTGCGTTGACGAAGATATGAAAACTTGTTTGGGTTCAACGAAGTAACCACGGCATACCTGTAATCCACACCTACCCGACGACATCAAGAAATGATTTTGACATATTTGAGAACTCTTACCTGCATCTGTCGAGATCGGAATATTTCCAATTGTTCTTCAAGCCAATCGAGTTGGATATTTCCAGGGTCCTTTGGTTCGGCATAATCACATCCTCCTACAGCTAATGGCATACATCAACGAATAGTCCGACTATAAAATTATGCGTCACTTACCATGATTCTTCTTATAAAAGTACAAGGTATTAAGACTGAAAGCAGCCACTGCGTCAGGTATGACCTCCGTTGAAAAGTATGCTCCTTGGTGAAATGATGCTGATGATGTCGGGGGTATAAATGCGCTCCATATCCTGGGGTTTTGATAAGGATAAGATCTCGGAAGTGACAAAAATCTATGGTAGACATACGAAGAGAACTCCTCAAAAATATTATTAGGTCCTGTTTGTTACAGATTAACGCTGGACAGAAGGAAAGCAACAATCATACCAGCAGATAATTTATTCTAGCAGAAAGGTAAATGAGATCAGTACAAAGAGCCCACGCAATCCGGTGTTCTTACATGGGCTATATAAGGAGTCAACATTGTCGCGTGCTCAAGAATGTCAGAGACACTTACGCCATATGTCATTGTTTCCTGATAGAAGATTCTCTGTTCAGGAATGTCTCCACGGAGAGGCACAGAAAACATACCCAAACTTGGCACGACTGGGATGCCTTTGCTCACAAATACATGCTCCATCTTCCTAGCCACGGCGCGATTTAAGTCATAAATTTCGTCAAGTGGTCGTGGTATTTCGTCATCGTTGTCGTGTCTAGATGCTCTTGATGAAATTGCATCTCGAGTTGTCTGACCAATCATACCTTGCGTTGTCACCTGTCCCTATACTCGGCGAATTAGTGATCATATCACAAGGGTGGACTAAGTTAGAAGTTCACAAATTACAAAATCAATTTCAGAGGTCCAATGTTCGTCCAAAAAGTCAAGTGTGGCATTCGTAAGGCTGAATGGGGAGTCACATGAGCTGGACGGAAATGAACGTTAGCTTACGGATCAAAAACAAGGATATCAACGCACCTGTATGGTGTTCCATAGTAGCCTGCCGGACGATTGCCCTTGAGGTTGGCTCGATGGCATGCAGAGGATTGGGATGCGCCAGGTTCATAGAACGGATCGGGGTGAATATCTGTGATGTGCAGAAAACGACCGTGAAGCTTCCTGGGAGAAGGTTCTTTCAATCGTTTGAGTACCAAAGGTGTCATTGAAATGATCACAAAACACATACGAAGTCCATCGAGTGATGTATCCAGATCCAGTACAATCTGAGTAGGCGCAGTGCTCGCTATGCAGCATAGTCCTAAGGTAAAAAGCAGACTTTGCGTCCTCATGGGTTCTCGGGGAAGTGGTTAGATGCTGGTCCATCGGGCTGTAGTACCAATTATTAATAGGGAGCAGTGTGTACAGCTACAGTCGACTTGGTGGCAACTGCCAAACCCCAGAATGGATTCAATGGGAAGAACGTTCGTCACTCTGGCCTATCATATCGTATGCCATAAAGCTGTTTGGAGCGTCCTTCGCGGGCGGAGCTGCACATCTTTGGGTGTGCTCCATAGACTACGGCATACAAAAACGTCGATTCTGCGTTGATTCTGCGAGCCGCATCGGATTCCGTGTGTGTACCAGTAGCGGTGAGAAATGAAACCGTTGATGCGGCCAAATTGGTGCCTATTGGCAAAAGATATTTGTTGATGTTGACATCGTCTGACTTGGATTTATGAGCTCACCCGTCATGATCCGCAACTACGTAGTTCTCCACTGGCAGTAGAGTATGTAGTTATGTAAATTCATGCACTCGTCGTCGCCGTCCGACATGTCGACCACTACAAGATAACGGTAAGTTCTATCTCACTTTGGAATCTCCAAGCCGCAAATATCCAATCGGAGAAATTTGATCGTGTCTCCAATTGAAGGACTGCGCAACGTGCGTTCACCCATGCAGGCTTGTCACAGCCACACTTCGTACTCCTCAAATATCTTCCGGCGTTTCTGGATCATGATTCATGATACAACCGGAACCGCTTTACTATTTCATTTTCTCGTCCGTCTTCAATGGCCCTCAAGAATCTGCGCTCGTTTGACATTTCCAAAAGTCGCGAAGATGGAACGCCCGTGCTATGTCCTACCGGAGTCACCGATGCGCATCTATTAATGTCGTGAAACCAACTGAATTCTGCTATCATCAGCAAACGTTCGTCCATGCAAAGTTAGCAGCCATCGTCGCATATAGGAACAGTCCTAGTTCCGGTGAGCTCCAATTCCATGGAGGTTCTAATCGTAAAACCGTCCTCACCGTGAGCCACCCTAATAATTTCCCCCCGGGAGCCGGCTATCTAGCCCCTATCGGCTGGCCAGAACAGTGTCAAACTGAGCGCATTACGAGCTCGTGCTGTTTGGATCAGTGCATGGTCTGAGTTGCCCCACAAGCACACACCTCTAGGACCTGTTGATGTTAATTCGTTAGGAGATTTCCGCTTGTCCTTCGTGACTTACCGAACAACTATAGCGAATTTTGTACATTGGATGAAATCTGGGCGACTTGTACATGGTGAGTTAGACAAAACAAACCCAAGAGTAATTGATATTGGCTGACTGAGGTAATAGACTTGTTCAGACGTGATTTAGACATGCAACGTTTGTAAGACCTATATGTGCAGCACGGCTGCTAAATGCGTTTATAGTAACGGAGTGTACGTATAGAAGTCGCAAGGGCATCGAGGCCATGCAATATTCGCCATTGAGAAAGAAAAGGATCATGGAGGAGGTTGTGGATCTCGTGGATGGTCATAGCCGTTTGTATTATGTTGTCGTCCAGATCGTCCGTATCGTTGATCGTCTGTTTTCTCTGAGCAGTTTCGCAGTACCTGCACTTCACCTTACGCAGACACAGCCACTCAGTATGCTTATAGGGGCTACTTTTACAGTCGGTACCCCCGATCACGGATTTGCATGAAGATTTGATTCTAGTACGCGATCTGCAGCTGGGACCGTAGATCATAGTTGTTATTACTAGTATTATTGCGGTTGTTCATTAATGAGAGAAAGCTTAATTCAAATTAGACTGTAGTAGTACAGCTTTGCAAGTGTATTTCCGATTCCGCATGCGTACCTTGCAAGAAGTGCTTCCAGCCAGACACTATACAGAAGCCTGCCGTTCTCCGACGCCGTCATCCCGTTATCCCGTATCATAGTCGCATAGATCCAGATGCAACACCAGGATGAAGTGGCGGCGATTCTCGGAAGAAAACCTGGGGAGAGATTTAGCGCTAGCTATACTGTGATCACATGCGAACACATTGATTCTTGGTGGTATGAATTGCATTGGAATTCCTCATGCTCAGACAGTTTTGTTACAAGGTCAAAGAAAGTTATAGCATTGATGCGATCATGCATAAGTATGGTGTGAGATGTAATGAGTGAGATGATGCTGCAGATACGACAGAGCAATATCATGAGTGGAGGGTGCTGCAGATACGACCGCGCAATATAATGAGATATAAAGTAATGCAATGAAATGTAATGAATGAAAGATGCCCGCAGGCGGATACGGCAGAGAACTATAAATGACAGGTAAAGTAATGTGTAATCCATGAACGATGAATTATGCATCCAAATGATATAATGCACGCTTGCCCGATGATCTTGTCCGAGGGAGATATCTGGAACCTTGTTCCAATCGAAACCATATGATCAATCAATCTTCCGACTCTTCCGACGAGTCGTCATCACCAGGTCCTTTGGAACAAGACCTGATATGACGCTTCAAAGAGTCCGAGCGACTTAACCTAGTGAGAATCAACGTATCAGCTTCATAGTCGCACTTGAGAGACTTGTATCACTTACTCCTTGTCACAGTATGTGCATACATGCTTACCGGTACGCCCACTGTGCGTCTGCGAACCGATATGCTTCAGCAAGCTGCCTTTTTGCATCGGATCTGTAAATTTGCACTGCGGAAGAAGGCATTTGTACTCGACCTTTCCGCGCTTTACGGCCCGTTTCTGATGAAAAAGTCATCAGTGAGATAGCTCCGGCTGACTAAATAAATTTCACTCACGAAATTGGGAGGTGCAGCATAGTTAAGACGTGGGCGTTGAGTCTTGCGCCCCGCGCCAACAATATCTACCGCCTTGCGTTTCGTACGAGTCTTGCGCCCCGCGCTAACACTGTTTACCGCCTTGCGTTTCGTACAAGTCTTGCGTCCCGCGCCATCATAATTTACCGCCTTGCGCTTCCGTAGTACTCGTCCTTCCTGTACAGGTTCAGGCTCGAGGAGTAGGTCGTTAAGGGATTGTATCGTGGAGGGTGGGGAGGGGTGGTCGTATGATGTCCATGAAGGCTGGGGTAAATAGACCCCACAGGGAAGAGGGGAGGAGGGGCGGTCCGATGGCTCAGGCATCATCTGAGGCTGGGAAAAATAGGCTTCAAATGAGAGAGGGATGGAGGGGTCGTACAATGGCCCTTGGGCCATCTGAGGCTGGGGGAAATAGGGTTCGAATGGAGGAAGGATGGAGGGGTCGTACGATGCCCCCGGGGCCATCTGAGGCTGGAGGAAATAGGGTTCGAATGGAGGAAGGATGGAGGGATCGTACAATGGCTCTGGGACCATCTGAGACTGGGGGAAATGCGTCGCAAATGAAGGAACGTCTGCAGGCCCCATCATATCCGGCATGAGGGGGGGCAGTCCATATGGTGCCATATCAGCATCGAACACTGCGGTCTCCATTCCGTAGGCTGTGGGAGCCGGCCCAAGTTGAGCGTACTGAGATGGATAGGCATACATATCGAAAGGAACAAGTTCGGCACGTTGGGGTTGCGGTTGAGGCTCGTCTTGGGACAGGCCTGGGATGGAACTTTGGCTCATTTGAGTCGCGTAGTGGTCCATAGTTAATGATAGAATGTTTGAGATGTATTGTTTATGGCGCCAGGCCTTAAACTGTGGTAGGACAAGATGAGCGACAGAAGGTGGAGGAAGTGAACAAGAGTAACTCACAATGCACAAGTTATATGGCAGATGTTTGGAAGGAAAGTGCGATGGATGTTGAAGAGGAGTAGAGGGACACAGGGGGCAGTATTTATGCCTTCTAGATGTAGGTCACGCTTTAGTGTTTAGTGGACGTTCCAAAGCGTCTCCGACACATCACTTCCTTTTTCGTGTGATTGTCCACACCTTTTGCCCATACTAAGCGGCATAGTAAGCACAGCTTGGTGTTATACAAAGGAATGCTTCCACCGACCAGATTTGACAATGGAAAAACACGCAGGCGACCCGGATAATCCCCCATACGGCTGTGGGGATGATTGATTAGGGTGATTGTCGTGAAGAGTAGAATAAGTGATTGATGAACAAACATTGAACGCGACGCGCTGGATCTCGATTTTTAGAGTCCTGTGCCCTTTGGCTGACCATGTTCTTCGTGTATACAGGCATGTTATTTTTTCTATATGCTGCTGGGTATTGATTGCTTCCAAAAATTGTATACACGAAATCTAATTGACAGGATTTATCAATGAACAAGAGATTGCGTGCTTATTGACACCACCGAATGATATGCACGTCCAGCCACCAGTAGAAGGGCGCGTCTCTCCAACGCGTCCAACTTGCATCGCGTCTCCGGATGGCCAAGAGCAGGTCCACGCATAGTAGAATGCGATCTCCACACCTCTATTCTCTATCACATGACACCTGCTCATCGTGCTGTTAAATGAGCACCCTGCGTAATAGTCTGGCGCATGATCTCCGTCTGCGTGAAGTGGAACATGTCAGATCACGACAAGGGACCATGCAAACGAAGGTCAAGGTAAGAGCCGTACCATTAAGCCAAGCGCGACGGGTAACTTTGCCTCATGAATCGCCTCGCAGAGGTGGTGTCGTGTGAGGTCACCGCGAACCTGCGGCATGTTGGTCCTTGACTTGACATTTGAGTTGAATTGAAATAAATTTGTGTAGGTGGCTGCCCGTGGTATGCTTGGGCGTTCCTACAATGGATCAAATGTTAAATTATGGGTGAAACCAGGACAAGCGCAGTATAAAGGGCCTGCACAAGCCGACATGTTTCCTTCCCGCGTGTGGCACATTTGTAAGCTCCCTAAGGTCAAGATGCGTAGAGAATGATGCATATTTAATTCAAAATACATCCCCATTAAAAGGATTTTTCGGCGCGCACCAGCACAGACCAGACAACCGACCCCATCCCACTCAAGTACGGCACCGACTGGGGAAATGCTAATAAATTAAAATACTCACCAATGTCCCCATGCTAGGAGCAACGCTCAGATCGAGCACATCGGCATCAAAATTCAGGTCAATAGGCGGGTCTTGTTGTGGGTTAACATAATCGCCTTTCAACCACCTTGCCAATGCGTCAACATCTGCGTCCTCCCCTCCCCAAGAGAAGCCAAATCACCGATCAAATTCATGGATATTACAGACGTCGCTTCGATATGGCCTTGATCAACCCGATGAAGACGAGACCGGGGCTGAGCCTTAGGAGAAATGGGTGGGATTCCATTGTCGGTAGACTAGTATATCAATATCAACGTGGTCGCCTATCTAGATGACGCATGCTTGGCCGTATTCTCTGTGGTCGAACGTCAGCTCCATGAGAGGAATCTAAACGAAGACACTCACATCACAGCGGTTGATCATGGCATTCGAAAGTCTTGCTTCATACTAAGTTCATTTCAGTTGTTTCGCTAAACTAATTTATTTAAAAACAATTACGTAAATAAATCTAAAATAAACTGTTGAGACGTGACCAAGTGGGAACTCTACCGTACACTCGTGTTCATTAAAGCTTTACGGTTTATAACGTCTCGCACAAATGTCGATACCTATTGGACCTCCACCTGGTTCCGCCAAGTAACAAGTTCTGCCCCATAGATTCTGCCAACTGCCGTGTTTTTCCACAGCGAGTAGACCTCTGGAACTGCCCACAACACTATCAGTAGTGACAGGCGCACATAGGCGCACATTTGAATTTAAACTCAATCTGCTTGCTGTATATGATCGGCAACGTTTCCATTTCACAGCCTTGTGGGCAAACAGTTGAACATGCTTCTCGGATCTTAGGGAGTTACCCTAGATAGATACTGCGTCTCAATGGCGCCCTACAACCTCTACCTGTGGCTGCTGGGCATATATGGTCATCCCTGACGTTGATATCACAAACCAAATCTTTCGAAGTACTCGGCGTACCCAATAGGCGCACAGCTAGATCGTTACAGCATATTTAATTTGGATTCAAAGCGCCCGTCGCTCACAAGGTTGTTCCAAACCATCGACGTGTGTCCAGTGCGTGTTCTTATAGCTGCTCGATTGCGACAGCTGAGCGGATCAGAATCACCTCGTACTGACATGTACATTTCCAGAAGTCTCATCCAGCCAACAATGCGTAGTATACCTCTTTCAGGTTCCGAGTTCACTCTCGATGCCTCTGGAGTAGCTGGTTTTTTTGGCGGTGATGAAGCAGTTTCCGCGATGGCTACCGTACACGTGTACGGAGGAAGAAAATTGCTGGGATGGTACAACTCACCAGGATCATACCTTATCGCCAAGAGGTACGACCAACTCGCCAAATCGCGTTTTTGGGATGGTTCATTCCCAGGCGTCAACACCGACCCTGCCACGCTGTTGGAGCTGGGTAGTCAGAAGGGCCCAAAGTTCGAGGGTGTGGAGTCTGGGTCGGTTATCCCAGAAACTGGTCACCTCGCTGCCCTGATGATAAAAGAATGCCAGACAGAGCGGGGCATTGATGTACCAGGAAGAAAATCCAAACCAGTTGGGGTCACAATCGTCGACCTCCACCACGTCCCTGATGCAACCATGACACCAAAACAGCTCAAGAAATACACCAGCGCTTTCGCATTCATCCCGATGTCAGTATCTATTGGCACCTGCATCGCGTGCGCTCTCTTCAAAGACTGGTACTCTTTCAGTATGATCCTGCTCGGAATGTTCGCAAGCGGAATATCATGTTTTGTCATCGGATCCGGAAAGTTCACCTTCAATCATCCCATCCCATCGCCGGGAGCGCCACGAGGTGATGGATTACTCCTCACGGAAAATAATGTCATCGTCCTACTCGGCGAAGAAGGCGCTGTCAATTCCATTACCCGTGGGAGATTCTCTCTAAACTTCAGCAGCGAATCAGATTACAGAAACATCGGCCTATGCTCGTTGATCCTCACGACGCAATTCATCGCACAGCTGCTGCTCATTCCGCAGAGCGCGCTCTTCGGACAAATCATGTTCTTAGCATCGCTTGCAGTCTCCTGGGCATACAACTCTTGGTTGTCATCGCTGGACAAGGATGAGATCCAGAGGAGACTGCTACTGGATGTGGTCCTCAAGCGGCCATCGTTGACAAAATATATGTTGGGCACACGCACTGCCATGGCAGTCTTCGTTCTGCTGGCGCTGAATCCGTCAGAGCCAGCAAAGGTACTGGACGATATTCTCCCGAACGATACCAAAGTGTGGAGGAAGTGGAAATCGATCATTCTGTCAAGGCTACAGGACGGCGAAAAGATGCATTTTCAGTCAACCGATTGGGACGATGGAAGTTTCAACGGGAGAGAGATCACCCTTCTGAAGACCCTCTTGGGTGATGCCCACGCTGCCTATGATGGGTATTCCGACCACCTGAGGTCGCAGTAGTTGTGTGATGAATTAGCGCCACCTGCTTATGAGTATATCTGACTGCTTTGTTCATGATACTGATAGTGACTCATTATTATGTTCTAGTTCTGTGTACCGATATCTTGTATCCTCGCTTCTGTTCTGGGTCTCTTGCCTCTGCCTCGAATCCTCCGTTCTCGGTTTTTGTGTTCGACCATGTATACGGTATACCGCGATACCCATAATTTGAATATCCTTGCGAAAATGGTTTCGTTACTCGGTACTCAACACAAGTAAGCTACTCCCCCTGACTATGATATCGGAAATTGTCGTGTAAACAAGTTGACGTGAGTCGGGCAGGACTCAAAAGCCAAAGTTTGATGGTATCGTCCAGTGACGCGCTGGCAAGGAGAGCACCGTCAAAAGACAGGGCTAGACCGCGAACAACCTCGATATGCTCTTCGAAGGGAGCTCCGACACTCTTTAGTGTCCATGCATCAAACTCGTAGATCATCGTAGCGCCATCAGACTTTGTGAAGCTGAATGCAGCCAAGATGGTTGTATTTTTGTTTGTCCAGTACGCTGGCGCGTATGTCAAGGATGCGCCATGTAAAATGTCCCCTGTGTGATTGAACATTCTATACCTCAAGGTAATTACCCACATCTAACATGACTGCGAGCTTCTTCGAGAATCAAACTGCAGTCACCGCATCGGAACTTCTGAATGGACCAACCACGAACTTCCCGTGTCCAAGCACCATATTCGCGCTGTGCAATTCAATGACCCGCGCGCCAGCATATTGTCTGCGGAGATATCGACGTAGGTGATTTTGCTCGAAAACGTTTTCACGAGGCCGGTTTCAACCTCACAGACTTCGAGCTCCCTGCGGTTGGTAGAGAAATCTCCACCGGCGGTGATAATCCATCGACCATCCCTTGATACCTGCTTCGTCGCAAGCGAACCTAGCAAGAAGTTTATAAGTCATGCTCGAAGTGGGCAGTGAGGTCAAGGTCTGACGCCGATAGTGGTTTGTGTTCGAGTACTTTGCCTGATGAAGCTAATCGTTAGTTCGTCCACGCTGGTAAGTTAGACGAGATTTTGATATTGCCTATGGAAATCTTGGGCTCGTAGGGAAGAGAACTTACCTGTTTGAATCTGGCGTGTCTTTTCATATTTCTCAACACACCCCGTATGGCAGTGGCAGCTGTGCATTAAGCAACCTTGCTTCTCTTTATTCATGAAACTTACTTCAAGTACTACCTGCTACTTGGACAACAGCCAGCCGTGACCAACGTTCTTGTATTAGAGCGTCAATCCTGTTTTAAACTTTTATAGCCCGAGTGTGGGATGAAGTGGACAAGGACAAGTGCGGAGCAGGTCGGCCCGAACTATAATATTACTTGTTGCTGGGCCGCATATTAATGACGACCTTCTTCACTGCCTCGCTGTTCGTTGCAGTTTTGCTTTCAACGCTCGCAGATTCATGCAGATCATTGCACAGTACTGACGAATAACCTTTGAACAGGACCTTGAAAAGCGACTACCTAGATGACCTGATGCCATCGTCGGAACCATCCACTGATGACAGTGATGTCGTTGTTGAGCACACACTCATCCAATCTTCTGCCGCTGCTTTCTCGGCCAACCCACGCACACTTGCAGATGTGCGTGAGGAGGTTGCCCAGAGTCTCGCACTCCGTATGATTACCAAAGCCCGCACCGTCGACGGTGTCCGCATCGGTGTTCACTTCACGTTCTCGAAAAAAGACGATGGTCGTTTTCTTCGACTTGTCACTTCCCATATCCGTGCACGACTACCTTCGTCTCGATATCTCTTCGCCTATAGCCACCACTGGTGCTTCTCCAACCAGTCGCGGGGCACGCAGTAGCACCCGGACTTCAAACGCACTCGTCATCTGTGGGTCAGATGAAGATGATGTGCAGCGTGCTGTACTCCTCGCATCCTCTAAATTTTTGGGACGTGTTGATGCAGTTCAAAACACGGGCACTCTCCTCGCTGCCTCTGTACGGCACATTGGCTCGTCTTATGATGATGCTGCCTTGTGGGACTTACTGTCCAAGTCTGTCCGCACTCCCATCGATCCTCTCCTTCCTCCGCCCGGATCTCGCAGCATTGATCAACTTCTATCTGACTGCCCGATCAAAGCTCGAGCAAATGACTCCACGACAAGCCTATGGTGCCCTTCACGACCCCACATACCCAATGCCAGTCTTCCTTGTGGATATTGGTCCAGCTTCCCCGTGTGCTCGTGAAGGCGGGATCCACGGATCTCTCATCATCGAGCGAAGCGTTCTGGAAAGGCGTTTTGACCCGCGTTGTGAAGCACGACTCGCAATCGCAGATCGCTATGATTTAAAGAAAATCATATAATGTCAGGAGGGGTACACCAGCTCTTGGGCTGCAGCATCCCTGTACGAGCTTGGGTTGCTCAATGCGACTGATATAGTGGGTGGTTTTGCTGCATGAGCGGGGGCTGACCTTCCAGGTCAGATAAGGCCCTCCGTCTACCATCAGTGATGAAGAAAGCTATCAACTCAGTCAACCATCGTTTGATTCTGATGATGTGATTGACGGTGTATGACTAGGTCCGACATTTCAGTATGTATTATTAACGCACTTTACGCACAGTGATACGGAGGTCAATCACGACTGGTTGCTACAAATAAAATATAATTGATGTGTAAACGTTCGTTGGCGTGATGAAGAGAGGTTGTCATATTTGTCGAGTTGGCCTGTGATTTACATAGACTGACATTAGAACAACCTTGGATTACATACCTCTTGCTTTTGTCCAACGGAACTTCAATCTACCAAGTGTTTCATCGCATACCATGAGCAACGTACTATTAGCTTTCACATTATAGTCCATCTTACGATCTCCCCAATATCCTAATAATCTTCTACCCACAACGTTGACCCCAACAACGAACTCGAACCACCTGCAACGCCGACGCCGACATCGCGAACGCGATGAATTACATTCGTGGCGCTGTGAGCGCAATCAGTGCCCCATACCAGTACTACAAAGATATCAATCCATCAACCCTAACTGGGGCCATCGATGTCATCGTTATTCGGCGCCCACCATCACCCACTTTATCCGCTAGCTCCGGTTCTCCAGACGGCGACATTTATGCTTGCTCTCCATTCCATGTTCGGTTTGGTAAGCTCCAAGTACTCAGACCTGCTGAAAAGAAGGTGTGCCCTGTCTGCTCTTGTCGTTAAGGTGTTCAATAAGTCATCAGATGGCTGGGGTAGGTCAACGTATCAGTGAATGGCTCGCTCATCCCATTCAACATGAAAATCGGAGACGCAGGAGAAGCATTCTTCGTGTTCGAGACAGACGAAGATATCCCAGAAGATCTCGTTACAAGCCCTCTACTCTCCCCAACCCCAGGAAGTCGAACTCCAGGGTGACATTTGAGCTTGGGAGGTCTGGAGCTAAGCCGGATGGCGAAGGGAAACAGACGGATTTGAGTTTACAGATGCAGGAGCCTGAGTTTCTCGACTTGAATGCTTCGTCTGGGTTGAAACATCCAATCCCGATGCATGCAGGCGCAAAACCGAAACTTGGCTCCAGGAGCGCTCCTCATACCCCTCCACCAGAGGAGCCTGTAGCACAACCAACCGACGTGACTGGTCCAGAAGTACAATACAAGGCTGGTGCGTGTGTTCTGTGTAATCTATTATTTGATTCTCAAGGCGTTGCAGATGTCGCACTTGATATGGCTGGATATCATTCTGCCCAAGCACGCGACGCGACTTCCTCACGTGTATCTCGTGAGTGTTGTACAACTTGTTGCATATGTCGAGCTAATGGGTTGTAGATTCACAATCTCCAGCTCCGGCTGCCATACCCTTCCCATCCACCCCTCCTCTAGTCGCGTCCCCTTCGAGCAAACACTCCCCATCACTTTCCACAACCACTTTTCCTACCCGCCGCGCTGTTTCAGAATCACTAGAAGATGTCCCGCTTCCTCAGTACTCATGGGAATGGGGCGCGTTCCCCCAACCCTCACCTATGACGACACATTTCCCATCTCCCCACCTATTGCGCATGGGCAAAGTACCCGTTGTGGATGAACACGGACCATCCGAGTTTGATTCTGATGAATTTCTGGCGCGCAGTAGGAGCGTCCCGCTTGAGCTCGAAGGCAGCCCACATACTATTCGCTCGTCTCTACCATCTCAGGACGAAGCATACGAGCCTGACGATGAGCACGAACACGAACTTGAACGTGATCATCTTCCACTCCCGATCCCTGAGTATGGATTCGGTTCGGGCGGTGTTCTCACCACGCTCCCATCCGACTCACGCATGTTCCTTGTGCACATCGAGGGCCAGACACTATCATTTTCTCTCTCGCTTGTGCCTACGTCAAAACGCGGAATTTTCCATGGGAGCGATGAAGTAGAAGTCGTGCGTCTATTTGAGGCGGGGAGAATCGACTATGCGCAGCTTGTCTCTGATGAGGTGGTCATCGGGGAGGTGAGGACGCGTAGAGTGGTAGAGGATGAGGGGTTAGTGATTAAGTGGGTGGGCGGGCAGTATATCACGAGGGAAGATGGGAGCCCGTTGATGGATGCTTTGAGGTTGTGGGTCGAGAATGCGCCGAGGGAACCATCGAGGGCGATGTCGGAGCCTCCGTTGTCCATTGCAGAAGAACGAGAGCCGCATATAGACCATAGGGAGGACGATCGGGTAAGCAGTGTCGATGAACGAGAGCCGGTGTCAAGTGGAGAGATGAGGCGTGCGGATTCTGAGCCGCCAGAGTCATACCGGAAACCGACGTCAAGCAGTTGGGTTAGGTGGTGGAGCAGGAGCCGGGATATAACCGAGGCTGATCGACCTCCTTTGAGAGTATCGAATACTTCTCCAATGGAATCCGTGAGTTTTATTATGGCCAGAAGTACAGCAGTTCCTCATGTTTTTCCAGTCACTTCCGAAACATGTTCCCCTTGCGGCCCATCGTATGGAGTTCCCTCAATCTGCGTCAGCCCCTCCTGCAACACCGGAGGGTGGCAAAGCTCAAGACATCACCAAGCCCTTGAGCAAGGCGTTGGAGGCAAAGATTGCGAGGACGCAGAAGAGGTATGCCAAGACGTTGCGATTGTCCTCTGACCAACTGGTGAGTCTTCACCATTCCGTGCAGCTCCAATTTTTTGATCTTTCTCCAGAAATCCCTCGACCTTAAACCTGGTGCTAATACCATCACGTTTTCCCTGTCTAATTCTACTGTGCCCGCGTGTACGGCGCGAATATTTGTATGGGACTCGACTGATCTTGTCGTCGTGTCCGACATAGATGGCACAATCACCAAGTATGTTTCTCCCATTGTCCATCCATGTATCTGACCTGACGTTTCTATAGGTCTGACGGGCTTGGCCATGTCTTTGCTATGATCGGTCGCGACTGGACGCATTCCGGTGTTGCCAAACTTTACACCGATATCAGACGCAACGGGTACAAGATCATGTACCTCACCTCACGAGCTATCGGGCAGGCAGATTCTACGCGCGACTACCTTAAGGGTATCAAGCAGGATGACTATCAGCTTCCCGAGGGCCCTGTCATCATGAGTCCCGACCGACTAATGGCCTCGTTGCATCGGTAAGATGCTTTAATCATCTAGGAGGGAAGATATTTATACGTGTACCAGCGAGGTGATCATGCGGAAGCCCGAAGTATTCAAGATGGCATGCTTGAGGGATATCCAGCGTCTTTTCGGTGAGAGCTCGCGCACGCCGTTCTATGCCGGGTTTGGGAACCGGATAACGGATGCGCTGTCGTATCGCACTGTGAATGTCCCGAGTGCGAGGATATTTACTATAGATTCCTCCGGTGAGGTCAAGATGGAGCTCCTCGAGCTCGCAGGGTACAAATCATCGTGCGCAATTTGCAGTTTTCGTGTGTCCGGAACACTCATCTATTGTCAGGTACATACATATGACTGACATCGTGGACCAGATGTTTCCTCCGATACATCGGAAATGGACAGCAGAGTTCACAGATTTTAATTATTGGAAGATGCCAGTCCAGGAATTCGCCCTTCCTGACCTTACACCTCCCTCCCCAGCCCTAAGCGCACGATCGGATACGTCTAATCAGAGTACACTTGCACGGTTACGCAATTTCAGCCTCGTAGGGCGGAGACAATCGCGGGAGATGAGCCAGTTTTCACTTCCACCGCCCGTGATGGCGCGCGACGGCACGCCGAGTCGAACGATGGGCCTGCGCAATACACATTTGCGGCAGATGTCCTCTCTCGAACGTCTCAGCGGCAGACTGGCAGCGCTCACGCAGTCGTCTTCATCTAGTGGCGTCGACTCACGCTCGTCGTCGTCTACGTTCCTGGATTCTGACGAAGAGGATGCAGAGATTGAGGAGGGGAGTGTGCGGAAAGGGCGTCCGAGGAGCACGAGCATGACGAGTATGCCCGGGTCGTTGGATGATGGGCAGTTTGGAGTACATGGTGAGGATGAGGATGAGGAAGGGTATGAGGATGATGAAGAGGAGGAGGGTGGAGAGAATGAGGAGGAGGCTGCTGAGGAGGCGTTTGATGAGGATTTTCTTGCTACGGGTGAGATGAAGAATGTGCCATTTTTGTAATGCGGGCGATGGGACCTTGGTAGTGTAATTTGGCAAGGGCGGAGGTGCACTGGTTAGTTGATTTGGATAGAATCAATGATGACAGATCAAACGCGCAACTCTAGGAGCAGTGGTTTAGTCTGTTCGATAATTGATTTCTGCCAGTCGCACCCTGTGACGCGCTCACCGTGAATATTCTTACCCCATCGGACTTCGACTGTACACACTTGGTTTTGTCGCTTATCTCATAACACTTCATGAAGATGCGAGCACTACGTGTGATATTCCAGCGTTACGGAACGTTAGTCTATCAGTGCTGCAGGGTTGTGCGAGACCACATGAATAATATTCCATACATACGACCGTCTCGCACTCTATACCATTCTCTTGGAGTCTTCCGAGTCGCTACTCGAGCTCTTGCTCTCGAAAGCCTCCTTGATATCCTTTTGAGCCACATCAGCAACACTCTGCGCCTCCTTCTTCACTTCCTGTGCCCATCCCATAGCTTTCAGCTTGAGACCCGTCCCTTGTTCAATGCTCTCCACAACACTCTTCACACCATTGTTAACCGACTCTCGCCCAGTAGCAGCACCCTCTTTCGCGCGCTCCCAGGCTATGCTGCTGTGCGCAACAGAGGTTCTTCTAATTTCTCCAAAGCGAGGAACATAACGATCTTCGAGCTCCTCGGCATACGCGCCGACCCGAGAGGCAGTACCCGGAAGGAAATACACGAATGCGCTAGCTAGGGCTGCGGACGGCAAAAGAATGCGTGTAGGGAGCCCGCGCGAGCGAGTGAGGACAGATGTTGTCAGGGCAGAAATTCCGGTATAGAGCAGTCCGGGGTTTAATGGTTCTGTAGGATCACGGAAGGATTTTATGCGAGCTATTCATGGTCAATGAGAGTGTAATGGTTGGCACAATGTGATATCACTCACTCTCCACCTTCTCTTCAACAGATATCCACCGGTCTATGATACCTTGCGCTTTGGAGTGGACGCCGGTATAGTAACCCGTGATTTCCCGCCGCACCATTCCAATTCGCTTCTCTAACGCCGATGGGGTGTCGAGTAGCATAAGTTCGGGTATGGGCGTAGGGTATATAGAGAGCTACAACACGTTAGTGATTCAGAGAACGAAATGCTGCAGGAGAAGTACATACTTTCGTCTGACCAGAGCTTGAAGTCCACGATCCCGAACCTTCTGCTGCATTTGCAACTACTACGCCCGCCTCTCCAGCCATCGAAGTAATGTCCTAGAAAATATATTGAGTGTGAGTGTGCTCACTGTCTCATCAAAATCTTACCTTTGGTTTAGAAAAAAAGTATCTCACTAAGTCTACACTGAGTGAATGTTCACAGCGTACGGGCGAAAGGTGGAGGAAGCGTGGGAAACTCGTTCTGAAGTACAGACTCTAACAAGACTGTTGACACAAAATAACCATCGAAACCACAAAAAACAGTCTAGGAAGATAAAAAGTATGTAGGACCCTGCAAACGTATGATTTTCAAAAGTTTGAACGGGTCGCGGTGCCGCATCTAAGCTTTTTGACGTCGCCCAGACCCACAGCGCCTCACAGCGCGCGCTCGCTCAGTGATTCTTACCTCATCGAGCATAATTACGACCTCGGAAACAATGCATGATATCTGGCATCCACACTCGTGGCGTGGACGTATGCCAAAGTATTTTATATTACAGCTGGCAAGTTCGTTTGATTCTCTGAACCCACCTCCAAAATGTCCCTCACTACAGGCCAACTGGAAGAAGGTCTAAGCAAACTTCAGGTGAGTGTCTCTTCAACCTACATCTATTTAGCGTGTACTGCCACTCATTTTGTCCAAAGATCACTAACTCAAGAACACCGTCTACCCCGGAGCAATGGGTGCCCTCCAAATACAGCTCAGACATATCTCAGTACGTCCTCGTAAGGCCTCCCCGGGCCCCATGCGGTCATCGTCAGCTGTTTGGTTTTCCTATTACCATGAAGGAAATTAGGGACCTGGGTGCCATTGCTTTCCACCATGTTCAGCCAGACGAGATAGTACCGGATGACCACTTCTTCCTCACCATGAACTCCTATACCTTCATTAAGCTATCTCTTGGTCTTCGTGTTTGCATTTCCGCACATGGCAAGGTGGTTGGAGACTCGGATAATATCCCACCGCAATGTTTGACGCCGTCGGGAAAGGTGCTGTTGTTAGTATTGTGGAGGGATACAGAACCCGAGGCTACCTGTCCCACGCCCAGTCAAGTGCGTGCCCTGGAGACGAAGATTGGGCGCTTACCGGGATGGTGGGTAGAAATCCCAGTGCGTATGCATGTTCAGTGCGAGAGCCGTTCAGCTGACAGACACTCTTGCATTTTCAGCAATTTGGATGAGTACTTATTCCGCCATCGTTCTATCACTGGCTGTGTCGCCTACCCCACTTGTACCTACCCATTTTATTCAGTTTCTGCCATAGAACCAATAACGCCTGCACTTTTCCTATGATACATACACTTGACAAGAGACAAAGAACAATACATGCATCAAATTATGGACGCGGAGGAGCGTCTCGCAAGCAAGTTGCATCCCGGACCCTTACATATGTGAGTCTCCGGGTCTCCCTCATCACTTCTCTAAAAGTTTATTTTCGTAGCTCCTTCTATGCCACGAGGAACAAAGTGGTACGTTGTGAATTTTTATTCTCATATTCGTCTTTTGTTGAAAAAACTCCTGCAGGGAACGCAATATACCTGTACGTTCAATGCTTCGCCTCAGCATCATTGTCCTGACACTTCCTTTCACAGCCCACCATTGCTCCTTTATACGATCACACAGCTGCCGTACATAATTCAATATTGTATACCTGCTTCACCACCCAATGCACTCTGAACACCGACCATCTTACGCCAGTGTGGCGGTCTTGAACTTCGTTAATTGTACCAAGCCCCATGAGTCCACTGGCGTGTCCAATCTTTTCTCATTTCTACCTCATTGTCATCATCTGATCCCTTTCTGATGCTTGTCAGACGTGATGTCAGTCCTAGTCACCGTCGCTGAACGACAAAATGTCATTTTAATTGCTTACAGCTCCGACTACATTGAAATTGGACATACGAATGTAAGTTTCACCAGTAACGACCATCCGATGATACCGCCACATATCGCACAATCGTCACGCACAATCATCCCGCACAATTGTCCCGCGCCTCTACCTTCACAGAGCAATCCTGTCCTCAGATCCGCTGACCACTCGCTCGCCGTCTGGAAAGTAGAGTCACAACAAATTAAGTCGGACTAAAACAGTACTTACGGTGAGGACATGACTTAGGTCCTGACTCCTGGAAAGACGAGGGTGAAATTGGTCTGCGCCTGGACTTAGCCGCGCCACACAACTTATTGGACAATCCTGAACTGCAATACTTAGTCAGTCAAATCTGTTTATCCAGTGGCGCATCTAGTAGAGCCCATGCCAGCGCTCGCTCGCTCACCATAATTCTTACCCCATGGAGCATAATTACGACCTCGGAAACAATATATAACATGCATGATTGGCATCCACACTCGTGGCGTGGGCATCATATGCCAAAGTATCATATATTACAGCCAATTCTCTCCACCCATCTGGAAAATGTCCTCCACTACAGGCCAACTGGAAGAAAGTCTAAGCAAACTTCAGGTGAGTGTCTCTCCAACTTACATATGTTTAGCGTGTACTGCCACTCATTTTGTCCAAAGATCACTGACTCAAATGCACCGTCTACCCCGGAGCAATGGGTGCCCTCTAAATACAGCTCGGACATATCTCAGTACGTTCTCGTCAGGCCTCCCCGGGCCCCATGCGGCCATCGTCAGCTATTTGGTTTTCCTATTACCAAAAAGGAAATTTGGGACATGGGTGTCATTGCTTTCCAACATGTTCAGCCAGACGAGATACTACCAGATGACCACACCTTCTTCGTCATGAATTCCCTTACCTTCATCAAGCTGTCTCTCGGCCTTCGTGTTTGCACTACCGCACGTGGCAAGGTGGTTGGAGACTTGGATAATATCCCACCGCAGTGTTTGACGCCGTCGGGAAAGGTGCTGTTGTTAGTATTGTGGAGGGATACAGAACCCGAGGCTACCTGTCCCACGCCCAGTCAAGTGCGTGCCCTGGAGACGAAGATTGGGCGCTTACCGGGATGGTGGGTAGAAATCCCAGTGCGTATGCATTTTTAGTGCGAGAGCCGTTCAGCTGACAGACACTCTTGCATTTTCAGCAATTTGGATGAGTACTTATTCCGCCATCGTTCTATCACTGGCTTTGTCGCCTATCCCACTTGTGCCTACCCATCTTATTCAGTATCTGCCATAGAACCAATAACTCTTGCACTTTTACTATGATACATACACTTGACAAGAGACAAAGAACGATACATGCATCAAATCATGGACGCGGAGGAGCGTCTCGCAAGCAAGTTGCATCCCGACCCTTACATCTGTGAGTCTCATATCACTTCACTAACGAAAGTTTATTTTCGTAGCTCCTTCTATGCCGCGAGAACAAAGTGGTATGTGGTGAATTTTTATTCTCATATTCGTCTTTTGTTGAATTCAAAACTCCCGCATGGAACACAATATACCTGTACGTTCAACGCTTCGCCTTAGCATCATTGTCCTGACACTTTCTTTCACAGCCCACCATTGCTCCTTTATACGATCACACAGCTGCCGTACAACATTAAATATTGTATTCCTGCTTCACCACCCAATGCACTCCGTTGTGTTGAACACTGGTCATCCATCGTTGCCCGCCTGCCCGCTCCCCGCCGCTCACAATATCGAAAGGAATGCTGATTTTGGGCTCCGGTAGAATGTCGCCTTGAAGCTGGCTCGCACAGCGGAGGAAGGGGTTGAAGTCGAGAAAGGGCATAGCAGCGAGCTCGGTGTGCCGCTGCATGGCCGCAAAGATGGACCCGATGTTCATGGACCGTGCTCAGTGTGTGGGCAGGGGCGGGAAGCGGCGGGCAGCAGGCGGTTGGCAGTGATACATCATAGGGCGCGAACCAGTGTACGAGCTTCGTGATATCACTTGAAAACGTTTGCGACGGAGGTCACGATACGAAGTATACACCGCCTCGTAGCCGCTGAGAATACAGTGGCCTGGCGTGTAAGGCCATCTGTACACGAAATATAGAACCGCAGTGGGTGACCCGGACCAATGCCGCGTCTGGCTTTTTCGCATGAATTCAACCTTCAACCTAAGTTGTAAGAGGGTCGGAGACCATCAAGCACGAACGATCGCTGTTGGAATAAAAGATCAAAACGGCTAATAGCGTCATTTTGACTTACACTCTATGGAAAGTCTCATAATACAATCACATCGGATTACACGCGTGAAGAGTTAGTAGTGACTCCTGACAATCCAGGCCTGGAAAACAACTTCAGACGTATGAACCGCCACATTGTCCAGTACTTTAGAGTGCTAATGTGACCAGCTGTGGCCAGTGCTGGCCACGTTTCAAGGATGACTATGGTGGCCCAAACTTATGGGACATGCAATCGAGACAGTGACAACGTCAGAAGTGCGGAATTTTATCACTAGAATCAAAATCTATCAGCTGGTAATTGAGGGTTTCATGCACTGAAGTGACAAGCAGCGTAATAAGCATTTAAAAGCTCATTAAACTCGACCCAGCTTCGCGTTAACTCGTGTTCGCAAAACCTATAATGGCACAAGTACTTGCCGCCGTCCGGTGAGGAACAAGAGCATGGGGATTCGGATGTTGTCGGAGATTAAACTTGAAACAGTTTTACTCCCCTCTTCCATCCGCACGATGATGACAACGTCCAAAATTCATTCAAAAGCGTGTCTACACCGCTGTCGCTATACCTGAAAACCATTGCCGATTCGGAGTTCATGTTCATATGGCCCCAGAGACTATCTCAATACACGTGACACAGGGAATTGTTGATACGCACCGCGCACCGCCGCAAGCTGTAGATGATGGCACAGGAGAACATTGGAACAGTGACATATGATAAGCGATCTTCACCTATGGGTGGAATATCAGTAAAAACCTGCGAACCACACACCTCTTGCGTGTTCCATTGGCTTGTATATTCTGTCCTGACATGGGCATATTCTTCCCCGCTCCTTGATTCCACCTCCACGGTGAACCGCAAATGATTGCGAGGGGAAATATTACCTGGTCGATGTTTGGCTGCGCGAAAGATACCAATGCGCTCGGTGTACATGGCAGATATCAAAATGCCTCCTCAGTATTACTTTCTGCCCACCCATAACACAGTTTTATGGCCAGCGATTTCCTGCGTATACTATCGCTTCATCTGATTCGGGCTTCTGGACTGGGGCCACGTCAGGGTATGCGGATGTGCACCTCGCGTAGGTTCGTTCTGTTTGACTGCTACTGACCAGTTTACGGAGTAGGCTGCTTCTTCCAAGGCACCGATATGAAACACGGATGGATCTGGTCGCTCGTGCCAGAGAGTCTGGATCTACGATTCAATGTTTCGCGGAGCCAGAAAATATACTGTGATGCTTCGATCGGATTGTTAGCCTCAGGAGGGGAAAAACATACACAGTGCGTCTCTCGTGTTTGCATCGTAGACTTTAATAAAAATGAACAACTCAAGTGTGGGCGCACGGCCGAATCCGTCGAGTGAAAGACCGCCGTCCCAATTAGTGGATAATGGTGGCCCGCATAATTTTCTCTGAAAGGAAGGTCCCCTCAGTGGAAACCACACTTTCAAAGCGGTCCTCCACAAACATATAAATATTGCTTCGGTGGCCTTCATCCTTTATCACTTACCACTTCACCTACTGCCACTGCGAACATGCACCCATCCTCACAACACCTTAATCGATTTCCTATTGTCCAAGTACGTAGATCTCCAGCTTCCACATCTACATTTTCTAACTACATCTACTTCTTACCTCCAGATGAACCCAGCCACTCGAAAGCGCGTCGCAGATGACCTCGAAGACAACGAAGTCCGGGAAGTCAAGCGAGTGAAAATGGGCTCTAGCGCCATATGGAACGACGCAGACTTTGTGAGTTTCTCTTTCATGTTGCGAGCTCGTATTCTTAATCCTTGGGACAGACACCTGAACCTGGGTTCGATAAATTTGGACGCCAGAAATTCAAACATTCATTTGATCGCGAGATCATCCTTCCCGGCAGTTACGTCGGCCACATCAGGTCACAAAAGCATAAAGATGCCAAAGAGAACCCTGTTCGTTCGCCCACGTGCGTATCTCCACTCTCAATATGCTCGTCTCATTATTAACTGTTATGATTCGGTATACCAGATGGGCAACCGCCAATGTTGTGGATCCCATAGTACATCCCGTCTCTTCATTATGTCAATCACCGGAGGCCATGGTTACGGAGACCACCCAACACTTGGATTTAGACTCGCCGTTCAAGGATGTAGAGGACAAAGAATTTGTGGCTTGGCTTTTTGCCCCTGACCCAGACGAACAGTCGCAGGAGACGGCCAGTTCTCCGGATCCCGCAACCCATGGCCCTTCATCACCTCAATTACCAGAGGTCATGGTCACAGAGGCCGCCGAAGACCTTGATCTTTCTTCGACGTTTACTGAGACGGAGGACCTTAATCTTGATCATTCGCTGGACATGGGGATCGGGGCCGATCTACCACTGGAAAGCGACATTATTGATATAACCGCCGCGTCGATGTCCAGTGACTTTATGACAACCAACGTGCCAATTTTGCCTCCGGCAGATGAGGTTTCGTTGTCATCGGAAGAGGGCCCTTTTGCTGGCTTACCCGCCTATCTATTAAGCATACCCCGCGATGTGTTGGAGGGGCTTCCTTTTTTCATTACTGAAGTACCTCCTACTAGTACATCTTCCTCCTCCATTTCCTTGTATGATGAGATCTAGTGTTTCACTTCCGCTACCAACTATCCTGAATATGTTGTGCTCTCTGCTATCGACTCGCTATCTATCACACCATACGACTTTATGACTTTACGAACTATATGCATTCGTTCTACTGGATACCGTAACGCGACACTCCATTCTTTATTGTTATTGTTATCATTATCATCACCATCATCATGGTGATCATGATTCATTTGTTACAACACACATTCCTTACATGCTGGACGATCTAAGTAACAATGCATCTCTCGGACCAAGAATAAAAAGACTCGCGAGATATGGCATCTGGATGGCGCGCGACTCATACATAGTACTTGTAGTATAAGCCCGGGGCACAGTAATATAAAAGATACCAGCGAAAAAAAGTGCGCGACAACGTGGCCAGAAGACTCTGTCCTCAATCCGCACGAATTCAGCTTTGTTTTCGCACTATAAATTTCCAGAGGAGATGCACATCATGCCGTAGAATTCCGCCGGGATAGTGATTCTGGTGGTTTATACACGAACAGTTGGACATAGATTGGTTCAGGGGCTAGCGCTGACGCGCTGACGGCAAATTGCAATTGGGCATCGGAAGCAATAAACCATAAACCAACCTCAGCGTCTCGTTCAATCATCCTGCTCGGCTTCTTCGTGATCAGCTTGGGCTCTCCTAGCTGCCTCTGCTTGTTTAGCCTCGTTGTCGTTCAATCGCCTCGTTTATGAATTGAAGACACGGATTTCGGAACAGTTCATTACTCATCTGAACGATTGACGATAAGTAAGTCCCCATGAGAGTGCCCACTGCCCTAGCTTTCGGGGTGTCCTCCACGCGAGCCGGGAGGTAAACACACTTCTGGATAGACTCCTGGCGTTGCGTCGTTGGTTATCGGAGAGTTCGATAGAATTGATAGCAGCAGATTACAAGCTGTAGGAGGCGGTAGTCCAGTTCGTTCGATTTCTTCATATTGTTTTCACGTTTCAAAACCTTCGCAGCAGAAGGAAATTTGATGAATATAAGCGCTCAGGGCACTGCACAACTACCAGTGCCATGTGGAAGGGGCGTGGCAAGGGATATACATATGCAACGGCGGCGCTTAAGTTCGATCACTTTGCCTGCTAACCTCTTGGTAACAGCAAATCTCATCTGAACATGCAGCACGATTGGACTGATGATTGTCTTCGACAGGTAGTAAACTGTGCTCGAGGGAGCAGGAACTATCATCAATAGCGGGCCTAAAGTACACCAGGAGATCTCGCCGGCGCTTCAACGCATCCAAGGGATCTCTTGTCCGTACCTGACTGTTTGCGTCTTGCTTGTGAAGACACAAGTCATGGCGTCCACATCAACGAAGCCCGCCACTACAGGCACGGCGATGATTCTGGCGCCAGCAATGACCTTGCGGGGTCACGAAGATCAGATTCGCTCGATATCCTACTTTCCGAGCGGAGAGCGAATGATCAGCGGATCTGACGATCTTACTACTCGGCAATGGGATTTGCAGTTGGGTAAGGAGATTTCGAAGTTGCGGGATGATTGTCAGCGGCAAGTCCGTGCAGTGGCTGTTTCAAGGGATGGTCGATGGATTGCCACTGGTGGTTCACATTCCGGTCGCGGGGAGCTCAAAGCGTGTGATGTTCAGACCGGCATCGTGAAGACTTTTGAAAGTCACTCACAAGAAACTTATTGCATCGATATCTCTGAGGACAGCACGTTGCTGGTGAGCGGGGCACTCGATCGCTCGGCTCGGATATGGAGCTTGGAGACTGGCAAATTCATCGGTGGACCATTCACGAGCGTTCAGAGTCTGGGCGCAGTTCGATTCTCGCAAGACTCGAAGAAACTCGCAGTCATGACAGATGTCGGGAAGTGCCTTGAGGTGTGGGATATACACACACAGAAAATGAAGGTCAGAGTGGGAAGGTTTGGCTACGACCCCATGACATATGCACCAGTGTTCTGGAGAAACAAAAACACAACTATCATTGCTGCATTCAGTTTCACGGATGGCCCTGCCAGGTCAATATATGAGTTCGATGCATCCACCCTGGAGACTATCGGAACTCCCTTCGAAGGGCACACCATGGTTCTCGCTGGCCTAGCGCTGTCATCTGATGGTGATCTCCTCATTAGCGCTTGCTACGAAACAATCAAGATCTGGGCCTTCGACTCCCGCCATCTCCTCGCATCATTCGATGTTCTACCTCCCCACTCCTTAACCCTTTCACCCGACTCACGTCAACTAGCTTACACAAGTGGTAGCGAGATTTATATATATAACACTCCGGCCGAGATCCTGGCCCAGGCCAGTGTACCCATATATCTGTTGTGCGTGCGCTAATATTCCTTATAGACTGGTGCACATAAAAAGTCAAGCCTCGGTGATCTGCTCAAGGTATGCATCTCGATCTACCAGTACTATTCATTATACCACTCATCTACATCACCACTATTGTAGTCTGAGGCAACCCGCCGTCCTGGTGCTGTGCGCCGTAACCCAGGGACATCACCTGGAATTTCTTTCCCCCCTACGCCGCAAAGACCTCCGGCTACAGGACCGCAGCAATCCGTTTTTGCTCGCCGCCTCCGCAAACTCCTTCGCATGCCTTCTCACGCGAATGCAGTTCCGAACAATCAGCCTCGCAACCCCCTAGATGTATGTCTTTGATCTTTTCCTGCCGTAGTTGACTTAAAGATCGTCATGCAGTTCCCTGCTACATCTGCCCTACCTCGGAACCGCTCTCCCGCGGTGCAGGCCACAACTCGCATTGACAGTATTAATGTCAGTCCTTACTTTTGGTTGACTCGTAGTGCATGGCTGAGTGCGTGTCCAGATTGGAGCAACTTCTCCCCGTCATACAAATGGATTTACGCAGTTCCTGCGGCAGCACCTTTCCTTGCACAGATCAAGGCCCACCCACGAGCCACCGACCGTTGAAGTCGCAGCCGGACGCAAGTTTACTGTAACTTAGATCTTCTTACTTTTTCATATCTTGATGCTGATTGATACCACTCTAGCGACTTAAAGCTGCTAAGCTACCAGAATACAGGAAAGCTGGTGATACCCGACATCTATCTAGGCAGCAATCGGCCACGGTGGGAAACGACCCACCGGCTGAGTCGTCTGACCTTGATTCGCTCCCAGACGTGCACTGGTGCAAGGCGTTCTTCTGCTACTACTCGTGCTGGTCTCATGGAAGACTGAGGATGCCTCCACGATGGCGCTTGGAGCGTGTTTACCCACTCCAACAGACTACCACTGCAAGCGGGAGTGGTGCTGGGGCTCAAGGTCGCAGTTAGCTCCATACTCATCCTTATCCATTGAATTCCTTGTAAGTTGTCATCTGATGCTTTCAATGGATGTTGAACAATCTGCTGTTACACAACGACTCGCAGGTATCATCTTTGCGGTACATAATCGATCATAATCCACCAAGACGCATTCAGATGTGTAGAACAATACATGGCGGACGGTGAATTTTTCCGGGGACGAGCACTTCATTTTGGGTCGCGGCATCAGTGCAAACTTGAACGATCAAAAAATTGTTGTATTTTCAAATGTGATAAGATATATATATCATGTTACGCTTTCAGCATGAGGGAGAAAATCTATATTTTTATACTGCAACGCTTTTAACATGAGGGTCAAGCGTAGAAGAATAGATCGAACAGCCAAGGCAACTCAGTCGACTCGTCCGCATCGATATATTTCCACTTTGATTCCACCTCGCGACAATCTCTAGACCCAAATATCACTGGTATGATGGCGCAGGTCGTCTACGATTTCTTGAAAGACCCTTAGGGACTCTCCCTCGGCATCCAGGAGGCTAAATTCATACATGGTGCCAACACCATTTGTCGGGGGGATAAAGTGTGGGCGTGTCAACGAGGGTCTAAAAGCCTGATTTGTGGGCCACTCCTCTGCCCTCGAGTCGGTTGACCATAGAGATGGCCGCCCAGTGTTTTCCCGGAAAGTTGGATCACGCATCTCCGACATCGTGCGGGTAATTAGCGGGCCACGGTGCACGGTGCTGTACACCCAGCGACGACCAGCAGCCATGATCACTCCCAAATATTTCAGAGCGTGATCAGCCTCGAACGCATGAAAGACCTGCTCCACCACTTGATCCTCCCAAATAAATTCCCAGTTGACTTTCTCGCCGTTGCCCGGCTCCGGTTTAATTTCAACTGTCATAATAACACGGCGGATTACATGACCAGGAATGGCTGGGAAGCTCTGTTGCGCATGCTCGAGTATTTGCACAAAATCCGGAACTCTGGAAGACGCGGCTGTTGTTGGTGTGGAAGGAGTTGTTGGGATGGTACCATCTAATGGATTGTGATTCGACGGTGTTGAGAATTGAGGCAATGAACGGGTGGTGACTTGAGGGTTGGAAGCATCTCCAGCACGACGAGCTTGCAAACGAGTAACACGCTGGGTAGTAGGACTTTCAGGGTGCGATACGTTACGCGGGAAGGCCGAGGGTAAAGGGCTAGGTGTCAAGGGAGGCAGTGGTCCTCCGAAAAGTGTCCGTGATCGAAGACTAAAATTTGGGGTAGGATTGTATGGCACAGGGGCCTGGAAAGCTCCCTGGAGTGATCAAATGCCGATCTGACGAAGGGCTGCTCATGGCTATGTCAGACCAACCGGATCTGCCACTATGCGGCAAGTGACCAGTATCATAGGACGCAACGAGAATCCTGTGGAATACAAGTGCATGCTGTTTGTGATCCGTCTGCTTCACGAAATATATAGCCTTGCAAGACTTTGGACCACACCCCATACCAGGGGCATTCGAAATCACGCTTATTCTGAATGACCATTGGATAAAACTCGGTAGAGTCTCCTGTTTGGCCCCTCTTCCCGGCACAGATTGCTGATAAGGTAGTAGTGAGCAGTGAGGACTTGAAATACTTTACATTCACTTACCGGCGATGATGGATAAGTGTGAGTTCGGGCACTCAGGGTTGGTCGGTGCAGCGTAGTCGGAGCATTTGGACTCGCAAATCCCTGAGAGTGGGTAACAGAGGGTGCGAAATGCTGGTGAGGTGCAGATGGTTGAGAAGGATCTCGAGGTTGGTGAGATGACATGGCAGTCTCACTGGGTCTTGAAGAGTCCCTAGAATCATGGTTTATGAGCGGCACCTGTGACTTTATATCGATCATGGCGAGGACACTACTGTTTAGAACCACAATCAATGCTTCGAACCCGATGGAGATAAGTATGAGCCACAGTTTGCAGCAAATCGTTATCACTGGCATCAGAACGCCACCCAACAGCGCCCACTCACCGTGATTCTAACTCCCTCGAGCACAATACGACCTCGTAGTTGTTGTTCGACGCGTAATGCCAGTTGTGGCAATCTATGGGTGAAGTTTGCTCTACCATGGACTGCAACTACCGTCATGCTTCATTGACAGGTCCCGGCTTGCCCGCAGTGATTTCTGCCATCAAACATAATTACAGCCTTTTGTTCGTTTTGTTCTGCACGAAGAACCAGTCTAATCTGCATCACTACCATCATGCATCAAGCTTCGATATCACCTATACTTGCCCACCGTGATTTCTCCAATGAGTGAGTCAGTTGCGTGCGTATGACTCTCCTCAATATGACTCACCTTTCCACGAGCAACGGACACTCTGCCAAATTTGCACACTCTGATGCCATATCTTCAGATATGTTATTCGAAGTTACAGTTCCTTTGAAGAACTTGCACCCCTGAAAGTCGCCGAGCAGAGTCCAGAGAGGAAGATAAAATAGTCATCGTCTGATGGTGTCGTTAGGATGAATTAAATAGCCAAGGAATGAGCGTGAACCAATGGCACGGAAATGATGAAAGTTCACCATAGGTACAAGGCCCATCTAGGAAAGCTATGTGAACTTTGAAGTGACGGTATCATACAAACATGAATATAGAACATACAAGTGCTATACGAATGAACTGATAAACAGCTCGAACCCGCCCAAGAGCACAAGATAGGACCTGTAGTCAGCTCAATCATTTCAAAAAGTTTGAACGCGTCGCGGCGGTCACTGTGTCAAGCGTCACAGCCGCACTTTTCGATGTCGCTAATAGCGCCCACAGCGCGTGATTCTTACCCCATCGAGCATAATTGCGAGCGTCCTCATTCTTGGCCGCGGGCGTATGCCAAAGTATAACATATTGTTCGTTCGATGATTCTCCGAACCCACCTCGAAAATGCCCCCCACTACAGGCCAACTGGAAGAAAGTCTAAGCAAACTTCAGGTGAGTGTCTCTTCAACTCACATCTATTTAGCGTGTACTGCCACTCATTTTGTCTAAAGATCACTGACTCAAAAGCACCGTCTACTCCGGAGCAATGGGTGCCCTCTAAATACAGCTCGGACATATCTCAGTACGTTCTCGTCAGGCCTCCCCGGGCCCCGTGCGGCTATCGTCAGCTATTTGGTTTTCCTATTACCAAGAAGGAGATTTGGGACATGGGTGCCATTGCTTTCCAACATGTTCAGCCAGACGAGATACTGCCAGATGACCGCTTCTTCTTCATGATGAATTCCCTTACCTTCATCAGTCTATATCTCGGTCTTCGTGTTTGCACTACCGGAGATGGCAAGGTGGTTGGAGACTCGGATAATATCCCACCGCAGTGTTTGACGCCGTCGGGAAAGGTGCTGTTGTTAGTATTGTGGAGGGATACAGAATGCGAGGCTACCTGTCCCACGCCCAGTCAAGTGCGTCACCTGGAGTCGAAGATTGGGCGCTTACCGGGATGGTGGGTAGAGATCCCAGTGCGTATGCATTTTTAGTGCGAGAGCCGTTCAGCTGACAGACACTCTTGCATTTTCAGCAATTTGGGTGAGCACTTATTACGCCATCGTTCTATCACTGTCTGTGTCGCCTACCCCACTTGTACCTACCCATTTTTTCAGTTTCTGCCATGGAACCAACAACTCTCGCACTTTTACCATGATACATACACTTGACAAGAGACAAGGAACGATACATCAAATTGTGGACGGAACAGCGGGAATAAAAAATGATTTGTCGAACCATGGCGCCATGACCTGCGCCAGACCACCGTGGTACAGCTTGAAATAGAAGGAACTATCTTCATTCAATCAAATACGGGAGACTATTGGTACAGTAACCTAGCGTACGGGGAACAACAGACGTTTGTACCTTGACGTGCCTCGCATTGAACAAATTTGAGTCCTTCTGGCATCCACAGGTATGCAGCATGTAAAACATTGTGCACAATATTGTGAAAGCCATCTCTGTTTATGACGAGGAGACGTTCACTGGTACTCACTGGGAGTCTGTTTCGGTGAACTGAGAGTAGCGTTAATTATAATATCATATATTACCTACCAAATCCTCTTTTTTTCTGTTTCTGTTCGAATCGGTTGAATAATGCTCCCTAACTATGGGCGCTCGTGTGCGCCCGTCCCAGTGGCAGGAGATTGATAAATCAACTGCGGATGTGATCGATAGCTGCTATCGATTGCTTATCTATGAGTCAGATCTAGTCAGACGGAGTCAGACAGACACATAGAAGAACGAAGACGGTCGTTCCATTTGATGAGAACGCCTTTCAGGGCAGCCTATTCAACCCCCATCGGGCCAAACCCCTTTCATGACATTGATAAGAAATGTTGTTTGTGTCTTCCGAGTTTCCTTGGGTTCATCATGATGGGCCCTAGATGCGCCACCGGATAAATGGATTTGACTGAGTACTGTAGTCCAGATTGTCCAACAGGGTTGTGTTGCACGGCTAAATCCAGGCGCAGCTTAATTTCACCCTCGTCTTCCCAGGCGTCAGGACCTCAGCATTGTCCTCACCGTAAGTACTTACTGTTCTAGTCCGACTCAATTTGTTGTGACTCTACTTTCCAGACAGCGAGCAAGTGGTCAGCGGATCTGAGGACAAGATTGCTCTGCGATGGGGGTTGCATGCAGGTAGAGGTGCGGGATGAAGATATATATGCGGCGGTATCACGGGATGGTCGATGAGTTATCGTTGCTGGTGGGACTTACATTCGTCCGTCCGATTATCAATGTAGTGAGAACTGTAACCAATTAAAATGTCAATATGTCGTTCAGCAACGGAGACTAGGACCGGCATCACGTCTGATATGCATCAGAAAGGGATCAGATGATGGCAATGAGGCAGAAAGGTTGAACATGCCAGTGGACTCATGAGGCTCGGTACAATCAACGAAGTTTAAGACATGCCAATCGCCATACTAACGCAAGATGACCAGTGTTTAACACAACGGAGTGCATTGGGTGGCGAAGCAGGTATACGGTATTTAATGATGTACGGCAGCTGTGTGATCGTATAAAGGAGCAATGGTGGGCTGTGAAAGGAAGTGTCAGGACAATGACACCAAGGCGAAGCATTGAACGCACAGGTATATTGCGTTCCCTGCAGGAGTTTTGAATTCAACAAAGGACGAATATGAGAATAAAAGTTCACCACATACCACTTTGTTCCTCCTGGCATAGTAGGAGCTACGGAAATAAACTTTCGTTAGATAAGTGATATGACGGAGATGCGGAGACTCACGGATGTAAGGGTCGGGATGCAACTTGCTTGCGAGACGCTCCTCCGCTTTCTCAAGGATCTGGGCAAGAGCTCTCGGCTCATTCACGTCACTGATATATGCAAACACCGTCTGACAGTTAGACCAGAGTGACAACCAAATTCAAGTCCATTACTGACCGGTTTCTCTCAAACTCGGCTCTAATCATCATTGCTCGACCGCGCCAAATATCTCTGCGAACAACCCAGTCCAGTTCATTCTTCAGCATACGGCGGTAAAGTGACTTGACATAGAGCCTGTGGGCCGACGAGAATGAGGTAGACATTGTGGTTGGTGATGAGGACTTGAGACTTATCTGGAATAGACGTCAATTTTGTAGGATAACCCAAAATAATTTATAATAAAAAATTGACAGGATGTTTTTCACTGCCTGCACAGCTGCACACCGGATGCGAAGCAGTCATAAACGGTCACGACAATGGACCCGCATTCAAGACACTCCCAGTTCAATCAACGAGCACCAAAAACTGGGCCATTTTCACCCTCCGTGCGATTCGAGCCAACCCAAAAGGCTACCCTAGACAAGTATACCAAAGCCTCCTCGCCATCCATGCCATCGGACTCGCCACTGTTAACCCCTCGCCCTATCGCGACAAATTCGCGGGTGAAGCAGGATGAACAGTTCAAGAAGGATATGTTTCTCGCATATGTGAATAAGGCCATACGCGAGAAGCTCAATGTGAGTTTAGTGGCATATCCATTGATCGCGTGCTGATGATCGTGTGCAGGGCCATAGCAAAGACTTTGATGATCTTGTTGACCAGTTTAGCCCGAACAAATCTACGCTTGCACCTACTGTGCCGTCTATTCAGCTCCGTATATGGCTTTCTGCACTCTCGCACGTCCTTTCTCGCCTCGAGAGGCGTCATGCGCCACTGGTAGAGGCAATCGTTCGCTTACCATGGTCTGCCATGGATGCTGTATTCGTCAAGTCGTACATCGTATTCATCGGCATGCTCATTAGTGCGCGTCCAGAATACCTATCGCTTATTCTCAATAGAATAGCGATGGGTTTCACTTATCGTGAGTTATTACCGCCATGAAAAAAATAAAACATCAAAATTGTTTTAACGCGACACTCGTAGAATCTGGTATTCTCGCCGTTACCTCCAATTTAGAAGGTTCCACCCCTGTAACGAGACGTGTGATCTACGATCGACAGCATGCTCTTCTCGAGCATCTCTTTAACCTTGTACCAACTCTCCCATCATCACTGGCTCCTCTCCTCGTACGAAATTTCCCCCACAAACGACAGCCACAAGCTGCGCATGTAGCTTATATACGAAATTTGCTGCGTGTAACCGAGTATTGTGGTGAACTTTCAGAGAGGGTCCTAGGCCTTATCGTGGATCGGGCCTTGATGGTCGATGTGAGTATGCTCTCCCCTTTGTTCGCCTGCCTGTTGGGTCCTAATAAATATTTGTTGTATTTTAGGTGGAAATTCAGGTAGAGCTCGAAGAGCTTGAAGATACTGAGCCTACGGACAGCGAACTTTTTGAATTTGATCCGTTTGATACCATCGTCGGGCAAGAGGGCGACTCTTCTTCTGATGAGGATGATGTTGACGATGATCTGAGCGACCTATCGTCGGATGCCTCGTCAGATAATGGTGCTGAAGATGCCCCCACAGACACCAGGCACATTCATGACATGGTCTCGAAACTTGACGCGATTCTCAGGCTCGTATTTGACCACTTTAACAATTTGCATTCATCCATACCCACCGTCCTCTTACCCTCTTCCGAATCCCTTCATCCATCAACTACGCACGAGCACGAGCCACATACGCTTCTCGCAATTCAATTTCACACTCTCCTAGCCATCTTCGACAGAACTATCCTCCGCACTTTCAAGTCCCGATATACTCAGTTCCTCCTGTTCTGGTACGCTTCCCTTCATCCCGAGTTCTCGGACCTTTTCCTGGGGCTACTTGTCGACAAAGCCCTCTTTGGAAGCGCAAGCGCAAGTGGGGTGGAACGTGCCGCAGCAAGCAGTTATATCGGAAGCTTTGTCTCTCGCGCACAGTTTATTGATCGTGAGGGCGCACGGAGGGCCGTTAAAGTCCTATGCGCATTTCTTGGAGCACACCTGGATGCCGTTGAGGCTGGCAATGCCTCTACCAACAATCACAGTGTTTTCTATGCGGTCGTCCAGTCTGTGTTCCTGATATTTTGCTTCCGTTGGCGTGACTTACAGGAGGAACCGGGCGAACAAGAGGTGGGGCAGAAGATATGGATAAGCGAGCTAGGAGTCGTGCAGAGAGTCATCACATCTGACTTGAACCCTCTCAAGGTTTGCTAATCATCATCTTCCAGAGATTCTTTGGCGGCTAAATCCTTGCTGCTACACTAGGTTTGCTCTCAGAACGTCGTACATCAATTTGCGCGTATTGCGCAAGCAACTGATTTCACATACTGCTTCTCCATTCTGGAGGCGAACAAACGGGCACCGTACCCTGTGTTTGCTGGTGTAGCACCCGGTAGCGCTGGCCCAGAGGATCTGCACACCTTTTTCCCTTTCGATCCCTACAAGCTACCACGCTCAGGCGAGTACATACAAGGCGTGTATCGAGAGTGGGCAGCGGTGGCTATTGGCGATGATGAAGATGAAGACGAGGATGAGGATGATCTGATAGAGGAGGGCCCGATAGCTGATGACTGGGAACATGCACGAGGTGGCTCGAGCATACCCATCACTGCCTCGAAACGCGGAGAGTCAGACGACGATGGATTGGGCGCGTCCTTTGGTGGAATGAGCATCAGTCCAGCTCGGACAAGGACGGTAGCGATGGCGATTTCCGTCTCGTGATCGCTTGCTATCGTCTTCATTCATCACCCGGCCGCCATCCACCCACTATGCTTCCCAGAACACCATAATCGTGCTATTACAAATACCAACGATAAGAAACCAAACGATGGACGTGGCTAGAAGATAATATTAAAGAACATGTTTCGGAGGCCCTTCCAGAGCTCATGTCGCCTACTTCGGCGCTTCTGCTTTGTACCTCCCACCGCGTCAGTATGCTATAGACAAGGTCATCAGAAGGAAAGAGGATGGTGACAATAACTGGTCACGTACCTCAACTTGGACGTCCTGCGTCATAATCTCTATTTCGTTGTTTTGCGTCTCTTCAAGAGCACCCCACGCATCTTCCTCGATTCTCCGCCGTTTCCTATTCGTTTCCTCAAACTCCGCCCGTTCTTCCTCGGCTGCCTGCAGCGCTGCGTCCACGGCCGCTCTCCACTTCTCAATTCCTTCAATCCGTGCTCGAGCGAGGTACATTTGTGTATGCACCCGATCGTCCTTCTTGATATGCCTGCCTTTGGTCCGCTCAATTTCTGTGCTGTTGACATCGGGAGGTTCTGGTGTGGCATGGGCTGCGTCTCCACCGGACATGATATGGTGGAGATGGCTTAGCGCGAGTGAATGTGCCGTAGTGAGGTCGTTTCGGTCGTAAAGAAGTGAACAAAGGAATGGCGCGTTGCCCAAAAGTACAAGGAGGATGAGAGAAAGAAACATGTGGGGAATGGCAGGCAGGCACCTCCGGTTGCCGAGATCAACGTAACGCGCCTCGAGGCGTATTTACGGATAAACTTGGCGGTGACGTAGGATATGCTTACCTTCTGATACCAAAGCGAGCGCTACAGATAGGCTATTGTCATTTTTAATAAAGGAATTTGCTATTGATATATCATGTCGTGTGTACGTATACAATGCAAGTGATGAGCAACGCAAACTAGACTGACGATCTCAAGGTACGAAGTTTAACTATGATACAGTCACTGGTATGTTTGCATACTGGTGAATAGTATTTGTTGTGTCAAATGGTATCTCTGAGTCTGGCCGAGTAATTTTGGATGCCCAGCATCGTCCCCTCTTTGGAAGCTCTGGCGAGAGGGCATACAGAACGAAGGTAAAATCGGATAGATCACTGAGGTGTATCAGACGCATCGTGTTGTTGCCTAGCGTAATAGACGAGGTCACATTCAGTGCCCCCTTTTCCTGTAGCAGACGCTAAGTTATTCTGGAGGTAGCATCCACAAATAGCTTCATACCAATTCGTAGGGAAGCCAGGATCGCCCATTGGCGCTATCAATATTCAATTGCACCACGAGGGTGCCTTTGGTAGGCCAATCCTCTCCCACACTCCTGACTTCGTCAAAAGTGGTATCCAGGCTATTACCTTCCTGAAGTTCATGACGAGGATCCTTGCGGAAACAAGAAAGTTGCACGGTAAATGGAGGATTGGAGGAGCTAGAATTTCTCGTAAGGAAGGCGACTAAGTTAAAACCGCGGAGTCTTGCGTACCAACTCGACGAAGCTGCGGGAATAATGCGATCTCCCACCACAAAGTCGACGTTGAGTATACCTGGCCGGGTGAGGCCTTGGCGCCTGAACCAGGTTCCGGGCATAGAGAGGGCTAGCAACGACGATGATGGATGGGAGTCGGCAGAAGAACATGTTGCTATGTTCTGAGCATCTGCTGGGGATGGTTCTGGGTTCGCTGAGTGACACACTGAGGATGTCGTCATTTCGATGTCTTCCACAGAAATAGATGGTAGTGCAGCGATCTGATGTGAAACAGAGACAGTAGCTGATGTTCGAACATTTGCTGATTTTGGGTCGTGCGGGGATAAGGCCTCATCATGATCCATGATCTGCTTGACTTGGAATGTGTTGCCCTCAACAGAGCTCTGTCTAGAGTCCTGGACAGGAGTGGGAGCCTTGTGGTCAATTGGCAAATCTACCAACGTAGCTTCGCTATCCTTCCGTGACCCAATAGATGGCGTGTCTGAATCCGGCCAAACACGTGTAGTCCGAGTGGGTTCAACATGTTTATCCGTGCTGTAGTTTGCGCCCTTCTTGTTGATGGGTGTATCAACTGCGACAATTCGAGGGTTGTGTAGTGGGTGCGGGGCAAGGGCATCCATTTGAAGTTTCATATCTCTAGCCTGTTGCAGAAACTCGCGGCAATGATCGTCGGTGAGCACGGATGTACACGCTGTGATATCAAGAGGTGTCGAAGAGTCTTGAGATTTGGCGGACATAAGAAGAACAGGTGCCAATTGTTGCCTGCACCTCTCGATAACAGATGCGGATCCGCCACCAGTGTGTGCAGTTGTTGACTCTGGTAGAGGTTCGCGTAGCATGTCAAAACCTGTGGTTAACATGCTAATCCCAGCTTCGAATGCGGATGATAATAATCCACCACTAGACTTGTCGGCAGGGGGAGTCTGAGACGGAAAGTTAAGAGTAATCCGTGCTGGTCGTGTTTTCGTACACTTCAATTGGTTGGCATAGCCGGTAAGTCTCGTGACCGAACTCTTTGGTGGCAACATACCGAAGGCGAACTTTGACTGGGGAGATCCGGAGATGTGTTTGCATGCTGTTGGGACCCAGACATTCTCGTGTTCCAGCCTTTCACTGAATCTAACGAGCCATCATTGATATGTATGCTCAATGCTTCTTCATTCAAGTCCATTCGATCAAGCAAACTTCTTTCTTCAGATGGTAACTCCATGCGTTCCAACAACGAGGACGACCGTGGGCTGGTGTGTGGTTTATGTTGATGCCTGCCCTTAGACACCTTCCTCTTGATATATTGGGACGAAGGCGCTTGAGGATTTCGAAAATTGGAAGAAACTCGTCTCGGTCGACTGCGATATTCTGCTGATGATGATCTACGCTCGTTTAGGTGATGGACGCCAGCTGGGTGGTCGGCTTGAAGCTGTTGGATAGATCATGACATTAATATTGCGCATGCTGACTATAAGCGCTGGCCAACTCACTCGCAGGACATTTGACGCTGATATTACTCGGAGCAAGATAACGGATGTGCCGGTAATTGCCGGCCCATACAGCTCGTCCAAATCACGCATATAATGTGACATTGTTATAACTCATTGGCTATGTTCTTCTATATACAAATGGCCTTACACGACGGACTACCGTGTTCGCGGTAGCTACGAGGCGCTGTATGCTTCGAAAGAAGTTCATGATCGCCGTCAGACACTTTCAAGTAATATGACAAAGCTCGTGCACTGGTTCGTACTCTGTTCAATCACTGTGCTGCCGTTATGACCCTTGACGGACCCTCGATGCTACTAGAGGCGGTGGGTATTTGAGTCGGCCAGGACATTCCAAGATCCCCAGACTCTCAGAAGGCACTCATACAGACCGATTTACTCGTCAATCGATTCGGGTCAGTAACTCAATTCACTGTGCCAAAATCTACGTTTGTCAACGTCTTGTTAGTGCTACCGACCAACCGACGACATCTTCATCTACAACCTTCGAAATACTAGTCATGGGCGGAGGACAGTCACATCAGCCAGACTGGGAAGCAATTCGACGTGCACAAGAGCAAGCTGATGCTCAGGCTCGCGCCGCCGCTGAAGCTGCTCGTAAAAAAGCAGAACGTGCCGCTCAGGCAGCCCGCGCAGAGGCCGAACGGCTCAGGCGCGAGGCGGAAGCAGCACGACGACGATTTGAGGCTGAACAAGCGGAGGCAGCTAGGAGAGCGCAAGCTGCTCGCGATGAAGCTGAACGACAGCGCCGCGAGATAGAAAAAGCCGAGCAGGCAGCACGTGCCGCCCGCGAGGCTGCAGAAGCACGGGCTCGCGAAGAAAGACAACGTGCCGAACAACTGGCACGAGAGGCTGAAGAAGAGAGGCACAGACAGCGAGCTGCTGAAGAAGCTGCTAGACAAGCTGCCATCGCTGCTCAGCAAGAGCATGAACGGCAACAGAGAGCCAGGGAAGAGGAAAACAGGAGACTCCAAGCCGAGAGAGAAGCAGCTGAGCGCGCTGCGCAGGTAGCCGCTGAACAAGCCAGGCAAGCTCAAGCTGCAAGAGAAGCAGCCGAGACACAATTGCGAGATGGCACCCGACCTGTGGTCACACCTACCCCCGAAGAATATTCTGCTTTCAGAGCTAAGATACAGCATACGGCGGGTTTCTTCCACGTCGCCATCAGCGGGGTCGCTGGTAGCGGCAAGTCGTCACTGGTTAACGCGTTAAGGGGCAAGCATAACATGGATCTTGATGCTGCCGCGGTCGGCGTGAACGAGACCACGCTCGTGGTGGCCAGATACCCTGATCCAAACCCATCCAACCGCTTCGTCTGGTACGATGTTCCCGGAGCAGGTACCTTGAAGGTCCCCGATTGGAAATATTTTAATGATCAAGGGCTCTTCGTCTTCGACTGCATCATCGTCGTGGTCAACAATCGTTTCACTGCCACTGACGTCGCTCTCCTTTCCAATGCTAGGCGCTTTGGTATTCCCGCTTTCATCGTCCGTTCTAAAGCGGATCAACACATCAGAAACCTTATGAAAGATATTGGCTATAACAGTGACGATGAAGGCGGAAACAAGGCTAGTTACTTCGCGCGGGCGCGCGACCAATACGTGGCAGAAACCACCCGTAGCATCAAGACTAACCTCCAAGAGGCGAAGCTACCCGATCAACCGGTCTATCTCGTATCGAACGTTGCTCTACAAGGAGCTGTCACTGGCAAGGTACCAAAGAAGATGTTGGATGAGGCCAAGCTGCTCACAGATTTGGCGAGTACAGCTCAGAGATGCGCGTAGGTGTTATCATACGTTTTGGACCTGCAGATGTTGTCTGCCTTTTCATTGTATGATTACCCATACTCTCGATACTAGTTTTTGTGCAGTTCGGTCGTAGAAGTGTTGGGACGGTGTGTGCTGACATCATGATGTATAAACGTGTAAATATTCGCGGTGGATAACAAGATAATACACAACTTCCGCTGGTCACTACACGGGCCATGTCCACTGATTATCTTTTTACATCGTGCTGCTTTGCGCAGATATCAACAGTCTGCGGGCTGGCTATAAGTCACCACGTACCAGTGCATTCTCGTACCATGGCGCGTAATATGGTCCCCGGATTCCTCAGTTCATGTTCCAACTACTATACGGTAGATTAATCAAACCTGGTCTCAGGCTATGCGGCCGGTCCAGGACTTGGGAATACAGGAGGATGGGCATGGTGGACCGACGGGACAGGCATTCAGGCTCGTGGACCTACACCGTGATATTGAGGCATGAGGCAGCCTGCAGGCTTCCGAGTCTTGCGGAAGGCCTGAAGCTTGAAAGGAATCTGACGTTATTGATTCAGACACTGCACGGCCTGCAAGACTATTGTTCTACTCTCTGCCCGCTAGACTTCAGCAGACAAATTCTGTTCTCGGCTTAAATTAAATAAATTTCCTCGAATTGTCGATGATCATGCCTGGACAATCCATCCGCATGTTCATCTCCTGGTTGAGGCACATCATCAGGACGACTGCATCTCGCTCATACCCAAGTGTCCTTTCTGTCCTCCTGCGGTTGATCCGACGCTGTTGGCAAATCGTCGTTAATGACAAAGAGAGACCTCAAGAGCGGGGTTTAGCGTTGAGCTCTCAGCCAACCGAACAAGACAAGTTGACGACTTCTGTGACCCTTGCAGTGCCACTGCTTCATGCACCTTTACATGATGAAGGGTGCCAACCTGGAATGAACATTCAGATTCAAACTCCAGAGCTTGACGAAGGGTCGCATGCCGTGGTTTTCACTACTCAGTCTCAGGCTCCCCAGAACTCATGTTCACCAGTGATAGCAAGCTCTGGGTCCGAGCCTAGCATCTACATCACGCCACCACAGTCTCCGGTGCCAGGACAGTCGCTCGGTATCACTCTAACCCCCATTACACCCAGCCAGATCAGACGAAACGACAGGAATGCAAAGATGTACGCAAATTGTATTTAACGAGTGCGTTTTCGTAATGATCTATCTCACAGTTGAGATGAATATGTGATTTTTGAGGTTGAGAAAGGTTCTTTGGACTGTTCAGAGTAAGAATATTGTTGAGAGAGCTAGCGACGAGATTGAAACAGGCTCATAGGGAGCTTGTTCCAGTAGCGGGATGGGAGCCGCTCACCCACCCATCAGGAGCTTTGTTTTTCTACCACCCATATAAAGTGCGTCTGCCCCTCTTCTGCATGGCTTTACTCACATCGCCCACCAGAGAGTTTTCACTGATGCCGATGTTCGAGACCCTGAAACTGCAGCCAAAATGGGCAAGGCTGCTGAAAAGGCTCACAAAGAAGCGTATGATGCAGGCATCGCCTTGCATCCGTCCGTCGAGTTATCGTTGGAGGTCATGTTGGGAGATGGTAGAACAATCGGCTACTACTTTGTCGATCACGACAGACGTGTCATTTTCTGGTTCGAAGCCCACAAATGTATTCACCTCATGCTTGGTGTTCGAGGTGTAGAACGCAAAAGCCACGTCAGTGAGTTCTTTTCGTGGAATGTTTATCGTTGGAACTTCTCACTGCGTCTCTGTCAGGGTATGCGCTAGAAAGCGAGTACTGGTTCGTACGCACGCCTCCGAAGTACGCATATGTTCTGACTTTGCCGAGTAAATGCGCTGACACTCCGTTACAGCCCTTCTTTACTCTACTTATTTCCACATCATGATATCGACAGGGGACATGTCAATCTGTTTCCAAACAAACGCCGTCTTCCAGAAGATGTCGTCGTCAGACTCAAAGAACTTCTGATGCATGCTCAGGCAGGTGAGTAAAGACTAGTAAAGATTTCAAGCAGTACTCGGATGACTCGTGATAGAATATATCGATCTTGGCACATCTCTATCACCTTTTGCTTCGGAACAGGTTGAAAGTCTGCTCGGCCTTATAGATCCGCTCATGAGTGAATCATTCACTGTTTTGGGGTGACATTGTTGAACCTTTTCAGGCAGCCTCAACAAGGAGAATGAGCATTCCGTATGTATCATCGGTGAGTCTAAGTACAAAAGGCTAGTTCATTACTTCTGAGATGTTCGTTGATTTCAGCTCGATGCATGGAACGATTCTGTGAGTTCGGGGCTAGTATGGAGCGCGCCCCGTTTCCTGATTAAGTTGCTAGGCATCGTCAAGTTTCTAAACTTTTGTGGACAACCAAGCGCCCGACGTAACACAAACAAATCGTTATACCAAGATTCTGATGAGCACTCAAACACCATCCTTTCTCGAGTCATGAATCTTATAATGTTCGGATCCCCTGATGCTCATAGAAAGGTTCTTCACTGGATATTGGTCGATAAGAAGATCATCCAATTGGGGCGGTATAGGAATTTTACCGACAGGCTCAATAGTGAATGGAATGGATACGCAATATTCGTGAGTTGTACCTTCCTTTATATTGTTAGTGTGACCAATGACCATGTCTAGTCTACTGTATTACTTGCTGTCGACATCAGTTTTCTCGCGGTCCCATTCGTCCAGACTCAAACTTCTGCAATCCTTGTATCATACCTATCCACTTTGTGTGCCATGGGCTCGTTTGTGGTTACACTGGTCTTTGCTAGACAACTCAATGACGGCCGGCGATACCCTGCTGAACGCGTGGTAAGTTTTCCTCTAATTGCTTTACTTTTATTATTTACGCCCTCCAGGCGTCCTTCATGTTTGGGGTGAAAAGTTCCGTCGAACGCCTTTCCCTGATGCTCAGTCTGCCGTTTGCATTCCTGATTTGGGGGTGAGTCTATGTCCGAATGCCATGGGGTAGTAGCTCATTCTTTGACCACTAGTGTAATATTGTTTGCAGTATCGTTGTCTATTGTGATTTTCCGCACTTCTGACGTTGTCACTGTCTCGATTGCATATCCCATTTGGGCCGCCATAGTCATCCTTGCGACGTGGCCCGCACTGGCTGGCCATATTGGGACCCTAAAGTACTGGATGATGCGACAGACTGTATGTCTGACGCGCTGGATCCTGCGTCTACAGTGGTATTCCAGACCTGGATTGTCAGGAGTCACTACTAGCTCTTCACGCGTGTGATCCGATGTGATTGTACTGTGGGACTTTCCATAGAGTAACAGCCAAAATGACTACTAGAAGCTCTTGGCTGTGTTGATTGTTCGCGGCGGCTACGAGGCGGTGTATGCTTCGAAAGAAGTCGGTCTGAATGATTATCTCCGTCACAGACGTCTTCAAGTAATATATACGACAAGGTTCGTGCACTGGTTAGTGCTCGGCACTAGCTGTTCAATTCCTGCATGTACTGCCATAATCACTAAAAGATCAGACTCGGAGGTGCCACTTGTTTGTATAGTCACTTACATGCCGTTTACTGCGCGTCATAAATACTCGAGGATCCCCATTGACATAGAGCAAGTAGTACTAGCTATAGTATGATTTGGGCCCGTGCAAAATATTACTATTGAAACAAGAAGGGAGCCGCGGTACATATATTCAGTATAATGGAACCGAGAGAGCACGCAACAAGTCTCAAAAGAATGATTCTGCTTCTGAATCATGATATACACTCGAATTGTCACTATCCGCATCATCGCGTGTCTTGCCTGGAAGGCCAGACACTCGCAACACACCGCGTGAAAGACCAATGCTGATATCAGCTTTGTGCAATCTTTGCCTTGTACGTTGGTCCATGTGCTGGTATAGTTCATGTTCGATCATTATGCGCTTCAGGCGTCTCTGTATAAGTCGGTTCTCTGCCCGATGCTCCATGCGCTGAGCACTGATGAGGCGGATAGTGAGATCACTATCGCGAGTGGTCTCCCAGAATGGAGGAATACGGATATCTATCTGGTTTTGTTATTAGTCACTTCACATGATATGCAATAGTGCCACACCTACAAATGACGGCTCTTGCAACACGGAATGTGGAGGAGGGCATGCGCCCTGAGGTTGTTGTGGGACGTTGCTACGGCAATCCGCACGACGATTCAAGATATTAGCTTCTTGGTCATCGGGGTGAAGAGTATGTGAGTTGACTTGATGGCAATCAGGGATGAGAGATGCAAGAACAGGCTTCACAGTGGAGGTCATGATTCAATGGAAAATTGCTGTTGGATTGACTTGCTCTTATCATCGCCGAGTTAGGTTCGTAGTTCTCAAATCCAGTACTTACCGTCTTAATTTGACGACTAGACCGGCAAACGAAAGTTTTCATTTGCGTCGACGTTGACTTGGAGCATCGAACGTTGAATAACGTGTATGTGTCCGAGAATTCTCGATTTGATATTGAACGCTTCAAACGTGACTCTATATATCCACCGAAACCGATTTAAAGCTCCATATCATGTAATTGAGTGACTGCAATTTGCCTCGAGTCGATAAACTTCGAACCGAACAAGGTCACGGTCGCATGTACTGCCCTATCTCGAGGGCTCGAGGCTGCTAAGTTAGAGGCAGTGGGTATTTGACTCAGCCGGGATTCCCAGACACTGGGCAGTGGGCACATTGATAGAAACCTTTCATCGTCCATCAATTAAGGTGAGTATTGAACTGTGCTAAAAGTAGTGATGTGCCGGGCCTGGCAAAAACCCAGGCCAGGCCAAAGCCCTCTGGTTGGGCCTGGCCTGGGCTTGGCTTTGGCCCAGGCCAGGGCCTCTCAATAAAAATCAAAGAAAATGATGAAAAATGATGTTTATTTATTTGAATACAGGCGTATATCATATATGTTACCTCGCCGCAATAAGAAACATTTTCACGTGATTTACTCGGATGACCCCCCAGTAGGAGTGACCATGGACTTTTCTTTCCAAGTTGAGGCCCCAAGATACATGTTGAGCTTCCACACACGTACATTCCTTGTCTTACCATCCTTTGCCTTATGCGCATAGGACTTGCCGAAGAACGTGTTGACGTCCCAAGTTTTCTCCTGGCGTCGAACCGTTCCGGGAACAGCAATATCTTGCACATTGATGTCTTGCAGGAAGCCGTCACTGTTGTTGTGATTCTCATCATCGCCGTCATCAGTGACGTCAACATCATGATTGATGGAGTCCTCATGTGTACCTGTATGCGCCAAAGTAAAAAGTTAGTAGTAGCATTAGAATTTAATGGTGAAATGAGTTGTGTGCTTACCTGTGTGTGTGCTGAATGAACGAGTTGAACAAGTGTAATCAATATCTGTGAAGGATGGCTCGCTGGCTCGATGAAGGCGCTTGACTATAAAAATAAAATAGTGAGCATACTGGCACAAATATTGATAGTACTTACCCTTGTATACTGATATTCATTGTCCAAATCCTTGTCCTGATTTGAGAGACTTGAACTCCAGCCAGCGTCGTCTGCATTTCGCTTGGCATTGCGTGGATTTGTTGTGGGAGCAGTGTTTGGTTGAACTGGCTGCTGGACCTGCTTGTGGCTAGTTAATTCAGGTGTTGCACTATTATTGGAATCGAGGAGCCGAGAAGAAGGTATGATTGTTTGTTTAGAATGTACTGTGATGGCAGCAACTGCTTCATCATCAGACATGACTGTGAGAGTCATTCTTAGGCTGGGTATGTTGTTCAGCCGACTTCCAGCGGATGTGGTTGTTGCAAAGTTTGATTTAGTAACTACTGTACAGTACATTCCGGAAAAATCCATTCACTATGTAGAAGCCCTGGCCTGAGCCCTAGGCCATGGCCTATGAGACACCCAGGCCAGGCCCAGGCCCTCATGAGGCCCGTCAAGTAGGCCTGGCTTGGCCTGGCCTATGGGGGCCTGTGGGCCAGGGCCTGAGGGCCTGAGGCCAGGCCCGGCACATCACTAGCTAAAAGTCATATCTGTTGACATCCTGTTAGTAGCAACCAACGCCGCATCTACATATACAACCTCCTTTGAAATTCTCATGGGCGGAGGACACTCAAGCCACAGCGGGCGGCCCACAGCAATTCATACACAACAGCAAGCGGCTGAAGCTGAGGCGATCGCCAGAGCTGAAGCTGCTTATCAAAGAGCAATGGAACGCGAGGCAGCTCAGAGTCAACATCAGGCGGCGGCCAGGCATGAGGCAGAAGAAGCACGACAGCTCGCTGAGGCTGCCCATGCGGAGGCAGTTAGGAGAGAGCAAGCAGAAAATGCCGAACGACTGGCACAAGCAGCTGAAGAAGAGATATGCAGACAGAGCGCTGCCGAAGAAGCTGCCATTGCCGCCCAGCAAGAGCAGGAACGGCAACAGAGAGTCAGGGAATAGGAAAACAGGAGACTCTAAGCCGAGAGTGAAGCAGCTGAACGCGCCGCCGAATTCACGTAGGGTATTGTGATACGGCTACAAGGTAGTAGTGTATGCTTCGAAAGGAATTGGTCTGGATCATGATCTCCATCACAGACGTTTTCAAGTGATATAACGAGGATCGTGCATTGGTTTGTACTCTGTACAGCTGTCCAATCACTGACCTATCCTGTCTCGAGGGATCCTCGAGGCCGCTAAGTCAGAAGCACTGGGTATTTTAATCATCAGCCGGGACACCCCGAAAGCTTAGGCAGTGGGCACTCTGATGGGGACTTATCGTCAATCGATTCATGAACTGTTCCAAAATCCGTGTCTTCAATTCATAAACGAGGCGATTGAACCACAACGAGGCTAAACAAGCGGAGGCAGCTAGGACTCCGAGCCCAAGCTGATCACGAAGAAGTCGAGCAGGCACGGTCTAGTGTTTGATCCCAGCGCCAGAGTAGTTTGTATTCGGGGGGTGTTTGTTGACGCGAGAAAACAGTGATGGTCGCAGGAGCAGGATGACTGAACGAGACAAGGTTGGTTTATGGTTTATTACTTCCGATGCCCAATTTGCCTTATTAGTCGTCAGCCCCTGAACCAATCAATAACCACCAGAATGAATGTGCTATACCTGAATTCTACGGCATGATGTGCGTCTCCTCTGGAAATTTATATTGTTCGAAAACAAAGCTGAATTCGTGCGGATTGAGGACAGAGTCTCCTGGCCACGTCGTCGCGTACTTTTTTCGCTGGAATCTTTTATATTACTGTGCCCCGGGCTTATACTACAAGTTCTATGTATGAGTCGCGCGCCATCCAGATGCCATACCTCGCGAATCTTTTATTCTTGGTCCGAGAGATACATTGTTCCGTAGATCCAGCATGTAAGGAATGTGTATTGTAACAAATGAATCACCATGATGATGATGATGATGATAATGATAACAATAACAATGAAGAATGGAGTGTCGCGTTATGGTATCCAGTAGAACGAATGCGTGTAGTTTGTAAAGTCATAAAGTGGTATGGTGTGATAGATGGTGAGTCGATAATAGAGAGCACAACGTATACAGGATGGTTGGTAGCGGAAGTGAAACACTAGATCTCATCATCGAAATCGAAATCGAAGTAAATGGAGGAGTAAGAGGTAGGAGGGCCCTCTTCTGATGACGACGAAACCTCATCTGCCGGAGGCAAAACTGGCACGTTAATTGCCATAAAGTCACTGGACATTGATGCGGCATTTATATCAACATCCGAGTCGAAATCGAAATCGAAATCGAAGGAAATGGGGGAGGAAGATTGAGGAGGTACTTCATCAATGAAAAAAGGAAGCCACTCCAACACATCGGGGCGTATGCTTAATAAATACGCGGGTAAGCCAGCAAAAGGGCCCTCTTCCGATGACGACGAAACCTCATCTGCCGGCGGCAAAATTGGTACGTTGGGTGTCATAAAGTCACTGGACATCGACGCGGCGGTCATATCCACAATGTCGCCTTCCAATGGTAGATTGGCCCCGATCCCCACGTCCAGCCAGTGATCAATATTGAGGTCCTCTGTCTCCGTAAGCGTTGAAGAAAAATCAAGGTCTTCGGCGGCCTCTGTGACCATGACCACTGGTAATTGAGGTGAAGAAGGGACATGGGTGGTCTCCGTAACCATGGCCTCCGGAGAGACGGGATGTACTATGGTATCCGCAAAATTGGTGGTTTCCCATGACATGACATCCTCATTTACTGGGGACGACATTTGCATGTTCTCTATAGCGTTTGGTGTCACCGGGCCGCTGTACATTGATGATGACTGAGCGCCCCCATCTCTTTTCCCTGCGTGTTCTGCGAAGTGCATCTGAAAGGCATCAGGTCTGGTATACCGAATCATAACAGTTAATAAGGAGACGAGCATATTGAGAGTGGGGATACGCACATTGGCGAACGAACAGGGCAAGACCCATTACTTTTCTCTTTAGCATGGTTATGCTTTTTCGACCCGATGTGGCGGGCGTAAGAGCTGGCAAGGATGGACTCGCCATCAAATAAACATTTGTATTTCTGGCGTCCCATTCCATCGAGTTCGGGGTCGAGTGTCTGTCCCAAGGACTAAGAATACGACCTCGCAATATGAAAAGAAAACTCACAAAGTCTGGGTCGTTTTTTATGGCGCTATCGTCCATTTTCACTCGCTTGACTTCGCGGTCTTCGCTGTCTTCTAGGTCGTCTGCTACGCGCTTTTGGGTGGCTGGGTTCATCTGGAGGTAAAAGTAGATGTAGTCAGAAAATGTAAATGTGGAAGCTGGAGATCTACGTACTTGGACAACAGAGAATTGATTAAAATGTTGCGAGGATGGGTGCATGTTCGCAGTGGCAGTAGGCGAAGCGGTAAGAGATAGAAGATGAAGGCCACCGAAGCAATATTTATATGTTTGTGGAGGACCGCTTTGAAAGTGCGGCGTCCACTGAGGGGAACTTCCTTTCAGAGAAATTTATGTGGGCCACCATTATCCACTAATTGGGACGGCGGTCTTTCACTCAACGAATTCGGCCGTGCGCCCACACTTGAGTTGTTCAATTTTTATTCAAGTCTACGATGCAAACACGAGATGCGTACTGTATATATTTTTCCCCTCCTGAGGCTAACAATCCGCATCACAGTATATTTTCTGTCTCCGCGAACCATTGAACCGCAGATCCAGGCCCTCTCGCACGAGCGACCAAATCCATCAGATCTCCGTGATTCATATCGGTGCCTTGGAAGAAACAGCCTGCTCCGTAAACTGGTCAGTGACAGTAAAACAGAACGAACCTTTGCGAGGTGCAGTGATTGGTCCATGTCGTCATACAGAACTTGGTGTACACCTCTCATATTACCTTCTAAACGCACGATCTTCGCAGCAGCTCACCAGCATCCCACTCAAGCTCCAGACTTCACGGGTAAGAATAATTTTATTGCACTTGGTTCTGAGTACTCACACTTTTTTTGGTCTCCTGCTTGATACATTGCAACATCATGTTATAGATCGTGACAGAACTCGACCCCTCGGACCACGAAACAGGTAACCGCGGGATTTGCGGGAAATTGCCATTTTGCAACTCGGAGTCTGTTCTTGAGGATGACTTCCACTTCCTCGCGCTTGTTCCGCGTGTAGTGGAAGGTAAACGGGTCCACCTCGTCATAAGCCTCGTCCTTCAGCTCGTACACGCCCGTATCAGATGTTGACTCAGGTGCGCGGAAGTGAGATACATCCTTGAGGACGCGCTCGAAAGACACATCATCCACACCATCCTCTCGGAGACACGCTTAGCGAGGTCGGTGAATGAACTTGGCCCTGCCGCAAGCGCGTGCACGATCTCGCGACGGATGGCACGCTGGAATGGGAGCTTAGTAGCGCTGGCTCTCTCGCCAACAATGGTTATAAGGACGTAGAAAACCTCCTCGACCATGCTCAGAAGATGGGCGCCTTCATAAGGGGACTTCTCGACTTCGCCACGGGTCGATGAAAGCAAATATGTGCTTTTGGAGCCTACAACTGACATATTTTTAGTGCATGTATCCGCGGTCACGAAGAGCCATAAGACGATTTTCCCGCCCCGAACGATCGGGCGATACGTTGAGCGGCAAGAGCGAAAACTTGCTTCTCGATGTCACCGACTCCAGGGAGCGTCGAAGATCTCCTCGTCTCGGGCACTGCATTGCAAGACCACGGCCCGCAAAACACAGCACAGAAGCGACATCCGCATATCCTGACGTGGGCCGAGTCCAGAAGTCTGAATCAGATGAAGCGATCGTATGCGCAGGAAATAGCTGACCATAAAACTGTGTTATGGGTGGGCAGAAAGTAATGCTGAGGAGGCATTTTTGATATTTGCCATGTACACCGTGCGCACTGGCATCTTTCGCCCAGCCAAACGTCGACCAGGTAATATTTCCCCTCGCAATCATTCGCGGTTCACCGTGGAGGTGGAATCAAGGAGCGGGCAGGGAAGAATATGCCCACGTCAGGACAGAATATACAAGCCAATGGAACACGCAAGAGATGTGTGGTTCGAAGGTTTTTACTGATATTCCAACCATAGGTGAAGATTGCTTATCATATGTCACAGTTCCAATGTTCTCCTGCGCCTTCATCTACAGCTTGCGGCGGTGCGCGGTGCGTATCAACAAATCCCTGTGTCACGTGTATTGAGGTAGTCTCTGGGGCCATATGAACATGAACTCCGAATCAGCAATGGTTTTCAGGTATAGCGACAGCGGTGTAGACACGCTTTTGAATGAATTTTAGACGTTGTCATCATCGTGCGGATGGAAGAGGGGAGTAAAAATTGTTTCAAGTTTGATCTCCGACAACATCCGAATCCCCATGCTCTTGTTCCTCACCGGCAAGTACTTGTGCCATTATAGGTCTTGCGAACACGAGCCAACGCGAAGCTAGGTCAAGTTTATTGAGCTTTTAAATGCTTATCACGCTACTTGTCAATTTAGTGCATGAAACCCTCAATTTCCAGCTGATAGATTTTGATTCTAGTGATAAGATTCCGCACTTCTGACATTGTCGCTGTCTCGATTGCATGTCCCATACGTTTGGGCCGCCATAGTCATCCTTGAAACGTGGCCAGCACTGGCCATAGATAGTCACATTAGCACTCTAAAGCACTGGACGATGCGGCGGATCATATGTCTGAAGTTGTTTTCCAGGCCTGGATTGTCAGGAGTCACTACTAACTCTTCACGCGTGTAATCCGATGTGATTGTATTATGAAACTTTCCATAGAGTGTAAGTCAAAATGACGCTATTAGCTGTATTGATCTTGTATCCAAACAGCGATCTTTCGTGCTTGGTAGTCTCCGACCCTCTTACAACTGAGGTTGAAGGCTGAATTCATGCGAAAAAGCCATACGCAGCACAATTGGTCCGGGTCACCCGCTGCGGTACTTTATTTTGTGTACAGATGGTCTTACACACCGGGCCACTGTATTCGCGGCGGCTACGAGGCGGTGTATGCTTCGTATCGTGACCTCCATCGCAAACGTTTTCAAGTGATATCACGAAGCTCGTACACTGGTTCGTACCCTGTACAACTGTCCAATCACTGTCCTTCCCTGTCTCGAGGGATCCTCGAGGCTGCTGAGTTAGAAGCAGTAGGCATTTTAGTCAGCCGGAACGCCCCAGAGCTCCCAAAACTCTGGGCAGTGGGCACTCTCATAGAGACCTTTCATCGTCAATCCAGGTGAGTAATGAACTGTTCCAAAATTTGTGTCTTTTAACGTCCTGTTAGTGCTACCGATCAACTGACGACATATTCATCTACAACCTTCAGTAGTAGTCATGGGCGCGGAACTATCACGTATAGCTGAACAAGCGGAGGCAGCTAGGAGAGCCCAAGCTGACCACGAAGAAGCCGAGCAGGCACGTGCCGCCCGCGAGGCTGCAGAAGCACAGGCCCGTGAAGAAAGAGAGCATGCCGAACGACTGGCACAGGAGGTTGAAGAAGAGAGGCGCAGACAGAGAGTTGCCGAAGAAGCTGCTGAACGAGCTACCATTGTTGCCCAGCAAGAGCAGGAACGGCGACAGAGAGCCAGGGAAGAGGAAAACAGGAGACTTCATGCTGAGAGGGAAGCAGCCCAAGAAGCCAGGCAAGCTCAGACGCCTACCCCCGAAGAATATTCCGCTTTCAGAGAAGTAATACAGCATACCGAGGGTTTCTTCCATGTTGCCCTCAGTGGGATCGCTGGCAGCGGCAAGTCGTCACTGGTTAACTCATTCTGTGGCAAGCACAACATGGATCTTGGTGCTGCCGCGGTTGGCGCGAATAAGACCAATTTTGCAGTGGCCAGATACCCTGATCCACACCCATCCAGCCGTTTCGTCTGGTACGATGTTCCCGGAGCAGGAACCTTGAAGGTCCCTGATTGGAACTACTTCAACGATCAAGGGCTCTTCGTCTTCGACTGCATCATTGTCGTGGTCAACAATAGTTTCACTGCCACTGACGTCGCTATTCTTTCCAACGCTAGGCGCTTTGGTATTCCTGCTTTCATCGTCCGCTCTAAAGCAGATCAACACATCAGAAACCTTATGAAAGACATAGGCTATAACAGTGACGATGAAGGCGGAAACAAGGCTAGTTACTTCGCGCGGGCGCGCGACCAATACGTCGCAGAAACTGCCCGTAGCATCAGGACCAACCTCCAAGAGGCGAAGTTGCCTGATCAACCGGTCTACCTCGTGTCGAATATTGGTCTACAAGCGGCTGTGACTGGTAGGGCATCGGAGAAGATGTTGGATGAGGTCAAGCTACTTACGGATTTGGGGGGCGCAGCTCGGAGATACGCATTGTGATACATTTTGGACCTGCAAATATTATCTACCTTTCATTGTATGGATCCTTGAATACACATGCTCTTGGTCTTTGTTCGTAGAAGTGTAGGGACGATATCACGATTGCACGCTAGTGTGCTGAAATTGAACGCATAAATATTCATGGTGTACAGCGAGACAATAACGATAATTGGAACCTCTTCAACAGTACGATTTTCTTCAATCATATAGTACTGGACTCGGTTGCCAATCACCTATACCTCTTGATCTTATTCCTCAATCTCGAGGTCGCCCCAATCTGAATCACTTGAATAAAATTCGTCCTCCTCTGTCCTGGGGTAAAGGTCGATCGATTCCATGGCTGACGGTGACCTAAACTTGAGTAGTCCAAGGGTGTCAATTCTCCCCGTGGAATCGCAGAACTGTTGTATAGACCCCATGACATCGATCGGAAACTGGTTTGTGGAGGCAGCATCAAAGAACCACTGAATTGCAACTTTGTGGTGCAAGTCTGGCATCCATGCATTGTCCTCAATACGATGCCATGCGGTTCCAGCTATGGATCGTTTAGTAACTTCTTATTATCAACATAATTGAGCGTTAGGCGTACATGGGAAGAGACAGACATCGAGGGTTGGGCATTTGTTGCCCCATATTTGGACCATCTTGAAGTCGCATCTATAGTCGGACAGAGACGCAAAACCCGGTAGTTCTTGATGGCGTGCAACTTCGATACGTAAGTGACTGAGGGAGCTGAAAAAAGGAAGCGCTGCTTCGCATGCTTCAAGAAACTGCGCCCATAAACATCGGGAGCTTTCGGAGCACAAACGAAAACTTACAGCTGCATTGGAATGGTGGCGTAGACCAGGTATCATCCTAGTGAATGTGAAGGCTCTTATCTTTGGCAGCGAAGTTGCGACACGCATCAAAATTTCTCCATTCCAGTGAGGACGGCACAAATGAAGGTCAGAGAGCGTTGTGCGATATCGAGAAAGGTGCCTGATATAATTCGGGATCTCTTCGTTGTCATCCTCAATCTCTGGAGATAACACAGATTGTATGGGCGCCTCCGGAGAAATTATAAACAGTAGAGGTTCGGGAAGGCAGACAGAATTCAGTGAGGAAAGGCATATTCCACTGAATTCTGATAATGGAATAGACCTCAAATCACTCGGAGATATATGTAGCTCCTGAAGCTGTGGGTGTCGCTTGACGAACGATGCGAGAGTACGTGGTTCCATTGTGGTGGCAAAGGAACGGAGGTTGGGGAACGTGCAGGCATCCAATGACAGCGATGCTCCACAGTAAGGAAACATTAACCGGATGCTTTCCACATTCGTTGCACGAGACAAGGCACGAGACAGCAGGTTGTAGAATGCGGATAAGTAGAGATAAAAGGGTCTGTTGGATGAACGAGAGTGGTTACACGTATGCAGGTTACGAGGGAGCAGGCACTTACCCTCCTGTGAGACTTGGGCGGGAGAACGCTATACCTGGCCACAGGAGAACTTTGCGGACAGAGATAGCCGCAAGTTTGTTTGAAATGAGGACCTTGCAGATTTTTATTGTTTCACCGTTGCCCGCCAGAGCCAGACACCGGTAGAGCCATCGCGCTGCACGAGGTCGGAAGCGATTTGAAACGGTGCATAGGGAAAACAATGTCCCCTTTGGTAAGAGACACGCTATTTCGTCCAAAAGCTCGTCTGGGAGGTCAGTGATGGTGGGCATGATCCTGTATACAGCCTGGGCTCAAAAGGCGGAATCGAAGGTGGCAGTGTGCAAGCGTTGTTTGTTCCTGTTGAATTCTAAAGCCTTTGACCAACAACTCCACAAATGCGAGATACTGGTTTTCTGGCATTCTAATTTCTGACCGTCGGTGCAGTTGGAGATGGATCGATATCTGCCGTGTCCTTGTCAAAACTGACTCCCGAGTCCCAGCTATTGAACAAACGCTTTCGTGACTTCGTGAATTAGGAAAGCGTTTCAGTCTGCGAGGCTGCGAGCGACTGTGACTGATCAAAAAATCAAAAGTCACGTGGTAACGCGTTGTTGACATGTATGTACTGTTTGTTGTTATGGGTCCAACATCATTTATTTGGTTCATGTTCAGCTGCTCACAAGCTCTTTTATTCTGCTTTTCCTTGCACTTCAAGACTGAGGCTTACTTTCACTAGCGCTGGTCGGCTTTTAGTCACGAAGGCCTTACGCCGTTCACGCATCCACGCAACCAACGTTCTCTCAACGATCAAATCCAAGAATTTATAAACGATCTCAACGTCAACATGATTCCTTTCATCCCGACACTTATCCTCGCTTTCGTCTCGTTCATATCATCAGCTTTCGTTATTCTTCGTATTGTAATTCCAATTCTTCCACCTCATCCTTTAAGCAGACGAGTCTCTCCCGTACGTATTCATTTTTCACATGAACCTCCAATCGCTAATTATAGTATCTTCCCCAGTCCGAATTTGGACTGCCTAATTTTAATTTTTGTTCCCTTTCTTCAGCCGACAAAAGTCACCTGTGGTTGGCTTCCCTCGACATCCTGGCTCTGTGCGCCTTCATTTGGCAGGCATTTAGCGAATACTATGGTGGACCTGCAGCATATGGCGAGGCCCGTGATGCTGCATCCTCGGCAAGATTGTGGTTTGCCTTGACAATCAGGCAGACTTGTCTCCTTGTCGTGTCCGCACTCACGTTGGTCCATATTCGTATGGGGCGATCGGTGTCCTTCGGATCCAGACACTGGATGCTGTGGGCACCCACCTTACTCCTGGTGCTCACATCTACTGCACTCTGTGGCATTATCGCTGGTGCGGGTGTCCCAAGCTTTTTCGTTGGACTCCTGGCATATTGCACTAGCGTTGCCGCATTAAGCAGCGCAGCGTTTGGCAGTCTCGTGTACACTCTCGTGGTGATCCGGCGCAATCTCGCTGCACTCAATGATCCCGCAGACAGCTGGCCACCTGCCAAAGAAGCCGAGGACAAACCCCGCCCCTCGTTCGCGACTGAAGACGTTGACGCCCTCAGGGAGGGTAGCTCCTGGCTTACTTCTGATTCTGGCAGTACGCATCGCGACTCGGCGTCTAACTGGTCTTTTTCGACCCATCAAACGCATCCCCATTCTAGTTCCTTGCGCGTCAACTCTGCCGCGGCATCCAAAGCCTCCCTTGCGCCTAAATCGTCCTACTGGTTTGATCCGCCCACGCCTATGACTGGCGATGTATTGATTCCGCCAGTCCCACCCTTGCCTTCATCTTACCGTGAATCATCATCACCCGCTGACGCCCTAAGCTCTGATCCTGACCCTTTCCGTCGTGATGCTCCCAGTCGGCCACGTCTCGGCTCGCAGAGCTCATGGCTGACTTCACCGTCTGGGTCCCAAGTTTCACACACTGCATGGTCCTATCCCACCAGCCATCAAGGTGGCGTCAGCGCCGTTGATCTTAATGCTGAGCTTCTTCCCCACGCTACTCGTCCCCTGACTCCTGCTTTGTCGAGTGCTCGAGTTCTTGGAGGATACGGGTATCAGAGTGATTCAGAAAGGGGTATTGCTTCTCTGGCGTATGACGGCAATGACATAGACATCTCATTTTATCGATACGCCTGCTGGATGTTGACAATTTGGGTACCTTTGGTAAGTCTTCCTGGTCCGATGTTATAATTGGCTTTAACAGCTGGTCACCAGGTGTTCTCCCTGCCTTATATCCTGTCTTTCATTGGAAATGGCTTCGTATCTTCCGCCACACCACTTCTTCTTGCCCTCTCTGTCACGCTGTCTTCGCCTCTCCTTGCCATGAACATCATTATGCGCTCACCGATCCCCATCCCGACTGGTCTCTTCGAGGTTCATGGGGACCCTCCCTCGGTCTGCATGCGCGCACCCTCTCCGGTTGTCACTCTCGCCGACTTCAACCGCGAGTACAAGCGGTCTGGGTCAGTCACTGTTGTTGAAGGGAGACGCTCTGGAGATGTCTGGATCTCACAAGGGGACGCCGTAGAAGGGAAAAGCAAGATTAGCCGGGCACTTGGTCTCATGACCCCCGTCCCGCGCCTAGCTGTACTTCCTCCTGACGAGGAGAAGGAAGATGGAGAGATGACGCCCCCTCTACCCATGCAGACTGAGCCCGACTCATTCAATAGTTCTGTCTTCCCCAACACCCCCCAGTCTGCGGAATTCGGGAGAATGAGGAAGATGTCGGTTCAGTCGAGGATTTCAGGCGATGAATTCGCCTCGAGAATCATGATTGCTCAGAGGCATTATTCTGCTCTAGCAACTACTGTGGTTGTCCCTGCTTCACCGGAGAAGCAAGAGGGTGATTTGCTCACTGTAACCACTGGCGTTGTTGAGAAGAGGAATTCGGTCCTTGGTAGTTCTTCGCACCTCCGCTCCCGCTCCGTTTCCTCGATCATCGGTCAGGCGATCAGCACAGACTCCAGTCCCAGCCCACCTCCGTCTCAACCACTTCCTCCCACGCCTCCTAATGTTCGTCTTGCTAAGCAACAATCGACGCGTACTCTCATCCACAGGAAGTCGTATTCATCTGGTTTTAGTTTCGGCGCCCTCGTCAATGACGATATTAACGAGATCGATGTGCTCACGGCTGGTGTTCTGCCGCTTCTTGTACCCGGTTTGAAGGTTGGAAATGATATGAAGATCAAGGATTTCGAGTTTGAATTCGACCCCCAAATCAGCAGCACTGTGACGAAGAAGAAGCGCCTGCCAACCTCTCGAATCCAGAAGGATAATGGCGACTTCGGTGTGCTTGCCAGAGGAGAGTGGGAAAGGACTGCGCAGGATTCGACATCCACCAATTGCAAGGTCAGGCCTGAGAAGGCGTCTACGCACAAGAGACATCACTTGAGTCTTCCAAGGTAAGCTTGCTCCTGTCCCCCACGCTCATATCTTCTGACATCGGTTGCGCAGTCTCGGTCTTGGCAAGGATACAACCAACTCTTTGAAATCCGAGATAGGTCGTGCGCTTGCCACGAGTACTGGTGGGTATGCCTCCGTAAATGATGGAAGGCGCAACACGGTCTGGGGGGACGAATTAGTTCCCAACCTTCTTGCGCATCCCCCTGTGAATGATGACAAAGAGCCTGCTCAGAATGGCGTCTCCCTCGGCCGCTCGATATCCACTCGCAATCTTGGTCTTCGTGTCGATATTCCTCACGGCATGGACAGTGCACGTACTTCCGTCGCTACCCTTGTACTTCCTCCGCCATCCGCTGCGTCCACAGTCACCCTCTTTGACCCTATGGCCGAATTTGATCCTACTTGCCAAAGTACGCCGAACGAAAAAGAATATCAATTCACACGAAAATATCAAGCCACTGTTATGCCTCGCTCTCGACCGACTCTGAAACGTTCAAGCATTGTCTATATCAGATCATCCGAAGAACATGCACAAGCACCGACAGAACCAGAAGCTCGACCGCCCACCGAACAAGCTAGCGCTGATGACATCTCACGACGCACGCTCACGCAGTGGTCCTCCCGGGTGGTGAAACCACTTATTCCCAAGTCTAGCAAGCAGCGCAAGGACGCCACTGAGCCCGCAATGAAGTCGAGCTCGAATTCCCTTCGCACTCTTTCCCTCCTTAAAGATCGTAATTCGAATAGTGCTGGTGATGTCGCCGGTAACGGGTTCGCAGGTACACGACCGCTTGTTCTTGGAAAGAAGAAGTCAAGGACAGTGAAAGAGCACGACGAGAATGTTGCTCCCCGTGCTGGTTCTGTGAACAAGCACCTGAAGCCACTGAAACTTAGCCGGACGGAGTCGAGCAAGGTCCGCGGAATGCTTCGCAAGGAGGAAGTGCTCCCTAGCGTGTTGGTTCGTCCCCCATCTGACCAGATGGAGTCCATCTATGAGGTTCGGTGAACACTGACATGGCTGTTTACGCTTTCCCCTTGATTGATTTGTGTTCTGTTCGCTTTGAGTTTTGCTTTTTTTTTTTGCTTTCATGACCGTCTCCTTTTAGTTTTCTATCGTATAATCTTCGCTATCGTGCTTTTCGATAATGTTCATGACATTTCATGTTGCTTTCACGTTTCCCGCAGTGCGTTTGGTCTTACTATCACGTTTTTACATAAAAGTTCATTATTCAATTGTCATAAAGTTAATGCTCAAAATATTCCCTACGTATCGTCGATGCTGTTTGTACAGCTACTATGCTTTTACCTCAATCTCATATGCTCTTTCTCGTACCAATCAGACTTCTGTAGTAGTGTAACTTGTGAATCGCAACGCAGTATCCTCGTAGCATTAGGACTCCTTTGGTATTTTTTTAATGATTGTCGGCTGTCACGGGAGTACGCATCATACGCATCAGCCGTATGCTGCATAAAAAACTTCAAAAGATGTTTGTCGTCGCCGCTAAGCCCTGACATATCAACATTTGCAGATCGAAGAACATTCACTCCGTCCTCTTCTCTCCCGACCTGAGCCACCACTTGCTCCCTCCACCTCTGCCACACTGACGTGTTGATAGGCAAAAACTCCTGCATAATTCTCCAGAGGTCTGAGAGGTCTTAGTAAACCTTCGTAAAGAACGAAGCATGCTAATGCAGTCATGCCGATTCGAGTGCCAGCTTGGTAACTGACCATGGCGTTCCAATGAAGTCCAATAGTGTCACAAAACAGTTGCCGTTGTATTTTCTCTTTATCCAGGGACTAGAGGAAGCAGTCGTGTACCCAAGTTGCGACGAATGAGGTGAGAAACATGATCTGACCGAACAGCGATCCCTGGGGAATGAGGAGGATGAGCTGTAGCAGAAATTGCACCTCGAGGGGTGACTAAGGCGGAAAGGATGCATGTGCTGAAACTGACCAGGATAGGGACACTGGCATGGATGGCGTGGTGGGTGCTCATGCGCATGGCTTGTACCGGAATGCTCGTGCGCATGGCTCGCATGGGAAAGTAATAACTGATAGACTCGCGGTCGTCGACAACAGGGTCATTGAGACACCAGATATTTCAGGGACGACAACAACAAATATTCGTTTGCGTCTTGTCGCTCGGGAGTGAAGTATATGTTGTGGCATTTCATCTGTCTCCCGCATTAGAAGGTACCCCGTCTGTTGCATGACAGAGCCTGAGCGTGATGCGATGTATTCAGGTTCATCCCAAATGCAACCGCTGAATCATCATCAGGCCCAGGAAAACGAATTTCCCATAATTTTGACCTGCATATCCTGCCGAACTCCTTGGCTATAGTATAACTGCCGGAGGAGTTGTACCAGCCAAGCCATTTTCAACCCTTGGACGGATATACAGTAGCCATGGCAGTGACAGCTTCCTCGCCACCGAAGAAACCAGCGAGACCGAAAGCATCGAGAGTGAAATCGAATTTGTAATTGGCCAAGGTCCAGACCGGCAACCAGAATACATCGCGGGTTCTGGGACGAAGGGGGCGCAGCCTCTGGGATTGACTTCTGCAAAGCATGGAGGGTCCCCTCGTGGTGTCCGTGCTAGTGTTAGAAATCCACCCTGTAGTTATAGTAAATCAGAACTACCTTATTACCGTCGAGCAAGCCAAAAGTTGAGCACTCTGAACCCTGATTAGCACGGAAGCGCGCCTCGTGGTATTCGCACCAGCACAAGAAATACGATATTGTAGAACCTAGCACATAAGATCCATGCCACTAGCGTCGCCGCAATGAAGGGCTAGGAAATCAAGTGAATGCTACTCATACAACGTTTTGGCTATCTCTGCCATGATACTTAGCCATTTAAGGGACTGGCTGGTGGGAAATTGAAATTGACGCTCTAACACGGGAGCATCGGCAATGGCTATGAGGCTGTGAGTGAAAAGGAAGGAGAAGCAAAGCTGAATTATGAATAGATGTGCACTGCCATGCAAAAGCGCATTAGGGTATAAGCAAGGAAGACTGCTGTGCTCACATTCAAGATTTCATCGCTCTTCTCTTCACTAGCCTCTTCAACTGACCATCGGCTTCAGCAGGGTAAGCGCTGTCATAATAAAAATCCTTATCAGCCATCAGGCTCACAGCGCATGGAGGACAGCTCGCCGCAGTTCCTTCGAACGCACACATCCTAAGGCTACTTGACTGCAATTTCGCTCGCAGAGACACAACCATGGCTTCCGCATCGACGAAGCAGTTCGGTTTAGACATCGATATGATCCTGAAACCTGCAAGGACGTCGGAAGATGACGTGGGTGTTGCATCCATATCCTACTTTCCTGACGGGCAACGAATGATAAGCGGATCTCGGGATCAAAATGCTCGGCAATGGGACTTGCAGTCGGGCAAGGAGATTGAGGAAGCGCGGGGTGTTTATGAGGAATGGGTATTGGCAGTTGCGGTATCAGGAGATGGTCGATGGGTTGTGACTGGTGGTGGACATTACGCAATTGGAGAGCTGAAGGCCTGTGAGGTAGAGACGGGGATCGTGAAGACATTCAAAGGGCACTCGTCGAAGATCATCTCCATCGATATATCCGGGGACAGCAAGCTTCTGGCGAGCGGGTCATCTGATAATACAGCGCAGATATGGGACTTGGAGACGGGCAAACTCGTGGCCGGTCCATTCAAGAGTGGTGACTGGGCGGGCGTTCGATTCTCGACAGATTCGAAGAAGCTCGCAATCAATTCAGGGACGTGCTTTGAGGTCTGGGATATTGAAAATCAGAACTTGGATGTGAGGAAAGGGAAATTTTGTTGGGGGCCCGGCACGCTTGCGCCAATTTTCTGGACAAACAATAACAGAAACATCTTGGCCGCATTCAGCTTCATCCCGGAAGACAATACAATTCCCGAAGCCAATACGATCTATGAATTCAACGCATCAACGTTGGAGACGGTCGGAACTCCCTTCAAAGGGCACACCAACTCGATCAGTAGATTTGCACTTTTATTTGACGGCGCCCTCCTCGCCAGTGCTTCCTATGACAACACCATCAAGCTTTGGGCCTTCGAGTCCCGCCAACTTCTTGCCTCCTTCGACATTCCCGGTGTCGAACTCCTCATATCCTCACCAGACTCACTTCAACTAGCTTTCACGAAGTACGGTAGTCCCGAAATCTACATTTGCAACACTATGTCCTCTCTGCTTTCTATACCGGAAATACAGTCTATCCTCCCCAAAGTAAGCACTTGCCAGCATCATGAACCTATCTTCGGTGGACTAACGATTCACTCCCAGACGTGCATTGGTTCAAGGGATTCTTCTGCTATCACTCGTGCTGGTCTCATGGACTGAGGATGCCTCCTTGATGGCGCTTGGAGCGTCTCGACATACCCCGTCAGGATGGCGCGAAAAGTAGCAACCGTGATACGGCTCGTGGTCACAGTTAGCTCAGAGGAGCATGGAAGCGGCCCGGTCGTGTTTCTGCTTCTAGAGTGGTCTGTTTACATTCCCCAGGCATTTTGCAATGTACAATAGTTTGTAGTTTATGTACATATCGTTTCATTTGGATCATTTATCGTCCCTGTATCAATGGCACACGCGGAATATGGGACTCGCATATTCGGTCTGATTGAGTCCAGCGCGGTCGAGTCTTATAGATGTGTAGGTTTTCTGTGCTCTGTTTCTCACTTCTCTCTGACTATTATAGTTTTGTGTAGAACGAATCAGCAGCTACATACCCTCCTCTCTGGCAGACTCGAGGGCTTGTCCCCAGACGACCTGTGCGATATCATATCCGCGAGTTCCTCACAACTTTGAAATGTTGCCAATTCATATGGAAAGCCTACACCAGAATCACGAAAAGCAGTCGAGGAGCGTATATGCGCCCATCTACGTTCATTGAATTCCCAAAACAATCGATCATTTAGATCATGCGCGACGATGATCTTGTAGATATCATTTGCATACGGAGTCGTAGAACAGTCATGGTGAACATCGACTCGCTCGCAATGGTTTACCTCTAGCTAATCTGCCAATTTCCTTCTGTTCGCGCTAGAAGGCCTGAATCCTGGCACAATCCTAGGTGGAAGGGTACTTTGATTCAAAAAGGGTCATAGAAACAATCCACATATCAATCAGATACAGGCATGATCACGATCGCAAACGATGAGTTGTACTCTTAGTAGCTCCTCTTGCTGGCTTCGTAGTAACCATGAGTGACAGATCTGACCGGGACTTTGCTAGAAAAATATCTGACAGTCATGTCTCGCATAAAGTTCAGTACGTTGGCAGTTGAGCAGAAGAGGTCGTGATCAGCAGGCTGGCTCGACCTTCACTTGGCGCCACAGCAGGTCAGTTGGTGCGATGGTGAGCAGTTCGTGGATCCAATTCCTGCCTTTACAAATCTGCTGGAAGGGAGAATAACATCCAGTGCGTGGGTTTGTGACGGGCCTTGTAGGCTTATTCGAGCGGCAGGGAGAGGTCTGTTGATGTTATGACATCCAGGGCAAGCTCGAGAGAAAAGGATCGATGTGGGTGTGCAGAGACTGGGACAATACGTCCTACGAGGCAGCCTCATATGACGAGGAGCCACGATATCCTTACGCGACGACTTACACCTGGAGATATCGAGATTTGAACCTCCGGGGACTGATGTGGTATACACACAACTTTCCGGCCTTTCCACGCCTCCTTGTCCACACCGTGCGAGAATACTTGCAATCGCGTCGGACGTGTGAAGTTACAAGTCAATGAATGTGACTGAATTAGATATCGATGCGGACATCACCCGCGATGCGGGCTGGTAGGGAGTACGGGATAATCGTCCCCATGCACATCTGCAATGGTGCGTGCGTGGGTCTGTGAAGGGAAAGGATCGGGTGAGCATGGACTTGAGGACGGTTGAGATGATGGAACAAGGGAAATCGGCCACTAGCGTCGAAATCAAAAAGGGCTAGGAAATCGATTGAATGCTACACATGTAACGTTTTAGCTATCTCTATCATGATACCGACGCGATTTAAGGGACTGGCTGGTGGGAAATAGAAATTGACGTTCTAACACAGGAACATCGGCAATGGTTGTGAGCCTGTGAGTGAAAAGCAAGGCGAAGCAAAGTTGAATTATGAATAGATGTGCACTGCTATGCAAAAGCGCGTTAGGATATAAGCAAGGAAGACTGCTGTGCTCACATTCGAGATTTCCTCGCTCTTTCTCTTTACTAGCCTCTTTAACTGACCATCGGCTTCAGCAGGGTAAGCGCTGTCATAATAAAAATCCTTATAAGCCATCAGGCTCACAGCGCACGAGGACAGCTCACCGCAGCTGCTTCGAACGCACGCATACAAAGGATGTCTTGGCTACTTGAGTGGAATTTCGCTCGCGGAGACACAACCATGGCTTCTACATCGACGAAGCAGTTCGGTTTAGACATCAATATGATCCTGGAACCGACAATGACGTCGGAGCGTGGCATAGGCGTGAATCGTACACGCATAGCCTACTTTCCTGACGGCCAGCGAATGATCAGTGGATCTTTGGAGGAAACCACTCGGCAATGGGACTTGCAGTCAGGAAAGGAGATTAAGGAAGCGCGGGGTGTTTGCAACTTGAAGGAGGTATGGGCAGTGGCGGTATCAAGGGATGGTCGATGGTTTGTTACTGGTGGTCACTGTGAAGATTACAGGATCGGGGAGTTGAAAGCCTGTGAGGTTGAGACAGGGATTGTAAACACATTCGAAGGGCGCTCACAGAGGATCGAGTGCATTGATATCTCCGCAGACAGCAAGCTGCTGGCGAGTGGGGCCATGGATTGGACAGTACTAGTGCGGATATAGAACTTGGAGACTGGCAAACTCGTGGCCGGTCCATTCAAGACTGTTGATCGGGTGGGCGGAGTTCGATTCTCAACGGATTCGAAGAAGCTCGCACTCGAGTCGACTGTGGGGAAGGGGCTTGAGGTCTGGGATTTCCAAAAACAGAAATTGGATGCGAGGATCGGGAAATTTGGTGGAGGGAATATGACGTATGCGCCAATATTCTGGACAAACACAAACAAAACTATCTTGGCCGCATTCACCTTCACCAAAGATCTTGATGCCAAGTCAATTTACGAATTCAACGCATCGACGTTGGAGACTGTCAGAACTCCCTTCAAAGGGCACACAAAGCTTGTCACCAGCCTAGCACTTTTATTTGATGGCGCCCTCCTCGCCAGTGCCAGTGACGACAACACCATCAAGCTTTGGGCCTTTGAGTCCCGCCAACTCCTTGCCTCCTTCGACGTTGCAGATGTCAAATTACTCATGCCCTCACAAGACTCACTTCAACTAGCTTTCACGACCGGAGGTGATCCCAATATTTACATATGCAACACTATGTCCTCTCTGCTTGCTATACCGGAAATACAGTCTATCCTCCCCAAAGTAAGCACTTGCCAGCGTCATGAATCTATCTTCTGTGAACTCACCTTCCCTTGAAGACTGATATCACTGTCATATCATACCCTCCAAGGCATCAAAGGCCTTCGCATAGAATAGACCACCATCAACCCACGTTCCTTCGCCATGTTCGCAAATTATTTCATTTCGCTCCTAGCACAAACGCAGTACGACATGGTCAGCCTCGCGATCCATGGGATGTTCATCTCTTTATCTCATTTCTTTCATAGTTTACTCACGCATTTCCCACAGTTCCCTGCTACGTCGCCCCTGCCTCCCACCCACTCGACTTCAGCGCAGGCCCCAACTCAGTTCGATCATGTTTGTCTTCGTTTTGAATCAACTCGCAATCCATCACTAAGTCCTATCTAGTTTGAAATAAGTTCTCCACCCCCCCGCTCGAACAGAGTCGCGCAGTTCCTGCGACAGGGCCTTTCCTTCCATAGGTCCAGATCCAGCCATGAACCACAAGTTGTTCAAGTCGCAGCCGGGCGGAAAGTCAAAGTAACGCAGATCTTCTCGCTTCTCCTTCCCTTTTGCTGATCGGTCCCTTACAGAATCTTGCTGCTGCGAAATTACCAGAATACAGGAAAGTCAACGATACACGGCATCCTTCTAGTTAGCAGCCTGGGGCGCCTCAGGACACCGAATCACCTGACAACGATTCGCTCCCAGACGTGCATTGGTGCAAGCGTTTCTTTGCTATTATTCGTGCTGGTCTCATGGCAGACTGAGGACGCCTCCTTGATGGCGCTTGGAGCGTATTGACATCCCCCGCCGGGACGCTGCAACAACTAGCAGCCATGCTGGGGCTCACAGTAGCAGTTGGCTCAATGTAGATGTATTCAACTTAGTTTGATTCCCCGCCAACTGATGATTCAAACTTCTTTCTGCACGTTTTTTTTCACATTACGCAGTTACCTTGTAGCTATTACAGTGCATAACTCACACATTCCAGGGTCGTAGGACGATACACAATACATCGCGACCTTGCTTGTCATCTCTCACCTTGGGATTAATGCCGTTCTCATCATTCTAGTAAATACCTCCGATCAGGGATTTGCATGAAAGTCCGATTTCAGTGATCGGCGGGACCGTAGATCGTCATCATCATTACAGTACAGTATAACGAGTATATTTCTGAGTTCGTTTGCGTGCCTTGCATGCAGAGGTACTTCCAGACAGACAGTACTGTACAGAAGCCTGGCGTTCTCCGACTCCGTCATCCCGTCATCACGTATCATAGTCGCATAGATCCAGATGTACATCAGGATGAAGTGGCGGCGATTCTCGTAAGAAAACCTGTGGAAGCGCTAGTACTGTGATCCATATAAACACGTTAATGTTTCATACAAGTCTAGCGGGCCCACTATGGATGCACGGTCGCCCTAGTTTCTTTGCGGTATGAATTGCATTGGAATTCCTTGTGTTCAGACAATTTTGTTACAAGGTCAAAGAAAGTGATAGCATTGATGTGTTCATGCATAAGTATGGTGTGAGATGTAATGAGTGAGGTGATGCCGCAGATACGACAGAGCAAAATAATGAGTGGAGGGTGCTACAGATACGACCGCGCGATATAACGATACACAAAGAAACACAATGAATGAAGGATGCCCGCAGGCGGATACGGCAGAGAAATATAAATGATAGATAAAGTAATGTGTAGTCCATGAACGATGAATTATGCAGTCCAAATGATGAGATGATGCACGCTTGCCCGATGATCTTGTCCGAGGGAGATATCTGGAACCTTGTTCCAATCGAAACCATATGATAAATCAATCTTGCGACGACTCGTTCGAACTTCAGGTCGAATCACCAGGTCCTTTAGGTCTTTTGGAACAAGACTTGTAATGACGATTCAAAGAGTCCGAGCGACTTAAGCTAGAATCAATGTATCAGCTTCACATTCGCACTTAAGAGACGCGTGGCACTTACTCCTTGTCACAGTATTCGCATTTAAACTGACCGTCGTCCCCAGTGTGCATTTTCGAAGTGATATGCTTCAGCATGCTTGGTCTTGGCATTGTACCCCACTTTTTACACTGCGGAAGAAGGCATTTGTACCGGACAATGCCGTGCTGTACGATCAGTTGCACATTGGGAGGTACAGTAAGAGTCTTGCGTCCCGCGCCCGATATTTCTGAAAGCTGGGGTAAATATCCAAAAGGAGGAGGGGCGGAGGGGTGGTGCGATGGCCCAGGCATCATCTGAGGCTGGGGGAAATAGGGTACAAACGGAGGAGCGATGAAGGGGTTGTACAATGGCCCTGGGATCATCTGGGGGAAAAAGGGTTGAAACGGAGGGATGGAGGGGTCGTGCAATGGCCCTGGGGCCATCTGAGACTGGGGGAAACAGGGTACATTTGGAGGTGGGATGGAGGGGTCGTGCAATGGCCCTGGGGCCATCTGAGGCTGGGGGAAACAGGGTACATTTGGAGGTGGGATGGAGGGGTCGTGCAATGGCCCTGGGGCCATCTGAGGCTGGGGGAAACAGGGTACATTTGGAGGTGGGATGGAGGGGTCGTGCAATGGCCCTGGGGCCATCTGAGGCTGGGGGAAACAGGGTACGAACGGAGGAGGGATGAAGGGGTTGTACAATGGCTCTGGGGCCATCTGAGGCTGGGGGAAATAGGGTGCAAATGGAGGATGGTAGTACAATGGCCCTGGGGCCATCTGAGGCTGGGGGAAATGCGCTGCGAATGGAGGAACGGCTACATGCCCCGTCATATCCGGCATGAGGGGGGGCTGTCCATATTGTCCCATACCAGCATCAACCACTGCGGTCTCCATTCCGTGCGCTGTGGGAGCCGGCCCAGGTGGAGCGTACTGAGATGGATCGGCATACATATCGAATGGCACAGGTTCGGCACGTTGGGGTTGCGGCTGAGGCTCGTCTTGGGACGGGCCTGGGATGGAACTTTGGCTCATTTGAGTCGCGTAGTGGTCCATAGTTAATGATAGAATGCTTGAGAGATGTAATGTTGATGGCGCCAGGCCTTATACTGTGGTAGGACAAGATGAGCGATAGAAGGTGGAGAAAGTGTACAAGAGTAACTCGCAATGCACAAGTTATGTGGCAGATGTTTGCAAGGAAAGTGCGATGGATGTTGAAGAGAAGTAGAGGGACGCAGGTAGCAGTATTTAAGCTGTTGGAACCCCGACTAGATGTATGTCACACTTTGGTGTTTGGTGGACGTTCCAAAGCGTCTCCGACATATCACTTCCTTTTTCGTATGATTGTCCACACCTTTTGCCCATACTAAGCGGCATAGTGAGCACAGCCTGGTGTCATACAAAGGAATGCTTCCACCGACCAGATTTGACAATGGCCAACATGCCCGGATAATCCCCCACGAGGCTGCGGTGACGGCCGACTAGGGTGACCGTCGTGAAGAGCAGAATAAGGTATTGGTGAACAAACATTGAACACGACGCGCTGGATCTCAATATTCAGATTCCTTTGCCCTTTGGCTGAGCATGTTCTTCGTGTATACGGACATGATTTTTTTTGTATGCTGCTGGATATTGATTGCTTCCAAAAATCGTATACACGAAATCTAATCGACAGGATTTATCAATATAAATATATTGAACAGGAGATTGCGTGCTTATGACACCACCGAATGATATGGCCGTCCAACCACCAATAGAAGGGTGCGTCTCTCCAACGCGTCTAACTTGCATCGCGTCTTCAGATGGCCAGGAGCAGGTCCACGCATAGTAGAATGAGATCTCCATACCTCTCTTCTCTATCACATGACACTTCGTCATCGTGCTCTTGAATGAGAACCCTGCGTAATAGTCTGGCACGTGATCTCCGTCTGCGTGAAGTGGAACATGGGAGATCACGACAAGGGACCATGCAAACGAAGTTCGAGGTAAGAACCATACTATGAAGTCAAGCGCGACTGGTAACTTAACCTCATGCATCGCCTCGCAGATGTAGTCCCATGTGAGATCGCTGCGTACCCGCGGGATGTTGGTCAGTGCTGGTCCTTGACTTGGACTAAATTTGTGTAGGGGCCTGCCCGACGTATGCTTGGGCATTCCTATGATGGATGAACGCGTTATATTTCCAGTGAGACATAGACAAGCGCAGCATAGAGGGACCACATCAGCCGACATGTTTCCGTCCCGCGTATGGCAGATTTCTAAGCGCACGCAAGGTCAAGGTGGGTGGAGAATGATGTGCATTGTATTCAAAACACATACCCATTACAAGGGTTTTTACACTAGCTCTCAAAGCGCACAACCCGACAACCGACTCCACCGCACTCGAAAACGGGACCGACTGGCGACATGCGAATAAATTACAATACTCACCAATTTCCTAGTGCTAGGCGCAATGCTCAGATCGAGCACCGAAAAAAGTGGTGAGCGTGAGGAATGTCAGTGGTAGAGAAACGCAGATGATGTGGAGGGGGACGAGGGTGTATATGTGTACGTGGTTTGAGATCTGAGAGACAGAGTGTGTAACGATTCAGAAGTCATATCATAGCTATAAAATGGGAGAGTCTCTTACCTCCAGGTTAGGGTCAGAATGGGTAAAGCAGGAATGGGCGAATCCGCGTGGGAAGTAGAGGGAGTGGGCATGTACAGATGAGCGTCAGATGAAGCCTGATCGAATTTTAAAGTATGAACTTCGATGTCTGGAAGCTAGCTATAGCGCTCACTGGCTCGGTTGAACTCAAAAAACTGCAGAATCTTCGAGTCACGGCATGTCAACAACGACAAACAAACATGGCTTGTCGCCGCACAACCATACGCGGTAACTTGGAATCATTCAAAACGAGTACACGTCCATCCGCCTCTTTTTCATGCTTAAACATTGCAGGTGTTGCGTCCATCTCTTATATTTTAAATCTAACCTACCTTTCCTCGCGTACACTCGTTCAAGGAACTTGAAAATTCGACAAGGTACGTACTTTTCTTGCTCACACTGGCAGAACACCCGTTTCGGCTCTCACGCTTTGATTTAATTTTTCAGAGCAACTCTTCCACATTGCGGTATTGATGGTGTGTCAAGTTTTTTCTCTCTCCGTCGTTCTCCCCGTACTTATAACCTATGAGCTTTCAAGTATGGTCCAAGATCAGACGGGTAAGATAATGTCAACTTATGGATGGAGGTGCTTGTCCCTCTGGTCACCACGGCGTCCCTCAGGCTGTTCAATCGTTTCTCTTTTATCCTTGTGGTGTTCCAGACTTACTTCTCACTACAGACTTCATTCGCCGACACATATTTCGCTCCTAAGTCCACGCTTCGTTTTGAATAGCTGTAGCTGTTGGGGAATACGTGTTTGGGTGCTCGCGTACCCAGCTCATTCTGAACATGGTCAGTTGCTGCAGGTATCGTTTCTGAGCTATATACAATGATCACACTCAACTCGCCAGTGCTGTTGCTTTGCATGAGACACGGACGCCCACTTCAATTACATTGACGTGTAACTCACGCTTCTCGTTTTCATCGAGGCGTTCTACCGCAGTGATGTTTTAAATCATTGCTGGGCCTTGAACACACCTATGCAAACGTTGTGTCTTTTCTAGCCGCTGTGCTGTTGCCAGTGTCTCAGGAGGTTATGAACCATCATGGCGTTCAAGGTCAGATGGGCGAGATTGTGCGATTCTATGCTGACTGTGAGTCTGATCAGGGTGTTCGTATGAGGCGGTTTTTTGGTAATGGAAAGACTTTGCTTTAAGCACGCTCGAGTGCTGCTTTCATGATGACCCCGAACAATTTCCACTTTGCCTGCCTGCCGACGCTGCTCAGTTGATGATAAGTACACGTTACATCTCATTGCAAACCAAAAGCTAACATTAAATGCAACCAGGTGATCGGGCACGTCTCATGCTGTCATTCTGGCGCTGGTGAGTTAGGTACACAGGCAACCCAACCCAACTCGCCAGCGCCAGCGATGCACATTCCGCACCAATTCATACGCTGATCAGTTGCTAATAAGTACAATTCGCATCACATTCATTCTAAATCGTTATTAATTGTGCACGCCTCAGGCTGTTCTGGCGGTGGTGTTGAATTAGGCGTTTGATAGTATTCAGAAACCTAATGCAGTTCGCCAGCGACAGTGACATGCCATACCATTTATCACGCGCAATCTATTATCTCCACCTGGCTCGTATTCAGTATTTATTCAACCTCATCTGAACTTCCAGCGCGAATGAACAAATGATTCGAATCGACTGCAGCAGGCAATACACTCTCGGGTGAGTCGAGTATCTACAAAGATCACGCTCACTATCAACGTGAGGACTACTCACAGATCGCAACGCGTTGCGGCTTCGAACGCAGCAAATAATTCAGATATCGTTCATCAACGGACGCAGAGAACCTGATGCATCTCAGACTGTTGTGCCTTCCATTGTGTATGCTGGCTGGTGTACCCCTTGCCCTTCAGGTTCGTGACAAGGCCAATACTGATCTTTCCACGAGTTAGCTGTGTCCTTGCGAAAAAGATAGCACAGCTATCTCGCTAGACCTACCGTTGGCGTGTTGAGTGCAGAGCAAGTCTTCTCTGGTGAGTGGACCAAAGTGTGACCTTGTTTTTCAAGGTGTGGGCTAATGGTATGTTCTTATTCATTGGTGGGTATTGAGCGCAGAGCAAGGTTGTGCCAGTCTTCTCTGGCGAATAGGCAGTCCCGCTGTTATTCAGGATGCGGAGGCCCGTTCTTCTCAATCATCGCTGTGCTTCTCGTTTTCTCATCAATTTCACGCTGAATTATAATTTAAATCATGCTCTAATACAATGTATTCAGGTGGTAGCGCACGCCTCAGGCTGTCGTTCTGATGCTATTGGAGTGGGATGTCGATGGAATTGCACAGGACACCGAATCGAACTCCCCAGCACCTGGTAGAGATGTACATGCCACACCATGTACGACACGGACACGTTCTCGCAGTCTGCGCGTCTCCGACCACCAGGGCGTCAGTTACTGTTATCGACACCTGGGCTGGCTACTTAATTTCACTGTCCTGTTTCATGATATATGGCGACGGTTTAGACGTTGCATTTTTATTCCCATGCCTCCAGTTTTCAACAAGCAGATGTATGGAAATGGTGATCTTGAATCCTATGAATAAGTGCTTGATATCAGCGTCGATGAAAAATCGAAAGTGACGTGAATTCATAAGATATTTGGTCAGAACAGCTTGATGTGATGGGATAAAGAAAAGTGGTTTCTGTAAACGTTCACGCGGGTAAAACGAAACCTATAAGCGAGCAACGATGAAAGTTGAACGTTGAATGCCTGTAGATTGACGTGTTGGCACTGATTGTAAATTTGGTCATGGCTGTGAGCTGAGAAGCGATGCATGGCACAATGCACAGGTGCCCTTGCGGAGGGCCGTGTACACTACCGACCGCCGAAAACCTGTAGTACAGTCCCAAAAATGGTAGGCTGTGCCGCACATTGCCGCCACCTTGGTCATATGACTTTCTCACCACCTATTGGAGACAAATATATTATAGCCTTAGCGAAGCGAGAATGTGCGGGGTTTGAGAGACATGCTAACAACCACCGAGACGCATCTCCAAGACACCCAAAATATGTCGGCTACCCGAGCTTTAGTCTATGTGGTAAATGACGGGTTCTGAATATATCTTGTACCACGCCTGGCACAGACATCTGGTTCATACCTGTTACACAGGTTGGCAATGACGGGCTCTGAATATATATTGTACCACGCCTGGCACAGACATCTGGTTCATACCTGTCACATGGATTGGCTTCCATATGTCGTGTATACATATGCTCGATACCTCTGACATGCATCAATTCTCAGATATATAATATATACATGGATGATACCTGTGCACTATCCTCAGATTTTATTGGCACTCTGAATGTTTGGAGAATTAAGCACGCAATAAATGGAACGAGCCACACAAAACATTGCATTACGGTGGATAGGTATATAGTACAGGCACGATTATATTGTGATTATAGTGTAGAAACACCAGTTTACGTGCAGTATGCACAAGCAGTGGAGTATAAACGAGCGTTAAACGTGGTTCCAAAGAAGGTGGTTCTGAATAGTCAATTGCCACTGGGGGCGGTTGGTGGACAGGAGCACTGGAACTTTGGTATTTCCAGGAAAATCGGAAAGATCCTGCTGTAGATATTGCACAAGGATGCTTTGTGCTAGTCAGTGACAAAGCGCAAGGCACGAAAACAAAAAACCTACTTGCTATATGCTTTCTCATACGATGAACCATTGTCTTGCATCGCTTGCTCCTTCGCAGCGTTGCGGGCGCTTGTGAGTGAGGAGTCGACGAAATTCCAAAATTTTCCCACTGTGTAGAGGTCAGATTTCTCCTCGACAACCGAACCATCCCTGTCAACGTCCCCAGTGTCGCCCGCATCGAGCTCAAAGTCTCTGTCGTCTCTGTCGTAATCCACATCCACGTCAACGTTCTCATTCTCGCCATGGCTATCACCGGCTTCATCTGCATCGGCAGTGATGTCTGGCAAGGGGCCAGTGCTGTCGCCGTCCTCTTCTGAAGCGAGCATGCTTTGCTCTATCTCGTCGATATCAATGCCAAGCTGCGGTCCAATTTTTTCGCGGATTTCCTTTGGGAGAGAAGGTATAAGCAGGGGGGAGTAAAGAGACTTCAGGGAGACAATCTTATAGTCGCCGATGCCGATTAGGTAGACACGCAAGCAGCGCCGCTAGGTAGTCTCAAGAGGTTATTATCTATATGACATTCGATGTAAGAAAAACGTACCAAAAATGCGAGCCTGTTCCAATGAGCCGCATCAACCTCAATACAGCCATGAGCGAGGGACCTTGCGATGTCTGTGATACTAGTGCGCTTAGCAATAGACACAGTCAACTGACCAATCTCATTGTCAGAAAATTTCGTCATTGTAATTGCGCTGCACACCTTAGATTTCATGTTGCCACGGATTGTAGAGAGAGAGTCGCTGACAATCTTGGCAAAAAGTGTGCTGAGCTGCACGTCCTCGAACAGTGCCTCTGGAACCTTGAATACTTCTTGGTGCTCCTTGATAAATTTCTGCCGCGGCGTCAGTTCATTTCAAATTCATTCATAAAGAACCTACCAAGATCTGTGGGTGTGTGTCTGTCACATACGCAGTGAGGTTGGGCGAAAGCATGCACGCGGTCAGACGGTTTTGAAGTGCAGACTACATTGAATGATAAGTCAGACTAACGAAGTGTACATACGACAGAGACGGCAAATAATACCTTGAAATCCTTAGAGTTCAGTAACTCTTTCAGATTAGCGAGCAATTTCAGTTTCTCGTCAACGTCATTCTTGAGCACAAGGGCTGCAATCCTGATGAGCATCTGGTATATCCCTCCACACTGAAGGGGCACTAAATCATTTACGTCTACAGTAAGTTAAAAAAACACCCACATCAATGAACTCATGTAGACTGGTGTTTGGAACACCAACCTCCTCTGCAACTTTGTTTGCGTAGACTTTGAGTCGTTTTGTGCTGCGAGGTGTAAGAGTTGCCGAGTAACCCTGACCAGTAGAATCCACCCTTTTGCGACGCACACCAGCAGTTATAGGCTCGTCAAAGGAACCATCGTCCGATGGCGCACGTGAAATGCCGGGAGTTTGGAAAACTGAATGAGCACTTGTCGGGACCAATGGCTGGTGACCTCCTAGAGGTGAGCGTGCGCGACCGATATTACTGGGTGGTCGAGATCCTCTGTCGCTGGCTGACATACTCCTGCCTCGACCAAGCAGGGGGTCGCCAGGTGTGAGTAGACCATTTGCTGTTGTCTGCCTAGTTTGTGGTCTCCCGCCCTTGGAGGCTCGAGTACGCACAGGATGATGTGAGATCATCACAGACAGTCTGCCAGTGAGTGAAGGAGCACAACAAACAATGCTGCGTGTCGGTGTACCAAACATTCTTTCTCTGGCCTCACAATTGATGTTTTACTTACTTTATGTTGGTACTCTTACTGCTGACATAATCCAATGAAGTTTTGACCTAGTACCAGTATCAGTCTGAAAGTCCCCTGTCCTTTTGTCTTGTTTCCTTGTCTGTTTCTCTCTCCTTGAGCACTGAGCCTAGAGCAGAGACCCTTTAGGGTCGAACTAGCCTAGGCCAGCAAGACCCAACATATTCTCTACAGCCTGTGGAGAAGTTGTCTGCACATCGGTTCAAACGTTAACGTTCAAACCTCTTAATTGAGTTTACGTTAATTCAATTCAATTGACCCGGCAAGGGAATTTTCGACCGTCATGCGTCAAGACAAATCAGACAGTGCTGCAGACACACAGAGAGAGGGGATGGTGTCCAAATTACCATTATAAATACAGAGTACATTTGTGAGCAGTATTTTCTCGAGGCAGCAAAGCGGCAGGGAAATGAATGAATGGTATCGCACGAACACAAACCGTCAGGGCCCGCCTTGGCCTGGAGCAGCGGGAGCATTGTGAGGTGACCTTTCTGGAGCGTCCCTCTAACAACGGCTCCCCCACAAACCCCAAAGTCTCCCAAGTCTATTGGTGCACCATCTCCTGCAGGTTAACAAAAATGACAGAGTGAAGCTGCGCGTGTTTGGAGAGAATGTTCTTCCACAGCGAGCGAGTAAAAGCCTACTGGCTCTCATGTGGCTTGCCCTGAAAGATAAAGTTCTTGTGCGATCGTGACAGAGGAGTACAGCGTTGTCCGGTGAGACCCGTGCTGCTGCTGCAGTGGGGGTTGGTGACAGACACCAGAGAGGAGCCGTGATTGAGACGGAGGAGTGGAATTTCGTTACCAGAGAGGAACTGCGATGGTGGTGGAGTGCAGCTTGGTCTGGTGAACTGCGCGATGTTGCTGCTGTTGGTGTTGCTGCCGCTGTGGTGCAGGTCGACGAAAAACAGCAGATAAAATACTAATGTTGCGGGTGGGGGTGTGGATGGGAGTACAGGTGCTGCTGCTGTTGCGGGTGGGGGTGTGGATGGAAGTGCAAGCGCTGTTGCTGTTGCTGTTGCTGCTGCTGCTGCTGCTGCTGCTGCTGCTGTTGCTGTTGTGGGTGGGGGTGGAAGCGCTGTTGCTGTTGCTGCTGCTGTTGCTGTTGCGGGTGGGGGTGGAAGCGCTGTTGCTGTTGCTGCTGTTGCTGCTGTTGCTGTTGCGGGTGGGGGTGGAAGTGCTGTTGCTGCTGCTGCTGCTGCTGCTGTTGTTGCGGGTGGGGGTGTGGATGGGAGTGCAAGTGCTGTTGCTGCTGTTGTTGTTGCTGCTGCTGCAGATGCGGCCCGGGTTGATTTGGGTACATATTGTAGCCTGGGCATAGTTAGATATGTGATGCTATAGTAATGACGAAGGACTTACCGGTATACAACCTTTCTATACCCTCGTGACGTTGGTGTGAACCCCCTGGATAAAGATACAGAGCTGGTGGCGGCGGATCATATAACTGTGGCGGCGGAAGTTCTGAATGGTGCAGAGGAGGGTGGTAGTATTGGGGGGGAGGGAATCCTGGTGGTAGCGCAAGTTGGGCTTGATTTTGGCGATCTAAAACGTGAACCATCGAATCTTGCTGAGTAGATGAAAGCTGACTAGAGGGTCCAGCGGTAGCTTGACCAATCTTCGACGTTGCTGCCTTCCTTCGTGTGCCGGAAGCGGTTGCATTTGCCTTTGATTTTGCAGTCATCCTTGGCTTGGGAGGGGCCCGATCGAAGACGGGAGCTGCCACCAGAGGGACCCCGATATCGTTTTCTGCGTGGTCAGTGTCACCGGCTTTTTTCGAAGCCTTCTTTTGCTGCATATGCTGTACAGCCATTTGCCGAACCTCTGCCACGTTCGTGACTCTCAGGGGTGATTCACGGAGCGCCTCAGGGATTACAAGGTGGATATGATCGTAATGATGAATCGAATAGGCGTTGATGAAGTAGTGTGGGGTCGACTTGTGCTGAATGATAGGTTTCGTACGACGTGTTTCAAGCCGTTCTTGGCGCACAGGTTGCTGGAGGGTATCTGTACACTGTGAATCAAGACAGTTGTGCTGGAGATTGATAACGCATATAATATTCTACAGTGCAAAGGTCAGAAACAGTGTACATATCCATAGGATATCAAACTTACCGCCGCCGTTGTGACAACCTCGTCATCGGTCAGATTCAGACAGGGTAGATGGACGGAATGATGTAAAGTGTCCGCAAACGAAAAGATCTGGAGTCCAACGTGAACAACGGTGTTGGGATTCTCGAATGATAAAAGGATTTCGCAAACGCGTCCAACACACGTCTAAGAATATCGCTGTTTTAATCAAGAGTCGTGCAGTGAGGAAATTGCTCACCTGTCCATCTGAATCTCGGCGGAAGATCACATGGCTGTTCAGATGTGCGACATCCCCTTCCCGTGCTACAACTGATTTGCCTTGATGGTAGACAACACCGGGCTGCACGGTCTTTAGGATCTTCCAGCAACGAGTTTCTTTCCAGGCCATTGCGCCATCTCTTGCCATTTTTCCATTAGCGCCGAGAGTAGTCTGAACTTTACCAGAACCTATGCGAAAAAATTCAGTGATAAAGTGAGCATGGTGGGCTAGATTTACCAGGTATTGGAGCGCGGCAATTGAAGGCTGACAACCCGAGCAATTGTGCTTGCTCTGGGTGTTCATCAAGATACCCTAGAATTTGTGCTCCTCCTCGTACCCACCTCGAGGCCTTGTCATCATACCAATACCCGCCAGTGACGATGTGCTTGATGGCATCTTGATGAGCGAAAATACGGCAAGTATCGCGGCTTGGCGCTTGGCGATTACTGTACACACACGACAAACGAAAGACGTGGTTGAAGGATTCGTACCGTTCAGTCGAAAATATGACCGCTGGCCCAAAACGTCGAATATATGCTGGAAGGTGAGTCAAAAAATGAAATTTGGGCTTGCTTATAATGATGCTGGGCGCGCACTGCGCTGTGACGTTTAGAAAATCTTGAATCGTTCGAGATAAGTTGGCCTAGAAAAGGATGAGAACCAAAGTCATTGAATATTCTGATTATACATACAAGATAAACTTCTGTATTCACAATATTTGTGTGCCAGACGAGTACGACCAGTTCGCCTATCACGGTCCATGCGTTGAGAACAGTCGATGGGATGAGATCATAAATCAAAAACGGCATCACTTGCGCCAAACTTTTGAAATGTTTCCCTATCAAACTACCTTTGTAATGGCAGACGTAGTCTGCGTTCAAGCACGGAGCATTGAGTCCGTCAGTATCGACGGACTCGAGACGGATCTGAAACATGCCCATGAGCTTTGCCTTATCAAGCAAAAATACAGTTTGGCCCCAAAAATATTTGACGATGCCGAGGAGTATTGTGTGCAGAATTTCTGTCGGAGTGTCCATGTGCATATTGAGGCCTGCTGAATGTGTGAACGAGAGTTCAGAATCACTAGAGTACTAAACTAACCTTCCATCCCCAACAATGGGTTGATAACGTTGTCGAGCTTGTCACCTTGTAAAAGTTCTACAAACTCTTTCTCGAGGACCGCTGCGACTTCAGCTTCAGGCATTGCTTGGGTGCCAGCTGCGCGCTTTCGAAGCTTCTTTCCGAGTTCCACTAACGTATTGAGGATCGAACTGGAAGCGGAATCGCGAACACCAGTTGACGAGACTGAGTTCTTGAGCTTCTCCGAGGCTCCTGACTTCAACACGATCTCGAACTGTTGTTGGATCTCCGTCATCGTATTTTCGGGGGTTCGTAAATTGCCTGGCTGCAAGCACAACATTAGCTATTAGAATGTAGTTCAAATATATTCCTACCGTGAAAAGGCTGCTATACCCAACGGCAGATGCCTTATAATCTTTCGTCCCACCAACCTCGCAAGTCCTACAAAAATAGTTACAATTTAAGCCGGCGTGGCTACATTCCTCCGCTTGCATGGGGTTGTCTCCAGCGAGGAAAAGCCCATATGGAATCAAGAAAACCTCTTCCTCGTATTTACAATCCCACGCAATGATGCCGGATTCAGCAGCATTACTGCAGAATGAGTGAACTTCGGCTTCAACAGATTGAGGAAACAACATACCATATAGAGTCCTTCATGGCCCGCATCAGTTCCATTGGAGCGGCGTGCGGTGAAGATGTGACAAATCGTACGAAGAACTCTTTTTCGAGCATCTCGCGTGGTAAGTTTGCATTCGACATGTAAATAGCATGGTGTTTATTCCACTGCTTGGAAACATTGCCGGAAACGTCGTCCATACAAATGAGGAGGGGAACTGTGTGGACCATCCGGCCATTAGACTTCTCGCGCAATGGATTCGGGGAGAGTGAGGCATATTTGACCGACGAAGCTGTTGCATTGTGTGAGTAGTCAAGCCACTGATGCAATGAATGTAAATCAACTCACGCGTAAGGCCACAATCGAGCTCGCCTCGATTTGCAGCGATCTCTTCAAATGACCGCATGAACATGTGCGTCGGAATAATCTCGCGTTCCTCGTTGACGATAAATCCGGCCTAAGATCGTGAGGACTTCGTATATCTAGATAGGTGTGCAGAAAGGAAACGTACATCTGTTCTTTCAACCACCCGCCCGAGCGCATATAAGGCCTTACCTTCTGACTGCTCGCACGGTTCAGAGTCTCCGTCACTCGAATCTGCGGGCAGCGAGGCATGAAAGAAGCGTTCCGGTATGAAATACCCTCCAGAATCGTCTTGTAATAGTTCACCTGTGAAGTAAATTATTCCGTTCACCCGAGCCGCAGGCGGCGAGGGCAGATCAAGCAACATCTTTTTGCCATTAAAAACTTGAGACATTCCCGCGCCGCTATCTTCTGGATAGTCTTCCATCGCAAAACGCGTCAGCGGATTTGCGTAGTCCTAAACTGTGATGTTAGAGTTGCTTTCACATACAAAACACGTTAGATATACCTTTGCGATTGATTTCGCAACATCGTTAATAAAAAAGACATTCCCAGAACACGCTGTCACCTTCTCTGTCGGATCACCGACAAGCGCATCCAGATATTTATGGGATTTCTTGATGGCGCCAAGGGACGGGACGTCTCGAGCACCGAGCTCTCGCGCCCAACTGAGGACTGCCCTCTTCTGGGCATCGGAGAATGGCAACCACGGAGAGCCGAAAAGGAGAGAGGTCACGAAATGCTTGATGGTGGTTTGAGCGCTACAATCTTACTAACGCAAAGAAAAACGTACCGCTTTTGATGGCCAGGGGTACGTTGGGTTGTCCAGCGAGACAGTGTCCTGGATTTTCGTTCTTTCATAAATATCATCTGGCAGCATGATTGAGTATCAATGCAGAATTAATCATTAAGTCACTCACCAGGAAGCTCGATGCCAAAATTGGGTGCGCTGTCGTCAGAAAGTTCTTGCTCGTCGTTGATCGGGGCAAGTGGCATTGAGAAGGGTACTTCTCCCGAAGCGATGATTGCCTCTACTTCTGCGAACAAGTCCAAAGGACCCTCGTCGAATCCGAACGAGCGATCACCGATCAGTTTGTTCACCAGCTCAGAAAATCCAAGCTCGGACTTGGAATGGCTGTTATCTGCCACTGGCACAGGTGCCGTGGATGGTGGGGCACCTGATGGCACATCAGCAGCTGGTACATCATAGGAATCCATGTCCATCAGAGAGGCGTCGGTGTCAAAGTGATTATCGGCGCCAACGAAATCATCTGTGTGAGCCTCAACAACTTTTCGGCGCTGCTCGGAACTTTTCCTTCGAGCATAACGGCTGTGAATCCCTTGTTCCGCGTGTTTTGACACGTGGCGAAGCTCCATCGTACGATATTCGCCATCCTTGAGAGGGCACACCATGCATTGGACGCGCTTTCGAGTACTATCACCGGAATATTGAAGGACTGCAGCACCACGTCAGTAGAAAGTTCATAGATCAAGATAAAAGAAAACGCACTAATGCCATCGACAAGGTCTTCATTATTTAGCGTCATGCCAAACTGATATTCTCGAATGGCGACTCAATGCTCTTGCCAGTGAGTCTTGAAACTGCAAGTCCCTGAAGCGCTCAGGTGTGTCACGTGACTTTTCCACTTTCGAAATCAACAAGTCTGAAGTCCCACGACACAATATCCCTACAACTTTGATCTTCGTCAACTCTTCACAATGGCCAACGGAGTCACCCACTTTTCAACCGTTATCAGTCCAGAGGTTCATTTTGATTCCGACAATGGGCCATGGCAGCGCGTCCTCCTTACGATGTGTTTTTCGGGTAGGCTTCCAAGACAGACAGTTCAAGGGGATATCGTGAGTACTTGTTGTTGCCGTCCAGCGTCAATACACTTACTCATTATCATGTGATAGCCTATCCATATTTCAGTTTCCATTGCCGAAGAATATGGAGAATTTACCTCTCCAGTCATGGAAACCATATCAGTGGATTTTTGCTCCACCCGTCCGAGTTCACCATTCTTAATAGACGATGTGAGTTCTGAATTTGTCGCTGAATAATTGTGGATCTCACCTCGCGCAGTCAACTCCCAGTCAAGCTCACAACGACCTTCTTCCCTTCCAAGAGGACGTCACTATTCCATTCCTCCCACTTCGAGGAATCTTCAACTACACTGATTCGAAGGAATGGGCCGCGCTATCGAAAGAGATCGAAGAATGGTTGGTGGCTGAAGTTGATTCCAGGTCTCAACTATGGACATGGGGACGTGACGCCTTTTGGCTCACGTTCGTCGCAGCATACCCTTTATTTCCCAGAGGCAAGTGGCCGATGTGGGATCCTCGAGTTCCTGTGGAGGGGACATTTATTAAGGAGTGGCTGGGACGGCCGAGCGATATTGATGGAAGTGATCAGTCTGTCGCGATCCTGCTCGGTGAGATATGGGCTGAATTTGTCAGGCATACGGCGCTCTTTTACCCTTCTCCTCTTCTTGCTGCCGATTAACTCTAGGACAGTTTGCGTGCGCTGATATGTATATGTCGATTAAAAATTAGTGTGCATTGTGTGTACTACTTACTGTGCCAATGATACCATTGTGTTACACTTCCGAGTCAGCGTGATGCTGCCGCCAACGGCGCCAAGACACTTTTCCCTGCCCAGACTATGATCTAGATAGTCCACCTGTTAGTGCTTTCATGGAAGTGGCTGGTGCGGCGTATGCGCAAAGGTGTGAGGATCAGCCATACAGGTCGCTTAGATGTTACTGCCAGCTGGGTCACAGGTCTATCACAGGGTCTGATTTTCGACTGCTCCACATGACTCAACTTGATATGTCCCATATATGCACCGCAAAGGGTGTGTACTGGCCCTAATTTGGACGGATTTTAAGCTGTAACCAAGTCATTGGCCAGGATCGGGATAAAACCTTTCATAGACACCGCATGTGTACCCTATGTAGGTTAAATTTATTATTTATGTGGCAAGGCTGCAATCGAACCAGTATTTACCGTGTTGCTATGTATTATGTATATGTTTCTCACTACCTCGGTTCGGGCCTTACCGACACTTGGCGGTGTAAGGGCATATAAATAGATATATGCAAGGCGGCGCCCAAGGCCAACAACTGCACTTACATTCGACAATCCATCACTCTCAAAGTTCTTCGCTGCTAAAGCGCTAACCTTTCGGTGCACGAAAATCTCCTCTGAACTTCCAGCGCAAATGAACTGATGTTTTGCTTTACCAGAGGACCCATCTTTGAATCGCTGTTCACGTCAGTCACAAAGCACATTGACGCCAGGAGACCTCACTGGGGAACACATACAACGACTACCTTTCCCGAACTTGACTACCACTTGCGGAGACGCAGCCATGGCTTCCACATCGACGAAGGCTGCCGCCACCGAATCGATTCTGGCACCGGCAACAACCTTGAAGGGTCATGAGAAGTGGATTCGATCCATATCCTACTTTCCTGATGGCCAGCGAATGATCAGCGGATCTGATGATAAGACCGCTCGGCAATGGGATCTGAAGGCGGGTAAGGAGCTTGAGGAAGCGCGGGGTGTTTGCAAGAAGGGGGTATATGAAGTGGCGGTATCAAAAGATAGTCGATGGGTTGTTACAGCTGGTGGAGATCACGAAACCGGGGAGCTGAAAGCCTGTGAGGTTGCGACGGGGATTGTGAAAACATTCGAAAGCCACTCAAAGAGCATCCAGTGCATTGATATCTCCGCGGACAGCAAGCTGCTGGCGAGTGGGTCAGATGATTCGACAACGCGGATATGGAACCTGGAGACCGGCAAACTGGTGGCCGGTCCATTCAAGACCGTTGATTGGGTGGGCGCAATTCGATTCTCGACGGATTCGAAGAAGCTTGCAATCAACTCGTGGACGGGGAAGGGGCTCGAGGTCTGGGATATCCAAAAACAGAAATTGGATGTGAGGATCGGGAAACCTAGTGGAGCGAGTATGACGCTTGCGCCAATTTTCTGGACAAATAAAAACAAAAACATCTTGGCCGCATTTGACTTCACCAAAGATCATGGTGCCAAGTCAATTTACGAGTTTAACGCCTCGATGTTGCGGACTGTCGGAACTCCCTTTAAAGGGCACACCCGCGTTGTCACCGGTCTAGCACTTTCATCCGAAAACAATCTCCTCGCCAGTGCTTCCTACGACGACACCATCAAGCTCTGGGCCTTCGAGTCCCGCGAGCTCCTCGCTTCCTTCGACGTTCAAAATGCTGGCGCCCTTGCCCTCTCACCCGACTCGCGCAAACTAGCTTACACGGTACACTACAAGAACAACATTTACATATGCGATACTCCACCCAATCTGCTTGCTCAGGCCTGTGTACGCATTGCCCGAAGACATCTGCTCGTGTGCTAATATTCCCTTACAGACCAGTACACGCAAAATGTCAACCCTCAAGGATCTTCTGAATGTACGTGCCTCATTCATTTACTCATTACACCACTCATACATCGTTATCATCGCAGCCTAACGCAACGCTCCCAAATCTCACGGCATACATCACCAAGGACGACGAATATCCTGTTGCTCATGGCGGGTTCGGAGACATCTGGAAATGCACCTATTCCATAGATAGGAGACTGATCAAAGTTCGTTGGCAGTATTCTGTTTATCCATCAGTACAAAATTGACAATTGCGCAGGTTGCAGTGAAAGCATTGCGTGTCAACACTGCTGATCAACTTGGTCCAGCGAAGGCGAAGAAGATCAAGGTAAGAGTCTTGCCGAAAAATTCCATCTAATGTCACTTACATCAGAGGTCGCCACTTCGCAGAGGATAATGCGTGAACTCAGAATATGCGCGAATCTGTACCACAAAAATGTTCTCCCCGTTTATGGTTATACTTACGGCTTCGGCCCAATTATAGCGCTGGTCAGTCCTTGGGCGGAGAATGGAAACCTGGTGGTCTATCTAGAGCGTGTGGGGGCGGATCTTACTGTCCTTCGACGATTCCAGATCGTAAGTCCTCGCTTGTATTTCGTAAAGGCTACAGACTCATGGCAATCTCAGCTCAGGGATATCATAGCTGGTCTCCAATATCGTACGTGCTAGTTAGTTTAATGCTGGACCAGGACTCAAAACTATTCCCCGTAGTTCACGCCAACAGTGTCATCCATGGAGACTTCACTGCTGTGAGGTCGAACATTCTCGTTAGTTTCAGCTTGATTGAGGTGTAATCTCCAGCCTAATGTACTCATCCATCGTGATGGTACTGCGTGTGTCGCCGACTTCGGTCTCTCCTTGATGTATTCGGAGGTCATGAGCATCTCTCAGGCTTCCTGGACATCCACGCTCAACGGCAATGTACGATGGATGGCTCCCGAGCTGCTCGCATCAGAGCGGGAGGATGGGTCTCTACCACGGCCGAGCGAGCAGAGCGACATATATTTATTAGGCGGTATCATGTTGCAGGTACGTCTGGGTCAATTTCAACTTCTCAATGGGATCATTACCTCCGCTTTTAGGTCCTCACCAATAGTACTTCCTATTATTACCTCCGGAATGATGCCGCCATCATATGGGCTATGCAAAAGTTAGAGATGCCTTCCCGATCGCACTATCCCCCGCTGCCCGACAAATACTGGGAGTTTATTGAGAAATGTTGGTCTACTGATCCGCTGGACCGTCCATCCACAAAGGCAGCTGAGGGAGTAATCAGGAATGAATATCATGCGCTATCCAGATCTCCTTGATTCTTGAACTGCCTTTATACAATCATGTGTTTGCGGTACAACCAATTGGATAGCTAGCTCGGTATGCTAATCAGATATATCAAATGTAGGCCCTGCCCCCCGCCATTTTGTGGTAAGAGCTCGAGACTAAACGTTTCTTGGGAAAACGAACCAGCAGCTACACTCCTTCTCTGGCAGATTCGAATCAACTGTCCATCCGCCCATGCGGTTTGCGATGTGATGAATCGAGCGGATCAGGCATCAACGTTCCATCCCAAATTGACGTGTATAATTTTTTAACGCATGTCATTGATAGAACAGCGAGAAGTGATCCATCGGGTGTAGTGACCATACCAGACACGACATGGAATACGATTGAATTTGAACTACCGGGGAACACCCTTGAAGCTGATCAATGATCTACAGGTAACTCGCACAGTACAAGCAGCTACTTGCGTCTTTAGCATTAATTTGTGCTCTTGTAGATGGTGGTTCTGGAGGAGAAATAGCAACTTAACGTAGCTCTTTATCCTGTGCAAGAGGAACATCGATAATGGGCCGCGACACATGACCCGGACGAAGAGGCCACCAGGTTGTAGGTTGTGTGACAGAGTGGGAGCGGCAGACGACCGAAAACAAGGCGGTTGTGGGGCAGAATGAGACTGAAAATTGTGAGTTAAAATGAGGTTACGACGGCCAACGCCGAATCCTCGCATGAATACATATATGAACGCACCTAAGTTATGGCCTGCGCCGAACGAGAGTGATTTGGGTGTAGACGCGACGTAGTGGGTCACTGAAGGAATTGGTCAAATCTGCGCAGAAGCACACGTTTTCGACAACCGTTTTAGCCTTTCAATTGCAAGCACAAGGAAACACTCACCTATGTACGTACCCTTATAGCACCACCCATCAGAAAGACCCATATCTACCGTCCCCTCCGACTCTACCACTCCCTCTCCGCAGCAGCCTCCAGGGCGTTATCGTTATCGTTGGGGTGCGGTAAGATGTGTCCAGGTTTGAGCTGTCATGAGGGGTGACCTAGGGCACATAATGGAGTTGTGGTGGCGGTGTGGTGAATGCGCATCGGGAGGTTGTGGGGAAATTGATGTGGGGCAGAGGTGGGCGAGTGTATATGCGTGTGGCATTGGAGGAGGGATCGAGCATATGAGGTCGTGCAGGACGGATGCAATTGGGTCAACTACTTCGTTGGCGCCAGAATGAGTAGTGTGGGGGTGGGTGAGGGGGCTTATAAGTAGGCCTCGATAAATAATTTCACTGCCTGCAGCCTGAACCGAGGCCTGACCTTCAGTTCAACGCGAACCAAACAACGACAAATACAAATCAAAGTTACCGCCATCACCGCCTTCCACAAGGCGATCTCTATCGTGAATCGTGATGCTATGCTTTGAAATGAAGAAATAGTCTTTATCTAGGCAAGCCAGAGACCGCTTTCTCATTTCTACGGTGCTACAGTGTTTTTCCTCGCACTCACTCGTCCTCAGCAGAAGTCCGCACAATGTTCTGCAATGGTCTTTGTCCGCCCCTCAAACACCAGTAAGGTATTTTCCTTGGACAGCTCTTACTTTTCTGACTCTGGGAACGTCGCTTGCATTGCGATATCAATGACCGAGTATCAAATCTTCACTGACCTATATATATCTTCATGCCAACTTCTTCCGCTTCTTCTCGTCTTGTTCCAAGATGAGCTCGAACACTTATAACGGGTATCCTTATTCAGTGCTCCACTTCTCCCCATCCGCATGATCAAGAGCCATATCTCCGCTATTTTTCGTTAACCAATTCACGCCCATGTGTGGACAGCTGTCAGGCACTATTCTATATGGGCGGTCGCATATCCTGCTCATTCTGACGCTGGATTGACGATGAAAGGGCTCTATGAGAGTGCCCACTGCCCAGAGTTTTGGGAGTTCTGGGGTGTTCCGGCTGACTAAAATGCCTACTACTTCTAACTCAGCAGCCTCGAGGATCCCTCGAGACAGGGAAGGACAGTAATTGGACAGTTGTACAGGGTACGAACCAGTGTACGAGCTTCGTAATATCACTTGAAAACGTTTGCGATGGAGGTCACGATACGAAGCATACACCGCCTCGTAGCTGCTGCGAATACAGTGGTCCGGTGTGTAAGGCCATCTGTACACAAAACAAAGCACCGCAGCGGGTGACCCGGACCAATTGTGCTGCGTCTGGCTTTTTCGCATGAATCCAACCTTCAACCTAAGTTGTAAGCTATGGCGCTGGATTCGTTCAACTATTCCCCACACATAAAATACACATACAGACACACGACACATATACACAGCCACGCATTCACATGCATGACTCGGATGCACATAGTACTTAGGTAGTACAGGGCTATACAGCCTATGTAATCGTCTATAAGTTTATCCACGACGAGACTACTAATTTGATGAGAAAGCATCTAATTCTGCGCGTGTCAGCATTTGGTCAGGCTCCGTGATCAGAGCTGCCGACAGCTGCTGAGCCGTCTCCTCAACGAGATCATAAGCAAGATGAAATGCTGTTCCTTTCTTCACTGTTTGAAGTAGCGCTTTCCAACACTCCGGGTTCACCCTCCCGATTTCAGAACCAAGCTCCTGGAAACAATTGACGGCCTCACGGAAGACTTGCGGGTTGCGACCATCAAGAAGAAAACGGGCCATTGAGTTCCACCAGAGTTGCCGCCAGTCGATGGAACATGCAGTGTTGTCAGTGCAGCATGCAGCGTGCTCGATAAGGGGTGGCTCCTCGCAGGCAACGATGCGACGGTGTTCATCAAGAAGCTCTTTTAGATCTACAAAGGCATTCCACACTTCAAACCCGAGCTTCTTTTGCATTGGTCCTGGAATGTCTCGGATGCGAAATTCAACGAGACGTTGAAACGCAGGAACAAAGAACTTCGTAATTGAGAATTCGAGACAGAGTGCGAGAAGGTCATATGGTTTGTGTCGAAATCGTTGTTCATGAAGGTGATGAATGGCAATATCGCGAGCTTTTTGACTCATGAACTTGTTGCTGAACCGTAGGAGGTCAATAATATCATTATGGGTAGGACCTTCCGGTTTCCAACTGTGCAATTCTGCATTAGAAGACAGTGCACTAAAATGAAAATTTATCTTACCTGCCGTATGCAACTGAAAGGTAGAGCTCGAACATGTTCGTGCTGAGTTCAGGAATTATAATTGGGTGATCGTCGCTCAAGCCGTCCGTGCCCTCTATTGGTCGTGATTGCCCCCCAACAGCAAACATCTCCTCGAATGTGATTGACGTGCGTGATAACTGAGTCGCATGGACTTTGAATAATGTGTTTTCGACCTGCATTTAGTTATTAGTATTGTCATGGGGAATCACTGAGTGCATATATCCGCACCAGGAAAATGTGAGTACCGTCATATATATAAAAACGACGATGTCGAAACTTCAGGAGGCTTGGAGCTAGTAATGTGGCTGTTTGAGCCTCGAACATGTCTTGGCTGATTATACACGAGACAGAAACACTATGAGGCTTTAGTTCAGAGCACAAACTTGAAGGACGTAAATGTAGTATAGGCTAGTGGGAGGTGCGGTAGACAAGTCACGCTTACCACACAAGGGTTCACTGGTTCTTTTTCGCTTCGTCACCTCTAGAATGCAACTGCTGGCGGACTAGTATGGACCTTCCAGCTTTACCAGAATGCGAACATCCATGGCCACAAAATATCCATGCTGCAGATGGTATCATTTGTAATATCTACAATGGTGCAATCAGAATGCTTCGGTCAAATGATGCAGAACCAACCAGAGTCACATATCATTACGATACACTGTCTTCGGAGGCCCTACCCTTGCTCAAGGCCATCGAAAGTGATTCAAGTGATGCTGATCACCAGCTTCTTCATGACTGGCTACTAGCATGTGCAAGTCTTGTGGGTGAAGCAGCTGCACTGCTCGAGGATATCAGCCAAAACACCCATGTGTGAGTGATACTCGTGGTACTCATTTGGATCTTCTGACCTGACAATACTGTCACTTTGATCTATGTAGGGAAAATGTTGAACAGTCAAACATTATCATCCCACAGCTTGTGACTGAGGACCATGGTCATGGACGTCGAGGGCATCCGAGAAAAGATATCAATCTTGAATTTGTCTGTGAGGCCCTATCTAACCAGCGCAATATCACACTCACAGAGCTTGCCCGACTCCTCCGAGTGTCTCGCACGACTTTGTGGAAATTTGTTCGTCGACATGGTCTTGAACAATGCTTCACAACAATTAGTGATGCTGATCTCGATCAACTCGTGAGGGTTTTCAAGGAACGCAAACCAGAATCAGGATTCCGTTACCTTGTTGGCTTCCTTCGGCACCAAGGAGTTCGAGTCCAGCAGCACCGTGTTTGGCAGTCCTTGCACCGAGTTGATAGATTAGGAAAAAGGCTGAGAGAATGACGTGTTACCAGACGACAAAAATACCGAGTTGCTCGACCAAACGCGCTTTGGCATGTAGATGGTCATCACAAGCTCATTCGGTGGGGTTTTGTTGTCCATGGATTTATTGATGGGTATTGTCGCACTGTGAATCCATTATTAATGATAAGGAAAGCATAATACTCACTAATATTTCAACAGATAACGGGGCTACGGGCCAGCACAAACAATCGTGCATCGACTGTATTGGAACTGTTCATGCACGCAAGTGATGAATATGGCATGCCATCTCGTGTTCGTGGAGATCGTGGAGGGGAGAACCTTCAGGTTGCTACACATTTAGTTGCAACAAATGGCCATAATCGCGGCTCATTTTTATGGGGATTGTAAGGTGTAGCCTCTTGAAACATTCCGCGACTAACAACACCTGATATTAGATCAACACGAAATTCACGCATTGAACGGCTGTGGGTCGAAGTGGGCACACAGTTTGCATGCTGATGGCGTGGATTTTTTACCAGGCTCGAACGACTTCATAAGCTTGACATTGACAAGCCGGGGCACCTCTGGCTGCTTAGTGTGCTCTTCTCAAGTGCACTCAATGACGATTGCCAACAATTTCAACGAGAATGGAATTCCCATCCGATTCGTGGTTCTGAAACCAATAATCGAAGCCCTCAGGTCAGTATTTACTCAGCAAGTACTGGTGCAGTGGTGTAATCGCTATCTGATGACTATGAAGGATATGTGTCTTCTAGGACAGGCATTGTTAGGCATCTATGAAGATGAGTTCGAGGGGATCCATCCTGCAACTCTGCAGCGTTATTATGGTATCGATGGCAGAGAGACAATCCGCCATCTCAATCAGACAGGTGCTGGCCACCCAAATTTTCTCCGGTCCCTTCACTTAGCTCTAATCCACAGTTTAATTCTCCTCGTTCCTCTATCTAATCCTCCTTCATATTACTCACCTGAAAAAAGTCGCTAAGCAAATAAAACAAACCTCTGACATTGCTTATCCTGCTGGTACCACTTCCTCAAACACGGTTCAAGTGGATGTTGTAGTGTAAGACGCGCAAGTGAATTTAAGTGTGATCAGGGAACATTTTTACATTGACATGTAAGGTAACTAGTAATACATGAAGTTGCGCGTATTAGGCCTTCAAACGGCTCTGAAAGTTCAGGCGGCAGAGGCAGGAGGGTGGTAGGAGAAGACAAATGGCCTTCGAACGGCTTCAAAATCACACAGTTTCTGGATCGAAGCTGGACGGGGGATGTAGGATGGCGGCGGAGACAGGAGGGTTGTAGGAGATGACGACAAGGCCTTCGAGCGGCTTCAAAATCACATAGGTTTCTGGATCGAAGCTGTAGAATGGCATTAGAGGCAGGAGGGTGGTAGGAGAAGACGAAAGCCTTGCCTTCGAACCGCTTCAAAACCACACAGTGGGTTCTGAAGTTCAAAATTGACTTGTTGAAAATTAGCATTAGTTTGGGTCTAGGCTACGTACTGGGGACTTCGGCGAATATGTATGCAAATGTGTTGCGTGCGTGTTGTCTTCAAATGTTGTGCGCATGTGAATGCGTGGCTGTGTATATGTGTCGTGTGTCTGTATGTGTATTTTATGTGTGGGGAATAGTTGAATGAATCCAGCGCCATAGTAAGCTAGTCGGAGACTACCAAGCACAAAAGATCGTTGTTTGGATAAAAGATCAATACAGCTAATAGCGTCATTTTGACTTACACTCCTTGGAAAGTCTCATGATACAATCACATCGGATTACACACGTGAAGAGTTACATCAGGAAAACCCTCCCACACAAAGCTAGACAAAGATATGCAAAATTATGCAAACTTGAATAAAAAGACAATAATATTACAAGCTATAGATAAGGTTGATGATTTCTTGCTAAACTTCAACATTCTTTAATGAAGTTACAATGTGCTATCTAACTGTCACAAATGTATGCCTATCAATGTAAGAATTAACATAAAAAGTGTCACATTGCTCGAGGACTTCGCTACTGGTCCATTGACGAGGTGCAACAGGTCCGAACTTTGGAATGAGATGGACACTTCGGTGGATGTTTGTGATGGGTATGATGCTTGCAACTCTCTCAGCCGATTGCACGAAGCGGCTGATTTTGAACATTCCATGGTTCGAATCAGCTGTAGGAGGAAACCAAGTGAACCACTCTACATAGGCGAGATGTTTGGGAGGCTGGATTGTGGTAGGGAACATCATTGTAACAGCATTCTGCGGGATTGAGAATATTACGCGAATCTGACCCACACGGTAGCCTGTTGAAAATTCATCGTTTGACTGCCTAGCATCCTCGGGAATCAAAAACTGACCTTCAATACCTGCAGAACGGCCAGTCCCATCATTAATAAGCACAGTATCAAATCGTGCTGGGACATCAGCGCCTTTTTGACTGGTGGTCACACAGCGAGGTTTGACATGCGCGCTGTCCACTGTGACACATGGGTCACCATGTCCCTGTGCACCATCAGATCGCCATTTGATTATATGATATACAGGAAGTGTGCGGAATGGAAGGTGGATAGCAGCAGCAAGGTCTTCGAGGCGGCGACGAGTGGTGGCTTCGTGTGGATGATGCAGCTGTGCAACATATCTTGCAAGCACCTCACGGAAGTACGTGGCCCCATACTCCGTGATTAACTTCTGAATTGGCACAGCTTTCATGCTAGGATGCTTCGTTAATGTTTGAACCCGGTCGAAAGACAGGTTTGCTGGACGAGGTTGGTGTCGAATGGGATTGCCGTGGAGGCGCCACATGACATGTCTCTCATGTCGAGTGATCTTCTCTTTGCGTTCAAGCCACTGAGTCATTTGAACAAACTCATCTTTGTGGTTTGTTGCACGATATGCATCTTTGGCCAAGTCGATGTGGAGGCGCTCAGTATATTCTGTATTATAATTGTCAGTTGTGCCAAAAGTCTGGATCATCGACATATAGTGGCGGCCTGCATGGAGCTTTGGAAGATTAAAATTGTTTCGTATTCCAAGGCCGACAAAGATCTGCTTGTTGTTATGAAAAAGATCGAGAGCTTCTGTGAGGAGAGTCAATGTTTCGGAGCTGTGGCAAGGATACTGCGCCAAGTACAGGAAGTCAAGTAGACCTCTGACGGCACGTATGAGACGGCTTGGGGCAAGACGGTTGGGGAGTCGGATGTCGATGATGATCCCAAGTAGAAAACGGCATATCTGACTATGCTCTGTACCACTGATTTGTGAGAGGCTAGTGATACCTTTCATAAATAGACGGATATGGTGATTTGGGGGGAGCCTTCGACATCTTCCATCATAAGACCCTGGTATAATTGGTGAAGCACATCTGGTGTAACGGCTTGGAAGATGTTGGTATAGGGTAGGGGCTCCCAGAACGGATGTATAATGGGCTTGATTCCGGCTTCGCGGCATGCATGTACAAATGCGAGATCTCCGTTATCAATCGCAGCCAATGCATTGAGGACAGCGTCAAGGTTGCGCATCTCGAAAGGTGCGGCATTGCTTCCGAGTTCGGCTGGTGGTATGTCACATTTGGGACATTCCGTGGTTTTGACTCCTGTAACCAAGACTTGCTCAGGATAGTCACCAATGAAGCAAGCAAATAAGGCATGACTGCGACGCAGGATACCATTGCCACTCTTCATGACAATACCATCTAAGCCAGCTTCCTCCAGTGGTGCTAAGACACGGCCCATGCAGGCATGATACAGATTTGCAATGGTTCGGCGTCGTGAAGCCTGGTTGGTGATGTGCTCGAGACGGGTAGTAGGAAGATAAGCGAGAAGAATATGGGCACGGCGAGATGGCTTTCGGCAGATTTCCTTTGGAATGTTGCCAATAGTAAGGTAGACTGGGTAAGCCGTTTTATTTCGGAACATTGTTACTTGAGTCTTGTCACTCGAAATAATAATTGGAATGATGGTAGCACCCGGTTTGCGCTGATCAAGCTTTTTCTATTTAATGTCAGTTATTTTCGATGAGCAGAAGTCCCCAAAATGCGAACTTACCTGAGTATCCCACCACCATTTACCAGTATGCATATCATGGAATAATCGGACAGTTTGTTCCTCATCTGCATAGTGGCGTTCCGGTGCAAAGATTAGAAAATCGGCAAAATCTGGGTCATCATACAGAGCCTTAACACATTTGATAATGTCCCTATAAAAAACGTCGAAAGCCTCGCCTGCGACGACAATTTGTTCACACCTGAACTTTGGGCGACCAGGAAGCTGCTTGTCGATGATCTTATTTAATTCCCTTGAGTTCTTGTAAGAAAGACCAAGCTTTTCATGGACCTGTCAACAAAGATAGACACATTACCCACAGCTCGAAGGTGATATTAATACCATTCACTGACTTCACTGATACCAAGCAAGTCCGAAAATGCGGTTGAAGTTGGGCCACGTAATTTAGCCCATCGTGCAATTTCCCAATCCACTCGAGAGGCGAAGGGGGCATATGGATTTGCAGTGTAATTGATAACAGTAGTGTATGCAGCGTTTGCATTACATATGTCAGCTTGCGGAATGGGGTGCCCTGCTCGAGCATCAGGGTATCACACAATAGTGATTGCATCTTCCTGAAGCACGCGTTGCTCAATCTGCTGACGCAAATCACGATTGTGGCTATTCATCTCTGTGCTGTCTTCTTCGGCAGTTCCGAGTTGGTCCTCTAAATCCCTTCCAGTTACGAGGGGTTCCCATTCGGCATCATCGAGGCCAGGTACTACATCATCCTCGGAGTCTGAGCTGTCACTACTCTCACTGCTGTTAGCATACCATTCCATGTCACCGGGCCATTGGATTTCATCTTCCTCGTAAATACCAAAAAAGTCTCCTCCATTCGCAGGTGCTTGATCATCAGCTTCGATTTCTGAGTCCGCAAGATCATCTGAAGGAGTTGGTATTGGAGAGTGGACATTTGAGCGTGATGCAGCGAGCACAGCCATGCAGCATCAATTCTTGGTTTTAGCTAAGTGTTGACTTAAACCAGTGGCCGAAAAAGTCGTATAACATCCTGTGCATTGGACCATAATGGTACGAGGGAATGTTCACTAATACTAGATGCTATCTCCTCTATGTCATTTTTCAGGCTCCGATACCGGATATCAATAATACATTGCCAAAGTTCCAGGGTAAGATTCGCACAATAAGATGGACAGCTCACCAGCCTCGTCTCCTGTTAAATCAAATAGTCCGCCTTTATCTCCTGCTCGAATGAGCAGTCCCACTGTTCTGTCTTCTCCTGACTGCCCTAGTCCGACTCTCTGTAATTCAAGCCAACGATCAGGCTCTTCAATTACAATGAATACAGATTTACATGCCTCATATCTAAGCCTTTCAGAGGATGGGAAACCTACGCCTTCTGAAGCGAAAGAGAGCACATTTGTTACACATGACAAAACATCAAAGTCTCGGACATCAAGGAAACATTTTCCATACCCCCCCAATCCAGCTCCATTGGAGCTTCGTTATGCAGCTCGGATGATGAAGTCCAAATTCCAACCAGAATTCTCGTTGGAAGCAACACAGAAGGTATGCCATATTTACTTCTAGACATTGATAACTCATTGATGTGGTCTGAAAGTTTCAAGAACAGTTGGAGAGCGGCCTTTCTCAAATGATGACTGCAACCTTGTACAAAGGATACAAGGCCAAGCTCGCAAGTCGCGAGGTTGCGCGCCAACACATGGTGTTGGCGACGTGGGAAATTGACGAGGCTGCACAGTATGAAGAATTCCTCATTGCCATCTATGGTGAAAACGAACAATGGTTCAAGATGGTGGATGGGGAATTGCATGGCTTTAGGAGGATTTTTTCACAGCGTGGGCAGGCGGAACTTGAGGATGATAGAAAATATCTTCAAGCTGTCTTTGAAGACGAATGCGAGATCCTCCGCGTCGCTAGTGCCAAAACCGACCAGGTTGCAACCCTCCTCAATTCACGTGTTAAACATGCATTTTTGAAACCTGCTGCGGCATTTCCTCTTCACCCTAATGGTGGACTCTCCTGTATCGGCACTAGGGAACCCTCTGAACACTCAGATCCAGACTTGAGTGATGGGTCTTACGCAGACCTGCCCCCAGATGATTCGGACCATGACTCTGAGGATTCAGGTGAAGGCGCAGGCTCTAGGTTGTCAGCTGACTGATAGTCGCCCTTTCAGCGGTATGGGAAATCCTCCTTTCAAGTATTACCATTCAACTCATCGCAAGTTGCAGGCTCCCTTTTACCACTCCAATCGCTCTTCTTGTCTCATGTTCAATATCTGTTTCTCATGATCATTATTGATGTGGAGGTATCTATTGCTTCATGGCGATTTGTGAATTTTTGTATGCACTTACGATGTTGTAGACACCTGTCAAATGCATGTGTTGTTACACTCTTGCTCGTCTTATCACCTGAAACAAGAATTAACATGATATCTATGATGGCATTAATACAATACATATTAATTGGCGTATGGAAGGCTCGGTTGATTTTTGCCATATATGTCGTCGTTTGAACGCTCCATATATGTAGTCGTTTAAACAGTCCATATAAGTCATTGATTCTTGCATGTTCCGGCATCTGTGGCTACTTGTATTACCCAATTGCAACTGTAAGGCCGCTTACCCGCCAAGCCCATAGACTCGAGGCTTCAAATCGATCTGTAATCAGCTGCAAACGTGAACGCCCCAGTTTAATCGCCCAACCGATATGCTCATCGTGAGTCAATTCAGTTTTTGCCTCCATTCCCCATCTGTGATTGTACGTGAAATAGTCGTGCTCAGTCTTACACTACTGATAGCAGCATATCACTCTTCTCATGATTAGGACCGCTAGGTATCGGATCGTGATTATATGACCACTCGCTCGGCTCTATTCTATTGAGTCTTCATTATGTATCAGGATTCTACATGTTTCTGGCACATTATGCCAGCTCTCTCGCCGTGATCTCGCATCTCCTTGTTTCCTACTGCCAGTATTTGCTTCCAGCAAAGTATGCAGCCGCCGGATGACAATGAATATCCACACTTCCCTGGCCAGCTTCAAGACAGGTTCTCGTTGTCAGACTATGCAGATAGAAATCCGAATTTAAACGGTGAGTACCCAAGCCAGTAATACACTAATCACTTGTTGACAGATCAACTTGAAGCAGATGATGAGGGGGACCCACTTTCAAGGTTCCTCTGTATGACCGACCCACAATATGCAACGACTACAAGTAGTCTAAAATTGCTAACGTCCGAGATGGATGCTCCACCCCCCACGCCATCGTTTAGCACACTTGAACCACTTGACGCTGGTGATGGTGTCTATCCATATGCAACAACTAATAGTCTACAATTGCTCACCTCCGAGATGGATGCTCCACCCCCCGCGCCGTCATCTAGCACCAGCAAACCACTTGATGCCGGTGATGATATCTACCCTGTAATCCCTTACTCCGCCCAACTCGACTCTTTATACAACCCGCCAGTTCCCCAGATGCTGGCAGGGTCGTCACAGCATCCTGAGAGAAATCATCGCCCTCGACCCTCCTTCACGCCATATTTCATACCTGAACCCAGGGTCCTTCGGCCACCTGAGCCAACAGCTACGATGGCTGCCCTCGCTATCCCATCCACGATTGCTGCCCCTGTTGCTTCACGGCCAAGCACACTGGTCCCTTTGTCACTCAAGTTTGTTGCTATGCAGCCAGCAATTACTGCTAGTGGAGTTGCACCAGCGGCCCCTGCCATCTTTCCTGGTCCTGCTGCTGTGCAGCCAACTACACCAGCCCTCATTAATGTCAATTCCCTTGTCAAAAAACAGATCCTCAATTCTGCAAAAAGAAGAATCTTACGATTCTTCTTGACGGCATCTGCAATGGCCGGTACTGATGGTGAGAGGGTGGCGCTTGTTTCTCTTGCGATTTCAGAGTCGTCTTCCATGCCAGGTATGAATGGTACGTGTTTACATATAATTTGCGGAGTTGAATACTGATTCATTGTAGTTACAATCCGAACGACAAGTAGTGAACGTCAGCAGGTGACAGCCACCTGGAACTGCTGTTTTCGGAAGCTATTGGACATGGTACAGAGTTGTCTCGCCTTGGGCTACACTTTCTACCCCCCGCTAGAGTCCAATCTCCAACCAGTCCAATTTCGGGGTTGTGTCATAACCGCATTGATTAACGACACTCGTAACCCGTTGGCCTTCATGAATAGGTTTACGGTCGATGCAGTACGTTCAATTTTCTTTCTAAATACCAAATTGTGATCTTTTTTCAGAGCAGGCATGTCACCATACTTGACGGGGTTCTCAACAATCCCCTGATTTTTCATGTTGCCGTTCAATTTATATGGTGTAGCGACCTCAGTATCTCACAATTCCTCTCCACCTCGGCGTTACATCGACATCAACAACTCAACTACGCCTTTGGTGCTATGGGTGCAGCTGTGAAATTAGCACTGCGGGAGCAGATTCCCCATCCACCAGTCATCCTGCCATTCACGCAACACGAAGGGAGTGAGACATTCGAGGACATTGTGCGCTACATTGGCAACATGGATGGTGTCCAGAGAATTGCATTCGACTATCGGAAATCTCATATGTTAAGCATTGGGGACTCGCAGGTTCGATCAACTAATGTATTAGCTCAACTCGACATGATGATGATGGCTGGGGTGCAGTAGATATCGCAATACTTTTTAGCTTAGTTTGTACATGATCACGTCTATTGTACTATCATACTATGGACCCGTTCCGCAACCTTTTTTTCTGTGTGTTTTGTTCGCTTTTGTGCGTTTTGTTTGTGTCTGTGCATTTGTGCGTTTGTTCGTTTCTCTGTGTTTCGTTTTCGGGCAAACAGATGTTCGACTGAGGTGAAATGGATGCTCGCACAGGGCCGTCACAAACTCACACTCGGACATAAATTGCATGCAAACTTTCTATTAGATTATTTTACAATAAATTACAGCTGTAAAACATTTCTAGACGTGTCGAACCATATTACATCACCCGGCACAGTAGAGCGCTTGGGCTATGGACCTGGACTAATCCAAAAGGGACACCCAAAAACCATGCTCGTTTTGGAACCTGTGCATATGTGAGTTGGTTTTGCCCAGTGGCGATGACACCGTCCCTGCGAGATACATAAATATCAGTACTCAGTGGTGGGATACAATTAGCTATCCCCCCGTTACATTATTTACAACTTCAAAACCCACCCGCTCATTTACCATACCCTTCAAGTTAGCATGTCACCCAGCAATAATACAGGTTCCAGTCAGCCCGCCAGGAGTAAGTACTTACCACTATAACAGATACAAACAACTGTGAATACCTGTTGTTGCAACAGGTGAACGAGGTGCAAAAAAAAGAGCTATGGAGAATGCAGGTCAGTACGTGGTTGAACCAGTTGAGATTTGAGCACTTACTGGATATTGTACTAGTCTGGATGACTACAAGACCACAGCGGCAGCGCCCAGCTCCAGAAAAGCCCACTGTGATGAAGAAAACAACTGCACAAAGGAAAGCTCACGTGTCTGTAACCAAGCATGGCCGCCACGATGGTGGTGTAGCACAAGTTACTAGTAGTCGGCCCGATACCCCAGATGAGATCCTAGGGCTTGCAGCTAAAAAGTGTCGAGGTAAGTATCTGAACCGAGTCCAGGGTCTCAGTACACTTACATGGGTACATAGTCGTGGGTGAAACATCTAAAGGAAAAGCAAATACTAAGAAGCACCGAGGTGAGCACTGATCCGGACTGATTCCATGATGACTAATCTTTGGGGGCCGGGTACAGTCACCGAACCATATGCAGATTCCGATATCGATGTCGATATCGATGAAGGCCTCATGAGCACTGTCAAGCACACGCAAAAGAAAGGTCAGTTAGCATAACAGTGTCTAGTTGTCGGTTCAGCAAACTCACAGGTTTTGCAGGAAAAGAAAAGGAACTATGGTCACACACCTCCCAACCAATCGACAATGAATTTTCAAGCGACGAACCTGTCGATGAGATCTCTGATTCTCGACCTAGTCACAATGACTCGGAGAAGGACAGCGAGGAGGAGGAAATTGAAGACAACTTGGAGGAGCCCAAGTCCTTATCAGCCAAAGTAAGTGACATTGTTCATAGTAGTAACTGATTGTACCTTCAATTTATTTCCCTCAGACACCAGTGTTTGTTTCGAGGTCAAAGGCAGAACAGACTGACCTCCCTTTGACCCAACCCACCTGGCCTCGTACAACTACCTCGAAGGAGCTGATGCAGGTGGCTCAACCATTCCCCTTTCCGTCGGCTCAACCAAGGGCTACCAAGGTAAGTTGGCTTGGATACTTACCTCCATGTTGAAATAATAATACCCCTCAGAAAACAAAATCTAAGTCTGCGCGTGATCGTAAACGAGCAGATGAGGTGAGTGAAAGTTCTCTCACAGTTATCTCGTGTTCGAATGATGTTTTGGACTCTCCAGACACCTGTTTGGGCAGATACTCAAGTCGTCGTGTCAGATGAGGAACATGAGCCCATCATGGTGTTAGACGACTCCGAGGAGGACAACCCAGATCACTCTAGAAGGCCCACACTTGTATGGACAGACACTGGTAAGTTGAAGCTGATGGACCAAGATATTGACACCCGTCGTGTGGTCCAAAGAGCGATCTTGGAGGCAAAAGTTCACTTGACATTTGTCAACGGCTATCCGGAGCTCACCGAGAAGAGCCTGTTTACGCGGGACGCACTCTTAACAGCAGCTCGCGCCTGCAGTGTCCTGCCCATCAAGGATCGCCTCAAGTCTGATGACTCGTATGTGACAGCTCTCGCCACGCTGGTATGCTCAAGAGTTGGACTCTTCGCAATATTACTAATTGGTTGAACCTCTCATACAGATTGAAGCCCGAGTGCCACTTTTCCGCACTGAATTAAAAGACGACGCTTGTGCTCAAGTGACGTCATACTATCGTCTTGGCCCTGATTGTGTCGACACTGCGAAGGCTTTGCTGGTCAACCACGTCTACCATTATGAACAGCATTTCAATGTAGGTGGCTATGTTCTGGGTTGCACAAATTGATTTGCTCAACACTGTGCACACTCTCCAGGAGAAGAACGACCCCATTCCACAGCCAAAAAAGCCATACTTCGCTGATATCTTACCATATCTAATGAAGGGGCGCTACTTCAATGGGCTAAAGTCAGTTGGCATGAAATTTTCAGACCGTTTCAAGGAGATTGCGCAAAACAAGGCCCAGCGGCCCGAAGTTACAATTCCAATGGTCGCCTTAACGAGTACTTCGGTATATTTATTGACATACTCTGGGTCCGAGTGCATGTACTAACAATGAGTGTATAGGTGTATGCTGCACTCTTCTGGAAGGCTAATGGATCTCCATCGAAATTCAATTTTACTGGCAATCTATTCAGCGAGGTCTACTTTTTTCATGTGAAATTTCTTGAAGACATGAAGGTGACAGCGCCGCGCAAGTTTCACAAGATGATGGCTGACATTTTCGAGGCTATCCAGTGAGTCCATTTCTGCGCTGCGCCAACTCATCTGTCCAAGTCTCACACCTCACAAGGAAACTCTGCACCCATGGCAACAACGCTTTAGTTGGATCACACGAGTCTGCGATGGCTTTCCTCGATATTGCTGGCATGGATGACGAGGAGTAGATTTCCAAGTTGCGGTCTCATCATTTTATATAATTGCATTCACGTATATCATTCTCAACGCTCCTTTATTGTCTCATATTCTACAAGCTATGCTGATATACCCCTCTTTTAATGAAAACTTAATTTGTTCTTGTAAAATGTTGGAACGAAACCAATGAAATCCTGAACAGACCGTCAAAATAAGATCCTTGATAACTTGTAAGTTTGTGAATTTATTTAAAATCATCACTAACTTAGTGCGCAGGAGTAAGTTAAAACGTTTGAATGAAATCAATGAAATCCTGAACAGACCGTCAAAATAAGATCCTTGATGACTTGTAAGTTTGTGAATTTATTTAAAATCATCAATAAATTAGTGCGCAGGAGTAAGATCTGGTGGGGCAGTAAAAAAGGTTCTCTAATCTGCTAAGACGTCTAATTTTGTGAAACTACAATGAATTAGAGAAAATTTTATTAATCTTGACATACTTAGTATATGTTTGTATCAGAGGGTTTTCCTGATGTATAGGATTCGCTGACAGACAGACTTCAATCGGGGTCGGTCTACTGCCGATGCCTCTTGTGTGGTCTGCCATTATGACCATGCTGGCCACAGTGGATATTTCTTCTGCCAAAGACGACCAGGGTAAATTAATCGACTTCACCCGAAGTTCGCGGCGAGAGTGGTTCGGTGCTTGGCTTCCCCATGTCATTCTATCCCCCAGAGGAGGAGTAATCGATCAGGTACTTCCTGCTAGTGTACACCAGGCTAGCACTAAGCAGATGCGACAAAAGAAACGTGTCATTTGGGCTTCGGTCACCTCTGTCTCACTGTCGTGTCGAGGGTTCTGCGACGTCTCGGTGATAGTGTGCCCGACGGCGGTGCACTGCCGACTGGAGCCAGCAACGACCATCATCCTCACCGCAAACCTTGCGTAATGTCAGCCTCACTTATACAGTCTCATCCTTTGCTGACGGGAGTACATGGGAGATGGAAACGCACATATCCAGCTAGTACTAGTGTCAGGCAGCCTCAGGCTCATCAGGCAGTCCAGGAACAATTCCTCCGCTACTAGTGCCGTTGGTGCTGATCGCCGCCACTGATCTTTGATGTAGATATAAATGACAGTCTTATCGGATCAGCCATAGCAAAATTCGTATTTTCGGATACGGTGCGACCACTGCTCAGGTCATAGACACAGCCATTAAGCTGTTCGTCGGAAACCTGAACCGAAGTGCACATACATCTGATTCAGGTGACCATAGGAATGAAACGCATCCAGTACTTCCATTCATTTCAAAACTGCCCGCAACAACGGAGTGCCTTGCCCCTGACCGCAACTTCAAACAAGCTTCAATATCCATATGATCAGGGTCATGCCGTATTATTGGATCGGTGTCAAAAAAAGACCGCGCAGTCCCAAGGAGAATGGAAACTCGTTATAAAAAACTTCGAGAAGAACACAGTCATGGTGACGTTAATGTTACTATAGGCTAAAAAAACTGGATATTCGAATCTGATGCGAGATACTGCGCTCTTCATTGAGCTTAATAGCGTCTGGACGCATGTTGGGCAAAAACATCAAACAGGACACGGGAAAACCTATCATTGATGCGTGTCGCACTTGGTACAATGACCAGGGTGGACAATGGACCCTTGTACCGCACTGAACGAGTCTGACGCAGTTGACAGGGTTTTCGAGTGGATGATGCGGGCAAGTCTTGATGACAATGATATAGTTCAGATACTGAGAATCAAATCATTATCGTTCGGATCTCTCCAGCTCTTTCTGCAAACAAACATTATGTAATCTCCGATGTAAGCTTCCGATGGAACATGTCCTCGAGGCTCTGCGGTAGGGCTCTGCCAGTGCTTAACTGAACCTGTTGGTACTCTTCATTTCTGAGTGTTTGGAACCTGTTGGAACTTGGTTGGCGACAGCCTGAGAGTCGGCAGTAGTACTTCGCCTGCGGGCTCCGGGGAGATTGTGTGGTCGGGGGCGCGACATGGTCATTTCCCTCCGCATGTGGTCAAAGGCGCTCGACGTTACTAAGTTCTAACTTTGCAGATAACGTACGTAGTAGTATCGATAATCCCCATCACCCTAAATTCCTTTATTCGGACTCGGGTTGATGTGGCAGCTTCCCAAGAGCAGATTGATTAGACGCTTCTCTTATCGACTTCCGGAACCAACTTGAAGCGGAGACCTGCGAAGTCCTTCAGTTGGTACCAAGTTGGTACTACAAGTAAGTCACCTGCCACACCCTGAGGCATAATACATACCTAACTGAACGTCCTGACGGCACACTGAAGTTGAACTGTCGAGCCTCCGTATCGCCGCAAAACATATAGAGCTCCGAGTCCTGCTGGCTTCATTTGGTCTTGCGCCCATATAATTATAAACGTTGCTCGGAGTCAAACGCTGCGCGTCTCGCCTCCTTCCTTCTGCCATGTCGGCTACTGGAGAAGAAAAGGCTCATGTAATCGGATCTGCAACTTCATCTGTTGAACAACTCGAGATCCACGAGCGTCCCAGAGGATGGAGAGGTCTTTATTACCACCCAGCCACGCAGGTCTGCCTCGTGGGCTTCGTGTGCTTTATGTGCCCGGGCATGTTTAACGCCATGACTGGTCTTGGCGCTTTTGGTCAAGTGGATGCAACTAGCAGCGCAAACGCGAATTCCGCTCTCTATGCTACCTTTGCATTCTTCGCTTTTTTTTCTGGGTCAGTCGCGCGCAGTGCTCAGTCTTTGCGATTATCTGACTTGTTTAGCTCCGTGCACAACGTGCTTGGACCTAGACTCTGCCTATTGCTGGGAACGTGGGGATATTCTTTGTACATTGCGTCATACCTGTACGTTTTTATCTGTCCTCTGTCTGTTAGTCCTCACACTGGACCGAATAGTGCAACCAACATACATCCCGGTGCAGGTGATTTTGTTGTCGTCGCTGGAGCTATATTAGGTGTCTGTGCGGCCTTAGTATGGACGGCGCAGGGATCCCTGATGATGGCCTACCCAACCGAGGCTCAAAAGGGGACGTTCATCGGTTACTTTTGGGCAATCTTTAACCTAGGAGGTGTCGTTGGTTCCGCAGTGGCCTTTGGGTCGAACTTCAACTCGATGGTAAACTCCCCTTGCTATAATCAGCTGTACGATGTTTATGAACAGAAACTCAGGCGAATAAAGTTGGAAATGGAACCTATGTGAGCTCTTCTCTCAATGCGATGAAGTTTCTATGGTTGTTTTGATCATATGGTTGAAGATCGGATTTCTGATCCTCTCCCTTACTGGCGTTGTCTTGCCACTCTTCCTTGCAGACCCATACAAGATGATCCGTACTGATGGAACCAGAGTCACGCCTATCCGTCATCCTTCTTGGAAAACTGAGTTTATCAGTCTTTTTGTGGCACTAAAGACGGACCCTTGGATTGTGCTCTTGTTTCCCATGTTCTTCGCGAGCAACTACTTCTACACCTGGCGTGAGTCACACAGCACAGGGAAATAACACCGCAAGAGGTTGATTCATTTTCCAGAATTCAACGATTATAACGGCGCCTTGTTCAACATTCGCACCCGCGGCCTGAACAACTTCGTTTATTGGACTGCTCAGATCTTTGGCTCATTCTTCATTGGTCACTATGTCCTGGATTTGAGGCGGTTCCGTAGACGTGTCCGTGCATTCTTGGGCTGGTCAATTGTAGTGGTGTTGGTTTTTGCTGTTCATCTATGGTCATACTATTACCAACTGTGAGTCTTCAGTCACGGTCCACCTCTTGTCCAACATGACCCTCAACTCCACAGGACTTATACTCGCGCCTCAGAGCCTCCTACAGCCGTCAAGATGGATATCAACGATCCGGATTACCCCGCACATATATGGCTCATGATTTTCTACGGCCTCCTCGACTCTATGTGGCAGACAACTGCCTACTGGCTGATGGGCGCTATGTCCAATGACCCTGCAAAGCTCGCCGTGTTTACCGGCTTCTGTAAGATTATCTCACATTGAAGTCATGCCACAGCCCGAGTTCTAACCTTTCCAAGACAAGTGCTTCCAGTCTGCTGGATCCGCAGTCGTTTGGCGCCTCGACGCTGTTCAAAAACCGTAAGTTTCATCAAATTTCAGGGAGTCTGTAGACTTTTTATTTTATTCACAGATATATGGACATTTTCATTTCTACTTGGGTGCTAGCGGCTGCCGGCATGATATGTGCCTTCCCGTTGGTCTACATGCGCGTCAAAGACTACACGGAGATGGACGATGAGGCTCTGTGAGTCAATCTGTTACCTTGTTACCTTACGTACTTACTGGTCTCCCCAGGTTGAACCGCCCAAACGTCGAGAGACTTCCTGAACCCTCTGAGAAGTAAAATGATAAGTGTTCGTGCAGTAAGAGAGAAAGACAGTGTATTTATGACACACGAACTTGTAATGAGATCTTTTGTTGTTTTAGTATCTTCGAGGTCGGTATTTGTAGTCGTCTTGCTGCCAGGAGGAATTGTACGTTATGCGTATTCATGGGTCACAAATCAATTATTGGCAGACGGTAGTGAACAAGGCCTATATATATGAGTCTGGTGTCTTTTTATAGGCCGTATTTGAGCTCCTTTTTGGATTGACGATTAATTGGTGATCTTGATGCCTTCACCGAACTAAATATTGGAACCTTGGTGAGGGGAGTTGGCAGAATTTAGATAATAATTTGCGGGCCGTGGGCGCCGGGAGATGATGTAGACCCCACGTTCATTTCCTCTTTATGGACCACGTGTGCATCATTGTGCTCGAGCGCTTGAGCAACGCGCTTTACTCACCGTGTTCGCTTTTATGCAGTCTGAGGGAACACCCATGGTACTACTTATTCTCGACCCAAATTCTTTTGATGGAATGAGGCGCCTTCCCGACGGATGCCCTCTATTATCGACTTCCGGAGGGTCACCTGGGGCACCACCTAGTAGCCGCCCACTGTGCCGCCCAATAACATGACGCCAAAAATCACAAGTTGACCTGTCCAGTGTCGATCCTCCGTATCGCGTCCCACGCAGAACACATAGCTGACGAGTCTGCAGACCTCGTTTGGTCATGCGCCATATTAATTATGAACGCTCTTCAAGTACAAGAGACTCAATTCTTGCGGCTGGGCACGCATCCTTCCTTCCGCCATGTCAACTGGTGAGGAAGAAAAGGCCAACAAGAGTACTTCGTCTGTTGAACAAGCCGAAATCTTCGAGCGTCCCAAGGGATGGAGAGGTATCTACCACCACCCAGTGACACAGGTCTGCCTAGTGGGCTTGGTCTGTTTTATGTGCCCGGGCATATTCAACTCCCTTAGTGGTCTTGGTGCCGGTGGTCAAGTCGATGCGACTACCAGCGCAAACGCGACTGCTACTCACTATGCTACCCTTGCCTTCTTTGCATTTTTTTCTGGGTCAGTCCCGGGCATTGTTTGGTGTCACGTCCATTTGATTTGAATTTTGTTTCCTATAAGCTCGGTACATAACGTGCTTGGATCTAGACTCTGCCTGTTTCTCGGAACGTGTGGATATCCTCTGTACATCGCGTCCTACATGCACGTTTTTGTCCGTCTTCCATCTTTCGATACTTCCTGACTCGGTTGAATAGTGCAACGAATATCCACCCTGGTGCAGGTGACTTCGTCGTTGTTACCGGAGCTATCTCAGGTATCTGTGCGGCCTTGATATGGACGGCGCAAGGATCCTTGATAATGGCATACCCCACGGAGGCTCAGAAGGGGACGTTCATCGGTTACTTCTGGGCTATCTTTAACCTGGGAAGTGTTGTCGGCTCTTCGGTGGCCTTCGGGTTGAATTTTAACTCCACGGTAAAACGTCATGACCTATATATAAGGTGTATGATGTTCATACACACAAAATCAGGCAAACAAAGTTGGGAATGGAACCTATGTGAGCTCCTCTGTAATCATGTACAAGTTCTTATGACTGATTTGATCATACTTATGCAGATCGGACTCCTCATCCTCACCCTCATTGGTGTAGTATTGCCCACCTTCCTTGTGGATCCATACAAGATGATCCGCACTGACGGAACCAAAGTGACGCCTATCCGCCACCCTTCTTGGAAAACTGAGTTTTTGAGTCTTTTTGTGGCCCTGAAGACGGACCCTTGGATTGTCCTGCTGTTCCCCATGTTCTTCGCCAGCAACTACTTCTACGCTTGGCGTGAGTAAAATGTCACAGGGAAACGACGCTGCAAGAGGTTGATGTGTTTTCTAGTATTCAATGATTATAACGGTGCCTTGTTCAACATCCGTACCCGCAGCCTGAACAACTTTGTGTATTGGACTTCTCAAATCTTTGGCTCATTCCTCATTGGTCACTTTGTTCTGGATTTGAAGCGGTTCCGTAGGCGGTTCCGCGCGTTCCTATGCTGGTCGATTGTGGTTGTCTTTGTCTTTGCTATCTATACCTGGGCATACTTTTACCAAAAGTAAGTTGCCGTCTAGCTCTTGTCTGGTACGACAGTCAATTTCAAAGGACCTATACTCGCGCCTCAGAGTCTCCTACTGCCGTCAAGATGGATATGAACGACCCCGACTATTCTGCGCATGTATGGCTCATGATTCTCTTCGGCCTCCTCGACTCTATGTGGCAGACAACTGCCTACTGGCTGATGGGCGCTATGTCCAATGACCCTGCAAAGCTTGCCGTGTTCGCTGGCTTCTGTAAGATCTGACATCGAAAGCACGCAATAGATCCTATTCTGACGATCTTCTACTTCCCAAGACAAATGCTTCCAGTCTTCTGGATCGGCTATTGCGTGGCGTCTCGATGCTCTACGACGACCGTAAGCTTTGTTCTTTTCCAGAAGAATGTAAATAAAGATTTCTTTAACAGATATATGAACATTTTCGTTTCCACTTGGGTCCTTGTTGCTGCTGGCATGATGTGCGCCTTCCCTTTGGTCTATGTCCGCGTAAAGGACCACACGGAGATTGATGACGAGGCTTTGTAAGTTCCTCTATTTTGCCCTCGTTACTGTTACTTGATAATATTTCTTCCCCAGGTTGAATCGCCCCAATGTGGAGAAACTTTCTGAGCTCGCTGAGAAGGAAAACGACAAGTGATGTACAATCGGAGCAAGAACGATGGATTTTGTACGCACATAGAAATATGTATTTCATTTAGACCTTCGCGATCGGTGATTATGGTTGCTGGATGGACTCGTAAGTTCCCTGCAGATTGATTCTCAGAAGTATCCAACGTGTAGCCTAGTACCTAGGTGAGCCTGCTATTTGTTACTTTGTTTCAATTGGGGCTACCGCTTTTGGACCGTGCATGCTACACATTGTCACAAGACTCAGTACATCTCCGAAATCTCCACTAGTCTCGACAGTGCATTCACGCACCATGTGCTGAGAACAAGCACGAGAAGGTGAGAGATCGCATGCGGAATGACATGCATGAGAGACTTGCCCTACATCTATGATGTTGATCCATGGCCACTCATCCACTAATGTGTTGGTGCCTCACCTATGTTGGAAAGATATCGGTAACGGGCAAGCGATGGGTATACCATTTTCAGACCCGGCCGTGCACCTGTATTCTTTGCAAGGCCTTACACTGTGGCTCTTTTACGATGTACGACCTATCACCGTGATGAAAATCATCGTCCATTCATTCTGCGTCTGCCCATGCATAGAACTGTGCCTGTAGACAGCGCATGGCAGTTCGGCAAATACGGGGTGCAGTAGAATATGGGGTGCAGTTCCCTTTGTTGCACTTCGCTTTCCCTCGCCGGCATTGCTTATTTTAGCAGGAATCGTTTCTCCCAATTGCCTTTGCCCACGGGGATTGATACGCCGCAGGCCGCATGTGTCTACATTCCACATGAGCGCTTGATAACGCTACGTTATAAGAATCACCGAGTCTTTTACTTCATGGTCCGCGTTGTCGCCCGCTGCATTTTCCAACCACCATGTCTGACGCGCAAGCAGAAGTCGAGAAACTCGGTAGCAGCAGCAGCAGCGAGGATTCTGGTTCTCAGCGCGCAGAAATCTTCGACCGTCCGACAGGATGGAGAAGATACTACTATCACCCCATAACGCAGGTGTCGATGTTGGGATTCGTGTGTTTCATGTGCCCTGGCATGTTTAACGCGCTTACTGGTCTCGGAGGTGGAGGTCAAGTTAACAGTAAGGACTCGGCAAACTCAAATGCGGGCGTGTATGCGACTTTTGCGTTTTTTGGGTTCTTTTCTGGGTAAGTCAGGGTCATCATGGTCGCTCTTGGCCATAGTGGCTAATATTGTTGCAGTTCCGTTAACAATGTGATTGGTGCTCGACGGACTCTGATGTTTGGGACCTGGGGCTATTCGTTGTATATTGCCTCCTTCCTGTAAGATGCCTTGTTATTTGACCTATAACTATGCTCAAACATCGCCATTCAGCGCCGTCAACATTCATCCTGGCGCGGGTGCTTTCGTTGTCGCAGTCGGCCCCATCCTCGGTGTCTGTGCAGCTTTTCTTTGGACGGCGCAGGGCTCGATGATGATGTCATACCCCACTGAGGCCCAGAAGGGCATGTTCATCAGTATCTTTTGGGCCATCTTCAACCTTGGAGGGGTTGTCGGGTCTGCTGTCGCGTTTGGAACCAATTTCCACAATACGGTGAGTGAAGTGTTACATTTATAAATGTGTGGACGCTTATATCCTCCACTGTCAGGCCAACGGCGGTAAGAGCACAATATTGCCATCTCAAGGCAGCACTGACGAATTTTGTCGTGTTCAGTTGGCAATGGCACATATGTAAGTCATTTGACCCGTTATTGCCAACAGAAATTGACAGTTCATTAGGTTGGCTTCTTAATCCTGACTCTTATCGGCATATTTATCCCACTGTTCATGGCGAACCCAGACAAAATGATCCGCACTGATGGAACTCGCGTGAACCTGGTCCGCCATCCATCCTGGAAGACAGAGTTTTTGAGCCTGTTCGTGGCCCTGAAGACTGACCCCTGGATTTTGTTACTCTTTCCGATGTTCTTTGCCAGCAATTACTTCTACACCTGGCGTTCGCACATTTCTTCTTGGGATCAGTTTGGTTGCTGATACGTTGCGCAGAATTCAATGATTACAATGGCGCGATATTCAACATCCGTACTCGAGGTCTCAACAACTTCATGTACTGGACATCACAGATCTTTGGATCCGTCTTCATTGGCTACTTTGTCCTTGACTTGAAGAGGGTCCGGCGCAGAGTCCGTGCCTTATATGGCTGGGTCATCGTGTTCTTCATGGTTTTCGTCGTCCACGTCTGGGCATACTTCTACCAAAAGTAAGTCATCTTTCCGCATTGCACGTCCAAGTTCACATCAATGCGATCCTTAGGACATATACCCGCGCTCAGGAGGCTGCGAAGGGTGCTTACAAAATCGACTTCTTGGACAAGAACTACGCTGCCCATGTCTGGCTCATGATCTTCTATGGCTTCCTGGATTCAATGTGGCAGACATATGCATACTGGCTGATGGGCGCAATGTCGAACGACCCTGCCAAGCTGGCAGTGTTCACTGGCTTTTGTGCGTATCGACGAATCAAAAGTACAAGTTCGGTATTGATCAAGAACCCATATAGACAAGTCCCTGCAATCAGCAGGTGCAGCAGGCGTCTGGAGTGCTGATGGTGCTAGTGCCCCGTAAGTTCATTATCCCTCCGTTCTTGAACAAATCGCTGGATCAGTGATTTAGATACATGAACATATTCCTGTCGACGTGGTGCCTCACGGTTGCTGGTATGATCTTCGCCGCACCGATGGTATACCTTCGCGTTACTGACCACACGGAGATTGAGGATGAGGCTCTGTGAGTGTCCATGATGACTGATGTACCTGTCACTGGTATTGACTTCTATGATAGGATGCAAATGGCTGGCGTGGAACGCATCGAGGCTCCAGTGGTTGCGACGGAGGAGAGCACATGATATCATGCTACCAATGTATTGATCACGAACAGTTCCTTCATGTTTATGACTCTCGATTGTTTTTCTGGTTTTCATAGTACTTAACAACAATTAACAACTTGTTTTTAGTTTGCTGCATACTTAATGGTGATTCTGCTGTTTATTTCAAGTTGAAGTATGATCGGTGCATTTCAGGTCATCACATGATGTTGAGATGCACGGTTGGTGCCAGCGTCTGCGTTTGGATGCAAGCTTCAGAGCATGCAGCCAAGTATGAACTCCATCTAATCGTTCAGGGCTACATTTACATGACACCGCGTGATCGTGCCCAAGAAAAGTGGACAAACTGCAGTCAATATTAATGGACGAGTCTGTAATGCTACAATGTTACACTCGTAAAAACTTTCTATGGCTATCATACATGACGGGTTGTGGCAGTACTCATTCAGGTATCAATACCATTCAGCAACCAGTCATATCTGGGTGCGTCTGAAGAGAGAGAAAAATAGAGAAGAAACAAGTTCAATGTCAGACCCAGAGGAATCAACACACGGCGAAATCAAAGAGCTTTAAGCTCGCGTTTCGTTATCCCCCGACCTTGGTACCCAAGTAACCTTCGCCCTCCGCGCCATCTCCTTCGCCATCCTCCCCAGGCTCCTCACCATCCTCATCAATAACTCTCTCCTCCTTCTCACCTCGCCGATCGTCGTCCCGCTGCATCTCGTCCCGCATGACCGCGACGTCCTGGTCAACCTTGGGGGCGACTCTGTCGATCCCAGCCTCCGCAAGGGGCACATGCAAGCGGTTCTTGGCAAGGTGAGCAGAGCGCTTCGGGGGCCGCTTAAGCCGGCGGCGGGCAACCATGACCGGGACGGAACAACGCTAATAATTCAGATATCAGACCAAGTGTTATGGCGGTAAACTCCGAAGGGTGTGAGAAGGCTTACTTGAATGAGATAGTGTGATGTTGATCCCAAGAGAATGCTACGGAGATGGTGACAGATTGGTTCTAGTGGCATAACGAGACCATCGTGTGCACTCACCCCTTGATCTGACCCAATCCTCGGGACCCCACGATCAGCATCGTGGGTTCGTTGTAGTCGACAATGTCGAGGAGCATGTGGCGCGCATTTTTCGAGTGCCATGCTTGGCAGGAGACGGTAACGTTCAAGTGCGTGCGTTGCAATAGCGACGTTGCTTGACGGACGAGGATATAGGCAAGGCCTTGACGCTATACTCCGGCGTGAGTTAATGGTGAGAGGATATAAGAGTTGTCTTACTTCCTGTTGAGAACGAAGTCTGGTGGCACGCTCCGCTGGGTTGGGGATGGGCGGGTCAACTGCATCATGTACATCAAAACAAGGGTGTGAATACAAGTTAAGGTACCATTACCTTTAGCCTCGTTTTCGACAACCGTAACGATGAGCCTGTATCATAGATTTGACAGTGCGCCACAAGAAGGGTGAGAACACTCACAGATGATCGCCGTCTCGAATCACTGTGCCGATACCCCACTCAACAGCATAACGACTCTCCTCGCTGAGGTCACTAGCAACAATATACATCCGCTTCCGTCTTTCTGATGCCTCCGGATCGCCCTGAGTCATGGTGATGGTGCACCTATCACGCTGGAATAGTGGGCGAGCCGTCTTCAAAGGAAGAGTTTCATGATGCCGGGACTTCTTTCGCTTAGGACCTCCACGCTTGCCTTTAATCGAGGTGAAACTCGTCCGGTTAAGAGTAGAAGGAAAATAAGGCTCGGGTGGCACCACGACATTGACACCTTCACCCAATGGGTCAGGATCCATAGTTACATCGTCGAGGTCCAGGTCTCCCGTCGCCATCTCATGGGCAGGAATAAGCGCGTTCTGCTCCGTGTTCCTCTCAGTGACGAAATCGAACATGCCCGTGGCGTCATCGCTCCACTCATCTTCGTCATCTTCTGTTTCTTCCCCAGCGTACTCTGAACCTGAATCTGGATCATCTGTGAAAGCATTGCGAGGTCGGACGGCAAGTGTACGTCGTGAAGTGACAGAGTCACAATCCGATTCCTCGAGGGGAAGGGGAGCGGGAGATGCATCGCGATCACGAGGACGGAAACGGCGTAAACTGAAGGGAGATGACGAGCGGGCACGGATGGATTCCTTGGAAGCTACGGATGCTGTGTCCTTATCTTTGTCCTTGTCTTTTGCATAAGATGGAAGTACAAAAGATGAGGCGCGAGGCTTCCGTTTGCTTGTGGTGCGTCCGCGAGTTTCCTTGTCTTTGTCTTTGTCCTCATTGGTTGTCGTACGAGACAGTGAGAGCGCGGAAAGACCCCCCATCACGGAGTTGAAAGAGATCTTCCCGAAGGATGTGGGGGTTCGAGTGGCTAGATCAGGTGATTTCATGACGGAGGTCGAGGGCGGCGATGTAGCAGAAGACGACGATGCGCCGTTGACTGGTGAAGTTTGCTCATACTGCTGTAGATGAGAAACAGAGGAATGAGGAGATGAATGTAAGGAAAGCAATTGAGATAAGGAAGAAATTGAGCTGCGTTTCGGTGTGCTAGGCCGCGATGTCTTTAAGCTTGACTCACGACGCAGACCGCTCGCACCTGAGTCTGCAGAAGGGAAGGTCTGCTGGATATGCTCTATTGGTGTTGCCAACCCCGTATCCAAGAGAAGGGTTGGTCTGGGCACGTCCTTGGCAGTGTCCTTCTGTGGACCATACCAAGCTAGCCAGCTGCGACGTCTTGGACGCACGCCGGGTTCAGCGGCGGCGGACATGGACGGACAGCGATTGAAATGGTTCGAAAGAAACAAGGGATGGCGCTTACCTGAGTCGCAATGAGTTTCCTGAGATTAGTGGCTGCGTCGTTCGAGGCTGATGGCTGGAAAAGGCGAGAAGTTCGTGAGCAGGTCAAATGCACAAGAGCATAACAAGCGTCTTGGCGGACACACCCATTACTCACCTTCGCTTCTTTTCCCCCGTTCATCCTTGTGCCTGCTCTAGTCTTGCCCAGAACCTGATGTTAGGTTAGATCCACAGATAAGCTATACCCTCGAATGTTTGGTATGTTCTGCTACCAGGTATTCCGCGTTGGTCGCTAGCCGACCTATTGTTTGCGCTATCGCCAGGAGGGCGGTGCAAGGGGAATGCCTGAATCAGTAAACCCTAATACGTACGCACGTGGCTTTCCCAATAAATACGCTTTCGATTTCTCTCCTATGACGCGACTACGTTGCGAGGACCGCTCTTATTCCTATGATACATACAACTACTTAATGTATATGTTGCGAGGACATCTCTCCTTGGATCATTCCATCAGATTCACAAACTCGCAGTGGTCACTTTCCCAAAAATCTCCTCCAGGAATGCATCCGAGTTCGGCGATCGACCCAGGAAATCCTGTTCAATCATGTGAGCACCATAATAGATAGAATCGCAAAGATGAAGCGACGCACCTCAAGCGAGTCCGTTTCATCCCGGCTACCTCCCACCAGGAGAATCTTGTCCCTGTAACGCTTACCCAAAGCAGGGTTTAATGGGTCTTTTTTGAAAACTGTCGCATACATGTCCGCGGCAAATACGAGTGAGTACGTGTACCTGGTTATCACGTTCATCCGAGGTGTCAGTTTCAGTCGATGGTCCATCAGAATACGACAATCGCATGACTCACCCATAGTACCCTGCGTCATAGCCACCGACGATATGCCCGAAAGTCCCTTGTCCTGGCTGGGCTTTACCCCCTTTTACAAGTGAGATCGATTCACGCAGGTCATTCCAGAGTTTGGTATAATCTGCCGCCTCTGCAAAATAGCCCGTAAACTATGCAGTCAAAAAAAAATAACACGTGTGTCTAACCTTTATCCACGTGCACTTTGAGATCAAATTTGGCAAAGAACAGTTGCCGAAGGTAGAATAGCCCAACATTTACGTAGCGGCTGTGACACTTATCATACTTTGTTCTCGAAAACCCAAGGAGATGAAACACACCTCTTGATCAACTTATCTATCAATTCCGGCGATAGCGGCTCCTGTGTCTCGTAGTGGCTAGACATTTTCTCTAGCACCTTGGGCTCCCAGCACCTGCTCCATGCCGTCAGTACTCTTCAAATAGCACATTCCTCCCGTCAGGGTTGTGCATAATACTGACCAATTTTCAAGCATTTGCGAAGGCGCCTCAACGAAGTCTCTCGCCACGGATGTACCGTGGAATCGCGCGTACTTCGTCCGGCTAAGTAATCCATGGAATACATGACCCATCTCATGGAAGAACGTTGTTACGTCGTCGTGTCGCATCAAAGCGGGTCGCTCGGGAGTTGGCTTTGCGAGATTCGCCACCATTGCCGTCAGAGGGTAGTAACGTTTGCTCGACGGTAGCTCATAGCCCGGGAGGAGGCCCCATACAGCTGCGTGAGAGTATTTTGCAGCTACCAAAGAGAACAAAGTTCAGCAAGGTCAAATACAAATACAAATGAAACTTCGCGCCCTTACCGCGGGGAAACAGATCAAGATAGCAATATCCTACAAATGCAGATTCGTCTTTAGCGTCCTTTTCCCACACAGCGAACTGTTGCACTTCTAGAGCAAAAATTTAGAAGGCTGAAAATCTTTCCATCACGGAGAGTGCCACTCACCTGGATGCCAGACGTCTTTGGCATCGCCCTTGATCTCAATGAACTTGACTCCAAGCAGATCCTGGTATATCTTCAAGATCGTGGGAACAACGACCGAGACCGGGAAATATTCCTTCACGATGGATTCGTCGAGATTGAGTGTCTTCTCGACATAGACGCGGTCATAATACCTGTATGACACCAATGAGCCAAGGTTCATGGTACTGGTGCGGGGACTTACCTGTAGTCCCAGATGTAGAACTCGCCATCGAACGGAAGTCCGCGCTCCTCATGTTCCTCTTTCTTGAGTTGAAGCAGAATCTTACGCTCTTTCTCTCCCACAGGGCGCAGCTTCGCCTCGAGTTCATCTAGGAACTAGAGCGCGTGCATATTAGTTTGACAGGAGTAATTAAAATCATCAAACACTCACGTCCTCGGCGTTCTTACCAGACTTGACCATCTTCACTTCCGTGATGTAATCTGCCCAGGTGTCATAGCCGAGCATCGCGGCAATGCGCCGACGGAGGTCAAGGGCCTTCTCAAGTAATGGCACATTTTGATTCAGTCGGTCCTCGTATCCTTCATGAGCAGCGCGTCGCGTGGCTGGATTATGCGCGGATTTGAACTGGAAAAATTCCTCAGGTAAATCAATAGAAGCTCCTCGTGATGCCACATACGATTGGGAAGATATCTGGCGTCTTGAAAGTGACATCATAGACTTCCTTCGAGCCCTCAGTGCGCTTCGTATAACCCGAGATAACATCACCCGGGACTCCATCCAGCTCTTCGAGAGTGAACGAGATGGAACCCTATGCATGTTTGTGTGATCAATATCATGAATCAAAACAGACGAACATCCTCACATTCTCTTCATTGAAGTTTTTCTACACACACTATCAGCATAACACCTAAACACTGAAGAAACAATCCCTACGCTGAAATCCAAGCAAGCTTGCGAGAGCTCCTTCTTGTACTGCATCAACACCTCACGCTCCTCCTCAGGAAGCGCAAGCCCAGCTCTCTTACCATCCAACACCATCTTCTCCACGAGCCTCCGCTGCTCGTCACTCAACTTCTCCCATGCACCCGATTCGCGCAGATTCTTCTCTGCAGCGGCCTTGGCTTTGAACACGTCAAGACGCATGGACTCCTCGACATCAAACTCGCGCTGGAGGACTTCTGCTTGGTTCGAAGCATCTCGAAGCTCTTTGGAGGTGGAGACGTTCTGGTAGAATCCGAGGGGCTCGCAGATGATAGTGACTTCTGCCTCTGCGTCAGCAAGCGGTACCTAACGTCGGAAGCTTGTCTAAGAATGCGATGGCAATTGATCAGAAGCATCACTCACAAAAACCTACGAATGAAATGAGATGATCAGTTAGATGACGCACGCAAGACATGCCACTTACTGTCTCGAAGTTGCATTCAGCCTCCGGGAGAGCCGCGACCTTGTCACTGACCGCCTTATTCTGCGCAAGTGCCTGCTTGGTGATACTCAACACTTCTTCCGGGGTGTGATTCCACTTGGGAGGAGCCTGTGGCGCAGTCAACGAAGCCATGATAGGATCACTTTCAGATAACTCGAATGCAAAGCTTGATGTCGCGCGCGAGCTGCTGGAGAACGGTCTCGAGGTCTGTAGTCTTGAAAACTGGGTTCGCGGGCGCAAGCCAAAGCCAATGGACGTCGAGGATAGAGATTGGATTTGTGCGGGGTACTTTAGCGCTGGATTGGAGCTATCAATCTGGATATATGTCCTTGCGCTGGTTTGCCCAATATATCCACCGGGATTATGCCAAAAGCGCAAGGATTCTGCGTTGCGTGATTCCGGGAGTCTGGGACGTGGCAACAGACGAGTGGACTTGGAGGACGCAGAGCTTGCACGGGCGAGCATCTACCGTTGTGAATGAACCTGAGGCGGTTTGAGACGAATGAGCCCAATTGAATTATTCTTTTGCAAGGCAGTTCACGTAACCGACGCCCGGACGGAGTTTCATAGTTGTGTGGTAAGTCCGTCCCAATGGCGCTTAACTATAACTGCGGGCGCTTAATTCAATCAGTAGAGCTCAGGTTCTTCAATAGCTTTCTTAAGCCGCGGTTTCTCCTGCTCAGATCTAGCATGCTCGTACTGTTATCCTGCACGACGAATTTATAACTAATTATTGTGTAAGGAGTCCGTCTTGCGATAATTTGCGCAAGAGCACAGACTGAGTTTAGCAAAAGCTGAGAAGACGCAATGAAAAATACATACGACAGATAGGTGTAAAACTCCTGCAGGGACTAGGGGCCTCGTCGTACGCGCAGGGGCCTACTTCTGATGCCCGGAGTACGGTAATGATTTCACCGCTGCCAGTTTGGAGTCGGCTGAATGGAGATTGGCATGACCTGTAATTTATACATGAGCAATCAGACAACCGTGGTATCAGGTATCACGTCCGCTCGTGTTCCCCTTAGCTCCTGCCCTTTGACAAGCGGGTCACTAACTTAGCGACTGTGTTGCATGCTACTGTTCCAGTAATTTTCAACATTTGGACTACGAAAATCAATAAGAAATAATAACCACAGTGCACGTTAGCCAACGCACCGTTTCTTGTGTGATTAACAATGTTAAACTCGGCGCAAAGGGAAGTCAGTCACCTTTCATGATTAGTAGGATACGCGGTTGAGGCGGGTATTCCGTTCTTGAGAGCGAATCCCGTTCGACCTTTCGTCATCGAGATCCAGGAGAAACTGTGTCACACGCACCGACCATGCAGGTCCGAGTACCACACCTGGTGAAAAAAATGCTAAACTTACATACATGCATAACGTTTGATGGCATAGTCTACCTGTGCTACCCCCCCTGCCAGCGATGTTCGCGGGAGTTGATACCCCTGGCCTTCATAGGCGCCCGCAACGTCTAGGATTGTAAGCAAGTTGTAAACAAGAACTTATTGGGGCCGACGTTTCAATGGTATTACAATGAGGAGCTGCTTACCTACGGATCCGTGATCCATAAGGTTTGAGATAAGCCTTCGTATACGACCTTCAAAGTTCATTCCCATCCGGGTCCCGCTGCATGCAATGACGACATGCCCTGAATAGGGAAATGCAGGGTGGAGGTACTTACACATGGCTCGCATATCCCGGACTTTTATGACACTCACCTACACGGAGGACGCGTTGTTCTGCGAAAGACAGTGCGTCCTCCTCTGATGTGAGGCGCAGGCCTGGTGGTCACTGTGGTGTGCTACCGGCGGTAAAAGCGGCAAAACCCTAAGTATTTCATTAAGGATAGAGGCACGGGGGATGATATTAGCCATACTAGGATAGATAATTGAAGGTATATGATAGGGCATGATCCGGGCCTGTGGCACAACCTTGAGTGACTTCCTGCACGTGAATGAGTGACAGAGACAATTGCGTTTGAAATTGGACATTGAGTCTCTGACTTGACATTCAGCGACGCCCTGATCGAGCTTACATGTTGATCACGATCGTGTATCGCTAGAGCAGTATTGCCGTCCACTAATTAAATTTCGTGAGTCGAGACATACAGAGTCAGTGACTGACTGAGGAAGCAGAGCGAGCGCTACTTAGGACCATGATAGGTTCGTCCATTGTCGCACTGCATAAAGTCAGCCCAGTTCCCGAATCCCGAGCCTACTAATCTATATATAACGGTATCGCCCAAACTGCAGGGCTGTACGCCACAGTTGAACACTTGCGCCTATCGGGAGGGTTTCTTCCCTGCCAAGTACAAAAAGGAGAAGTAAGTGAAAGCGCACACAAAGAGTTCGCTGACCCGGACGATCGGTCTCGGTGAGCGCTCTAATAGAAAAGTACTGAAACATATTAATCAGTCAGAGTTACGGTTACACAGATGATGATCCATGCTGACTGGGTTTCGCTACCCCAAGCACACACGTTTGTGTCTATAAATCGTTTTAATAATTCGGCACCTAGAGTCGCCCGAGAAAGGCGGTTATTCGACCCTACAAGCTAAGCATAGCGGGAACGTAGCATGCAACGACACGAAATTTTACTGTGCAAGTCGGAGGCGAGATCGTGTCTTTCTGCAAGAATTGTCGGCGCATAACGACTGTTCCCACAGGCCCAGAGCCAGGTCGGCATTATTGTCGCGGGCGCCAGTATTGGAGTTGGGGGCGTTGTCAAAGTTCAAGGGTATGTTATTCGGAAAAGGCTAAATGCACATCGGTTCTTATGATCGATACCGCCGGATTAAAACGGCAAGCAAATAAGTTTCTCGCCTCGAGTGAGGCTGTCAGACGCACCTGAATTCCACTGAAACCTTTGTGTGTCTTGATCGCTTCCAGCTGATATTTGGGCAATCCGATGTCGCTGTCTAAAGCTGAGTACGACCTGAGTCACCTGACGAGCCTCCTCGGACACTGGCTAAATGGTTTTTTCAATTTGGCCTTAAGTTCAGCGATCACAATTCGATCACGGTGTCAGTAAGCCGCAACATGATGTTGGTTTACATAATGCCTCCACATGGCGCAAAATTGAACTCTATTCGCCCTATAGCTACATGGGCATTTCCCGTCATTTGCTTATACTTATAATGCACTAGTTATCCGAATGAATTGAACTTTCACGTTATAAGGGTACCGCGTCCAGATGTACTTCAACTGATCCTCTCATCCATGCATACTTCTTAATCCAAGTTCCTTCCTCCTCAATCTGCGCTTCACTACGCAAGATGAGTACCAGTGACCTCAGCTCCCCTTCTCCCGCCGAAGTAGAGAATCTCGTGGTTCTTTTCGTCGGCTTCGCATTGGCAACTTTCCTATATGGCTTGACATTCTTTCGTGAGTATTTAACGCCTTCTCACCGAATCTGTCTTATCCTTTCGTACGTTGCAGAGATGTACATCTATTTTTCTCGATACTCGAACGATGATATATGGACAAGAGTCTTGGTACGCTTTTCCTTCCCGCTCTGTCGAGTGCCCGTCTAACATTCCACTTTCTCGCAGGTCGGGGCACTATTGTAATGTATTCTAGCTTTCAACTTGAATTACGCCTTACACATATTCAGTGTCCTAGACACCACGTCAACTTGCCTAGGTGCGATCATTTTCACACGTGTTTTCTGTATTCCTGACCTAGATTCATAGTATCTGAGCTGTACGAGCTTCGTCTCCATGTCCTCCAATTTCTAACGCATCTGAACAGATTATATCACTACCTGATAACAATGTTCGACGTCAGCATGGATGTCCTATATGCCACAACGTAAGTGTCACTTCGTGAAGTGCGGGCCTTTGTAACCGTTTTCTCTAGGACTTTTTGCGTAAGTGGACTTGGCACATGCACACTTTAGCTGCTTCTCACTGTCTGCCGTAAAAAGATACAAGATCTCCTTTCGGTGAGTCTATAACTCTAGACGCGGTTTTCGGCGTATCTCACAGCATCACTTTAGGTCATTCTCACTCTGATCGTACAGTTGTAAGGGCGCCAATCATTGATATAACATGTGACATATCTTACTCTCCCTCAGGTTCTTCGCTCGTCGACTTTATACTGGTGAGTCAAGAGTTTCGCGTTTTTTGTTTGTCTCATCGCTCAATAGTTTGCGGTGGTCCTTCGAGTATCACTTCGAGAGTCGTCACAGTGGCAGTGGTACGTGTTTGGTAATCATGCTCGGTCAATTCCACTGACCCTGTCACAGTTTTTTTGTGCCTTCATCGCCTTTGGTCAGTACCCTTTCCCGCTGTGTAAAACCTTACTTGACGTGGACTTTGATTACAGTGTTCGGCCTGAGTTAGTGTATTTGATATTCAATTGAACACTATTGACGGCAGCGCAGCTTCAGTAGGGCAGGTGTAAGCGGATATTGAACCATCATGGATGCCGTCACTGATTCTGAGTCATTTCTTAGTTTCAAGCAAAGGCAGCTGTCTGCATTTGCGTTGCCTCCTATGGCCGTGGGTGTTTCAATTGATTCCACATATCGGGAGGGTGCTCACCGGGAATCACAGATTGTTGCTGGCATCAGCCAGGGCTTCGCAGCAGTCACGAACATCATCATTGTCGTTGCGATGTGTTGGTCATTGCGTCCTGCACGTTATCCGGACATGCACGTGTCAGTGTTTCAAGTGGTGAGATTCACGCAATTGCTCACACGTTGTTTTCAGGCCTGAGGGAGTGATAGACAATGTCGTTGTGCTGTGTGTCGGCCGTGGCCTCATACTCGCGTGAGTTTTACTCTGTGCCGACTTGTGCAGCCTAACCATGTTTCTGTTTGTCAGGGTCGTTCAGCTGGCCTTCCTTGGCACGGTAAGTTTATTCTTATTCTCAGGGAGCGGCCCTCCATAACTAATCTATACAGTTTGTTGCAGCACCAGGAAAACCATACTGGATAGCATTCCAGATGATATCATGCAGGGGTACGTTTTCAGCACCCACTAACCTCCTCATGTATATGCTCATGACGGACCATAGTTTATGTGAACACTGTCTTGGGACTGTATGTCGTTTACCCAACCCTTCATCAGACGCTCACTTTTTTTTCCCAGCTTGAACACCCGGGAAGTCAAGCATGGCGTTGGTCTCAATGAAGAAGAGACGTTGTCTGATCGACAAGATTCGCGAAACGAGGGTATACCGAGTGCGCTCCGCTTCCGCATGCCATTGAGCACAAAGGCGGTGAGTCACGCGCTTCGAGTCCCAGTTTTTCGACACTAACACACAGCATCAGACCCAGCAGTCGGTGAGTTTTTCGCGACAGGATGAGAACAGCGGAGGCAGCGAAATCGAGGAAGCAAGCAAATCATACGGCGACGACGAGAACTTGGTTTGTTCCTGGCATAAGAATGTTTGAGACGTCCTTTCACTCACGGATATGATACAGAGCTCCGTTCGTTCTCGGTGTAGCGAACAGCCCGCATATGACAAGGCTAGTTTGTCATGATGCGGGATTTGCGATTCGCCAGTTGCATGGTCTATCAATATCATTTGTACTAATGGTCGCTCGCTGTCGTGCTTCTCGCACTTGCTTTCCTTGCTTTCTTTCGCTTTCGCTCTCACTTGTATCATATCGCCGTCGATTCAACAGTCGAAACAACGCATCGCGGATCCATCTACCTTGGTCACTGCAGGCGCGGACTTGGAAGGAAGAACATGTATTATATCACGGACACATAGCATATCGCACATATTGTACGTTACTACCTACAATCATTTTGGGAAAACAGTCTTTCAGCATGCACCGTGCTCTTCGGAATTTTGTCGTCTACGTTATTGAATAAATAATAATGTTGGATCGTTTGATCCTCGGGTTTTTTGCAATGTGGAGGTATTGTGAATCAAAGTTGAAAGCTTAATTTTTAATATTGTGTACCTATATCTTGAGGGTGATCATGGTAACGCTGGGAGTACGGGAGGGTTCGTGACGACGAGCCCCGTGAAGTCTAGGCCCTGGTTCGGTCAAAATCACTTCGCGGGAGGATGACTCGACCTTGCCGATTTGCCTCGTGACATTCATAGCTCCGGTTGAGTCTAATTGCTTCGGTATGGAAGTCATGTACTATCCGCAGGTAAACCCGTTCGTGTTACTTCATGTTGATGCCCATCAAGAGCACGAAACATCACGCGTTGTTCTGACCGTTCAGAGCCCCGGTGAATTTTCAACACTTCGCACCTCCATCGATGAGAAAGTCCACGCAGAAGGCCCGAAACCTGCCCTGTATGATATTGCACAGTAATTAACGGACAAAGATCGCAACCGATATTCGACGTCATATCGACTTTGAGTTTTTTTATGGCTCGGAGCCTCGGATACAGCTGCAGGCGACAATATTAATGCTCTCACCTCATACTGTACGGTACCGGTTCCAAAGGGGCGCATACATTAGCATATAGGCCCGGATTTCCGAGGAACGAGTCAGAGCGTTCCGCGGAGATCAGATCTCAAGACTTGGATGCTTGTTGGTGGCTGTCGCTGTCAGTGTCACCAATACTGTCCAGCTAACGTCGTCACGGCACCAGTGTATCCTGGAGTTCGTCTGTAAGTAAAGCACATGAAGAACCAGGAAGAGCCTGTGGATATGGCCATGGCGGCAAGTCAGAAGTGCTGAACATATACTGTAGAGATACGACACTAGGTTCGTCACAGGTCACAGCCATCAACGAATCGAACCTATTTGGTGTGACTGTCACACCAATTTTTTGGGGGCCGAAGCTAATTTGTGACATGTGGTAAAAACATACAGAAAAACATATAAAAAACATACAAAAAACATATAAAAAACAACAATGTCCAGCTAGATTCTACCTGTTATTTCTCAACTTTATAATAAGATATGAATCAGACAAGAAGCCTTGACAAAATCACAATTTCCGAAGCTATTTTTTATGTGGTCACAGGTGACAGGGTAATTCGAAGCTGTGACACTAAGCGTGACTTTGTCACGTGCTGCACGTGACGAAGCTAGTGTCGTATCTCTACAGTATACCTACGGCCGTGGTCGACGTCTCTGGCACGAGCCAACAGTCAGAGATTCAAAGCCACACAAACCAAACACTGACTTGCGCTGAAAGATAACTAGCGATGACGATTTTCCTTCGATGCAATTAGTTACATCGACATCGTGCTGTGTGCGAAATAGATAGCTGAAATGTCGAGTATTCATTTTTTCAACCGGTGTGTTAGCTAAAACGAGGTAAATGACGAATCGAAGATATATACCATAGTGCATATACGCGACGCGGCGTCGCAAAATGGCGGTACACATAATACCGCGGGCCCGCAAGACGCGTAAAGTAGACGCCTGCTTAGCCGTGCGACTTATTCACCACGGCCTACACCAAGTGCTCCATCTCCTCACATGCTTGTTTCTTTGCGCTGTCGGTCCTACGAGTGCATCGAGTGCGCGTGGCGATGTTTGGTGTGTCAAACTCGGGGACGTGTCCATCGGAGGTTTCGATGGCGACGACTGTGCGGGCAGACAGAGAATGAGGAAGGGAGGCACGAGAGCGAGCTGGTGGCCACAAAATTGTGGTAGCACGGTGCGGTACCGCATGTGCGGGGTTTCAAATGGTTTGCCGCGTATTCCTTCCAAGGGAGGTTCTTCCAAACGCGTCACACATGTACATGTGCATGAATTGTTCCCCGGGCCCCCCTCTCAGGCAAGGCCGACTGGTTCTTTGATCCGCAGCCGCGTCACTGCATATCAAGAGCTGGCATGCAGTGGGGCGCGAGTCAAGCATTGGCTTTTTGCCTCAGTCATTGTCACTTTAGCGGCAGCCCGACTTCCGGAATCAATCAAATATAGGGCCCCTGCCTGTCTGCGGTCATGCGATTCCACCGTCACTGCCATAGCTTGCTAGCCGTGAATAGGCTCAGATCAGTTGCTGATGAGTTCCTTATAGTCACTTCAGCCCACGACTTGCGCGATTCAATAACCTTTGGTCATTGCGATCGCGCCGCAACCATCATCAAGGCCAGGCACGTTTCGTAGCAACTTGACCAGGCCCCAATCCTACCGGTACCTGTGTACGCCTTTTGACTGACCCGACAGGCACTTGTTGGCAATACTTCGCATGGCCACTTCCCATATTCAGTTCGTTTAGGCAAAGCCATTCCTGTTTGAAGTCATTAATGGGTCTTCAATCCTCCGCGAAGAGTTTTTGCGCCATCGCAACGCCTTTTTGTCTCAAACGACATAGCTCAGTACAATGATGCTTACTAATACCTCTTGTGTTATATTACAATCCATCGTGTTGGTGGCCACTGCTAGCGCTGTTTTCCTCAGGTCTGTGCCAGAAAATGCACGTGTTTTTTTTTTATTACGAGCTAATCTGGCCCATACCATCACCAATTCCAGTGTGTGCAATAGCCACACGAGATGTGGCCGTTGTCAGTATCTCTGGTCTGTGGCAAGTTGGCGTGTTCATCTAAGTCATACTTGGTAGGTCGTATCGGCACTAATTTTGACTTTAGATTTCGCTAGCCTAGCTGATCCGGAACACGGAAAGCTCTTCATCATCACTGAACGGGAATGAAGCCACAAACTAAACACAGCATGCGCTGTTTCGGGATCCTCGGTCATTGCCTGGTCCCGCGCTCTAAAAAACACACAACCCTCACTTTTCGTTCTGTATCGCACAGCAACAACATCGGTAGAATTCAGCACGGAACGTCCGGGATGTCATCGGTCTTTCGAGGTGATCATTATAATCATACAGCACCGATGACATCAATATCGGCTTTTATTGGTGTCATGACACATCCTAGGATTCGACATACTCGATGAGGAATCACTTTTCCGAGTTGTCTCGAATTGCTGTGACAACCACGCACTTGCACTGTTATGGGACACTCTCCTGGCCGCCTGAGTTATGTTCCGTTGTGTCAGAGTCATGGTTCATTGGTACGTTGCCATTCTTCAACGCGTCGGCCGATAGTTTCTAAATCCCAGTACATTGACAAGATTCAGATTTCCGGGGCACTGGGTGACTGTTTTCGACGCGATCGCACGTCGGTCATCATCAATCGAGGTCACAGCTGCCTTGAATCGAGAAACGGTCAAGGCTGTCCGCCGCTGCAAGATAAAAGCTGCGAAGAGGGATGTGTTCCCTCATCATAATCATATCCTATTTCCTACTACTCTCTCGGCGAGAGCATTACCACCTATCGTGAATAATCACGATGTTTATTCCTATCATAATCGCTTCTATTATCTCATCAATTAATGCTGCAGCTATAGTATCTCGTTCACAATCATACCCATTATCTCAGCCCACCGTACTGGGCCCCAAAACCAGACTGACCATAGGTAATAAAGTCATCGCCCCCGATGGCTTCGAACGCTTGTGAGTCTACTGCCATGGCACTTAAAGCTCACTCCTGATCTTCAACAGAGCAACTCTTGTGGATGGCGTATTCCCTGGACCCTTGATTGCAGCTCAGAAGGTGGAATTCTGTCGGCCTCCTTGTTATGCACTAGTGCTGACTTTACAACAGGGAGATGACTTTGCCATTGAGGTGGTCAACGAGCTAGAGGACGAGTTGATGTTTAAGAGTACCAGTGTCGTGTGTAGCGTCAACCATTAACGTTGCTAATAATTAACCTTGTTTACCGCAGCACTGGCACGGTCTCTACCAGAACGGGACGGGCTATGCTGACGGGGCGTCCTCGGTCACGCAATACCCCATTGCCCAAAACCACTCTTTTTTGCACTCTTTCTCCGCCCCGAACCAAGCAGGCACTTATTGGTATCACAGTCATTATTCCGTCCAATATGTAAATATTTCTTGAACCTTGCACACGTAGCGGAGGACTGACCTGTGGAACAGTGTGATGGTCTGAGGGGTCCCCTGGTAATCTATGATCCTTGTGACCCTTTGGCATACATGTACGATGTCGACGATGGTGAGTGAACAATTATTTCATATAAACTCCCTCTGACCATCATGTGTTGCCAGCGAGTACCGTGATCACCCTTTCCGACTGGTGAGTTTTGTGGATGTTGGTAAGCTGCCTGACTAAAGTATCACCAGGTATCATACTGTGGCCACCGTTTTACGCTACATCAGAGGTAATACTGCGAGCTCTTCGCTCATCAATGGACTCGGTCGATATGCTGGCGGACCCGAGTCTGATCTCGCGGTGATCACTGTTGAGCAGGGAAAGCGATATCGCATGCGCCTGATTTCAATGTCGTGCGATCCCAACTTCCAGTTCTCCATAGATGGCCATAACTTAACCGTCATCGAAGCGGATGGAGAGCTGACCGAACCTTTGGTGGTAGACCAGCTCCAGATTTTTGCAGGTCAGCGCTATTCCGTGGTTCTGGTGGCCGATAAGCCGGTGGATAACTACTGGATACGCAATCTTCCTAATACGGCGAATGCATCCTATGAGGGTGGAACGAATTCTGCTATCCTGCGCTACAAAGATGCCCGAAAGGCCGAACCGACTACCATCAATACCGCACCCAAAAACCCGTTGGCAGAGACCAACTTGCACGCTCTGATCAATCCAGGTGCTCCGGGTATTCCAGAGTATGGGAAGGCAGACATCAATCTCAACCTCGAGGTTACCTCCATTAACGGAACCTTCTATGTTAATAATGCCACTTTCAAACCCCCCACCGTTCCTGTTCTACTCCAAATTCTCAGTGGAGCTCAAGAGCCGTCTCAGCTGCTCCCAAACGGGAATGTAATCGTTCTCGAGGCTCACAAAGTGGTAGAGTTGACATTGTCAACAACCGGTCCAGGTGGACCCGTACGTCTTTTCCATTCCTTTGACGCTGATGTGCCTTATTTATATTTCACCAGCACCCCATACACCTTCACGGGGTAAGTTTGCCCTAACTTCGACGGCATGTCTGGCTGGCACTGATATGATCATTAGCATTCCTTCGATGTCGTACAGAGCGCGGGCAACAGCACCTTCAATTACGTGAACCCAGTTCGCCGCGACGTGGTAAGCGCTGGAAGCCCTGGGCAGCAGATGGTGATACGATGGGTGACCGACAATTCTGGCCCCTGGTTCTTGCATTGGTATGACATCATTTTTATCGAGCTGTCAAGAAGGGTACTAACTCTGAACCAATAGTCACATTGACTGGCACCTCGAAGCGTATGTGTGTGAATGTCCTCGTGAAATACATCGCTAATCCTTCACATCCAGCGGGCTGGCCATAGTATTCGCGGAAAGTCCCTCAGATACCCGCGCACATATGAAAGACGTGTCAGGTAGGTCATACGTGAAGCAATTGAATTTCTATTGCTGAACTGCTTTATAGATGCATGGGACCAGTTATGTCCGACCTTTGACTCTCTAACACCCTTGCAGTTGGGGGGTGGAGGCATCAAGGCCTACGAAGAAGCAGCTAATATTTCCACTCTCCTTTACCCGCCACCGCCCCTCCCTTCAATGAAGTAGGATAATTCTTATTACGGGGGCATAATTTTTGCAGGACAACCTGCATGCGGACAAATTTCTTGCAGATACTACTCAAATCCCACTTGGATATTTTCTTTTGTAATTCCCGATATAATTGACTTCCTTCCCCCATCATAGTATGATACTTACTAGCTAATGCTAATCTCCAGAATGTAACAGACCCATTATACGACATCTATGACGGTTAATCTTAGTTGTACCATGACTATTTATGTATTTAGTGCACGAGATATAATGCTGTTTTCTGACTGTTCAGAGTTTCTGCAAATTGTCAAGACTTCGCACCTCCATCGATAAGAAGTCCACATACGCCGAAGGCCCGAAACCACCTTCACCAAGTGCTTATACCAGATAGAATATATAAGTAGACTTCAAGTTGGGTCCAGAGGAATTTCCTTATGATGCATCGGATGGTCTTGATCAGATCTATGACATAGAAGACGCAAAACAACACCTTCGGCCAGCGGCACCGGGCCATTTTCTTGCTGTTCTTCCTTCCTCTCTTCTTGCAAGGTAATATATTAGCGTTTTTACCCTGAGCTTTACTGACTGACGAGCCGCAGAACTTGTTGAGCCAGTACCAGTTGGGATCCAGGCCTAGATTAGAGCCTGTGAATGTCATCCGAATGGCCGCAAACGAGAATCACTTTGTGAATAATGCTGCATGTACCTGTCTTCCTTCTCTTATGCTCCGACTAACTTGAAGGGAGACTAACACGCACCGCCGCCCTATTTTCTCCGTCCTGAACTTAGCCCTCGGTCAATATCTTACAGAACGTATACCCTTGGCCCCTCTTATGCAGCCATCAACTTTACCACCTCAACCACCCGCGTCATTCACGCCCCAGCCCGGCCCCAAAACACTCCCCCGTCCTGTTCTCCTTCTCAAATTCACTCGTTTACATGCTGAAACAAATACTGCATGGTGCACGCGTGCGCCTGACCGTTGACGTCTTTGAGAAAGTATAATTGTAATTTGTGGGGCACCTCAGTGCCTGGCTGAAGGAGGAAATAAAGCGACGGCACAGAAAAAAGACCCTGATGCTGTGCCACAATCGCTTACGATCCGCATCCGTTCCTTGTAAACGAAATGAGACCAATTTTCTGATTCCCGCGACAAACATTCCAGGCAAGCGAAAACTAGTAGCTCCTTTTGCAATGGAAGCTCTAGAGTGGAGTACCAACTTTCGTCACGCTGGCAACTAGTGTGTACAAAGCGGTGAGTTGCATGCTCGGGACAGCACTTAATGTATTTGTGCCATTGACACACATTCTTCGCAAGCGAAATTGAGGAATGGTTTGTAACTATTTCTGCAATTGACTTCCACGGCGAGGTAGTCACTAGTATGCTGAGAGACCAACAGTCTGATCTGATCTGATTATGGAAAAATAGTCGTACCGTCGACAAATAGTCCTGACAACCGAACACGGAAGCACCACGTTGTGATAGTCACCGTCGAGAGACCAATAGAAAATCCTCTCGTGAGCACGCAATGGAAGCTTCAGATTGTGTATGTATCAAATTTAGCCACAATGGCTGATCACGAGGCGGTGGGTTTCATTTACAGTATGGTTCTCCATCGTTGAATTACTTACACGATTTAAGGGACGTATGTCATGCTCGGGACAGCGGAATGCTGGGCCTGCGCAGGAACGTACACTTAAAACGATGTTGAAATCGCAGATTCGGAGACCATCCCCGTTCCCCAACAACGAATCATGCCGTTCCGTGGTTTTCTTCGAAATTTCAAGTACCCTGAATACATGTTGACGCTCGATGGCAGTGACAAAGTCAGTAGGCAGCTGGATATGCAGTTCTGGCACTGGCGCTGATATGTGATATCTATAGTGGACGAGGCGTTATAAGTATGGTATGGTGTCGCTCATGAGTCAACGGGCTGGTGCCTACGTGGGGTGCGATGTAAGTCTGTTTGCGAGAAAGGGTCACAATGCGAATCTCATCTCTTTTGCAGTTCGACATGAATTTGGTCATGACACAAACAGAGTATTGGTGGCAGGTCACCGTACTCGACGGCAAAGACGGACTCCGACTCGTGTATGTATTTGGTCATTAATATCTACTGATGTGAACATTATGATGACGGTGGATGCAGATTGCAAGTCCCCCCCGAGTCCGGGTCCGCAAAGGCCGAGTTTCTGTATACTTTTCAACTTGAAGATGATCGAGAGACGGTGATGTGGCCCATGAGCTGTCGTATCATACTTTTCCTAACACTCATTATACCCTGCAGCTCAAAGCCGTGCTTCATGCAGGAGAGTTCACTGAGGCGCAGCAGTGGGCGCCGGACAAATGAAGCTGTAGGATGTGACTCGAGTATATGCCTCCTGACCAATGTAACAATTACAAAAATCGATGTATATGACTGTCATAGTTATAATATCGTTTCCTGCAGCGCTTGAACACTGCATCATATATGTAGGGGCGTTCGAAACGGTACGATGCTACCATTTTCATACCGGCAAAATTCATTGCATCTTGAAAGCGTGTGTAGGAGAAGCTCCTGTACCCCGTCATGCAGTACCAATATAGTCGGAAATAATTTTACCTTCATCGCATCTCAGTTGGTGGCACTTATACCGGAACGGTGGTCGTTGACACGCCCCCTGGAGCCCTCTCCACATGATATCCTTTGTATATATTAATCCAACGAACGAAAGCAAAGGGCGTATAATATATCACACCGTAATTTTGTTCCCGTTCGCGGCGCTGGTAGGACTAATGTTTTGTACATCATGTTTAAGTTCTTTCGGGCGCTTATAGTAATGGTGCCTGTGGCAGTCAAGAGGAAGCTGTATATGCTAGCGCTACATCTTTACATCGATGCTCGGGGTGCGAAATAAATAACTGGAACATGCGATAAAATGTCGAGTGTCCAACGGATACGTTAGAGAGGTGAATGACGAATCGAAGATCTATACATAGTATTATATGAGCCGCGCCGGGTCGCAAAATGGCAGCACGCCTAACGCGGGCTTGCACGGCGCGAGTAGACGCCTGCTTAGCCATGCTACGCGATACTCCACTTACTCACTGCAGCCTGCACCAAGCGCCCCATCTCCTCACGTGCTTGTTTCTTCGCGCTGTCGGTGATGCCTACGAGTGCGTTGAGTGCGCGTGGCGATGTTTGTAGTGGGTCGAACTCGATGACGTGTCCATCGGAGGTTGAGATCGCGACAACTGCACGGGCAGAGGATGTGGAAGGGAGAGACGAAAGCGAGCTGGAAGGCAGAAGAGAAGGCGTGGTGGGTTTGTGCGCCAGTGGCTCCGGGACAAGAGCTGCCGTGCGCGAGTTGGTACGTGAGTGTGTGCGGTGATGGTTCTGAGTTTGAGAGTTGGCCCGTGAGTGGGTTTGGGAGAAGGTGGTCTGGGTGGATGAAGAGGGCACGAGGGAGACGGATGGATCACGTCGTATGACTATGCTGTTTACGCGTCTTAGTGTCTTGCCTTCGCCTTGCGTATCTACCTGCGTCTCCTTTCCTTTGCCCTTGGTTTTCGCGTCCACGCTATTGATACCCTCTTCTTCCTCTTCGGTAGCAAACCACTCTAAGCCGAGCCTATATGGGTTGGCCAGCGGAGATCCATTTAAACTAAGCATGCTCTCGTCGCGACGGGGTGCGCGGAGGGTAGGATAAGTGGGGGCCTTGACAGGCAAAGTTGGGGCGAAGGTTGCGCTGGTGGGTGGGCGCTTTGCCTGAGATGGTGGTTTGGCATTCCAAGGCATCGATCTTCCAGGCGAAGAGGGAACTTTGAATGGCGATGGAACACGTAATTTAGAGGGAGATGTTGGGAGGGCAGACGGTTTCTGCGGACTGACAGAGGGGAAGCGGGAGGTTGTGCGGAGTTGTCCGGGGGTACGCGGCACTGCCGCAGAGAATGTGCGGATGCGTTGTGCAGTTCCTGTGTTAGCAGGCGGAGGTTTCTTCTTGGGAGTGGCATGCATCATTTTTGCTGAATGAGAAGTGTGTCAATGAAAAACCTAATGTCAAATTGACCACGTACCATTCTTAACTGCGCGTTCGCCCTCACTAGCCTCCTCCCACTTGCGCTTGCGGGTCTCACGGTCGATCTCGAGATTGGGCGGAGCGCCGCCTACAAGGCCACGAAGACACGCTTGGATGTCGCCATTATAGATATCAGCAAACTCGCCCATGGTCACGCCGCGCACGAGTTTGGGAATGCGGGAGATAAGGCCTTCTTGGTGAAGTCGAAAGTTTTTGAGCGCGTCTGCGAGCCATTCCTCGAGCTGGCGAACACGGTGTTCGACTGTGCACAAAGATCGAGGCAGAAAATTCAGTGAAACAAAGTGAGATGGTGCAAAACTAGTTAAATGCACCTTCAATGTCAAGATTCTGGAGAAGTTGTTGCTTTTCTTCTGGAGTGTATTTGCGGGATGTGTCCGGGATGTACATCTTCAGAGCTTCACTAGCCTCGACGATCAGAACAGGGATGCAAACACAGGGCTAGACAACGCCGAAACGTTCTAAAGTGGACAAACATTACACAGGTGGAAGAAGCACGTGGTCGCGTAAGTCCACGGACCGTATCACAGGTCCACAGGTCCATGTGGATGGTGACACATATAACTTTGAAACTTTAGCAGTGTCACCGAAGCTGAACAAGCAGCAACAGGTTACGAACATCACAACTAGGCCTCTCTTACATCTATTCATGTCGCAACGAAAAGAGGTGTATCTTGTAATTGGCGGTAGTGGCTTTGTTGGCCGTCACATCGTCGAGCACCTTCTAGCTCGTGGGGACATCGTCTGTGTATTCGACATCGTCCAGCGACATCATGATGTTGACTTTTATTCCGGTGATATCACGGACGAGTCCCAGCTGCTTGATGTATTGAGAAAGGTACGCGCTACTTCACTAATTTTTATGGTCACTGAGCGCTAACTCTCTTTCCTTCTCTGTGTGGTGTACCTCTATTTGCTGCTACAGACCGGTACGACTTGCATCATTCACACCGCTTCCCCACCACACGGTGCCAAAGATCCAAGCATATATTATAAAGTCAATGTTGATGGTTGCAAGGCTGTCATCGGTGCAGCTCAGACTGCTGGCGTGACAAAGCTAGTGTACACAAGCAGTGCAGGTGTTGTTTTTGATGGTGGTGACGTCGTAAACCTTGACGAACGTGCTCCATTCCCGGAGAAGCCATTCGATGCATATAATGACTCAAAAGCTCAGGGAGAGAAACTCATTCTCGAGGCTAATGGCAAGGGTGGCCTTTTGACTGTTGCTTTACGGCCTGCAGGCATTTTTGGGTATGTCATTTCTTCATATCAAGCAATGAAAATAAACCTTGATAACACGCGATGCCATTCAGTGAAGGTGACCGCCAAATGATGGTGGGTCTCTACCAAGCCTACCAGCGTGGACAAACTCACTTCCAAGTCGGAGACAACAACAATCTCTTTGACTATACCTACGTCGGTAATCTTGCCAAAGCACATCTCATCGCCGCCGACAAGCTTTCCTCTCCCCCACTTCCTTCATCTTCACAAGAGACCCTCACTGCCGAACTTCACCTTGACTACGCCCTTCAGCCCGTCAGCGCAACAATCGGAGCAAAGCGAGTCCCAACGTGCGAAGCACGTCCCTTAGGACCATACGTCACGCTGCCGCCTAACGCCGCCGAAATGGAGGCAGCATTCACCGCCCCACGCGATCCACACACTCCCGCGCACCCTATCATACGCTCCCGATTCGACCAGTTCTCCGAAAATGCGATTGATCTTGCAGAGAGCTCACCGCTGCAGGTTGCAGGGCAGGTGTTCTTCATCACGAACGGCGAGCCGGTGTACTTCTGGGATTTCATGCGCCTTATATGGCTCGCTCTCGATCCCCCATCGTCAAAGTCCGCCTCGGGTGCATCGGAGCGGGCACAGAGGCCTGCATGGGTGATACCTAGAGGCTTTGGGATGGTGTTGGGCTTCCTTGCGGAGTGCTGGGCGTCCTTGATTGGGAAAGAGGCTGGGTTCACACGTTATAGGGTCGGGTACAGCTGTGCTACGAGGTATCACAACATCGAGAAGGCAAGACGTGTGCTTGGGTATGAACCGGAGGTCGGGCTGGAGGAGGGTGTCAGAAGGATGGTGGAGGTAAGTGTTGGCTGCTGGCTTTTTTCTTTGCGACTGATGGTTCTTCTTTCTCTCTGTACAGTGGTTCAAGAAGGAGAACAATCTTCCGTGATGGCCTTGGATGCTTAACTACCTAATTCTTCGCAACAATGTTGTGCACCCATCGTATGCTGTTCGGATACCCGCGCATTTTGCTTCATTTCCTACTTGATTGATATGGACGATGCAGTACTAGTGATACCTACGGATTCGTGGTCGACGCCGTTGGGCTGGCTGTCGACTTATGACTGTGTATCGTAGCACCAATATTTGTACTCGGGGATTTCGTGGAGGCCTTGCATCTTTAGCAAAGGACCTGTCATAGGTTGCAAGAATGGAACTAATACGATATCATTGATACCCAACAGAGTTTTATGAGCTCTTACGTGGTAGTGAATTGCCTTCACTCGATAGGCAGAATGCAATTAGCGAAACACATGTAAAAATAGTACTAATCATGAGTCAAGTAACTCAAGATATGCAGCCCGGCAAATCATCCCAGCACGGTCGCGAATTTTAACCAGTGGACGAGACTCTCCATTCCTGTGGCCTCATCAATTGACGCTCCCTATATGTGAGAAAACCATACCTCTGTGACTGCTGTTGCAATTCTAGCAGGACTGACACTGGGACAGCGCCAATAGCGAAGCCTTCTCCGCGAGACAAGGACATGTTGCCACTGGTAACATACCCAATAATAGACGCATGGGGAGGAGGAGCCTCGGGTGGCTAGACAGGGAACAAATCAATATGTGAATGCAAAATCAAAGGGGAAAACGACGGACCTGATTCACATCTGCACCCTCTCGCGTCTTGCCCTTCTCCTTGATGATTTTCTTAGCTTCGACGTCATTAATGCGGTAGATATTGGCAAGGTCGTTCGGGGCGCCCCGACTAACCATCTTCGCACGGACCATGACCAATGCCCCTTTTAGGAGATCCTCGGGGCGATGACTTGCATCGAGTACATCCATGCCACGTTTCGTCCGCAACCTGTTGACCTCTGCAAGGAGACCTGCGCCATGATTAAACATTTGTGTTACTTTTGCGAGGATAGTCGGCACTTCGGGACCACGGAGCAACCACGGGCGAACGGTTGGTGCTATGTCGACCTCCATTGCATCCTGAGGCCCTCTTTGTGCTGGCACCAAGTTCTCATCTATGTCAGGCGCCATGGGGAGTCCAAGTACAACCTCCCAATCCGCCCGCCATGGGCTACGGGTACCAAGTTTCTTGTGATTCGCCCTCTTTGCTGGCGGCGTCCTGTCCCACTTCGCTTTCTCCTTAATGGCGCGCTCGTCCCAATGCTTCTCGTAGAACTCTGTGCAAGGAAAATCTCTAGGAAAGCATGCAGTGCCCGCCTCGAATGCTTGCGAGCTTCGCTCGCGCTGCCCGCCGACGCGTGTGCCAGTGTGTATCAGGGAGGGGAGGAAAGGCATGCCCCACCCGGCGGGAAAAACAAGCGTCCAGCCGTGGATGCCATGAGTGCTGGATGGCGATTCAAACGAGCGTTGGATAAGCAGCAGTGGGATGCGGTCGTCCTGGCGAATGGGATTCAGAGGCGTGCCCGGAACAAGATTCTTTGCATGCAGGTCACTGACTGTATCTCGGTACGAGGGCCAAAGAGGGGCTTACCTTGGAGCGGCGCGTATCAAGGTCTTTCTTCTTGTACGTAGGTTTTTTGAGCGCTGAACGCTTTTCTTCGTCCCAAATTTCGCTTTGAGCAAGGATGGCGGCAGGGAACGTCATTGCAGGGGTCACGACGTGTTGATCGTTCGTTCTGGGTTTAGCATTCTTGGGCGGAAACCTGGGTAGCAAGTCACTCATGTGGACAACTTGAGAAGTCAGGAACGCCTACTTCAATCGTGGGTCAAGGACTTTCATTCCGATAATGATTCCGCGCGGTAAGGATGCAGTAGTCTGAAGATCAGTCAGGGACGACCAGAACTGTCTACGTTGTCAGATTTTTTAATGGAGTCAAGTAAATAACGAACACACCTTTTTGAATTCCTGCCTATCATCATCTCCGACTGGAGACAGAGCGCCTTTGATGACCTGACTTGCCTTGGGTCCCATGATTTCGAAAGCATTGACACTACCTCGCCGATCGGCTATTTCTACTTCGGCATACACATCTTCATGTCGCTGTTTTTCAGCCTCAAGGACTAAAGAAGCAGATTGTTGTAACGATCCGAAGACATCGTCGAACACTGCAGGGTGCGAACGCACCCAGACTGCTCTCGTGGAGCTCTGAGGAGCTGTGGCAGCCGGTACATTATTCTTTCCTTTGCGCCTGCGTTTAGAGGAGCTTTCCGCCGAGGACGCGTTTGTCGGTGCTGAGCCAACAGGTAACGGTCGCCACATAATCGTTACCGGTGCAATCAAGTCAAAGGGGTAGCTTCCTGTCTTGTATAGGTCCGTCTCGAGCACGCGAGAACCGGACATGGATCTAACGAATAATCAGTTCATGCCTCTTTCTCAACTTCAAAGACTTACCGCTTCATTCCAGTGCACTGCGGATCACAGCAAAGATCAAACACATTTCGAAGGATGTTTTCGGGCCCCTTGAGCTCTATCAGTGAGTGATACGATGAATCATGGAGGATTGAGCCATGCACGGAGGCTCGGTGTGAGGGACGAAATGATTTCTCTGTCGGTGTTATTGCCTAGAAAAAGGATTCAGGGGGTGCACACAACGACAACTAGAAACGAACGAGTCTGTATCCCCACATGTTTTCCATTTTCATCCGTTTAGCGTGCCAGATATGAGTCTCAAGCCAGGTCTTATCGCCTGCCCGATGCAGGGTAAGATAAGAAGCACTCGGAGTCATATGATTTACTGACGTTGTCGCTTCAAGAGCGATTCAGTGCGGCTCACTTGCTTTGTTTTCCCCTGCTTAGAGCGTCCACGCTTAAGTATGCGCCGCGTGACAGGAACCATCTGACAAGTGAAATAAGAGGAAGATCTTCAGGGAAGTGGTTCGAGCCCCACCTCGGCGCGCGCTTTGTCTCGCAAGCGCAAGGGGACCCGGCGGACATCATGGCTAGCTGCCCTTCGTCGTAGATGGCGGGGCAAAGTCTGCCATACGCGATGAGTCACACTTTCACTGAGGACGAAAAATCAGCAGTTGTGTGCATTGAGACACGTGCTCCCAACCCTGCTGTCTTGATCGCTTTCTGCATGGCATCGATCTCATACGCTCGAGCCTAAAGTTTTACAATTGAACGATGTAGAACCAGAATCAATCAAAGCACACACCTCTGTAAACCTCTCCACATCGATTGACGCGGGTAACCCCTGCATAGCTGTTACAGATAAATGCCAAGTGAAGATGCAGCACGCGAAAGATGCTCACAATCAAATCGAACGGTGGTGCTTGACGGTCCAGCGAGCGCGTTTCCTGAAGATTGGACAGTCCCACTGCCACTTGCTGACACAATTGGTTGAACTGCAATTGTTCGAGCACCTGCAACTTTGAGTTTCTTCCGTTCCCGAGATGTCATTTCCTCCGCGTCGTCCCCCTTACGTTTCAAAGTCATATGTACTTGATGGTAGATGATGTACCGATTTATCAAGAACAGGTACTAAATCCAGCTTATGCAGCCATTCAGCACTAGCAGAAGAAGAATATCGGAAGATGGTGAATACAAAATCTTCGGACTGAACAAAGTAGAAACGCCACAAACGACCTCTACCGGCTAACGCCGAACAACCTCCTTCCTCTCACCACCATGGCTTCGCGTTGTCTGGCTCTTGCCCCAAAACTTACTCAGCGCTCAGGTGCACGATTTCTGTCGACGACAAGAGTGCTACGGGAAGAAGCACCCACTTCACCCAACCTAGGATCTGTGCAGCTGCAGAAGAAACCGGTCGGCGGCTTCCGGGGAGGGTAAGCACTACTGCACGCGCCTTGCCATATGATCTCACTTTTGCTTCTTGCTGCTGGTGCAGATTAATCGGGTTTCTGTTCGGATTCTCACTAGCTTCTGCGTTCGCTGCGTACCATCTTTTGGATGAGTATAAACTCGCTTCCGCGGCGCTGCAGGCCAGCGTGGAAGAGCTGCAAGCAAGCACGGAGAAGGTTTGAGACTTCGCGCTTCAGTGAAATATTACGTTTCATGTTATGTATAACTTCTTCAGGTGTCTGCCCACGTCCGTCGTATCGAAGCAGTGGAGAAGGACTTGAAGGCACTTGCACAGAGCTCCGCAACTAAAGACGACCTATCAAGGGTTCGTGCAGAGCTCAAGAAAGTGTACGATGGATTGCACATCGGTATGTTGTTGCGCCTCGACAGCAGCGCGTGTACTTACAGACCTGCCAAGAATTCCTTGATTTGAGATCACATGTATGGGGCATGCGTCAGTCATTATTGTGTTTATTTGATATCTACCACTGACGAAAAGTTTGGAACAGAACAAGACTTGCATTCGTTAGCCAAGAAAGATGCCACATCTGTTCGTGTATAGAGTATTTGATACCTATAGAACTTCTTGGAAACACCTCCCTCTAGTCTCCAATAACGGTTTTAAATTACGGTAATAGACGCCAATTTCAGATTTGAGGAGCGTGGCTTTTGGCCTCGATGTGTCGTCGAAGTTGACGGTGTAGTGAACATGTTCTAAGACACTGTATAATTTCGGGAGGAATGAAAGACATCTAGGTAGATCCTGGAAGCCCCTGAAGGTGTCCTGAAGCTACATCCATTTGATATACAATGCGTTCGCGAGTTCCTCTGCGTATTTTTGGAGAGACTCACATCAGGATCCAGGCATTCGCGGCGACCTTTGCACGCCCATTTCGTGAGAGAATACGACCACTGGACAAGGGCAATGAGGTATGCAGATGGGCCAACAGTTGGGCAGGTTACATGATGTGAGGGGTAGTACTCTGACACGGACAAGACACGATTCGTGGGATCATGCGACTGACGCTATTACTAGACGGCAAGCTGTGACGCAACGACAGCGCGATTTTAGATTGGGGAAGAGCGTTGGGACATCTGGAAAGCTACAGCGGCAGTGATAGTCTTGTGCATAGTAGGTGCAGCCCGTTGAATTGTCGAGTGAGACAAATATAGAGAACCTTTGCAAACAATTGAGTTCGTCGAGTCTCATGTCTCGGGCGCCTAACGAGACCTGTCAGTGTCAATGCTGTGAAGCAGCGCAAAAATACACTACAGCTTAGGGAAATACGCAGTAGCAGTCCACACAGCAAGCCCACCTCGAGACAATCACTTGAAGTTGTGACGGACATATGCCGCGGCTGATAATTCAAATCAGCAGACCTGGTTGGTTCTGAGAAATACGCTGACAGGGCAGTTGCGGTTTTCCTGGATAGATGGTAACATGTCAGTGGGGATTTGGGTTTGCAGGCGGTGTCTAGGGCATCTGAAGACACAGGAGGTAGGGTCAATGCCTATAAAACACTCACTTCGCAGAGCGTAGAGCAAGACACTCACAGTCCCTTTAGCAAGCACACCTCCGAGTCGACACAACCAAGGAATGGCGAAAGACGTGGCACAGCCTATCGTTCCAAGCACCGCGCCTGTTTCAGTGTTTGACGGTTGTCGAGAAATCATAGTAGCGGTCGCAGTCTTTCCCGATGGACGACGTATGGTGACGGGCTCAAGAGACAGTACGCTTCGTCTGTGGGACTTGAAGAATGGCGTTGTGTTGAAGAAAATGAAGGGACACGGCGAATGGGTACGGGCGGTAGCGGTAACAGGAGACGGACAATTGATAGCAAGCGGTGACACAGGCGGTGCACTCATCGCCTGGGACGGAGACACTGGCGAATCTCTCACCGAAGCTCATTCCAATCATGATGATGTGATCTTCTCGTTGGACTTTTCTCCAGACGGCACAGTGCTGGCCACCGGTTCATGGGACTGTACGACAAAGTTGTGGAACACTGAAACATGGCAGCTCCAAGGAAATCCAATCTACTGTCATGATAATGTTTTCTGCGTTCGGTATTCGCCGTCAGGCGAACATCTTGCCATCGCCACAAAATGCAATATACAAATTTGGAATCCAAGCAGGGGAGAACACATCAAAACCTTGGAGGTTCATGCCCGGTTCAGTCCAGCATCCAACTTTTCACTCACATGGATGCCCGACGGCAAACGCCTTATCTCAGGATCTTGGAAGGATCCCAAAATACGTGTGTGGGATTCGTCGACTTGGAAGCAGGTCGGTAGCTGGAAAGGCCGCCATACAGACGGTGTCAGCGCCATTGTCGTGGACTCTACTGGTACACTTGTCGCCTGTGCGTCTCACAACCATGTTAATCTCATGGAGTTCTCGAATCGACGAACAATTGCCACATTCAAGCATTCTCACTGGGTGAACTGCCTCACCTTCTCTACGGATTGTAAGGAAATTTTTAGCGGAGGAAGTGATAAAAGGATCTCAAAGTGGGCAGTACCCGAAGAGGCTTTGCCCAATGCATGTTTTTTCACCCTTGATTCTTGACGCAATCTGACTATGTTTCTTGCAGATCCTCACCATAAAAACGAGAGCCCGCAATGCAGCACTTCTCAATGCGCAAAAGGTGCGCCGACATTTCTTGGTTCCCTGATTATGCTAATTTCGTTGATCCGTAGGTCATCGATCTCAATCCCTCGTCCTATCGCGGGTATCAGTTGAAGCACGCAGCCCTTCATGATGCCCAACGCTATGACGAAGCTATTACGGCCTTCGAATTCATGCTCTCTAGGTTGCAAACTGCTGGTGGTATCCAAATACGAAGTAAGCCCTGAATAACGCCTGAAATAGCTCGGAAATGACTCTTTCTCCAGGGCTGCGCCAGTATTATCTCAGTCCATCCGAAGCAGAGGCTGTCATTCGAACGGCCATTCATGCTCAACTAGACAACGCCCCTCTTCGTCTAATCGACACCACTACCGGGCTCTTGCGTGATCGAGAAGCACGGATACATGTATTCAAAACGACTACAGAGTACAAGGAGCTATTGTCATTCGCAATGAAGCATCCACATTTCCGAATGCAGAGCATTAAGGAAGCGGTGGAGATGTTTTTCCGTTGCGTCATGCTATCACACAGGTGGGGAGAGAAGGAACCGCTGTTGCACGACATCCGGGGCAAGGTTGTGTACAAGTTGAAGGCAGATAGCGGAATTGCGAAGTTGCAGTCGTTCTGCAAAATCGCTCGTGATTCAGGGTATCGCTGGGCGTGGAGCGATACCTCCTGCATCAACAAGAATGATAACCTTGAACTCCAACTATCACTCAACTCCATGTTCGTTTGGTATCGTCACTCGTCGCTTACCATCGTCTACTTGGCGGATGTTCCGCCTTCATCCAAGTCGGGTGCCCTGGCAAAGAGCGAGTGGAATAGGCGAGGATGGACGCTTGTAGAATTCCTCGCTCCCAAAGTTGTTCTGTTTTATCAGAAGGACTGGACCCCGTATCTTGACGATCACTCCCCCAACCACAAGCAGTCCGTTGCGATCATCCAGGAGTTGCAGGGCGCGACGGGCATAGATAAACAAGCCCTCGTCGCCTTCTATCCAGGGTTGACACGTGCCCGGGAGAAACTCCAATGGGCATCGACCCGCGTCACCACGTTGCAAGAAGACATTGCTTACTCGTTGTTTGGCATCTTCGGCATCCGCCTGCCTGTGATTTATGGCGAAAAGAAGCACAATGCTCTCGGGCGGCTCTTGCAAGAGATACTGGCACAGTCGGGCGACCTTAATATCCTGGATTGGGTCGGAAAATCATCCGAGTTCAATAGCTGTCTGCCAGCGGACATTGCTTCATACCAAGCTCCACCATATCCACCCCCATCTCTATCCGAGGGTGAGATGCAAGCATTAGCTTCCTTGCTGCGAGAAGTTGGGTCTGGAGAGTTTGCTTCATCATTGTACCAGAGACTGCATGACCTGAGCGCCCCCCGTTTCGCACATCGCCGGCTGCATCTGCATTGTATCGCATTCCCTGTCACAGATATCAGACGGAGATACAATCAAGACGAGGATACGTGTTTCACGTATAATGTCAAGACAGACGGGCTCTATAACCTGCTGATCACCACGGAAGACAAGCTAGTTCAGTTCTCGGGGGCAGGGCGCACTCGGCAAACATTCCTGCTCGTCCGTCCGTGGAATCGTTCACTCCTCGAGCTATCTCGCTCACCGAACAATACGCAGATGGAGAGCGTGGCTAGATCTTCATTATCTAATTTTCCGGGGTCTCGTCTTAACCAGCAGCCTCGCGACTCGTTTTTCTTTCGCCCCAATCCTGGAGTACAAGAGCCGGTTCATTCGGAGTCGGCGAGCGAGCGAGCATTACGATTGCTTGTTCGTCTTGGACAACCTTTCAGTGCGTTTTTGCTAGCGCAGCAGCCCGGCGGAGAATACAAGAGAATCGCATCGGACTGCAATATCATAGCACAAGTCAAAGACGTGGCTTCTGTTCGCAGCATGATGGACGTCAGGACGCTAGAGATATTGTAAAATATGCATTTTGACGCGACTACCCGAGGGTCGTGCATGCACATGCATTGTTTCGCTTAGGTCCACCGTGCACGTGCTTATTTATACTTCACAAGAATTGAGATCACATGTGTCAAGGTACGCTTCAGTCGTTGTTGTGTTCAATCCATTTCTACGACTGACGAAACCTTTGGAACAGGATGCTGATGTTTAAAACGTCACTCCGAAGTTCGAAAAGAACGAGTCGGAAGAAAGGGTTGGGGTATGTGAAGCACATAGAGGTCGCGGCCAAGTTCAAACCAACTCGCCGATATCGATAAATGGAGGAGCCTGGGCTGGTCCCGGGCTTTTGTGGATATTAAATTCAATCCATTGCACCCGTATCACGACGAAGAAACAAGTTTGATGGAGTAACAGATGACGTGAAGAAAGAGACGAGGGTGAAATAGTTGTACATATACTGCAGTGTATTAATGACCATTGGCATGCGGAGGAGATGCACAACATAAAAACAGTACGAAACGAACCCACAATGGGATGGGTGGTGACTGCGCGGTTACAGCACCTGGTGTGGCAGCACCAGTGGCAGTACCAGGAGCAGGTGTCGTGGATGTCGAGTCGGCGGTAGGCCGAGATTGCGATGATGAGCCTTGGTCGTGCGACTGGCTTTGCTGTTGCGGACGCGGACGCGGAGGCGGAGCGACAAACAATGACTGCAGAGAAATCATTGAACCGCGGTGATGAGAAACGCACGCGAAAAAATATGCACCTTTCGGTCCTGTACTGTAGGAACATCGACAATACGAGGGCCACGATGAGAGAAGATGTTCCGCCTTGGGCGTTGCTGCAGTTCGGTTGCTCCATCAGTCTTGGAGTGAGAGTGCCGGAAGAGAGATGAAAAGCGTCCGAGAAGCGCATGTGCATTCGAAGAGGCAGCACGGCGGGGGTCATGTGTGGAGGAAAGGTGATGGGTACCGTGTGCTGCGGAGGACTGAAGGTACAAAGATCAGAACAAAAACTGGTCAAAAAAAGCAGACGACTCACCTGGGCTCCATCGAAAAAGCCTGGCGGTATTCTACGGGCATGAATAGCTGGACGTCGCGTAGCGTCACTCTAGAATGTCTTTAAAATGGCTGAAAAGATTAAGAAACACCTCACGCACGGTAGGTACGAATTTTCGAGCTGGAACCTGCAAGTGGGAGTTTAGTATAGGTTTACCGAAGAACCATGGGATTTACATCAGAAATAGGCAGGAGGTCTTCAAGGCCAGCTTGTTTGAGCATGGAATGAATGTCCCATGAGTACACATTTCCGTTTGTGCAACCAGTGACTAGCACTTTTCCATCAGCGGAAAGGGCAGTGGAGCGCAAACGATTTTCATGCTGGAGGGGTGGTCCGATTGGGAGATTGGTATCGAGATTCCATAAATATGCTGTTTTATAAGATGCACTTGCAAGGAAGCGGTTGTTCGGAGACAAGGAGATGAAGTAAACACCGTTTGTGTGATCCTCAAGAACGGCAATCTGCTGCCAAGTGGTTGTGTCGAATATCCTGGTCGGGCCATGTGAACCAGAGATGAGCTTTTTTCCGTCCGACGTCCAGGCCAAGCTCAAAACTGCGTGATCGTGTTTGAGGGTAGTGATCAAATCGCCCGTCTTGCTATCCCAGATTTTGACTGCATCTTCTTTGTCTCCACCTGTCGCGATTTTTTCGTTATCGGCGGAATACATCACCGCGTTCACCCAATTGTGTCCGGTTTTGATCGTCAGGACAGTTTTACCGCTCTCGACATCCCATACTCTTGCTGTCCCATCTGAGGATCCGCTCGTTACTCGCTTGCCATCCGCACTCCAGCACAATGCACACACGAGCTCGAGATCGGTGTGTCCCGTCCATTTGGTGATAACCTTCCTCGTCTCGACGTTCCATATCTTCACTTTTCCATCGTCACTTCCACTTGCAACTGTCTTGGCATTTGGAGACAATGCCATGGACCGCATTCCTGTGTCATTCTCATCTCGCCAGTCCTCGCCTATCTGTGTGCCGCTCTCTAGGTCCCATAGTCGGAGTGAGCCGTCCGCCGAACATGTGATTATCCGTCGTCCGCTGGGCAGATGGACAACACCTGTTACCCGTGTGGTATGGCCTTGAATCGTCTGGCGTGGCGCGATCGCCGGTACCTTTCTGGTGGAGGAAGACATGGTCGGCGCTGGGGATTCCGTACTGCAGATTGGGGATTATGTATGCAAGAGTCCAGAGGCCTATCTTCTTTCACGACGCTTGTCAGAAGCACAGAAGTCATTTCTCACGAAACAGCTTACTCACGGAAACCCAGTCCTCGCCCAGACGACAGCTTCGGGACTGTATGTGCAGCACTTGCTGCGCCGTTAAGTCGTTGGTGTTAGCAGGTGGATACGTCGCAGAAGAGCCTAGAACATTACTCACGAGGACCACCGTTCAGACAAACCCAGTGTTCAAATCACCAGCGATCGGTGGGCGTTTGGATTCGAGTCGAGGAAGTTTGGCATCCCTTTGTTTAGTCGTCTGTTCAGTTACGTCCCATTTATGTAATTCTGTCATCCTTTGGAAGCGCTCAGGCCCGCGACCGGCGCTATGTGCATCTTAATACGTAACGGATTCTGGCGACAAAATTCGACGGGAGCCGCAAGTACTCCCTCTCTATATCTCTACTCCGTATGTTTCTTCTAGCCCGTATTCGAACTCAATGCCATCAACATTTAAGGCTGTGCAGCATGCCGATAGTATTGATATCCAGGATAGAGTTGTTTACCAAGGAAGTCATGGCGAATGTCAATACCTCGCAAATCCATTTCTTCACCACCTCAGGACGAAGTCACTTCGCTTTAAGGTGCGAAAGTCCACAGTCCGCTAGATTACAGTCCTGTCTAACCATTTCCTTATACTTCTGTAAGGAATGCTATTGTGCTAACTACGGGATCCCCTTTGTACTACCGGCTACGACCTTACCCTTTACCGTTCCGAAGTACTGCTGAAAGCCTTACCTTACCTTTTGTACCCTCAGTGAATACATCCCCAGTCCGCCGTCGAACTCAACGCAGCATTACACCTCTCACTCTGTAAATTCTGACCCTCGCTCTAACCCGAAGGATATCGCTGCGTTATTTCAGCTGTGATTTCAAGTAGGTCTGTTGCGACTTCAGTATGAAGCTGACATCTGGAGTGGTTCGACAAGGTTTACGGGATGCCTTTCATTTCGTCTGTAGTATGTGGTACGTGCATTGCCAATGTAGATGCGGCATGGTTCTCCAAGGGCGATGCTACGGTGATACACGACATATGAACAAAAGTAGGTCATCGAATATGGGTCATCCTGAGTCTAGGTATCAGCCCAGCGGCAGCTTCCCTCGACTCGTACCTGGCTGGCATTCTCGAAGGGAAATGCAAATTGGAAGGCGAGCAATCGTGCAAATTATACTGAGTAGTTCGATATTTGATGTCAGGTGAAGAGTTGATGGAGGGGCGCGAGCTTAATCGATGGTTGGTCCCCCGAATGCTTATCTATATCCATAGATGCTAAAGTCTATCCGGCTGGGTGATATCGACATCTGGAATCGAATCTGGGAAATTTCTGAGGCACGCTGCATAATCGATGGCAGGGGCTTGGTTGCTCCATCGGTATTGGACTGAGCGTGGCGGAAGAGCGATGAAAAGGAAAAAAGGCGCGCACGGGGATTCGAAGAAGGGGGAGCGCAGCGGGGGTTATTATTACAAACAATCCGATGCAAAGATGGAATGTGTCGACATGATGCAGTGTCGATGACCATCTCCATGTGGGGGAGATGCAAAGCAGAGAAAAAGAACGCATAGGATCGCGATGGAAGGGTCCATAGTTACGCGCTCGCTGCACCTGGCGCTGTAGGACGAGTATCAAGAGCAGTAGGTGTCGTGGATGTCGAGGCGGCGACAGGTCATGTCTGCGATGATGATGCCTGGGCCTGGACATGGTCTTGCGATTGACCTTGCTGCTGCTGTGTTGGTTTCGCATTGTCATCAATATGTTGAGGAGATGCACAACAGAGGAAAAGTACAAGATGAGCCAACAATAACAGGAGTCGTGACTGCGTAGGTCTTGGTGTGGTATTACCATCAGGCTGAGTGTGTGGACGATGTGGTGGCGACCGCGGAGCAACAAACAATACCTGCATGAAGATCATCAGACACCAGAAATTAACACAGTGGAGAAAGACAGACCTCCCTATCCCGCATTGGAGCAACTTCGACAACACGAGGACGCCATGAGCGGTGCGGGAGTTCTATTTCTTCGTTGGTCTTGAGTTGAGAGCGGAAGAGTGAGGACAGACGACCGATGAGTGCATCTGGACTTGAACCCGAAGGCATTGTGGGGCGAGGTTCGCTTTCTTCTTCGGTGCTGAGTCGAGATCGGCGAAGAAATGAGGACATGCGAGCAAGGAGCGCGTGCGTATCTAACCTCGAAGGCGTAGAGGGTTGCTGAGGTTCGTTTTCTGCATCATTTTCAGGTGGAGAACGGTGAATGAGCGAGGACAGGCGAGCGAGGAGCGCCTGTGGATGTAATCCCGAAGACGTCGGGGGTTGCGGAAGGTCGGTCGCTTCAGCATTGCCGTGTCGAACGCGGTGGAGGAGCGAGGAAAGGTGAGCGAGGAGTGCACTCGCAGAGGAATGAGGGTGGGCACCACCCATTTTGGAGGACTGAGAGCACAGAAATCATCATTCAGGACAAGAACTAAGCAGTAGAAATGCGACGCACATCAACGTCGGGTTGGATATCGTCAAAAAACCTAGGCGGAAGTTCATCAACACCCCCGAACTCGTCATGACATCGCGTAGCATCAGCCTGTAATGTTGATCTTGTAATGTCTGAGAAGGTTAATAAACACATCACGTACTTCCAAAAACGACCTGTCACTGAACGAAGAGCGGGGGGTCCGCTCTATTCCTGAATTTCCTTGAGATGGCTTCTGTGCGAGTCTGTCTTTAGCACCAGTGTGCAGTCGGTCGTCTTCAAGGCTAGCTTCGTTGAGGATGGCGTGATTGTCCCAAACGTAAACGTTTTTGTCCTGACAACCAGTGACTAGCAGTTTTGCATCAGCGGAAAAGGCTGCACAGTCCACCTTATCTTCGTGCTGGAGAGGTGGTCCGGCCGGGAGGTAGGTGTCTAGATTCCACAGACGCGCTGTGTCATTCCATGATGCACTTGCAAGGAGGCGGTCGTTCCTAGACAAAGAGATGGCGTTGACCCGGGTGTGATCGATGTGACCGTTGTCCCAGTTGCGACCGTCGAGAATGGCGTTGACACGGGATGGCTGACCCTCCAATTGCAGGATGGCGATTTCCTGCCAAGTGGTAGTGTCGAAGATTCTGATCGGGTCGAATGACGCGGAGATAAACCTCTTTCCATCCGACGTCCATGCCAAGCTACAAACTGGCCAATTGTGTTTGAGTGTCGTGATCAGCTTTCCCGTCTTCGCATTCCAGATTTTCGCTGCATCCTCTTCCCATCCACCAGTCGCAATCTTTGTTTGGTCGGGCGAATGCATCACCGCGTACACTTCCGCATGCCCGGTTTTAAGTCTCAGGACGGTTCTGCCGCTCTTGACTTTCCATACTCTTGCCATCCCATCCCAAGACCCACTCACTACTCGCTTACCATCTGCACTCCAGCACAATGCACACACAACATTGGTGTGTCCTGTCCATTTGGCGATGACCCTCCTCGTCTCAACGTCCCACAACCTCACTGTCCCGTCACTGCTTCCACTTGCAATTGTCTTGTTGTTTGGAGACAATGCTATGGAGAACACTCCTGCCTTGCTCTCATCTTTCCAGTCCTCACCTATCTGTGCGCCGCTCTCCAAGTCCCATAGTCGGAGTGAGCCGTCCACTGAACATGTGATGATGCGTCGTCCGCCAGGCAGGTGTACAACACCTTTTACCCGGTTGGTATGGCCTCGCATCGTCCAGCTTGGCGTGGTTGCTGTCGTCTTACTGGTGGAGGAAGACATGGTCGGCGCTGGGGGTTCAGGGTACTGCAGATCGTGGACTAGGTATGCGAGAGAGAGCCGTTGCGATCTTTGATTCGGACAAGACTATCCGGCAACGGCAATGATTGCTGGTGAGTCCAGGGGCGTATTCAACTCTCGTCAGAAGCACATAAGCCATTTCTCGCGAAACAACCTACTTACAGGAATCCAGTCCACGCCTAGAAGCCAGCTTCGAAGTTGTATATACACGAGTTGATGCGCAGTTATTCGAGAATGGGTAAGAGATCCCGGTGAGTATCCGATGCCACTGGTAAGCAAGTGTCAGCCTTAACCTGCAGAAGAGCGCTAGAGTATCACTCACAACTAAAAGAAGCACCGCTCAGACGAACCCAGTGTTCAATCACCAGCGATCAATGGGCGTCTGGTTGGGAGTCGAGGATGTTGGGCACCCGTTCGTTCAAGTTGTCTTTTCAAAGTCCGTCCCATGTGTTTGCTTCACAGCTTGGGTGCTGCGCAGACGAAGCGCTCAGGTCTGCGACCGGCGCTATGTGCATCTTCCTATACGTAAGGACTATGCTGATGTCGATGAGGTTGTAACAATCATTCGACAGGGTGCCAAACACATTTTTTCACTGCATTAGGACAAAGTCCGAGTCACTTCGCTTCGTATGAAAGTCGATAGTCTTCTGGATGACAGTCACGTGTTGCCGCCTCTCGATCCTCCAATATTCAGTGAATTCTGACCCTAACCCGAAGAATATACAATTGATGAAGCCCAATGCTCCAGTGATACACGAAAAATGAACAAAGGGGGTCATTGGAAGTGGATCATTATTAGTCTAAGTATCCGTCGCCTCGCACTTGGCTGGCGACTCGGATCTCGATGGGCTGCTGAAGGGATTTGAGAATCGATCTCGTTTAAGAATATGGAATGCGTACCAGTGTCTCGTGCAGTGCATGATATAATTGTTGTCCACACGTCGCAGTATTAATGCCCATTGGCATGTGGAGGAGATGCACAACAGAGGAAAAGTACGAAACGAGCCCACAATGGGAGGGGTCGTGGCTGCGCGGGTGCTGCATCTGCTGCACCTGCTGCGGTAGCATTCGTGCCTTGATCAGGAGGTGTCGTGGATGTCGAGGCAGTGGCGGGCTGAGTTGCTGATGATGACGCCTGGGTTTGGCCGTGCGATTGGGTTTGCTGCTGTTGTTTTCGTTTTGCCTTGTCACGATCTGGCCGGCGAGCAACAAACAGCGGCTGACAAAAAAACCATTGAACTTGACGATGGGAAACGCACACGAAGAAATACGCACCTTTTTGTCCCGTACTGCAGCAACTTCGACGATACGAGGTCCGGGAGAGAAGCTTGGGCGTTGCTGGAGTTCGGTTGCTTCATCGGTCTTGGAGTGAGAGTGGCGGAACAGTGACGAAAAGCCGTTGAAGAGCGCACGTGGGTTCGAAAAAGAGGCAGCGCGACGGGGGCCATGTGTGGAGGAATGGTGATGGCTACCGTGTGCTGCAGTGGACTGAGAGTACAAGGATCAGAACAAGAACTGGTCAACAGAAACATATAACTCACCTGGGCGCCATCGAAAAAGCCTGGCGGTATTCGACGGGCAGGAATAACTGGACGTCGCGTAGCATCGCGCTAGAATGCCATTAAAATGGTTGAAAAGCTGAAAAAACACGTTACGTACGGTCATCAACGATTTTGGAGCTGGAGCCTGCAAGTGGGAGATTAGTATAGTAGTTACCAAAGAACCATGGGATTTACAGGCAGGAGGTCTTCAAGACCAGCTTTTTTGACGATGGCGTGGATGTCCCATGTGTACACATTTCCGTTTTCGCAACCAGTGACCAACGTTTTTCCATCAGCAGAAAGGGCAGCGGACTGCAAATCATCTTCATGCTGGAGGGGTGGTCCGATCGGGAGATTCGTGTCGAGATTCCATAGACGCGCTGTTTGATCCCATGATGCACTTGCAAGGAAGCGGTTGTTTGAAGACAAGGTGATGACGTCAACACTGTCTGTGTGACCCTCAAGAACGGCAATCTGCTCCCAAGTGGCTGTGTCGAATATCGTAATCGGGTACATTGAACCAGTGATAAGCTTCTTTCCGTCCGATGTCCATGCCAAGCTGTACACTGGCAAATCGTGTTTGAGTGTGGTGATCAACTTGCCCGTCTTGCTATCCCAGATTTTGACTGCTTTCTCTTTGTCTCCGCCTGTCGCGATGTGTTCATTATCGGGCGAGTACATCACTGCCCGCACCACCCACTTGTGTCCGGTTTCGATTGTCAGGACAGTATTGCCGCTCTTGACATCGCATACTCTTGCCGTCCCATCCCAGGATCCGCTTGCTACTCGCCTACTATCTGCACTCCAGCACAATGCACACACAACATTGGTGTGTCCCGTCCATTTGGCGATGACCTTCCTCGTCTCGATGTTCCATAACTTCACTTTTCCATCGCTACTTCCACTTGCAACTGTCTTGGCGTTTGGAGACAATGCCATGGACCACATTCCTACGTCATTCTCATCTCGCCAGTCCTCGCCTATCTGTGCACCGCTCTCTAGGTCCCATAGTCGGAGTGAGTCGTCCAACGAACATGTGATTATCCGTCGTGCTCTGGGCAGATGGACAACACCTGTTACCCAGTCGGTATGCCCTCGCATTGTCTGGCGTGGCGTGATCGCTGGCGCCTTGCTGGTGGAGGGAGACATGGTCGGCGCTACTGCAGATGGTGAACTATCCATGCGAGAGAAGCCCGCTGCGATTTTCAATAAGACCAGGTTATCCGGCAACGGCAATGATTGCTGGTGGGTCCAGAGGCCTATCTTCTCTCACGACGCTTGTCAGAAGCACAAAATGCATGGCCCACGAGACAGCCTACTCACGGAAATTTAGTCCTTGCCTAGAACACAGCTTCGGGACTGTATATGCACGAGTTGCCCCGTTATTTGAGAATGTGCAAGAGATATTGGTGGGTATCCGAAGCCGCTGGCAAGAATATGGTCAGCTTTGACCTGCAGAAGAGCCTAGAGCGTCACTCACAAGAAGCACCGTTCACACGAGCCCAGTGCTCAATCACCCGTGATCAATGGATGCCTGGTTGGGAGAAGGGGAAGTTGGGCGCTCGTTCGTTCAATCTGTCTTTTAAGGTGCGCCCCATGCGTCATCCTTGTGTTTGCCTCACAGCTTTATTGCTGTGTAGACGAAGCGCTCAGGCCCGCGACCGGCGCTATGTACATTTTCTTATGCATAACGGACTTCATGCTGGCGACAAAGTTTGACGGTTTTGTGGTGAGTCCGGGCATCTGTTTCGTAATCAACTGTCAGATGAGATTTTGGTCTGCTTGTCACGTCAGACCATTTCGACCGAACTGCGTGCTTGCTCACTCCTTGAACTTCAAGATAATGATCATCACAGATTCCTGAAATCAGTCCAAAGCATCCGACGGGATGATGAGCGAGTGCTCTGGATCAAGACGGTACATGTAGCGGAGCTACATCATCCGCCCTTGACTCAACTAAATGGTGTTCTGGCACTCTTTCCAACATGATGGGCAGTGCCTGTCAGTGACGAATGCTATATTTTCAATCACTGGCAGCATGTGAGAGATTATTTGAAAATCGCCGTGAGATCACCATAGTGTCGAAATTATCCAGGCAGCATGCATGCCTTGCAGGAAATGCGATTGGGAGGATGCGTATGTGCAGTTGTGTGATGGAACGATCAGGTTCAACATAGGGCGTACATACTGACTTCTTATCAGGTGCCAGAGGAATAGATGGGGACGGGATGGCTGATGCACGACATGTCCAGTACCAGGACTGGCAGACAGTGCGAGTGCTTGCGATTAACATCGCGATTTCATGACTTGGGGTTGAAACAAGCCCGAGGTTGAGGATGTTGCAGAAATTAAACATGCAAACACGTTTGGCGTGCACAACGAGACAATAGTGATTATAAAAAGCCTAGACATATGAGATAGGTGTCCGCGTGCTGTAGTGTGAGTGTCCATCTGCGTGTGGAGAAGATGTACAACAGAGAAAAACAACAAAACAGGTCTGCAATGGAAGGCGCCGTGGCTACGCGCTTGCCGCACCTGGAGTAGTAGTGCGATTGTCAAGAGCAGTAGGTATCGTGGACGTCGAGGGGGCGGCTGGCTGAGTCTGCAGTGATGACACCTGGGTTTGGATCGGAGCTTGTGATTGATCTTGCTGCTGCTGTGTTGGCTGTGCATTTCCATCGGGGTATTGAGGAGACGCACAGCAGAGAAAAAGCACGAGATGGGCCAACAATCGGAGGGCAAGTGGATACGCAGGTCTTGCACCTGGTGTGGCAGTACCATTAGGCTGAGCGTGTGGACGATCTGGTGGCGACCGCGGAGCAACAAACAATACCTGCATGGAGATCATCAGACATCAGAAATCGACACACTGGAGGAAGACATACCTCCCTGTCCCGCATTGGAGCCACTTGGACAACATGAGGACGCCATGGGCGTTGCGGGAGTTCTATTTCTTGGTTGGTGTGGGGTTGAGAGCGGAAGAGTGAGGACAGACGACTGATGAGTGCATCTGGACGTGAACCCGAATGTGTTGTGGGATGAAGTTCGGTGTCTGCTTCGGTATTGGGTCGAGAATGGGGAAGAAGTGAGGACAGTCGAGCGAGGAGTGCATGTGGATTCAACCGTGAAGGCGTGGACGGTTGCTGAGTTTCATTGGCTGCATCATTTTCAGGTGGTGAACGGTGAAGGAGCGATGAAAGGCGAGCGAGGAGCACCTGTGGATGTAACCCCGAAAGCGCTGATGGTTGCGGACGTTCGGTTGCTTCAGCATTGTCGTGTCGAAAACGGTGGAGGAGAGAGGATAGGCGAGCAAGGAGTGCACTTGCCGAGGAATGAGGATGGGCATCACCCATATGGGAGGACTGAGAGCACAGATATGAGGACAAAAAGGATGTAATAGAAATGCACATGACGAACCTCGGATTCCATGCCATCAAAAATCTAGGTGGGAGTTCATCGGCATGACCCCCGAACTCGTCGTGGCATCGCGTGGCATCAGCCTGCAACGTTAATGTTATAACCACTCAGCAGGTTCACAAACACTGCACGTACTTCCAAAAACGACTTGTCACTGAGGGAAGGGCGGGGGGTTCGCTCTATTCCTGAATTGCCTTGAGATGTCTTCTGTTCGAGTCTGTCTTTTGGCCCGGGTGCCTAGCAGCGGTGTCAGGTGAGAGAAAGAGTGGGTGAGGCATTGACACTCACAATATTGCTACCAGCGGGTAGCAGGTCTTCAAGGCCAGCTTCTTTGAGGATGGCGTGAATGTCCCATGTGTACACATTTCCATTTTCGCAACCAGTGACTAGCACTTTTCCATCAGCGGAAAGTGCTGCGGACCACAAACGATCTTCATGCTGGAGGGGTGGTCCGATCGGGAGATTCGTGTCGAGATTCCATAGACGCGCTGTTTGTTCAAGTGATGATACACTTGCAAGGAAGCGGTTGTTCGGAGACAAGCAGATGTCGTCAACAGTGGATTCGTGTCCCTCAAGAAAGGCAATCTGCTGCCAAGTGGCTGTGTCGAATATCCTAATCAGGTGATATGACCCGGAGATAAGCTTCTTCCCGTCCGACGTCCACGCCAAGCTGTACACTACCCCATCGTGTTTGAGTGTGGTGATCAACTTGCCCGTCTCGCTATCCCAGATTTTGACTGCATTCTCTTTGTCTCCACCTGTCGCAATGTTTTCGTTATCGGGCGAGTACATCACCGCGTTCACCCACTCGTGCCCTATAAGGGACCATACTGGACAAATTGTTTTTTCGCTTTTGACTTTGCGAAACTTGACTTGAGCTTCCGCGTTACTATGGTGATGTTTTGATTTTTGATTTTGATGTGTTGAGCTTGACTCACCAGACTTTGACGCACAGGACTTGTATCCACCCGGGCTTCCCGCTTCCGATAAACGTCACGAGCGCTTCCGTGCGCAGATTGCAAGAAGTTGACAATACCCCCGTCACCTACCGAGGACGACCGTGGCAGACGCCATCCGCCACGCCCTATGGTGCTGGTCCATCCGAGACACCGCTACGCACGCCACGCGGGGAGCCAGTGACGACACGCCCGCGGTATGATATCGACTCAAGTCTAGATGACTTCCAGGCGCGGTATACCTCGGAAGACAACGCTAGCTTTACACAGAATATGGATGAGGAGAATCGGAAGCGCAAGGAGAGGTAGGGCTGGGCATGGGAGGCACAGAGGAGAGTTGAGGAGCAGCGGGATAGGATGATTGAGTAGGGCGAGGATCTTGCCGACAAAAAATCGGTGCAGCTGATGCTGTAGTCGCTCTTGCCAGGGCGGGTGCTACCGAGGCCCTCGAACCCACTTTCATCTACTCTGGTCTCTACGCAGCTCCCATTCTTCTGCTCATCCGAGAACATTAGAAGGTTATCCCTCCTGGCTCTCAAAGAGGCCGCCTGCACCGGCATCCTCTGTAGGAGTGTTCGAGCCCCCCTCACCCGAGGCGTTCTGCCCAGGCTAGCGCTAATCCGCTCATGGCCTTCTACCACATTCTTGAACAAACATTCTACGACTTCAATGCTGTATCTATAATCTTGCAGTATGTTTCTATCTCTTTAAGAATTATTAAGCGCTGTCTGATTTTATTATTCTGCAGGATCACCAGGTTTTCCGATCCTTGCGCACCAGGCGTGCCAGGTTCGGGCTAGAATTGGGCACTCGGTGCTGCAGCGTACATAGCTTGCCGGTTGGCTTGGATTACCATGGTTTTTGTGCTCTACGACTTCGAGCTCTTATCCAATCACAATCTTATCACGGACGAAGAATGCTTGGGCGCATGTTCCATGGCCAACTTTGCATTTGTTCCTCAGCTATTCTCATCCGGGATCGTTCACCGTTCGCTGAGTAGAAAGGAGTTCACATGGGTCTGCGAAGACACTGTCGTTTACATCGCGTCACATCTAGATGACGAGCAATGCCTGCAGCCTCCATCTCGCGCCTGATCACTACAATCCTGGAGCACAAAGACATTCCTGGTGATTACTTTGGAGTCGCATTCTCCATTTACCATTGTGCACTCGTGAAAGTTGTGAAAGATAGAGACACGACAACTTTCAGTCATATGGTGGCTCTCCAATTTTTACGGGCCTTCTCTTCAGACTCTCGTTCTACGCCGGGTATTATTGCTCTTGCCCGTCTTGGTCATCGCATCGACCCTGCACTCTTTGTGCCATGGAGGTTTGCCGTTGGCCCGGGTCAATGATGGACAAGGAGAACTCTCTCGAGCTTTGGCAAGAGATCGCTCTTCATCTCGATCTCACAGACGTCCTCGCCCTCGGGATGGTTTCAGAACTGTGCCGTCAAGCAGCCTCGATGGTACTCCATTATCCTCACGTCAGCGCTCATTGCCTTGTCGGCTGTTGCCCTTCTGCTACCTCGAGCGGGTCTCTCACTAGCTTTGCAACTCGCATTTACATCCTCTTCTCCTAATTATGTTGCTATGCTCGAAGCTGGCTTCAATAGTGATGAAACTTACTTCCGTGCATCAGATGGTATATTAACGGATCACGCCCGTGGTGTTCTTATTGCCAATGCCGCTTGGACGGCGTGGCGTGTCCTTGTCCTACTCCTCAGTTGGCGAGTGATCAAATGCTAACATATTTCGTCCTCTTCTGATTTTTTTTATGACGCAACAGAATTGGTCTGTGGATTATGAGTGGCCAGGGCTGCGCCGGAGTATGTGGGCCGCCCACCATTTGAAGTTGAGCAGGTGCTTGCGGCTGTCGGTTTCCCTTCCACCCCACCCAACGACACTCTATGCTCACCCCCAGAACGCGCCGCTGTTGATAACCCATGTTCCTGCCCACACATGAATGGCGTGCACAAGGCAAGACTGCCTCCACTGGCATAAAGTCTGACGGATGGTCAGATTAGTACTAGTAGCTGCTATTTGTTGACTGGATCTTAGACTGCCTAATATGATTATGATTCACCCAAAAGTCTATCGTGTTTCCATCACAGAAAGAGACTGATAAGGGTGGGGCACTTTAAAACCATAGTGTCGTGGTGCATTCATGTTGTGACGTCTCCTTCACAGTCATGAACAATCAGCCTGATCAGCAGCTTGTACCTGCTCCATTACAGACGATACGAGCTGCATATGCTGAGCTTGGTCGCCGTGTTACGGTAGCCCTCCGCACACAAATTGGGGACCACGCACAGTTAGGTGAAGAACAGAGGCATTGCTTGCACCAGCTCGATAGTCTTGAAGGGAATTTAGTGATACCCTGAGGTAGTCTTGCATTGTGCTTCGTAGTGTGCTTGGTGTCGTCGTCGTCGTGTGCCACACAGTGAGCAAGCGTAGGAAACAGTGACGAGGGGAATTGGCTGTAATTCAACATAAGCTGTATTAATCACATATAGATTAGAGTTATCGTTACATCGAAGCAGAAGCAGAAGTCAAAGTCAAAGTCAAGGACACACCTTCCTTATTCGGTAAGATCAAAGGCGAAATCAAGTTTGAGATGCTCAAAGCAAAACTCTGGAATTTTGTCCAATACGGGCCCTCATAGTGCCCGGTTATGATTGTCAATATAGTTTCACCGCTGTCGACATCCCAGACTCTTGCCGTCCCGTTCCATGATCCACTCGCTACTCGCTTGCCATCTGCACTCCAGCACAACGCATACACAACATTGGTGTGTCCCATCCATTTGGCGATGTCCTTCCTCGTATCGACATCCCATAACCTCACCATCCCGTCGCCGCTTCCGGTTGCAACTGTCTTGGCGTCTGGAGACAATGCCACGGACCACATTCCTCCGTGATTCTTGTCTCGCCAGTCCTCGCCTATCTGTGCGCCGCTCTCTAGGTCCCATAGTCGGAGTGGGCCGTCCAACGAACATGTGATTATCCGTCGCTCGCCAGGCAGGTATACAACACCTGTTACCAAGGCGGTATGGCCTCGCATCGTCCAGCGTGGCGTGATCGCTGGCGTCTCGCTGATGGAGGACGACATGGTCGGCGCTGGGGGTTTCAAGTAATGCAGATCGTGGGCTATTCATGCGAGAGAAACCCGCTGCGATCTTTGAATTAGACCAGGTTATCCGGAAATGGCAACGATCGCTGGTGAGTGCAGGGGCTTAACTTCTTTTACTGCAACGCTTGTCAGAACACACAAGTCATTGCTCACGAGACAGTCTACTTACAGTAACCCAGACCTCACCTGCAAGACAGTTTTGGGACTGTATATGCAGGAGTTGCTGTGCCGTTATTCGGGAATGAGCAAGAGATCTTGGTAGGTGTCCGAAGCCGCTTGTATTAAGCAAGTGTCAGCTTCAACCTGCAGAAGAGCCTATGGTATCACTCACGGAAGCACCGTTCAGACGAGCCCAGTGCTCGATCACCAGCGGTCAGTGGGTGTCTGGTTGGGAGTTGACGAAGTTGGACGCCCGTTCGTTCAAGCCGTCTTTTATGGACCGTCCCATGCATTATTTTTGGTTCGCTTCACAGCTTCACAGCTTCACAGCTATCGTGCTGTGTAGACGAAACGCTCAGGTCTGCAACCGGTGCCATGAACATCTTCCTATCCGTACGGACTACGTTATTTGTGACAAACATTCGACCGGGTGCCGCACTTCCTCTCTACTCCGCATACCTCTTCCGGCCCATGTTCGAACTCGATGCCGTCAACATCTCAGGATGTATACATGTTGTGCAGTATGCCAATAATATTAATACCCGGGATGGAATTTTCGTTTCCCAGGCAAGTCGTGTGAGTGTCAATACGCAAATACCTTTATTCACTACCTCAGAACGAAGTCACTTCGCTTCGTGCGAAAGTCAACAGTCCGCTGTATTACAGAGGGTATGACAAGCTGATAGGCGAGCGACCACGCAAATAGCACCAGTACGTGAGATCTGATGCGAGATAGAGGGTTGATAGAGGTGTGCGACCTTGATCAAGGGTGGTCCCCAAAACGTTTATCTATATCCATATATGATAAACTCCCCTTACTGGTGCTTATCGATTCAGTATCGAATTCGGGATACTTCTGAGACAACTCTGCATCATCGATGGCAGTCGATGTTCAGAATGGCCAAGGATGGTGGCGAGACATTCAATCCTCCGTTGGCTGCTCACCCAGAAAGGATTTTGCTTTTTGGTACATTACTCTCAATGGCCTCGACTGACTTTTCAATCACCATATGCATGTATATGTCAGCAATCGCTGCCAGATTTTCCCCAACACGTGTTCAAACCCTTATCAACTTACCGTGACCTTAAAAGCAGGACCGGGCACACTCCATTGACATTAACGATTTCCTCGCCATGCTCCTTCGTTCGTTCATGTCAGAGCCTCTCACTCAGCTATTCCACAGCCTACATGGTACTTGACCCTCGATATCGCGACTCGCGATTGTCACGCAAGATACAACACACTCCCGCTTTGTTTCAGATCATGGTTGTTATATATCACTTCCTATCACATCTTGATCAGCGGAACAATCATTCTTTGGACTGTGCGGCTCTAATCCATGACGCATCCCCTTTCCTATCCACGGGATACTGTTCTCATGGAAGATGGCAGCTGGAGACGGTCACGGATGCGATGCTGTTCCATCGACTTTCTTTATCTTCGGCGGCCGAGCCTGAGGTGTCCTGAGGCTGCTGGTATTCATGATGCTCCCGTGTATCATTTGATGAGGGAGAACTCACACTGTATCTGCATACCAGTAGCACTGGTGCAATCCTTGTTGCTGGTTCGTTGATACAGTGTGGAGACTCGGAAGTTTTGAATCACCCGTTTCCTGGCAGGCGAAGAATCGTGCGGAGCCCATTATGCGTGATTTCGATCCCGGTAGGACAATCAGAATCAGACAAGAGTGGAAATATCTCTCTTCCATGTGGGTTTTGACTACACATCTGCTTTCCATCTGGTACATTGTGCGGCAGCGCCCCGCCAACTTGAAAGATTGTGCTTGTATCATATCGGTGCAACTTACGATCTGAAGAATTCGGATATCCACTATGTGTGAGAGCAGCTAGCAGCTTTGAGGAGCGTCCATCAATGTTGTTCGACTTGCCGTCGGTGTAGTATTATACGCACATTGCTACGTTCTAAGATACAGATACTATAGCCTCAGGAGGAACCAGATGCATCTGCAGATAGCGTCAGTATCAGTAGATCCCGGGACCCGGAGGCCGCTGAAAGCCCTTTATAGTCTAGTTGTCACGTTCGCCTATTTAAATTTGGTGCAAGTACCACCCCTTTATCACAAGTGGAAGCTTGTACACGTAGGTCAAGAACATGTATCGAAGTACAACAAATGATATCTAGAATGCATACAGTTATTTTGAGTGAGGATTCACCAGCAGCCGGCCATACAGTCTAGGACAGAAAGAATGATAAAACGGGGGTCAGAAAATGCGGTAACTTTGGAGAAAATGAACGAATGAATGAGTGAGTGACGAGTACGTTTGAATTCGGGGAATATGATCCAGAAGATAAGAAGCTGCAAAGTAAAGCAATTGCACGCGGCAGGAAACGAATCACCAGAAGCGGTATTCTGATAATTATAACTGTACAGCGCACAAACAGTCATGGAATGACACCGACAAAGATAGCGACAAATGTTGCAGCAACGATCAGCCCGAGGGCGGCAGAGCGGATGACGACTTCCCATTGCGCTCGGATTACCACAGGTGACCGCACGCGCGTCATCGGTGCCTTGAAAGCGGGAACACCCGCGGTGAACGAGGGAATCATGAAAGAAACAAGAGGAGAGCTTGGCGTCGGAGATGACGGGTTCGAATTAGGCGAATGAGCTGAAGAAGTTTGTGAGACGAGTGATAACGGGGGCGCATATGTGCGCTTGCATTTATACTGCTGCCGTGCGATAGCGGAACCGAGGGGATTGTTTGAAGGACAAGGAGTGGTGATTTCAGTTGGGAGAGATAGTGTTGGAATTTGATCTGCGATAGCGACAGGGGGTGGGGAAGCGTTGTTTGTGAGGCGGATGGTATCTGCAATAATCGCGTTTCCTTTGACGGACTTTGGAAGAAGATCAAAATCAAAGGCCTCTTTCTCGTCTCGTCTCGTCTGGACGCGCTCTGTTAGCTCATCTTCCGCATCGAGGTCTACCTCGTGCCGAATGAACGCCGCGCTGGGACCGAAGGAACCAGAATCCTCGCGGATATACGGCTTGACGGAAAAGCTATTTCGGAAATTCCCGCCAGAAGCGCGTTCGAGGGGTGAGGGAAACGCAACAGGATTCGTGCGTTGACGAGTATGTACGATGGGCGGGAAAGTGATGGATGATTGCGCGGAACGGTAATGAGATCGATGCAAGCCTGTGGCTGTGGCTGGACCCTCTGGCGCAGGGACATCATCGAAGTAGGCGGGAGAAATTTCAATCTCCGGCGATTCAAATGAAGAAGACAAGTCTTCGTCTTCTGAAGATCCGGACAGTCCGGCATCAGAGCATGAGTCCGAGGCTCGTGAAAACGAGCGTTCTTCGACAGACAGTGTATATGGTGCGGACCGGAAGGACGCGGACGAGAAGTATTCTAGATCATACTGCCTATCGTGATGTTTTGATATTACGATGCTAGGCCTCTGGCTAGGAGGTGGTGGGTGTGGGAGTGGCGCAGATATCGACGTGACCGCAGGAGCAGGTAGCGGCCTTGAAATAGCTGGCCTGGCCAGCTCGAATTTTCGAAGTTGTCTCAGGTCGCCAAAAACATACACCATGAGACAAACCTAGAAACAAGGAGTTACTTCGTGCATGATTACTCGGAGGGAGCGAATTCACTCACACCGTTGAAACTAGAGAATAACAACATGAGACCAAGCCATATGCCGGGGAAAGCTGATAATCTCCACCACCGTCCATGAGGGGCACCGAGCCAGTCACCAGACGTTAGTGCAAGAGGTAAAATTCCAGCAATGCACAAACATAGTATCCCAGCTGCAATACCGCAAGCTGCTCTGCGTGAGCCAACATTGGTAGAAGCTGCGCGAACAAAACGTGAAAGGGACTCTTTAAGCATAGCACGCGCCTCCAATGCCACTTCTATAAATACTGCAGGATCTGGGTGGGCGTTTGGTGAGTTCGAAATGGCTATAGGCCCACGAACTTTGGTGAGAACTGGCGAGTTCTGATGTGAACAATGGAATGGGGCGAGAATATCTGAAGGGACATCAAGTTCGTACTCGGCACCAGGGGTGAAGAAGGTCTGCTTTGCTTTTGCATAAAAAAGAGCAAGTGACGCGTCCGACGATGGTGGAGCGCGAAAGACCGGTGCAGTCTCAAGAGTGGCTGGGGCAATTACGGGTTTGGTATGCTGGGACCAGATGTGGTAACGCGTGGTATACTCCTTCAGCCATAGCAAAAAATATAGATTTTCTGGGGATTGCTCGACATAGAGAAGATATTCTTCGAAATCCTTGAGGCCGAGAGGCGGAAGGTGTTTGCGCTCGAGTACATCGTCAAGACGAACGTCGAGGAATGGTGTCACACCACACGAGCGCACTTTGCCAATAGATGGGGGTGGATTGCAGATCCGATGCTAGAGAAGTGTGAGTTGGTCCTATACTCAGGTAGAAGTTTGACAGACCGGAAATGATAGGAAGCCCTTGAAGGAGAGCTTTGACGGTGGGGGTCTTTCCTGCTGTTGCATGGATCATGGACGTGAGCGAGAAAACCGAGGGCAGAAGCGACCAGTGACGGTCGGTCGACTTAAATGCCAGACACGTGATGATGATAACCGGAAATTGGACATTAGCCTAACTGATCAGGCCCAGGCTGGCAACGACTTCGACGAAGCTTGGATCGAAAGACCTGGACGGTGGATCACGTAAAGAGCACGGTCTCGGATGTTTCCTCGGCATAACGACATCAAGCTTGAGATCTGGGAACATTTTGAATTATACTAGAGCGAGCTGGTAGGTCCACCTAAGTAAGTCCTTTCGTCGGTAAATCCCCCTAAGTCCTTTCGACGATGGGCTAAATTTATGCGAAATTCATTGGGAAGGCCGAAAACGTTGCTGGGACAATATTGTGTCGTCGACGTCAACTGCGATATCAATCAGTTCACAACTTTAACTAATCAAAATACCCACGGGAAATCCTGCCATATGATACATATGGAGTCTTCTGGAACAAATTTGAGGAGGAGCGGTAAAATAGCCGCGTACCAGACTTGAATCGATATATCCCCAATACCATTGAGGACAGTCAACGCTTGACTTGGCCGTCACTGAGGACCGGAAAATCCCGCATGCATATATGACACGTGGATCACTCACGCGGTATTTATTGAAACCAACCTACATGTGGACCAGTCGTCGATCATAGTCAGCTGCTGCCAACTCTTCCCTAGGCAACAAATGAAGACAGTGAACTATGTAGCGACAGTTGACTTTTAGAGTTGCATGCTCTCTTTTGCACCATACACATGATTACCACTGGCAGAACCGCGCCTACGGCAAAGGACAAGATGCATGTGAGCGATCAGACTTACTAATTTGCTCGCGTTGAACATCGTATTTAGGGAACCGCAGCACCCGGAATTTGTCGGTGCATGATGCTCATTGCTCAACGCAGGATATGGTACATTGCTCTGGATTTGACTGTCATCATTCATCAGGTTCACTGAGGACAAGCCATTTTTTTCACTGGCAACCCAGCGTACTTCAAGTTGGTGTAGAGTTCTCGGCTTGTTTGGCTTGTGGTCAGGTTATGTTAGGCAGGACTTTTTTTGACAGATATCATTCTATGGGACCGTCTCACCAGGTTGGTATTACACTGAATTGGTCGCGACTGGGTATGTTTTCCAACGATCCATGAGTCTGATCATGTAGCCCTGACACAGATTCAGGTACTCGAATTCTACATTTATGTAAACAAGTCGTGTTGCAGATGTATTCATTGGCTTTCAACGGTCTGGAGGTCATCTGGACGTGACTACGGTTTTTATTGGATCGCACTACTGAGGCATCCATAATGCTTGTTCTCTAGACGAAGGTCTTTGCAAGTGTCAAACAAGGTTTCTTGCTGACGAAAGGTGGCCTTCACAACTGCCGACATTGCTCCATAACTTCAGCGAGGTTTGGCACAACATGCGAATGACGCAAGAAATAAGGTACAGCTGCTAAGATTACATTCATAATTGCATAACGCTGCTGTATGAGAGTCACCTCGATACCAGTCACCCGACCTATTATTCGAAGGTGCGTATCGCGATTCAGACGGCTAAGGTCCGAAAGTTCTGGCTCTGCAATGTTTATGGGAGTGTACGCTGGCGATCTTCTCGGATGAAATAGAATTCCTGATGAGTTAGTCCATTTCATTTTTCATGCACCTATGACATATATGCGTTCTGATGCCAACTCAGGCTCTGAGTCACATCGTGAAATATATCCCACTGCCAGCACCAAAAGCCATAATAGCTCATCACATTACAGATGGCAAAGTGCTACTCGCCTCATGCGTTTGGAATATAGAGTACTTACATATGCTGGTGGATTTAATTCAGCCGACGATATTTATGAATGTCCTCCTCAACGCGGGCCCTCTCACCACTAGTCGACGTTGACCTCGGGAGCACTTACGGAGCATTTTTTGTCGGGGCTATCGTTGCAGCATTGTTAGTAAAACCTATTTGCTCGCTATGGAGATCAAGCTGACCACTTCCTGCCGTCGTACCATACCTCATGGAACAGTCTCTTTGGCATAACCAACATTCAATCTTTTATCTACTTTCGGACGCATGCCGGCAAATGGGCAAAAATTTATAGGCTCGTCGTACGTCTGTGCTGTCTTCTCTTCAGTTCTGTTGTTGACGCTACATCAGGTCCTTTTGCTTTGGTAGGCACCCTTTTTGTTGCATTGTGGCGGGCACATCAAGATGGTTTAGGATACTTGATGCTGTGCACCTGACATTGATCGTCCATTGCGTCTATTATTATCTGGTGATCAACTTCGCGAACTTGAAGGGGCTCACAGAAGTTGTATGGAGTTTTCGAGTGAGTTCTTACTTTGGGCTTCCTTGTGACTTCTACCATTGTGTTAATGGGACTCGTGCAGCTTCAAGTAATATTCAACGTAAGTTGTATTTCCTGCATAAGCTCTGCGGTTCGTCCCTGACACGTACCTGCAGGTCATCATCATCTGGGTGATACATTTGTGGGTTTGATGTATACTGCATATGCAACAATCTGCTAATGTATTCTTGGTTCATAGGCTATATTATCATCGCATATGGATAGGTGTGTTTTTCGTATCAATACATTTGCCATGACCGATGCGGCGAATCTAGTTGGAAGGGACCGTTCAAGAGCCTTCCTAATAATACCGGTGTGTTTCCCATCGTCATTCACATTCTAGCCTTGTCATTTCATTTTGTCGATTAGGGCATATTCGTCTTCTTAAGTTCAGGTGAGCTCAGTCTGTCAACACAAATATTCTCTGCTCAATTATTGAAAAACCTTTCAGGCGTTGCCATCAGTGAGCGTTTAATGCTACCATTGTCGTTAGCCCATCATCTTAATCCAATCAGCCCTGATTTGGGAAGTGTGAGTAAACAAAGTTCTCCTTAACACAATAAAGTGCTGATAGGGAATAGATATCGTCCCAATCCGCCGATAAGTTTGTTTTTAACCAGGTGGCCCGCATTCATGGCTTTGGGGGCGGCTGCTTCCCTCGATATACTCATTACAGTCTCGCTATGCTATCTCCTGGCTACCTCCCGTACTGGGTTCTCTAAGTAAGGAGCAGTCCGTCGAGTCTCTGGATCTGATACAATACCAGATTATTTAGCACGGATTGCTTGATCACAAAACTCATTCATTACACCATTGATAGTGGCTGCCTGACGAGGTAACGATCCTGCCAGCTCATCCCGTCCCGTGACTTATTCCTCGCGCAGCTTATGTTCATTGACATCTATTATTGCAGTGAGATTCAAATTGTTGTACTGTGCATCTCAGCTCTGAGCGTTACCTGCAGTGTGCAGTGATGCCAAACAACTTGATCTTTCTCGGCTTTCAATTTGTGGAGGCTAAACGTATGAAACCATTCATTCTCCGAGGGATTGTACTGACTAGTGGATCCGTTTCAAGTCTATGTCAACTCGTACATCGCACTTCTGAACGCAAGGTACTACATGCAGTCTGATACAGACACCGCCAATTCTTTCGAGCTCCGTGAGCTCCGGGGTGCCTCCATTGACACTAGCACTGGGCTGCAAGATGTGTCGCATGAGAAATTCCCCACATTCCGGAGGAGCATGTTTGCTCATCCCCAAATTGAAGTGGTGCCTCCCACTCGACCCTTACAGGCTGTCATGGTCAGTAGTTGTATTAGTATCAATCAGTGGTAGATGAGGAACTGACGACACGCTCCAGTCACGCCGGTCGGTTTTTGTGACAGTGGAGAAGGAGTCTTTCGTAGATCCCTAGTTGATCCCTAGTGTGAATTGTTTGTCCATCTGGTCACGTTCAACGGCTCTCTCTTGCGATGATAAGACTTGGTCTAACCTTTGCTGTACCACCACCTTCAACTTCTTGTTGAGATGTACACTACATGATTTTGATGATCTCATTCACGTCGTAACGGCGTTTGGCTAGGACTGACGACTCTCCTTGCAAGATTAATAACAGTGATTTCCGTGATTTGGCGCCTTCCTGCTGGTGTGCAGTACAATGTACTGAGCGTATGGTGACGAATCACAGCTATATGATACAAGTCGCTTGAGTCAAAGTTCGTGTACGCCACCACTAACCCTAATACAGCACTCCGAGACTGGAGGGAGAAACTATCGCCGGCCCACAAAAATGATCAAAACGGCCACTAGTATTTCGAACCTAGCACCCAGCTGCGCACCTCATACTACATTCTTCCCCCTGTACGAAATCAGCGTCGGCTGTTGCCTGACACCATGCTGACGGAATGCGCCTGTTCTATTCATAACACGCAAATGTAAATGTACATATACATCTACGCTGGTTTTATATAAACGGGTGCAAGTCCCCCGCGTATAGCTAGTGCTACAACCCCCGATGGATAATATACATGTGAAAAACAAGTAAAAGTTGAAACTTCAGGTAACGTAACAGTTACTGATCCTTCAAGTTTTTACCTCCAGTACTGCGTACCTTTCACTCACGCTACACCTCCATGTTGTCGTCTGCAGCGGTAGTGCTCACGCAAAAGGCCTGAGCTCTGGCTCTTTTATATACATAGTTGATCAAAGAGATGTGTGCGATCTCAGTGGCGGGCTGTGGCGGGCCGCAGTTTGAACCCCCTTCCCCAATATTGCTGGGTTTACGGCACGATGTGCAGTCACTGCAGTGTGCACGTGCAACGTTTCAAAATTTCACCTTTACTATGATCTAGCGCAGGAGCGCGGCCCATCAAACAATTCGTCATGCGAGCTCCTACACTTCCTTCGCTTTGCTATTTAATAAGTCTGTTTGGAAGACTAGGCAGACCACAGCTGGCAGTAGTTCTGCAAGTGATGTAGTGAAACTCAACCATAAGTGGTACTTCCCAAGATGACCACAGCCTACACGCGCGTTTCAAGTTCATCCATTCTTCCCTGTGACCCTGTCAGGGCCACACGCATCTGAAACGCGCACTAAGAGCCATGATCTACAAAATGCCTTACATGAGTACTATAGCTCTACAGCTTCTCTTGTGGGACATACTGCGTTTCTGGCTCAGTCAACAATGTCTTCTTCAACGCAGGACACCATCCCACCACTTGACCTCGGAAACACATATGGGGCACTTTTTATCAGCGTTATCCTCGCAACAGTGTTAGTCAACCAATTTCTCTCTAGTGTCCACGAAGACAAAGTTGAGGGTTTCCTGTCGTCGTAACATTTCACGGAATAGTCTCTGGGGCGCCACAAACATTCAAGTTTTCATCTACTTTCAGACACACAGGGGCACAGGGATGACATTCTATAAGCTGGCCGTACGTCTGTGCATTCTTATTCTCAGTTCTTTTCTTAAAGCCATTGCAGGTTGTTTGGCTTTGGTAGGTATCACGTCGAGTTATGATTATCGAGCATGCCGAGATCACGCACTGTGCCCTGAAATATAGGATAATTGATGCTCTGCATTGTGCCTTGATCGTCTATGGCATCTATGATCATTTGGTGACCAACTACGCGAACATTCCTGCCCTCCAAGAAATTATATGGAGTGCTAAAGTGAGTTCCAAGGAGCCTCTACTACTGCCATATTGATGGATTCGCGCAGCTTCAGGTCCCGGTTGAAGTAAGTGGCCATACCCAAGAGCTTTGATCCGCCACAGAAACTCACTTCACAGATTTTCATCGCTTGGTCGGTAAATCTGTGAGTTCAGTGTGTACATTGTATATGGGACCTACACTTAATGCTTCCTTGTCTTGTAGTCTATATGTTCATCGCATATGGATAGGTATATGTCCCCCTGTTGATGCATTTGCCACAACTAATACGATGAACATAGTCAGCAAGGGCCGATCAAGAGCTCTCCCTATAATCGTGGTGAGTGTGCAATTCATATCTATGTAATATGTTTTCATTATGTCTATCCACTATTAGAGCATACTCGTCGTCCTAGGTTCAGGTGAGTTACTTGCAAACGCTCCTTGCTCGATCTTAAAACACTCTTCAGGTGTTGCCATCAGTGAGAGCTTGATAACGTTTTGTACTATCATCCCAATTTATGCCTATGACAGGTCTTATTTGGGAATTGTAAGTGAAACAGTGTACCGCATTTACAAAAGGCTAACAGCGGGTAGATACCAGTGCCACGTATTCGCCGATTTAATTAGAATCGACTGGGCGATATACTCAACGTTGGGCACAACTACTTTTCTCGATATCCTGATTGCATCATCGTTGTGCTATCTCCTCGCTACCTCTCGTACTGGGTACTCTAAGTAAGGAGTATCATTCCCCTGCCGGGATCTGATTTACTAACGTGGAGTATTAGCACCGATTTCTTTGTGACAAAGCTCATGGGTTACACAATTAGTACTGGCTGTCTGACGAGGTATTCATCTTCTGCCCTACTCCATACCTTGATTTATATTCCATGCAGTATATTTTCATTGATGACTATCATAACAGTGAGGTTCCCGTTGTTTGTGATGCCCATCTCGTCTTTGATGGTCTCCTACAGTTTGCAGCGATGCCGAGAAATTTCATCTACCTTGGTGTCAAAAATTTGGAGGCGACATGTACGTCTGAAGCATTCTCTCAGAATTTTTCTAATCAGTGCCATTTCTAGCATATGTGAACTCGTACATCGCACTCCTGAACGCCCGATACTACCTACAGGCCAATGCGGACATTATCGATTCCTCCGAATTTCATAAACCCCACGGCGTTTCCCGCTCGGAGCTGCGCATTAGTGCGTCGGACTCACAAGACAATAAATATCCGGCACACCGAAAGACTGTATTCGAACAACTCGACGATGGTGTGCTACATCTCACTCGACCCGCTGAGGTTGCCATGGTTAGTAGTTGCATTACCGTTGAGATGGACTAAATGACACGCTTCACCACAGCGGCCGATTGCGGCGACGATGGAAGTGGATTATTTCTCGTCGGTGTAATAAATTTTTTATGCATGGATGGTTCTCTGTTCGTCTCCTCACGGGATAAAAGATGAATTCGCTAATCACTTACGTGAGTTATCACAATGGTGGAACGAGAGGAATCGGTCCACTACGTGCCTATATATATATATATATATCTTCAAATTTGGGGCCTCGTTCTGTTGCACGAGCTAATGTACTTATATGTACTTATCCCATACGTGAGTTGACACGAATTAGACGATACTTGCACTGAACACGTTCGTTGAACGTTCAACGTCAAAGCTGCCCACACACTAATCCACGATTTCGGCGAGGCTCCGGTGAAACAGGGTTCTTCCTCTCTCATGCTCATCATATCTCTTCATATCGCTTGACGATCGTATATGACTTTTCGTGCTCTCGTGGCGCCTTGTATAAATTAATATTGCCACCTTAAGTATGGTTCGTGCGCCCACGGCGTCAAGGGGTGGTCCACAACTAAGTTTGATACTTAATTTACAAGTCCACTGTAAATCTATAATAAATCATACTATTGTGCTAGTCTAGAAGTAGTGGCCCCAGCAATATAGATGGTGGACAATTGACATGTCCGAGTCCACGTCAATTGAACAATTGCGAGGGGCTAATACCCAAACCGGGTAATCAAAAGCCACTACAAACTGAGGCGTGGGCCCTGAGGCAGTACTCATAAAGAGACGACGGCCAAGGGCTGAAACCAACCAATTCACTGACTTGCATACCGTCTATAGTCCCCTGCTTATCTGCCCAGCAGGCTACCTTTCTTTCTGATGCTGTCCGAGTCCGAGGGCCAGTCTCGCCGTTTGCCCACGTTAGTCACATTTTGCCAACGTGGTAAGTTGTCTATCGACTGCCAGTGTATGGGGTCGTATGCTGAGATGATCGACGTATACAGTCCTCTCTACATACACAGATTGTGCGTACAGAAGATGTCAGACCTTTTTGTCCGAGACTGACCCAGGTTATTGGTCCAGCTATAAGCAGTTTGGGAGCCGATGCCATACGGTATGATGTGATTAAGCCGGTGCTGGAATGTTGTTCTGCAGATACCCTTCTTCATCTGGAACAATCGTCACCTGTTCGTCCCATCTCCTTCTATCATGCTTTGATTCCTGATCCACCTCTTGCAGTACCTTGAGAATGATACCTCTGGTGTGCCCAATACATTCAACGATCTCTCCACTCCTCTCTGACATTACCAAAGAAATATGGCAACGGTTGTGTTGGAGAACGTTTCCACTATTAGCCGAACAGTATTTGCAAGAAGGCTCTGAGGCTCCCGAATCGTGGCGCGAGCAATTCTTCGTAAGCTTTTGCTTGATTTTTTTGATACTTCTTGACAAAGGTTGGGGCAGCTATTACGAGAGGCGGAGGCCAAACGGCTTGAACTAGTGGGTTCTCGTCTCCGCAGTCAGCGCATGGAAGCGGATGAACGGAAGAGGGAACGTGAGGTTAAGATCACCGATCGCCTACCTCCCCCGAAACGTGCTCGAGGATGTACGTTGAGTTTCGTGAGCTCCTTATAGTGGTTATGTATTGACTGTTGCGTATCAAGGGGGAGCACCGAGTCAACCCAAGACACTCTTTCAGAAAACAAAGAATGAGGCCACCAAGTTTCGTAGCTCTATGTACACCGCTCGCGTCCTTCCTCCTAAGCGACACCGCCCGCTGCATAGTTCACCTAGTCTAAAGCCCGCAGTACATGGACCTTCTGAACCAACCAAGAGCCCAACCAAGAGCATGGTCACCGTCAAGACAGTCACCCACAAGCGACCGTCTATCATGCCTGCACCGCCTCAGTCATCTGGCCGACCTCCCACATCATCAGACTCAGCCCCTGCCACTCCTCGGAAATTAGCTGCATCTCTTCCTTCTGCTGGTTCACCGAAACTTTTACCGACAGCACAACCATCACCATCCACAGGAGAACAGCGACTGGTTAAGGCTCCAATAAATAAGAAGGACCCCATGTCTTCTTTGTTCATGCCGAAACACCGCACCCTTTCCCAGCTTCCAGGACAAACCAGTAATGCACGTATCATGCCGACCCGGTAACCTTCGAATTGAGGCTACTTACTCAATTACATTTGTTCTACTCGATGATTTTATTTAGCCCTTGTATTGTGGTTGTCAGGGCCATCATCTATTATGCTTTGCATTGTTGTACGACTATCTGAGTAGTGTATGTCTAGCGTGTCTACCATTTGCTATCCGTCGCTATCCCCGTTGACGATATGGTTGTTGACATTATTACCATCTGTTAGATGCACATCCCTTCAGCAATACTTCTCAAGTTTTTTCTACACCACGAAATCTATTTATCTATCTATCTATATATATATGAGATAGGGGATATCAAGAAGTTATGATATATATCTACTTGGTGTCTGAGAAACCAGGTAACTGTCAACTAATATTCCAGGTGTTGTGCAATCCAACTGTGGCGTCCGCGCCATTAACTGGACCGCCAGATGCTACTATGTTCTCCCGTCTGTGGACTCCATTGACCCTACTGCCCTCACGTTGGCCTTCCTGTGAGCCCACGGCCACCTTGTTCTTGACGTTGTCCGCACGGAGCGACTCCAATTGGTGCAAATACGCCTCACTGACACCACCGGTGACGTACTCTCCTGTGAATACGGAACAATCGAACGTTGCAATAGATGGGTTGAACTGCCGCACGGATGCGATGAGATCGGGAAGAGTCTGGAATATGACAAGGTCTGCGCCAATGGCCTCGGCTATCTCTTCGGTGTTGCGCCCGTATGCAACGAGCTCTTGCCTTGAAGGCATATCGATGCCATATACATTCGAGTGCCTAAAGCGTTGTCAGTCTCATCTGGCAAAGTTTATTGGCATGTAGGGGTTACCGTATAGGCGGGGCGCAGCTCGCAACGATGACCTTCTTGGCGCCGACATCCTTTGCCATCTGGATAATCTCTTCTGAGGTGGTCCCGCGAACGATGGAATCTAGGACGTGTCACGAGATGATTGGATCCAGCTGTTTTACATCTTACCATCAACAAGGAGAACGTTCTTCCCAGAAAACTCCAGGGCCATGGCATTCAATTTCCTCCTGACATTCCTTCGTCTGTGGAAAGTCTTGGCATCACTCATGTTTATGGTAACCAATATGTATTACCTCATTTGTTGACCTGGCATAATGAATGTTCTGCCAACATAGCGGTTCTTGATGAAGCCCTCTCTGTAGGGCAAGTTGAGCTTCTGTGCAAGATTCAAAGCTGCAACGCGAGACGTATCAGGAACCTGCGAAACATCTCAGAACAAACAACCGTAAACGGCGGAAACCACGAACTGGGATGACGACATCCACTGTGATGCCACGTTCCTTCAAAACCTTGTCAACTTCAACGGCAAGCGCGTCGCCCATAGCCATTCGGCTGCGGTAAACGCTGATGCCGTCAAGCACGGAATCAGGGCGAGCGAAGTAGACAAATTCAAAAATATCTGGTGCAAAGATCGCATGAGCTGCAACTTGTTTCCTGGAAACCCCTGACCGAGTGATGATCACTGCTTCACCTATCACCAACACGAATCATCAGTAGATGCAGCTGATGGTGGGAACAAAGACTGACCGGGCTTCACATCTTCCCATTCGGTAAAGCCCAAAGCATCAGCGACAATGCTCTCGCTTGCAAAGAGGTAGTCTCTTCCGGTGTTGGTCCTTCTGGAAGCCATCCCGACTGGCCTGATGCCATTTGGATCTCTGAATGCAATGATCCCGAAGCCAGCAAGCATTGCAACACACGCATATGCTCCTGTGCACTGCCGCATAAGACCTCCTATGGCAGTGAAAATGTCATCTTCGTTGATACGAAATTTGCCTGTCTTCTGGAGATTGTTGGCGAAAAGGTTGAGAAGAAGTTCGGAATCAGACGAAGTGTTTATATGTCTATGTGCGGTGGCATCCATGTATTGCAAGAGCGAAGGACTGTCTATGAGGTTTCCGTTCTAAGCACCACCTTCAGTCGACTCTCAGAGAGAAGTCTCGAAGACAGACTCACATGGGCAAATACGATACCATATGGTGAATTAACGTAGAATGGCTGTGCTTCGGCGTGGTCCGAGCTACCGGCAGTTGGATAACGGACTACAAAGTATTATGATAATTGTTGGCAGGTTACTGCAAAGGCTTACCATGGCCAACACCCATACCTCCGATCAATTTTGCGATGGCCTTTTCATCAAAGACATCCCGGACCATGCCATTGGCTTTGCATTGAAAGAATCGACCCTTGGGTCCACAGGTTACAATGCCACATGCATCCTGTCCTCTGTGCTGCAGCAAGGAGAGACCTTCAGAAATCTCTGGTGCTGCATCTACAGATGCGTCATGGAGCAGTAATCCTAGAATACCACACACTAAATCGGAGACCTGTCAGGGGGTCTAGCACTTAGATTCAGCACGATCAAGAAAGAAACTCACTCAGATGGAATGAAATGGCAGGAAGGCGGCAGGCCTGGAGATTGCAGTTTGAAGTGACTCATCGCGATAGAAGTTGAAAAGCAGGAAAGGAAAGATTGTTCGCTGCGAAACGGCCCGGCGCACGTGCGACCCAGTGGTCATTGCATCTGAAGCTCTCCATGTCCGACCAAGCTATTGCTGCAACGCTCATGTGGCACATATGGTGTCTTCTTATTCTGTCCAGCGTAGTGTTGAACCCATCCGACGATTCAGTCCACCGCATGTCTTGGTCGCTCGCCATTTTCCGAATTTTATGCGCAGCCAGCCGCATCGTTGGATCCAATCTCATGAAAGAGGGAACAACTGTTTGAAAGTTATTTACAAACTAATATGCCTACTTACGACATTTATAACTCAAAAGCATCCCACCGGACCCATCTCCTATAATTAAGAAGACTTTGTGAACCCTGCGAAATAAAGCTATCAACCGACCGTTGTGCGACACGTCTCACCATGGTTATCTCCTTCTGGCACGCCGAGGACAATCCGTGGTGAGTCGTGCATTTATCCTATTTTTCTCACCGACACGTCGCTCCACTGAGGTGGCTTTGCATTGACCGGTGTTGCGCACGCAAAGTCTGACGAGCCGGTAGACCTTTTACTGAATTTTCACCTTGACGCTTTCACGTGGTGACTTGCCTACCGGCGGCAGCAAGATCACTGTCAAGCCTGTCAGGGCATCAGATTAACCTTGCAATATTTTGTGTGATGTTTAGCTGCATGATTTTGGAGGCGATCTCGACGTAGTGAAGACACTCAAATCCAGTTCTGATTTGATCGCACTATACCTAACCCGCCCCAATCATTGAAACGGCTGTGTGGAGGTCTTAAAGCCGCTTCGGCGAGTTGCGACATTCGCCAGCAAGTTGAGACGTCAAAATCAACCCAGAGGGTCACTCAGGATCACTCAGGATCAGCGCGTGAATGATTCGCCGCCTTCTTCAATTCAAAGATTTGACAGATATTAACCCCTGGGGTCTTGATGCAACTTCATGATTCATAATAGATAACCGGAGGCTGGAGCAGTGCAGAATTTGGAGGGACTTGGCATGATGGTGATGGCGATGGCGATGCGATGCGATGGTGAAGATGCTTTTCCAGGTATTTCGTTGATGTGCGACAACTAGAGCTGCGTTCTGGAGACAATCACTTGGTAGGTCATGATATGGTAAAATTATTTAATGCCGTGTGAGGCCGCGTGTGCTCAAGGTACGCTTGCTTCCACAGTACTCAAGTATTAGGGTTCTATGGGAGGGTGGTGGTTGCAACAGGCACGGATGCCTTCATGTCGTTGACCTCATGTCAATACGGTAGCTAAAGCGCAAAAGAATAATCCAGTCATTCCTGTTGTTCCTATGCATACATACTAGGAGTGGTGTGTGTGGGTAAGTGGTAGTAAGTGTTACAAAACAAGAATACAGTATGATGCATAGCCAATATGAGTTAAACGTCAAAAGGTCCATACCATTCGATATTACCACACTATTCATGTCTGTCATATCAGGGAAGTGTAAATCTGAAAATATTACGCCATTTTTACTTCTGTCCAACCACCAACCACAGGAAGCTCGGCAACACCAAAGACGACGTTTGGGACGCCTTCCTCGTCACTGGCCCTCCCTGCCGTTACGCCCAGGTTCGGATATTTGCCGTCAATTAGTTGCGACTTGGCCGGATATTCCGATGAATGCTTAAAGCGCATCGGGGAATCTGGGTGAGGCATTGTGATCAGCACGCACACGGAGACGGTGTCATCTGGTGAGGTACAGTCTCGGATGATCGTGGCTGGATGTGAGTCGGGGGATACAGAGTGTCGCTTGAAACGCGCAAGGAATGAGGGTCGCTGTTGTTGTGGAGCTTCATGAGGTAATCGGGACTCCGCAGCAGGTTCGACCCTGTGTGTTAGAAGAGCAGTGACAGGCTATTTGAATGAAAGTATCAGTCAAGCCCTGCAAATGAATTAAATGGCTCGAAACCAACCATGATGGCATGCCACTGGGCTTTCTCCTGTAGGAGATCCTGTTCAACCCAGGCTTCATGGACGCTGGGTTTCTCTCCAATGAACCTTGAAGTAAGACCGAGCGCCGAGGGTGGTAGGTCAAAAAAGGCTCCTTGTGCGAGAGCGTCTTCGACACGGCGACGAAAGCGCCTGCGGACGAGGAAGGAACGGAATATGATAGAGGCTGATATGAGAAGGAGAACGAAAAGGGTAGCTAAGAATGTGAAGCTTGTTGTAGAATTCATTGTGGGAGGAGCCGTACGTTGGATCAAGAATAATTATGACAATAAGAAGATCAAAAAAGAGGATCACGAGGAAGAAAACGTTGTGGGATTGCAAGATGAAACGTTGAATAAGCAGTGCATGGGATGATGAAGCCTGTGTTAGCCAAATAATCATGATGCTGGGATCAGGCAACCTACAGATATAGCGTGGTTGATGTAGATGGCTGTTGGTTACCTCCAGCCCCGGAGGTTTGACTCGTCGTCGGCTGATCACCTGGGGTAGCAAATGTAGGCGTCGATGGCAGCGACAATGAAGAAGACATTAATATTAAGCGAGCTCGTCGGATGGAACGTCGGCAAGGGTTCGTTACCGTTACGGCCACTTTACGAATTACCGTGGGAGGACCCTTGGCACCAGAATCTTGGGATCAGATTTTGCTGACATAATGAGTAGTTGATGGAACTGCCTCCCTTGCGAATAAAATAGCTGTAAGCTGGGACATGTAGATCTAGCGCTCATCGCCTTTCCTCCTTTACTCCTTCCACAATGTCGTCGAACTCGACAGACCCTAGTCTCCCTGCTTCCTTGGACCTTCCCCCTCATCTATCTGCACAAAAGTACTTCTTCGTCTGCACACTCACCGTCTTGGCCTGGGACGCTCTCGTTCTCACTCCCAGGTCCTACAAGCTGGGCCGTCTGCCAAAATGGCCCGCTTTGAAGTTCATGTATTACTTTATGCAATTTTGGGTCCTAGCAGATTTTGTTGTCACAGGTGCATTTCCTTCTCCAACTCGTCTTATCGCACGATATCGGGCGTTAACATGAAACGTCCCTTTGCATTACAGGTGTAATGTTCTTTAGCACAACAGTCATACAAGACACAGACTGCGTCGGCTTCTGGCCTTACGAGCCAATTTGTACAGCAATTCTCCTTGCTGTTGCATCTGCTGTCCATGTTATGCGCATATCGGCTATCTATGACCACGTCCAAAATGTTCGCGCAACCATGTGGGGATTGTACGCCGTGCAGATTGTCGTTACAGCCATTTGCTGCGGCTTCTATCGCTCTGTTCATCTTAGAGATGGCCAGGGATGCATCGCTGGTCCCTTGAATAACGCAAGCTGGGTTGGAATTTACTGGCTAGCTCCAACCTTGCTGTACGGTACCAGCTTCGTCCTCGCTGCTCTGCGCAGCATTAAAACCCTCGAAACCAAGCCTGTATCTTACTGGCGTCTCATGCTTCGTGACGGCTTGAACCTGTACGGTGCTATTCTCCTTGTAAACCTCGTCAACGTCCTCTTCTACTTCATCATGACGCCCACGGGTCCAACCGACCCCATCAAGACAATTGTCACTAGCATGGCTGCTGTGCTTACGACAACTATGTCTATGCGCATCATCCTCTCCGTGCGTGGGGACCTAGCCAACGGAGGCTCGTTCTCAGTCTCTTCCCACGCCGCCTCCTCATCAGGAGCCAACACTCACTCGCTCTCCGGCTCAGGGAATAGACCAAGGGGTGTCAACCACACTTTCACCCTCGGCGATATGCGGGACGCCACCGTGGCTGTGGCCGGCCGTAAAGAGGGCGGAGAGTGGGACGCTGATAAAAGCAGTGTCACCCCTCGCGAGGAAACCAAAGCCGTACTTCCAATTGTTGGAGAGGACATTGATAGTGGTATTCCCCGTGCGCGCACGGGGTTGGGTGTGCAGATCACAGTTGATCAGCAAGTCGAGTATGATGATGGATTTCCCACGAGGAAGTAATTTTCGGGATCTGATGGCGCAGGCGCGCTCGCTCAGTGAGGCGATACGATATATTTCTGGGACTTGTGATCCCTTGTCTTTGACGTTGACATGTTATTTCCCGCACCCGTATTTTTTTGTTTCCGCTCGTATTTATACCGTTTGTTTACTCACAGTATTCCCTACGTACCCCACGTTACTACAAAGAATTCCATGGATACATTGTATACCATTTGTACTGTTTGAATACTAAAACTAAAAGTTAGCGCTCAGCCATTGTCACCCTGCCACAATCCATCTGGCCCTGCTGGTCGCCTGTGCGCACCGGTCCATATGATATCACTTGGCCTTCATAGCATGAACAGCACTTTGAGAAAGATTTCAAAAATACGTAAACATCCGCTTATCGGACACGCCAAGATTTAGAACTCAATCTTTCTGTGGATACACCGCTGGTGATGGGGACCATTTTGTAGTTAGCATCGTTCCCAGACCTTAGTTATGTGGATCGGGTCGTAGGAGGCTATATATATGGTCGCTATTTGAGCTGCAGTGCGCGGACCCCGAGATAAGAATCATAAGATGCCGATGCCATCCTGTGGGCCCACCCACATACTTAGGATAGGTGTTCATGGCATACGGTCGACTTTGGGCTTCTGGGAGAAGTTTGATAATTGCTTTATTAAACCTTCGCGTCTGTGTTCGGTGCTAAAATGAGTTGTGATATGAGATATAATTTTGATCTTAAAACTCGGGAGAAAGGGAGTTCGCGCGATGTGCCGGGTCAGCGATTAACCACTTCAGATCATGGATTTGGATGTGTTCGAGGTCCTATCTTGCATCTCCACGGCCTGGTGTGACCGGGCGCACGATTGCCTATTTAACAACAAAGAGGCTGCAGCGCCCGCGGCATGAGGATGTTATCACAAATGTGATAGAGCTACTAGCCTACACGGTAAAGTGCGATTCCGCCGAGGTCGACTAGGGGCGCACCAAGAAATAGTTGTACGTACTGATACCTCTCCATGTCATACTACAATTCGAAAATTTACCAAGCAGTCCAAGTGATTGGCCGATCCTACTTATCTCGCAGTATGTGGAGACGATGATCCATGCTTCCATCACACTGAGGGGAGAGAATTCATCTGCATCGTCACCTCCATGGGCCGCTGTGGCTAAAGCGTGTGATCAGTCCTATTCCATTGACAGTAGCGCAACCACTAACCATGACAGCCTGAACAGGTCGAGTGATATGCATTACTTCACCATCGGGATGTTCAAACATGCTCTTCCGAGATGCCCGGAGTTCACGGGTCTGCGATGCATTAACGTGCAGCTTCGGGTGGTAGACGCCGTGGCGGAATCCAGATTTGTCTGCATTGGGCTGCACGTAGTACTGCACGTTCAGGAGTGCGAGATACGAATTGACATACACTGAAACGGGAGTCAGCATGATCCTCGAAAAATTCTTTGGCCATACGTTTCAGCAGCAAAAATTCGACAGCTTCAAATATGTAGTTCTTCGGCATTACTGCGCACTGCAGACGTTTAGAGGGACGATGGTCAGAACATGAGGTATGAGCTCACTGTAATGATAGCTATCATTGAACACATGCTGCACAAAATATGAGTCAGTGTATGGGGGTAGGCTGGAAGGAATACCTCGTCAAACAACCTGTATCAATGACATAATTCATGAGCTTTGTTATGAATAAGTCCGTCCTGAGTACTGTAATGTTAGTGTCTCAAACCCAGCGGTGTACAACCTGCATCTTACCTCGAGAATCCAGTACGGGACGTAGCGAGGAGATAACATAGCGATGATGCGATATAGATATCGACGAAGGCGACAGTGCCCAAATACATGTATAATGCCCACTGGATTCGAACCAAATCGCTGATGCTATGGACAAACTGGTACCTGCTCGCTATCAGCACTTTGAGCAGTTGGGGAGTCCGCTATCTCACTTACATGCACCAAATAACGGCTTTTATCATGTTAAAATGATGAACCCATAACAACGATGAACTCACCGGTGGCTGGACCTGAAGGAAGTTTCAAAGATCGTGCGAAGAGAATTTCCAGGTGACAAAACTCACCCGAAGTTAGGACGATGGCGATGCCCTAGTAGGGGATTAACAGAATGGAACATTAAGGCTAGAACATGAACGTCGATGACAAACCTACCACCGTGATAGGTAGAGCCCTTGATCGGCCCTTGCTAACTATGTTCAACGCATAAGTTGTGGTAAATCTGTTCACAGGGGGGGAAATACCTGTCCATATGCGATGGAGATATAGTCTACCGACCAAGAAAGCTTTGAGTGAATTGTTGCATAAAACACTGTACGTCGAACTTACAGATGTTCCACAAAGATGCTAGAAACCTATGGAGTGCGTGTCTGAGGCAGATCACAGGGCTTAGGAAATAGAACAACTTACGGCGACTACCGACTGAAGCTGCACAAGTACATCAATATGATAGTAGAGGCTAAACGGTGAGCCAATGTAGCAACTCACTTTGCCACTCCATACAATTTCTGTGAGTGCAACAACGTTCCCGTAGTTGATCACTAAATAAAAATAGATGCAATGGACGATCAGGACCAAATGCAGAGCGTCAAGTATCCTAAATTTTTAGGATATGATGTAATCTCGACCTGCTCGATGATTAAAGTTGGAAGAGATGCCTACCAAAGCCATATGACCTAGAATAGCTCCAGTAACAGAACTAACAAGAAGACGACATAAACGTACGACTAGCTTATAGAATGTTATCCCTGTGCCACTATGCGTCCGAAAGTAGATGAATGCTTGAATATTGGTTACACCAAAGAGACTGTTCCATGAGACATATTAGGACAACAAGAAACATTCAACTTTTAAAGGAATAGTTTACTTACACTGCTGCAATGATAACTCCGATGAGAATTGCCCCAAATGTGTTAGCGAGGTGAAGATGTGGAGTGAGATCTTGCGTTGAGGAAGCCATTGGTGCTGCTGACAAGATCAATTCCATCAGGGTTCCACCATATTATATATCCCGAAACCACGGATAATAAGCTTAGCTTAGCATCTATTCTGTGACAATGGATGATGGGTTTGGGGGCTGGTGCTGATGCTGGGAGCACATCTTCAGCGATGAGGATGAAACCGCGTGGCGGTGTTTCAAGGTTGATATCAGGATTCAGGAGTGTATCATATGTTTGATAACGCGCTGTCATCCAAGGAATTGCTTGAGTAGTAGATGCAGGGGGCTACCATGTGTGCAGCATTGGCGTTAGGCCATCAAACTTCAAAGAGATCGAATTGAACAGGATAAAGTTCTTCAAGTTTTCATGAATGATCCTTGACCGGCAAATATCTGAGTGGTTTCCATCATCATGCTGACCATCGATGTAAACGAATTTGAAGGCCAACCACTGGTGCGCACAGATTGGTGAAGCAACACAGTGGTAGCGAAGAGCAAAATAGAGCAGACTCTGAATATTGTGAATTCTCAATTGAGCGCCGTGATTCACTTTCCCACGGTGCATCCAGTCCTGCAGAAAGCTGTTAGATGAAGATGTCGATAATGATGGGGATGATGCAGCGACCAAATGATCCTTCTGCTTCCCTGATCTAGACGAGCAGATAAGACAAGCCATTAAGGAATATCTTCCCCAAGCCGAAACCCGTTCCATCAATATCAATTCCTGTTCACATTTGGTTCACATCCAAGACGTATCATGATTCATGGGTATTACCACCTTGCCCCTTGATCAAATGCACATCTCCGTCAGGTCCACTTCGACTCGCAATCATCACCACTTGGCCTTACACTAAAAGGTAAGAGTACAAAAGAATTAGATGCAAAGGTGGAATAGTTGTACCATGCCGCCGCATTAATGACCATCAGCGTGTGGGGGAGATGCACAGCAAAGAAAAAGCATGAAGCGAGTCCGCAATGGAAGGGGCCGTGACTATGCGGTTGCTGCATTTGGTGTGGCAGTACTAGCAGCAGGAGCAGGAGGTGTCGCGGATGTCGAGGCAGCGGCAGGCTGAGATGATGCCTGGGACTGGGCTGGGCCTTGCGATTGGCCTTGCTGTTACCGCTGTGTTTGTGTCGCTTGTCGGGGAGGGGTAGGGGGAAAGCATGAGATGAGCTAACAATCGGAGGAGTTGTGACTCTGCAGTTGTTGCACCTGGTGTGGTAGTACTTATACCAGCAGGTCGAGTGTGTAAATGTTCTCGTTTCAGCTGCGGAGCAACAGCCAACGGCGGGAAAGAAATCGTTGAACACGGCGATGGGTAACGCATGCCAAGGGGATGACGCACCTTTATGTCCAGTACTGCGGAACGTTCGACGATACTAGAACAACAAGAGAAGATGGACTGCCTTGGCAGTTGCTGGAGTTCGGTTACTCCATCGGTATTGGACTGAGCGCAGCGAAAGAGCGATGAAAAGCGACGGAGGAGCGCACGTGGATTCGCAAAAGAGGGTGTGAGAGTGTGGCGGAGCTGGCGTACGTCGATAAACGACTTCCTACATGGGACCTGCGAGTAAGAGATCAGCGTAGCTATTACCGAGGGACCATGATATTTACATTAGGGATAGGCAGGAGGAGGTCCTCAAGGCCAGCTTCTTTGAGCATAGCGTGAACGTCCCAACTGTACACATTTTTGTCCTCGTCGCCAGTGACTAGCACTTGTCCATCTGCGGAAAAGGCTGCACATTTCACCTCATCTTCGTGCTGGAGAAGTGGACAAACTGGGAGGTTGGTGTCGAGGTTCCAGAGACGCGCTGTTTTATCGGTTGATACGCTTACAAGGAGGCGGTCGTTCCGAGACAAGGAGATGGCGTTGACCCAAGTGTGACCATCAAGAATAGCGATCTGCTGCCAAGTGGCAGTGTCGAATATCCTAATTGGGCCATATGTTGCGGAGATAAGCTTCTTTCCATCTGACGTCCATGCCAAACTCAAAACTATGATATCGTGTTTGAGTGTGGCGAGCAGCTTGCTTGTCTTCGCATCCCAGATTTTCGCTGCATTCTCGTCGCGTCCGCACGTCGCGATTTTAGTTGACTTGGGCGAGTACACTACCGTGCACACGTTCTTGTGCCCCGTTTTGATCGTCAAGACAGGTTTGCCGCTCTTGACATTCCAGACTCTTGCCGTCCCATCCCAGGATCCGCTCGCTACTCGCTTACTGTCTGCACTCCAGCACAATGCACACACAAGATAGGCGTGTCCTGTCCATTTGGCGATGACCTTCTTCGTCTTGATGTTCCATAACATTACTTTCCCATTGTCGCTTCCGCTTGCAACTGTCTTGCCGTTTGGAGACAGTGCCATGGACCACACTCCTGCCCTATCCTCATCTCGCCAGTCCTCGCCTATCTGTGCACCGCTCTCTAGGTCCCATTGTCGGAGTGAGCCGTCCACCGAACATGTGATGATGCACCGTCCGTCAGGCAGGTGCAAAACACCTTCTACCTGCCTAGTATGACCTCGTATCATCTTGCATGGCGTGGGCGCCGGCGTCTGTCGCTTCTTATTGGTCTTGAACGACATGGGGGTTCCAAGTACCGCAGATAGTAGTGGACTATCTATTTCAATTTGAGAGAAGTCTGCCGGGCTATGAATTAGAACGAGTTGTTTGGCAACGGGAATTGCTGGTCAGTTGATGTGCCTTCTTTCACGTCAGCTCTTCTTAATAGAAGCCAAGGTATTGTTCACAGGACAGCCTACTTACAGGATTCAAACCTGTCCCGCAGGACGGCTTCAGGTCTGATGCAGGAGTTGCTCCGCCGTTGTTCGAGAATACGTAAGAGATCCTTGCGGGTGGCTGGTAAGCAAGTGGTCAGCTTATGTTACGTTGCAGAACAACCTAGAGTATCACTCACGAGAAGCACTGTTCAGACAAACCGAGTGCTCAATTATCAACGATCAGTGTGCGTTGGGATCGGGGTCGAAGAAGTCGGGCGCCTGTTCGTTCAAGTCGTCTTTTAAGGTGCGTCCCATGACTGACGCTATGTCCGTCTTCCGATGCTGTATTCTGAACCTGCCGCGCTAATAATATTTGTTCTGATGCAGACCCTTCCTCGTCACTGATAGGGTCCGTGCTGAATGGAACCACCGAGCAACCAATCGAATGCTTTGAAATTCAGGAGGTACTATTCTTATCAGCCATCTGATACTCATGACCAGCGCAACAGCGCCCGCCATGCAATATTAATAGGCTATACTGTTTTTATCCTGTGTTCAGAGTTCTCGAACAATTAAATTGCTCTGAACCCAGTTATCACGAGCCGGAATACATCGTCTGATGGACGGACTAGCGACCTCATGAATCAATTTTCATATCAAGCAAAATCTACGTACCATTACGTACCATCTTTGTCGTGAGTGGCAGCGAATTTAATGAAGACAAGCGATTGCGAAAATTTCCATCGTGAATGCAGATGTGTGGCAACTTCGAACCCTTTGCACTTGTCTTGGAGGAGACTGCAAGACAAGTACACAGGGTTCTTCAGCAATATGATAGAGATTGTTGCAATCCTAAGAAGTAGAATGGAATAGCTCCTGAGGCCTAAGTACTCGATGAATCTTGCAGGACCTGGCAGGGCATGCCCTACATAAGGCAGTCACACTAGAAACAAGGACAGAGGCTTTGAACTCGTCATGATCACGCACCAGGGATTAGACCGATGAAGCAGGGCCAGCTGAGCAAGCTTACGAACACGCAACGTGCTGACTAGGCTGTGGAATGGGCCGTAGAGACCCCGGATGGATAGTCCCACACCCTCGGAATCTCCAGTCCACAGAAAAAGTTATAATAAGTAGGTGGCACGTTTGAGGGTGAAAACTGGTCGATCGATCCGTAATCATGTTCACAACAGAACGCCTACTCTTGCGTGGATTTATAGACAAAGACTTAGACAATCTTCTCGCGCTCCGAAACGACGCTCGTGTTATGCGAGAGGTGACTGCAGAATCCCTCACTCCGCAACCAACGAAATACAAAGAGTCCCTCAAAACTCTCGCAGAAAATTCGACCATCTGGTTCACCATCATCCTGAGGGAAACGAATGAATTTGTGGGGCAATGCAGTATCAAGGTGGCAGAGCCTGTAAAGAACCGGGATGGATTGTTCGGGATATCGATGTTTCCAAAGTTTTGGGGAAAGGGATGTGTGACGGAGGCGGCGTGGTTTACTGTAGACCACGCGTTTAAAGCGCTGGGTGTCCAACGCGTCTCTTTGAATGTATCGGAGGGAAACAAAGCTGCCATAGCAGTTTACAAGAACATGCGGGGCAATCCACGCAATATTTGCTCCAGGATAAAAACTAATGACTTGAGGCAGCGGATTCAAGGAAGAGGGTAGGAAGCGACGAGCAAATTGGATCGATGGACATTGGGAAGATGGTTTAAGCACGGGTGTTTTAGACGAAGAGTGGGCTGAGAGGTATTGGAATCAATGAATGAATGTGACGTATGGCGTCAACTGTCTGCCAGTAGGCGTACTTACATAACTTGAAGGTCATGGCAGGCTGATAGACAAGTGCGGAGCTCGTTCCACGCCATAGTTCAGAACTCGTTTATCTCATGAGTTACATACATTTGTGTTGATTCTAAGCTAGTAGTGATATATTCGTTAACCTTTAGTGGACAAGATTCCTCTCGTTCCCCGCAACGTTGACTGTGAAGTTTGATAAGCGCTCCCAATCTCGGGAGAAGACGAATAAACATACCATACGCATGCCCACCCATCATACTGATGAGAAAGAATTCATCTCCATCGTCGTCATAATCGGCCGCTGTAGCAGAAGCGTGTCATTTGGTCCTCAATGACACAACAACTAGCACTAACCGTGACAGATCGAGAAGGACGTACCCCTTCCTCGTCAGGATGTTTGAATATGTCCCTCCGGGACGCCTGGAGCTCCTCGTCTTGCGACGCCATAACGTGCAGCTCTGGGCGGTAGACGTTATTGAATTGGTAAGAATTGCTAGTGTCTGCATTGGCCTGCACGTAGTATCGTGCGTTCAGGAGTGCGAGGTACGAATTGACGTATACTTGAAAACAAGACCACCGGTCAGCGTAATTCCAGGAGAAGGATTTGGTCTCACGTTTAGCCACTAAGAATTCAATACCGAGGAAGATGAAGTTGTTCGGCATCACTGCGCACTGTAGACCATCAGAGAAGAGACGGACAATGCAATCACCGGAAGCTTACTGTAATCATCACTGCCATTGAACATATGCTGCGTGGAATTTGAGCCAAGATACTGGATAGTCTGGAAGAAGGAATACCTCGTCAGGATACCGGTATTAATAATGTAAGCCATGAGCTTTGTGATCAAGGAATCAGTGCTAAGTATTCTGTGTTAGTAGATCAGACCCAGACAATGAATGGGTCGCTCCTTACCTAGCGAATCCTGTACGAGAAGTAGCGAGGAGGTAGCATAGCGATGATGCGATGACGATGTCGGCAACAGTAATCGTGCCCAAAGTCACGTATGTCGACCACTCGATTTTTATCAAATCCGAGAACAATTGGCACTGATATCTACTCCCTTTCAGCACTTTTGAGTGGCTAAGGAGTATACAATTTCACTCACATGGCCCAAATAAGGGCTGGCATCGGGTTTAAATGATGAGCGAGCAAACAAGAGAGCCATTTGAGCAATTACCGATGGCGACACCTGGAGGAATCTTCAAAATTGAACAAAGTGCATTTCCAGGTAACGGACTTACCTAAACCTAAGATTACGATCGCGCCCTATGACGAATCAACGGAATGAAATGCTGTAGAACATGTATATCAATTGTAAACCTACTGCTGCGATGGGGAAGATTCTTGATCGGCCTTTGCTGACTAGGTACAATATTGGCATCAGTCATAGAAATCCATTGATAGGAAACATACCTATCCATATGCGATAAACGTACAGGCTATGGTGCAAAAAAGGTATTATTCAGATGTTGCACATCACATTCTGCCCATCAAACTTACAGATGTACCTCATATATGATCAAAACCTGTGAAGTGCGTGACTGAGACGTGTCACAGAGCTTTGCAAGCACAACTCACGTCAATTACTATCTGAAGCTGCACAAGCCCATCAATCTTAAAGGAGGGGCTGCCCAGAGAACAGTAAGAACTCACTTTAAAACTCCATATGATATGCGTGAGCGCACTGATATTTGCATAGTTGATCACTAGATAATAATAGACGCAGTGGATGACCAAGGCGAGGTGTAGAGCATCAAGTATCCTAAGATTTTGTAGTCTCGACACTGTCGATAATGACAACAAGGAATACATACCACAGCCAGATGACCTGACATGGGCATCAAGAATAGAACTGACAAGAAAGCAGTATAGACGTACAAATAGCTTATAGAATGTTGTCCCTGTGCCCCTATGCGTCTGAAAGTAGATGAAAACTTGAACGTTACTTAGACCAAAGAGCCTGTTCCGCAGAATGAGTCAGGATGAGACGAAACGCACGATTTTCACTGCATGATGAGCAAAATGTTTACGAACACAGCTGCAATGGTGGCCCCAATAAAAAGTGCCCCGAACGTCCTCCCGATGTCTAGTTGGGCGATGAGGTCTTGCGTTGAGGAAGACATTGTTGACTGAAACAATTCTGATTGCAATGGAGGAATCGACGAGGTTTTCACAAAGTATGAGGCTAGCAATGCCGCCGACCTGTGATGTGTGCTTTGACTACGACTCCTTCCGGCGCTGATAGCTGGGGACGCACTGCCTGCCGCATGGTTGAAGCACAGCCTACAGGGGAGATTGAAAAAGTGTTCGACTCATTGCCTACTAGGTTCGGGGCATGATGCCCGAGGGTTGCCAAAAGGATTATTGGATTAGGTCATATTGTAAGTGAGGGTGCAAATTAGGCGACGAACAGCTTGTAACATTTTGCGCGTTGTAACATCCCGTGCCATTTGAACTCGTTCATCGTCACGGTTCAAACGTTCATAGAGGAACGAAGAACGGTTTTAAAACACGGACGCCAACGACTTACTCGTCATTCTAGATACAGGACATTATTTTGGCAACTGGCATGTGGCGGCAGGTCCGACACTGTCCGACATCGCATTGGAAAATGAAGGGGAGTGATTGATTCAACCCTGTGTTCGAGGAGCTGATTGATCGTCATGGTGGTGATAGGTCGTAATACCTGTACGCGTAACACCAGTGATGACCCGGGACATCCGAAGTCACTGGATACTAGATGATAACACATTCGCGAGCGTATTCAAGGCTGTGCATGTTTTCAGTTGACACGATTGAATGATAGCTGACCTCGAGTCACGGGTCGAAGAAATCATGAGACGTATACTGCTGGTCTCACTTGGAATGGCAAGGCCACTAGCCTGAGTGGCAACCGCATAAGTGCATGTGCGAGGCTCGATCATTCCAAGTTGATCCCAAGCGCATGTAAATTCATGTATGTTGCACGACTTGTTGTTCCTTGTAGTTAGGTACTAGTCGTGACATTTGAAACCCACAAATGCGGGTATGATAGACTGAATTTCTCTCTCCCCTACAGCTCAGCTGTGTGGTGATTCAGTAAGGCTCGCAAGTCCTATATCGCGAAGAAACTGCCAGACGATAATCCATGCGTACTAGTAATCTATCACACTGACGAGAAGGAATCCATTTGTATGGTCACCTCAATGGGCCGCTTTGACTAAAGTGTGATATTCAGTCCTCTTCCATCGCAGGTAAAACAGCTACTAACCATGACAGATCGAGTAGGATACACCATTTCATGGTCGGGAAATTTACATACGTCCTTCTGGGATGCCTGGGGCCTCTCGTCTTGCGACGCCCTGTCCAGCTCCGGGTGGTAAACCTCGTGGCGGTTATTGAACTGGTAAGAATTGCTAGTATCTGTGGTGGGCTGCAAGTAGTGCCGTGCGTTCAGGAGTGCGAAGCACGAATTGACGTATACTTGAAACAAGTCCATTAGTTAGCACAATTCCAGGAGAAGATTTTGGTCATACATTTAGCCAATAAAAATTCAACACCAAGGAAAATGAAGTTCTTCGGCATTGCTGCGCACTGCAGATCCTTAGAGAAGAGACAGACAATATAACCACCGGAAGCTTACTGTAATTATAGCTGCCATTGAACATATGCTGCGTGAAATATGAGTCAATATGTGGGATTGTCGAGAAGGAGAATACCTCGTGAGACAGCCCGTATTAATAATGTAAGCCATGAGTTTTGTGATCAAGGAATCGGTGCTAAGTACTCTGTGTTAGTATATCAGATCCAGACAATGAATGGACCGTCTCTTACCTAGAGAATCCTGTACGGGCAGTAGCGAGAAGGTAGCATAGTGATGATGCGATAACGACATCGACAAAAGTAATCGCGCCCAAAGCCATATATGTCGCCCACTGAGTTTTAACTAAATCCTTGAACACACTGCACCGAAATCTACTCGTTATCAACAATTCGTTTAGTTAGATGTACGCTGTTTCACTCACACGGTCAAAATAAGGGCTGTCATTGGGTTAAAAAAAAAGATAACTGAGTAGTACATAGTTTGAACTCTCACCGATGGCAACACCTGGCAAAAAAACTCAAGACAGAGGAAGAGACATCACAAGTGACAGACTTACCTGAGCATAGGATTTCGATTATGCCCTAATATTGGATAACCGGAGTGAGAAGCCATGATACGTGATCATCGATTTTCAACCCACCACTATCATGGGGATAGCTCTTGATCGACCCTTGCTGACTAGCTCATTGTTCAGTCGTGGAATTTCACTGATAGGGAAACACACACTTATCCATATGCGATAAAGATACAGACTGCGAACCAATAAAAACATTAGTTCTTGAATACCCCCATTGTGTATGACAGATCACTTCAACTCACAGATGTACCGCATAGACGATTAAAACCTGCGGTGCATGTATGAGACAGATTGCGGTGCATAGGACACACAACTTACATCGACTACTATCTGGGCCTGCACGAGCCCATCAGTATCATAGCAGAGGCTTCACCAAAGTAAGGACTCACCTTGAAGCTCCATACAATTTCTGTGAGTGCATTGATGTTCCCGAAGTTGGTCACCAAATAATAATACATGCAATGGACTATCAAGGCCAGATGCAAAGCATCGAGTATCCTGAAAGTTCATAGAATGGCGTAATCTCGACACGTTCGACAATGACAACTAGAAAGGATTCATACCAAAGCCAGATGACCTAATGTAGCGTCAACGACTGGACCGACAGAAGAAAGCATGGACGTACGACCAACTTATAGAATGATAACCCTGTGCCGTTGTATGTCTGAAAGTAGATGAAAGCTTGAATGTTGCTGAGACCAAAGAGACTGTTCCGTAAAATATGTTAAGACGACAGGACTCGGTGAAGCGCTAAGCTTTGTGAGCATATAATTTACTGACACTGCTGCAATGTTGACCCCAATGAAAAGTGCCCCGAACGTTGTCCCGAGGTAAAGTTGCGGGGTGAGGTCCTGCGTTGAGGAAGACATGAATGTTGACCGAGGTCTGAGCCCATTCCACCAGCAAACCATTTAACCAATATGTTTGCGCCGTACTAATAGTATATCCCGCGGTCACAAAAGGACGCCAGCAAATGGCTACAATCTAGATCTGTTGTAATACATTTCTGCCGATATATAGGTGGGAGGATGTACGTACGTCATGAGACACATTAGCCTCACACAGTGCCAGAAGGAGGTTTCGTATTGGAACAACGAATGTACCATCGTGATTTTCCATTAGTTTATCAGGATCGCCCGTTCATACTCGCGGACTCCAGGAGACTCCGAGGCTATCAAAAAAAACTGGCAATAAGTAGATCAACACGGTGAGATCAACATATGGCAAATTGGGCAACCCACAAGGAAAAAAATTGAACTGCATTTTTTGCCGTATGCCCAATGGTACTTATTTACATAATGGCCTTCAACAAAATCACCAAAGGAGGTCAAGGCACATAGAGGCACGGGCGTAATTCGAGGGGTTTAGTCCATGACCGTCGCTGTGGTTGATCTCATGATGATGGTATTACAGATGAGTCTCGGAATCGAGGCGCGCCTCAAACACAACCAACAATGACCTGAATGATGAGAGAAAGACCAGCACAATGTTAGAAAGACAAGGAGGAGTCCAGCAGTCAACAAGCAAGCGTGCGCGCCACGCACGCAGCAGCGTGTTGTTCCTGGCCCGGCTCGGCTCAAAACCCGGGGCTAGGGGCTCAGCGCTCAAGCTTGCTCAGATGGTGGGCAAGGCCCTTCTCGACGGCTTGGCAGGCTCAGGCCACAGCTTCGCATACAAAAATACACGCTAGTGACCCTAGTAGTAACTTGTTCACATTAGCAACAAGAAATGTCTGCTACAAACTTGTGTTTGATGCCATCAGTCACGATATCCTGCAGTATCCCACTCCGACTCACCACCGTCAGAATGACAACCATGCAATCTTGGTGATCGAAAATGGCAGGGTGCGTCGAGGTTGATTCTTCAGTGGTACTCGAATGGGTGAGATTCGCCAGCGCGCCTTCCGCGTTCCCCGGTGGTGGGTCGGCGTGCGTCGGTTGAGTTCGAGCCTGGCCTTTAATTAAACGAATCGTAAAGTGCGTAAAGTTCGACGCCTCGAGAAATTTACAAAATTTACCCGCGTGAATTTTGTAACTTTTCCCGCGCCCCCCGTAAATTTCGTGTTTAGCACTTTATCATAGGCTGTAAATTTTTCCAGTATCCTGATTCCTGACATGGTTCCGAGCCATAGCATGCACCGCGCCGATGTTCAAGGTACCATGTCAATGTCATGGTAAATGTTTCGCGTTTCGGCCGCGAGACTCGCTGGCCAAGCCGAACCGAACCTAATTGGGGGCGGCCCACGTGCGAGGATTCCTGGCCTGGCTCAATGTATCTGAACCCCTGAGCCGGGCCCTTGAGCGTGGCTTTCAGTGGTAAGTAAAATAGGTGCAGGTAAGTACTTGTTACAGTGAACATTTGCAATAAGTGGATTGGTTCGGTTCGGCCTGGCCAACGAGTCTCGCGATCAAAACGCGAAAACATTTACCATGACAATGACATGGTACCTGGACTCGGAACGTCGGCGCAGTGCGTGGGCTCGGAACTATGTAGATGCTAACAACTTACATGCACAAATGAAATTGTGACTACATTAGTAATATCATTCAGCTGGACTGACATCGACTTGCCGTTCTGTATAGCAACGTACAGATGTACAACAGGAAATTTCAAGATGATCCTTCCCGGGGCTCAGGTAAATTGCCGCATCACTGCCGCAACTTGCCGCACCCTACCGCACCACTGTCGCACCCATACCAAATCATAAGTACTACACTTATTTTCGGCCTGCACTGTCCTCGTGCACCAAATAAATGAACTAGGAGTGTTTCTCGTCCGACTCCTTAATTATCCACTTCACACTAATGCATTTGAGAGTCTGAATTCAGAGAACAATTTTGAGCATGTTGCGGCACGGATGCGGTACTGGGTGCGGCAGACATGTCCCTGGTGCAGCTAAACGAATTATCAATTGGCTGAACTGTGCTACATATGCATATGCTTGCACTATCGTAGTTTCGAAGCGCAAGAAAAACTTACTCCAGGAGCCAGCCCAAAATATCCTCATTGAACGTCGCTCGTCAGGACCTGACGTGAACTCAGTTCCTACTCCCGAAGAGCAAGAAAACACGATGCTCCAGGCTGCCTGGCTTGACCTCCAACTCAGCTATGATCTGACCTCGATGGATATAGACATCGACTTGGAGTGTCTTGGCATACTGGAACAGCAGATGTTCGAGCTCTCGTTGGCTGCAGGAGCTGCAGGAAATGAACAATGGGAAAAAGACGCTGGTGCACACCAAGACCGATGGAATCCCTATGAGGGCCTCCCTGAGCACTGGAATCATGGCGACCGAGATTCATACGCACCAGAATTTGAAGGAGAAGTAGACGTGCGTCATCATCGCTTTTCATCGCGGATCAGTCTGACATGGTTCGACTAATAGTGTGGACCGAACTTTAGCGAGGGAAGTGAGCCTGACATAGTTAAGAAAGAGAAACGCACCAAAAAAACCAAACCGCGGCCACGACCAAGGAAGATACACAAGGCTTCATAGGCTGGGGCCTCGTAGTAGTAGTTTGTACTCTGAAATGAACGAGACTCAGTTTGCAAGGACAAAAGGCCACACAGATATGACATACATACCTTAAAGCCCCGGTATCCGTTTGCACAGGTTGCTGCAGAACGTGGTCGAGGAGATGTGTGACAGGGAAGTCAGGCAAGGCATGCAACCAGCAAAGACAGGTGTTGAATGATAGGCGGAGGCATCGAGGCGCCAAACCTGACAGGCGCGAGCCTGTGTGAGGGGTCGTTGAGTTGTCTCACCAAGTTTCGCGCAGCTGCTGGTAACGGTGCTGCAAGTGGAGTTGATAAGATGCGTGGTTTGGTGTCGGTGCAGTGGTGCGGTAGTGCACAGCCACTGCCGCACCCAACTACAGAATTGCCGCACCCGATTACAGAATTGCCGCACCCTACCGCATCACTGCCGCACCCATCAAGTACATATATCACTGTAGTACCACTGCTAGCCTTACACAAACACCTGGAATATAGTATTACTTATTCTTAAATCATATTTCAGACAGTTGCGTACGACGTAGACGCATTTTAGAGGCATATAAGACATTGTTGAGTAGGGTGCAGCAGGGTGCGGCACAGATGCGGCAATTTCCTAAGGCCCTCCTTCCCGGCCCCTCACTGATGCCATCAGACTATCATGAGTCATGACGAGACAAACCGATACATAACTGAATTTACAACACTGACGAGATCGTTATGCAAACACGTTATGGACCACGATGCATATTACTTATATGCAACCGGTCTAATGGACTGAATTTCTCTCGTCCCGACGGCTGTGTGATGATCAATACAGACTCACAGGCCTATCTCGCGAGTAAACGAATGTACGATAACCCATGCATACTGTTAATCCTCACACTGACAAGGAATCCATCTGTACAGTCACCTCAATGGGCCGCTGCGACTAAAGTGTGATGTTCAGTCCTCTTCCATCACCAGCAACGCAGCTACGAACCACGACAAATCGAGTAGGATGCGCCACTTCCGAGTCATCGTCGGGAAGTTTACAAACGTCCTGCCGGGATGCCTGGAGCTCCTCGTCTTGCGACGCCCCAGCGGGCAGCTCCGGGCGGTAGATGTTATCGAATTGGTAAGAATTGCCAGTGTCTGCGTTGGCTTGCACGTAGTGTCGTGCGTTCAGGAGCGCGAGGTACGAGTTAACATACACTTGAAACAAGTTCGATGGTTAGCATGATTCCAGGAGAAGGCTTTGGTCGTACGTTTGGCCAATAAAAACTCAACACCGAGGAAGACGAAGTTGTTCGGCATCACTGCGCACTGTAGACCGTCAGAGAAGAGACGGACAATGCAATCACCGGAAGCTTACTGTAATAATAGTTGCCATTGAACATATGCTGCATGAAATTTGAGTCAAGATATTGGATAGTTTGGAAGAAGGAATACCTTGTCAGGATACCTGTATTAATAATGTAAGCCATGAGCTTTGTGATCAAGGAATCGGTGCTAAGTACTCTGTGTTAGCATATCAGATCCAGACAATGGATGGACTGCTTCTTACCTAGAGGATCCTGTACGGGAAGTAGCGAGGAGGTAGCATAGTGACGATGCAATCACGATATCGACAAAAGTCGTCGTGCCCAAAGTCATGTATGTCGACCACTCCTTGTCGAGCAAATCCGAGAACAATCGGCACTGATATCTACTCCCTTTCAGCGCTTTTGAGTAGCTAGGGAGTATACAATTTCACTCACACGGCCCAAATAAGGGCTGGCATTGGGTCAAAATGATGAGCCAACAACAAGAGCACCATTTAAGCAATTACCTATGGCAACACCTGAAAGCTTCAAGATCAAGCGGATGGAGAATCCAGACGTGATAGATTTACCTGAGCCTAGCAATTCTATTACGGCCTAATATTGGAAAATCGGAATCAGATACTATGTGATCATTGATTTCAAACCCACCACTGTTATAGGGATAACTCTTGATCGGCCCTCGCTAACTAGGTACATCCATCAGTCGTAGAAATCCATTGATAGGGAAACACACACTTATCCATATGCGATAAAGATACAGACTGCGAACCAATAAAAACATTAGTTCTTGAATACCCCCATTGTGTATGACAGATCACTTCAACTCACAGATGTACCGCATAGACGATTAAAACCTGCGGTGCATGTATGAGACAGATTGCGGTGCATAGGACACACAACTTACATCGACTACTATCTGGGCCTGCACGAGCCCATCAGTATCATAGCAGAGGCTTCACCAAAGTAAGGACTCACCTTGAAGCTCCATACAATTTCTGTGAGTGCATTGATGTTCCCGAAGTTGGTCACCAAATAATAATACATGCAATGGACTATCAAGGCCAGATGCAAAGCATCGAGTATCCTGAAAGTTCATAGAATGGCGTAATCTCGACACGTTCGACAATGACAACTAGAAAGGATTCATACCAAAGCCAGATGACCTAATGTAGCGTCAACGACTGGACCGACAGAAGAAAGCATGGACGTACGACCAACTTATAGAATGAAATCCCTGTGCCCTTGTGCGTCTGAAAGTAGATGAAAGCTTGAATGTTGCTGAGACCAAAGAGACTGTCCCGTAAAATATGTTAGGACGACAGGACTCGGTGAAGCGCTAAGCTCTGTGAGAATATAATCTACTGACACTGCAGCAATGTTGACCCCAATAAAAAGTGCCCCGAACGTTGTCCAGAGGTGAAGTTGCGGGATGAGGTCCTGCGTTGAGGAAGACATGAATGTTGACCGAGGTTTGAGCCCGTTCCACCAGAAAACCATTTAACCAATATTTTTGCGCCGTACTAATAGTATATCCCGCAGCCCCAAGAGGACGCCAGCGAATGGCCACATTCTAAATTTATCGTGTGATATTTAAGTGGGAGGATGTGCCTTTCCAATGTGGTGGGATGTCAAGGAACACACTGGTGCGGCCGGAAGGAGGCTTCGTGTCGGAACATTGAATGTGCCAACGAGATTCGGAATTTTCACATCATCATATGTAGTCTGCCGGGATCGCCTGTATCATCAAAAGAATTGGGAATAGTCAATTTACACAGTAAGATCAATGAAAGGAGAAATCTGAACTGCAATTTGCGAACATCCAATACACAAGGAGGCATGCACATCATTCGAGGGTCTACTCCAGTTTATTCCACGATCGACCATGATGGTACCTGGATAATACCTCAGCTGTACTTATGTAGAATCGACTTGCCGTTCAATTAATTCACATATGCACAACAGCATGATCTTTCACTCGACGTCACTGCGTCCGATGATCTGACGGGCCCTCATGACGAGACAAACAGGCCTGTTGAGTGTGAAAACAACATGGATAAGTTACTGAATGTACAACACCGAGGAGATTATGCAAACACGTTAATCACGATGCATATTATGACATAGCGATCCATTCACAACCTCGATTTCAGCTGTACCAAGTCGCGCGCCCGATCGCGCAGCACCCGACGCAGCAACTTCCCACTCGGGTTTTTTGGAATCACGTCCACAAACTCCACCCCGCCAGCAAGATGTTTATATGTGACCTTGTTGTCTGCCACGTGCTTTAAGAAAGACAACAGTCAGTCTGGTTCGCGCGATAATGAAGTACGAGCTAACCTTTTTGATGGATACTTTAACCCTCTCGACTTCAGCAGGATCCACGGCGATCCTCTTGACTGCGTTAGCATGAAGCACCACAAACGCCATCGGAAGCTCCCCGCTGTAGCTATCGGAAATTGGCACCACACATGTGTCTGCAACATCAGGATGATCGAGAAGACAGCCCTCCAGCTCTGCGGGAGCGACTTGAAACCCTTTGACTTTCATGATTTCCTGCCGAAAAAGTTGTAACATTCGAAGTTGATACAAGACGGGAGCATAATAGTGCACCTTCAGGCGATCAACAATGAACACTTCAAGGTCCTCGCGTATGACAACTTCGTCACCAGTACGCAACCAACCATCGACGAAGGTCTCCTTCGTACTATTGAGCAGGAGCTAAGCTCAACAGTAGCCTATGATATAGATGATTACTTACGCTTCATCATTGTTTAGATATCCCAGGGCTACTGATGGAATTTTCACCTGAAGCTCTCCAGGTTCGTTGAATCCTGCTAGGGTTCCATCATGTTTGATGACCTTGGCAACGATACCAGGCGCCAGGCGCCCGGCACTTCCGAGAACGCCAATTTTTGTGTCCACGGAAAACATAGCAATAGTACCGGAGGCCTCGGTCATGCCTTGGAAATGATGAAAAACAGGAGATAATGGGCAGAAAGCGGCCCTACCATAACCTTGACCTATCTCCGCATTCGGCAGAATCTTCACCAGCTGATCAACAAGAGAGGCAGAGAGGGGGGCAGCTCCACACATCACGAGCCTGACACAATCTAGGTTGTAATTTTTCATAGCAGGGTGCTGCTAGGAGCATTAGACTGAACAAATTGTTACTAGAAAGGTTGGTGCTGACCTTGCACAACAACACGATCTGAGGTGGTACAAGTCTTTATACAAATCAGGATTCCTATAGGTCATAGTGATGGGGACGACTCACTGAAGATGGTTTATGCGATGTCTCACAACACTGTCTAGGAACTCGGTGAAGTTGAACTTGGGTATTACCACAACTGAGATCTGCATAGAGTTGAAAAAGAGATTTGGTGAGGAATCAACAGAAGCTCACGCTACAAAATGGCATAAAGTGAAGCTAAGGTAACCGTGTTTAGGCATTATGAATGATGAACGGGTCGGCGATATCCAACTTACCGCTAACACCAGGCCATAAATATCTAACAACGTTGCATACTTCAGTTTCTTGGACGGTATCAAATGGAAAGAGGGTACATACGAAAAAAAGGTAGCGCTTTACAAGAGACAGTTAGTGATGTCAAACCATGTCTATAAAAGCGCACCTCCTGCGAGCACATCCCCTGGTCGAAACCTCTGTTCTTCCCAAGGAGCATAGTTCTTGTTAACCTTCTGGTGCTCAGCCATCAGAATCACATTCATGATAGGACCAAAGTGTGATATCGCGACGGCCTATCACAAAATGAGGCCTCATTCATCAGTCTAAAACTTGTCACACCTTAGGTTTTCCCGTTGTACCACTCGAAAAACTGAGGAATGCGACTTTCGTTTTTGCTTCTCCTTTCCGCAGCCTTCGCTCAACGAAATTTGGCTCGCTCCGTAGCCCTTGCTGAATGAGAGTGTCTACCGTCATCTGATTTGACTCATCGAAAGTAATAACGCGCTCGGATGGTAAACCGGCAGCCTGGGCAGCGCCCAAAGCGGTGTGCAAAGAAGAGGAATGCGCGATAATCAAAGACGCATGAACCACCTTGAGCTGGTGCAGCAATTCGTCGATATTATTAGCTGGATTTGCGCATCTGTGATAGAAGCCCGGCGATGATTAGATGGGTTCAAAAATATGACAGCGCGCATAACGTACGACACGATACCGCCTAGTCGATGCGTTGCCCATATGCCCACCGGATAGTCTACAAGAAGAAGTGAGCATGTGACCGGAAGCAATCGGTACTTTCATTATTCATACCAATGTGGTTTGGGCTGAAGATGACCACTGAGGCAAAGACGATGAGCCTCGATGTTTTATATGGTAATACACGTTGCAATTACGCACCCAAGTCGTTCTCCTCTAAAACGGGGTTATTAAAAGAAGCGCATGTATAGAGCACTTCTGGCTGCACTCACTGAGTCCAAACCGCAGGCTCAGGCCATTCGCAAGGCCATAAGTTCTTGCACGGACCTTGGGTGCACAGTAAGTTGGTGACGTCATCGCTGCGCGACACGAGGCTATACGATCAACTCACCTCTTCATGTCCAACCCCTCTTCCACTGGCGTCTTCGATGAACCATGGCACATGGCTTGACGGAATGGGCCTCAATGGATGGGACGAGTCGAGAATAAACTGGGGCAAAGTAAGGTCGTCTGGAACAGACGTCTCAAGACTGGGTGCATATATTTCAGCCATGAAGGGCTCGCAGAATGGGTACTATGGAAGAGAGGAAGGAAGGTGAGTGCTTACGGGATACCAAATCGTGTGTGACGTGTCCGGGAGGATCTTGGGTTTTCCAGCGGTTGGGCTCAGGCTGGGCAGGGCTGGGTAGCAACGGTGTCGTCAGCCAGATGGGCGGGAAACCTTTGGGAACAAGAGCGCTGGCTGGTTTGAATTGTATTCAAATCTATGGACATGATATGATATGGACAATATACTTGGGGTAACAAATCGTACTATTTTATGTAACCTGTCTCGTGAAAAAACACATAGGAAATATAGGCAAAAGTCTGAAGCGAGTTGGAATCCAGAGAGCGCGTCGGGCCGGTTGTCGCACCACAACAGCACCCGACGAGCTATCTATACCTACATGATACATCCCACCTGGCACCAGCTCGCAAATGCCTTAGATTGCCATTATAGAAACAAATCACAGCTTGGCCTTCGGCCCTCCTGCCCTCAATGTACGAGCTCGGTCCCGAAGCACCCGCCGTAGTAGCTTTCCACTTGGATTCTTTGGTATGACATCTATGAATTCCACGCCTCCCGCTAGGCGCTTATACGCGACCTTGTTGTCTGCAACGTGCTGGACAACGTCAGCTTGACTGACATCGCTTGGGCATGAAATAGTCAAACCTTCATTATGGACGCCTTGACTTTGTCTGATTCGCGAGGGTCTTTCCCCACACGGTTTGCAGTGAGCGCATGAAGCACGACGAACGCCAACGGGACCTCCCCGCTGTAGTCGTCAGGTATGGGCACGACACATGTGTCTGCGACGTCGGGGTGATCTAGAATACAGCCCTCTAGCTCGGCAGGAGCTACTTGGAATCCTCTAACTTTCATGATTTCCTGACAAACCGATCAGCCGTTGCAACAAAAGTTTGGAGCAGAATACCTTCAATCGATCAACAATGAACACTTCCTTGTCTTCCCGTATAATTACTTCGTCCCCAGTGCAAAGCCATCCTTCAACAAAAGTCTCCTTTGTTGCTTGTTCGTCATTCCAGTATCCCAACGCCATAGAGGGCGTCTTCACTCTCAATTCGCCTGGTTCATTGAGGCCAGCCAGAGACCCATCAGGCTTCACTACGCGGGCAACTACACCTGGTAGGAACTGTCCAGCGCTACCTGGGACACCTATTTTCTTATCCACCGAGTACATTGTGAGTGACGTGGAGGATTCGGTCAGTCCTGGATTCCAGGTGCAACGAATATAAGAGTCAAGTGAACGAAAATTAAAGGACCTACCATAACCTTGGCCGATCTGTGCGTTGGGGATTACTTTCATGAGCTGGTTTACCAATTCGGCTGAAAGAGGTGCAGCGCCAGAGATCATGAATCGAATGTTGCTCATGTCATAATTCTTGACTGCTGGATGCTGGGATTACATTCCTCAGCACACAGGAATAAACCATTCGTCCTTTTTAAGTTTACTGACCTTGCACAGCAGTACGACTTGAGGCGGAACAAGTCTGTGTAACCAAAACGTCAATAATTAACGGATTTTGCAACGGCAGGAAGACTGATTCTCACGTCAGGTGAGTGATACGGTGTCTCTCTATGCTCTGCAAGAAATCTGTGAAGTTGAATTTTGGAGTGACAACCAGCGACATCTACAGAACAGTCCTATCGTTAACCCTCGAAATCACACGACGCGATGGACTTACTCCAAAAAATGGCACCGCGTAAATCTACATCAGGGATAAATGTCCGACTCTAGGAACGCCGTAAGAAGCTTGCGCTCACGGAGAATACAAGGCCATAGATATCTGTCGAATGCATGTGTTTGACACGATACAATACATACGAGGAATAGACGTACGGAAGAAGGGAAGCACTGAGTAATAGCGAATCAGATGTAACCTCAAGAAGCCCGGATGAACGCATACCTCCAGCGACCACATCACCTGACCTGAACCGCTGCTCCTCCCACGGAGCATAGTTCTCGTTGACCTTTGTATATTGAGCTATCTGAATGACGTTGACCATGGGTGCATAATGCGCAATGGCTACTGCCTATTCAACCTTTTATACATCTGCTCGATATCGATGAGTGCAGTCAACTGCGCACCTTGGGTTTACCTGTTGTACCACTGGAAAAGCTTAGGAAAGCGACCTTGGTCTTGCCCTCGCCCTTCTTCAATCTTCGCTCGACAAAGGCAGGTTCGTTCCTGAGCCCAAGCTGAATGATACTCTCTACAGAAGGCTGAGTTGATTCGCCAAATGTAATAACTCGATCAGAAGGTATGCCAGCTGCACGTGCAGCACCGAGAGCCGTATGGAGGGAAGACGGATGTGCAATTATCAGGGTTGCTTTCACAAGTCGAATCTGGTGTAAAAGCTCTTCCGCTGTATATGTCGGATTTGCGCCGCTTTTAACGTGGTCGGTCAGATCAGAGTGCGAGAATAATATCATTTGCTGGGCTCACGAAACAATTGCACCCAGTCGGTGCGTTGCCCATATTGCAGGTGGATAATCTACAGGCAACGGTAAGCTGGGGCCGACGCGGGAGTGGAAAGAAAGCCTTACCAACATGATTCGGACTAAAGATAACGACTGTAAACAAATCAAAAAGTGATATATGACCGGGGGTGGACAACACCTACCGACTTCATCTTCTTCTGCAGGTATGCTGTCAGGACACATAATTACTACCCAGTGACGTCAAACAGCACGTACTAATACCATAGCGCAACATAAGCCCGTTTGCAAATCCAAAGGTTCGTGCACGGATCTTCGAGTTGCCAGATGGAGGTACCTAAGAATTGCTAGTTCATTATTACTGGTAGTTTACACGCACCTCTTCGAATTCAATGCGCCTCCCAGTATCATCCTCGATTAACCATGGCGTATTAGTTCGGACCGGCCTACGTGGGTGGTGTGAGTCGAGGAAGAACTGAGAAAGCGTCAAGTCGTCGGGGATCACTGTGTCGAGCTGTTCGCCAAATATTTCAGGCATTTTCTACTGCAGGAGGTAGGAACCTGAAATGTGGGATGTTGGATAAGATGGGGGAAGTCATTGGAGAATTGCAGACTATTATAATTGGTACTCGATCTAGCGATCATATATCAATGATACGGGTCAACGGACTTCGACAGGTCCGCAGGCCAGCCGCGGTATTATGTAATTTTTCGGCACGTGTTGATATCTAATTTTATCCCCAATTCTGCAACAAAGATGCAAATCATGAACACCTTGTGGCCTATATAGTAACATACGTCGCAAGTTCAATTACATGTGTGGTCAATGGTGGTCTGACTAGATCTGGCAATTGCTGGCAGTGTGAAAAGAACAGTTATGTGTGTATCAATGCACCAAGTCCAGGCCTCATCCCAAGTATGTCAAGCCTCGTTCATTGTCGCATCAGCCTCACGTCAAACCCTCGTCTGTGTCTCGTCAGTGCTGCGTCACGCTTCACATGCTGCGTGTCCTACTTGTCGATGAGTGCTGGCACGCCGATCAATGTTTCAGCTTTTCAGGTATCCTAGCTATCATAGCCATATACGACCATATATAGGATACGAATCAGAAGCGCCCTCCTTCGGAGTCCATACTTGCTTGATATTCTGGCACACATCAGGCTCCTTGTCAGAAAATCCATTTCAGTACACTAACCTTTCCGTGATCAACATGGGCTTGGAGAGGTGAGATCAACCTTGATATTCAACTCTTGACGCTTGATTGAAATGAATGTTGAATAAATATTGATATAGTCTAAGGAAATCAGTTTGGCAGAACCACAAGGCCCGTGCGTAGTGGCTTTTTGACCCCCAATTGTATAGGTAACACCACTGCCTGCTAACTACACCGCAATAACATTCAGATTTCAGATGATCAATACGATGGTAGTACTTCTCGACTTTAGCTCATCTAGGTCCGGTCGGAACTTATTCTCTTGATAGCAAAGCTCCTCCAACGGACCAGCGAGCAACAGTCGTTCTAGAACGATGCGTCGCAGGATGTTTCTCGGAATATCAAAAATGATCAGCATCCGAAGTCCAAGGAGAGGAAATCCGCCGGTCCGTGGGGCGTGGGGATCAGTCCCATTGCCAACGCATCATTCACGTTAAACGCCCCTGGTCCCAGGGTCAATACCTTGACGCTGGTCATTTGTTTGTACAGGCAATGGAGGAGCTGAGGATCTGCGCTTCATCTAGCTCCAGGAGAGAGCTAGAATAATTTTCCTGGGTAAGCCTGATTAACTCTTGAAGTGTATGTCTCTTCTGGCGTGGTGAACTAAGAATTTGGAATAATTCATTGACAACATGCCACTGTCAGAGAGGGCCCATCGATAAAAGAGTGATACTTAAATAATGGTACATGATTAGTGCACATATGGTGGACTTGCAAACAGGACCATCATGTCACAACTTCGCTCTGGGCTTCGTCCGCATCTCCCGGGCCTTGTCTCTTAGCACCCTCCTCAATAGCTTACCACTCGGGTTCTTCGGGACAACGTCGATAAACTCAACACCCCCAGCGAGCTTCTTGTAGCCAACTTTATTATCAACAACATGCTATAAAGTTGGATAAATAAGCACAACACATTCCAGTGTTCGGAGCGCTAACCTTCATAATGGACGCCTTGATCTCATCCGCGGCGCGAGAGTTTTCTAAGATACGTTTAGCGGCTCCAGGGCGAAGAACGACGAAGGCCAGTGGTAATTCGCCACTATATTCGTCTTGCACTCCAACCACACACGTATCAGTCACATCAGGGTGATCCAAAATGCATCCTTCAAGCTCGGCAGGTGCGACCTGGAACCCACGGACCTTCAACATTTCCTGTGGGACTGCTGAATCAAACGAGACAGAGGTCTAAGGTCAACCACCCAACCTTTAGACGATCGAGAACTACAATTTCACCCTTGCGGTTCATCTTCACTTCATCACCGGTACGAAGCCACCTGAAAGCAGAACGTCAGCGCCAGCAAATTAAAAGCATACCTATCTACTCACCCATTCACAAAAGTTTCCTTCGTTCTGATCAAATTACTTACAGTAAATACTTCAGTCGGAACGAAGAAGACAATCACATACGCTTCAGGGTTGTTTGCATAACCAAGCGCAAGCGCCTGCGTCTTTACGACGAGCTCGCCTGGTTCGTCAAAGTCTGCAAGAGTGCCATCTGGTTTCTCCACGCGGCCGATAATACCAGGAAGGAGTTGGCCAGTACCACCACTCAGGTCACTTCTCTTATCCAGTGCCCACGTGCTTATAACAGTGCACGATTCGGTGAGGCCTGTGGCAGCTGGGATGAATCGTGGACACGCATCCTCCAGAGATGGACGCACCATAGCTCTGCCCAAGGTCGGCGTTTGGGAATATCTGAGCGAGCTGCTCCATTACCTCACGAGATAGGGGCGCAGCACCCGAAGTGATGTATCGGACGTGACTAAAATCATAACTCTTGACGGCTGGGTGCTAAATGGCAAGCACGGACAGGTGAGCGACCTGACCGTTCCAGAATTACTGCTGACTGACCTTGCACAATGATACAATTTGTGGGGGGACAAGCCTGCAGTCTTGGTCACCGTGATGTCAAAGAAAGCATGACGACGGCGACATACATAAGATGGGTAATACGGTGCCTCATTATGCTCTTCAAGAACTCTAAAAAGTTGAATTTCGCTGTTAAGACAACCGTCATCTGGATGTTTTGGTCAGTGCGCAGTTTCAGATGAGGAGATGTATCGACGCACGCCGCAGAAAAAGGCATAATGGGTCTATTAAAAATTCAGCTATGAAATAACTAAAGTCAAATGAGCTCGTACATTGAACACGAGTCCATAAATATCTGGAAATAGCCAGTTTCACAACAACATAACGACGTTGCAAGAGCAATAACGGCTCACGATATAAAGGAAGCACTGCTCAATTCATTCAGCTGAGCCCTTCGGATATACAGCAACGCACGCACCGGCACAGCAAACACCACCAGGTTTAAATCTCTGTTCGGGATAATCCTCACCGACTTTGTGGTGCGTAGCAAGCTGAATGACATTCGCAATCGGCGCGTAATGGGGTATCGCGACTGCCTGATATACAGCACGTGGAAGATGCATTCATATAAGATGTTCTTGCGAACTCACCTTCGGACGACCAGTCGTCCCGCTGGAAAAATTCAGAAAGGCCACCTTAGTTTTCCCTTCCCCAGGAGCGAGTTTCCGTTCCGTGAAATTAGAAGCACTCGCGAGGCCTTGCGAAACCAAAGCTTGCACAGTAGCTCTCTGCGCGGTATCAGTGCCCTCTACGTCGAAAAGAATGATGCGATCCGCGGATACGCCAGCGGCATGTGCAGACGACAGGGCCACTTTAAGCGAGTCTGGATGCGTGATGATAACGGCTGCTTTCACTGTAGTTACTTGATACACAAGTTCGCCAACTGTGAATAGCGGGTTGGCACCGCTTGTGGGCGCGTTTCAGAATGTTTTAGGCGGATATTAAAGGAGTATGAGCATACGATACGGCGGCACCAAGTCTGTGAGCTGCCCAAGTAGCCACAAGGTAATCTGCAGAATTCATATTGTCAACCCAGACATACGGCTACATGTCATGAAGCCGGCTCACTTACCAACATGATTTGGACTGTAGATCAACACTATAGTGGGCAGAATGAGGGGATCATCAATACTTGCATGTACTTAAATTTATAATAGTGTAACTTACCAACATCATCCTCCTCTGTGCGGAACCAGAGGAGTCAGTATACAGAAGCCAGTGACATGAAACGCAGAGAACGCACGGATGTTGTAGCGCATACTCAGCGCATTGGCCAGGCCATACGTCCTAGTTCTGAGCTGTGAAATATACGATTAGCCATGGTAACCATCGACCGGAACAGCAATTCATGCAAGTCAACACCAACACCAACTTGAATTTATTACCCTGCATTTTCTCATCTAGATTCTCACTGGCAGGCACACTCACCTCCTCAAGTCCAATCTTTCTCCCGCTCTGGTCATCAACAATCCAGGCACCACCCTGACGAACAGGCTTTCTGACATGCTCAGTATCCAATATGAATTGCGCGAGCGTAAGGTCGTCAGGTATGAGAGGGAGGGTTCCTGCGGGCGACACGACTTCAGCCATTCTCTATCTGCCAATCCAAAAGCCAGGAAAGCAAGGAACAAATGTTAGCGCTCTGTCATGTAAACTCCCATGCTTGGTTTTATTGGGTCCCAGCTCCGTACGTCAAATACCAGCTCACAGGCTACATGCTATCTTCGTGCTGTTTTGTGACCGACCATGATTAGGCGCCCATATACCATCTAGGGTCGTCGGCCGATCAATTCGTTGCGACTTCCAAGCGAGTTGTGTGTCAGTACACCTGCCATACGATGAGGTATAATCAATTCTGGATGACTTCCCATAGGGCAAAATAATGCGGATATATCAGAATCAAGTGCAAAATGAGATAGAGATGGAAGTGGTAGAGTCTGCACTCCTGTACTGTCAGGAGCCGGGCTGACTCGACAAGAACGCATCGACAGACTCATCAATCACGACGACTATACCTTTCCTACGTGCAGCTCCTTCTAAACTTTCCTTGGATGAGTACCCTTTGTTTGCAAGCCAGAGTGATTGAGCCTTCATTACAAGATCATCCAACCCAGTACATATAGAGACAATGTAGGTATGCGAGAGTATACGAGGGATCCTTGAAGTGCGAGAGCTGCAGTATCCGCCGGTAGGGGTTGACTGGGTTCTTGGTATTACAATTTTAGTATGTTTGGACACGGTAAGATTATGTCAGCGGATATTTGGTGCACGTGAGTAGTCCTAAATAGGCAAAGTGTAGCTTTAATGTAGACCCTTGATGAATTTCAAACGGTAACGAGATAACACCATCACCTTCCTAAAGCGTAAAACTATATTCTATACTGCATTATTTTTGCCTACGGTAGTACGGGAAGTCGAATGGCTGCTAATCTTATAGTGTCAATGTGGCGCATTGGAACCTTTAGTTCCATGTGTCTTCACAGCTGCAGGGACGCCAGAGGGACATGTTATGTACAACATCCCAAGTTCGTTCGTCACCTGAGTAATCTGTACGCAAGTCCCTGCATGCGGGAAAACTTGCACAAAAAATCAGGAGAGCATATCACCGCCGTGCTGTTGATGACACCTCAGCGTCCAGATCACCATCCCCTGGATGTCCTCACGACGGCCCGGTATGAGCCCATTTCGTCCGTTGCTCTCCCCACCACCGAATCATATATTCCTTCTCCCTATCGCCGACGCGCTCCTTTATCTCCGCAAAGAGTGCATCAATCAGCTCCTGCCTCTTCTGCTCCTCATCGGCTGCATCGACAAATAAAAGAATGGGATCCAGCAAGCGAGGGAGCAAGGCCAGCGGCACCGATGGCACACACGATATAAGAGTAAGGTGAAGCCGATGCAGACGCTCGTCATCGTACTTGGGAATAGATGTAATAGCAGTCAGAAGGCAGTCGATACAAAACCACGCAAGAGACAGATCAGCAGCAGATGCCGCACTCCGAACGAGAGCGGCAAATGCTAAGCGGAGTTGCACAGTGCTGAGTCTGCCCTGCACAGAATTCTGTGAAAGACCAGCATGGTCAAAGACGCCCCAGAATGAAGACGTGGCCACTTACGTCTATTAAACAGTTGGCATAAAACGGTACGATTGTCCTCGCGAACCCGCCTCCCTCTTGTGACGTCGACTCGCTAGCCTTCTGCGCATGCGAAGCGAAGATGGCAAGGACAACACTGTGTGCGGATTCGAACGTCTCGCGATGACTAGCATCAGCCAGGTGCCTACCACGTGTTAAGGGTGAATCACTATATGTGTGGAGGATGAAACTTACGGAAGGCACGTAGGAAACACAAGCTCCTGAATCGCCAACTCGCTAAGCACATGAATGAGCTGCTCGATTGCTGAAAGCGCGAAGGCCTTTTTTGCTTGATAGAAAGGGTGAGCCAGAAGTGGCTCCTGACCTAATTCGATGACGCAGAGGTCTCGAACGTATTTGTTGCTCTCTGTTACATCACTTCCAAGAACGTCCAGTGCAAGGTAAAACAACTTCTTGAGCTCATTGAAAGCACCGTGACCTGCACCACCAAACTGCGCGATAACAAATGACAGGTGTGAGAGCGCCTGCAGGACAGTTACTGCGAGCGTCGAAGTCGATGGAAGAACAGCGGAGGTGGAGGGGATGTAGACCAGAGCAGAAAGACCTGCTTCTGTGATCATAATCACGCTGAAAAGGAGTGTTTTCAAAGTCGCCCATATGGCAGTCGTAACTTCCCTGGCGTCTGGTGCTAAGTATGGATGAGTGCTGAACGGCTATTACTTCAACGAGGCTCTCACACAGCGAGTTCTGGTCTGTAGCCCCAGATAGTGAGGTCGGAAACCAGTCGGTTTCAACGTGGGCGGTAATAGAGTTGAGTTTCTGATATGCTTCCGAGACTAGGGGCAGTGCAACGCTCGGCCTATGATCTACAAAGAGCGACACAGTTCTAGCGCACAACTTCGATATGGAACCAACGTAAGCCATCGCAGTCGAATTTGATATTTTCTTGATGATTTCCGAAATCGAACTGTCTGGCTGTAGGAATATTAGTTTAGCGAGTCATATACACGCGGGTTACTGACAGGAATATGAATTTTGAATTCTGCCTTGGAACATAACGAAGACTGGAGGGACGATAGGAATCTTCCACTATCAAACGCATCCTCAATGGTGCGCATAATTAGTCCTAATAGGTGCTAATAGCACATTAGTAAAAGCGAACTGTTCATGTGAGCGGGACTCACAGAAAGGGGGAGTGCAGTGAATTTCTCGGAGGGCACCAAGAGAAGAGACTGAGAAGCTATGATGAGTGACAATGCCAAAGCGTCGGCTATAGGAGCACGGTTCGCATTAGCAGAATAGTTGCTGATGTTCTGAGCACACACCTGATTCAGCGGCAGAATGAAATTCTTTCCCCCATGTATCAGACGTTGAGAATTGGTCAATGACATCTGCAAATGTCATTACCAGCTCATCTTCGACTATTCCCTTCACGTCTTGCTTCTTTGCTGGCAAATGCTGAAGGATATCCTCAAGGCCAAGAAGGAGTCCGCTACAGCAGGCTAATCGTATGATGGCGTGTCCACCTTCGAGACCTTGAAGAATAGCAAGGGACCAGATGTTGAATTGAGTATCTAAGCTTGGAGAAAACAGTCCGCTTGAGTCCGCTTTCAGCACCTTTAGCTTATAATGTACTGCATGTCGGAAGGATGTGCTGAGAAGTTCTAGATTTGAATGCGAAAACGGAAGGAAGATAGGACTGCTAACAATAGTAGCAGCGAGAGGTGTCGGAGAAGGATGAATATTTGCGAGGTAGTGGCTGATGAGGGCCTGGATAGTGGGCAATGGCGTCTTGGTGGAATTTGACCTCCCCAAGCTGCTGAGCAGAAGGGTGTGGCCCCGGTCTTGTGCTGCCATGTCACACGAAATGATAAATGAGCAAAGCTAGCACTAGCTGGCAGGCAGCCGGCTGTTAGGCTCTGATGTCACTAATGTTAATGATGAATGATCTGGTCAACGCCTTCTCAGGACATTATGCTCGACTTGGCGCACGTGAGGCCTTCAACTTCTCAAAACAACCATGACAACCATTCATATGCATTTCGCTTCCAAGGCCGCCTACGATGAGCGCTAAGCGCCTACCGGTTTGACCAGCTGATCGCCTGGCTATCGCATGAACCCGTCTTCTTATTCAGTTTTTCTTGTTCAGACCTCTCTTCTATGAAACGTTTTGAATTCTAATTGTGAAACAGAATATTATGTAATTTTCAGGTATGCTTTTGTTTCCACTGGTCCGATAACTTATCCTGCTCGAGTGCCTTGACCCACATTCATATCCAAGAGATGGGCCTAAGTATGCCAACTCAGCCAATTGTTCCCTCTTGTTTCCCTGTGCTTCTAGACTCCATATGACGGGTGCTGGCCAGACTTTTCTGACGTCTCACTAATATGATGATGATGATGATCGTATCCCGACCAAGCTCGATGATCCACTGCACTATCAATTAACCCTGTCCTTCCCTCAATCAAAGACTGTTCTGGGGTCGTCTTCGAATTTTACCTCCGTCGATGAAAACGGTAAACAGGGACCAACTTACTCGACTTGCCCTGCGGCATGTTTTACGGATTTACTGTTCAGGACAAGTTCTTCCGAATCCCCGAATCTCAAATCCAGTTTAGCCCGCATCGATTATCCGATGGCAGCTTCGTTCAAGTTAAAATGGTCTGCGCGACCCTGGATTGTTGGTGAACCGAATTTATCTTTGAGCTCAGCGGTGAAAAGCTGGATTTTACGGACCCATCTGTATCTTGTGAGTTTCTCCAGTGGCATCGCCAGATGGCAGTGAGTGGTAACTCTGGTGAAGCTTCGCCGTGGTTCAAATTAAGCTCTGGGAACAAGCACTCGCTTCATACATCATGACGTCTGTAAGCTGATGAATTTGGTGCCTTGTTATACTTTTAGCAGCCAATTGTGACAGAGTCTCTGCGAACCACGTCGCATGATTTGCGTTGCAAGCTACCTCTCCTTGAGCTGTGCTGGTCCCCAGGAGACTGCGGGATACCCATGTATTTATTCCATGTGATGATGGCCACGATGGCCGACGCTGTGCACATTCACTGGCACCTGCTATGTCAATGTATCAGGGCGCTTAACATATCCCGTTGCCTACGGCGAGCTTTCATGTTCCGCATAAACAAAATGATGATATTTTGATGAACCAAGTAGCAGATGGCAGTGTAACAAATTAGAACTACACCGAGGGAATCAATTTTTATGAATAACGCGAGGCAGATTTCCCAAAACGCGCGGACAAGTAGAGCCGCGCGCGAACAAAGGGAAGGGGTAATTATGTAAGCGGGGGTATTCAGGGTCTTTGAGAATTCAGGTCACTCACCTTTTGCAACCTAGTACAGAACCTTCGCTCTGTTCACTCCCTGCTCGACGTCCTCTGCGTCATTCCCGTCGCTTCTGCCGTCGTCGAATCAGTCGTCGTCGCTGCGCCCGACGTTGACAAGGACGACAATTCCCTCTTCCTTGTTCATTGGTCCGTTCCCCCCAAGATTCAAGGTAGTAAAGCAACCAATAATATATCCCACCTCGTCCCAGCCATACCAGTGCTTACTTTCCGCCCCTTCTTGAAGAAATAGGCGAGCTGTCACCTCTCAGGCTTTCACTCAATATCTGTTACTATATCTCCTCTTGATCACACACTCCTGCAATGTCTCCCAACCCATCCCAGAATTCACCTTGGCCAGCTCAAACAGCTCCACCATCATCATCATATTCATCATCCAAGAGAAGGAGACCTGATGTGGGGCCTTCTTGGTCATCATCGCTGGGAAGGAGACAAGGAACTACCATCTCGAATCAGAGTGCGCTCGGTGCGTGTACAATGTAGTTATGCGAGGTTCCGGACGCGAGCAGTCGCGTCTCCCTCATTATTCGTGTCCTGTGCTAACATCTTGTGTTGTTTCACCAGCGGCAGCCGAGACTCAATGTGAAATATACGCTGATAATAGTCAGGTGACTTGCTATCCAGGCGCAGGCGATCTCGTGGTTCAGCACGAGTGGGCACCCGTTGTCTGTGAGACTCTCCATGTTTCATTCTCTCTCCATTGAAATTGACGCGATAACAGGGAACAGTAGACGGCCGCAACTTTTGCAGTTCAATATCGTCCAGCTATTCTTGTACAATGCCGATACGAACTCGCCTATTCTCAATTTCACACAAACAAATCCAACTGGTTATGCCGGTGAAATGAATACGCCAGTGGATGATACGTGGTTTGGAGACAAGGGCAATACATGGACGCAAGGATCTGGAAACTTCTCATACCCATTTTATTGGGTCGTGACCAATCAGAATGGTCTGAATGACTCTCTAACCACAAATCCCACGTTCACGGCTATTCGTACGTTTGTGTCGCGCAACATTATGCGCCCTCACTAACATGTTCGTGAAGAAACCACATATGCAGATAATGTCGTTTCATCTATGCAATCCTCGTCATCTGCCGCCGCTGCATCATTATCATCTGCTGCCGCTGCGTCGTCGCTATCCAGTTTACATGCATCTGGGACTTCATCGTCGACTCCAACGGGAAATGTTCAGTCAAACAGTGCAAATACGGCTTTTCCTCATTGGGCAATAGCAGTCATCGTGGTACTCGGATTTCTCGCCATCGCAGCCGGTGGTGTCTTGATTTGGGTAATTGTACGCCGCCTACGAAGACGTCAACAGCACTCGAATCGAGGGTCTATGGGTTCTTCGTCTCCGATGATGGCCAATGCCCAGAACTCCAACTCCCCTCAACTACCGTTGTTGGGGGCTGGGATAGTGGGTGCGGCGGCTGGACGGACATCATCAGAACAACATCATCGGCCTGGATCCATCGTATCTCCGGATGGTGCATCTGACATCTCACGGGCACACTCTGCGGGTGACACCGGTCCATTTTCAGGAGCCGATGCAGCCATCATGGCGGATGCATTTAGGAAAGCATTGCGCAAACCTGATTTTGCAGGGCCCCCTGTTGAGGAGGCCGAGGACCATAGAGATGACGCGATCATGAATCGTGAATTGGCAGAAGAAGGACGGGACATACGGAGTGTCAGCTCATCACGGGGGGTTAGGGTGGAAACTCTGAGTGAGACTGGTGGTACTGCGCAAGATCACTAGGATTTCTTGTGCGCTTTACTTTATTTTATTTCACTTTCGACTTCTCAACGTTGGTTGTATATTTTCTCGGATACCTTTTGCGATCCTCACGTTGTTGTCACACCCTCGTCGCCGTGTAGTTCGCACCTCTGCTTGCCCTTCTGACCCGCATAACTCCACTTCTCTAGTCTCCGTTTTTCCGCACCACCCCCTTCACACCTTCCTTCGCTGCATGGCTAGTTTTTTACCGTAAATCCGCGTCATTGTGGTTTTTGGTAATTTCTGGTAGTTGCACTAGACTTTTTCGTTCGGACTCCTACGCCCCTACCCTGCTCCTACTCCCAGCACTTACCTCCGTATTTTTCCACGGGCATCGTCCTGCCACTCCTTGCACCCACACATTGCACCCACAGCTGTGGTGGCAAATACTTGTCGGACTATGTCTTCCCACCCCTGCCCGTATGCCGCCCACGAATCTCATGCCCTTTCATCGTCAAACTGCTTACGCTCTTTTTCCAATAAACCAAACCTTCGGCATGCATGTGGACCATGCGAGCTGGGACGGACGCTCCCCTTACCTCGGGAGAATGGACGCGCACTTGGATTTTTCACTCCCCGAACGCTTTTTCATACATCTTTACAGTCTTCGTTTCCCATTTGTTTTTTTTGCTCGTTCCAAAACCTTGTTGACCATATATGCCGTCTGGGTTACCATACGACTAGGCAGATTCTCCTTTAATAATGATGATGATGAAACGATCGTAAACATCGCGTACATAGGCAGACTGATTTGGATCTAATTTGGAAGACGGACGTTCCTCGTTTTGGACTGGATTGGGGTCTGGTTTTGATTTCTTCGGTATTGATGCTCCCAGCCGTACAAGTTATTTTTTCCGGGCAATGCCCGGTTGCAACAGCGAGGTATACGTTCACTCAGCTCTTCGCATACACACGCCGGGCAAAAAGGTGCGTCTGAAATAGAACGTTGGGCCTGACTTAGCAGGAGGCAAGGGGGCGCATCAATCCATGTTATTATGGAATTTGAACACGCGATATTTCCGTCCGCTGGCAACAAAACGACATTGACGAGAATGACATATGGCCATCTCCAAATTGGAAGACGCCAAGTAGGGCTTTGTAGCCCCAGTCAATTAGTGTCAATTATTCCACAGGTATTACTGCAACAACGAGGAACAGGGAAAAGGAGAGCGAATGGTACGCGAGTTAAAAAGGAATGCGCCCATATAAATGATACTATACATTGGGTTATCTATACGTGAAAGGGTCTTTCTAAATGCAGTGTTGAACACATCGTATTCAAAAAAAGTACTTTCCTCTTGGGGTGAGGCGAGTGAGTGCCGATATACAATATCGTGCGATGGATACAATTATATCTCATTGTTGAGCCGTGAGGTGACGCATAAGCAGTTCATATCTGGTAATTATGTCAACGGAGAGTGAGTGAGAGCTGCGGGCTTTGACGCACGTTAAAAGTGTCACGGCACTGTTCGGCACCGTTCGGAACAGGTTGACTGACAGACCTTTGTAGAGGCCTGTCCAACCCTCTTTCTGGATAATCTTGCGCGTTGTACCAATAATTCCGCGGCGGGCATGTGTTTTGACCATGCCGTCCGAAGATGCATCCTCAGCTATTGGTAATCTGAGCGTCTGCAACCGTGTGCGTACGACCTCGTGCGGATACGTTGCGATGGATGCAGCCATCTTCGCTATGCCAGAACATAGCAATATCGTATCGCTCCGTAGCGGTTCATCGGAGTCACCCTCTACGTTTATTTTTAAGATGTCTATAAACGTGATGCAGAATAGGCAGCTACTACTCACGGGCCCACATCTTAAGCTTTTCGTATAGGGGAAACTGGACGCCTACATGAGTTATTCCTAAGAGGCTGGGCACGAGCCCGCGGTAGAACGCGCGGATGCCCTCTGTGCGGTATATTGCCAACGCTGCATCGAAGGTATGTCGATATCTAACTTCTCGTCTTGATTGTGTCTATCGTATGCATGAGCCAGGAATGTCAGGTTCGTGAATTGGGTTGCAGCCAATTGACATTGAGACAGAACTCATACCATGAAACGAGTTTTGATGACCCATAGTGGATTGGTACAGGTCGTGCTCGCAGCACCGGCGATCATCGCAGAAAGGATGTGGAGGGTCCATGGGTGGTCGCGCATGGCGGGCTGGTAGCCCTTAGGTTGTGCAGCGGGGTATATTCGGTCATGCTTCGGCACTTGGCCCAGCGGAGGTTCTCCGAAGCGCGTCTTAATTCCGTCGTACACCGCAAAGTAGATGGCCATTGTTGGAAGGTACCCCAAGATTGTGGGACCAAGACCACGGTACATGCCGCGTATTCCATCATGTTTGAGGGTCATTTTAACGATGTCTGAGGGGTGGTGTCAGGGATGATAAGGGAGATGAGAACGGAAATGAAGTGGCCGGAGAACATACCAAGAACTCCATGATAACCCTGCTGCCCTTGAACTGTGCGCTGAGCTTGTAATTTGGTCTTGACGACGTCGAGCGGACAGGTCGCAATGCTGGCAACCAGACCTCCTCCAGCGCCAGCTGTAAGCGGAAAGCCGAATATTGCTCAGAAAATGGGATCGTTTGTAGTAGTAATAGCGCACCGATCATGCTGTTGGCGGTCCATTTTGCTTTTCGCGACTGCATATCTCTTCCCCGCGAAGGGGGTCGCTCGAGCGCTGTTGCTGTATGCTGGCGTGATCCTGACTATATTCCGAAGGCAGGAGTCTGACCAACCCAATATTTATCGCCCCAACTATAAGCCGACACCTTGCGGACCCGGATTTTGCCGAGTCATGTACTTGTGTTGCAAAGTCAGCTAGCTGTCAAAAACCATACCGAATTCCGATTTTGATCTTGCCAGTGCTACAGCAGCTACAGCCTAGTCAAGCGATAGCGAAGACGCTAGTACTGGTCCGGATCTTGCATACCAATAAGTATTAGGCGCGACCAACCCACATGTGAGTGTGCCTGCGCCATTGACATGGCGAGGGTGTCCTATAACGTCTAGACCTAACTCTATCTAATTATTCTAATACTACTTGTAGCGCCCATAAGCGTCAAACTTAAGCCATGGTCAAAGTAACTTATAGAGACGAAATACTCGCAGAGGACTCCAGCCCTGTCGTGGTGGAGGGCAACTATTACTTCCCCCCTGAGTCCGTCAACAAGTCGTTCCTCGCTCCCTCAGACACAAGGTGAGGGTATATCATTGTCGATGTAATATTAATGCGCGCTGAACTTTGAGTGCTCAGCACTGAGTGTGGTTGGAAGGGGTGAGTATCCTGGGTCCATCCCTCAGCGCACAGAGCTGAGCCTATTCTCGACGGAATCCCCCTGAAGGACAGCCTCGTACTATTCTGCACAGATTCACGGTGACACTGTGAAAGATATCGCGTGGTAAGTCGAGGTTACTGTACGGACATATGCTAGGCTGGGCTGTACTGAATTGTCCTCCAAGGTTCTACGCGGATCCAAAAACCAAAGCATCGCATATCAAAGATCATGTTGCATTCTACAAGGCAAGGTTGTACTCACGGGGTTCTTCTACCGCTTTAACATCATGTCTTTGCATCAGAACAAAGTAACCATCGAGTGAAAGTAAAGCATTTCAGTAGTGTATCAATAGCAAACGCCAGCTGCGCATATTTGTATCCGTGTAATTTTACAGAATCAAAGGTCTGCCCTTCCAAGAGCGACGAAAACCTATAGCTATGTTCCTGCTATCGCAATCATCGATATCGCGGTTCATTTCAGTATATGATTCAGGCCTGTGGATGTCCCTGAAGAGCTCCTCAATACCATTCACCTGAATCGTCGTCATCATATTCGTTGTAGTTTTCCTCATCAGAATCGACATCCATCCTTTCATCGCGCTCACGCTGCAGTCGCTTCTGACGCTCCGCTTCCTCCTCTGGTGTATAGATGGCTAATTCGGTCCTCCGAGCACAAGACATCAGCTTGCCCTCGCAATAGAGCTCGAAGTTCTTCCCGACGAAAATGCGGTTAGAGACCGTCTTGTCGTTGGCGTCATCTTCCTACATTTCTGTCAGCCTGACCCGAGTCTTACACAATTGATAAGAAAACCTACCCCATAGACGAATTCTGGAGCATGCTCGATGGGAGGCTGCCAGGGAATAGAATTAATGAGAATGATGAGCGATGGTAACATCCGAGCCACGTACCGCCCCATGGGCTTTTTCGATGACGGGAATGTTAATTGGTGTTTTATTCACGAAGAACAATTCGTTTGGGTCGCATGAGATATGCACCGTCCAAGAGTCTGCTTCGACATCAGCAGATTGCGATGCAATCCTCAAAAATGATCCTACCCCCAAGGTCATACTCGTAAATAATGCCAATCTCGTCGTTTGGAGACTCCCCCCGAGATGCATTTTTCTCGAAATCCACGGTCCAGATTTCACCCAGCTTCAGGTGAGAGTCCTTGACGGACTTTGCGTATTCCTTGCCAAAACCATAATCGGGGCGCACGCCACGCTCGTCGACATGATATATGGGGTTATCGTCCCTCTCAAACTTCCACGATATCCTGTCCCCGGGTTGCTCCTCCTCACCTGCCAAATACTCCCCAAGAGTCGGCATGCGACCCCATCTTTTCATCGTGCCAGCCAAGTCGCTATCTGGGTCATGCATGACGACATAGGACACGACCTCTGCGCGGTGCAAATGTGAGTTGCTCCAGCCGAACATGTACTGGATGAGCGTGTGCAGGTTGGCAAAGGTGAACGTGACTGGGAGCTTAACGATGCGATATACATTTGCGAAGTTCATGAGCTGGAATCGCAGCTGTATGTAGGAGGTGGTCTTCGCAGGGAGGGTGGTATATGGATTTGGACGAGAGGATTTGGAACGACCTATCTTTTCTGGCATCTTGACTACATGAGGGATGGGCTCGTCACTGAATCACGATCTGTGATATTTCTGCAGAAAAAGAGGGTCAGAAGACTCACGAAGCATTCGTCGTATTTGCGTGATCCTCTGTAGTTGTTTCCACTCTTGGCGTTGCTGTTGTTTCGGTGTTTCTAGGTTTCTTTTGAGGTGGAGCCGTCTGCAAGACAGTGAGTGGTTAATGAGACTGCCAAATAGCCAAGGCAAGATTGCGAACATTTACACTATCCACAGAACTGGCTTTTGCAACCCTGCCCAAATCCTATATTATCATCGGGAGGAAACATAGTGGAAGAGAGGACGCACGAGGGTCCAGCACTGACAACGTTTGTCGTGACGTATCTACCTACACCTTGGGTTTGAATTCATTTGACTGGAGTGGTATTATGGGAGCCTACCAGTCCGCTTCGAACGAGCTTGAGCATTTCGTTTTCGCTGATGAAGGGCTGCGTCAAAGACGGATTGGTTTGCAAGTGAACGAGACTTGCTTTAGGTGGCATGTTCAAGTGAGGTGACAGACGATTTTAATGAAAGAGAGCTCAGAAACAGGATAGGTGGTCGTTCAAAGGTATAAAGAGAGAGCTTGGAAGACTTGTCGCCAGAGAGGGGTTTGTCAACTGGCACTGGATAAATAATAGCAAAGTCACGAGACCGTGAAGGTATTATAATTTACAGCGCTTAGCGCTAGCAACATCCAAGTACTGTTGACGTCATCACCTTGTATCCCAACAACCGCCTCCTCGCAAGTGCATCATTTCATAAAGAACTGTGTCTATGGAATCTTGACACGAATCTCCCGATTGGACCACCCCTCGAGTATCATGATAGCAGTTATTTGTGCTCCCTCGCCATTTCCGCTGATGGCAAAGTGCTAGTCACTGGCTGCGAAAACGGAAAAGCGTATACACATGACGTTCACGCCATCATCAAAAACGCTGGCCTTGAAGACCTCTTCCATGGTTCTTCGGTAACAGCTATACTAATCTCCCATTCGCAGGTCCCAGTTCAAAAATCATTAACGCCCGTATGTGACGTGTTTCTTAAGCTTTTAAACCATTTTAAACACATTCGATAGAGAGATACTACGCGACATCCAGATATTCCTGCCCGCAGAGTACCGCGAGGATTTTTTGATGGCGCCCAGGTGAGCCATCTGTTTCTGTTTACCAGTTCTTGTTCTAATATTTGTACTCTCAGTCCTCCACAGCACACAGTACCTATCACAATCCTCCCCTACATGACACCCGCCGCCCTGCCTTTTCTTTGAATCCACGTACGCTGTTCAGCAGCATTTCATCGCCGTTCCGCCACTCTCGCAAATCTCGCATTGTCGACGTTCCTACAGTACAGGACAGAAAGGTAAGTATTTCTTCGCGTGCGTTTCCCATCACCGTTGTTCAATGATTTATTTGCAGCCATTGGCTGTTGCTCCACGGCCGCGGCCGCAGCAGCAAAGCCAGTTGCACGGCCAGCCTCGACCTCCGCGACACCCCCTGCCCCAGGTACAGCTGCGCAGTCACCACCTATCCGATGGTGGGCTCGCCTCGTACTTTTCCTCTGTTGTGCATCTCTTCCGCATGCCAATGGTCATTATACAGCCGCAGCATATGTGCAATGTGTCGAAGTCCATAATGCCAACCACGAAAGCCTGGGACCAGCCAGGATCATCTGTTCATCCACAGTACTATTAAGGCGTCGGATTCGAAGGTGCTATGTACAGAAAAGTGAAATTTCAGCTACAAATTGCAATATCGTGACCGTTCCTCCTGGCAGATTTAAGATATTATACCAGCCATACATAGCTCTATATGCCATGAAAATACATCAGCAAGAATTGTGTCTAAATAATGTGATTTGACAATGTTGTTGTGCATTGACGCAAGTGATGGTGGAAACGCAAGTGGCGGTGGATTACTGTAGCACCAGCCAGGCTCATCTGTTCATCCACCGTACTATCTAGGCGTCGGCGAGCTCGCTCGAACATGACTACAAACTCCTGTACTTAACTCATTTTGAATGCAGAATTTAGCTACAAGTGTGTGACCCCGCGTTGCCAATGTGGCGAGTGCAGGCCTTTCTAGCCTGGTTACTTCCATCATCACCCCCTCCATATCCTAGAACTGCAAGAGATAGCAGAGACCACGCAGCGAGATATTCTTGCTCTTCATACCCGGCGGTTTCGTGCCGCTACACTACTATAACGTCCATTCTGCCGCCCTGTTCTGCATGTGCAATGCGCTTGAAGCTTGAACTGACACTGAGGTTCACGCCCGCATGTGTGCCATTAGTATCTGATTTACACAGTCGAACACCTTTCGTTGTGCAATTGCCGCGACTCACTCCAGCCCATTGTTGAAGTGCTACACCTAACGCAATAGATATTCCGACTGACAACTCGGGGGTGTTGATGAACTCCCGAAGATTCGACGAACCGAGTGCAAATAGGCTGGCAAAAACATGTGAAGCGAACTGTGTCACCGCCATGAAGATAGTCCTTACCCTTACGTATAGGAAGATGCAAATAGCGCAAAGTCGCAGACCTGTCAATGAGTGCTTCATCTACACAGCAATGAAGCTGTGACACGTGGGATACACCTTGAAAGATGCTTGAACAAACGGGCGCTGGGCCAACTATCTCCACTCCCAACTACACACTCATTTCTCGCTAGTAATCAAGCACTAGGTTCGTCAGAACGGCGATTCTGTTGAACGATGCTATAAGCTCCTCTGCAGGTTACAGGTGACCACTTGCTCACCAGCGACGGATACCCACTAAGATCACTTGCACATTCGCGAATAACGGCCCAGCGACTCCTGTGTATACAGTCCCGAAACTGTCTTCTAGGTGAGGACTGGATTCCTGTAAGTAGGCTGTCTCGTGAGTAATGACTTGTGTACTCTTACCAATGTCAAACTAAAAGAAGATCGGCTCCTCAGCGATCATCGCCGTCTGATAATCCGGTCTGGTTCAAAGATCTCGGCAGGCTTCTCTCACATAGTCCCCAATCTGCAGTACTTGGAATCCCCAGTGCCAACCATGTCTTCCCCTACCAGGGAATCGCTAGAAATCATGCCAGACCAGACGATGCGAGGCCATAACGACTGGGTAACAGGTGTTGTCCATCTGCCCAGCAGACGACAGATAATCACATGTTCGAAGGACGGCTCACTCCGACTATGGGACCTACAGAGCGGCACACAGATAGGCGAGGACTGGCGAGATGAGAATAACGCAGGAATACAGTCCATGGCATTGTCTCCGAATGGCAAGACAGTTGCAAGCGGAAGCAACGACGGGACAGTGAGGTTGTGGGACATCGAGACGAGGAAGGTCATTGCCAAATTCAATGGACACACCGGAGTTGTGTGGTCATTGTGCTGGAGTGCAGATAGTAGGCGAGTAGCGAGCGGATCCTTTGATGGGACAGCAAGAGTATGGGATGTCAAAAGTGGCAAAACTGTCCTGACAATCAAAACCAGGCACAAATATGCATATGTGCACGCCATTATATACTCGCCCGATGACGAAAAAATCGCGACGGCCGGAGACAATGAGGATGCAGTCAAAATATGGAATGCGAAGACGGGCAAGCTGATCACCACACTCGAACACGATTGGCCAGCTCAGAGCTTGGCCTGGACATTGGACGGAAAGAAGCTTATCTCCGGTTCAATGTACCCGATTAGGATTTTCGACACAACCACTTGGGAGCAGATTGCCATCCTTGAGGGTCACACAAACTACGTGGACGTCATCTCCTTGTCTCAGAACGACCGCCTCCTTGCAAGTGCATCAAATGATAAAACAGCGCGTCTATGGAATCTCTACACGAATCTCCAGATCGGACCACCACTCCAGCATGAGGATAGAGTGGAGTCCGCAGCCCTTTCCGCTGATGGAAAAATGCTAGTCACTGGGTGCCAAAACGGAAATGTGTACACATGGGACATTCACGCCATCCTCAAAGAAGCTGGCCTTGAAGACCTACTACCCGCTGGTAGCAATATTGTGAGTGTCAATACCTCACCCAGTCTCTCTCTCACCTGACACTGATAATGTCCGCTGCTAGGCACCCGCGCCAAAAGACAGACTCGAACAGAAGGCATCTCAAGGCAATTCAGGAATAGAGCGAACCCCCCGCTCTTCCCTCGGTGACAAGTCATTTTTGGAAGTACGCACAGTGTTTGTGAACCTGCTCAGTAGTTATAACATTAACATTGCAGGCTGATGCTACGCGATGTCACGACGGGTTCGGGGGTCATGTCGATGAACTCCCACCTAGATTTTTTGATGGCATGGAAGCCGAGGTTCGTCATGGGCATTTCTATTACATCGTTGTTGTCCTGATATCTGTGCTCTCAGTCCTCCCATATGGGTGATGCCCACCCTCACTCCTCTGCAAGTGCACTCCTCGCTCGCCTTTCCTCACTCCTCCACCGCTTTCGACACGACAATGCTGAAGCGACCGAAGGTCCGCATCCCTCAACGTATTCGGGGTTACATCCACGGGTGCTCCTCGCTCGCCTGTCCTCACTCATTCAACGTTCTCCACCCGAAAATGATGCAGAAAACGAACTTCAGCAACCCTCTACGCGTTCGAGCTTAGATCCACATGCGCTCCTTGCTCGACTGTCCTCATTTCTTCCCCGCTCTCGACTCAGCACCGAAGAAGAAACCGAACCTCACCCCACAATGCCTTCGGGTTCACGTCCAGATGGATTCATCAGCCGTCTGTCCTCACTCTTCCGCTCTCAACCCCACACCAACGAAGAAATAGGACTCCCGCAACGCCCATGCCGTCCTCATGTTGTCGAAGTGGCTCCAATGCGGGACAAAGAGGTGTGTCTTTCTCCAGTGTGTTGATTTCTGATGTCTGATGATCTTCATGCAGCCATTGTTTGTTGCTCCACGGTCGCTACCAGATCGTCCACACGCTCAGCCTAATGGTACTGCCATACCAGGTGCAAGACATGAGTATCCACTTGCCCTCCGATTGTTGGCCCATGTTGTGCTTTTTCTCTGCTGTGCGTCTCCTCAACACGCCGATGCAAATGCACAGCCAACACAGCAGCAGCAAGATCAATCACAAGCTCCAGTCCAAACCCAGGTGTCGTCATTGCAGACTCAGCCAGCCGCCCCCTCGACGTCTACGATACCTACTTCTCTTGACAATCGTACTACCGCTCCAGGTGCGGCAAGCGCGTAGCCACGGCGCCTTCCATTGCAGACCTGTTTCGTTCTTTGTCTCTGCTCTACATCTTCCCCACATGTAGATGGGCACTCACACTACAGCACGCGGACACCTATCTCATCCGTCTAGTTTTTTTATAATCACTATTGTCTCGTTGTGCACACTAACCATCTTTGCATGTTTTATTTCCGCGACATCCTCAACCTCGGGCTGGTCTCTACCCTAAGTCATGAGGCCGCGATGTTAATCGCAAGCACTCGCATTGGCTGCCAGTCCTGGTACTGCACATGTTGTGCACCAGCTATCCCGTCCGCATCTATTCCCCTGGCACCTGATAAGCAGTCAGTATTTACGTCCTATGTTGAACCTGATCGTTCCATCGCACAACTGCACATACGCATCCTCCCAACCTCATTTCCTGCATGGCGTGCATACTACCCGGATAGTTTCAACACGCCACGGTGATCTCGCAGCGATTTTCCGTTATATCATTTACTCTGAGTGCAACAGCGCTGCATGATGTGTCTGCCAGAGTGTGCCCATGCGACCTTTACGCGGTGTACAACCAAGACGTATTCACCCGCTGTCTGCGATGCGACTAACCGTTCTGTTCTCTGTACGAAATGGGCTAAAGGTCGCGGATGACGTGGTGCCGAAAATTTAGCATGTATTGTTTTTACTTGAGCGAACGAAATATTATCACAACGTCTTTCACAGCAATTGCTCCAGCATGCACAACTAAGACTCTTAGCGCGGATCACTCTCTTCAATGCTATTGTAGTAAGCTGCAAGCGCTCGGTGCTGACTGCCCCACCATTTAGAGAGAGTAAGGGATAAGATGATAATGAACACATGAAATCATGCAGGAAGCCTCACCTGGGGCGATGCTTGATAACTTTTGCAATATCAGCCAATATCCAGTCTTGAGGCAATCCTGTTCCCTGTCCCAAATAAGAGACTGACGGGCGCTGCCAGCCTAGAACATTGTTTAGCTGAGCCAAGGGTGGATGATGTGGTTCCGCAACATATGCCACCCTGATCTAGAGAACTTGCCCATCATCCCGTCGGGTGCTTTGGACTGATTTCTGGAATTTGATCACGAAACATGCTGGGACTCAGCAACATGAAGTCTGTTACGTATAAGATGTACATACTAGCGCCGGTGCGGGCCTGAGCGCTTCGTCTGCACAAAAATAAAGCTGTGAAGCGAACACAAGGATGACGCGTGGGACGCACCTGAAAAGACAGATTGAACGAACTGGCGCCCTACTTCCCCTTCTCCCAACCAGACATCCATTAATCCCTGGTGATTGAGCACCGGGCTCGTGTGAACGGTGCTTCTTGTGAGTGACGCTCTAGGCTGTTCTGCAGGTTAAAGCTGACCATATTCTTACCAGCGGCTTGGGATACCCACCAATATATCTTGCAGATTCTCAAATAACGGCGCAACTCGTGCATACATAGTCCCGAAGCTGTCTTCTAGACGAGGACTAAATTTCCGTGAGTAGGTTGTCTCGTGGGCGATGCATTTTGTGCTTCTGACAAGCGTCGTGAAAGAAGATAGGCTTTTGGACTCACCAGCAATCATTTCCGTTGCCGGATAACCTGGTCTTATTGAAAAATCGCAGCGGGCTTCTCTTGCATGGATAGTTCACCATCTGCAGTAGCGCCGACCATGTCTCCCTCCACCAGCAAGGCGCCAGCGATCACTCCACGCCAGACAATGCGGGGGCATACCAGTTCGGTACATGGTGTTGTCCATCTGCCCAGAGCACGACGCATAATCACATGTTCGTCGGACGACTCACTCCGACTATGGGACCTAGAGAGCGGCGCACAGATAGGCGAGGACTGGCCAGATGAGAATGGCACAGGAATGCGGTCCATAGCATTGTCTCCAACCGCCAAGACAGTTGCAAGTGGAAGTGACGATGGAAAAGTGATGTTATGGAACATCGAGACGAGGAAGGTCGTCACCAAATGGACGGGACACACCAATGCTGTGTGTGCATTGTGCTGGAGTGCAGATGGCAAGCGAGTAGCAAGCGGATCCTGGGATGGGACAGTAAGAGTATGGGATGTCAAAAGCGGTGAAACTGTCCAGACAATCACAACCGGACACGATCGGGTGCGTGCGGTGAACTACTCGCCCGATAATGAAAAAATCGCGACAGGCGGAAACAAAGAAGAGACAGGCGGTCCGCCGGGTGCAGCCAAAATCTGGGATAGCAAGACGGGCGAGTTGATCACCACACTCAAACACGATTCCATAGTTCGGAGCTTGGCATGGACATCGGACGGAAAGAAGCTTATCTCCGGTTCATTATTCTTGATTAAGATATTTGACACAACCACTTGGGAGCAGATTGCCATTCTTGACGGTCACGCAAATGATGTCGACTTCATCTCCTTGTCTTCAAACAACCGCCTACTTGCAAGTGCATCATCATTTGAACAAGCAGCGCGGCTATGGAATCTCGACACGAATCTCCCGATCGGACCACCCCTCCAGCATGAAGATGATTTGGAGTCCGCAGCCCTTTCCGCTGATGGAAAAGTGCTAGTCACTGGTTGCGAAAACGGAGATGTGTACTCATGGGACATTCACGCCATCATCAAAGAAGCTGGCCTTGAAGACCTTCTGTCTGTAAATCCCATGGTTCTTTGGTAACTACTATACTAATCTCCCACTTGCAGGCCCCAGCTCCAAAATTGTTGACGACCGTACGTGACGTGTTTTTTCAGCTTTTCAACCATCTTAAAGACATTCTAGAGCGATGCTATGCGACGTCCAGTTATTCCTGCCCGCAGAATACCGCTAGGATTTTTTGATGGCGCCCAGGTGAGTTATATGTTTCTGTTGACCGGTTCTTGTTCTAATCTTTGTACTCTCAGTCCTCCGCAGTACACGGTACCCATCACCATCCCTCCACACATGACGCCCGCCGCCCTACATTTTCTTTGAATCCACGAACGCTATTCACCGGCTTTTCGTCGCTGTTCCGCCACTCTCACTCCAAGACTGATGGAGCAACTGAACTCCAGCAACGCCCAAGGCAGACCATCTTCTCTCGCGGACCTCGCGTTGTCGATGTTCCTACAGTACAGGACAGAGGGGTAAGTATTCGTTCGCGCGCGTTTCCCGTCGCTATTGTTCAATGACTTATCTGCAGGCACTGGCTGTTGCTCCACAACCGCGGCCGCGGCCGCAGCAGCAAAGCCAGTCGCACGGCCAAACCCAGGCATCGTCATCGCAAACTCAGCCTACTACCGCCTCGACCTCCGCGACACCCCCTGCCCCAGGTACTCATGCTACCACGGCTGGTGTAGCAGCTGCGCAGCCACCACCCATCCGATGGTGGGCTCGTCTCGTACTTTTCCTCTGTTGTGTATCTCTTCCGCACGCCAATGGTCATTAATATAGACGCAGCATATATGTAATATATCGAAGTCCATAATGCCAACCACGAAAGCCTGGGACCAGCCAGGATCATCTGTTCATCCACAGTACTATTAAGGCGTCGGCGAACTCGCTCGAACATACCTACGAACTCCTGTGCTAGACCCATTTTGAATGCAGAATTTAGCTACAAGTGTGTGACCTCGCGTTGCCAATGTGGCCAGTGCAGGCCTTTCTTTACTTGCATCATCACTCCCTCCATATCAGAACTGCAGGGGATAGCAGAGACCACGCAACGAGATATTCTTGTCCCACATAGCCAGCGGTTTCGTGCCCTCCGCTACTCTACTATGCACTTGCAGAGCTGATACTGGGGTTTACGCCCGCATGTGTGCCATGATTGGCATCTGATTTCCCACACCTTTCTTTGAGCAATTGCCGCGACCTACTCCGGCCCATTATTGAAGCAGGAGCAGTATTTTCCAGGCTTAGAGTGCGGAGCAGCTAGGCGTAGATTATGATATATTGAAGGTGGAGTGCAGAATGAAAGATGTTGTACGCAGACTCGGATGTTGAACTACAACTTGGCTGGTACCAAATTTGGTATCGGTCTTGTTCTGTTCTCGTGCCAAAGTCGATGATCTTATCGTCGTAAAACGATTTCCTTGGGACTCGTTCTGTTCGAGCGTCAGAGCGATGTTTAAATAAAGAATCGGTGTTCTAATCGGATATTGACTTCCGAGCTCATGTTTGAGCAATACAAAGAGCGGGCAAGGAGCGAATCTCGAACACCTTTTGCATGTTCTCCGAGTTGGGGTTCTGTGTCGACGAAACAGGCCATGATTAGATAGATGACCGATTTGATTCGAGAAGAATATATGCCTAGCAAGGCTCTTCGTCATTGTAATCTCCGTTGAACACCGGCACTACGATGTTGACATGCTCCAACAACTGATCTGCATATGCGGCCGGACCCAAGGGCCGATGACTCTGTTCCCCAAGTGAACTCGAGTCGGAAGATGATTCACTAGAGGGGTCTCAATAACTGTTAAAGTGTTTCGAATGACATGCTACGCACCCCAGTTGCTTCCGTGTTTGCTCCCCCATCAGCCTCGGGACTGAGCTCCGCAGCGACGGTCATAAACCTAAGTATACAGGATAGGCCCTCATAAATCGGATACGCAGCTGAAAAGTAGCACTTACTGTGCAGCATGTGTACCAGCCAGAACTCTCATGGCGTCCAAGTCTGTCTGAAGTTGTTCAAAGAGATCTGCTGTCTGCCCGACGGCACGCGACATGTTCTTCAGGCTGGCTGCGAGTTGGCCATATAGCCTGTCCTTTGCCTGGGTGGCATTCATCGACGCAAGGAAGATCTAATTTTCCAGAATCCAGCCTGAGTAGTAGTCGAAGACAAAACTCGGAAGGGTTCACGTGACACCGTGACCATGAACTCTGTTTGCTAGGCACCGTACGCCGTCGCTACCAATCAGAAAGGACTGGCAGAATTCGAACAGAGATTCACGCTAGCATGTACGATTGCAAGATCAGGAGGAACGACTGATTCTCTTCTAAAGGTCTGAACGTTTGAAAAAATTGATAGTTGCCAGCAAACAGACAGGCAGTTGAAGCAACGTTGAAGACAGTGCAAAAAAGTTACCGATTAATGCTTGCTTCACACCGTGAAAGCGATCTCTAATGTGCAACCTGAGTTGCCGAGCCAGAAAGGTAACCTTCCCTCATCCGTTGAGTAGTTCCGACAAACTAGCAATCTCATCTACGACATGCATGTATCTATACGGATTCTGTGCCAGGGATCAGCCATCAAACTATGCAGAAACAAGTAAAACTTACGCTGCAGGGCATTGTTGAGCTTGTTGACACGCGACGAGACACTGAGGTCAATGCTCTTATCGCCAAAGTCCACCACAATACCGCCGAGAACTGCAGGGTTGACCTGAAACTCATTAGAACCGACTTGAAAGGGTTATGAGCAAAACTAAAGTACCTTGTTCGAAATTTTCAGCGACTTTGCCTGCTGAGCTGTCTGGGACTGCTTGAGGATAGTCTCCAACCGGGAGGACAAATCCTTGGGCAGAGGAGTAGCAGACGTGACAACCACTTCCAGCTCTCCCTTGTACTTCGAAACCAACTCGTTGAAACCCTCTATAACACCTTGTGTCTCTCCAAGTCTGCCATTGTCCGACAGGACAGCGAACAAGTTTTTGGTTATTTCGGAGACAGGCTCCTTCTTGGAGCTCTCTGCACGAGCATAAATGACAGCGAGGCCCGCAGAGCGATCCTTGGCAGATAGCGTCGGGTTGCCGACGAACGCTTTGAGGTCGGGCACCTCCTTGATGACATTAGAGATGGCGTTCAGTTCCGACTGGACCTTGTTGAGTGTTTGCGGTGATTTCGAAAGAGCAGCCGAGTAAACAGCTTTGGAGTACTTTTGAGCAATGGTAGAAGCTGCTCGCCGTCCCAGACCCAGGGAGGCAGTTGCTGAGCGGAACGAGGAGCACAACATGGTAGGCGTTGGTGATGTGTTCTCTTCCGAGGTTGTAAGTATCGGGAAAGTGCGGGCTCTGAAATGAAAAGCTCAACCCGGCGTCTCCGCGATCAAATGTAGCGTGCACCAAGCGTGCACTACTTATTCTGTATCCGAGGAAATACTGAAGTGTCAAAAACACATAACCTGAACTATTCTATAGCTAATTTTGATTCATAAGATCAAGGGGAACTTCTCGAGAGTGAGGGTGCGTCAGTAGTATGGTGGAATAGCGTTGTGATCGCATGGTCAACACACCAACAACTCTGATGCAAAAATCACAAATTATGCGCAACTATACAACACATACGATGGTCATGCAAGTGTAGCCCGGCATAGATAACTACCCAAAGGGAGCACGTCATGACGCTGCTGCTCCGGACGAAGCAACCGCTTTCGCATTGGGCAACTTCTTCTCGCCAGTAGTCAGCTCCTCCATGTCTGCAGCCTTGAAATAATGAGGGGCAACTGAAAGATGTCATTAGCATTGAGTGGGAGATGGCTTGAATGAGAGCACTTGCCTTCCAATAGCCACGACGGCTTGATTTCCATGATTTGTCTAGAAAGAGCAATGTAGATCAGAGATGCATGGGTTTACTGGAAAAAAGACTTACCTCATGTATGATTTTGAGGTCATGACGAGCTCATAATACAACACAGTTTTAACGGGCGGTTGATGTTGGAAAAGACTTGATGAAGGGTGGATATACACAGTGTGATGCGTCTTCAGCGTCCGGTAAGAGTCGCCACTCTTCTGGAGTTGTGCCTGATAATGTTGCATGAGCATACTCGCACGCATCAACTACGAATTGTTCGACTTACAGTATTGTAAAAGTATCCCGCCGTGATAGCTTTCTGCACAGCGCTGATATCGTTTGCGTTCGGATTACTCTGGACGACGACTTCAACACGCTCGCAAAGCCCAGCAAGTTGATCCCGAATGTCTCGTGCACGACTGAGACTCTTGAACTGCAAGAATTGCTCGTAGCAGAACTGTTGCGAATAATTCGTATCGGCCCATTGCTCCCAGACGTTGAGCAACGTGAAGTGATCTCCTCCTGCGCGAACGAAGTTTTGACGCGCTTGGTCTGCGTGCATTTTCTTGTCTTTGGGGCGATAAAATAGCGACGAGGACTCGGAAAGCATTGCGATAATGGTCAGTACCTGGTGGAAGGACAACATCAACATCGACTTGTGTTTCAAGGTGTGAAAGCCCGTACCTCATCAGTACACGAGTACTTCTCGCTGGAAATGATTGCTTTGGACAACATGGGTTCGACAGGGAACTCTGCCATCCGCCGACCCAGTTTCGTCAGCTCGCCACGGTCGTTCAAGGCCCCCAGAGCATAGAGCAGCTCCAGTGCCCTGATAAGCGTCTCTCCTGGAGGTGGGTCCATGAACTCAAAGTCCATGAAGTTGTTAATACCGAGTGATTTCAGCACAAGGACGGTCAACCCAAGGTTCGTCCGCTGAATTTCAGGTACAGTATTCTCCTCCAGCTCATTTGCGAACGCCCATTTCGTGTATAGTCGGAAAGCTTTGCCTGGCCCTACACGACCTGCACGGCCGGCTCTTTGGTTGGCTGATGCTCGAGAACACTGTTAAACGCAGAATAGGGTGAGTTGCAAGCGCAAACATGGTGCAGCGTCATCACTCACCGGAACCACGATCAAGGAAGACATGCCAGTACGAGGATTGTACGAGTTTTGCTTGACGAACCCGGGATCGATGACGAAGACCACGCCCTCGATAGTGATTGACGTCTCTGCGATGTTTGTAGCCAGGACGACTTTTCTTGCGCCCTCTGGCGTAGGTTCAAAGATCTTGGCTTGCATGTCACTGGGCAAGTTGGCGTAGATTGGACAGACGATTAACTCGGCGATCTTGTTCCCAAGCGCTCGGGCAGTCTCCTGCAGGTTTTCTTGGGCCGCTTCAATTTCGTCTTGACCCTGCAGAAGAGTGAGTTACAGAACGATCTAGCAAGAAAAAAAAAGTCACGCACTGTGAAGAACACAAGAATATCGCCCTTGGGCTGTGTTGTATGAATTTGGAAGACGGTGGTGATGGCTGCGTGCAGGTAATTTGCCTCTGGCTGTGGCGTGTAGTGAATATCGACCGGGTATCGACGCCCAGGAACTGCGTAAAACATGAGTATCATGTTTGTAATCTGCAAATCGCAACTACCCACCATAAAACACGGGAGCATTGTCGAAGTACTCGCTAAACTTCTCGGCATCCATGGTCGCACTTGAAATCAACAACCTCAGCTCAGGCCTGAATCTCGCAATATCCTAACAAACAAAGCCTTCAGAACCTAAAGCAAACCGTGAGAAGTAGCACCACACACCTTGACGAGAGCAAAAAGAATGTCCGTACTCAGAGTCCGCTCATGTGCCTCGTCAATGATCAGCGCTGCATATCCGGCCAAGTCAGGTTCAGTCAGGAACTCTCGGAGGAGCATTCCATCCGTCATGTATTTGAGCACTGTCTTGTCGCTTGTGCAGTCCTCGAATCGGATGGAATATCCCACTTCATACCCAACTTTGGTACCCATCTCTTCAGCAACACGCGCCGCTACGGACATGGCAGCCACACGACGAGGTTGCGTGCAAGCCACTTTTTGTCCGTTAGCCGTGTACCCGGCTTCGTGCAGGTACTGCGGAAGCTGTGTCGTTTTGCCTGACCCGGTTTCGGCGACGACAATGAGCACTTGATGCTCCTTAATGGCCTCAAGCAGGTTCTCTCGGTACGTGTATATTGGCAGGGATTTTCGAGTTTCATCGATGCTTTGCGCTGGATCGAGGCTGTCAGAAAACATTGACTAAAGACGGGATTTAGATACTGACCTCGTTTTTCAGCCTCTTGAATTTGCTGGTGCAGGAGTTTGTCCTTGGCACTCATCATTCCCTCCCCCTTGAGCGTCTGGTCCATGACGAACTTGATGGTCTGGCTCTCGTCAAACACGTACTCATACTCGTCGGGGACATCCCGTTTGTCCATCGCGCCTGTCCGGAATGTGCTGTGCAGCGTTTGACTAGCCTCCCACTGGTCGACATCGGTAACGAACTGGTCATCCTTTGGCTTAGCATCTTCGTACCGCTTGTAAAGTGCATCATGCTTCTTCTCCTTGTCGATTTTGCCCTGCTCCGTGATGTAGTCTTCAGGTAGCATATAACCGTCCCATTTATCGTTGATCTTGAGACGCTCCTCAACAAGCCGAAGAATCTCTTTCTTGCGTTCCAAGTCCTCGTGCTCCTCCTTCGTGAGTTTCATTCCATGGAAATAGGCCTCCTCGTCCGCAATCTCCTTCCTCAGGAGCTCGATCTGCTGCACCTCACGTTTTGTCAGGTATTCCTGGCGAGAGTGCAATCGCAGTGAAGGAAGTGCATGCGTCCGTGCTTCGGTGTCGTCTGCCAGTTGTCGACGTTGTGCAGCCTCGGCCGCTGCACCTGCGTTACGAGAGGAGCGATCTTCGACGACCTTTTTCACCTTTTCCCGATCTTTTTCACGCACCCGCTCAGCAAACGCGTCTCGTTCCTTCATATCGTGCACCCGTTCTCGTTCTTTTCTCTCATCCTCGTCTTCCGGGATGTCCATCACCTCATCCTCATCCACATTGGTTTCAACATCATCAGGTTTCCGCCGCTTCCGAGTCTTCTCTTCCTCGTCGCTTTCCCATTCTTTGCTATCGTGCTCTCTCTTCCTGAGATGTCGGTCGCGCTTCTCCTTACCGCTCCCTCTATCCTCCTTCCGCTTCTCCTTGCTGCTACGTCCCTCCTCCTTCCGTTTTCCCTTCAACTCGGAAACGCCAGGGGTAGCCTCATCCTCAAGCAGGAACTCAAACCTGCGGGAATTCAGTGCCTTTGCATCCTTCTCCGCTTGCTTCCGTGCACTGTCTGCCGAAGACTTGTGTTTGCTCTTCCTGGGAACACGAGAGAAGAGCTCATTAATGAATACATGTGCGTCGGGGGTGTTTGGGAGGCCAGAAGCGGTTAGAGAGGAGAAAAGAGCGTCTGGTGTTTTTGATGTCGATGCTAGAAGAAAATATTTAAATAATGGCAAGTAGGTACATGCAGAATGGTCATACCTGAAGCTTGTACGAAGTCGATGATACTCCGGTCTGCAAGACCAAAAAGCTAAGAACGGAAATTAGGTAGGGTGTATGAAGAAGGGAGAACGATCTTACCCTAAGACAGTTGTCGCTGATGAAACGGTGAAGGTCGCTCGACATAAGGCTCTACGTGTGACAAGGTAGAGCCGTGACATAAATGAAGTCACGACATTGTCCTAAATGACAATTCGTGACAGACTCTTTTCGTCTCAAAGATGCCAAATTTGGTATCGTTGCTTGTCATCGTGCTCGACGTTGAAGACGATGGAAAACGACCGCGAGCGACATTCGGCTTCCAAGCATAAACGCAGTAGAGACAAAGACGAGCACAAAAGCAAGAAAAAGCACAAGTCTGAGCACAAGTCCCACAGGCGCAAGACTCGCACAGACGCGGTCCATATCACGGACGATGACGCCAACGACGACGATATGTGGGTCGAAAAGAACATCGACAACGACGGTGAGCGGGTGCGTATGTATTAGTTTTGCCCGCTTGGCGCTGACATGTTGTGTTTATTAGCTTCTTGCTACGGACATTCCAACTGCAGAAAGCTTGAAGATTACAACTCATGCAACTGCCGGAGAGGCAGACCCGCCACTGCCGCCTAATCTGACAACGGAAACGAGACTAAAGCGTGACGAGTGGATGCTTATGCCATCTGGCGGTGTTGCAGAACCTTTGAATTCGTCGAGGCCATCGGCCCAAGGATTACCCACAGGAGACGAGTCGTTTACAGAAGACTACAGCGAATCCTCTTCGAGCCAACGCGCACCTGCTGGAGGCATCGACTTCTTTTCCTCCCTGGGCACCGAACGCAAACGACCACCGCGACCTGACAAGCCTGATCCTGACAAGGTACAGTACCACTCCTGTCTTCGTACATTAGCTGACGGCATTTTTCCAGATCAAAATTAGTTCTAAAGAAATCAATCAAGACATCCGTGCTGGTCGTTCAGTCGACAATGATGCACCTCCCCCACCTCCAAAAGTCACAACCCCCGGTGGCCCAGGCTCTAATTGGCGTATGATGCGTCTCCGACGCGTTTACGAAACCGCAGAGGAGGAAAACAAACCCATCGAAGAAGTTGCGCTCGAGCGTTTCGGTACGCTGCAAGCATTCGAAGAGGCCAAAGAAGAACGGCGCATACTTGACGAACGCCAAGGCAAACGTTCAGAACGCAAGGACGACAGAGGTCGCGGGCGTGAGGGCGGTGGGGAGAAACGTTTCATGTTTACTGACGTCGGCGCGAGTGGTGCTTCGTCCCGTAGCTCGTCCTTCAGACGCCCTGGCTCAGGTCCAACAGGAAGTGCCCCCTCCACGCCATCCCCCGCTAATCTGCCAGCGAACCGTCGCATTGACTCTTTACGTTTACCCTCGCAGGCCGCATCCCCACTTGCACAGTCGCACACGCCAATACCAACCGTCATGACGCCGTCTGTACCGACGACGAGCACGCATCGCGCTATGTCACCTTCATCGCTGAACAAGCTACAGGCTCAGGTTCTGCGTGCGAAACTAATGAATGCACCGAACGCCGAGAAGCTTGAGGAAGAGTACGAAGCAGAGGTAAGACGGGCGAAGAGTGGGGAGGGCGGAGTCAGAACACGCGTGGAAGTTTTACCGACGTTGGATGCCAGGGGACAAATGTATGATGTTGGTCATGGCAAGGATGACGCAGAGAAAGGCCCCGGTAACAAGCGGAAGAAAGATAAGGTGAGATTGCGTCCTTTAGCATGAGCCCACTGACTACATGTTGGCTAGTTTGAAACGCGTGATCCGAAGACGGGAGAACTCCTCAGGTATAACGCTGATGATGATGAGATCACCCTGGGTGAGATGGTTAGGCAGGAACGGTTTGGAGCAGGCATGGCGGACCAGAAGAATTTGGATGCACAATTCGCCAAGGCTATCATGGGAGATGGCAAGTTTGTGGTACGGGAGCTCCAACAACTTCGTTGCTTCTTCAGACACTCATAATACTATCCACAGAATGATCTTGACTATATGGATGATAATGCGGAAAGACTTGGGCGGCAGAAAATGCGAACCGACGCAATGAAACGACAATTTGCTGTTCATGGTGGGTTTACATCCTCTATCCTGGCCTTTGACTCTGAACAATATTCGTGATCAGACTACAAACGCACTCAAAAAGCTCTGTCAACGTGTCAGTTCTGCTACGGCGAAGATGACTCGCCTCCAAAAGCACCTGTCATTGCTATGGGCACACGAGTCTACCTGTCCTGCACCCTGAATGAGGAGCTTCTAGATGGTCATTGTCTCATCGTGCCTATACAACACCATCTTACAATGCTGGAAGCTGACGATGATGTCTGGGACGAAGTGCGGGTGCGTAATCGTAGCTCAAAGCACCCTTCACATACAAGCTTACAGGTGCCTCTCACAGAACTTCATGAAAAGCCTCATGCGCATGTTCGCCGAAGAAGACAAAGGAGTCATATTCTATGAAACTGTCATTTCCCTCAAGCCGCAAAAGCACACCTGCATCGAGTGCGTACCGCTCCCATGGGACAAGTATGACGACATCCCAGCCTACTTCAAGGAGAGCATCCTCGCATCTGAAGCAGAGTGGTCGACGCACAAGAAACTGATCGATTTCTCCGCTCGGCCTGGAGGATTCAGACGCGCGATGGTGCCGAACCTACCATACTTCATGGTGCAGTTTGACTACAAGGGAGAGAAGGGGTACGGACATGTTATTGAAGGCACGGGTGAGTCAGCTGCAACGGGTGAGGAGGATGGGGCCTTGGATGAAGGGGATAAGGGTGGTGGAGATTTTCCAAGGTGCGTCTTTGTTGTCTTCTGAGTGTTTGATAGTCAGACTTTGAACGTACTTAACTGTAGATATTTTGCGGGAGAGATTATTGGGAACGTGCTGGATCTCGAGCCACGTCAGTGGATGCGACCGCGGAGGGTGGATTATCGGCATAACAAGGATCGGATACAACGGTTGAAGAGAATGTATGAAAAGTATGATTGGACGGGGTTGATCGGGGAGTCGTGATGGATTCGTTGACTTTGTTTGCTATTCGGACTTGTTGTATTGCCTTGCTGTCGTACACACGCTTGTGAATTTACTGTCACATGAGTCGTAACCTTGCAATTGCTCCCCTTGATGCATTGAAGGCAGGTTTCAGGCGCAACTTCGCTCAAGCGCAACCTCCAACATCGAATAGACAGTCGTAGGCCTCGGAACGCGATGTCGGTGCTGCTGACGCGACTGTCTTCACCTACGCGTAGTTTCGCGTGCAGGAGCTTGAGATATGGCTCCATGTGCATTCGTACACTGAGCACTGCTGGCAATGGCAAGATTGACCAAGCGCTTCGTCGGTCATATCTCTATGGTATGCCATAGACATGCACATGTCTGACTTTGTATTTCAAGCTGAATGATGACCAGTACCCTCGTCGTCTGACCGGATGCTGGACAAGTCTTTGAGTACACCATCCGACGTCATCATATACGACCTCGAGGACAGCGTGCCGCCTTCTCCTTTCGACAAAGAAAGTGCAAGACAAAGATTGAGTACGTTCCTAAACGTACGTCAACACTTTCGTATTCTGCATTATTTGAGTCTGAAACTTTGTCCGCCGGATAGCGTACACCAGAGCACAAGCTCCCGCATCCCGAGCGTATCGCTGTCCGCCTTAACGACATCACTACGCCTTTCTTCGAGAACGATATCTCCGAAGTAGTACGTGCTCTTTATTCCGATAGTCTGTAGCCCGCATCTGAGTCTTACCTTGCGTTCCGTCCAGCTCAAATCACCCTTTGTCCGAACACTTGTGCTCCCTAAGATCCACTCCATCCGCGACCTCCATCACGTCTCACGAGCCATCCAAACTTCACGGGCAAGAATCTCCACGCCATTTCCTATACGGATCGTTGCGAGCATCGAAAGCGCTCGCAGCGCGTGGAATCTTGGGGAGATTGCTTCTTGGACTTCTGAGTATGGTCCAGATGTAGGTGGAAAGTTGGGTGCCCTGCTCGTGCGTTTCCTCTTCATTTGGTATTCTTAGTTAGTTGCTGAAATGTTTCTGCAGTTCGCAGCAGAAGATTGTATAGTTGTTTGATGCTTGTGCACAAATGGAAAGCTCACTGTGACACAGATTGTGCGGATACTTCGGTTGTGCGGACACCTTCAAGACTTGAGCTTCTCTATGTACGGTCCCAGATTGCAATTGCTGCCAAGGCTTTCGGATTGGATGCGATAGATATGGTATGTATTAAGACTGTTACGTTTGAATAATCGCTAAAGTCGATCATTGCAGGTTTGTGTCAACTACAAGGACCTTGATTATCTAAAAGACGAATGCGAAGATGGAAGGAGACTTGGTTTCAACGGAAAGGTACATCTTGTCTGGGTTTGACTTGGGCCGTATTGAATGCGCTATCGTTTCTAGCAAGCTATCCACCCCACACAAGTTGATACCATTCATTCGACATTTGTTCCTACCGAGAAAGGTGTGCCATCTCTGTTCAAGTTTAATTTAACCGACATCCTCGCATAGAAATCCTTCGCGCCGCAAATATTCTCCACCAGATGGAAGTTGCGCATTCCTCTCAGAAGGGTGCCTTCGGTCTAGAGCTGGAGGGGGGTGGTAAAGAGATGATCGACGCTCCGATGTTGAAGCAGGTGAGTCTCCATAGTTTTTGTGCATCGCGAAGTGTCTCATACATTGACCAGGCTGAGAATATCATCCGGGTGGCCAAGGCAGCTGGCTTGGAAATACCTGTTGTAAGTTAGTATTGTGAATGAATATATTACGTTCAAGTGCAATAGATGGCGAGTTCTTCAAGAACTTCTTGACCATCCTCCTCAACCGGCCAATACGCACACTGCAAAACATTCATCCTGTAAGGGCCTTTGGTCAGGCTCGTCTGACAACTTGGCAAGTTTTCTCGCCACCAGGAATCTTCTCCCTATAGCATCTTTCGGGCAATCCCCTTATATCTCAATTAACCTCAATAGCAGTATTGATGACTCACGGGCAACAAACAACATTGAAATCTGCAGAGGATATTGCTGAATTCTGCCACTTCAAATCATATCACGAGAACGGTGCATTGACACAGTTGAGGTTGTTTTGGAAGACGACGACCTGGACCACCGTTTTGCTGAGTTTAACTTTTCACCCAAGACTAGGTAATTGAGCAAATAATTGACCCTTACCAACAGACACCTTTCTTTGAAAGCCTATTCCTTGTCTCATCATCCACAAGAGTCTCGACGACAAGCTCGTACACTATTAAGTTGATCCTTCAAAATTGGACTCTAGTCACTCTACTTGTTACGCTCGGCGTCACATCTTCCTTCGGTTGCCTTGCGTCAGGGAACTATCGTCCAATGAACGCCCAGTGGTTCCGCAATTTTCTGTTTCTCAGCCGTTTCCCATAATTTGCTACAACCCAGGTGGTAACCTAATCATGTTCAAAAACTGCGACTTGTGACCGAGATTCCAAAAAGGAGGAACGGTCTTCCGATGGTTAGTAAACAATATCGAATACGAGTGGAGCTTCTAATGTCTATATCTAATTCCCACCTAGGAACTCTTATCTCGCATTGACCAATTGTAACCCATGTCATGTGCCCTCGACTCCGATTATAATGAGAGCGCGGCCCTCAAGTACTGGCTTTGCGACACTATCATGTTGGATTGCACCTTATAATCTTGAACACTCACCCGCACCATGTCAGACCTTCCCTCCGCCATCCACCCTGACATCCTCCCCCGCCTCGACCCCGAGTACGTCGCAATCCACAATGCCCATATAGCACACCGTGTCCCCCCGCACACGATACCATGGCATCCAGATATCAGGAAGGCGCCCTATATCCCCGGTGGCTCCCCTGTTAGGACGGTCGGGGCTGTCAAGGACATCAGTTTGCAGAACTGCAAGATTCGGGCTTTCATTCCTGAGGGAACCGCCCCTCCAGAAGGGTGGCCGGTATTACTGTACATCCATGGGGGTGAGGGCCAATATCAATTCTAGTGAATGTTTAGCTGAGAGTTCTCAGGTGGATGGACGCTTGGGAGTATCGACACACTGAACTCGTTCATCTCGCGTCAATGCAAAGGTGAGGTTGGACTGAATATGGTGCCCGGTGCTGGAGCTTAACTGAGTTCAAGAGAACAACTGCGTTTCGGTGGCCTTGGACTACCGCTTAGCTCCCGAGGACCCATATCCTGCAGCAGTCGAGGACACTGTTGACGCATTGAAATTCATCTATCATAATGGGAAGGCAGAGTTTAATGCAAACGTGAACAAGATCGCAGTCGGAGGGTCGTCCAGGTGCGTATATTGTCTCATCCCGCATGATGAAAGCATCAACTTTTGTCAGTGGCGGCAATTTAGCGGCAATCGCATGTCTCAAGGCGCAAGAACTCACGCCTCCTATCCCCATCATCTTCCAGCTATTGCTTGTGCCTGGTAAGCCTGAAGCATTCCAAATGATCATCTCTCACCCGCTCCCAGTGACCGACAACACGGCATCCGTCACTGACGAGCGATACCCGTCTTGGAAAGAGTGCCAGAATACTGTTTGGCTGTGCGAAGGGCGGATGATGTGGTTCCGCAACATGTACCTTCCTGATCCCGCGACCTGGACAGATCCAGACAACTCGCCAATATTTGCGTCGGATGATTTGCTTGCCAAGGTCCCGCCTGCATTCATCGGTGTCTGTGAACTCGATATTCTGCGGGATGAAGGAATTGCATATGGCGAGAGGTTGAAGTCTCTCGGGGTGAAGGCAGAAATAAAGGTGTATCCGAGTGCGCCGCATCAGATTCTTGGGATGGACGCTGCACTGAAGGTTGGGAAGCAACAAGCTGATGACTCCATCAAGGCGGTGGGTGATGCTTTCAAAGCAGCATAGGGGATTAAATCGAGTTTGCCAGAGAAGAGTAATAAATTGTGTACAATCATATTGAATGCGAAGTCACGGTCACTGGTGTGTTATAAGACAGCTTTGCGATTGGTCTTTTCGAAAATCATACCCCTGATCTCTGAAATAGAAGGTGCGCATTGCAACTAAGTTCAGGATGAGAGAGGGTGGCATATGTACCCTGATCCAGAATGAGAATTGTCTTTGATCAGGCTGCAGTATTCATTGAAGAGACGACGGGTAGTATAAGGAAGCAGAATCAGTACTTCGACCTGCGACTTTGCGGATGGTGGCACATCAATATTGCATAAAATCCCTGCATATCACTGAGTGTTAGCTACTGGAAGTTAAATGACACTGAAGTTCTAAGCAACTTACCTGCTGTAAAGTATATCTACTGACATCGAGTTTCACATGTAGCAGTTACTGGGTATATTAATCAGGCGCTAAGAATCCCGAATGAACCGCCGACTCATCTATGAAGGAACTTCGCCGATGCTTGACGATCTGTACAATAAACTAATACACGGCGATCCGAAAGGTGATGACCATGATGAGTTTGGTCAGTCAACATCCTCGTTATCGGTGCAAGTGGATGTCCGCACTTGAAATGTAGCTGATTATAGGTGCCGACCTCGGCTTCATCAGACTCGACCAAAATTAGCCCGAAAGTTCTATCAGTGATAAGCATGCATACGAGGTGGGACTCTCGCATTGCGTAGACTTGAGCTGAAATGCCGCACAACGTACAACAGGACCATATCACCACAGCAAGCGCCGTATCTCTACGCCACGAGGCCCGTGGTGCTGGGGAACCAGTTTAGGTACGAGCATCTAGTGGAAGTCCAGTGTTATTTTTAGGGGTTTCAAGCGATGCACTATCTGTCAAGAGGTAGTACGGGCTTGCGATTGTTCCATATGCATGATAGGCAACGAGGTTTTGTCAGATCCTTGACTTCTCGCACGAGATCATGGGTGATACCAGCCTGCAGGATGAGATGAGGACAGGAATCTCCAAGTCGCGCATTACCGAGACTTCAAGCTTCAAGGTGTAGCCGGGTTCATTTCGTTCGGAAAATAGTGATCTGAAGGAATATGGGCAGTAGGAGAGGTGATGCGGCACCCTGTCGAATCTTTGTCAGAAATACCAACGCCTTGGGCTATGATAGGAAAATGCACCGGTATACGCGCATCGTTCATATAGCACTTGCGCAGCATTGGGATAACGCGTCGTAGAAGAGCGGGTTCCTAACTTCCTCCTTACCAGCGAATTTGGTATTCCGCAATCTCATGTACTTTCTCGAATCGAGGCATAGTAACACCCTCATGTGACAGAGTCCTATGAATTTCCGCAAGTTCACTATCTGGTTAGATATGCCCTCCCTTTATTACAACCATCAACGTAATCCTTACGTTGAGATGATACACATAGCGCCCAGTCACAAGACCTGAGCACTGCACCTACACAGCACTTAAGCTATGGAGTGAACACGTATATAGGAACGCATGGGATGAACCTTGATGTTTAAAGGCGGCTTGAACAAACGGGCGCTCAAATTTCTCAGCTCGCAACCAGAAACCCGCTCGTGATCAAGCACTAGGTTCGTCAGATCGGTGATTCTGTTGAACGATACTATAGGCTCTTCTGCAGGTTACAAGCGACTACTTGCTTACCAGCGACACCGAATACCCGCTAAGATCACTTGCGCATTCTCGAATAACGGCCTAGCAACTCCTGCATATACAATCCCGAAGCTGTCTTCTAGGTGAGGACTGGATTCCTATAAGTAGGCTGTCTCGTGAGTAATGACTTGTGTGCTCTTACCAGTGTAAAACTAAAAGAAGATCGGTTCCTCAGCGATCATCGCCGTCTGATAATCCGGTCTGATTCAAAGATCTCGGCAGACTTCTCTCTCGCGTAGTCCCCAATCTGCAGTATTTGGCATCCCCAGCGCCGACCATGTCTTCCTCTACCAGCAAGGCGCTGGCGATCATGCCACACCAGACGATGCGTCATACCGACTGGGTAACAGGTGTTGTCCATCTGCCCAGCAGACGACGGATAATCACATGTTCGGGGGACGGCTCACTCCGGCTATGGGACCTAGAGAGCGGCGCACAGATAGGCGAGGAATGGCGAAACGAGAGTGAGGCAGGAGTGTGGTCCATGGCATTGTCTCCACACGGCAAGACAGTCGCATTTGGAAGCGGAAGCAGTGATAATAACGTGAGATTATGGGATGTTGAGACGAGGAAGGTCATCGCCAAATGGACGGGACACACCGATCTTGTGCGTGCATTGTGCTGGAGTGCGGATGGCAAGCGAGTAGCGAGCGGATCCTGGGATGGGACAGCAAGGGTATGGGATGCCAACAGCGGTGAAACTGTCCTGACAATCAAAACCGGGCACAATGAGGTGTGGGCGGTGATATACTCGCCCGATGACGAAACCATTGCGACGTCCGGAGACGACGAGAATGCAGTCAAAATCTGGGATAGCAAGACGGGCAAGCTCATCACCACACTTGAACACGATTATGCAGTTTACAACTTGGCCTGGACGTCGGACGGAAAGAAGCTTATCTCCGGGTCATATCGCCTGATTAGGATATTCGACACAACCACTTGGCAGCAGATTGCCATTCTTGAGGGTCACACAAATCTTGTCAACGACTTGTCCTTGTCTGGGAACAACCGCCTCCTTGCAAGTGTATCATGGCAAGCAGCGCGTCTATGGAATCTTGACACGAATCTCCCGATCGGACCACCCCTCCAGCATGAAGATCATTTAGAGTCCGCAGCCCTTTCCGCTGATGGAAAAACGCTATTCACTGGTTGCCAGAACGGAAATGTGTACACATGGGACATTCACGCCATCCTCAAAGAAGCAGCTGGCCTTGAAGACCTACTATCCGCTGGTAGCAATATTGTGAGTGTCAATACCTCGTCCACTCTCTCTCACTGACAATGTTTGCTGAGAGAAGGCATCCCAAGGCAATTCAGGAATAGAGTGTACCCCCCGCTCTTCGCTAAGTGACAAGTCATTTTTGGAAGTACGCGTGAAGTGTTTGTGAATCTTCTTAGTAATCTCAACATTAAAATTTCAGGCTGATGCTACGCGATGTCACGACGAGTTCGGGGGTCATGTTGATGAACTCCCACCTAATTTTTTTGACATCATGGAAGCCGAGGTCCATGTTCGTTATCGGCATTTCTATTACTTAGCTCGTATCCTGATCTTTGTGCTCTCAGTCCTCCGAAACAGGTGCCCACCCTCATTCCTCTGCGAGTGCACTCCTCTCTCGCCTTTCCTCGCTCCTTCACCGCTTTCAACACGACAATGCTGAAGCGACCGAACTTTCCCAAACCCCAACGCCTTCCAGGTTCCATCCACGTGTGCTCCTCGCTCGCCTTTCATCACTCGTTCACCGTTCACCACCCGAAGATGATGCAGCAAATGATCTTCAGCAACCCTTCACGCCTTCGCGTTTAGATCCATATGTGCTCCTCGCTCGACTGTCCTCGCTTTTACCCCGTTTTCGACTCAACACCGATGAAGAAACCGAACCTCATCCCACAACACTTTCGGGTTCACGTCCAGATGCACTTATCAGTCATTTGTCCTCGCTCTTCCGCTCTCAACCCCACACCAACGAAGAAATAGAACTCTCGCAACGCCCATCCCGTCCTCATGTTGTCGAAGTGGCTCCAATGCGGGACAGGGAGGTGTGTCTTTCTACAGTGTGTCAATTTCTGGTTTCTGATGATCTTCATGCAGGTATTGTTTGTTGCTCCGCGGTCGCTACCAGACCGTCCACACACTCAGCCTAATGGTACTGTCACACCAGGTGTAAGACCTGCGTATCCACTTGCCCTCCGATTATTGGCCCATCTCGTGCTTTTTCTCTGCTGTGCGTCTCCTCAACACGCCAATGGAAATGTACAACCAACACAGCAGCAGCAAGATCAATCACAAGCTCCGGTCGAAACCCAGGTGTCGTCACTGCAGACTCAGCCCATCGCCCCCTCGACGTCCACGATACCTACTGCTCCAGGTGCGGCAAGCGCGTAGCCACGACCCCTTCCATTGCAGACCTTTTTCGTTCTTTGTCTCTGCTGTACATCTTCCCCACACGCAGATGGGCACTCACACTACAGCACACGGACACCTATCTCGTCCGTCTAGTTTTTTTATAATCAAAATTGTCTCGAATTTGTCAAAAACGTCGGGTTGCCTTTGAAAATGCTTCGACCGACTGAGCAAGCACTATCATGGAACGCTCCAAGTCGTCTCTCACCTGCCCCCAGTGATCGACATCACGACATTCATCACTGACGGGCGCTGCCCGCCTTGGAAAGAGTAGAACACTATTTAGCTGAGCCAAGGGCGAATGATGTGGTTCCGCAACATATACCGCCCTGATCGAGAGAACTTGCCCATCATCCAGTCGGATGCTTTGGACTGATGTCTGGAATTTGTGATGATCATTATCTTGAAGTTCAAGGGGTGGGCAAGCACACAGATCGGTCGAATGGTCTGACGTGACAAGCAGACCAAAATCTAATCTGAAAGTTGATCACGAAACAGATGCCCGGACTCAGCACAACACCGTCAAACTTTGTCTTCAGCATGAAGTCCATTACGTATAAGAAGATGTACACAGCGCCAGTCGCGGGCCTGAGCGCTTCCTCTACACAGCAATAAAGCTGTGAAGCGAACACAAGGATAACGCATGGGACGCACCTTAAAAAGGGATGGCAAACTTTCTCGACTCGAATCCAAACGCCCACCAATCACTGGTGATTTGAACACTGGGTTTGTCTAAACTGTGGTCCTCGTGAGTAACGTTCTAGGCTCTTCTGCGACGTATCCACCTGCTTACACCAACGACTTCGGGAACCCACCAAGATATCATACTAGCGCATTCTCGGATAACGGCGCAGCAAGTGCTGCACATACAGTCTCAAAGCTGTCATCTAGGCGAGGACTGGATTTCCGTGAGTAAGCTGTTTCGTAAAAATGACTTATGTGCTTCTGACAAGCGTCGTGAAAGAAGATAGGCCTCACTGCCGTTGCCGGATAACCTGGTCTTATTGAAAATTCTCTGCAGACCTCTCTTGCATAGATAGTCCCCGATCTGCAGTACGGACTCCCCAGCGCATACCATGTCTTCATCCACCAGAAAGACACCAGCGATCAGGCCACGCCAGACGATTCAAGGCCATACCGGACGGGTAACAGGTGTTGTCCATCTACCTGGCAGCGGACGACGGATAATGACATGTTCGGTGGACGGCTCACTCCGACTATGGGACCTAGAGAGCAGCGCACAGATAGGCGAGGACTGGCGAGATGAGAATAACAAAAAAATGTGGTCTATGTCATTGTCTCCAAACGCCAAGACAGTTGCAACTGGAAGCGGAGACGGTGATTATAACGTGATATTATGGGACATCGAGACGAGGAAGGCCATCGCCAAATGGACGGGACACACCAATGTTGTGTGTGCATTGTGCTGGCGTGCAGATGGTAGGCGAGTAGCGAGTGGATCCTGGGATGGGACAGTAAGGGTATGGGATGTCAAGAGCAGTGAAACTGTCCTGGCGATCAAAACCGGACAAAATTGGGTGAACGCGGTCATGTACTCGCCCGATAACGAAAAAATCGCAACAGGTGGAAACAAAGAGAATGCAGTCAAAATCTGGGATAGCAAGACGGGCAAGTTAATCACCACACTCGAACACCATAACACAGTTTACAGCTTGGCCTGGACGTCGGACGGAAAGAAGCTTATCACCGGTTCATTTGACCCGATTAGGATATTCGACGCAGTCACTTGGGAGCAGATTGCCGTTCTTGAGGGTCACACATCCACTGTTGACGTCATCTTGTCTTCAAACAACCACTTCCTTGCAAGTGCATCAAATGATAAAACTGCGCGTCTATGGAATATCGTCACGAATCTCCCGATCGGACCACCCCTCCAGCATGAAGATCGTTTGGAGTCCGCAGCCCTTTCCGCTGATGCAAAAGTGCTAGTCACTGGGTGCCAAAACGGAAATGTGTACACATGGGACATTCACGCCATCCTCAAACAAGCTGGCCTTGAAGACCTCCTGCCTCTTCCTCTTTCTGATGTAAATCCCGTGGTTTTTCGGTTAAAGCTATACTAATTTCCCATTTGCAGGTCCCAGCTCAAAAATCATTAACGACCGTATGTGACGTGTTTCTTAGGCTTTGCAACCATTTTAAAGACATTCTAGAGAGATGCTACACGACGTCCAGCTATTCATACCCGCAGAATACCGCCAGGATTTTTCGATGGCGCCCAGGTGAGTTATATGTTTCTGTTGACCAGTTCTTGTTCTAATCTTTGTACTCAGTCCTCCGCAGCACACAGTTCCTCCATACATGACCCCCGCCGCGCTCCCTCTTCGAATCCACATGCGCTCTTCAGCGGCTTTTCGTCGCTGTTCCGCCACTCTCACTTCAAGACTGATGGAGCAACGGAACTCCAGCAATGCCCAAGCTTCTCTCCCGGACCTCGTATTGTCGAAGTTGCTGCAGTACGGGACAAAAAGGTGCGTATTTCTTCTTGTGCGTTTCTCATCGTCAACTTCAATGATTTCTTGTCAGCCGCTGTTTGTTGCTCGCCGGCCAGAACGTGACAAGGCAAAACGAACACAACAACAGCAAACCCAGGCGTCATCATCAGCAACTCAGCCCGCCACTGCCTCGACATCTACGACACCTCCTGATCCAAGTACGAATGCTACCGCAGCAGGTGCAGCACCCGCGCAGCCACGACCCCTCCCATGGTGGGCTCGTCTCGTACTTTTCCTCTGTTGTGCATCTCCTCCACATGCCAATGGGCATTAATACTGCGGCGTGTGGACAACAATTATATCATGCACTGCACGAGACACTGGTACACATTCCGTATTCTTAAACGAGATCGATTCTCAAATCCCTTCAGCAGCCCATCGAGATCGCCAGCCAAGTGCGAGGGGACAGGATATTTAGACTCATGATGAACCACTTCCAATGACCCACTTTGTTCATTTTTCGTGTATCACTCTGGAGCATCGGGCTTCATCAATATTATATCCTTCGGGTTAGGGTGAGGGTCAGAATTCCTCCCCCGCCTCGACCTCCTCCGCCTCGACCTCCTCCGCCTCGACCCCGAGTACGTCGCAATCCACAATGCCCATATAGTACACTGTGTCCCCCCGCACACGATACCATGGCATCCAGATATCAGGAAGGCGCCCTATATCCCCGGTGGCTCCCCTGTTAGGACGATCGGGGCTGTCAAAGGACATCAGTCTGCAGAACTGCAAGATTCGGGCTTTCATTCCTGAGGGAAAGGGTGGCGGGTCTTGCTGTACACCCGGCCAATATCAATTCTAGTGAATGTTAGCTGAGAGTTCTCAGGCGGGTGGACGCTTGAGAGTATTGACACACTGAACTGAGGGTGGCATATGTACCCTGGTCCAAAATGAGAATTGTCTTTGACCAGGCTTCACTTTTCATTGAAAAGACGACGGGTGGTAAAAGGAAGCAGAATCAGTACTTCGACCTGCGACTTCAATTGGGGATTGTGGCACATCAATATTGCATAAAATCCCTGCATATCACTGAGTGTTAGCTGCTGGAAGTTAAACGACACTGAAGTTCTAAGCAATTTCCCTGCTGTACAGTATATTTGCTGACATTGAGTTTCACATGTAGCAGTTACTGAGTATGTTGATCAGGATCCCGAATAGAATGCCGACTCATCTATGAAGGAACCTCCCCGATGCTTGACAATCTGTACAATGAACTAATACACGGCAATCCGAACATCAGCGGGTTCAATTGGGCTGCATAGCTATGGCGCTGGATCTGTTCAACTATTCTTACACACAACATGCACACATACACAAAGGATTTACATAACACAGAGTCGCGTACCGTTGCCGAGATGTATCAGGATGCTTTGGGATTAGCGTGACTTCCCGTTTTGGTAACACCGCACGACGACAAAATCGAGCTCGCTGTTGAGGACAGCGAGCTCAAATAGTTGCCCAATCCTTCACCCTTTTCACTGGTTCTTTTGAGGGAAAAAAATAATCAACTGTAGCTAGTTAACTATGCTTACTTTTGGACAATACAACCCTCCTTCCCCACCTCCTCCTCCCCCCACCCTGACCGCTTTTCTGGTATTTTCTGGACTCTAATTGAATACTTCTGGCTTTGTAGAAGTTATAATATATTTATACAATGAATACATCATTAATTGAGCCCATAATAAGCCCCTCAGAGCGCCCAGTATAAATACATGACAGGAATGGGTGAATATTGTAAGTTTGGAAGATATATGGTCAAAATAGCATATTTAACTAGCTACAGTTGATTATTTTTTTCCCTCAAAAGAACCAGTGAAAAGGGTGAAGGATTGGGCAACTATTTGAGCTCGCTGTCCTCAACAGCGAGCTCGATTTTGTCGTCGTGCGGTGTTACCAAAACGGGAAGTCACGCTAATCCCAAAGCATCCTGATACATCTCGGCAACGGTACGCGACTCTGTGTTATGTAAATCCTTTGTGTATGTGTGCATGTTGTGTGTAAGAATAGTTGAACAGATCCAGCGCCATACATAGCGCTTTCTAGCGCTCTGAAACACTCTGTAATAACTTACGTTTCCCTGATGAAAGGTGATGGCCATGATGAGTTTGGTCAGTCACTCGTGCAAGCGGATGCACGCACTTGAAATGTAGCTGATTATAGGTCCCGACCGGTGTTCATCAGAATCGACCAAAATTAGCCCGAAAGTTCCGTCGCAGATAAGCATGGATATAAGATGTGGTACTCTCGCATTGCGTAGACTTAGGGCCGAAATACCGCAAAACGTACAACAGGACCATATCACCACAGCAAGCGCTGTATCTCTACGCCACGAGTCCCGTGGTGCTGGGGGACCAGTTTAGGTACAAGCCTATCTAGGGGAAGTCGAGTGTTATTGATAGGGGTTTCAAGCGATGCACTACTGTAGAGATACGACACTAGCTTCGTCACGTGCAGCACGTGACAAAGTCACGCTTAGTGTCACAGCTTCGAATTACCCTGTCACCTGTGACCACATAAAAAATAGCTTCGGAAATTGTGATTTTGTCAAGGCTTCTTGTCTGATTCATATCTTATTATAAAGTTGAGAAGTAACAGGTAGAATCTAGCTGGACATTGTTGTTTTTTATATGTTTTTTTGTATGTTTTTTATATGTTTTTCTGTATGTTTTTACCACATGTCACAAATTAGCTTCGGCCCCCAACAAATTGGTGTGACAGTCACACCAAATAGGTTCGATTCGTTGATGGCTGTGACCTGTGACGAACCTAGTGTCGTATCTCTACAGTATCTGTCAAGAGGTAGTATAGGCTTGCGATTGTCCAATGATAGGCAGCGATGTTGTGTCAGATCTTTGACTTCTCGCACGAGATCATCGGTGATACCAGACTGCAGGATGAGATGAGGACACGAATATCCAAGTGGTGCATTATCGAGACTTCAAGCTTCAAGCTGTAGCTGGGTTCATTTTGTTCAGAAAATAGTGATCTGAAGGAATATGGGCAGTAGGAGAGGTGGTACGGCACCCTGTCGAATCTTTGTGAGAAATATCAACGTAGCATAGCTCCTTGGGCTATGATAGGAAAATGCACCGCATCGTTCATACAGCACTTACACAGCATTGGGATAACGCGTCGTAGAAGAGCGGGTTCCCAACTTCCTCCTTACCAGTGAATCTGGTATCCCGCAATCTCATGTACGTTCTCGAATTATGGCCCCGCATACAGAGTCCCATGAATTTCTGTTAGTACACTATTAGTTAGATACGCGCTCCTTTTTATTACAACCATCGACGTGATCCTTACGTTGAGATGATACACATAGCGCCCAGTCACAAGACCGGAGCACTGCACCTACACAGCACTTAAGATATGGAGTGAACACGTGGATAGTAACGCATGGGACGAATCTTCATATTTAAAGGCGGCTTGAACAAACGGGCGCTCAAATTTCTCAACTCCCAACCAGACACCCGCTGGTGATCAAGCACTAGGTTCGTCAGAAACGGCGATTCTGTTGAACGATACTATAAGCTCTTCTGCAGGTTAAAGGTGACCACTTGCTTACCAGCGACATCGGATACCCACTAAGATCACTTGTACATTCTTGAATAACGGCCCAGCGACTCCTGTATATACAGTCCCGAAGCTGTCTTCTAGGTAAGGACTGGATTCCTGTAAATAGGCTGTCTCGTGAGTAATGACTTGTGTGCTTTTACCAGTATCAAACTAAAAGAAGGTCGGCTCCTCAGCGATCATCACCGTCTGACAATCCAGTCTGGTTCAAAGATCTCGGCAGACTTCTCTCGCATAGTGCCCAATCTGCAGTACTTGGAATCCCCAGCGCCGACCATGTCTTCCTCTACCAGGAAGTCGTTAGAGATCATGCCAGACCAGACGATGCGAGGCCATACCGGTTGGGTAACAGGTGTTGTCCATCTCCCCAGCGGACGACAGATAATCACATGTTCGAAGGACGGCTCACTCCGACAATGGGACCTAGAGAGTGGCGAACAGATAGGCGAGGACTGGCGAGATGACTCGGAGTATAACGCAGGAATACAGTCCATGTCATTGTCTCCAAATGGCAAGACAGTTGCAAGCGGAAGCAATGACGGGACAGTGAGGTTATGGGACATCGAGACGGGGAAGGTCATTGCAAGCGCCAAATTGATGGGACACACCAGAATTGTTTGGTCATTGTGCTGGAGCCCGGATGGTAAGCGAGTGGCAAGCGGACCCTCGGATGGGACAGCAAGAGTCTGGGATGTCAACAGCGGTGAAGCTGTCCTGACAATCAAAACCGGGCACAATTGGGTGCGGGCGGTGATGTACTCGCCCGATAACAAAAAAATCGCGACAGGTGGCCCGGATGCAGTCAAAATCTGGGATAGCAAGACGGGCGAGTTGATCACTACACTCAAACACGACTGGACAGTTTACAGCTTGGCATGGACATCGGATGGAAAGAAGCTTATCTCCGGTTCATTTGACCTGATTAGGATATTCGACACAGCCACTTGGCAGCAGATTGCCGTTCTTGAGGGTCACACACACTATGACATCTCCTTGTCTCCAAATAACCGCTTCCTTGCAAGTGTATCATGGAATACAGCGCGTCTATGGAATCTGGACACAAATCTCCAGATTGGACCACCCTTTCAGCATGAAGATATTATGGAGTCCGCAGCCCTTTCCGCTGATGGAAAAGTGCTAGTCATTGGTTGCAAAAGCGGAAATGTGTACACATGGGACATTCACGCCATCGTCAAAGAAGCTGGCCTTGAAGACCTACTATCCGCTGGTAGCAATATTGTGAGTGTCAATACCTCACCCAGTCTTTCTCTCACCTGATACCGATAATGTCTGTTGCTAGGCACCTGGGCCAAAAGACAGACTCGATCAGAAGGCATCAGGAATAGAGCGAACCCCCCGCTCTTCCCTCGGTGACAAGTCATTTTTGGAAGTACGCGCAGTGTTTGTGAACCTGCTCAATAGTTATAACATTAACATTGCAGGCTGATGCTACGCGATGTCACGACGAGTTCGGGGGTCATGTCGATGAACTCCCACCTAGATTTTTTGACAGCATGGAAGCCGAGGTCCATGTTCGTTATCGGCATTTCTATTACTTAGTTCGTATCCTGATCTCTGTGCTCTTAGTCCTCCGAAACAGGTGCCCACCCTCATTCCTCTGCGAGTGCACTCCTCTCTCGCCTTTGCTCGCTCCTTCACCGCTTTCGACACGAAAATGCTGAAGCGACCGAACTTTCCCAAACCCCAACGCCTTCCAGGTTCCATCCACGTATGCTCCTCGGTCGCCTTTCATCACTCGTTCACCGTTCACCACTTGAAGATGATGCAGCAAATGATCTTCAGCAACCCTTCACGCCTTCGCGTTTAGATCCATATGTGCTCCTCGCTCGACTGTCCTCGCTGTTACCCCGTTTTCGACTCAACACTGACGAAGAAACCGAACCTCATCCCACAACACATTCGGGTTCACGTCCAGATGCACTCATCGGTCGTTTGTCCTCACCCTTCCGCTCTCAACCTCACACCAGCCAGGAAATAGAACTCCCGCAACGCCCATGGCGTCCTCATGTTGTCGAAGTGGCTCCAATGCGGGACAGGGAGGTGTGTCTTTCTCCAGTGCGTCAATTTTTGGTTTCTGATGATCTCCATGCAGGTATTGTTTGTTGCTCCGCGGTCGCCACCAGATCGTCCACACGCTCAGCCTAATGATACTGCCACGCCAGGTGTAAGACCTGCGTATCCACTTGCCCTCCGATTATTGGCCCATCTCGTGCTTTTTCTCTGCTGTGCGTCTCCTCAACACGCCAATGGAAATGTACAACCAACACAGCAGCAGCAAGATCAATCACAAGCTCCGTTCCAAACCCAGGAGTCGTCACTGCAGACTCAGCCAACCGCCCCCTCGACGTCCACGATACCTACTGCTCTTGACAATCGCACTACCGCTCCAGGTGCGGCAAGCGCGTAGCCACGACCCCTTTCATTGCAAACCTGTTTCATTCTTTGTCTCTGCTGTACATCTTCCCTACACGCAGATGTGCACTCACTACAGCACGCGGATACCTATCTCATCCGTCTCGTTTTTTTATAATCACTATTGTCTCGAATTTGTCAAAAATGTCGGGTTGCCTTTGAAAATGCTTCGGCCGACTGAGCAAGCACTATCATGGAACGTTCCAAATCGTCTCTCACCTGCTCCCAGTGATCGACATCACGACATTCATCACTGACCCGCCTTGGAAAGAGTAGAACAATATTTAGCTGAGCCAAGGCGGATGATGTGGTTCGGGCCAGGTGAAATTGACGCGGCACTGTGAGGTTCAAACAACATTATTATGTCGCTCAAACTGAATTCCAAACACTTTGAATATCCTCATTAATGATTTCGATTAGCATGTGAGTGTCCGTCTGCGCACAGGCCCTAGACTGCTGCATTCACTTCTCACCATATTTACAGTGCTTGTCCTCTGGCCGTACAGCCTCGACCTTACATTATAAAGTCTAATACAGTCTCTATACTCGCGTACTACTACCAAGTTAAGTCCCAATCATGTCATTTCAAGCCTCATTCAAGCTGGGTCAAGCACTGCTTATACCAGGACAGGTTTTCCCAAATATCTTCACCAATGTCAGCCTTCACACTTACATGTGCCGCGTCAAGGCCCACTTCATGCCGCATCAACCATAGCCCATGCCGCGTCAACTGCCTCGTCAATGCCGCGTCACATGCGCGTCATGCCGCATCAAACCTCATACATGCCGCGTCAGTGCCGCGGCACAGCCTCGTCACAGCTACCCTTCACACAAGTTTGACCTGCGACTCTGGCTGAGATATGGCTGACCGCTCAATTATAGTGTTGGCAAAGGAGCTTTGGCTCGTCTCGGGAAGTATTGGTATCCTGTTCAGCTAATTCAGTCCTATGTTAATTGTTGATGTGCTCCACAGACTCGGAGGGCCCAGAGAGGGAGGGAAAGAAAATGGTCATTGGTTGATGTAGCTAGTAGTACATGTCCCTATGACGAAAAAAATATCCACAAAGGAATGGTCATGAACGCGTCCAACTTGATGTGGGAGTCGAATGCAGAACATATAGGAACTTCGTCTGCACTGCGTCAGTGGCCGCGTCAAGGCTCGTTGGTGCCGCGTCAATGCCGCATCACGGCCGCGGGAGGACGGCGTCAAAATAGCCATGCCCATGTGGTTCCGCAGCACATACCGCCCTGATGGAGAGAACTTGCCCATCATCCCGTCGGATGCTTTGGACTGATGTCTGGAATTTGTGATGATCATTATCTTGAAGTTCAAGGGGTGGGCAAGCACACAGATCGGCTGAAATGGTCCTGCGGTGACACCAAGATCTAATCTGAAATTTGATCACGAAACAGGTGCCCGGACTAAGCACAACACCGTCAAACTTTGTCGCCAGTATGAAGTCCGTTATGTATGAGAAGATGTACACAGCGCCGGTCGCGGGCCTGAGCGCTGTGTCTACACAGAAATAAAGCTGTGAAGCGAACACAATGATGATGCATGGGACGCACCTTAAAAAGGGATGCCAAACTTTCTCGACTCGAATCCAAACGCCCACCAATCGCTGGTGATTTTAACACTGGGTTTATCTAAACGGTGGTCTTCCCTCGTGAGTAATGTTCTAGGCTCTTCTGCGACATATCCACCTGCTTACACCAACGACTTCGGGAACCCACCAAGATATCTAGCATATCCTCGGATAACGGCGCAGCAAGTGCTGCACATACAGTCTTGAAGCTGTCGTCTAGGCGAGGACTGGATTTCCGTGAGTAAGCCGTTTCGTGAGAAATGACTTATGTGCTTCTGACAAGCGTCGTGAAAGAAGATAGGCCTCTGGACTCACCAGAAATCATTGCCGTTGCCGGATAACCTGGTCGTATTGAAAATTCTCTGCAGACCTCTCTCGCATAGATAGTCCCCCGGACTGCAGTACGGAATCCCCAGCGCAAACGATGTTTTCATTCACCAGAAAGGCACCAGCGATCAGGCCACGCCAGACGATTCAAGGCCATACCAGACGGGTCTCAGGTGTTGTCCATCTGCCTGGCAGTGGACGACGGATAATCACATGTTCGTTGGACGGCTCACTCCGACTATGGGACCTAGATAGCGGCGCACAGATAGGCGAGGACTGGCGAAACGAGAGTAAGGCAGAAGTGTGGTGCATGGCATTGTCTCCAAACGGCAAGACAGTTGCAACTGGAAGCGGAGGCAGTGACTGCCCAGTGAGGTTGTGGGACATCGAGACGAGGAAGGTCATCGCCAAATGGACGGGACACATTAGTGCTGTGTGTACAGTGTGCTGGAGTGCAGATGGCAAGCGAGTAGCGAGTGGATCCTGGGATGGGACAGCAAGAGTATGGGATGCCAAGAGCGGTGAAATTGTCCTGACAATCAAAACCGGACAAAATTGGGTGAACGCGGTGATGTACTCGCCCGATAACGAAAAAATCGCGACAGGTGGAGACGAAGAGACAGCAGTCAAAATCTGGGATAGCGAGACGGGCGAGTTGATCACCACACTCAATCATCATTATGCAGTTCAGAGCTTGGCATGGACATTGGACGGAAAGAAGCTTATCTCCGGGACATATCTGATTAGGATATTCGACACAGCCACTTGGCAGCAGATTGCCAAACTTGATGGTCACACATCCATTATCAACATCATCTCCTTGTCTTCCAACAACCGCCTCTTTGCAAGTACATCATTTGATAATACAACACGTCTATGGAATCTCGACACCAATCTCCAGATCGGACCACCCCTCCAGCATGAAGATGCTGTGCACTCCGCAGCCCTTTCCGCTGATGGAAAAGTGCTAGTCACTGGATGCGACAGCGGAAATTTGTACACATGGGACATTCACGCCATCATCAAAAAAGCTGGCTTTGAAGACCTCCTCCCTGTAAATCCCATGGTTCTTTGGTAACTACTATACTAATCTCCCACTTGCAGGCCCTAGCTCCAAAATTGTTGACAACGGTACGTGACGTGTTTCCCAAGCTTTTCAGTCATTTTAAAGACATTCTAGAGAGATGCTACGCGACGTCCAGCTATTCCTGCCCGCAGAATACCGCCAGGATTTTTTGATGGCGCCCAGGTGAGTTTTATGTTTCTGTTGACCAGTTCTTGTTCTAATCTTTGTACTCTCAGTCCTCCGCAGCACACGGTACCCATCACCATTCCTCCACACATGACCCCCGCCGTCCTGCCTTTTCTTTGAATCCACGTAAGCTGTTCAGCGGCGTTTCGTCGCCGTTCCGCCATTCTCCCTCCAAGACCGATGGAGCAACCGAACTCCAGCACCCCTTCTATCACGAACCTCGCATGGTCGACCCTTGTATATTATATGGCAGATCTAGAAAGGTAAGTATTTCTTCGCGTGCGTTCCCCATCGTCATTGTTCAGTAATTTATCTGCAGCCATTGGTTGTTGCTCCGCGGCCGCGGCCGCAGCAGCAAAGCCAGTTGCACGGCCAAACCCAGGCATCGTCATCACAAACTCAGCCTACTACCACCTCGATTTCCGCGACACCCCCTGCCCCAGGTACTCATGCTACCACAGCTGGTGTAGCAGCTGCACAGCCACCACCCATCCGATGGTGGGCTCGTCTCGTACTTTTCCTCTGTTGTGCATCTCCTCCGCACGCCAATGGTCAATAATATACGCACAGCATACATGTAATCCATCAGAGTCCATAATGCCACTCAGACTCATCCACAACTTCCTCAGCCCCGGAATGATTTAAACGCTATGTTGTGAAGTGTTCCTGGAGTTTAATCCCAAGCAGTTACTAAGATGTGTATGGAGGGTTGAGGTTGCTCACCATCTACAATTAACCCTTCGTCGTCATCTGCCGGGAAATCTGATTAGATCTCGATTAACCTCCGGTGACCTACATGACAAAGGTGGATGCCATCCATTTTTCCATGAGTCATCAACGCTGGAGAATGCTGTCCTACTTCTTCCGTTTATGCACTTTCAGAAATCGTATTATGAAGAACGGATATGCCTGTTGTCATCCGGGCCCGAACACGCTGAACTAAGCTAACAGCACAACTGTTGTCACGACATTGACCTGACCCTGGCCGCCCCAACGCTTTTCCTTGTGTAATTGTTTTTTCACTATCAATTGGACAAACGGCCGCTTGACCTCCCTGGAAGATCCCTCGTTGAGAATTCATCTCGTTGGTCTTGTCATTCGCAAGTGCTTCGAGACAAATAAAACCTACAGAAAGAACGGTTCTCGTCCCGTGAATGGTCTTCCTACTACTAGACACACCAGTCTTCTGACGTGTACAGCTCAGAACTCTTATCTAGGCCAATTATGATAATCCACGTCATGTGTCCTCGACTGGGACTATAGTGAGAATAAGACCCTCAAGTACTCGCTGTACGGGACTATCGTGCTCGATTGCACCTTACACCCCTTAGCCCCATCAGCATGTCAGACCTTCCTTCCGCCATCCACCCCGACATTCTCCCCCGCCTCGACCCTGAATACGTAGCCATCCACAATGCCCACATGGCGCACCGCGTGCCCCCGTACACGGTCCCTTGGCATCCAGATGTCAGGAAGGCACCCCCCGTCCCCGGTGGCTCCTCTGTTAGGACGGTCGGGGCTGTCAGGGACATCAGTTTGCAGAACTGCAAGATTCGAGCTTTCATACCCGAAGGAACACCTCCTCCTGAAGGATGGCCGGTGCTGCTGTACCTCCATGGGGGTGAGAACTAGTGTTTATTCGGGTGAATGTTTAGCTGAGAGTCCTCAGGCGGATGGACGATTGGGGGTATCGACACTCTCAACTCATTCATCTCCCGTCAATGCAAAGGTGATGTTTGACCGAAGATGATGTCCGGGCTGGAGTTTAACTGAGTTCAAGAGAACAACTGCGTGTCGTTGGCCTTGGACTATCGTTTAGCTCCCGAGAACCCATATCCTGCAGCAGTTGATGACACTATTGACGCATTGAAATTCATCTATCACAAGGGGAAGACAGAATTTAATGCAAACGTGGACAAGATCGCGGTGGGTGGGATGTCCAGGTGCGTGGCGTCTTATCCCGCACGATGAAGCATCAACTCTTGTCAGTGGCGGCAATTTAGCGGCAATCGCGTGTCTCAAGGCGCAAGAGCTCACGCCTCCTATCCCCATCATCTTCCAGCTATTGCATGTGCCTGGTAAGCCTGGAGCATAACAAACGATTATCTCTCACCTGCTTTCAGTGACGGACAACACGGCATCCGTCGCTGACGGGCGATACCCGTCTTGGAAAGAGTGCCAGAACACTGTCTGGCTGTGCGAAGGGCAGATGATGTGGGTCCGCAACATGTACCTTCCTGATCCTGCGACCTGGGCCGAGCCAGACAGCTCGCCCATCTTCGCATCGGATGATTTGCTTGCCAAGGTCCCGCCTGCATTCATTGGTGTCTGTGAACTCGATATTCTGCGAGATGAAGGGATTGCGTATGGCGAGAAGTTAAAGTCACTTGGGGTACAGGTAGAGGTAAAGGTGTATCCAAGAGCACCGCATTTGATTCTTGGGTTGGATGCTGCACTGAAGGTTGGGAAGCAGCAAGCTGACGATGCCATCAGGGCAGTGGGTGATGCTTTCAAAGCGGCATAGGGTACTGATGTGAGCGTGACGAAGAAAAGTGATGCATTGTGTACAGTTGCATTGAATGCGAAGGCCGCTGGTTATATTATAAGACAGCTTACCAAGATCATCCCATCGGTATACATTGGCGTCTGTAAGCTCGATATTCTGCGCGATGAAGGAACCGCCCATGGCGAGAGGTTTAAGTGTCTTGGGGTGCATGCAGAGGTCAAGAGCATCGCGTCAAATTCTTGGGATGGACGCTGCACTGAGTTGGAAATAGCAAGCTGATTGCGCCATCAAGGCAGCGGGTGATAGCATATCGAAGTGAGCGTGCCAGAGGAGGCCGACCATTGAATTCATGCATGAATATGGACCCTGGGTTGAAAATGAAGAAATCACGGCAGCTGAATTGTTTACGACCAGCTGGCTACAGCATTTAACCAGGTCCAGCTGGAAACATTGCGGCACCGTCAAGTCAGGGGGCTGGCTCGTCCAGCCCTCTGCTATACAATTCTGACAATCCCAGCACTGGATCAGCGAATCAAAAACAGAACAGCAGTGCTATTGGTTGGCAGATACAATACAAGCTCTCTCGTATAATGATACACCGTGACGGGGGCGTACTGATATGACAGCCCCAGAGCACTTCGATCACCGAATATGGAGGAAAGTATATGGGATCAGCCATCGCACAAATGACCCTCTCCATGTGGAGTGGTCTACAAGAACGAAGCCGTATCTCGTAAAAAGGCATGGGAATGCATCGTGAGTTAGAACCGCACGGTCCGAAGAGCAATTGTTTCACTGACCGACTCGGATAACCTTGTGTTCGATGGATATGACTGAGTGATGCTATTGTGATACACAGGTGGAGAGTGTTATGATAATCAAGGAAATGGCTAGCGACTTGGTCTTAAAATCAACCTTATCATTAGCTAAGCCCCGAGCGGTGCTTCTCCGTTGCCGAGTCCTGACACACACCTGTGCCAATCACCATATGTACATATGTAAGAAGTCACTGGACCGAACGCTCATTATCCTACCCCCTCCGAGTCCAAGACCACTTATTGTTTCTACTACTTCTCGGCCACTACGGGGCAAAGTTCCCTAGTTCCTGTTCTTGGCTCTACTTCAATAATGATCATGCATGGTCGATACATTCGCATCTTCATTTCCTGGTTGGGGCACTTTGTCAAGACAGCCGCATTTCAGTCGTACAGGAGTCTCCTCTCTGTCCTGCTGAGACTGATCCGACACTATCAAACTGTCTTTAATGGAAGGGAACGGGATTTTCGAGAACGTCCCGGTTTAGCATTGAGCTCTCTAAATCAGCCAGTAACCAATCAAGACAGGCCGACGCCTTCGGCCACCCTCGCAGTGCCGTTGCTCGAAGCACCTCTGCAAAGTCAAGGGTCCCAACCTGGAACGAGCCTTCAGTTTTCAACTCGCAGCGAACTTAATGAAAGGCCGATTAACGTAGCTTATAATGCACAGTCTCCCCTCACGTCTTCTGCCCCACCGGTACCAATGTCTATGCCTGAGCCCAACATTTACAACCCCATGAGTGTCGCCACGCCACCGCATCCTGCGGCGCCAGTACATATCACCCTAACTCCCATTGTACCCGGACCACAAGTCAGGCGATACGACAGGCATGTCACAGTGTAGGCAAATGATATTTCGAGTGTGTTGGTGTTCTAATTCATGCTCGTAGTAAAGATGTGCGTGCAGCGTTTAAGGTCAAGAAAGGTCCTTTGGACTGTTCAAAGTAAGCATGCTAGCGAGAGAGCCAGCGATGAAATTGAAATGCGATTGTAGGGAACCTGTTGCTGTAGCAGGGTGGGAGCCGCTCACACACCCTGAAGGGGCTTTGTTCTTCTATCATCCGAAAGAAGTACGTCTACCGCCTACTTCTACATGGCTTGAAGTGTTCATACCGCGCACTAGAGAGTTTTCACTGATGCCAATGTTCGAGATCCTGTAATTGCTGCCAAAGCAAGCGCAGCTGTCGAGGAGGCACACAGAAAAGTGCACGAGGCAAACATTAGCAATGACATACATCCACTCGTCGAACTAGCGTTGGAGCTCATCACAAATGATGGCGCAGAAAAGTGGGGCTACTACTTTGTTGATCACAACAAACGTGTCATTTTCTGGTTCCAAGACCACACATCTGATTTCCTCATAAACAAAGTTCGAGGCGTAGAGCACGAAAGCCACGTCAGTGAGTTCTTTTCGTGGAGTTTTTTCTATTTGAACTTCTGTAATTGCGTTGCTCCTAGGGTATGCACTTGAATCGCAGTACTGGTCCGCACAGCTCCTAGAAGTATGGTTGTTCCCTCACCCGACCGAAGTACACGCACTCACGCTTTCTTACAGTCCTTTACCTCTCACGATTTACATATCATGATATTGACAGGAGACATATCGAACTATTTCCAAACAAACGCTCCCTCCCGGAAAATGTCGTCGTGCAACTCAAAGAAATAGTCATGCTCGCTCAGGCAGGTGGGTGAAGAACAAAATTGTTTCACGCCCTGGAAGATTGACCCGTAACAGAAAATATCACTTCTGAAACATGCCTAGCACCTTTTGCTTCGGATGAGGTAGCAAGTATGCTCGGCCTTGTGGATCTTCTCATGGGTGAATGATTCCTTGATGCAGGGTTGTTGTTGTTGATTGTTATTTCAGGCAGTGCTAACAAGGAGCGTGAGCACTCCGTGTGGATCGTCGGTGAGTCTGACCATAAAAGGTCAGTTCACTGCTCCTGATATGTTTGCCGATTTCAGCTCGATTCACGAGACTTTTTTGTGAGCTTAGGCCAGTAGTCTATACACCCCATTTCCTGACTGCCCGCTAGGCAACGCCAAGTTTGTGAATTTTTGCGGACAACCAGGCGCCCGACTTGATGTAGACCAATCGTTGTACGGAAATCCCAATGCGCGCTCGAAAGGGATCCTTCGGTTCATGAATGTTATTCTATTTGGATCATTCGATGCTCAAAGCAAGGCTATTCATAGGATATGGGTTGACGAACTTGTTGTTCAGCCGCGGTGGAAGAACTTTATCGATAGGCTCACCATTGAATGGAATGGATACACAATATATGTGAGTTGTACTTAGTTTCATATTGTCACGCAATTAATCACCATCTCAGTCCACTGTGATGCTTGCTGTTGATATCAGCTTTCTTGCTGTTCAATCTGTCCAGGCTCAAATGACCACGACCCTTCTAGCATATCTGTCCACCCTCTGCGTCATGGGCTCATTAGTGGTCTCACTGATATTAGCTAGACAAGTTAATGACACCCGGCGACGCTCCGCTGAAGATGTGGTAAGTTCCCTTTCTATTTTATGACTTGTATTCACCATGTCCATAGGCCTTTTTCATGCTAGGGATGTCCCGTTCTATGCTCGGCCTCGAGAGCCTTGCCCTCATGCTGAGTCTGCCGTTTGGACTTCTGATTTGGGCGTGCGTTTCCAGTTGCATTCCACGGATCAGTAGCTCATACTTTGACAGAATGGTGTTCTTTGCTGCTGCATTGTCCGTCCTGATTTTCCGCACTGCTGACGTTGTCGTCGTCTCGATTGCATCTCCCGTTTGGTTCGCCATCTTGTGCCTAGCGACGTGGCTCGTACTGGCAGCCAACGATTTTCACGTTTCCCGCTTGAGGTCCTGGATCATAGAACGAGTGTCGCGGGTCACCACCCCCTCTATTGTCTGATCTGGGTAGTCTAATTGCAGTGATGTTGTTATATTCTTTGTCTCAAGAGGGAAAATGATGATGCGTCTATTGACGGCTTGCTTCATAGTACGGACTCGGCTATGTTTCCACTTCAGTAGTTTCGAATGGAAAACGGCACATGGAAAACAGCACAAAACTGTCTCAGCTTCACATCAAGTTCTTGTGTATTGTCATCTCCTTGTCGATGTTTCTCGCTAGTCCACTTGAATCAAGAGAGCGGATGTATAGCATCTGAGTTAGTCTGAACGGTGTTTTGTAAGTCAGGATCTAGGCTCTTCTACAACAGGGCTTATATACCCAGCTAGTTACAGACTTACAGTAGTCTACTTCGTGTGTCGAATTTGTATCGAGGAATCTATTACGTTGCTCATCGTCTCGTATTTCTCACATAGCGCTCATCATTATATAATTTCACAGCATCTCACAAATAACGTTTCTCCTTGCCTACCTACTACCTGCAACTGCGCGAGGAGTCAAACCAAAGTTCTCCTGCCGCCAACCTGCCGCAATTCGATGATTCACTGGGTGTAGCCAGCGAGTATTTGTAGTATGAAAAAATGTGAGAACATGGTCACGTTGCATCAGCTTGAACCCATGACAAGTCCAGTGTCTCGCATATTAGCTATGTACGGCTAACTCTATAACTATGAACTATCTAAATGACAACAAATTGACTTGCTCGAACATCTAGCTGGCTGTGGCAAGGTGATGTAGTCCAAGGCTAAACTATATGTATGAAGTCCATCAGTACAACCTTTGTTTTGCTCCGATTTTGTGGCCGTTTTATGTGATAGCTAGCCAGTCTTAGGTGACCTAGACCCAGGTCAAACAAGCCATGTGATACTGATCAAAACGGATACTGATTTGATAGAGTAATACAATCACGTGGCGCGCATATATGCTACACCCCCTCGACGCGTCAAATAAGCTCTGCCCATCATCCGCTATCCTCATCGTCTGAGCCCCTCAATCCAGCATGTCTGGCTTACCATGTCCAACAGGCTACGACCCTCAACGTTGGCTCCAAATCCCACAACCAGCCCAGCTTCAGATCTGGAAAGATGCTGCCTCACAGCCTCCACCGATACCCGATTCTTCGATCGACCCTGTGCTCCTTGCCCAATCAAATGGGGCACATCGGGCAGGAGTTGTGGCATGTCGAGACGCTCGAGGCCGGCGAGGAAATGATGGAAGAGGCACTGTAAGGCAAAGGTAAGTAAACACTGTGCATATATGCACCTACAGGCTCACATATACTCTGCAGTAATGGCCGACGGCAGCGCGAGAGTCGATCTGGGTCACCCCTTGTACGGAGCAGGAATGCCAGGAGGCCAAGATCTCGCAGCCGCTCTGGCACGCAGTCACGCGAATCCTACCATCGACGTTCAGGGTCAGACTCTGATGATAGTTTATCTAGGCCACTGTCAAGCAGTGTACAACGAACCTCTGAGCCACCAGAGCTGTCGGACTTGGCCGAACTCACAGACCTTGTTCGCAGTATTCGAGATGACCAACTCGAAGATCGTGATCGACTTGATGCACTTGAAGGTTCTGGTGCAACACGACCCAGCCGACATGCCAGTGCTTCTACTGCACGGTTCGGGAGAGGGGGTACTGCTGTTGCCAGACGACGGGGAGTGTACCGCAGGACAGAAGCAGAACATGATGGCATGGCAGACGAAGATGAAGACGAGGATGAAACTCGTGAAGATGTGTCAAAGCCCAAGAACCTGCTCTCAAAAGATGGCAAAGACGCAAGGAAATACTTAAAGGTAAGCCTACGAAGTGCAAGCATTCAGAAAACTCACATCCTTACAGGCGCAAATCACGATAATGTTTCGGAGGATATGCGGCGTCAAGGCAATAGACAAATGGCCATCACCATCTGAAGGAGAACGTCAAAATGCAGATACAGGCGAGGTTTACTACACACCAGATTTCGCGAGTGATGTGCAGGACCCTACAAACATTGAGATATTCCACAAGGTAGCCAACATCACCTGGAGCGAAATGCAAGTAAGTACCTGTCCATGTGACATTGAAGACTCACTTGACCATGCTGCGAGAACAGAAAGACAAAGACGACTGGCCGAAGTTCCTCAAAATGAAGAAGATCCGATGGAATAAATCCACGCTCGTTCATTTTGCCAAGGAAACATTCAGAGGATTCAAGTCGAAATTGAGAGCGGAGACAGATCCCGAGCGTGGAACTGCACTCGAGATTAATCAGCGCACAACTCGGTGGTCCAACCGTCGCAAGGAGGTCAAGAAAGGGCTTACTGTTGCATGTCAAATTGACTGACAACTTCGGCATACAGAAAGCAGGAAATTTGCTATCCAATGTCGTCATTGAAGAATACAAGGCACAGAATGGTGGCATAGACCCATCTCCGCTTATCATCCCTGACCACATGTCAGATGAAGCATCTGGACCCGAGGACGCGGACGAGTCAGAGACATACGATGACTGGAAGCGTCGAATGGCAACCTTAGCAGGATTTGGTCCCGAGACACCAACATCACACCTTAAACTGCTTGAAGTCATCCACCCGCAGTGGAGGAGTCTTGCAGTATGTCTTGAACTTGATTTCTTTATTATTTAACTCATTAGTTTGTTAGCAAAGCAAAGTTTTTGAGAACTTACGCAATATTTGGTGGACCGGCAAGAGTGCCAAGGAACGCGAGAAGTTCTCGATCCGAGTGAGAGGTTCCATGCGATGCTCTACTGACGCCGACATCCCGAAGGTATCACCATACGACTTCGGAATCGATCTCGAGTGGCTCACTGAAGCGCGAAAGGAGCGTCTCCTTGAAGAACGTCTCAAGGACTGGGGGAAATATGGGAATCCAACTGGCTTCGAAGCCGAACGTGATCGTGATGCTGCAGGTGAGGGACCAGAAATTGAGGGGGATGTTGATGCTGCACGTGAAGCTGAAGGGGATGTCAATGTGGGAGCTGAGGACAATGGCACGAGTGAGGGTGACCATACAGGTGATGGAGACGGAGCTGCTGATGACTGGTATTGACGGCGGAGATCACATTTCATTTCTTGGGACAAGGCCGAACACGCACCTTCAAATGCCAGATTGATAGACTATAGACTAAGAGCAAGATCAGCGGTCCAGATTACAAGAATAAACAGGAACGCACAAATTGACCGTGGATATCACCACACACAGTAACTTGGCATCGCACGGGCTGTACGTTGGACTCTGCGACAGCCAACGTAGTCTTGGTTCCTGACGCTGAGAACACGTGTAGGCGTTCCATGGTGTTCATCACGCGTGACGCAGGAAGGGAAGGAGTAGGGCGCTGTGACACGAGCTATGTTGAAGTGGCCTGAAGAGATGGATTTGAGAGAAACTCGGGTGGGCTCTGCGGATGCATCATCGGGCTGGATGGAAATGGTATGCTCGTAAACATCTCTGCCAAAGCACCTTGAAGTCAGCGTCGTCCACGGCGTCGCAAGGCTTGTAGACTGAATTGGGTACTGATACACTCGGTTGAGGGACTTTCAACAGCTGGGAAAAGGTCTTCGTAGCGTTCACGGTGTTGAAACACATAGGAACTCACCAAAACATCGTCTTCATGACAGCTACCATGAAGCGGTGGTAGTCTTCAGAGTCGATCACAGCACACCATCGTCATCCGGCTTCGTGATGTGGTTGGTGAAGTTGAGCTGGCGAAACGTAGCCTCGAGTCTAGGTGAGGGTCCTGAAGCTGCTGATGACTCGGAGGTGCGAGGTATTGAGGGCAGCGATTGAGGGAAGCGATGGTGATCAAGCGGACATGACGAGTGGGACACTAGCATAGTCATTGCACGAGGTAACATTTCTTGGGACTTGGCTGGACGCGCACCTTCAAATGCAGGATCAATAGACTATAGACTGAGAGCTCACGGACTCGCTCTATGACAGATGCTGTGTATATTATTAGACTTCGAAACATCTTCAGAGATCAAGTAAAAATCCACTGACACGATCGAGTGATGTTGTGATCCATAAAGGAGGGATAGATGACTCAACGACACCTCTGGCAATCTGACACAGGATTTGATCAAAGGGAAGGACGGCAGGGGGAGAGGGCTGCTCATTGGGAGACCAATATTCATTGAGTTTAAAACACATAACATCTAGTTCAGGGCTTTGAAGTACTAAGGATGAGCGGTATATATAACAAAAATAAACAACATACTCACAAATCACTCCAAGGGTCATCAGCAACTGGCGAGAGCGGAACCTCCTTCATCCAACGGAATTCCGCAAGCAGATGTTCTGTTGCAGGATCTGATAGCCCAGGCTGTGGATGCTGAAAAATGCGAACAACCTCACCATACCATGCTTCTCCGTCCCACTTGACCTTAACGAGAGACGAGCCTGAAGAATCACGCTTGCTTTGTGATGTAGGAGTGATACGACGACCATCGAGAATTGCATAACGATAAAAAACAGCATGATCGTGAAGAGGAACTGTGCGCGGAGGAGGGTTCCGATCAAGCAGAAAATGGACACGAGGTTGAGCTTTGTTGTAGGCCGTGAGCAGCGCAAGGCGAGCAGAATCCGTTAGCAGTTCCTGATTTCTTGATGTCGCTGGTCCAACTTGGACATGCATAAACCCTTGTAAATCTATATCTGACGTGAGTAAGATAACTTTAATGAGAAGCGGAACATACCATCATTTATAATGTCCTCTTCCGCACTCGCATCCTGCACGGTACCAACTGCTTCCTCCCTTTCCCCTAGGATATTCTGGAAAATTACCTTTTCGATTGAAATATTTGATTGATCGAGGACCGTACGAGCCTGAGGAGTCGATATTGTTCAGTCTGTTTTAGAGCGGGTAGCGGCATACGTACAAGTGCATCCATCCGCATCCCTCGGGTGAATTCTCGCATCATTGAGATTTCCAGCTGCCCGCCTGTAGTCCAGTTATTTGAGTTAGAACTCTTGAGGAGTTTGTTGAGTCGTTCGGAAAGGAAGGTCCAGAAGTTATAAACGGGTCCGAAATCTCGAATCTGCTCCTCGATATGGACGGCCCAGTGGAAGTTTGGCTTCATAGCCTTAGCACCATAAAGCTGTATGATAGTTTGATATGAGTTAGTATATTAAGTGTGGGTAGGAAAGTAGATGTACTCGTCGATATTCGAACAGGAAGTCTTGGAAAAGGGTTGATGCTCGTGGGAGAAGGTCCTCGCTGACGGAACTTCCGCAAAAGATCTTCAGCGCTGTTGAAAGGCGAAGGAGGTTGATAGGTTCGTCGGGGTGCAAGCGTGGATGGGGGTCTTTTGGTGGCTTCGGCTCGGCATCAGCCTTCCGTTTCTTCGAAGCGTGCGTGGAGCTTGCACCAGCTTTCCGAGCTTTCCACTCATCGAGCTTCTTGTTGTGTGCCTCCTGAGCCTTCGGAAATCGTTTCTTCGCGTTGTTATAGTCCTCCGTTGCTTCCGCCAGGTACGTTTCCCAGACTATCGGGATCTTCCAAAAACAAACCCATAAGATGTTAGCTTGAAAGTGAACAGAACTCACGATAATCGGCCACGTATATGTGGCTGCGAGTTTGTACTCATCCGCTGACAGGGAACCACCAGCAGGTTCACCTACTCGAGAGGGCAGTTTACCAGCCCAGAGAGGGACCTCAAACTAACTCTGTGATGAGGTCATCGAAGCGCAGGTTAAGGAAGTACGTACCGTTGCCAGGAACCTATGTATGACATCTAGCTCTCGTGCCCTCTTATCAGTAGATTTTCGTAGTGCCGAAGTCTGAATCCATTGAGAGTACCAAAGAGTTTTCACGATCCCTAGAAATCCATTTGGATCAGTAAGAACAACCCTAAACGACGTTAAAAACAAACCAAGAAATAGGTTGTGCATGGGGTCGATAATCATACAGCGCACGAGGTCAAAGTATGGAAGTCGGGCGAGTTCGGTCCATCGTGCGCCATGTGTCTTGAAGAACTCATCACGCTCTTCGTCTGTTTCCAAGGAACGTTCTTTAAAACAATTCCGGCGGTGATCCTCACTCGTTCGAGGAGGAAACTCTGGGTAGAAGAGGTTAAAATAAGTGTTAGGATTAGATAAGAAAGCCTTACGATTTCGAAGAGATTCGTCCGAAAAAATCGATGCCTGATCGACGTGACATTTGTTGCATGGTGCCTCGTTGTGGCTGTGATCTGCGAAACCTCCCATTTTACACATGGCTGGGTGATCGCAAACAACAGCTAGCAAGGCCACACGAACACGGCGACCTAAAAAGATGCCAGTGAGACAATGCAAGATGATAGACCAAGGCCCCGCCACGCACCTTGGGGAAATGCTGGTGTATAGTACACCACTCCGTTGTCGTACAAGTTCAAAAGATCATCAACAATTAACTTCATATAATTCTGGAGCTGCGCTCCTGATGGTTCCGTGGGCCCGGGAGTCATAAACCCCACAAGTAGGTTTTCAGCGCGGTACCTGTCTCATAGTAGAAATTGAGCAGATGTTGAAGACGGTTATTCGACACATACCTGAGTGCACGAGGAAGGTTGGAAACACACATTGACATGACACCGGACGAGTGACTGGGGCCATAAACACTCGTCTTGCGAGTGAACCTACAGACGATGCTGATCAGTCTACGTCGAAAACATAAGGTCACTCACCAATCAAGGCTCATAGTTATTCCGAGGTGCAACTCCTCAGACGTCGAGTCCCTGGAGAAAAAAGGGTTTCCTTCCTTGTCTTTGAGAGAGGACCAAACACGCCCTTCAGAAATATCATTTATTTTCCCGGGAACACGAGCTCGTTGTTTCCATGAATCGCATGCCTTCTCGATTTCCGCACGTGCGAGAAAGTCGACTAGAAGTGATGAGGGTAGGTGTATGGGTGTAGCACAGACTGGAGGTGGGCGCTTGGGTCGGCGACCCGTTATCCGTTGGAACACGTTATCCGAGACAGGCTTAAATAGTTTGGTGTTGCAATCTGGACATGATGAATCAATATCAATATTAGTAGAGAAAATCCGATGGCAGCTCTTGCATGCTGGGTGAATTGTAAACCGGTCGTCAAGATCGAGCCTGTGAATGACAGTATTAAGTGTCAATGGAAGGTTTTGGGTGCTCGGAAGGAGAGCCAGAGTCGTGAAGATCGTGTTTAGACAAAAAAGGAGCAGCGCACAACCACGGAATGACAGCCGGTGCTTTGTGTGCAGGAACGCAACGAGAGCGATGATGACCCGTGCCCACCATGTCTCATGACACCCTAGGTAAATGTCACGTAGTGGTTGAGGAGGTGGGTACGATGTAGGGCGCTTGTGATTCACACCGGTGTCTTCATCATGGGAAACCTGAATGCCTGCAGGGGGCACTATTATATCAACCCCCTCATCTTCATCACCGTCAAAGGCAGAGTTGTGTGAGAGGGGATCATTATGAATGTCGTCAAAGTCGTCGGGATCATCATAAAGACCGAGATCACGTTGCTCAGTCATTTGTCGAACCGGAGATGCTGGTCTTGCATCACGAGCTGCGACGAAGGTAGACTCGGCATCGAGAGCTATAGTGGGCTGCATAGACATCATTCTCCTGCGCTTTGGTGGAGACTGTATGAGAGGCTCAGGCGAAGTAAGTCGTCTGTCATCTGACTGCATAGGTGATGGTGCTTGTTGAGAGAGGCTCGATGTCATGGCTGCAGGAGGAAGACACGATGGAAGAATGACAGACGGGGTCGAGTTAATATGGGAATCTTGAGGGGCTGGCGGAAGGTGAGAAGACGTGGCAGCGACAACCAATTCTGCAGGCTCAAAGTCAGGCAAATGCGAGTCCATGCTGGCATCTATGTCCATAGAAAAGTCCTCTTTATCATCGCTGAGACAATCATCAAAAATCGCGTACAAATATTGAGGTTCAGAACTTACTCAAATGACCAGAGGTTTCTGGGGAGACTGCAGCCCGCTCGAGATGGTCCAGAAGTTCCTGATGCTTGGCCAGTCGACGGTGCTTGACCAGTGGAAGTGGAAGGCAGTACACGGACTGCAGGAGCTGAGACTGGTGGCCGCGAGAGACCACGCCCACGCTGGAAGATAGGTGCTCTAGTGAAAGCGCGAGTTGCTCCTCGAGCTGATCCCCCGCGTGCACGCTGAGCCAGAGCAGATCGGTTGATGCTCTGGTCACGCTGGTGTTGTTGAAAGGCTGCCGTCGATACCAGTTGGCCATTTGGATCTTTTGCAAGGCACACATCGCATTTACATGGCACCTCACGACGATTTGATAGAGTACTTTTATTGACAGCCTAGTTAATGTCAAATGATGATCAGTAACTGAAACCCCATGTCATAAAATGGTCCTCACCTCGTTTCTGGCCATACGTTCAGGTTTTCCGAGTCTTCGTTGATGTGGTGGTAGTCAAAGAACAAGTCAGTCAACAAACCGAACGGACTTGGGCAAATATTTGCGACGAAACCCTCAGCCCTGGCGTTAAACGCCCTATCCATATGTGAGATCATACCAGCAATTTTCGGGTGGTCATATGGCACAAATATCTCGCAGATAGTGAGTGAAACTCGCTATATATTCCGAGGGTTGTCACATGTAGTTACATTTTGATACAGCCGTCTAGTCATGGGGTGTGAATTGGTCGGCGCTGGTTGTCTATTCAAGGTTAGCTGTGTAGAGACGAAGCAGCGTTGAAGGCATGTTGTCGAGGGCTATGACTAAGGTAAACTAGGTTTATTTTGGTGGATTTGTGCAACTTTGTCAAATCACGCGTTAAACGCAGTGATTCCTTCATCCAATTGCATTGGGTTTAATTTTATTTATACTAAGCTAATGGACCGCGTGATACCAGCGTCGTCGCGAGCGACGTGTCCCTCGTTTGAGTCTGACTCAAATGAACCCCACTCTCAGTGGGCGTGCTCGGTGCAGGCCTGCGCACCTTCCACGTGTTCGTTGGGATTTGAAAATCCCTTTTTTCATGCTCCGTCCTCCTATGGTGGAGTAAGGCTTACTTAGCGGGCGACTTCGGGCAGAATTGAGGCTGCCCTCTTTCTAACGTGTACCGTCGCCTCGCTAGGTAAGCTAATGTTCAGTTGGTTCGCGCAGGCCTCTTTCTAACGGGTACCGTCGCCTCGCTAGCTACTTTTGATTCAATACATCACTTCGTTCTCATCAGAAAATCTTTTCTTCATGACTGATAATGGTGAAACAACAATCTCCCAAACCCTCTCGTCATCCGTCGAAGAACAATCGCAGAGTTCATCAGATCTTACCTGTGTTGAACGATGCAGTGAACTCATCAACCAGTATCGTCTCGGACATAATGGAAAGGCCAACACGGTCTTTGCCATCCGGGAAATCCTCCTCGACTCACCGTCCGTCCGAGGTGGAAGAAATATCGATGATGCCCTTGATGTCTTCATCGGGATGCTCGACAGTATTGATTCCTCAAAGAATCGAGCAGCCGAACGAGGACAACAGTCTAGGGTCTCGGATCACGAAGAGGAAGCTCAGCGAGAGAATAGGGGGGCCAGTGAAATCGAAGAAACCGAAGCTAGAGGAAAGAAAGCCAGAGATGACACTGATTCAGAGGATGATGATCAGCCCTCGTCAAAGCGTGCCAAAACAGTCGACGTCAGCAAGTTCCCTTGGTCGCAGTCGCGATCCACGGCACTTGCCTCTCTACCTCAGGATATCAGAGAGACCTACCGCCAACTCGATAACTTTGCCGCCGATCCAAAAAGTGTCGTCAGTAACATCTTATCCACACCAGGATGTCCACCTTTCCCTCCCAGCGAATGGCTTAATGTCGTGCGTTGGAAATACGTCGACCTTGCCAAAGTCCTCGACTCAGCTCACACCACCGAGTTGGATCCAAAGCAAACCCACGTCATTGATGACGAGATTGAACTTGCCCTCCGAGTTGCCAAGTCGTCGGGGGGAATTAAGACATCCTCCGACCACAATATTGCCTTCGCCATGTACATCGAGGCTATTGCCTTCGTCTTCCCTCAACGAAGGAATGAATTCTCCCAATATAATACCTACCTCAGCCGACTCTTCCACGCAATGGAAATACGACTCCACTCGCGCATTATCGAGTTTGACCGTTCCGTCCGAAATCAGGTGGCCATGCAAAGAAACTTACGCCTCACTGATCATTCCCAATTTGAGCATCTTCGAACGACCTTCCTCACCTCCTTTGGCGTTGGTTCCAATTCCTCCTCATCCGCATCTATTGCCGGGGGAAGAACGAATCGGAGAGACGGAAATGGGGGAAGGGATGATCCCTGCCATAAATGGAATCGAGGAACCTGTCAGAGGTCCGATAGCGAGTGTAGGTTTGCCCACTGCTGTGATCGAAGAGGATGTCGAGGGGCACATCGTAAATCGGAGTGCCCAAACAAAGGAGGAGCTAAATAGGAATATCGCGCTCGGTCAGCGGTTTCGCAGAAAGGGTGTGTGGAACTCGAGGATGTCAGCTTGTAGTCGGACGGCTCTCTGGACTGAGTCAGCTGCTCCCATGCCTCGACCACCTCCTCGCGAATTCTCGAATCAAAGTGCTTTGGACACCATACATTCTCATCCTTTGTTGTTCAATGTCTCCACTCCTATCAAAGTTGACGTGTTTGAATCCCTTCTTGCTGATCATCCAAACCCGGCCTTTGTTCGCTCAGTGTGTGTCGGACTGCGTGAGGGTTTTTGGCCCTTCGCAGACACACATACGGGAGAATGGCCTCTAATTTTCGATAATTCGGATCGGCCACCAAAGAACGATGCGGAAAGGGAGTTTCTACAGACGCAGATTGATAAAGAAGTTGAAGTAGGGCGTTATTCTCAGGCATTCGGACCAGATCTGCTACCGGGAATGTACAGCATGCCCATTCACGCTGTGCCCAAACCGGGAACCGCCAAGCATCGACTGGTAACCGATCATAGTGCTGGGAAGTATGCTCTGAATGCGATGATCTCGCACGATGATATTGCTGGAGTCACCCTCGATAACGTCCAGGACTTGGCTAATGGCTTGCGCGTTTTTCGTCGTTCACGGCCTTATGCCCAACTCAACCTTTGGAAGGCGGACGTGTCAGAAGCTTACCGGCATATGCCCATGCATCCCTTATGGCAGATTAAACAGATTGTCAGCTTTCAGGGTCGTCGTTTCGTTGACCGCAGAAACGTATTTGGAGGAAGAGCATCTCAACGAATCTATCACGCGTTTATGTCTCTCGTCATTTGGATCGCGATTTTCAAAATTCTCATCCACTTCCTGTACATCTATGTTGACGACTCATTTTCCTTTGACGACAAACGTGACCTCGAACTCTATATGCCATACAAAAAGCTCCTACCTCGAAATCTTGTCAAACTTCTCCGTTTATGGGATGCTATTGGCCTTCCTCACGAAGAACGAAAACAAATCTTTGGTCTTGAACTACCCATCATAGGTTTTGACGTTGATCCCAATCTCATGCGAGCTCGAATGTCAGATGACTCTCGCACTCAGCTTATTCAAGCTCTTTTGGACTTTGCGCAGAGGGGAGCACGTCGTTCTCTTCGTGATTTTCAGCGTCTAGCCGGGTGGCTAAACTGGGCTCTCAATGTCTATCCTCTCCTTCGGCCAGGTTTGTCTGCGCTATATGCTAAGACAGCGGGAAAATTGGTGTCAAAAGCTCTCATTTGGGTCAATAGAGACGTGGTTCGAGAGCTTGCTTGGGTTGTTGACCATCTGCGGTCGGTTGAAGGAATCTACTTCTTCAAATCTGTTTCTTGGAATTTCCGAAACTTACCGGATGATGTCCTGCGGGTTTATACCGATGCCTCAGGAGATGGTCTTGCGTATTGGTTCCCTTCCTTAAATCTCGGCTTCCAGTCGCGCATTCCTGGATCAGCTCCGACTGGGTCAATTTTCTATTTTGAAGCCTTGGCAGTAACCGCGGCAATACTTGACGCTTCCACGCGTCTTCATCCAGATGCACGTGTCGCAATTTTCACCGACAACCTTAATACGGTGGCCATGTTCAACTCTTTGGCAGCTCTCCCGCCATACAATTGGCTGTTGATGGTATCGGTGGATGCTATCATCAATGCTCAACTTGACTTCCGGGTTTTTCACATTCCCGGTGTCGATAATGTGGTGGCAGACCGTTTATCTCGTTGGAAGAATTTTGAGGCAGAACGTGCCTCTCCTGGGATTTCGGTCCTTCCTTTTTCACCCCCTCGGAATACGCTGGGGGCAGCCAAAAAATGATCCACGTGTCACCTAATTCCAGGCAGCCCTCACGGGATACCTGGTCTCTTGAGCGTCTTATTCATGAGCGCTCAATTCTCTTGGGAATGTCTCTCGATAACTCTACCTGCCGTGCATATTCATCCCATTTGAATTCTTATCTCACCTTCTGTGCGCAACATCATCTCCCTATTGATCCCACTCCCGACACGCTATCGTATTATGTGACCTTCATGTCGCATCACATTCAACCGCGCTCAGTCGATTCTTACTTATCGGGCATCATCAGTCACTTGGAACCCCATTTTCCTCATGTTCGGAAATCCCGTCACTCTCAGCTCGTTAAACGGACCCTCCAAGGAGCTCTCCGCACACTGGGTCGTCCCGTCTTGCGAAAGCAACCTATTTGCCGTGACGACTTACAGCGTGTTTTGGATGGTCTGGTTCATCCTTTATCTCACGACGATCTGTTGTGGGTCACGCAGCTTCATTGTGGCTTCTATGGTCTACTGCGACTTGGGGAATTAGTGTCGCCCGATGACATTGACTTGCGCAATTTCGAGAAGCTTTCCCTGCGGACTTCGGTTCGCATCTCAGATAACGACTTCTCTTTTCTTATTCAGCGTGACAAGACGGATACGCGGTACGAAGGCAACAGGGTACTCATCCAGCGTTCCGGTGTTGGTGCTGATCCTTTGCCTCTCTTTACGCGATACCTGGCTTCACGCGACACAAAATTTCCTTTGCACCCTTACCTTTGGTTGCGAGAAGACGGAAAACCCCCCACGCGCTCTTGGTTTATTCGCAACCTCAAATGTTTCTTCCCCGCTGGAGTTTCTGGTCATTCTATGCGGGCTGGAGGTGCAACTTCGCTTGCTGCTGCTGGTGTATCGCCTGACCGCATTCGTGCTGTTGGCCGGTGGCAGTCAAGTACCTGGGAGCGCTATGTGCGCAAAAACTCGACGCTGTTGCAAGCGTTATTGTTCAATGGTCGTCCTGCACACGATCCTCCTTTTGCGAATGTGTAACGTTGTACGTCGTACATGTATTAATATTTTTATTCCTTTATTCTTTATTTTTCTTTTCTTACTTACCCTCCCTTCTCCCACCCTTCATAATAGTCATTAGTGTTCGTTTTCCCTCAGATTCTTAGTCATTTGAGGCTCGACTACTTATCTACTGGGTTGTATTGCTAGTCATCAATAACAGCCGGACTCCTCAAAGTGTCGAGGAGCCGTTCTTGGCTATACCATTGGTGATTGCGCGCCTTCAAAATCGTGCGAGGTCCATTAGTTGGGTTTAATTTTATTTATACTAAGCTAATGGACCGCGTGATACCAGCGTCGTCGCGAGCGACGTGTCCCTCGTTTGAGTCTGACTCAAATGAACCCCACTCTCAGTGGGCGTGCTCGGTGCAGGCCTGCGCACCTTCCACGTGTTCGTTGGGATTTGAAAATCCCTTTTTTCATGCTCCGTCCTCCTATGGTGGAGTAAGGCTTACTTAGCGGGCGACTTCGGGCAGAATTGAGGCTGCCCTCTTTCTAACGTGTACCGTCGCCTCGCTAGGTAAGCTAATGTTCAGTTGGTTCGCGCAGGCCTCTTTCTAACGGGTACCGTCGCCTCGCTAGCTACTTTTGATTCACCCACCACTCCCTCCTACTTGGTACTAGATTTAGTGTTCGTTTTCCCTCAGATTCTTAGTCATTTGAGGCTCGACTACTTATCTACTGGGTTGTATTGCTAGTCATCAATAACAGCCGGACTCCTCAAAGTGTCGAGGAGCCGTTCTTGGCTATACCATTGGTGATTGCGCGCCTTCAAAATCGTGCGAGGTCCATTAGATAATAATAGATTCAGAACACGGTCACGTGGGTATCTTTGCGATGGCTTTTCTCTACACGTATTCAACTTGAAGCATGTAATTCTTAGACTGTGAAGAACACATTGGTGTTCTGCAGACTCTTAGCCCGCCGGTCCCCACACATGCCAGTTTGGTCCTTGTTGGAATTATCGGAGGAGTCGCCCTTGGAGTTTTCCTCCTTTTGCTATTGGCCATCCGCACATGCAAACCCAAAGCAGGCCCCGCATCCGACGGGACCTCTGAAACTGACCCTCTCCTGAATCAACTGCAAACTGATCTTCAGGTGAGGAACTCATTAGCATCCCAGCACAGTGGACTAATTGAATAGGGCGAACAGAGGGATCATACTCCCATGTCAAACAAAGACACATTACTCTGTTCCATCTGTGCAAATTTGGACTTTTACAAGATTTTCCTTGATGGCATCCCAGAGACAGAGGAGATCCCGCTCGATACACTCTCGTCCATCTTAAAGAAGTCCTACCAATGCAGTTTCTGCCGCCTCATAGCCTTTCATGTTCGTCGAACATGGATGTTGGACAACTTTCCTCACTTCGATCTCTCACGTATTGAATGTCGGATCTTGTCACAAAATTGTGGTCATCTTCGGGGTTATCCCCTACCAAAATTCCGCTGCTATCGCCTCCACATCAATATGGAGGGCTTACAATACCTTTGGGAGAGATATCCGGCTTCCAGAGCAGTGGCAGGTTCGCTACGGATCCACCTTATGCAAGAAGATGCTTTCAAGTTTGGGAGACCTATTGATGTTCATGGTCGCAGGTTGAAGGATGTCGTGGATATAAATCTGGTGAAGAACTGGATTAATATTTGTCAGGAGAATCACGGTGATGACTGTAGAAGTGCCCGGAGCATGGACGACGTCGACAGGAAGCTACCAGAGTTTGTGAGAGTGGTAGACGTAGTATCGATGTCCGTGATTCCTGCTCCTTCTCGCTGTCGCTATGTCGCCCTCAGTTACGTATGGGGAGATATCGGCGCAGAATATTGGACGGCGAAGGACAACGTAGTGGAGCGCTCCAAGCCTGGCGGTTTGAACGCGGCACACCTCCCCGAAACCATCACTGACTCGATTCTATTCGTTCGACAACTTGGTGAACGTTACATATGGATCGACGCTCTATGCATCATCCAAGATGATTCCCAGGACAAATTCGCTCAAATACAAATCATGGATTTGGTCTATGGCTTGTCTTACCTCACGATAGTCACTGCTAGCGGCAAGACTAGGACGGCTCGGGACCCTCTCCCAGGGTGCCGCCCACGAACTAGAACATCACAACAGCATATAGAGGTCGTTCAAGGACTTCATCTCTATGTGGGTCCTCCAAGACTTAGGGAGGCTCTCGCTATGTCCGCATGGAATACACGTTGTTGGACCTATCAAGAGTCCGTGCTCTCCCACCGAAGGATATACTTCACTGGGCAGCAAGTCTACTTTGAATGTCGACGTGATGTCTTCTGCGAAGACATCATCGCGGAAAACCAACGCTTCATCGTTGGCGGCTTTCTTCAGTCTTCAGGTGATGGTGTCCTCCATAGCCACTCCTTTGCGAATTACTTGTTTGCCGTCAAGGAGTGTACACGACGTAATCTCACGGTGGAATCAGACGTTGTTGATGCTATCACTGGAGTGACGAATGCTTTGGCGATAGCCTTTGGGCTCGGTGATCCCACCAGAGTCTTTCAATATGGAATGATGTTGACGGACCTGCATCACACGCTTCTCTGGCAACACGATCCACACACACCTCGTTCACGCCGTTCACTTCCTGACAGAGACAGTTCACCCCGGCCTTCTTGGGCATGGGCTACGTGGCGTGGAGCTATCGATTATTTGACGATCTTTCGATACGAGGGGATCACCATGAATACTAGCCCCCCAGAAGTGGTCGAAACATTTGTTGATCCTTGGTACATCGTAGACCATAGTGGCGACATAGTGCAGTTTGATGTTCCCCGAAAGCACCAAGTCATTTACCCTAGGATGCCCAAGACCTCATATTCTCCTCCACATGGTGTCTTGGACACGACGGAGCTGACACTAAACATACATCGACCGCTAGAACCAAGCACCCTCATATTTCGCACGACTTCCAGCCACTTTGGTATTGCACGACGAGCTCGACTTAGCGAAGAATCAAGTACCGCACCTATCCATCACGGTCTCTTCGATATCCTCTCCACCACTTCTTCCCCCACCGTATCTTCCACTTCTGCATCTTCCCCTCCCGAGGCTTGGGTTGGCACTGCCGTCCTGCCATTGGACCACGCCCTGCCTACTTCTCTCGAGTTCATTGTTCTTTCCCGTACCGATATACGCGGTGTGTATGATGAAGAGAGTTTTCCTTTTTACCTTGAATGCTCACTACATGTGATGGCAATTAGTAGTCAAAATGAGGGTTTGATGGAACGTGTTGGGTTGGGCATCATTCATGAAGCCGCCTGGATTGCTTCAAATGCGAAAGAGAAGGTTGTATTTCTTCGATAGTGGGAGGCGGTTGTTGGCTCTTATTATCTACTGTACACTTACGACCTTAGCTTCAAGGACATGTATGATTGTTAGGATACAGGCAGTTTACCTATAGTAGTTTGTCGATATGAGAATAGCCATTCTGGGAGGTCAATGAGCATAATGGGCAACTCATGTTCGAGGGTTTCTACAGAGAATTCTGCGGGGTTGCAAGGCCAAGGGTATACACCAGGAACATCAGATGCTCGAGATGGAAACAACAAGCCGATGACACTGTCAAGGCAGTTCGCGATTCATTCAAAATGGCAGTGTGAACGCGCCAGAAAAGAGGGAATAAATGTGTGCAATTATATCCAAGACGCGACATCGTGTGAGCAGTCACCTGAGGTATCCTAGGACAACTTTGCAATATTAGCCGATATCCGATCTTTAGGAAATCCCGTTCCCTGTCCAGAATAAGATAGGGTGGCGTATGTGCCCTTCGTCAAATATGATGGGTTGACGACGACTGAATTGTCTACGACCTGCAGCAGATATTGAAGCGACGACGGGATGGTATCAAAGTAAATTTACCTTTGAAAAGTGCTTCAATCGGCTGGGCAACACCATCACGTCAGGACCTGGATCGTCCGGACTTTCGGCGACTCTCAACTCTGCGGAATGTGATACGTCAAGATTGACTTCGTGTGCGACGTCCATGGACACAGGGAATATCGGGTAAAAACTATGCAGAGTGTCGGATGTAAGCTGCTGGAAGTTGAATGATAGGAAAAGTTTCACCTTCTCTGCTGCAAGACATATCTGCTCAGATTCGACATGGGGTCGCTAGCAGCCGCTGGTTCGCATATGATAGAATCAATTTCTTCTCCACGTCTAAAATACTCCTCCTTCCGCAGGTGATACAAGACGTCCACGCTGCACACAGCGAAAGAAATCCCATTTAGTGAGAAACGGGCTGGATTAGGGAGGAGCCGTATCCGCTGAGCACAGTAGTTAATTACATCAGATAAGGAGAACAGTGTTCGAAACACTCACTGGATCGCCGCTAAACTCATCATCAAGCTCGCATTGAGGAAAGACTGCGTGGTCGCTGATGATGTCATTCACGCTTGGTACGAGAAGAACGATGCTTGTTGGTGATTGGGAAAGAAAATCTCGGAGGGGAGTGATAAACTGGCGTTTGAAAATGTCTGATGGCATCTCGTCAACCATGCCGTGCTGTAGGTATGTATGTGTAGCATCTACGAATGGCCCGAGCTGATCAAATTGTGAGATTCGAATGCTAAATTGAACTAAAGAATGTGCATACGAGTAAGACGACGGCAGGTTTTGATGCCTTGAGGTTGCTGATGAGAGTTCTCCATGGTTTGTAGTCGAGGTTAGCATCTGGAGTGAATGGCCCACAGGCTATGCACATGTCAAAACTTGCTGCGACGTTACTCGGTGGAGCAGGTGACACCGGCATCGGAGGTATCTACGCCAAGCACGTCTTGTAATTTGACAAGAAAACCAGAGACTGGGAACACTCACAGCCAGAATCTCAGACGCAATAAAATAGCCTCCACCGCCGTTGCGCCCCTTCAGCGCCACAACCGCCCCAGGAAACAGGCCCACACCACCCAGGCCTTTGTACCCTCCCCTTATCTTGAGACCTGGGGCGAGTTGTAGAGGCACACGTAGTCCATCCCCGTGGGCCCGCGATGCCTCGAGAATCAGTGACTGATCGTTCAGCTTAACGCCTGCGCCAGAAGGTTCCGCGTCTATCACGATCCGGCCCACGACAACGCAACATTCCTGCAAAAAAATTCAGCCTAAGAAAACAGTTGCCAAAGCACCCGTACCTCGGAGAAAACGCCGGGATGACCCAACTGACCAGCATCCCGATAATGTTTCAAAATAAGATCGCCAAACCCATCGAGTTGTGTGTCTAGAGCTAGAAAAAACTCAGCTGGAGCAGCGCTCGGAAGGTCTGCCAGATACCCACGCACTTTCGCTCCGTTCGCCCAATGTTTCATACATATATCGATCTTAAGCAGGATGAGGGGATGAGGCAGGAAGACTGGGGATTGACACTCACAAGCGCGATTCTGTCTACCATCTTTGGGACCCACGAACGCAACCCTACTCGAACTAGCGATAGGGCCATCAAAGTCCTGCTCAAGCTTCACAGGCGTGCTCGGCATTCCTCCAAAAAGTGCTTTTGGCGGCTGAGCCGCAGCCTTGAGCGGCCCACTAAGCCCCGTAGCATTCACGCCCGCAAATTTTGCAGAATGAGCTAGCCTCCCGCGCGCAAAGCTAGTCGCTGATGCCGACTTAGACGCACTGCTCGCGTTCTTGGCTTGTACCTCCCGCTGGATCTGAGCCTTGACATCTGCTGCAGATTCGCGCGTAAAGCGGAGGATAGTCTGCGCTTTACCGTACGATAGAGCTTCCCATTTGAATTGGAGGTCTTCTGCTGTTAGATTGTACATCTGACATATGGATACACCTGTAAAACGCGTTCTATGGCTATGATCTTTGCGGATTCAAACGCGAAATCGTACATTCATTTACAAGGGCCTCTGAGTCCTCTTCCTCCTCTGTAGCACCAAGCCAAGTGACTATATTGCCGCGTAAGGAAGACATCTTTGATCAGAGGTGGACAGAACGAGAAACGCGTGAAATGGACACGGAACGCGTCAAGCCACAAACGCGACAATGTGTCACGGTCACAGAACGGTCATGCAGTCACATCACACCAACTTCAGAATTATTATAGATAACACCTGCAGAACACGAACAGATGAATGTACGATGAGCGGATCCTACTATGTAGTTACTGATACAAACAGATTCAAGACTACAGCAGACTACAGATCAGGGGAGGGTAGCCAAGCATTGAATCCAGAAGGCATGGGTTGGGGTGTTACCGACGATACGTAGGGAATACACGAGCGAAACGTAGCGTCTTCAAGCTCTTTGAAGAATCAATAAGTTGGGATATGGAAGGGCACGGAAGGGAAGGAGAAGAGAAAAGAGTAAGTGTCTATGCTTCTTCCTGGTCCCCTGCATCTGCGTCTTCCTTCTCTGGCTCTTCTTCCTCGGAATGGGAGAGCGAGCTCTCTTTTGCAGGACATGAGCTATTCGTGGGAGATACGCTTAATCCGCCGGTGTGGGATGTTGGCGGCGATGATGCGTGTGGGATGCTATACATAACTGTAAGCGAGTGACAGTGCACAGTAAGAATGGAGAACGACATACTTGTCTGGATTGGGGATCGCAGTGCCAACGGTGTTCTGTGGTGCGACCCCAGCTTTGGAGAGTGCATAGTCACCTGAATCGAAATATTTCCGGTCCTGGATGCAATAAGAACAAAGATGAATAGAGAGGGCATGGAACTCACCCCTTGCATCTTGGTCAAGATGTTCTTGTGTGCGGGAAGTTTGCCGTACAGTCGAAAGAGCTTCTGCTCCTCCTCCGACAGTTTCTGTGCAAGTCATGATGAATACATATCCTTGCACGGGGCACGAGGCATCGATAACTCACACTGATGTCGATCTTGTTGCGCTTGGCCGGCAGCATGGCGAAGTGATGAGCAGAACGAGCTAGACGATGAAGGAGGAGGAGCTATGAAAGCCTTCGAGAGGGTCCTTGAGAAAGCCCAGCACCGATGAATCGAATGGAAACAAAAGTTGTCGATGACTTGCGGTTTCTAAGCGTTTCCAGTCTTTCCCCCAAAGATGTAATTACCTAAGCGGAGTGGCGGAGTTTCAATCAAACATTTCAATTATACCCGGCATCGGATGTCGGATCTCATATGTCATAATCAGTTTCAGCAAAACTTGTTTCCCAAGTCACAGCTTTGTTTGCGGAACACGTTACAGATCCCAGACATCCGTAAAACAGTCATATGTGCTACCCTGCACCACCTGACCATCCATGCTAAAGTGAGTGTCGAAAGTGTATTTTTGATCCGCGGTATTGTTCTTCACCTGTAAGAAGTTGTCTTGATCAGGACCACCATCCGGAACTTGTGAGACAGCACTGAGCCCAGTCTCATCTTCAACACAAAGCCCACTCGAGTCATCGAATACATCAGCCAGATCGAACAGTATCTCGTCCTCGCAGCTCCATTCTTCATCTGCAAACTCGGTGTCAACGAGTACGGCGAACTCGTCCACTTCTCCAAGTTGTTCTTGGCGCCCCGAAAACGTCGACTCTGCGCCGATCAGATGACATGACAGGGGCTGATGAAACACAACCGGTGCATCCTCAAGGGGCAGGGAAGTACGTTCGAATTCGGCATCTTCCATGTTGACATCCTCTTGCTCGTGATCAACTTCTAGGTCCAACGCGAAGCTATCGTTGTCTTCACTTTCAGTTAGATAGGACGATGCCAAAGGGGGCGTAATGCTACGTGGTTGAGATGAAAAGCCTAGGCCTTTGATAAGGAAACCGTCCGAATGCGTGGTCCATGCGCCTGGCAACGTGGTCGCTTCATCAGGCCAGTCCTCTAAAAGATCATCCGTATCGTTCGGCACGGTCTGCTGGATATCAATAGCCGGAACGGAGATATCCATGTGGATGTCAGGAAGATTAGGCCAAGCGAGAGGGAAATCGACTTCTGTGCTATTGAAAATGGCGTCATGCTCGACTAGTTGATCGTCATCCCCAGCTGAAGAAGTCAAGCGTGCGGTGATGATCTGGCTCTGAATAACTCGCACGAGATGTCATTCCTGAATAGGAGATTTCATACCTTGAAGCGAGTCTGGGGGACACCCACTCTGAACATCTGCTCCAAGGACTCACACAAGACGGCTTCTGGTGTGAGTTCCGGAGTATTGATTTGCTCGCCTTCGTCCGAGTCTTCTGAGTCGCGGGGGGCGAAGCATAAGGAGAGGGCCGTTGCGGAGGCCTGGAGCACGGACTGATGGCGAGCGCGTGCGGTCTAAAAAGATAATTATGGCGTGCACGGGAAGAAATATAAAACGCACCTTGATTAGTCGCTTGCAATGCACTACGAAATGGGGATTAGGGGACCGCCGCATGATTTCGAGAATGGACTGAGCAACGGAATGAAAGTACTCGGATTCCATGTCGAGCCTCTGATGTATTGTGAGGACAGTTGAGCAGAAAAAGGATCAAACATACTCTGCGCCACGTGCCAAAGATAAGGGGATAGCGTCTGAGCCATATGAGAGCGCATATATTCAGCTCAGACTACAGAAACGCACCCTACAAGCTGACTGAAAAGCTGCTCTGTGACGCGCTTGAGGAGGAGCTCAAAGGGCAGGTACAAATGGTCTGCGAACGGGCTGGCATCGCTGAGAAGGTTTGTGGAGCCTTCACGATCTCCTGCGGTTTTCCAAATATAACAGAGATCCACCGCCACGAGAGTAGCATGTGGGCGGGATGTATGAGATAGGGACCGGGATGGCGTCAGAATGACTGGAGTGGAGATTGTGCGTGGGTAGATGACGCAGAGTGAACGAGCTTACTTTTAGTATGGCCGTCGTCGTCGTCGATGTATGCGTCAGAGACGTTGTTCAAACCCAGCTGAGGTGCGTTCTGGAATACATAAGCAAAAAAGAGAAGAAAAGTGGCTTTGATACGTGCTTCGTTGAGGTCACTGCGGAGGTGGCGGACTAACGCAGAGTGCGCGATCGAATCCGCAGGGACGGTCTGGCCATCCAGAGAACCTGAAATAGAGACGATCAAATCTGAAAGTAGGAGGACGTCCAATTCTTTTGGTAGTCTGCCCTTGACTTTATGAACTACATTAGAGGGAGAGCCATGATAGAGCTTGTGCACGATTTTTATGTTCAAAAGACAATGTTCAGATGCAGCACGGATTGACGAGGAGGAGGAAAAGGATGGCATTGAATTAGGAAATATTCATTTGCTAAGTCTGTATTGTTATTGCTAAGTCTATATTTGGGTGTTAGCCAAGTCTGTAGTGCCTCGTCGGGCGTTTATCAGTAATCTGCCCAGGCCCACAGCCCCATCCGCTGCTGTATAACGCCCTCTCTTACTACGAACCACAGACAGCACAACGGTCATGGTGCGCGTTCTCTCTTTCTGCTTTAAATTCACAATCAAACAAGTCTTATTTTGACTTAGTCGACCGTCGAGCTAGACCAGAAAATACAAGATGTCTTCAAGCGCATCGAGAAGGAACGCAAATTCATCGACGCTTCTCGTTTAATCAGACAAGCAACCACAAACCCAGATGTTCTACGTCAAAATGACGCAAAGGTTCGCGAGGCCGAGCGTTCCCTTTCTTATTTCGAGGATGCTCTCCGTGAGCTACAAGCTCGCAAGCTACTGCAGTCTCAGCGCGATGATCCATCTAGATCGGGCACTGCTACATCTCCTCAACAACAACTATTCAAACAAGGTCGTTCCTCTGATAGAGATCGTTCACTTCCCCGAATCCCCCCCTCCGATTCTACTCGTGGCGCCTCTTCTAGCGCCACTCTCATTCCCGGCGATGATACAGACGGCGTTCCCAAGGCGAAGCAGTACACAAACCTCGATCTTATCAAAGCAGATACCCCCCTTACTACTCCAAAGATATCTCGTATGCTTCATCAGCTCGAGTTCAAACTACAGGTCGAAATGCAGTACAAGAAGGGCATCGACAAGATGTCAAAGCTCTATCAGGCAGACGGCGACAAGAAATCTCGCGCAGATGCAGAGAGCAAGCGCGTCGAGAGCGAGAAGAAGATTCAGCTCCTACAATCCGCCCTCAAATGCTATAAGAACCTCCATATCCTCGATGATGCCGAGGAAGAAGAGCAGCCAGCAGGTTAGTTCTCATTTCCCCCCCTCAATCCACATAATTTCAAATATCATGGGCTAGGTCCCGATGGCGAACATAAAGATAATCTACGCGCCAAGCCTTTGTCCGGCAAGCTCTATGTGACTGTCAAAGGAGCACGCGAGCTCGAGCATGCTCCCATCATAACCGGTTTTAGAGCCCGTGCTGCTTCCAAACAGGTCCGCGAGACCTTCGTGTCCCTCAAAATCGAAGGTACCCAACGCGCTCGCTCCCACCCCTCGCGAACCGACCGTTGGAATGAAGACTTCGAAATCACAGTCGACAAAGCTAATGAAGTCGAGATCGCGGTCTATGATAAACAGGTATCCGAAGTTCACCCGGTCCCTATCGGATTGCTCTGGATAAGAATCAGCGACCTCGTCGAAGCGCTCAGACGGCAAAAGGTCATGATGGACAGCCAGGGCGGCTGGGTCACTGCGGGTGCTATGGATGGCGATGCTCCTGTCACTCGTTCTCCTCAGCATATGGGTGGATTTGGCGATAGCAACGCTCCGCTGAATATAGAACCTGATGGGTCGGGTAATCCACCAAGCGGCGCAACGGCTTACACCAGTCAGAACGAAGGCATTGATGCGTGGTTTGCGGTAGAACCGGTCGGTGCTCTTGGATTGCATCTCAACTTCGGTAAGCGACTTCTACGTCTGTGAGACGGGTTCTTATGCCGAGTTTCAGTCAAGGAGAACGTGCGCAAGCGCCCGCTGGATGCTCCCGGTGGGCTCGGACGTCAGGGCGCTGTCAGAAAACGAAAGGGTGAAGTTCACGAGATGAATGGCCATAAATTCGTACAACGGCAATTCTATCAACTCATGCTTTGTGCCTTTTGCAACGACTTCTTACTCAACGCCCTGGGTTATCAGTGCGAAGACTGCCGGTACACCTGTCACAAGAAATGTTACGAGAAAGTAGTCACGAAGTGTATATCAAAGTCAAATACTGGGGTATGTACCTTTCCCCCCCTTCCCCATCACCCCTCACACCCTTCCTCACCAGGAGGGCGATGAAGAGAAGATCAACCATCGCATCCCCCATCGCTTCGAGCCACTCACGAACATCGGCGCGAACTGGTGCTGCCACTGCGGTTACATGCTTCCCCTCGGCCGCAAGAACGCACGCAAGTGCTCAGAATGTGACATCACCTGCCATGCCAACTGTGCGCACCTCGTGCCTGATTTCTGTGGTATGTCGATGGAGACAGCCAACCAACTCCTCCGTGATTGGCGCGATATCAATCGTGCGCGCGGGGGTAAAGCAGCAGCAGCAGTATCGCGACCCGCCCTTACCCCTACTCCGCAGACCCAAACACAAGTGCTTCCGCCTGCGGAAATGCCGCTCAGCGACAGTCTGGATAGGATGCAGCTTACAGGGGGAGAAGTGGCTCCTGTACCTGGGTTGATTGTTGATGCCTTTGGGCGACGCACACCTACGCAGGATGGTGTCGATCCTCGTTACTATCAGCAACAACCGCCGTCGAGTGTTCCTCCTCGTCCTCCCCCAGGTGCTCGGGTCCCGGTGCCCCCTGCTTACCCCAATGAACAATTGTTGCCTCCCCCACCACCGCCTCTGCCACAGGCGCCTATAGCGTATGAGCAAGAAGAGTACTCGACTTCTGTGCCCCAGGTAAGTTTTTGTGTTTGTCGTGCCAGCGGGTGTGCTCACGAAGCCTTAGAAACAGTCCCCCTACCCGCAACCAGGTTTACCGATGCAACCTCCTCCCGGGCCCCAGTATGCACCGCGACCCCAGGACCCTCACTTGGTCCCGCCCGTTCAGGCTACGCCTCCGGCGCAGCGAGTCCCAAGTCGCAAGCGTAAAGTTGGTCTCGACGACTTCAACTTCCTGGCTGTCTTGGGTAAGGGTAACTTCGGTAAAGTCATGCTCGCGGAGGAGAAAAAGACGAACGGGTTGTATGCTATCAAAGTGCTCAAGAAGGAGTTTATCATCGATAACGATGAAGTCGAGAGGTGCGTTGCGTATTGTTGATGTGATTAAGATACTTACCATGGATGCACAGTACGCGTTCAGAAAAACGAGTGTTCTTGGCGGCTGCTCGTGAACGGCACCCGTTCCTGCTTGGCTTACACTCTTGTTTCCAGACTGAGACACGTGTATACTTTGTCATGGAGTACGTTAGTGGTGGCGACCTCATGTTACACATCCAACGCAAGCAGTTCTCGCTTCGCCAAGCCAAATTTTACGCATCGGAGGTTCTTCTTGCTTTGGAATATTTCCACGCGAACGGCATCATCTATCGTGATCTGAAGCTTGATAATATTCTGCTTACCCTGGACGGACACGTCAAGGTTGCTGATTACGGACTGTGCAAGGAGGATATGTGGTATGGCTCGACTACTAGCACGTTCTGCGGTACTCCTGAGTTCATGGCTCCCGAGGTACTTGTTGTATCCCCCTGTTGTGAGGACCGAACTGATGTTGATGTAGATTCTGCTCGAACAACGATACGGCCGCGCCGTAGATTGGTGGGCGTTTGGTGTCTTGACGTATGAGATGTTGCTCGGACAATCGCCCTTCCGTGGCGACGACGAAGATGAAATCTTTGATGCCATCTTGGAGGATGAGCCACTATATCCCATCACCATGCCGAGAGACGCTGTCTCCATCTTACAGAAGGTCGGACGTCCCCGCAGTTTGCTTTTTATGATTGCTGATTGGTGACATTACAGCTGTTGACCCGGGATCCCACACGTCGTTTGGGATCTGGGAAGGCTGACGCCGAGGAGATTAAGAGACATCCTTTCTTCAAGGATGTGAGCTTTGACGATGTCTTGAACAAACGCATCCCGCCACCGTACTTCCCCACCATAGTGAGCTCGATGTTTCAAGTACAAAGGAACGATATTGACTTCATTTGCAGAACGGAAGTGCGGACACCAGTAACTTTGATGAAGAGTTTACAAAGGAGCAACCGACATTGACGCCTGTTCACGGACAGCTGTCTTCGAAGGACCAACAGGAATTCAGCGGATTCTCATGGGTGAGCGCGATGCCTGTTTTCTGTCGCGTTTCCACTGATCAACTTGCGCAGGTCGCTTCTTGGGCGGATGTATGATTCGGACTCTACGCAGCATTGTCATCACCATCTGTCTTGTCTTGTCGCAATAATACATACATTTTTTTTGTTCTTCTCACCTGTACTTGGATGGTTTTCACAAAGTTCATGAAAGTTATCATGTAGCGTACCCGTCGAACAATTTCACTTTCGCTCTCTTGAGACGGTCAGTGCTAGCGTTTGGAGTTTGTAGACACGACATGCGCGCCTGTTCCGGGCACGTTCGTTCTGTCCTCGCGCACTTCGTCTCGTTGTCCACGCATCAGATCGTGGAAACTTTGCCAGAGGGAGGCGATGGTTTCGTATTCACGAGTCATGCCTAGCACCTCTTCGAGCTTGCGATTGAGTACGTTGCTAGTTGAGAGAAGGTCTTCGAAACCCTATAGATGACGCGTTAGTTTTGACTTTTGAGGTGTAGATGCAGTTGGGTTAGGCGATACTTACTGCTGTGATATCTGAGGACAGTCTGTCGCGCTCGCGTTCGAAGAAGGAGGGTTCTGATTGCGACATCAAGGAGTAATACTTGCTAGCACGTGGAGGATTGGCTGAAGTCAACAGTTATTATTAAGGATGCAAAGACCGTGTCGCGTCGCGTTCTGAAACTTATGTCATCCAAGTAGGGCACAGGTAAAATGCTGCGCCACTGCTGCGACTGCTGCGGCAACTGCCGCGATCCACTGCTGCGCTGCTCACAAAACATTAATGAGTGCGCATTCAAATACTCACTATGCCTACTATCAGCTACTGGACCTCTGTCTATTCCAAACCACCCATGGAGTCAAGCATGCACTAGGTCCTTATGCATCCACGCTGCCCATCCAAGTCACACTTCAACGTTTCAACTCCGCCGTTTCAAACGTTTCAGCTTGAACCCAGCTAGCAAGAACCTTTTTCTTATGAAAAGCTGATAGGTGAGCGATTATGCAAATAGTACCAGTGTGTTAGATCTGATGCGAGACGGAAGGTTGATGTAGGTGCGCGGACTCCTTAATCAAGGATGGTACGCTTATCGAATCCATCGATTGCTAAAACTCTGCGCTGGCTGGGTGCTTATCGACATGCGGTATCACACATGGTGTAATTCTGAGGCATGCTGTATAATCGATGGTGGTTGATGGTTTAGAATGGCTGTGATGTGCCAAGATGTTGGCGCAACAGTCGACCCTCCTTTCGCCGCTCACCCAGAAAGGAACTTCACTTCTGGGCACGTCTTTTCAATCAGGCATGTGGAGGTAACCGGAAGGTCGACCGGTTGGTGCTGGTCAGCTGCCAGCTTTTCCCCAACACGTGTCTAACCCCTTATCAACTTTTCGTGGTCTTAAAAATCAAGACCGAGCAAATCCCTTTGGCATCAGCGATTTTCTCACCGCGTTCTTTCGTCCGTTCGCGTCAGGGCCTTCTGCTGAACTCACCTACTTATTTTTTCACAGTCTACTTGGCACATGACCCCAACGCCACGACTAGTGGCTATCACGCAATATGTAACATTACCCCCCTGCTATGAAACACGGGCGGTTGTTAAATATCGCCATAATCACTTCGTCAGAAACATTGCACACGAGATGCTTGTACCACATCTTGGTCAGTAGAACAATTACTCTCTTTTCAATATGTAGGGTCTGCGGACCGTGCGGTTCCAAATCATGACGCATCCCCGTACCTTTCTACGAGATACTGATCTCGTAGAACACTCCAGATTGAGAAGGCCGGTGGTGCGATGCTGTTCCACTAACTTTCCATCATCTCTAGACCATTCAGCGCCGATGTGTCCATGGCCGTCGCGGGGTTGCTATATCAGCATGGTCCCCGCGTATCATGTATATGAGAGAGAGTCCACTGTATCGGCATACCAATAGCATTGTTTCAATGTTGTTGGTTTGCTGATAGAGTGTAGAATCTCAAAATTTCGATCACCCCCCCCCCCCGGCAGGTGAAGAATTGTGCCAAGACCACGATGCGTGCTTTTATTGCAGTGGTACAGGTACACAAGAGTCGACCTATCTAGAGAACAATCTAGAGGAGTATTTCAACATGACATATTATTATATCGATGCATACGCAACTCCTGTTACTGTTTCTTATTCGTCAAGACGCGAAGAGACTCGTTGATTGTGTATTGTTCATCGCCAGAGGTCGAGAACAGTGCGGGCAGCTAGGAGACACACGCAAAGTCAAGACACTTAAGGGGGACGTGGTGACAGACACTGTGGACGATACGGGTATCATCATCAAAGAGGTGGCATTGAGGCCATTCGCATCGAGGTAGTATAAGAGGCTTGATTGTATCCGGAATGTGAAGGAAAATACTATATGTAAGTTGACTGCTAGCGAAGAGCCGGGGGGAAAGTACTAGTTGTCCAGACGCTGCGCTTTTATTGATGACCATTGGCAAGTGAGGGAGATGCACAGCAGAAAAAAGAATGAAACAAGCCAAATGATGGGTTGTGACTTGTGACTCAGTGGGCGCGTCGCGTTTGTCACAGTGCAAAACATTCATGTTTATACCCCGTGCTTCATCTGACGGACTCTAATTAGTAATGTCGACTGTTCCCGACCAGTAAATTCGATGACGCAAAGAGGAGAATAAGTAATTGGATCAACAAAACATGGAGGAGAGAAGCTTGACATGGTATCCAAGTTCGAGGTCGGAGAAGCGCCCCAGTCAATGATGCGGCAGTAGGGGGGCAGGGAAAACGTTGATTAGACGGTAATTTGACAGTTTCTACTAGCCATCAGAGGCCTGGATCGTGATTTAAAGCAGTGGTTCAGGTCAAGCAGGCTAATATGTCTCGCCGTTGCGCGTCTCTGGGCAACTTCCTCACACATCGGCCCGGTTTCAACATCTTGCCTCTTGCAATCAAAAGCAGTTCTAGACCTGGCTAGAGGCGTCATCAACCAGACATAGCCCTAGTAGAGCGTTCCAGAGTAACCCACATTACCATTCAATTCCACTGGCGGCAAACCTCGGCAACGGTGGTAAAACATCGGTTATCTCCTTTCCTTACCGTATATAAATCCTCTTTCCCCCCCTGAGACTCGCTACAGATAACAAAACTTCTACCACGCCAACCACCATGGATACTGCAGCTAGGCAACTCGAGGCTGAAGTCAATCGACTCCATCACGAGCTTCAAACCCTGAAAGTACAATATCAGAGCGATGACGACGAGCTTATCACTATCTCTGAGTACATTTTGAAGAGATTGGAACAGCTCAACGTGACGGTATGTGTCTCCTTCTCAATCAAGGCCATTCAAGTTGAACATAGTTTCATTGTTCACAGTCCATTTTCGGAGTGCCGGGAGATTTCAACATGCGTAAGGTTTGATTAATGACTGAACGAGTTTACTTGTTAATGAGTTGCCCAGCTTTCCTGGTGAATTGTTATCCGAATGAACAACGCCAACATTGACACTTCCTTCTTCAATTCTTAGGACTTCATTGAAGACCATCCCACGATCAAGTGGATTGGGAATTGGTAACAAGTCCATCATGTCGGCGACGCGTTTTCTTACCCTATTCTAGCAACGAGTTGAATGCAGCTTATGCAGCCGATGGCTACGCCCGCGTGAAAGAGCACAGCATAGGCGTGGTTGTGACAACGTAGGTTTGGTAGTCGACAAACATTATTAACATGCGACCTCAATAATGTGGTTCAGGTTCGGCGTTGGCGAATTAAGTGCCATCAACGGGATTGCCGGCGGTAATTGTTATTCATCGTTCTCGCACTGAGTAACTCACAAGTATCTCAGCGTTCTCTGAAATGGTCCCTGTCCTTCATATCGTCGGAGTGCCTAGCACTACGCAGTTGAAGAATAAGCCCATGCTTCATCACACACTTGGCAATGGGAGGTATATCTCTCTCGTTTTTGTTTACCGCAGTATCTGATGTTTGCCAGATTCGACGCATATACTAAAGCTGCGGAACAGATCACCATTGCTCAGGCCATGATTATGAATAAAACACACGCTGCCGCCGAAATCGATCGAATCCTCACTGAGTGTATTACCCAAGTAAGTCCTGATTGTCCACCTTTCCTCCTTCAAGCAGTGAATGTCCCGCAGGCTCGCCCCGTTTACCTCACACTTCCGATGGACCTTACCACTGAAAAAATCCCTGCCAAGCGTTTGAAGGTAGAGCTTTCGCGCACCCCTCCTCTCAACGACGCAGACGTCGAGAATTATGTTCTCGACGAGATTATGGAGCTCGTGGATGATGCTAAACAAGACATCGTTGTTCTCGTCGATGCTTGCGCTGTTCGTCACGACATGCGCCAGGAAGTCAACGACCTTCTCGCCAAGACACAGTTCCCTGTATATGCAACACCAATGGGTAAGACGGCAGTGAACGAGGAGCATGAACGATACGGCGGTGTGAGTTTCCATAATCGCCTTTCGTTAAAGACAGTTCTGACGCTGCTATAGATTTACATCGGCTCGATCACGCATCCGTCCATCAAGGAGAGGGTCGAAAACGCAAAGCTTATTCTCTCAATTGGCGCCTTGAAGTCAGATTTCAACACGGGAATGTTCACGTATCATATTCCGGCGACGCACACCATTGAGGTAACTTTCTATAATATGGCGGTTTTCGACGCTCAGGTTATCTTCGTAGTTACACTCCGACCATACACTTGTTCGCCACGCAAAATTCCCGGGTATAGGAATGAAGTTGCTTCTCCCGAAGCTCACGGAGAGGCTGAGTAAATATAAGGAGGGTGCATCACGGATCCCTCTTCCGCGCTATAAGCTAGATGTTCCAGATGAGAGTGACGATAAGATTTCTCATGCTTATTTCTGGCCTCGGGTGGGAAAATTCTTCCGGAAGCAGGATGTCATCGTTGCTGAGACTGGTGAGTAGAACGTCATCTACTGTTCCTGAAATTTCAGAGCGAATTGTGTGTATAGGCACTTCAAACTTTGGAGTTTTGGACGTTCCTATGCCTGACCAGTCCATTTTCGTCAGTCAGATCTTGTATGGAAGCATTGGATGGGCAACCGGTAAATATTGCGAAGCTCCTATGACCAATTTGTATCTGACGGAAATAACTCTAGCTAGTACACTCGGTGCAGCTCTCGCAGCCCGCGACAAATGTCTTGGACGCACCATCTTATTCACTGGCGATGGTAGCATGTACGTGGTCCATTGATCGTGCCTGAATTCAGCCTGACTATTACATGGGTCAGGCAACTGACTGTGCAAGAGATTTCAACCATGACTCACCATAAGTTGACGCCAATCATCTTCGTGCTGAATAACAAGGGCTACAATATCGAGAGGCACTTGCACGGCTTGAATAGGTGAGTGATCGCTAAAGCGCACTACTGAACGTGACAGCTCATTAACCGTTGCAGGAAGTACAACGACATCGTAGACTGGTCAGAAAGTCCTCGCTCTCCTCGCTTACATTTTTTTGAAGTATTCCCACAGGAAATGGACTTCGCTTCTCACTACTCTCGGTGATATCGATGGTAAGATGTCAAACTCGTATACGGTCCGCAGCAAGTCAGAGCTCAACAAACTTCTTGACGATAACGAATTCGCGAGTGCGCAGAAGATACAGTTGGTCGAAGTAATCATGGACAAGTACGACACACCCCGTGCGTTGCAAGCATCTGCGGACTTGACTGCGAAGATTGCGGCGGGGCAAGTCTGAATCATCGCCAGATATTTTTCAGAATGTATTGTTACTGTAAAACAAGCTGTAAAATCATACAATGAGAACTCCGTGTCATGAATGTCACTTTTAAAAACGTGCAAACAAATTTTACGAAGGACAGGGGTGTTCCTCATTCGGTTCGTGCGTTTCAACTTAACACGTGACTGACGCGTATCAGGCATTGGCGCGTCAACCACCTGTCCTAATCCGAATCATCGTCCACGATCTTCGATACCCATATATTAGACTCTGCTACAAAGCCATCATCTTATATTTCGCTATTGGCTACTCTTTACTTCAACCTTGCTACCAACAGCACCTCTCAGGACTAGTGGTCAAGACGGCATAATGGCACACAACTCAGATACTTTTCCTCGCCGAATGGGTAACTACTGGCTACAAGACCGACTTGGATCAGGTTACTCAGGTACGTACTGGACTCACTGAACACCATTCCTCAACCTAGGCCATATCGTCCCAGGCTCTATCTTCAAGGCACACCATGTTCACGACGGCACTCTCGTTGCGCTCAAAGTGCAAGATGTCAACCACGAGTGCCCGACAAATCGCTATGAGCAGTCCATATATCCTCTACTACAAGGCGGGGAGGGTATGCCTCGCTTATGGGCTAACGGTATCGAGGGAAAGTGGCATTATCTGGTTATAAGTCTCCTCGGAAAGAGTCTGGAGAGTATCTACCGCCAAAATCTGCAAGCTGGGCACCAGACGATGGACCTTCGCAGTGTATGTTCCATCGCGATTCAAGTGGTGAGTTTTCGCGCTGGCTTCAGATCAATAACAGAACCTTGACGTCGATCGAATGTACAGATCGCACGCTTACAGATCATGCACAATCGCGAAGTTCTGCATCGCGATATACAGCTTGGGAACTGTGCTATCGGATTGACACCCGAAGAAGAAACTATCTACATGATCGACTTCGGTTTTTCCAAACGCTTTATCGATCCGCACACGCGGCGACATATTCTGGACTCAAAGCAGAAGAGAGACTTCTTGGGCAACTACTGGTTTACGTCTGTCAATGTGCATTGCAAAGGCAAGGGTCAGTATCCTAGATTTATTTATGTGTTACGGCTACCTATGAAACTGTCGCAGTACCGTCACGGCGGGATGATCTTGAGGCCGCTGCACTGATGTTTATACATCTTCTTACACCTGGAGGTCTCCCATGGACACGGAATGGAGTACCGAAAACCGACTCGGCGCATGATCGCATCAAGCGAGCGAAAAAGAACTCTTGTCCTGAAGACTTGTGCAAGGGAATGCCTTCTGAGTTTGAAGAGTTCCTGCGGTATTGTCGACGGCTGAAGTTCCACGACTGTCCTGATTACGATCAGTGGAAAGACGAGTTCAAGGCGCTCGCACAAGACAGTGGCTTCACTGATATTGAGCGCTTTATCTGGCCACCACCGAAAGCTTCCAAGGTACGATCGATTGTCAGTAGGCCTGAATTGGTGTTCATTGACTTTTTCAGGTCGTTCGGCCTGCTCCTACACGACCCACGATTGACGCAGACGAGATGGCGAACGTCCTGAATGACTTGGCTAAGCTCCAGCTCAACCCGCCTCGTCCAATACTAGGGGACCAAACTAATGTCCCTGCCCCTACGCGAAAAGATGACGCCAAAAAGCCTGGTGAAATCATATCCGTAAGCGACAGCTCCGAGGACGGTAGATCGAAACCAAATGCCCAACCTCTTCCACCCCGCACTCCCGTGCGAACGAAGAAAGCCAGTCAGCTGCAGAAACTCAAGCTTTCTGTCCTTGATTCAACAGATAATGCCGAGCTTGCGATCGCCGTGGAAGAGTTCGCGAAATTCTTGCAACTGGGCTCAAAGACGCTCACGAAAGAGGGTTTCGCCTTTCTGGATGCATTGTACAAACAGCTCGCAGATCCTTCAATATTCGTACACCCGCTTCGGACTTTGCGAAGTGCGACTCAAGAGGACACTCGAGCGCCCCAACCGGCACACGTGAAGTTGGGCGTGGTTGCGAGGCTTCGCCGAGAGGTCGGGACTGCATCGAGTAATAGGGTGCTTGCGAACCTCGTGGCTGACTTTGGTGCTGTGACAAACAAGAGCAGTGGCAGGACTATTACCAAGGATGGGTTTGCGTTTTTGGAGGGATTAGCCGCAAGGCTTCAAGCGTTAAATTAGAGAGGGAGTACTTGCGTTTACCAGGCCCCTTTAATTAGTGAGATCGAAGTGTTCTAGTGGAAGCGGCCTCGCCTTGTCTCGCACAGGTGTTTGATCTTGACAGGGGATATATATATACATGGCAATTTTGCTCTTTGCTTGGGTTGGAGCTTTGCTCTTGAGAATTAAGTAACGTGTGATCTCGGTTAACACCGGGAACAATTCTTTTACCCCAATAAATAGGTCTCGCAAGTTTGCACGCTTGTTTTTCTTTGTCTCTTTCTCCCTTCCTTTTTTTCATAGAAGCTTGGATTAGACAGGAGTCTACCACAACGACCCCAAGCATGTCAACCGGATCTGAGAAGGGTATCACGACCGTGAAACAGAATGTCTGCGTTATCCCCGACCTCACAATCAAGGACTTGTTGAGCGCCATCCCGTAAGTTTGAACGCGTCTTGAGATGTATTCCGGGGTCAGATACTGATCACCGTTGGTGTTTTCAGCGCTCACTGCTTCAAGCGTTCAGCGTTGCGGTCATCACTATACGTGTAGGTTATTCCTTTGCCAAGATAACTGGCTCTAACGCGTTTCACGATGATTAGTGTGTACGACCTGGCGGTGATCTCTGGTCTCTACAAGTCTGCAAGTTATCTAGACACTTTCATCTCCCCAGAACATATTTCCCTCCCTCATCCTTTGCTCTATCCCGCTGCACGCTTCTCTCTCTGGGCAGGGTACACATTCTGGACGGGTCTCTTCGCCACTGGTCTTTGGGTCATTGCTCACGAGTGCGGCCACCAAGCGTTTTCAGAGTCCAAGTTGATCAACAACAGTGTTGGTTGGGTCCTGCATTCTGCGTACGAGCTCAAATTTTATTTCTTCTGGTCACGTGATTCACTGTACCTAAAAAAATTAGGCTCGGTGTACCATACCATTCGTGGAGGATTAGCCATGCCAAACATCATGCTTCAACTGGCCATATGACTCAGGATCAGGTCTTTGTCCCCAAGACACGTTCCCAGCTTGGCTTGCCCGCATTCGACCCGACGAAGGAGGATATCCTTGGTTCAAGTGTTTCGGATGATGTGATGAGGGAGCTGAAGGAGGCGCTGGGCGACTCTCCTATTGGCGCAACCATTGGTGCTGCTACCTATTTGGTTAGGCGATTTGAATGAGATCTGCGTGATTGTGGCTGACGGAACTTTTAGCTTGGCGGCTTCCCTGCATACCTTATCCGCAATGCATCTGGTCAGAAGCGTTACCCCAAGGGCACCAACCGTAAGTATCAATTTGTGTTGAGAGGAGATGAACTTGATGTTTTTGTAGACTTCAGTCCTGATGCTGTGATTTTCGCGCCTCATCAGCGCGGGTCAGTCATTCTGTCTGACATTGGTATCGTGCTCTGGCTCGCTGCTATTAGCGGCTCCATCTATACATATGGGTTCTGGACCGTGTTCCGTGTCTACCTGATGCCTTACCTCTGGGTCAACCACTGGCTTGTCCTCATCACGTTCCTCCAACATACCGACCCTCTCCTCCCCCACTACCGTGCCTCTGAGTTCACTTTCCCTCGCGGCGCTCTGGCTACTTTGGACCGCAACCTCCTTGGCGGTTGTGGCTCGATCATGGGTTGGATCGGTGCTCATGCTACCCACGGTATCTCTGAGACCCACGTCCTTCATCACGTCTCCAGCAAGATCCCTCACTACAATGCTTGGGACGCTGCTGATGCTCTTCGCAAGCGCCTTGAACAAGCAGGTCTTAAACTGGATGGTGCCCCTGGTGGATGGATGGAAGTCTACAGGGTTTTCAAGGAGTGCAAGGTCAGTCCACTCTTACTTTGGTTCGATATATATTCTGAGACATCGTCAAGTTTGTTGAGGATGAGGGCAACATTGTTTTCTACAAGAACTCCTCCGGTCTTGCTGCCACTCGCCCTGCGTTCACTGATGGCAGCGCTAGTGACTCTGGTATTGAGGTTGACAAGATTTAAAAGCGTAGTCTTGCGTTATAGAGACGCCTGTAGATCGCCCATAGATCTGGCTATTATGATTCATAACATAAATGGCTTTGGGGCAATGGGGTTTAGGTGAACATTATTAGAGTCCTATGATCTTGCATTATGATAATTCTAATGGACGACACAATGAATGAATGACTTTTGTGCTGGCCACGTCTGCTATTGCTAATCGTCATCATCCTTCTGCAATAGATCTGATGTCTCGACCACTACTCAACCAAGGCCTTCGGATGGCAACCATGTTGTGTTGGTGAGCTGGTGCCTTGCCTGATCCAGATGTAAAGGTACGGAGCTGCTGTAGGTGTGCTCAAGCAGCATGTGAAAATTGAGAACAGCTTTTCGTACAGGACTCTAGGAGTGGATCAGTTTGGGGTACACATGGGTCGAAGTCTAGTTCTAATGAAACGACAAGGAAATGAACGACCGTCACGTCTATTAATCGTCATCATTCATGGACTGCTGTATATTTTCCTTCCACAGATCCGAGAACTCTTCAATGTCCCGACCGCTACTCAACGCGAGGGCTTCGATTGGCAGCATGTTGTGTTGGTGAGCTGGTGCATTGCGCCTCGTAGCGGGATGTGAAGGTGAGTCAATGACACGGAGATCAAGTGTGCTTGATGATTCCTGCATGAAGATTACCAATAGTTCTTCGTAGGTGAATAGGAGGGGATCCGTTCGGGGTGCATATGGGTTAAAGTCTAGGACGTGTCCTCGAAATAGATCACGCGTCATCAGCACATCAAAGATGTCTTCATGGCAGATGAGCGCAGGCACCGCGACGAAGGAGGGTTTAAACGTACAGTCTTGTTGTCCATGCCATTGGGACTTGACATCTTCCTCCCAAAAACGCTTTAGCGTCTCGGCGATCTTTTGTTGTGTTTCGGGCTCGTTCATGAAATCGTAGAAATTCGTGTCACGTTGTGATATCCCTGGAGATAGCATGAGCATGATCGTTGTCGGCATGTCTGAGATGGTACGTACCAATGAGACGATTGTCGCGGACGAAACACCTGAACTCGCGGCTCCTATCTATAGGATACCATTTCCGCAAGACAAGCTCGAGTTCATATGATGGCGGATTCAAGAGATCGAATTGACATCCCTCAAAGACCGTGTAGACACTCAGATCGTGTGATACATAGTCCGAGGATTTTAACAGGATGTAGACGTCTGATGGAGATGTGCATTTGAGAGGCGAGGATGGGGGTAATACCCAAGATGCATCCTGTGTTCGATGTGAATGGGGATTGATATCGATGGAATTGGACTGACCTTGGGTGAAGAAAAATTAAGCTTGGGGAAGACTGCGCCGTATTCTTTGATCGTCTCTCTTATCCGCTCGTCTAGATCTGGGAAGGAGAAATGTTGCCCGATGGCAGCGTCGTCCTCCTCGTCATCGTCATCCGAAAGAGAGCTTTCTGCAGGACTGAATGGGAAGTGAGTATGAGTGAGATAGAGTGTATGTCGAGCAAACCAACACGTTTTCCGAGCCTTCTGGTACGAAAATGCGATCTGAGTCGAGGTATTCCGTGAATGCTTGATCCAGGGGACGGATGATGGTGCTTTTAATGCTGATGGATGAAAACGTTGGATACCATGATGAAAATTGGAAGGAGAGTAGATAATCTGGTGTTTGTGGAGGGAAAATGAATATATCCGTGGACATGGTCTACCGTAATCAAGGCCTGGCTTCAGGGGCAAATGCTGTTGAATCGTGCAGTCACAACCCAAAGTTTCTATTGCGAGCCCGTTCTTCTGCTACGTATCACGTTGATGGTGGCAGCACGATGAATGGACATCCATATTATATTTTTGTATCTCCTACTCATTCACTATCGGTTGCGAATCTCATGGTGCTGCACGAGGGACAACTCGTGTACCAGTTGTCCTATCAACATCCATTCCTTGGATATCCCGGCCGGTAGCACGTCTGTACATTCTGACTTGGACCTTTTGGTTCTTTGAATCCAACTGTACGCGTACACCCTCCCAAGCGCAATCGCATTTCATTTCCTGCATGGCATCTATCAGTCTTGTTTCCCCATCGGCGAGACGCGTGTAGTACATGTACGTCAGATTATAACAGGTCTGCCCATCAACGCACTGGAATACGGGATTACTCGCGAAATGGAATTAGGCATGATCGGAGAAACGAGCGATAGGCGTCTGCACAAATCCCTGTGTGCTCATCGTACCCCAAGTTCCCACCCTGGACCTCTCAGACATTGAGAAATGTCAATCAACTCACTGGGCAATGAGATAATGGGCGGACCGCTTGCTGAACAACATCATGTTTCCAGAAGTCGATGATGATCACTCTCTCGATGAGAAGTAGTCGTCGAACATCGAGAAGGGGGCGGGGAAGCACGTAGATTGGCACGGTCGAAATAGTCATGTGGTGACGTGACAAGCAGACCAAGTCTTCATCTAAATTTCAATAAAGAAAACGAATGCGCTGTTCAACCTGGACTCGGTGTATTATATGAATGATGATTAGTGCCCGACAATGCCTCAAAGTATAACTGTGATGAAACAACAGCACTCACCGGATGAGCGGCCACGGAATTAACAGAGCGACATTAGATGATGAGAAAGCAGTGAAGTGCCATATTTTTTAAAGATATGCATGCATCATACCGTATCGTCATAATATCCATGGTGACCACGCGCAGAGCATGCGACAATGCAGGATTAGCAAGTGGAGGTGGATATGAGTTTACTCCTCTTCCTCCTCTTCCTCCTCCTCTTCTTCGCCTTCCTCCTCGTCATCCTCCTCCTTAGCAGCCTCAACAACGGCAGTTGCGATACGGTCCAAATCCCGCTGACCATCTTGGCTTATCCGTCGTCCACCATTGTCGGTCTGCTCCAAGACACCAATCTTCTCCAGCGATTGGCAGACTTTTCTTTGGACGGAGGCAGAGGAGTTGGCGTGGTGTGATGGGCGGTTTCCGCGTCTGTTGCGGCCACCGTGGAGTTTTGTCAATGCGCCGATACCGACGTCTTTGCGGAGGTAGATGTGTCGTGCAACAGCAGCTGATTGTGATTGCTCTTTAGAATTGTACTCTGATCAAGAGTATTGAAGATGACGCACCTGCACGGACGTAGTACCAGTCTGGGTCATAAGGTGCGAGCTCTTTGAAAGACCCTGTTTTAACGAGGTCGACCCATGTAGGGACCTCGAGCTTTCCCGACCGTTTGAGATGGGAAGCATATGCAACAATGAAAGCGTCGGCGCTGCAAGGGTGATATTCAGAGATAAATATTGGGCTGATTGGATATAATTTAATGTCATACCTGATATCTCTTACTCCTGGCATGTTGGATAGTGGGAAGGTCGACCGTGAATAACCTTGAGGAAAGTAACGCGGAACGTTTCGCGCGACGAGTGACGGCTTGTGTACGACTCTGAGAATTAGAGTTCAGTACTGAGTTCAAATTCAGCCACCGCTGTGCAGTTTTGAGATTAGTCAGCAAGTGTACTTCTCTTCCAATGCAATTGTTGCACAACTTCGAGAACCGAAACGTTTACGATGAGGAACACCCACAGACAGATGTCATTGAGCAGCTCGCTATCCTACTACATGATTTTCCATTATCCTCAGGATCACTGAGGCGTGCCACTCGCAATTCGAAATTTTCACCACACGTTTTGGTGCACCACGTTCCAGGCAAGATATTTGAGCCTGACAGTCCGTGACTGGCAGATTTTTACACGCGACTCGTCGACTACCACGACTTCAAGAAGAATAACTTCTGCTTACGTAAAAAGCATATTATCGTGCAATTTCTCATCAGACCACCATGATCGTATCCACAGTTAACAAGGATCTCAATTTCACTCCTTTTTCATCTTTACCTCCAGAATTACTTATCGAGATATTCTCAACTTGTAGTCTTACAGGTGACTGGCACATCCCCATCACACTATCCAAAGTCTGCTGTTTATGGAGAGAGTTGATCATATCGTCACCCTCCATATGGCAGGTCATCGTCGTACTAGACTCCAGGCGCTCCATGTCCTCCATCCGTACTCAGGCAGAGCTATGGGTCGCTCGATCTTCGCCTCTTCCATTCAATGTAGTCATCAAGCTGTCGGATTTTGAGCGACTGTTACCCATCATGTCGTGCTTCCTTCCCAATCTCGCTCGTTGGATGCGCTGTACTATCACTTACGATGGAAGAATCATCGAGACTTCTTTATCCGATCTCACACTGTCCTCACCTCGTCGCATACTACATCATCTCGATATCCTTCTCAAGACCCCATTCGAGGACGTCGCAGGGGATGATGAAGACGATATCATCTTTTTCCCTTGCGGAAGCACGACATATCGTCACATATCCATGAAAGTAGCAACGACCAAACTACCCCACGCAGAAATAGTCAATCCCTTATTATTCACATCCCTCGACATCTCAGAGACCGCATTCCAACACTCCGTTCGATCACCAGACCTCCTTCGGTTTCTTGCCCATTGTCCCAACTTGGAGCACTTGTACTTTCACGGTTTATCCAACGACGAAGGCACTCTTGACGCACCACCCCCTGCCATCGCCCTTCTGCGATTACACACACTCCTCCTTGACGAAATATGCAATCAGCGCAGTATCCTCTCGCATCTCTACGTCCCTGCACTGCGAGAGCTCCATCTACGTCACATCAACGTAGACTACCCACTCGAACCATACTATGTTCCTGAAGAAGGTGACAGCGATGACGAATCCCACGACTTCTCACAGTCCCCACACAGCGACCTCCACACCGGCATGGGCATCCGCAAACTCTTGTCGCGCTCACGCCCTCCACTCGAGATCCTAGACATGGACTTATCAGATATGCGTACCAAAGACTTCCGCTGGGTCTTTGATAAACTGCCCGACCTGAAACAGTTCTCCATAGTCGGGTCTGATATGTCAGATTCGGTGGTTTCGCTGTTCATGCCTTTTACTTTAGGAGATGGAGATAGGCAAGAGCGGGACGAGGAGCGTTGGAGCGTGCGGCTGCCCCAGCTTTCTGTTCTCAAGATGTACAGCTGTCAGCAGCTCTCGGGGGATGCGCTGGTGAAAGCCTTGAGTGCACGTGTCCAGTACACGGATCAGGCAACGCCAGACGCTACGCTGGCGACGGTGATCATCTCAAGCTGCAATCATTTTACTGCGCGTAATGCTCAAGAGTTATCTTGGGATTTGCACGATCGTCTGCATGTGTCGTGATTTGGAATATTGTTCTTTGGGATTGTTTTAAGTAGCCTATCGCTCACTGCACATAGATGTATTTATATTGTATTTGCTCTGTTTCGTATTATTATCGCTTCGGTACCTAAGTTACGAGTATCGGAAAAGGTTTCAACCTCCCTTGGTTGAATCATATTATATAGAAGGAACGGCAGTCTTCCTTCTGTTATGGTCTGATAAGAAGAGACTAATCGAAGCGGGGCCCCATTCATCCCGCAAGCGTCTCGTTTCTATGTAAATGTTAGTGTGAACCTACAGCACGACAGAGCACCTCACCTGACAGGAAAGATAATCCGCTGTCTCTCCGCCGAGTCCCTCAACATGCGTCGGATATCCACAACATTCTCGTAGTTCGCCCTCCACACATCATCACTATCGCGCTCACCCCAGTGGAAAGTATGAAACGTGTCCACCTCATATCCCTCCTCCCACTTTTGCCTCACAAAAGACACATTGAACGGCGGCTGATATATCCACCACTGTTACCACAGTTAGCATACGTGGCACTGCGGAACTCAAAAATTCGCCAAGCCTCACATGTTCCACAAAAAGAATCGGCTCGTGGTGAGGTGCGACCAAATGCAGCGTTGTAGGCGCAGCAATCTCAAGAAAGCACGTCGTCTCGAGGAACAGGCCCAATACCTCCATAAAGATCCTGCGGTGCCGCCCTGGGATGTACATCGTATCTGCGGAGCCTCCGATAAGGCGCGTTTCACCATTGGTGAATGCAGCGAGGCGTTCTCTCAAGTGCGCGGGCACTTTTTGGAATGCTTCCATGCAGACTCCAACTCCCACGTGTGGATCGCTATAGGTGTGCGATACTTATCAGATAAGTATGGTGGAACACCTTGTGGATCGACTCACCCCCACCTGTCAATAGATTATCAGGATACAGATGAGAGTATGTCGGAATATCACGTACCACCAGTCGGGTCCCCATCCCCTCCATGTTTCCGTGAGATTGATGGACGGATCCGGCGATACGTTGACAGGGGGTGCATGAAGGCCGAGGTCAAGGCTATTATCCTGTGCGGGGTTAAAAACAGGCAGGCCCCATGGTGAATGATACCAAAAAAGTTCCTGGTTGAATTTTTCCAATCGTGGAATATTCAGCAGAGTGTCGAATGGCACCCATAGGTAGCCATCATAACACCCGTGCTCCTGGAGGGCAGTGTACAGCATATGGTGAGCCATCTATGTAACTTATGAACACCGAGCGTGTGCACTAAAAGCCTTGGAATACCCACACGTCCTGCCATCTTATAGTATGACGGATCAGATAGATCCTCATCAGAATGGTATGAGTCTACAAAGATATCGTAGGAGTGATCAAAGCCTGCGTCTTCACGGGAGGCAGGTCCAATGTAGAGAATCTAGCATCAAGTATGTGAACCTATCCAAAAGACTAGCTGCGCAGCACTCACATTTGGAAAATAATCAGAATATACTTCTCGGTGGTAATCTAGGTTGGCGCCGTAACGTGCGTGGCTGAAGAACACTACTAGCAGAATGTTGTCGAAGCGATCGTAATTTTCCAGTGGCGTCTTTCTGTGCAGATGAGATGATAAAGGCCGGCGGCGACAGGTGCCTTGCTTGGGCTCCGAGGTGGAACCCCACTGCGGTCTCGGCGCGCGCGATGTCCAAACATTCTCATGCGTCATTGCGAATGACACGTAAAGCAGATAGACAACCAGTACCAGTGCAAATACGACCGGGTAGCGGGGCTTGGCTTTCGTATCAGCTTAAGAGTGGGTCATCTGAAGAATTAGCCTACCCGAGTCACGCATTCAGATCCGACACCTTCCTCCGCGGTCTGTCTTGTACTAAAGACGAATATGCCCGCTGCTGTCAATGCGAGAAGACATCCTATGAATACACCCGGTTCGTTGAGGAAACCTGCAATCAGGAAAAAAAGGACAACATTCGAGGCAAGCACGGTCGTGATGCTTTCTAGAATGACGTCGTAATCTGCTGGTTTAAGCACGAGACACACAAGATATGTAAATTACTCACAGTATATGACATAGAGAGCGGATATGTCTCGACCGGCCTCCGATAAACATGACAGAGTCAGTGCAATCAATTGCGCGTGCGATCCAAAACTATGACTTCTTGTGCCAAGGAATGTTACGCTGAAAATATAAAGTGATAAATGGGCAAGACACCCGAAAGCGAAGATGAGCAGGTTGATTGCATCGAAAGATGACGGACGGTGTGATTTGTATATCTGTGTGTACAGCGGGCTCCACTCTGAACCTTTGTGCGTGTGCGAGATTTTATATAACTCACAATGTCGACCAGGGAGTCAGAAAACGAAATGCTGAGCGCAGACGCGAGCAACGAGAGATATGGCAAGTCACTTGAGCGGCTAATGAGACCGCTCTGAATAAAATTAGAGAGGGTTCAACTACTGGGGATAAATAGTTGCCTTACCCGAACGATGAATACCCCGCAAAACTAAGTCTTATCAGTGCTCAGGAAGATAGCTATCTGACCAGCTTCCTGGAATTACATACCTGTAGAAGAGCAGCATACCACAGTTGTGGAGCACACGTTCTGCAAAAGAACGTGCGCAGCACAAATAGCGAACAGAGACTCGCCGCGGGGATCACAAGGTACTGCGCGAGTGGATCAATGTGTTCCCTGCTTTGAGAAATCTATGAGAAAAGAAGAGAGCAGCTTGTAATCTCCCTGGGATGAAAAAAGGCGTCGGACATACCGCATAGGCACGTAGCGAGTAAAGCGCGGATATAACAAGAATAGACAAACTTGACTGCCCGTCACCAAGATATGACCAGGCAGACGGAGGATATATTTCTGCCACCTCACCGATCCGAATGTTCCTGGGGGTAAAAGACTCGTGACTGCCTTCGAGTGAGAGACTAATATTGCTCAATGGCTGATCTTCGTTGTCATGTCGGCAATGGTCGAGTGAAGGGAACCAATCGTAGCGGAAGTATTTTCGTCTCGCGGAGTATAATCCCAACGTAACGAATAGTTTGATGGCTTCCGTGAAAGCGAGGTGGATATGGATGTTAACAGGAGTTTCCGACTTGTGGTCAACCAGAATTTCGGACGAGACCCAGAGAACAAAGAACCCGATCTAGTAACGATAAGCTGGGTGCTGATCATGATCTCAGATGTCAGTGACTAACTGGAAGAAGACCTTTATTCTGCGAAAAATTGTAGTAAACCGAGAACGAATGCATGGGCGGCAAGCGGGGAAGGACCAACATGGTCTGTGCGCTTTGGGGTCGGATCCTGCCACCTGGCGTGCGCTTTTGCGGTAATTGGAATTATGCCTGATGCCAGAGGACAGTGTAATACCAATAGACCAGAAAGAAAAATGATGTGCGGTAGTAAGTTCAAAAGTGCTTTGCAGTGGTAACGAGTCACAGTTCATTGGAACGGGGAAGTGGAGCGATCCGTTCACAGCTCGGACAGCTAATGCGAAGTCAGACCTACACTACATCTGGATCCTCTATGACCTCCACCGAACTGTGACGCTCGCTTATTCACGACGAAGCTCGTGAAGGTGACAGATCGGCTAACGATGGGCGGGCGTCTATAAGAAGACCCATTCATTGCGCTTAATGCCCAAGCCAGGCCTTACCGCATACAAGTACTGCTGAAAGACAGGACGAAAATCGGATAGTGAATGTTGTCTGTGCTTTTCGATATCTACAAATATATGCGATTGAGAATAAAGATAGCTCGTACATGCGATAATGAACTTGTAAAACTGGTACACAATGCACGCCACATTAATATCAGTGGCCGTTGACGCCATTCACGCCATTCACATCTTTGAGTTTCAGTTCCTTCGCGCCGTTAGCCAGAAGCTCCACGCCTTTGGCTTTTCGAGAAACCAACTCTCGGCGAGCGCGAACACCTTCACGCAAACGCTCAAGGGCGGGGACGGTCATGTCCCAGGACAGGCAAGCATCGGTGACTGACTGGCCATATTTGAGGCCAGCAGGACCACTCGACGGCATATCTTGCCGTCCCTCGACGAGATTAGACTCGAGCATGACACCCATGATAAACGCCGAGGTATCCTGGCTCTCCAGTTGTTGTGCCTAAATAAATAGTAAATAACAATATCTAAAAAAAGTCGGGGAATGCTCACGATGTCTTCTACAACTTCTATCTGTCTACGATGTTGTTTTTGGCTGTTTCCGTGACTGCAGTCAACCTGAATTTGGACCATATCAGCGATAGTGAAATCTTGGGCATAACATCATAAATTTACCATGATTTTGCAAGGAAGACCAGCCTTGGAAAGCTTTTCGCCACAGTCACGGACGTATTCCGCGGCGTAATTTGGGCCTTTAGAGCCACCACGCAAGATTACATGCGTGTCTGGGTTGCCCTGCCAGAAGTTAATGGCTGCGGGGGTGCTAAAAGGTTAGATTGCCGTACCTCGGTTTCAATGATACTGCTAAGGCCTTCTTTGCCCACACTGAGGAAGACATGGCCACTTCGAGCGGCACGAGATGCATCGATCGCAATGCCAACGGATCCGTCGGTCGAATTCTTGAATCCAGTGGGCATCGACAGTGCCGAAGTTAGCTCTCGGTGCACTTGAGACTCTGTGGTGCGTGCACCAATAGCCCCCCAGGACACTAAATCGGCCGTGTACTGAGGCGATATTGTGTCGAGGAACTCGCAGCCAGCAGGCATGCCAAGTTTAGCGATATCTAAAAGGAGGGTACGCGCGATGCGTAACCCCTTGTTGATTTGGAAACTACAATTCATATCACTATTTCCTTATGATCAGCACTTCGTTAGTCGTAAAAAATCGGAAATAAACTTACGGATCATTAATCAAACCTTTCCATCCGATAGTCGTCCGAGGCTTTTCAAAATACACACGCATAACGATGTGCAAGTCATCTTTAGCCACGTCTGCATAGGCTTTGAGCAGCTTGGCGTACTCGATGGCCGCACCCACGTCGTGCACCGAGCAGGGACTAATGAATACATGTCAGTCAATACTCAACTGCACGAAGATATTTCATACCCAACCACCACCATCAGCCGGTCGTCGTCACCCCTGAGTACATTTTCAGTTGCTCGACGTCCCTCAAGGACAGTATTGGCAGCAAGGAAAGTCCTACATGCACGTTAGGACATCATCATAAAAAAACAAGTAAAATTACGCACAAAGGAAGGTCTTCTTGGAGGATTTGGGGTGGAATCAATGGACGCGTCGCTTTGACGCGACGGTTCTCAAGCCGTTGAAGGGCATCTTTGAACGAAAGTGCCATTGAGAGATCCACTTGAAGGGAAGGTGAATTGGTATCTGTTGAAGATGACACGGAGAACACAGAGCTTACTTTCTGACATGGAACTATATAGGTTTTTGGATGATAAGTACGATGGGCGGAATCAATACCAGTTGTCAGGATAACTTGTGAGAATCACGATAAGCTTGAAGAGGTAGGATGAGAGTAACTCCTTGGAGGGCGAATGAGAGTCTGATGAAGAGATCTTGGTCGAGTCATCGTGATCTCTGCAGGTGTGCAAATCTACCTAAGCATCAAAAAAGTAAATTCACACCAGTGCACGTGCACGTGTCACCCCATTACATTTCCAAATCCTAACTAGAAAAGTGCCTTCATTTTGCAACCAACCATCTGCGCAGACGGTCCAAAATTCTTTTGTCTTTAGCCATTTCCGCCGTCTCCGAGCATGGATTTCTCACAACTCAACTCTGCTGAACAGGCTCATATGACCAAAATCATTGAAAAAAAACAGGTATTGGTTCATCGTGTACACTTTGGCAGTGTCTGAATATTGTCCTACAGATGCAAGACTTCCTACGACTATACTCAGGCCTCGTGGAAAGATGCTTTAGCTCATGCTGTAATGACTTCACGAGCAAAGCATTGTCTTCGAAAGAAGTGATGGCCCTTCATCTATCTTCACACAGTTTGAGTTTAACCTTGGAGCAGGAACAGTGCGTTATGAACTGCGCAGACAAATTTTTGAAGCACTCGGAGCGAGTGGGGCAGCGATTCGCCGAGCTGAATGCAGGTACGCTTTATCTTTGTTAAAGTCGGAATGAACCTATAACCTGTCTTCAGAGGCTATGGGTCCCAAGCCATGAGAATGAATTTGTGCAATTTAATTCGTATGCTATGTCGATGCTATCGAGGCGCTATCATAATTTCACCTTTTTGTATTTGACTAGCATGGCAGCTTTGTCGGTGCTTGTCATAAATAGGCCACTCACGGCTGTTATCCGTGTATCTACAAGCCACTTCATGGTTTCCTCGGCATTTGGTTTATCGTTTCGCCTAGATGTTGCGTTCCTTCCTGTTATTTGCGTGATTCTGATGATCAGTGTTGTGAGAACGGTATTTCAGTCTCTCGTGCATGCACACCCCAAGCCCTTGGCGCGGTTTCTGTCCCATAGGGCCCTAGCGACTCCTCGGCTACTATCTGATATGTTCTCAATGTCATTCTCAGGCGCTTTCAATGTTCATGTGCACACCGAAAGAAGGTTTTCGATAACGAACTTTAAGGAATTAGTGCCGCCATGGTCAACAACTAAATTTTGGACTCTCGAAATCAACCGTGACAACCACCCTATAGGCTGTGCATGTGATTGCTTATCGGCGCTGTTCGACATGCCAGCTGATGAGCCTGCTTATTCTTATTTTCGGTGCGTCCGCCACTTCATGCGCTCGTTGATATCTCAAGGGTAATATTTTCCCAAAAGCTTCCCCACCGGTATTATACTCAGTCCACCCAAAATATTGGCACGGTGAGCGTGTAAACGGACTACGACGTCATGGTCTGAATTTCGCAAAGAAAACAACAACAGAACTAACAAAAACATAAACTGGTCTCACAGTATCAGCTTGTATAACTTCATTTGGCCTTGTTCTTATCCTTCTGCTTAGGTTACCAGCCCTGTAAGGCAGTAATTTCTTGAGATAAATCTTGGAAACTCTATCACAGATTAGAGAACAGCCATGCAGATTTACTGCGCCATCTCCATTAATCGAGGGGTTGCGTGAGATCGGGCTATCAGGGGCCATTCTAAATTTATTACTACGAACTCGCACCGTGACTTCACCTCGGAACTCTACTCAGTACCTTGGTTCGTCAGTCGTCCTTGTGCTCACTCTGATTAATTGTCATGGCGCCTCATCCTCTTATCAATAAGCCTGCGCCAGAGTTCTCCATCCCCGATGCGAACGGACACATGTTCAAGTTCCCCCCTGAAGTACAGGGGCTGCAAGTGAAAAAGCCTATTGCACTGTTCTTCTATCCCGAGTCAGGTAAGCACTCACTCATTCACATACTCCGGTCCGAAGTATTTTTGTTCATCCGGTCGCTGCACAGGATCGCTTAGTTGCACCCGTGAGGCTTGTCAATTCCGCGATGCATTGACTGGTGTGTAAATCTCACGTTCCTGTACAAGGGCATAGGTATGTATTGAGCATGAATTTGCAGAGAAAGATGACTGACGTCCAGGTCATCGGGATAAGCCACGATTCTGTGCCAAAGCAGAAGCAATTTGTTGAGAGTCAGAACCTTACAGTGAGTTGTCGTGAGATTTCTGAGCGTCACGGTCCAGCTGAGTTGTTGCGTGTACAGTATCCTGTCTTGAGCGACGAGAAGCACGTTGCCTACAAAGCTTTTCATGTCGGCAAGAGCTTTCTGGGATTAACCGATGCGAGAACAACTTTTGTCATCGACAATGATGGCATAATCAGGTAAAGCCATGTATGCTCAACCAGGCAAAATTCAAATGTAACTAAAACATATAGGGATTCATTATCTGATACAATGAGTTCCAACGCCCACATCAAATTTGCCATTAGGGCCTTGGGAAAACTGGTGTCTCAACCTTCTGTTGAGTCTTCGTCAAAGAGTCACGACGTTGATGCAGCACGGTCCGATGACTCGTCGTTTTCACAAACTCGTGACGAACTAGGTCGGGTTGCGTACGTGGCTGGTGCGTGATGACTTTGTCCCGTGCTCTTACTTTTATTGCACTTTCTGTTGGGTATATGTAACTATCGTATGCATCATGCACGATAATTGTTATGAAGTCTAATGTACAATATGATCAGTACCACACAGCTAGATTCTGGTGAGACCTGCGAAACCCGACGTTTTCTTCGGTGACATGGCTAAGCCCAATTAATGAAGGACATGCCATTAGCAAAATCCGCAGAGGCCATATGTGCGCCATCCGGGATCGGCTTGCCTTTCTGGTACGCGCGAACCATGTCTTTAATTTGTTTTTGCTGCTTGCATGCTGAGGTCACAGTAGTTAAGCCAGGCAAAATACGATATCGATTGCGACTCACTGGGCTTGTGGGTTTTCCAATGGCTCTTCTGGCATTCCTGGGTACAATAAACCGCCTGTACTGCTTGTCAGCAGCGAGTCACGGGTTCCTATAGGCGCTCTTACTTCTTTGCATGCAGCACATCGCTTGAACTGCGTAACATCCTGTTCAACAGCATTGCAGTTAACATTTGAACAACTTTTCAGTAGTGCTTTCTTGGCGTCCATATCATTGTTTGCCCAGTCCCATACCACCGGGTCCATCCACAAGTTCTGGGTCAGCCAAAGATAATCCTGAGCCTCCTCGGGACTATTGAATCCACGAGGGTTGTTGTTAAGGCTGCCTGCGAATAACTAGTGAGGATTCCGGATAAAATACATTGCTGGGACCATACGAGGCTTATCTATTTTTGCCAGGATTTTGGTCAGGATAACCGGGTTGGCACGAGCAGCTAACCGAAGGTACTGTCGAGCGACAGGGCAGTCGCCCCATAATCTGAAGCAGGCCAAAGCTGCTGTGTGCAGCATTGATCCATCGCCACGTTTCAACAGCGCTTGCTCGTGATCGGATGATAGGCAATCTGAGGAAGGTGTTTGAAATACGGTCCCACCGCGTGGAGGTGTTTGTCGCCGGTTATGGGCCAACCATTGTTTTACGAATGACAAGGCCTCGGCTGTTCGGCCTGCAGATAAGAGCATAGATCCGAGCCATGTTCGCTGTGACATGTTATCTCCTGGGCACAGACGCAGCATCTCAATCATAGTATCCCTTCGTTAATCAAGGATGCATCAGAACCGGCGAACAGCGCACAAGGCAAGGAAGCACATACGAAGATTTACCAAACTGTTTGGCTTCAAAGTAAAGTCGGACTTGAGCCTGCAGGACGCGCATGTACGGGCGCGTTTCGAGTATGCTATGGAATTTTCCAACTTCCTTGCTGCCGTCATCGAAACAGGTCGCACCCAAAAGCTGTTTCAAGCCTTCTCTACCTATTCAAAATAATGAATTGAAACCAAAGCCAATGATTCCATGAGCAAACTCACCCTTGGCCTCCGCATTCTCCAATGCCTTCAGCGCTTCCGGTAGAGGAAACAGGAAAGCAGCCTGAACGAAAGCATCCAAATTGTTTCCATCCTCCATAGCCTTGAGAAGGAAGGGCAAAGCTTTCTTTGGTTTCTTCCTGCGGCATAAATCTTCGGCTCTATCGAGACTGAAAGGGTCGCAGTTGATTAGAACTTCATTTAGATGCAAACATGATTCAGATGAGTCCACACTTGTTCTGAGCTTCTATGCTAACTGTGCCGCCGCCAACCCCGAGCTTGCTCTCCATCCCATGTCGTCGATTCATGACTAGACGAAGTGGTTCCAGGTAAAGAAGTGTACCACGTGTCGTACATAGCCCCAGGTATAGACGCGTTAAACGTTAAACAACGTAACGCGCAAAACGGCACGTGCTCGGGCCGTGATATTGTGCAAGCAAAGTACAACTTGAAGTTCAACTAGCTTGAAGCATTATACATACTGCTTCTCACAATTATGAAGTTAGTATGCGTTTCATACCATGCATCATTGTGTAAAGCAAGCCTGTTCTGCACTCTGAATCTTATTGCTACCTGCAGGACACAGGTACCGTTTCGTACTGATTACTTGTTCTCAACACTCAGTCGAACATACCAACCTCAATGACTGTGTATCAGGTAAGGTGTTTCTTTTCGTGCGCAGCCTGAGAGGACCACCATAGAGATCTGTCCAAAGCATGTAAAGTAGGACGGGTGATGGTGTCGTGCGATTGGCCGCGCAGGCCAAAGCTGAGTGCATAATTCATTCTAAAATCCACTTTACTCGAGTATGATCAATCGGGCAAGAGCTGAGGACATGGAGGTGGGTCATGTCGATGGTTGATTCGAATTCTTCACAAAGAGATCATATGCTGGGTTGGTACTTGTCCAACGTCAACGCTAGTGCGGAATCGAGGTGGGCAACATTCTCGCAATGAGGCGTCACGCACGACTCCACATTTCTCCCCATCCTGTGAGTGAATTCGTTGGTGCCTGGCCCCTGGGCGGGGCATATACTTATGCGGTATATCTGATAGGCGCTGAGTACAGAATGCCCGAATCTCACCTTATCTCACCCCTGCAAGCCGGGTTCTGACACCATGAAGACAATCTACCAGTATTCCGCCAATTATTTGAGTTGCCGTCATGAACTAATGCCCCCAGATGCCCGCCCTGCCGGACGGGTACGCAGTGATACGCAAGGTCCCCCGAGTCCCAGCAGTTCGCCGTGTCTTCCTTTCACATGTTCACCACTGAACGTCTGATTCTCCGCTCTTATGTCGAGAGTGACCTCGACGACCTCCTTCGCCTCTGGGAAGACCCACTCGTCCAGCCCCTTGTTACCAGCGATAGTGTCACGCTTCTTGGTCCAAAGTTCAAGGAGACAATAAGAGCTCAGATAGAGCGTGCAACCTTTGGTGCCATAATCGCTCTTAAGGAGACCGGGGAATTCATGGGTCAGGGAGCGATCACTGTCCTCGAACCCAAGAATCGCGATGGCACATTTGGGATTTGCTTACTTCCGAAATTTTGGAGCAATGGATATGGGACTGAGGCGACAAAGTTCATGGTTGATCATTCGTTCAAGTGGTTCAATTTGAACAGAATGTCCCTCGCAGTCTTTGGGAATAATGCGCGGGCAATTGCAGTCTATGAGAAACTGTGAGTGGTCTTGTCTCATCTTTATAATCGCATCTGCGAACAATGGTTGATTGATCTCAATATGTTCTCCATCAGTGGGTTTGTCATGGAGGGCAGGAAGCGCCAGGCAGTGTGGATGGATAATCGGTGGGAAGATCTTTTGACAATGGGCATCTTGCGAGACGAATGGGAAAGACGATGCAATGAGAGACAAGGATGACGCACTCGGCTTCCACATGTCGAGGAGTATGTCTAATTCTTGTGTTTGTCTTGTCCGTGAAGCTCACCACTCATTTATATACGTCCAATTCCAATCCTAATGTACTACCAATTTCTAGTTCATACTGAGTCATCCAGTTTGCTGGGAAGGTCCGCTGCATAAATCCGTGACTTGGGAAGTGCACAGAAGATTCAAATGGATCATGTGTTTTGATATGAAGAAAAGCTTCATATCGCAATCAGGTGACGATAAAGTAAATGTCAAGACTAACGTAGAGTATCAAATCGGTTGAGAACCAACAATCATACCACATCTGTGAAATAATCGGCCAAACTCTCTTGCACCTCCTTCAGCTTCCCGGCTACAGCAGCCAAGACGTTGTCTTTGCACCATGGCATTCCATCTAGCATCCCTTGCGTGGGTATCTCCCGCTCCACAAGGGCCTTCGCTACGCTCTCTGCAAGCATCATTTTCCCCACCACGTCTGCGTATTGTAATGGCAGGACCTGACGGCCCATGTCCAGTGTCGAGCGCCATAGTGCAGCCCAGGCCTGATTACACCGTGCTTGAGCACCCCCCGTGCACCGCGGACTGTGCGAGATAACAGGTGGCTCGCTTGGCAGACGTTCCCATAGCCGGCCGAGAGCATAATGCCCAGAAAGAAGGCGAATGCGCTGTGCTCGCGTGAGTAACGCGTCGTTATCCCAAACTTCCCGGCCTTGAAGCATCATGGCATGATATGCGAAACCAAGCAGGATGCGTAAATTGAGCCGTTCTGCGACTCCAACAGCGAGTGCAATGTCCTTCCCAGATGCGAGGAGCCGTTTCCATCGCAGCGTGGCAGCGTCGAGAAGATCCCGTTGCTCACAAAGAGATGCCAGCTCCGTAAGTTGCACAAGGCTGGGCCCCTCGATGTCTTCAACTTGAACGCTGGGAGAGTGCATTGGACGCGTGTATATCGTCGTAAGGGCACCAAGGGCCCATGCCTCGATCGACCGGAATTCATATTTATGCGTGATGCGAGCGAGATGGAATAGCTGCGACGTATTCGCTTTAGGCGTTAGCGCGAGGGTGAGCTCGTGTGGCCTGCGTGTTATTTGCTGAGTTTTACTGTGTCTGGGGGAAGAAGTCGTTGCAAACGTACGTACAAGGCGTACAAAGCCCACAGGAGAGCGCGGAACTCCTGTGCCGTGTCTCCTTGGAGCCTGATCGGGTTGTCGTCGCTTTCACCTTCGGGTCCCGCAGTGACACTCGGCGTGCTGGAGCTTGAGCGTAGGTCTGAGTCTAGGGAGAACATACTGTCAAAGGTAGACTTGTCCTTTGTCAGTGTTGACCTATGGACCTAAGAGTGATGGCTCGGCGTTTGTAGGGAACAATCCAATGCAGACAACAACGAACCCTAAAAAGTGTGTTCTCCACAAGCAGAACAGTGTTTCCGTCGGGTATATAGTATGTTGGATCATGATGAGGTATTGAGAGTTGGAGCTGGAGCTTAGGAGTCGTTGGACTGACGTCTCCTGAGTGCATGAAGCTGGTTGTGAGATAAACGTCGGAAGGTAAATGCGCCATCAAACTGTCGAGGCTGTTGGCGTTGGGAGGAATAGCGAGAATGTTGTTAGGCGGTGGTGGTCAAGGTTCAAGACAGATAAGATAACTTCAACCTTATTCAAGAAAGGCAACACCACACCTCTTAGACTCATCACACAATTGTTCAATCTCACGACAGTTAAATAGCATTGTATTCCTACAGCGTGATGCGCAGATATATACAAGCCGTAGGCATCTGGTCGCTTGGCCAATAGCCCTTCCATCTTCGAGGGGATGCAAATGAACACGTGAGAGCAGGAATTAATAAGAGATGGAGAACGAAGAAATAAAAGGAAATGCAGTTGCAGGTTCATAGCTAGGATAGCGAAACGCGTGTGGAATGCTAAAAGTTCGAGTGCAAGGAGGGAAAGGCAAGCGAAGGAGTCTAGAGCGAGGAGTACATGGGAAGGCATAGCGTAGGTGTACATACAAGTCGTTGGGAGAATTGCTTTTGAAGGCCGGGTCGCATACAAAGACGTGGTGGTATGCGATGAAAGATGGCTGCGTTGACGAATACAGTATGGTGATGGTCGAGAGTTTATATTTAAGTGGAGACATCATGACTCAAGAGCTTTAAGCTCTGCTACCAAGCGCTGAAGGATGTATATTAGTATGGGCCCAGGACGGATAACCGATGGAGACGTACCTCTGCTTCTTTGGTGAGATATTCCTGGTCTATCTCACCACTTTGAGCTTGCTGGCCCAGTTTAATGCCATACTCAAGCAGCTGCTTCATGTAGTAGGGATTAATGACGGTCTCGTCTTGTGCTAACCGGGGCTTCGCTGATGGGACTTCAGCTACAGAAAATAAGGTCACCACACATTTCAGATGGAGTACTTCATTTCTTACGTTCTTTCATCGCCAACCATTCCTGCTCAAGCAACTCAGGAATTGTTGCCCGCTCTTTCGAATTCCGCATCAAGCAGCTCTTGATGCCCTTGATAACGTCCGCTCTTACAGGTCCCTTCAAATGCTCGAGCTTCTTCCGTTCACCTGCCTTGTTCACGACAGTGGGTATGCTGTAGTCCGGATAGTCGATGACGTGCGCTAAATCTGGGATAGCCTTCATCTTTTGATATACAGAAAGATGCTGGAACGGTGGGTGACCATAAACCATCTGGTAGAGGATACACCCGAGAGACCAGACGTCACTGGCTCGTCCAACTTTGAGCCGCCGCATGCCGTCGGGAAGTTCGATGGCTTCGGGGGACATGTAGTTAACAGTTCCAATCTAGACAGGAATGTGATCAATAATGAAGGATGTGTACCTGAAGCAGAGCTTGCCTGATGATCTCGCTGGATGTTAGTAGTATCATTGGCGATGGCATTTGCAATACCGAAGTCAATAAGCTTTAGTTGGCCCCTCACAAGAACGAAGTTTGCGGGCTTCAAATCGGAATGGACAATTTTCTCCTCATGGATGACATGAACAGCTTGCAGCATCTGCCCACTCACGTCAGTAACAGGCATGAACAAGGTTGTGTTCTGACTGACCTGCTGCCAATAATACGATATCCAAACCATATTCATCGGTTCCTTTTGCTGCTCCTGCAGCAACTTTGCTAGATCAACCTCTCCACATTCCATCACAAGCATCAAATGTCCTTTTGTCCCTCCAGGGCCTGCCTTCACCTCACTATCAAACAGCTGAATGATCCGATTATTTCCCTCAAGCCGCTTGAGCAGCCCGATCTCATTCATGTATCCGCTCATAGTCTCCGCGTCCGTCTTGTCTAGCGACACGCGCTTGATAGCATAGATCTCGTTGTTCGCGTTCATCACGCGGTATACGCGAGATGAGCCGCCCTTTCCGATCAGGTCAAGCCGTGCATACACTTTCTTGTTTACAACAATGTTGTGATTCCGGACGGGGACAGGGGTAGGCGCAGGCGCGGGTGGAGGGGGTGCCTGCCGCACTCGCGACGCGGTTTTGGCCTCCGGCTCGCTATCTGCAGGTTCGTCCCCCGCAGCCCATGTCTTCCCATTCTTCGATTTGCCAGGACCAGGAGGTGGCGCCAACGACCCACTCGTGGTTGGTGGCTCAGGTGCTGTAGGGTTGCGCCGGTGATACACTTGTCCTTGTCCCTGTAGTTTTGACGATGACACGTTCCGTGTGGACGGAGACAGTCTGCCTGGGTTATGTTCGACCACTGTGGGTGAGGATACGGTGGGCGGATTATTGAGCGCGAGGGAGCGGACAGTGTCCGAGTCGCGCCGATGGTGCGTCTGGGTGCGCATGTGCGGATGAGACATATGTGTTGGGGAGGGTGACTGGCGGGGCTGCGGCTGGGGGAAAGGTTCAGGCGCTTCTTCCGCTGCGCGACGGGCATATTCTGATGCATAGTCTGCAATCGTACGGTCAATGAGGAGGCAAGCACGGGAACATCAACACACCATCTTGCTCGGTCGTCACGCGTCTGACGCGCGCTGAGATGATGCCCAAGCTGGACCCTGGGCGTGGGGCATACTGCTGTTGATTTTGACTTGGGAGCAAGCGTGGAGACAGCCTGTCTTCTGTTACGAAGCATAGTTGTTAAATATCATATGGTAATTTTGATGAGGAATATAGACTTTGGAAACGCACCTCCAGACGCATCACTCAAACTGGCTGAACGGCGAGGCCTTGTGCCGCTCGATGACGTTAGAGGACCAACATGACTGAGAGGGCGAAGTATGCCATTCCCAGGTTGCGGTTCATCTGCGTCTGCATAAATGGATTGGATCGTGAATAGGGGAAGGTTGAGAGATACGTACTGGGATCGGTCTCATCGCCTACATAGTCGGTAGCAAATTCGTTCTCACTGCCTTCAATTTCACTAATCTTGTCGAACCCACCTGAACCCACGCCATACTTGACACCCATCAATACCCGGCCCGCGCGATTGGGCCCTGACATGATCTGCCGGCCGGGCTGGAGCGGCTGGCGTGCGCCCGTAGTCGATGAATACGCGCGTGTCGGGAGGCTAGAAATTGCTCGTCCATCGACTTGGCTCACAGAGGCCGAACGAGCGACTAATCGCGGGGATGTTCGTTTCGGGGCGGCGCCATCTGACGACAGGCCGTCCCCGTCAGAAATGGTTATTAGGTTTTCCTTCTCCTGTATCCGCATATCCCACTCGTCTCGCGCTCGCAGCTCCTCCCGTTCATCCAGCGTCAGGGGTGGTTGTTCACGATACTCATCTCGAGGCACGCGTTGGGGACGCCCGATTTTTCGACCAGTCCCGGCAAGGCCACTCGATAATGGTGCACGCAATGCTGATTGAGCAGCAGCTGGCGTCAAAACGGCAGGGACGGACGCGACCCTTTGGAATGAACGAGCGGGGTTAGCTGTGGCTAATGACTGAGCTCGATGCTGAGCTGCGAGTGGCAGTGGCTCAACCCCGCTACCAATTTGAAGTGAGGGATATGCGCTCTCTGACCGGGAGAGAGAGTTTCGTCGTGGTGGTACTGGAGAATTAAGTAGTGTGGGTGAAGGAGGCTGAGTGTACGCATAGGAAATAGAGTTCCCCTGTGGTGGGAAAGACGAAGAGGGCTTAATCGCACCATCAAGTAGAACATCGTTTGGTGTTGGCGGGCTAGAATGACTTGACCTTGATGAACCTTTTGATATGCGGACATAGTTGCCCGCGGAGTCGAGCTCGTAGTCAAATGAGAGCTCGATGATAGATGACTCGTCAGATGGCGAAGTCGACGGCCGACGACTCAAATTCTTTGGGTCATCAAATGCTATCATTGGTGGTGTTCGTGGGGGTGAGACACGGTGCTCGCGATGGGTTGGCGATATGATTCGTGGTGATGTTGAAGGGATCATCGATGCCGAGTAAAAGTTGGTACGTCGAGGATGGAGGGTGCACACCGACGAGAAGGGCGTCGTCGTCGTCGCCGACGATGTCAAACTTCAGGAAACGAACGAAAGTCACAAAACTCTTTGTGAAGACTTGAACCATGAACGAACACGAGGCAGATACGCGGTCACGTGCAAATTGTAATTTGATTGTAGACCGTGTTAGTCCCTCATGGACTCCACCATGGTACACAGGAACTAGTACTTGTCATCCTTATCCCACAAGCCTTTCCTATCACATGGGCAGACCAAATACTCAAATTTCCCCAATTCACCTGCGGAGAGCCCCCTACTAAGAAGCACGGACTTCGTCAATGAATCACCGGATCACTGTCAGACTTCTTTCTGTCAGTTTCTGCTACAAACGGGCAGTTCAACTTCTAATCAACCGTGACTGGTAGCTTGGAAGTTAGCCAGGAGTAGTTGCACCATATGCGCCATCGAATCATTCTCATTCATGCTTGTCAGCTTATTATCCGTGGATCCGAATTACAGTGACAAAGAGTGAACCCCAGTTGGACTTGAATGTTGCCTCCGAACAAGGCCCCGGGAGCCGAGTTGGAACAGGACCTATAAGAGCTGACAGTGGCACTGGCACATCATGTCGATTTGTAGTAAAGACATGGTATCTTCTCCACCCCTCAAATCACTGACTCCCGAGTTGTTGACCCAGCTCAAAGAGCACAATGAAAAGCTTCTCTTCGAAATTATCAGCGCGAACTCGAAGTCCAAGTTCTGCCAAACCGCCGACGAGCTGAGCATCTTCCGGAACGCTGTCGACTCGCTCCACGAAGATGAGCAAGGATTTTTGCGGAACTTCCGCGAGTTGGTTCCACTCACCGTATACGACGCTTATCAACCTTTCGTGACTCGGTTTTTGAATACACCCTGCCAGGAATCTGAGGTCATTGACCTCTTTGCACCTGGTTTCCCTGCCTTCATCGCAGTTTCTAGTGCGACCTCTGGCAAGGTAGCCAAGCTTTTCCCGAGGTATAAAGGGACGTTCTGGAACCAGGCGGGATCTCAGAAAGTACATACATATCACTTGACCTACAGGACGGTCTTGAATATCTTTCGTGGAGATCAAGATATCGTTCAGAAAATTATGGTCACCACAGCGAGTGCTGGGTTCTTGAGGATGCGAATGGGATGGAACTCGGAACAAGATGAAGACAGAATGTCGTCTATGGGTGGGTGCTATCCGAATCGTGATCAACGAAAGTGGACACTGAAACTCCCGATTTTAGTTCCAGGAGAGTCTACTCCGTACGCAGTGGCTATGGTCAAGAATCACCCCTCATTTCTTCTCTTGCACGCGCTGTTCGCGCTGGCCGACCGTAGTGTGGACACTCTTAAGGTCCTTTTCTCGACAACATTGCTCGACATGTTTATGTACATGGAACGTGATTGGTCCAGTCTTGTGGACGCCATCGAAAATGGGACAATCCCAGAACTAGAATATATTGAGCACGTCCGGGACCACCTGGAGGTCAGCTCAGTTTGTAATCGTTCAGTGGCTATGTGCTCAATAAGATGAATATAGCGGCACTTACATGCGAACCCTGCCCGCGCGGCTGAGCTACGTACTATCGGACCTCCTTCCAAAACCACTATTACGGGATGGGCAAAATTAGTCTGGCCAAATCTGAAGCATGCACTCAGCGTCGCAAGTGGCTCTTTCTCGTCCGCTGTTCCAAAAGTCGGTTCCAATTCCCAATCTATTGTTTGGTATGATGCTCATCAGTAATAACTAGGTAAAGCATATTCTAGGCCCCGATGTGATACTGCAAACACCAGCATATGCCTGCAGCGAATGCGTCCTTGGTGTCATGTATCAGCCTGGAGACCTCAACCGATTCAGGGTTTCGAATGATGTATTCATTGAGTACCTCGACGTGAACGCAGAGGAGGTCTCCAACAATCTATGCGCGGCGGTACGTCTTTTTGTTCATGTTTTTGCATTGAGCAGTTGGCCTGATCCGCACTACTTAGTGGGAGGCCGAACCAGGGAGACTCTACGAGCCTATCATAACCACATACGATGGATTGTGGCGTTATCGACTTGGTGATGTAGTCGAGCTACTGGGCTTTGCTCCAGACGATGGTACTCCCGTAGTGAAATTCGTTGAACGGCGGAAGTCAGTCACGGAATATCTTCCAGCGCTGGTTGAGCTGATGGAATATTACAGTGCGGTTATCAGATTCGATTCTACATTTGTCACCGAAGCGCAGCTAGTCCAGTCAGTATCTTCTGCAACCCAAGACACACTCGGGCAAGTTGTAGAGTTCACTTGCTTCAAAGACGCCCGGGAACTTCCCTCAACTGTTGGATTCTTTGTGGAACTAGCAAACGAGCCAGGTAAGCGCCTCATTTTCCCGTGATCCTGTAAGCCCTCACCAACTGCAGCTTCATTAGGCGCCTCTCTGTACCTCGCGAAGCAGCGACTACTGGATGTCCTCTCAGATGTGAATGAAATTATTAAGCGCATGTCTGATGGTGGGTCATTCGGTATGCCCACAATACGTGTGGTCAAGCCAGGAACCTTCGCGCAATACAGAAAGTGGAAGGGCGAAGCAGCTGCGACTGGCACTAGCCAAGTGAAAGTGCCTGTGGTGATGTCCGATACCACTGCTCAGGAGTGGATAATGAGCAGAGTAGAACTAGAAATCTAAATGTCGTAGTATATCCTCCATGTAGTCGTTCCCTACCTCCTCCTTCTCACCCCCTGACCGCTTTTTTGAGGTTTCCTACGTTACAATTTGTCTGTTTTGTAGCGATTCTTATATCCATACCATCATGATAAATCGAAATTTGTGCCTATAAAGTAAGCCCATGAAAAGCGGGAGTGATCAGGCCATGACGACAGTACTTGATCACTTAGATATGGGAATGATGTCTACAGTGCCATGTCACACGTCACACACAAACTTATGAGACGCCATCGCCGGGCCCTTACCACAACTTCGGACAACCACTGCAGGTTCGGACACACACAATTCTGCCTTGTTGAAGGGGGTAGCTACCAATCTTCTGCAACTGGTGCCTATCGCAATGAGATAGTATTCATATTGGTATTCACAGGGGATTATGATGTTTGGATGTGAACTACATTGACACGAATTTTCGAAGCGAGCCCTTGAAGTTGAACTCACCCGCCCAGCTTTCACTAGTGTTGTTGTCAAGCTGACGTGGTGCTGGCAGACATTGCCCAGACGTGTCCCCCCAGACTTTGGCACAGAATTTTCGCAGACTTCACACAGACTAGGCCCACATCCTACGTGTCCTCCCCATATGCGTTGGCTAACTTCGTTTGAATCCGTTGAACCTCCCGAGTGCACCCAGACTTCATCCCAGACAAAGCCACGATTGGACTTGCACCCACACCAGCCGTAACTCTGACATCCACATAGCTAAACATGGCATTTTCTCTACTGCTCAAATCACTGACTCCCGAGTTGTTGACCCAGCTCAAAGAGCGTAGTAACAAGTTCCTCTTTGAGATTATCAGCGCGAACTCGAAGTGCAAGTTCTGCCAAACCGCCGACGAGCTGAGCATCTTCCGACATGCTGTCGAATTGCTCCACGAAGATGAGCAGGAATTTTTACGGAACTTCCGCGAGCTGGTTCCACTCACCGTATACGATGCTTATCAACCCTTCGTGGCTCGGTTCTTTGATACGCCCTGCCAGGAGTCCGAGGTCATTGACCTCTTGGCACCTGGTTTCCCGGCCTTCATTGGAACCTCGAGTGCAACCTCGGGCAACGCGCCCAAGCTTTTCCCGAAGTATAAAGGAACAACTTTGCCTGTGACAATCACTCAGTCCCGGGGTCAGACTGTATACGCCTATTTCTTAAAATATAGGGAAGTATTAGACATTTTCTGCGGAGATCAAGATATCGTTCGAAAAATTATGGTCACCCCAGCGAGTGGTGGGTTGTTGAGGATGCAAATGGGATGGAACCCGGAACAAGACGAGGATAGAATGGCGTCTATAGGCGAGTGTCGTCCAAACTTTTGATTACTGAAGTGGACGCTAAAATTTGCGACTTTAGTCTCAGGGGAGACTACTCCGCTCGCAGTGGCCATGGTCACATATCACCCCTCATTTCTTCTCTTGCACGCGTTGTTTGGGCTGGCCAATCGGGACGTGGATACCCTTAGGGTCCTTTTCTGCACGGGATTGCTTGACATGTTTATGTACATCGAGCGTCATTGGTTCAGTCTTGTCGACGCCATCGATAGAGGAACAATACCAGATTTCGAACATATCGAGCACGTGCGGGATCATCTGGAGGCAAGCACAAGTTTATATTTCCTCAGTGGCTGTATACCTAATAGAGGCATAGTGTCGCTTGCATGCAAACCCTGTCCGCGCGGCCGAGCTACGTGCCATCGGAGTGCCGTCCAAGACCGCTGGGTGGGCGAGATATGTCTGGCCAAATCTAAAGATAGTATATAGTACTGGAAGTGGCCCTTTCTCGTCTGCTGTGCCAAAAGTCAGTCTACTTCTACTTTTATTCTTCAGTATTATGCATCAGTAACTGTCAGGTGAAACATATTCTTGGTCCTGATGTGATACTCCAAACACCAGGATATGGTACTAGTGAATGCATCATTGGTGCCACTTATCAGCCTGGGGACCTCAATAGGTTCAAAGTTTCAATGAGCGAAGCATTCATTGAATACCTGGATGTGGACGCAGAGGAAGTCTCCGACAATTTGTGTGCTGCGGTGTGTCTTTTTGTCGAGTTGCATTGAGTGGTAGACCTGATTCATACTATTTAGTGGGAGATTGAAGCAGGAAGACTCTATGAGCTTGTCCTAACCACTTGCAACGGATTGTGGCGCTACCGACTTGGTGATATAGTTGAAATATTGGGCTTTGCTCCAGATGATGGTTCTCCCGTAGTGAGATATGTTGAACGGCGAAAGTATGTCGAGGGATGTCTTATAGCGCCGGTTGAGCTAATTGAATGTCACAGCATGGTGCTAAAATTCGATTTTACATCTGTCACGGAAGCTCAGCTGGTCCAATCAATATCTTCTGCAACCCATGACACACTCGGGCAAGTTGTAGAGTTCACTTGCTTCAAAGACGCCCGAGACATTCCCGTGACTGCTGGATTATTTGTGGAACTAGCAAACGAGCCAGGCAAGCCCCTCATTTTCCCGTGATTTTGTAAGCCCTCACCAACTGTAGCTTCATTAGGCGCCTCCTCGCACCTCGCGAGGCAGCGACTGTTAGAGGCCCTCGGGGATGCGAACGATTTTGTTAGGCGCGCCTATGCTAATGGGGCGTGCGGTATGCCCACGATACGCGTGGTCAAGCCAGGAACATTCGCGCAATACAGAAAGTGGAAGGGCGAAACAGCTGGTATTGGCACTAGTCAAGTGAAAGTGCCTGTGGTGATGTCAGATACCACAGCTCAGGAGTGGATAATGAGCAAAGTAGAATTAGAACTCTAAATGTCATATATAAGTATCCCTGATGAGCGCTCCAACGAGCACCTTCGTTTTGTGGGTCTGCGACCGCATAGTACCACTGTCGTTCTTTACAGCCTTCAGTTGGTAGCAACGAGGCATATACGATAAGCGCAAAAGCACATGGTTGTCTAAAACCAATGATAACCTAGGACTATTGCAGTCATTACCCGGGCCACTATGAACATGACCGAGCGCTCTTCCTCCGATGCCGATACATACAGACTCGTCACATATGCGAAATCATCTGTACGAGCGTTAGAATTTCCTCTGCAAATAAAGAAAAAGATGGTCAACTCCAATCTGTTGTTTTACACCATGCACACCCCACATCCGATGGCGAACACATTGCTTTTACATTGTGAAGATTATAGATAACCAGCATTTCACAGAATCACACCTGAGGATCAGGAAAATTATCACGTATAAGTATACTTGAACGCATCTATAAAAACAACATGCGAGATGACTGTCAGCGCGTCGCAATCTGATATCCGAAAGCCTTCAAGTCGTTCGAGCGCAACTCAAGCAGCCGCCCTAAGTATAAATATAAACTAGCGAGAGATAGGCGAAAGCCACATAGATGCTTGAGAAAGAGGCAAGTCAGAACGGGATTTGTCAATTCTAGCAGTTCATGGCACGTGAACGGCACATACCAGCATGCGTCTGCAGTCAATCATCCACTTCCTCCCATTCTGATTCTGAACCCTCGTGTTCCTCTTCAATATCTTCGTGTAATTCAAATTCATCGTCACTGCCCTCGAAGAAATCAAATGTCTCCAAATTATCCTTCAACCATTGTAATTCATAATCCGTGACTTCATCGTTCTCCTCCATATACACGGCCTTTAGAGGGACACCTGCTTCCTTGCGCTTCTGCACCAACTCGCGTATTTGGTTTCCAGGGACGTCGGCCGTCGACAAAGTGGTGAGCGAAGGAAGCCAAACATGACAAACGTCCCGCTGGCCAGGAACAGAGCAAGGGTGACAAAGTAACTGAAGGAAGGCAGGAGAGAGGTACGTCATTGATAGGTTGAGCGCCTTGAGGTTGCCGAGCTCTGCGTACATGATCTCTACGCTACGGTCTGGGCAGGGAAGACCGGATATTTTGAGGGTGTCAAGTCCGCTGAGTAAACTGCGCTTCTTCTCTCCATCCTTTTGTATGACCGGGATTGCGGTCACCACAGGACCAGCAAGCTGGGCTGCGAGATCCGTGAAATCCCCGTCGTCCAAATCGAGTGTGAGGGTTTTGAGTGCAGGAAATGATAGACGGCGGAGCAACCCACTGACATAGACTGGTGAATGGAACGCCAGGACAAGAGATATCAGTGAGCGCAACTCGATGACTCCGGTATAGTGATCGCTATAGCTTCCTGAACTTCCTTCGGGATGCCAGTCATGGGGAGCACCGAGGGGACCAGAGCTGCATAAAGAGAGTGTTTCTAGCTTGGGTGCACCGCAAAGGATGCCAGCCAATTGTGTCCATGACGGTCGTACGTCATCTGTATGATAAGCAAGCTCCAGGTCCAAGATATTGGACCCGCAAGATAACCATTCTTGACACCAGTCAACGTGCACACCCCACAACGCTATGCTCTTGAGACGCGGAGCAACGCCTCCAAACAACTTGAAATGTTGGACGAGGTCAGGGTGGGCGAATGCTGTGAGGCTTTCTGCATCTTCATGGTGATACAACTGGAGAGCCTCGAGCTGGGGAGCACCTGCTATGGAAGGATCTGAAACTGCAGAAAGGAAAACGAACATGTGCTTGTAACAAGCGACCCCGACTTCGACAGATCCCCAGCGTGATATGTGTGGAACAAGAAGGGACATGAGATTATCGAGATCGGAAAAGGACATCGAATGTGGGGACTGACCAAGCTCTGAGTCTTCAGAGCCTGAGTAATCTTCTTCATCGTCATCTGGAGGTTCACAATCTATGTGTATGTCGATAGGGAGGCTCTTGCTGCGCCCAAGCAAAATCTGAACTCGTTCAAATGGGGGTGAGTCGAGAGGTGATACGTCGATCTTCGTCCAGAGAGAGGGAGTGTTAAGGGCCACCGTACGCCAATGGTGACAGACGTGCGAGATGAGTACCTCAAATTGTGGGATGTCATCGAATGTGGTTGTTGATGATTCGGATGAACCATCCTCGTCCGCGGCACCATCGTTCCTTGTCACTCTGATCCGCTTTAAGTTTGTCATTTCACTTTCTTCGTCTACTCCGTCTTCCGCGCCCGCTTCCAAATTCCAGTAGTCCGCCATTGCCTCGTCCTCCTCATCCTCATCCTCTCCATCCTCAATGGATTGGGCACCGACCTCAAAGATGAGAGAAAGGAGCTCCGGAGGTATGTCATTCACGGGACAACGTGTGCCCTTTGGTGGAACGAAAGGATTGTCTTTTATTGAGTTGTCCATTCTTTACACGATGATAGATTAGCTTGTGCTACTTAATTTTGAGGAAAGAACGCACTTGAAGAATTCCGGTTTGACGTTGGACTGCTAGAAAAACAAAAGAAGATGATCAGAAGATCTACTCTGATAATGATATGCCAGATATGGTAAGTCAGCGCCCGCTACTATTTCCTGTGCTGTAGTGTCTTGCGTGTCCCCCATTACCTTGTAGCTCAGCGCTCGACTATACAGACGACGTCGTGACTCGTTTCTGATTCTGAAATGTCTGCTCCAGTCAAGATTTATGTTTATGACCTCAGCAAGGGTCTCGCCGGCCAGCTCTCCTTGCAGCTCACCGGTAGGCAAATAGATGGTGTCTGGTTAGTATCATCTGGCATTGACATCCAAGATTCATGTGCTCACTATATGTATAGGCATACCTCAGTGGTGGTTTTCGGGAAGGAAATCTTCTATGGACCAGGCATTTGTGAGACTGAGCCCAGTCGGTCCCATGTAAGCTGCTATGCTTGTGGGTTGGTTTGAACACTTTGACATAGTGAGCCGTAGCACGGGTCGCCCCTGAGGATCATTGATATGGGCGAGACATGTATAGATGAGCAGACATTTGACGAATACCTCAGCGAGATAAAGGAGCACTACACTGCAGACAAAGTAAGTTTCAAAACTTGCTCTCACGCGAGGTACTTGTCTTGCTCACAAAACTCAGTACCATCTGCTAGGTGAGATGGCGGAACAAGATGGGATCGTACTTGCTAATTAACATTTGAAAAGACTTCAACTGCAACTCATTTACTAACGATTGCCTCGGATTTTTGACTGGAAGCTCGCTTCCATCATATATCAAAGGTATCGACCCCTTATTCCCTCCTTCGGTTGAATATCATTTTAATAGCACCCTTGCAGATCTACCATCCGACTTCCTATCAACACCATTTGGTGCTGCCTTACGACCAACTATCGATGCCATGTTTAGAGGCAAGGCTTCTACCGGCGTACTAACTCCTCCACCAGATATCGCACCAACCACAAGTGCCTCACCCAATCCGGCATTGGCTTCATCCTTGCTGCAGGCTGTAGCGTCCAGCGCAACATCCAACAGCTCTGGAGCCCCCTCCTCATCCAGGAACTACCTTCCAACACCTGCACCAACATCACCTCCTACACCGGTCCAGAGCAACACACTTACTACCCCCGTGCACATTGCTACAAACCCCTCATCTTTCCATAACGTGCTTCGCACGCACCGCGCTGTGGTTGCATTCTTCACGAGCGCAACATGTGGGCCTTGCAGGATGATTGAGCCTGTGTTCGAAGATCTTGCAAGGAGCAAGAGCCGAGCCAATGATGTCGCATTTGTTAAAATAGATTTGAGCGTCGGAATGAGCAATGCAGTGGGCGGCGAGTATGGTGTCAAAGTGACACCGACGTTTGTTCTCTTCTTGGATGGGACGAAAGTAAGAGGGGAACATATGACCTTCTCGCAACAACTGACGCGCTTTCATAGACACATGAGTTAAAGGGTGTCAATGCACCTGAACTGCGCACACAAGTCGACTTGCTCCTTTATCAGGCGTTTCCTCGTGAGCGTAAAGTCTTCCTTTCCTGGTGACAGCGAGCTTATGGCGATGACGATCAGCACATCCACACACGACGATATCCCTTCCCGCGATTGAAGCCATATCCCTCAATGCCATCCTGTCCTCTCAAGTTCCGAATCTCGATACTGCACTTGCGAAAGTGACGGGGTTCATAGATGCTGCTCCTTCATGGTCTGGTTCCACTACGAAAGAAGACACGAAGCAAATTTTCACTAAGAATATCATTCCATACCTCAAAGCACGAGGATCTTCACCACCCCCTAATATCTCTTTCGAGCCTTGGAAAGACGCGACGACAAGCCTTGTGACGAATCTTTCTGCAGGAGAATTATTCCCTGTGGCAGATATGTGGCGCGTTGCACTGCTTGAACCAGCCGTGTGCGGTTGGAGTGCAACGAAACTCGGTCATGAAAGCCCGATTGTCGTCTTGTTATCCAAGGCTGAAGGCGCGCCAAGGAATTACACCCTCACGCTCCTTCGGATGATTTCAAATGCGTTTGCGAACAAGGTTATAGCACGAGAACTTCTTCTTTCATCTCGAAGTAGCATTACAGCGGTTCTAGTCGCTGGCTTGCTGCACGAAGATGCGACTGTAAGGATGGCAGCAGCCAGCCTAGCCTTCAATATGGCTGCACACCTTCAGGGGCTAAGAGTAGAGAAGGTGCGGGGGAATGCTGAAGGGGAGGATGTGGGCGAGAATGAAGACTGGGACGTTGAGATGACGAGCGCTCTTCTGGAAGTTATAGAGCGGGAGAAGACGAACGAAGCAATAGGTACGCCCTTGGTACAATCCAGCCCCATACCCGTGCTTGATCATTGCATTTTCTGTTACAGTTCACCGTCTAACAGCGTCACTGGCATTGCTGATCCGGTTATCGCCGTCAATTGACCAGCTGACTCCCTTGCTAGAGGTTCTGCAGGCTCGGACAATACTCAAGGATAAATTGGAGCAAGGCGGATGTGGAGACACGGGGGTCGTTAAGAAGGAGGTCCGCAAGCTAATTGGGGAGGTTGCTGAGAAGCTTTGTCCTTGATCGTGGAGTGTTTTCTCCTCGTCGTACCGAGTGCATTGATATCATGTGTATACGTGTCTAAGAATATAGGTACCTTGCACAATCTATGTAGTCTAGGGCTATTTGAGGGTCATTCAAGGTGCACATTTCTGGAGAAGGAATCGAAGGATGAGTGCTCTCCCAGTGCGCGAAGTTCAGCGGGCGGCATTTCGCGCGCTTTAGAATATCACGAGCACATGAATAACCGGAAAGCCGACGGAAGTTACACCTTCAAAAAGTTGTCTGTGACAACACCAATGAATTTTGCAATCTCCTTCTGTTCTGCATCTGCTGGATCAATCCTAGACGCAGTCGCAACCGATACCATCTAATCAATCATTAGACTCTAGAGGCGCCGGCGAACTATTATCCTCTCTATCTCCACCTCTTTAAAGCACCTGAACCGGCAGTGGATGCCTGAAGGACAATAATCCTTCCATCCGTTGTCGCTCACTTATTTTCCATTGTTTCGAGTCCATGCTGAAGTTCTCGAGCAGATTAGCCTCTCGGTCGTCGCGTGCACCGGTACGTAATTTCCCGGTTGGTGGCGCGCACTTAGTGTTAACGGCTTCTTCAGCTTGTGTCTCAAATGGCCACCAAGCGCAATTTTAAGTCCTCTGCCCCAAAGAAGTCTGATATTCCAGAGGGATATGCTGTTGATCCTACTGCGGGGAACATGTTGAGGTTCCAGGCATCACTTCCCCAACTTCCCGTTCCGGCGTTGTCCTCAACCGTGCACAAGTACCTTGAGACCATTCGACCACTCTTGACGGATGCGGAATATGCTACCTCTCAGGCTACTGCGCAAGAGTTTCTCAAGTCGCCTCTGGCTGCTGACCTTCAGAAACGCCTAGAAGCCCGCGCCGCAGATCCATCCATCAAGAATTGGCTAGCAGACTGGTGGAATGATGCAGCATACATGGGCTACCGCGATCCTGTCGTGGTCTATGTCAGCTACTTCTACGTGCATCTTGATGATCCACGCAGACGTGACCCTGCGAAGAGGGCTGCTAGCCTGATCAAAGCCATGCTGCCCTTTAGAGAAATCACGGAGTCGTCAGTGTTCTGCATGTCTTTGGTTTTGTTTATCACTGATGCCGAGACTGGCAGCAAACAATTGGAACCTGAAAAGGTTCGTGGGATGCCATTGTGCATGAATTCGTACAAATGGCTGTAAGTGTCCATTCCGTCATGTATCGCATTGAATTAAATCCTCGCAGCTTCCATGCATGCCGATACCCCTCCAAGCCATCTGACACTGCCAAGAAGTTTGATCCGAAGGCACATAATCACGTCGTGTTTGTGAGAAAGAACAAGTTCTACGAAGTCCCGCTTACCACCCCGGAAGGACATGAACTAAGTGAGGCCGAGCTAGAAGTGTGCGTGTTGCATATTTATCAATCTAAATTCATTGAACTCAATGTAATTTGTGAACGTAGGCAAGTGGAACGAGTCATTAAGATGGCCGGACAGGAGAGGGGCGCTCCGGTTGGCGCGTTGACAGCGGAGAACCGAGATATATGGGCTGATGTAAGTACTTGGCAGTTCAATTCAGCCGCTATTTCTATGGCCTCATACCTTTATCCGTTCAGGCACGTTCTGCTCTGATCGCAGGCTCACCGGTGAACCAAAAGTCTCTCGAGAGGATAGAGTCCTCCGCGATCATCGTCTGCCTTGATGACACTAAGCCCGTCTTGCGCGAAGATATTTCTTGGTCTTGCTGGGTTGGAGACGGCCGGAACCGTTTCTACGACAAGCACCAATGTATGTGCCTATTTTACTCTCACAGTTTTCCAGATGTGCTAATGTACTTTACTCGTGTCAGTGCTCGTATTTGATAATGGCCGATCGGGTTTCCTCGGGGAGCATTCGTGCATGGATGGCACACCCACGCTTCGCCTGAATGAATTCATTCTTGCTTCCCTTGCCCACAACAAGGTCGAACTTGGTGCGCCTAGGTCTAGCTCGACTGGGACCGATCTTCCGCAGCCCACCGAACTGAAATTCGAGCTTGATGCCACATGCAAGAAATACATTGATGAGGCATGTCAACACTTTGACGAGCTCGTGGGTCAGCATGACATGCAGGTGAGTTCAGGGTCCAGTGGGATCTATCAGGGCTCTAGACCATTAAATTACCACCGTTCCTAGGTGCTCCACTACGAAGGCTATGGGAAAGATCTTATGAAGAAGTTCAAGGCTTCCCCTGATGCATGGGCTCAGCTTGTGAAACAGCTCGCGTTCCACAAGATGTTTAATCGGCCTGGTGTGACGTATGAAAGCTGTCAGACGCGCAAATACCAGCAAGGCCGTACGGAAGTCATTCGTAGTGCCAGCTCGGAAAGCAAAGAATGGGCCGAAGCCATGCTTAATCCAGAAGAATCTGTAGGTCTTCCTGCGGAGATCGCGTAACACTTTCCCATTCCAAATAGAGGCTAAATGACATGCGTAATTCGCATCTAGGATGAACGCCGCGCCGTGCTTTTCCGCCGTGCCGTCGCGCGCCACCTGCAGTATGCTGCTTGGGCCGCGGATGGGCAAGGGGTGGACCGGCATTTATTCGGCCTAAAGAAGATGGTTCGTGATGGCGAGTCTGTCCCGGCTATCTATTTGGACCCAGCGTTTTCCAAGACCAATCATTGGGAGTTGTCAACGTCTCAGCTTTCTTCAAAGTATCTAGATGGGTGGGGATACGGTGAAGGTACGTCTCTGTGATTGTTTTTGTGAATCGAAGCTGATAATTGTCACACGCAGTCGTTACGGACGGGTATGGACTCTCATATTCCATCGATGATCATTACATCCGCTGGACCATCACATCACTTAAACGGGATACTGCCGAACTGAAGCACTACCTTGCGGAGGCTGCAACGGAGACGAGGTTCATGATGGAGAGAGCTGCTGCTGCTGAACAGAAGGCCAAATTGTAATGATGTTGTAGCACAGTTGCGTGCGTTATTTAATAGCATAATTTGTTTTGACAGTTTATCGTCAGGGATGGATCTTTGGTTTGCGTAAGCTAGCAGTTGTGTGTGTCCGGGGGGTGAGAAGAAGAATGATACTTCCTTCTGTTTCCATATCATGGAGAATCTTGCGTGTGGTCGCAAGGGGATCTCCGAAGCCCGATTTCTACGGAAGGAAGGAGCTCCTTTTAATCATATTTTTTCCCTATGATTTGATCCCTGCGGCACAGCGTTGACAGTGAAGTTGAAAGGGTACCGCCGCTCTTGAACCCTAGACTGCGGAAAGTCCGGTATTAGCAATACCGTCGGCGTCAACAGCCTATCAGCATCTACTGCATCCATGCTCTGTTTTAGACATCGAGCCCCATGGAGTCTGATTTACTTGTTTTTCACGCGATGTCATCGAGAGGCCGGCTCCGCGTTGAAGCTTGAAGACCGAATACACTGGTCCCTGGGAGTATGGTGCATAGTGGTTTTCTCTATGACCTTAGCGGGCTGGTATGGTGCTGTATGTCCCACGAAGTATCGTCATCATCGACGGATACTTCCCATCGGCTGAGCTGATGGAAGATCCTGCCTTGACTTTCCCAGGCGACAAAGGATTTTGCCTAGCGCTGGTGGAGACTCCGCGAGCGCCTGAGGAAGACCCTGAAACGCAGAAACGCAGGCGGCCGGTTGATTCCGTGAACAGCTTGTTCGAACCGTAAATCATCTCGCCCGTTTTGGTAGTTTGTAAACAAAGGAACGGGTGCGGCGCAAATATTTGCAATGTTCTGGATTCAAACTTTGGCTGTGAGCAAAGCTCAACTTGGTTGCAAAGCTAAGGTTCGTGAACTTTACATCACGGTCGATTTATTTTGAATCCCACTCACAGTCGAGTATGAAGACCACATTCCTTGTCTTTCGGAGTGCATGCCTGTGCAGGATGGCTAAATTTTGATGCGAAACTTACGGACTGCGAAGTAACCGTGAGTCCTTTTCTGGTCAGGCAGCAAACAGGAAACTCTCTCCCGGAGGAGTAGAATCGTGATAAGAGCACCTTTGGATAATGCCCAAATATTGGTATCACCAACGTGGTTTTTTTCGCCATTTCGGGTTGTTGGAAATTTTGCGGCCTTGAATTTGCTGGCAGTTCCTCCGTAGTTTCTAGAGTCCGTATGAATTCAACAAGTATCCGCCGCCGCTTCATTCTTGACTTGAGGCTAACTGTAACATGCGGCATAGACGATTGCTCACAATCTAGAATCCTACTTACCAGGGCGCATCACGAATACCTTCATACCCGGAGAATCCGAGCACTGAAGCCAAGGATTCGAAGTGGAGTTGGACGGCGAGAACTCAGATGAAGATAGTAAGTCAGGAGACTCGTGGTTCATTGATGCCGTAACCTACAGTCACGGTGCTACATATATCTATCCATTGAAACAATGAGTCCGTTCAATTCGGGGTCTCTTTTAAGCCGCACAAGCTCGTACACAAACGTCGATCTCCAGTACTGATAACATGCTCACAGACCTTAGTGACCATAGACAGGCTTCTACGAGAGGTCTTGCTGACGCGAGTACCGACGCCCGTGCGTCTAAGCGTGCTCGCAACGCATTTGACTCGTCTTTGGACGCGTCAGGTGCCCCTGAAGAATTTACTCCGACGCCCAGGAAAACACATAACAAGAAGCAGCCTCTGTCCTGTGCAGAGTGCCGAAGGTGTGTTTCAAACATTCTGTCTGCCTTGAATACCCTAATTGTAAATGTATCCTCAAGATTGAAGCTGAAAGTAAGTCCATTTTCCCCTCTCAATTTCCATGGCCTCAAGCTGCATGCGCTAGTGCGATCGTGTCTTCCCATGTCAATCGTGCTCAAAACGAGGCTGCGCTGAAATATGTCCAGATGGTATTTCGCATCACCATGCTTTTGAGTGTACAATCTGACCATATTTTGTAAGGTGCTCTCACATCTGGAAAGGGCAGCAGGTTAGTAGCGGGTTCTCTGGCGCACCCTCCTACTGACGATTTATCAAGGTTTATTCTTGCCAATACTGAGCAGCTTCATGCAAAAATTATTCAGATGAGCGATCGTATACGGCAACTTGAAGACGCCTTGGAGACCGTGCAAGCCAAATGTACATCTGACCCCCATCCCCTCTTGCACCAAGATTCCTTGCGTATAAAAAATTCCCTGGAGCTCTATAGCTCTCATGCGACCAGTGGACGGCATCCCCAAATGGATGGCATAATCAAAGAAAATCACGCAAGCAATCTCCAACTCCCTGTTGCCTCATCTTCAACACGAGATGTAGACAAGGTTCGGGATAGCCTATCGGAGGTGATCTGCTTGGTGTCCGGTTTGCCGAGTGATTGCTGATTAACTTTCCTTCATTCTAGGAAAGGTATTCTTCAGCAGAAGCTTTGACTTCAGATGTACCTGGATTGTCTCCCGAGATCGAAAAACTCAGTCAAACATTTCCTTATCCTTGGTTGCCCAATAATCCTATGAGACAGCGAATTTACGAGATGCTGCCGTCTCGGGAAGAGGCGGAGTACCTTTGCACGCAAGCTCGGCTGAACGCTCTATGGCAGTAAGTTTTCTCGTCACTGTCTGACTGTGATGTATTTATGGCGTACATGCAAGGTACAACCTGGATCCAAGCGAAACTTGGCTCCCGAATCTAGTTCATCACGTATACACCACGCCAATGTCAAGCCTTTCTTTCCGCCGCCTCTCTCTGCTGTTTATCATGATGGCCATTGGGTTACTCGTTGATCTTAACCAACAGAATGAGTCTCCAAGAGCTGAGGTGTTCCATCGCCTGGCGCGAGCCTCGTTATGTGAGACGAATCTGATGGACGAACCTAGTTTTGATCTACTGCAGACTTTGGTGCGTTGGTCACGTTATCTGCCATGCGGTTGTGCTGACGAGATCATAGTTTTACATGATTTGGTACCTTCTGATTTTCTCAGACAAGAGTCAAGCTGTATCATATGCATGGAGTATCATGGGACTTGCCGTGAAGCTTGCTCAAAGCGTGGGTTTTTCAAAAATAGTTACCCTTCACTCGCCTAAAACATCTGTTCCTCCAGTTAGGTCTCCGTACGTCGGGCATCCATTACCGCCCTGAGATTTCCTCAACATGGATTTTCATTCATTTTCATAGACCGCGATGGCAATAGATGGAAGGCAATTCCCGAAGAGTCTCAGCGGCGACGAATGCTGTTCTGGGAACTTCTGAATTTAGATGCGCGCCTGGTTAGTTTTGATTTTCAACTGATTGCACAATGCACATGTCACATGTGTGCTGAACCTTGATTTTCAGTCTTTATCCCTTGGTCGGCCACCATCTCTTTGCTTGCAACATGTCGACTGTCGGCGACCGTCTTATGTTGCAGAGGGGATGAACATCATCCCTGGAGCTCAGTCATGTTAGTTGACTTGCTCATTCAGTTTTATACCAGAACTGATCATTCCACAGATCATGAGTGGAAGCACGGGTTCTTCCAGCACTGTCTCACACCGGTCTTAGTCACCGCGATATCTGCACAACCACAACCATATTCTGGTATTCTGGATGTTGACAAGAAAATTCGAGACTTCCACATCCCTCCAACACTCAATATATTCAACCCAGAGGGCACCAGGAATATCCGACAGTTGACTATGCAGCAAGTGCTAGTAGCTAGCGGGCGAGAAATCGGTGGGTTTTCACCGGGTAGGTTGTGTGCATGCACGCTGAAGTTGGACGCCTATAAGTCCTACTGCAGCTTCATAGGAATTTTTTTACTGAGGCACTTAGTGACTTTGATGCTTTCACGTATCGACACAAATATGCGCCGTCAGTTCTTGCGACATACCTTAGTGCCTCCCGCCTCGTTGCCACGTTAGGGACCATGCTGCATCGTGAGCCACAGCTGAGCAAGCGGTTCATGTGTTTCTGGTTTAATGCATTCTCTGGTGCGGTGAGTGACTCCTGAAACTAGTCATCCATTACATCTTGACTGGGTGTTTTGACCCAGGTTGCATTATCATTGATTGTTTCCAGAACACCATTCCTAAGTCTAGCGCCATACGCGCTGAAGGAGTTAGACAGCGTTTATCGCATTTTTGCGAACGTGGCCGAGGAATGTTCAAAGGTCGCTCAGGCACTGGTCAGTGATGAAGACAACTTTTGGGAGATCGGTACTAAACTGAAACATAGCCTCTACTCACTAAAATCGTAGAGAAGTCACGTCGGACGTACTTCCAGTGGCTCAAAGCGTCCAGAGATAGCCCGACCATGAATACCGACCAGACGTTTCAAGAGACACCGGCCAGATCAGCAGTGTGCAGTACTTCAGGGGATCCGGCGAGCCCTTTTGACGCTGCACACTCGTACTTACAACGCACGCTGCAGGATATCGAGACGACTGCTCCACCGGACATTCAGGAGCTTCCTGCTTACTCGCCTCGGCAACCCAAGCTAGTTCCAAGCTCGGAACGAGCTGGGAAACCTGAAGAGCTGGGCCATCCTCCTGACCTGTCTACGGACATGCTGTCACTTGCTTTAGGTTTAAATGAAGATCTGGTTGCTGCAACTTTGAGACACAGCTCAGACCCTTCGACCCCTGCGGGCAATACAGCTCAGAGGGTAGGGAATCATACATTCAACTTCGATTTTGGTGCGCTGGGTTCAAACGTAGAGAACCAGAATAACACATATATGTCATGGTTTTGATGCTTTGTACTCGAGTTAACTCAATAATCTGTACTTACTTAGATCTGATTACTTCCTCTGAGAGTCACTCAAATAAAAACTCCCACGGACCCTTGATATTGCTTTTGTTTACGTAATAATATGTTTGGGTCCGCTTGTTGACCAACCACATACTGCTGGATCTCTTCCTGAAACTGTCCAGTTACCAGAAAGCACGGCTCTTGAGATATGTCCCGGATACGGGAGGTATGGGCGCCAAATCTTGAGGCGGAAATGCGGAACATACGAGACCTGATCGACCAGTACCCTTACGTTGCAATTGTGCGGCGCGTAGTCCGATGTCTCTTGCAGATTGATGCTCACGATGAAGTAGGACACAGAATTTCCAGGCGTAGTTGCACGACCAATAGGCACTTTCAAAACGTCTTCAGACTATCACTACCAGACAATGCGTTGTAATGTCGACCTACTCAAGCTAATACAAGCCGGTATCACACTCGCGGATGAAGAGGGTAATTTCCCCCAGGATGTTACAACTTGGCAATTCAATTTCAAGTTCAGCATAAGGTGCGTGTTGGAAGCCAATGTTTTCGGGCATCGCGTGTTAAGAATCACACCCTAGTGAAGATATGTACGCGCCAGAATCAATCGATCTATTACAGAAGTCAGGGCTCGATTTCCAGCGGCACGAGGAGATGGGAATATTGCCACATGACTTTGCTGAACTCTTGATCACATCGGGTCTAGTCCTTGCACCCGAGGCCAAGTGGATATCATTTCATAGGTGAGTTATGCAAATCTTCTTAGACAAGATAGGGCGCCATATGCCTTCGATTCCTTGTTTGCGTGCTCTCATTCACCTGACTTACATATTCATTCCATATTCCAGTGGCTACGACTTCGGTTACTTGGTCAGGCTTTTGACCGCGATGTCTTTGCCGACGTCTGAAGAACAATTCTTTGAATGGCTGCGCACTTGGTTCCCTTATTGCTACGACATCAAGTTCATGATGCGTGCCTCCAAGTCCCTCAAAGGAGGGCTACAGGAAGTCGCGGATGATCTTGGTGTGCGTGATTTCTCCTTTGATTAGTTGATCACCAGCTGATTATCGATCCCTACAGGTGATGCGTATAGGAACATCACATCAGGCCGGTTCAGATTCCCTTCTTACTGCGTCTACCTTCTTCAAAATGCGAGAACTCTACTTCAACGATCAAATAGACGACACCGAATATAACTGTAAGCTGTATGGTCTAGGACAGACCTTCGCAGTATCAAACGGTATTACCGATACCGGCCGAGGTGGAGCTACTATCGCCGAACGAGAAGATAGGGGGATACCGAGGGATTCACAAAACCAGACTCCTGCATTATCTGCCCCCCAGAATCAGGGTGTGGTAATGGGTATGGGAGTGCCTTTACCTACTCCAGCACTGGGCGGGGCTCTGCCTGCGCCACTACCGTCTGGCACATCATATGGGCCTATGGGAGCGAATGGGCCATTCTTACGGACGGCGATCGGGGTAGGGGGGAGATAGCCCGAGGCTTTTTGTTTTCTCCTTTTTCGTAGGATTGTTTTATGTAATTAATTCACTGTATTGATTTTCTTTCTATTCATCTTTGGGTAAATTGTCACTCATACGGCAGGCCAGGGGTTCACATCGACATGTATGTGAGTACTCTATTCACTTACTCGAACTTACAATCATCATCGGGTCTACAGTAAGTGCTGCTCGCAATTGTAACAAGTCAACGATATCACAATCGATGATACTACTAAGTACACCGCTATTTCGCCCGAGTAGCGAGCATGGATTGTTTTACGTGTCAGCGAGCGTCACCCAATCAGGTGCAAACGTCGCTGACGCACCGCATAATTCATACAGCGGTCTCCCGGTTGTGAGTGGCATCATTGACCTTGCTAGAACTCTTCAAATGGCATGAGCTACATTGCGACAGATTTGTTATGCGGCCAGAGCCTTGTACATGATGAGCTATGTGGGGTTCGCTGAAGGGGTTGTACAAGAATCCGCTTCCCATGGATCGACGTCGCAGTCATCCATCGCAAGAGCATACTACCAACCTCGTCGTCACCAAACGAGGGTCAGCAAGTGCGCTCGATGCGTGGAGCCACGATACCGATGCAGGTGAAAGAATAAGTGAAACAGCCTTTGAGCTCACAGTTTGCCAGATGGCCTGTAGTGGAGATAATCGATAGTTGGGGAGTGTTGTAGGTGGTCAACGACAACGGGTACGTTCTTATACAAATCGGAGCGGCATAGGTCTCCCGTGTATCTGCTAATTTTGACTGGACCTCGATCAGATAAGTCACTGCAGCTTCCTTGTGCCCAAGTTCAGAAGCAAAGTTATGAAACGTTCGTCTGAAATGTAAGAACCACAAATCACCATCGAGGTATATTGCCCATGAGCCTATGGAGAATATCCGCGTACATCTCACCGTGGAGCCAACTTGCATCCTGACTTAGGAACCTCCAACTCCATATTAGTGCCCCAATTGTGTCTTCGTGAAACACATGATCCTTTGATGTGCGGAATGTACGTCTTCCGACTCGGGAATCCCATTTCTTTGATACATTGAACATTCGTGCAGAGACAGATCACCACCATCGAGATTATACTTATTTGAAGCTCTAGCATCGGTCTCCGAGTCAATATATCCGCGCTGACTGAAGGAAACACTGTCAATCAATCGGGATTAACAGCTCTTTCAAAAGATGCCTTCAAAAGTAAGCATGAGCAAGGTGGCGTATTTCTGATTTCAACATCTCCAACCTGGTATACGTACTTGAACCCAGACCCACATCTGTCCAGATATGTTAATTTCCGGTCAGCGAGCGAATTCAATAGCTTGCTCCTGGTGCCAGGGCTTTGGTAACTATCGTTTGTTTAGGCTTGTCCTCTGATGGCACGGTCGGCCGCAAGCAATTCTTTTTAGATCCAATGCTCAGTTGTCTATTAACAGAAAAATAAACCTTCTGCACTAGGCTCAAGTTGTCCCCCCTGAGAAAATCTAGAAGTTTTTTTTGATTGCACATCCAGCAGCGTGCAGGCCTGGTCCTGTACCGTGGCGGACTACCGTCAAAATGACAAATTCATCAAAACACCGTCTGCCTACGATGGTGCTAGCCGAGATCATGGATGGCTGTATTTGTTGTAAATTGTGATGAGGGACTGTAAACCACAGCTAAATTTGTGAATGACTGTCATAACTTCATGTCGCTGGCGCATTGTAACGTACAATAGGGTCCATTGACGGCATTCCAGGACCTCGGCCACAGCCGACCCAAACCATACCCTACCATACCAGTCCTGTGATACTGACTTGCCAGACCTGCTCATATGTAAACCCAAATCGTTGAAGGTACATAGCCGTTCTTTCAGAAATCATCCCCACTGGGTACTTTGAAACTCCTCCATCATTAGTCTGCCACCTGGAAAACTACGAAACAATGAACTCCGAGCAGGCGGTGGCGATCAGGCGCGAACCCTCTACTAGAATAGCGAGATACAATATCTGATGGGCCTTAAATGAAGGAGGTAGTGCAGCTGGTTCTGAAATACGGAGATAGAAATCGGTGGTTATCATGTGGTATGTATGTACCCAGGGTTTTCGAAATCGTGATTGATGTATTGTCAACTGACGGCAGCGATGGCACCGTTGCGAAATAATCAAGCTAAATCCACCTGACACATGTTCAGCAACTTTATGTTCTTGATCTGACAACCAGGCCCACGTACATAATTACTGGGAAATATCCCCTTCTTCCCGTCTCTGGAAAACCCTAAAATTATAATCAGTCAATTGAAATGAAGGTCAGGCCATCCAATACCTTCCCACCAGCCGTCCGCATAATTTTGACCTCCCTTTGTCCCAGAAGATAGCTCAACAAAGTCCCCCTCATTTATCGTAAGCTCTTCCGGTTCTTGAGCTTGATAGTCATAGAGAGCCCGTACTATTTACCAGGTAACAGTGAGAAAATAACTAATCGTACTAGAAAATAGGCGGTACTCGTACCGTATATGCCTGACGCTTGCTGAGAACTTTGTTGAGAGAGTTCAGAGTTTTCAAATGGCCGTCCGCCTGCATCTTCCAGATAGGTTGCAGGGACCAGCCCTTTCTCACCATTGGAGCCAGCCACCTTCACCCATCCGGAACCATCGTCTTCCTCTAGCACACGCACAATAGCGCCCTCTTGAAACCACATCAGCACGTGCAAGACGGGGACGTGTCCCACACAGACCTGTCACATTCAATTCGAAGGACGAGGACGCCGCGAAATCGAAGATAACACGAGCCAATCGATCGCTTTCTTCCACATGTGGTGATGCATTGGGTGGCACAGAAGAAGATGGGAGTGGTGTTTCTTTGGAGCCGGCGGATACTGGTGCTGCGGATGTTCTGTAAGTCCTGTTATTTGGTTGATCCATTCACCCACATCTACTTTCCGATATAGAAACGACAGAAGAGGGAGACTGCAGAATTTCCGAGGTTCTGTAATCACCGTGAATATTACTGCACTCCGCGGGTACCTAGCGATGATGATCAGCGGCCTCCTTACATGGTTGGGAGAATGAAATCACATTTAACTCGCATTTAGAGTGCACTGATAAGCCACAACTTTTACATGTCTTTCCCTGCTTACTTAGGCCCCAGATCGATACCTAGGCGGTTGTTGGTCAAACATCATGGGCACGCATCCACCAACTTCTTGATCATACCTTACAATACCCGCATGTTGTGGGTATCGAAAAGGCCGAGCTCTTGAAAACGTGGGGGCTTGAACCTCCCTCGTCACCTTGCACATTGACATTAATTGATGCATGCATCATGTTCGTCTAGTAGGTTACTTACCCCCAAGGACATCCGCGATTATATTTATTTCTGAGTTTAGGACACACGCTGAGGTAGAAAGGTCAGTGACCTCGTGGGCAGTATCAAGGTATCTCTGCGTAAGACTCAGAAAGGAACCCATTGTCCGCACATCATGACTACGCACGTTCATGGCATCACCCACATCTCCAGGTGTATTATCGGCGGCGTAATCTGTAAGCAGGCCACGATAATTCTCGGCGTCGGTCCCTGTACTCACAAGGGTGAGTGCGTCCAGCGGTCCGTGGCGCAAGATTTCACTTACGTTTTTTTTCGAGCGCAGGTTTCAGTTCTCTCAATTTGGCGCGCGAGCGGGCGAGTTTATTTTGTAGGACCACCTTGGGAGCCGAATCAATGCACATATCTCCCTGTAAATCACATGCTCCTTAACGCCGTGCACGGAACTGAAGCCAGTCAGGCCCACCGTATCGTAATGGTTCGAACATGATTCAAATACCCAGTCGTCGGGTACGCTGAATGGACGGATGTTGGATTCTATGAAAAGCGCTTGGTCCTTATCGGGTTGGACTTCGATCAAAGCGGCGCTAACGGTTGCAAGACGGTCCTTCAGAATATCTTCGTGTGACAATTGGATATTGTGGGCCTCTGTCACAACGGCAACAAAATCCGTCACTAGCCGAGTCTGTAACTCCTCTGCAGACAGTTAGCTGAAGTATGTGCCCAGTGGTAGCTGCTCACGGAAAGACTTGATATGATATAAGGTTCGTCAGCAAAACGATGTACCGAATAAGCATATATTTAACTCACATCCTCAAGACTTGGCAGGTCCTCGGTATAGAACTTTGTTTTCACGCTGTTGGCAGTTGCAGTTGAGATGATATAGACACTGCTGGAAATTGTATAAGTGTTCTACGCGTTTTTCGGCACGTACTTCTTGCTATTGAGCATGTCAAGCCTCTGCTGATCATACTGTCTTGCTGAGCGCTCCGCGTGTCGATCGTGAACAGACTTGAGAAGGTATTTATGACCGTGAGAATATTCTTGAGGAGCTTCCTTACCTGCTTCTGACGATAAACTTCAACCTCGGCGCAGTCGACGTCATACTTGATGCACGCTGTGGTCAGAATAGTTACACCATGGCGCCCAAGATCTCACTTTTTGCTTGCTCTGTATCATAATTGTTAAACGTGCAGTATGAGATCAACTTATCACCTTGCCTTGATGCGTTCAGCATAGATCTTATCGCGTCCAGCCAGAATCTTGTGATAGATCTGCATTTGCTACGTAAATCGTCAGCAGGCATAGTAGACTTTCCACAACAATATTGGAAACCTTTTTCTTGTAATCATCGTTGCGACGCTCAACAGCTTTTAGAGGTTCCATAACTTGAGATGTCAATGCCTCCGCTAAGTTGATATGGTCCTGAGCAGAAGTTGAAATCGATGACAAGATCTCGGAGTATGCATGATTGAGGGTGCTGCCATCGAAAATATGAGTACCTGGTCAAAATTGGGAAGAAATGACCTGCTTCTGTTGATTCATACTTTCCGAGCAAGCCTTGGTGGGATTGTCTCCGACGACCAGTAACAGTGCATTCTTGTTCTTCTTTTCACTTGCCTTCTTCGCCAATTGCTTCAACTTTAGTCCATACTCGCGTTCCAGCACTGCTCTATCGCGGTACAGTTCGCGGGCCTGTGAGTCAAAAAGATGTGTTCAACTGTCGAAATTTTCGAGACCCTGAAGACGCACATCGGCTAATAGATCAAGGTGGGCGTCAAAAAGATTGGAGATGCGGTCTACCTGGTCCTGATCATGAGAAAAACGTCAGCAATGAATGCGATGCTTGACAGCGAATTTAGCAGGTTACAGGCATTAATTGACCATAGCTGTTGCTTTGTCTCTGCATTTCTTTCAAAGTGTCTGTTGTTGGATTTGCGGGCAGAACTTAGCACACCTCGAGTGGTCAGGTGAAGAGCAAGTGTAGCGCTTGAGAACGGAACGGCCGTAATACGCGGCCGAGTCTGGACTCTGTACATACCCAGAAAAGGGTCGTAGTATGCTATGTTTCAAATCCAACGTATCTAAGTGATCGCGCAGCAAAATTCGTGTGTAAAAACATCACCGTCGCACCATCTCTCACAATATATGCTAATAAAGTCACGACAGGGACGATATAGTCCATGAAACTGCACTCAATCGAGGCACGATGCATACAAGCGATTTTACCTTCAGGTTCACCCACCATCATGGCCCATCAGTACCATCATGAAACGTGGGGCGGTAATTAAATTAGATGATAATCACATGACAGAAACATGTCGATGATCCGCTACAAAGCTTGAAGCCAGCTTGAAGCTTGAACCGGGCTACAATGTCTCATGTGTTTTTGGACAGTCCAAGTCACCATAGCGTGCTGGTAAAAGAGGGTTGCCTTTTGTCTTTATTGTCACCAGACAGAAATTGCCAAGCATGTCTGGGAAACGATAATGCTTCCGCTGGCTGTGACAGTTTCCAAATTCCACCGGTCCGTGAAACATACCGCCGTAGATGTCCGCACCCCAGTTTCCGGGATGTACACAGTAGCAGGGTGCGCTCGTGTGTTCTGTGCGTCGATAGAAACGGTTTTAAGAAGCGAGAAAATGTTGGTAACAAGAACTATGGAACTCTACCAATGCTGATGCGACGGCCCATCAAACCTGCACGGTATGGAAGTCGCCACCGAAGTGAGGAGCTCTAGTTTGGTCAAAAGAGCAGATAAATAATCATGAATAGGTCTGACGGACGGCGATGGTACCGAGGAGTTGCCTCCGCATCGCTTATTGGAGAGCAATCCCCGCGGTGAGAATTCGGTATGTGGGAGGCCGAGAGCGAAGTAAACAACGAGGTGCGGGGAAGCTGGGCCGATTTGCGGAGACAAGACGGCCGGAGTGGAAAACAAAAAATTAGATGCGTGGGAACACAAAATGACTTCTTGAAGCAATATTCAAGTCAAATCTCCCTTAAATTTTAGTACACGAGGGCAGATCAGCTAATAGTAAGTAACAGCCTTCATACGCATCACCTAAGATCAGACGGGTGTACACCTTAGCCTGACGGCATGACTGTCGTCGTGTGTGATCTTGCATACTTACCTGTGCTCGAGCTTGCCGTGATTTTCGTTTGGCCCTCGACTCGGAAACAATAATTTGCCCAAACTCTTCCGATGTACGTTGTTTTCGAAGTACGTATACCGCGTAACCCTCTTTTTCTTCTCTAGACAACGCGACTCCAGTGCGGGACAATCTATAACTGGCACAGCAATCAAATTTCCTGAAGGGCATGTCTGGTGTGAGGTAAAAGCCTGCCTCCAGGTATATAAGGGCCCGCAGACCCGCACACCGAAGCAAGCGCGAGTAGAGCTCCATCCCCCCTAACGTCTTATTCACGCACTTGACATCTTGTTCCCTCACTGACCAACGACATGTATAGACTAACAACTGTCTTGATCACGCTATGCACGATTATCTTCACCGTTCTGGCTGCGCCAATACGGCTAAATGGGATTGCGACAGTATCAATTGAAAAGCGCACCACACATACAGGCGATGTGCGTTAATGAGGGATAGTTGTTTTCTGGTTGCTAATTTCTTCAACAAAGGGTACCTGGTTTGAAGTTGGCACAGGAGCATGCGGATATACGGATCAAGATAGTGATCCTATAGTCGCAATTTCTGCCCAGATCTATGGCAGTGGATCAAACTGCAATCAGGTAGGCCCGTTTCCTATTCATGCAATTCGGACATTGGATGCTTATCGCTCGTAGTGGATTCACATCACCAATACCGACAACGGACAGAGCGCGTACGGGAAAACGCGTGATGAATGCGAGTCTTGTGGCTCAGGTAGCCTAGGTATGCTGTCAATTCTGGGGTTCATTCGCGTACCTGTTAAATCCATTTCACAGACATGTCCCCTGGCCTATTTGAAGAACTAAGCACACTCGACACCGGTGAAATTCCAATTTCATGGCACTTTATGAGCAAGGACTGGTCGCCTTAACTGCGCGCCGTTACCCCCATGGGGGATACGATTTCCTTACGATTTCCTTCACGATTCTTTAGATTATCATGATAGACGGTATATCCTCTTCGTCAGGAAGGGGATCAGGAAGAACGTATTCATCTTTTGTATTATTAATGATATTTCTGTTGCGCTCTATCACCTACAACTATAACTGCAGGACTCTGGGAGTCTACTATCTTTTCTTGACCATATGTACATAAGTATCCCGTGTTGTTTCTAGTAATCCGATTGGCATCTGATCTACATATGATACCTACTGATTATCAGCACCTATATAAAATGGGTGTGGCTCATGAACGACTTACACTTTGAGAGTCAACACCGCCATAATTAACAATTCAAATAAGTCGCTGGGCTCCTCGCCCTTGCGACTCGAAGAGCCGAGGATATGCTCACAGCACGGTATAAACGAAGACCAAACAACTCATATCGCAGGTCCCAATTTGCCTGTAATGTATGTAGAATCCTTGGTCTCTCAAATATTGATCGCTAAATGTCGTTAGCACTAAATATCCCAAGCAGTTCGCCTTCCATGAATCAAACCACGATGCATAAGTGCTTGAGCCTGCCCGATCGCCGTGCCTTCGCAATGCCGCGATGATGGCTGATATAGATCCTGGCTGTTATCTGCACGCGTTAGACGTGTGTTGTGCACAGCCTCGTATCTTATCCGACCTGAAGCCGACGGCCGACGTTTTCCGTGAGTGTCGGAGACACCATAATGAAAATACGGCTAGCCTCACCGCGACCGCGGGGACATCAAGCGCTCGTGACACCCTGATGCACGCTCGCCAAGACTTACGCCTCGGCGACTGCTTTATTTCACCGAGTCTTGCAATAATGGTATAACACCTTCATCCACGATCTACCTCAGTTTGGCAGCATGGCAGCGGTTTCTCTGAAAACCACGGCATATCCGACAGTCGTGGACCTTTTCTTGTCTACTCTCGCAGCTGGGAACAAGAGGAAGCCTGAGGAAGCTGGTGAAAGTTTGCACCTAGAATTGTTCCATCTCTTCTGGGATATCAAGCGAAGAAAAGAACGGAGATCACGGAAATGAGGTCGAAGATACCAGACTCATCGGATGCTCTGGAAGGTGTTGCGTCATCGGAAGGTATCCATGTCCTAGGTAGCCCTAGGCGCCCCTCGAGTGTTCATATCCCGAACGGCATTACACTTCATTTCCCTGAATGGTCTCGAGCCTGCTAGCGAAGAACGTCTCTGCTGGGAACTACATATGCATATGAAGGCGCACCATGCGGAGAGCAACATGCTCATCATTGCGAGATGAAGGTCATATAGCACGTCATCATTAGTGCGCGCGCCCGTTTCTAAGAAGGGCCTCATTTTCTCCTCCCCTCCCTTCCTTTCCTTCTACCAGTCTGGAAAGCCCTCATACTAGCAGCAAGTGACCGTCTAATCCATATATAGCGTGTGGCTTGAATCGTTGAATGATCTTGATAAATGCATGTCCGTTCTCGAGTGGTTCAAGCACTCGACCATCGTCACGGTCTAGCCCTCGTTCCTCGCACTGCAAGTGCAAGAAGTCATGCCCAATTTCATTTGGTGCCCAGCCTGGTATGCAATTACGGAGACCGAGCAACTCTTGCATTGCGTTTTGGCACGATGCATTCTCCATGACGAATGTCGAAGCTCAAGTTGGGTGAACCTGTCATTCGAATATCGTCGCCTCTTTATACCCATTATAACCTTCCCCCCTGAAAAAAACAGGAGCGGGACCTGATTTCCCTTCGATGAATTTGGAGCAACGTTTAACTTGGAAGGCATGCAGCATTGATCATCCTCCAGCAGTTCCCGCCAGGAACCGCGACTCAACCAACAGGGGCGTTCTTCGAAGCTGCAAAACCAAGATCCATTACATCCAAATGAAAATCTTGCGCATGGTGTGCCGATAATGGTGAGGAGTGCTTCTAGGCTGTCGATTTCTGAGTACGGAGTCATAGAATGCGAACCAAGTATGTGTGTGCCCCTAGATCCACATTCGTCGCCGAAAGTCGTACAAATGGAAGCATCATGTCCGTCCTCGAGTCGCTCAGGCACTTGACGATCGACTGACTCCTTCCGACCGTGGAGGTTGTACCTTGAATCACACTATGAGGGTTTGGCCTCATCTGGTGCTGATGCGCAATTTCACAGAGTTGAACCAGAGCCAAGTGTTGCATGGCGAATCGTTTCTTACTTCCTTGAATATAACACGCCTCATGATGAATGTTTAAGTTGCGTGGCCTTGACACCTGGAACCCAAAAACTCATGTGGGAAGCAGCGAAATACTTCCACAATTGACTTCGAACGGATAAATCATCCAGCGATGCACCTGTCTCGCGACTCCGCCAACGGATCACCATTCCAATAACCAAAAATTTGCTACATTCATGTAAATCATGCACAGAGTTCCAATAATTGTGATATCGTGAGGGGTGCTAGAGTAGAGTGATTGAATGCTAACCAAGTATGTGTCGTAGATCCACCTTCGTCGTCAAAGTAGTACAATGGAAAATGAGTAAGCAAGAGTTCATGAATACTAAATCACAATCATCATTAACGTGTCATCTTAGAAATGTGTCCAATGTCAATCGAAGCTCGTGGTGACTAGAAGATGTAGACCAGCGATACCAGGGCGAGCATAATTGACGCGCCTGACGCATGGTTTCTCCATGCAGCACCCGTGAGTGTGGTTTGCGTTGGCGTTGCAGTCGACGTGATAACTGAGGTTATACCAGAACTTAAAGTTGGCGTGGTTACCCCGGCTGCAGGTGTTATGCCAGAAGTTGTCGTGGGAGTCGAATTAACAGAATTTGAGGTCGTGGTGGTTTCCGTTGGAGTTTGGGTTGTAGGGGACGCGCTCGTACCAGGTGTGGTCAACTGAACCGAAGAAGATGTAGATGGCGCAGAGGCGGACGAAGATGAGCTATCGTTGATGATAGTGAATTCTGGACTAGCATTGCCAGAGTCCCCAAACACTTGATCAAAATTATTAGAGCTACCTCTCGCACAGACATCCAATACTTACAAACGACGATATAATCTTCTCGTGTCTCCACATCCGGGACGGTTATCAAAACTTGACCGAGCGTATAATTGATGTTCGTTGCAAGCGGTGAATCTAAAAATATTTCATTGAGTAACAATACAAGCAAAGCACTTCACGTCATGGTTGACTCACCCAACATCAGGTTCTCGCTGTTGTTGTACGAGTATCCTAGAACCAGCATCCCAACAGGGTTGGTAATATTGGAAGACAAACCGCTAGTACTCCTGCGATAAATGCTTTATTCAGAGGGATCCGAAACACCCGGGTGTACACACTTACCAAGTCACCAGTTGCTTATCTCCAACGTGCCATACAGTGCCCGCCGTTGGACTGGTGATGGGCGGATCTACTACATCCCTCAACTTCAATGGCAGTGAGAGTGCCAATAATGCGAGAGACGAGATGGTGCATAAGAGGGTCGTGAACGCAAACATCTTGTAGAAATCTGAACCCAAGGTAAGGGCGGGCAACTGGAGGCCTGAGCAGCTTCACCAGACTCTGGAATTGGTTAAGACATGTTATTAACATAGCAGCCGTGAGAAAAATAGTTAGGTAATCAATAGCATCGCGCCCTGAACTCATTACTAGCATCACTTAGCGTGAGGCTTTCATTTGAATGTTACACCCTGTTACACGTCACTAATTGCTCTCAAGTTCCCGCATAGTCGGTTCGACAGTGGGGGATGGTGGTGGATGTTAAACGTTCAGAATGTTCGTTGTGCCCCATGGGACTTTGGTTGATCACAACCCCGTAAAATAAAAACATGAATGACAGACAGACTGACCCTTGCTCTTGTTAACTCCACCTAATGTACGCCGGAACTGCCGGGTCTCAGATCTATTAATACTAACATTGTGCTTCGGTCGCCTATGCATACAAATTGAATGTGTCACAGATAGCACAACGACTCGCTTAGCACTGCGCTGTTTACCCCACATGCGTTTTCTTCTTTGACAAGTGGCATAACTATGATAATTCTATGACTCTGAGGTTGGGACTAGATGAACGACTTGCAACGGGGACACGAGCGAATATCGTCCATGGTGATTCCGCGGAAGCAATTCGCTTTCACTCCTATAAATAATTTACTCCGTTATCTAATTATGTAATCAGTCAGGATCGCCTCACAATTCCCTCATTTGGGGAAGTTTATACTGGAAATCATCTTTGGAAATACAAGGTACATACTAACTAGCGTTAATTAGTCAACTTCAGACATACCGAATATTATGCCCGGGGCCCGGGGACCCACAAAAAGGGGCGTGAATCGTTTCAGACGGCCCCGCCCTATGATATAAGTCGGTATACGGTCAAGCACACATAACCATGAGCTGCCCAGATTGCAACAGAGGATCGATCCTTGAAGGCGTACCCACGGGCTCGTTCACCGAGATCGATGGCGTCAAGGCCTATTTGGCCTCCAGCACGGGGGATGCTAATGGGCGTCAGGGCGGTCGTGCTATTTTTCTCCTCAGTGATGGCTTTGGTTTACCGCTCGTGAACTCGCATCTCTTGGCGGACAAATTTTCGAAGGAACTTTCTTGTGATGTCTGGATCCCGGATCTTTTCAATGGTACTTAATTTCTATTTGCAGAGCGTCTAAATGTCCTGACTTGAACTCATTTCTTGAAGGAGAACCGATTTTGGACTCGAATGAGATGACAGAGAGCCTCATGCCCAAGCGACCTCGCACATGGGCTCTCTGGGACAAGATCAAATTTGCCGTCATGATTCTACTACCGCGCAGTGGGATTTTCTTTCGGAATCGAGCGTCAATTGTCGACCCACGAACCACTGCGGTTAGGATGTTTGCGCTTTTTATGAATATAACAATCCTGATTTCTTCGCAGTTCATCAAGAGGGTTCGCGAGCAGCATAAATATGATAAAATTGGCGCTGTCGGGTAAGAGTTGCTGTTTCTGAACAAGGCATCTCATCTTACTCAGGAAACCATTCAAGGTATTGCTTTGGAGGAGCGCTCGGCGTGAGATTGGCCCCACTTGGTATTTTTGATAGCATGATAGTTTGCCACCCCGGAGCGGTCTCTGAGGCCGAGGTGAAGGCAATTAATGTTAGAATTTCCCCTGATGGTGACTGGTGAGAGCTTACATGGATTTCATCTTCAGATCCCTACTTCCTGGGTATGTGCCGAAGGTCAGAGTATGTTAGGATGAAGAGAGACAGCTTACGCTAACTTCACAAATCATACTACGACAGATGACATGACGTTTAGTCCTGCTATGCGCAACAAGTCTGAAGCGCTGTTTGCGGCTCGTAAAGGGAAGGATGATTTCGTCGATTACGAGTTCGTGGATTATAAAGGTTTGTGTTGTTCGATGTACGACTGCTGCGCAATTTCACCTTGCTTTATTAGGTACCGTTCACGGATTTGCCTGCCGGCCTTTTTTAGAATTCCCTGATGTCAAGGAGGCGTTTGAGAATTCTTTCGATCAGAGCCTGAAGTGGTTTGAGAAAACACTACTGGTGACCTCGGAGGCTTCAACAGGGGCATGATGTCTTTGGTGATGAAGTTTACTGTCCCGAGTTTCGCACTCGAATTCGTTTAACGTTGTCTTCTTAAGTTATGTCACTATTTTGTCCCCCCATCTCGTTAGGCAAGCTAAGCACGCACGGCTGAGTGATTTCAGGCCCATTTGCAACCAGTTACTGATTGCGGTACCGGTGTGTTGACTCAACCGATGAGACAAATACACCCGCTCCGTATTGCCAGTCAAGAGGCTGACTCGTGGCGAGCACTTGATAGGCCGAGCGCTACGTTGGATCCCACCTATGACAGCATGAGAGTTTCTCTGCGGACCCGAGGTGAAACTCATCTTCTGCATGATCTGCCAGGTCAAAAGCTCGTGTTATCATGGTACTAACTAAAGTCCTGGTACCCGCTTCGCAAAAGCAGGTAAGAACACTTGCTTCCTCTCTATCCCTTCCCTTCTCAAGCTGAGTCGCCGTCAATGCAGTACAGATGGCTGAAACTTCGGGCCGTCAGGAAAAATGTATTTTTCCGATATCGCGTTTGCCAGGCAAACTCCTCCTTGTCATTTTTCAGGCCGTCGTAGACGACACATACAGCCTCGACAACAAGCTGGGCCTCGATTACGTGACACTTGCAGGTGTTTGTCGTGCATGGCGGTCACTTGTTCTCAGTACCACTCGTTTCTGGACACGCCTGCATATATTGATAGGGCAAAGGCCTGGTGCCTTTTTCAGGAAACATCTCGAAAGATGCGTGAAGAGATCTGCGAATGAGCTGGTTGATGTTGTCCTATACGTTGCACGACCTCGCCAATATAACCCGTCGGTCAACAGCCAGGCAATTATGGTCCGTAACCAAGCCAAGTTGTGTCTCGAAATTTTGCGGGAGTGCAGCTACAGATGGAGGAGCCTCAGAATCATCAAGGAGGAGTCCCATAACACAGACCTTTTCAACTTTGTGTTGTCGGAGCTGGGCCTTCCTCACGCGCCTGCATTGAAGATGGTCGAGATTATCTGTCACAATCGTCAGCTGGTCACTTTTGTGAAAAAATCCTTTCAGTTTCTGTCCAGCACATACACTCCTTCGCTGAAGACGCTGACATTGGAGGGATGTGATCCGAGCATATTAGATTGGCACTTCGACGCATCGTCCCTGACACATCTCAGCCTTAGCAAATGCAGCTATATTCCAAACAGTCTTGCGATTTTACGCAACCTCCTGTCATCTGCACGAAATCTCGTGTCTCTCGAGTTGCACCAGCGCGTCGTGGGGCATGCAGAGATGGACGATATACTGTGCCCCGTCACGCTCCCCATTCTCCAAACCCTCAGCATCATGATGGGCACAGAGAAGCCAGCCTATCTCAGCAACATCCTCAGGACCATCGCTGCACCAGAGCTACACAATCTCGCAGTCTATGGTGACTCACTAGCATCATGGAAGGAAGACGATCTCCCGGACTTCTCCTCACCAGCACTCTTCCTGCGGCAAGACCAGACACCGAAATTCCCGTCCGTGCGCAAGCTGACGATGAAGAATATACTGCAGTCGATCAGTGGCCCCGGGAAGAGCATATGCTCTATCTTTACCGCGTTCCCTCATGTGACAGAAGTGGTGCTTGACCACGATGTCCGGGAGATTGCTGAGCAACTTGCATTGGGATCGTACGACAAGAAAGCACTTCCGTTATGGACGTGCCTACGGCAGCTGACAATTGAAATGGCCCCCATGACGAAATTCTACTATCTCCCGCAGCTCTCCGAGTGGCTGCGTCTCCGGCGTATGAGAGGGCAGTCCCTGCCCGTAGTCGTCATTCGCTACGAGCTTCAACGCACAGAAGTGATGGGGGATGCAAGAGATTTGACGGCGATTAGAAGAATTGTGAACGATGTAACAGGGTACCGCGCATCTGATAGGAGGGAGGTGGTTAAGCAGCTTGGAAAGCTGGGTGCGTTAGTGGATCTGAGGGTCGAATCGTAGACCGAGTAGTCACAAGCCTTTATCGGTATACAGTTCCCCTCCATGTAAAACGCAAAGCATCATGGAGGATAAAACGCAGGTACTGGTAACCAGGCCGTTGCCAGGCGGCGCTGGCGGCCGTTCTACCACCGAAAGTTTGTGTTTTGAATTTTCTGTCTCCGGACTCACACAACATCCATCTTCAAAATCGAGAGCGTATGAAGTAGCATCCTCAACGCCTACAGTACCGTGGAATGGCCTAGTAGTCGCAGATAGACTCGGGTACAGCCAGTTTTAGGAGGAATCAGCCGCCGTCACGATGTAATAAGACTTCAAGGCCACCGGTCTGCCAAGAGGGATGGTGCGGGCGACAAGTCGCACTTATAACAAGCCTCAGGCTTAACTTGAACAATTCGCTAATCGCACGTCGAACACGTATTGCATCCGGGAGAACACACGCTGCCGAGTCTGATACAAGTACTGTGGCTTCCCGCTTCCGTCTTCGATTAGCCAGCTGAGGCGAGTCTCTATTATTGGACCGTCTTGGTCAAGTCCAACTGCCAGTGACATGCACAAGACCATGAGAAAGTTCTGTCTGCACTCCCTCCCCCAGTAAGATCATTTCTGCGAGCGCTAGGGTACCATAATGGCGAGTTCAAACTTTGGCACGGTGATACGCAACGTTCGGTTACCGTGTGCAGAACAACATTCAGAGACTCCTGCATGGGACATAGCCTGCCTTGGTGGCCGGGTGCAGAGTATAACCTCTTCAGGGTCATGCATACCTCACGATGAAGCAACAGTTATCGAAGCCGACGGCGGGGTGTTAATCCCTTCGTAAGTTTGACTTTGTCTACGAATTAGCTGTCAGGTCTGAAGACTTCCTACTATGTCTAGGCTGTGCCACTCGCACATTCACCTCGACAAGTGTTTTATACTTGGTCAGTGTGATCCTTTGATTACTGGGTACGTTACATCATATTTATAAATGACATGATTGAAATGTTGACTGTGTACAAGATCTTTATCTGAGGCTCTCCAAGTAACAAATAAAGCTAAAGCAGAATTTCCAAAGGATGTCGATAATCTTTATGCCAGGGCGACTTATCTCATCCGAGAGAGCGTGGAGTCTGGTGTCACTGCGATGCGAGCCTTTGTTGAGGTGGATACAACAGTGGGATTCACATGTCTAGATATGGGACTTCAGTTAGCCAAAGAATGGGCTGAGGTTTGTCATATCCAAATAGTTGGTCTGCTACCTTTACCTTCCCTTGCCGCATTTTGGGAGTGCTAATATTTGTTTTCAGCTTTTGCCCAAGAAGCGCTTTATGAGTCTGCCGCTTCAACAGAACCCGGTCTGAATTACAATCTGCTTTGTGATGCTGTTTCTCGCCAAGGCATTTCTGTCGTCGGCTCTGCGCCTTGGGTTGAACCTGACCGCGCACATGCTCTCAAGAACATCGAACTCATATTGTCTCTCGCTGAAAAACACGACCTACATGCAGACTTTCACCTGGATTACAATGTCGATCCGGATGCCGCTCCGATGGTTTGGGATGTGTTGCAGCAGATGCATCAGCGATCCTGGCGCAGAAGTAGTGGAAAACGTGTTACTATTGGACATGCAACCAGGTTGGGGCTCTTTTCGGGCGAAGAGTGGGCCGAATTAAAACGCGCCACAGACACGTTACCGTTGGAGATTGTCGCACTACCGCAAAGTGACACTTACATGATGGGTCGTGCGGATTCTAACGGGAAAATTCCTGTCCCGCTTGCAGGGCGCACAATCAATGCGCCGCAGGTTTATCGCGAGCACGGAGTCCGTGTTGCGCTTTCTGTGAATAACGTTGAGAATGCCTTCACGCCCCAGGGATCGCTCGATCCCCTCACGCTCGCTAGTCTTGGCGTTGCACTTTTCCAAGTTGGCACAGAACCAGACTGGAGAGTACTTTTGGTGGGTGAACTGGGTGGAATTAGTTATTGCCGTAATCTGACGATAATCACAGCGATCGGTGTCGATAACATCTAAAGAAGCCATTGGCGTCATAAACGGGGGAAATACTAGTGGTGAATCTGCGGATGAAGGCGATGGGATTGTCCCCCGCATTGGTGATCCCGCCGATTTTGTTGTAGTGCATGGGGCGCGTCGATGGCAATCTACAGTGCTAAGCCCGGGATTCGATCGCACAACATTTTACAAGGGCAACGTCGTAGCAAGACGGAGGGCTCGGAGGTGGAATGCAAACACGGGTGGAGAGATCAGCAGTTAGTCAGAATGATTATATGTATTACACGATTAGGCCACAGTTGGAGTTACAGCGTTTGCTGGCCTCAAGTTTGGGGATGCTCGTGGCGTCACCAACAAAACTGGATATAGATCATCGATAAGTACTTACATCAGAAACAAGTTAAGCAAGTTGTAGGAGTACAACTATAATATGAAGATAAAACACATATGTAAGTCCCCATTTACAAAAATCCGCTCTCCTGCAGCAATCGAGCCATCTTCTCGTCTTCTCTCTCGCGGGGTTCGCGTTCCAGACTGAGGTTCCAAAAGTAATCGCCTACATCAACCTGCTCGCTGAACTTAGCAAGCGATTCCTCAATATAAGTCTGCACGCTCGTAATAGGATTGAAATTATGCGGGAATGTTTGCCAGCGCTGAATATCTTGGATCACCTCCGAAGCTTTCTGTCGTTTTCGGAAGTTCACCAAATTACCTGGAAGAGTGTCCTTGCTTCCATCTTGGATGAATGTTAGTGTAGTAAGGAAGACACCTTTGTGTGTGAATGAATACACTAGCAACCAAAAACCAAAGCACAAAGCTCACCAATGAAAGGCACGCAAGGGGGCGAGACTCTTGCAAGCGTTGAACGATAATTATTGAAGTTCTTGCCTGAGTCGATGGTCATCTCGCATGTGCCAAGTTGAGCCATATGTCGCGCATTCACTTGCTCCCATGAACGCTTGAGACGCCTTATAGGAGGCGAGTTCAGTCCCGACACTATAGCAACCATGCTCGAGTAATTGTGCATCGAACGACATCGCTGAGGGAAGTAAGCATCGCGTTAATAAGTTATACAGATCACTCACATCGGCCACACTTATGAACTGCTTCAAGATAGCCGAACGCTTCCTGGAATCCTCGTGCATGAGGACTGAGTCGGCTACCCAGTTAGCAATCTGGTAAATTTATGAGCATGCGATGATTATTTGACGGCCGGACCATACCCGATTACTTGTCTGGATGACCCGAGCAATGTTATCGTTGTGGTCTGTCTTTTGCTCCCGCGAACGCTGCAAACATTCCACTGGCCGTATCTTCTGGTATAAGTAGCTTTCCATAATCGTCAACTGCCGTGCCAATTCCAAGGAGTCAATGTCCAAAAGTTTTAACTTCTTATTGGGCTTGGGTAAGATTGAGGGAGGTGGACTGCCCATAGTAGGAGTCAAGCCCTTCTTGACCTCTCCTCCACGCTGTAGCGCCTGAGTCAAACAGCCTGGACCATATTAACGATGCTGAACTCACTGCACGATCGACAAGTGAAAGTAGCTGCTTTGCAGCAAAGATCTTACTGACATCCTCGTTCTGCAAAAATTCTTTCATTCGATTCAGGATGTATGTATCCTCTTTCTCAAGGAAATCTTCATCGGAAACCATGGCCTTCAGAGTATTCAGGACGCTGAAAATCACGTTAGGATAGCGCGGAAGAATCAACAACGACGTACCGCATCTGAATGATATGTTGCTTGAGCTTTCTCCACTCTTCCGACTCAGCGGGACTCAGCCCTTCCGGCGTTTGGATGCGGAAGCGGCGGACGAGGTGGTCGAAAAAGTCGTCAAGGGTGGTGAATGACTTGTACGTCATCAAAAATGTTTTAATGAATGTAGGGTCTATAATGTCCCGATATTGAATATGACACTGTAGGCAGATAAGTTATGAAGCACCCTTACCTGAAGGGTCATGTGACGTCAGACGTTCGACCAAAGCTGGGACAGTTCCTGCTCGCACGCTTCCATCTACATCGATGATCATGTCATTCTTCGTGTAGTCGGGCCGCAGATACCAGGGCTTTGTGCTGATGATGTGCTCAGGAGCGTCATCGCCAAAGATCTTTTTGATCTTCGTTGCTGTTCTTGTGGTTGCAGCTGTACATATCATGAGCCGAGAAAGGGAGAGAACAAAAAGATGTCACATACAGTCGTCGTCAAGCACTGAAGCTGAGTCGCTCATCGAAAGGACATCCTGGGGTCTCTCAAATGTTGAAGGGACCAGGGTGTGTACAGACGTAGTGGGATCGTAGTTCGAGGCCACCGTCCTAAGTGACCGATCGGTAAGGGTAATGGTGGTGTCAGATAACTGCGATTGACTTCGGAATGCTGGCGCTCGGTCGCCGAGAATGGCCGCCGACTTTTTCATTCCAGACGCACCAAAAGCAACTTCGATGTCAACAATGTCCTCGCTCTCTGGATCTGCAGGGTCGAGGACCGACATCGGACGGGCGTCAAAGTTGCTGTCAATGATGCTTAAACGTGACATGCGCCACTCTATTGCACCTGAGTATTCCCCTTGTGCCATGTCTGCTTGATCGTGGCCAAGGGAAAGCAGGGTATCAAGGGTTTGCATGAGGAATTGGAGATTTGACTTGAGAGAGACGGAGATGGCGTCTAAGTACTCGCACTGCAAGTCGCGATCTTGTCGCGAGGTTCTGTAAGTAAGACGACGAACTCGCTGCATCGAGAGAAGCAGAGTAGCTGCGTCGTCGTATAGAGCTTGTACTACCGCTTCGAGCGTGCGTGTGAGCAAACGAGCTTTGTCCACGGTTTGAGTATACAGAGCAGCACGTTCAGCATCTGCTATGTTGGAGTAAAAACCATCGATATCGACGTGTCGAGCGATATGAATATTGGCAACGAATAGCAGGAGTGATGAAAGGCCGGAAAGGAGCTCGCGACCTGCAATCCATACTCGTTGCTCTGAAAATGTATCAGCAGATAGATCACATCATAAAATACTAACACGCTCACGAGAGTCATCGCCGATGGTCTTGAGCGCAGTGTTGAATGTTCCGAACCTCGCTTGCATTGATACCATGTGCGTCTTGAACTCAGAGAAAACATCGCCATCTAAAATTCTCTGAGGGGCTTCATCGTTATCATCCAGCGGTACCCAGCCAAAACCCCTCCAAGTCCCTGCATACCCAGCACCAACTAGCCCCAGCCCAAGGTAGACCGCGGAGAAGCAACCCTGAATTCGCTTTGCTCCCACGCCACCAAGTTGTTCGTTTTGGCACCGCTGAACTTCAACAACGAATGCTACGATGGCACGATCAAGCTCTGCCGCGTCGCTCTCAACACGAGATGCCGTTTCATGTGCTGCAGGACCCGAGTCGTACTCCATGGCTCGAGCAGAAAGAACGAGCTTGGATAACGTGGCGGTTACTTTGCGTTGAGCTGGTTTCAAAAGCGTCTGTGATGCAGTAGTCTCGCGGCGTCCACGGGCATCGCGTGGTATGAGATTGCTGGGTATGTGGCCAGGTGGTGCAGATATGTAAAGTAGGTTACGGACGGTGATGACAACAGCCCTAATGAGGCTGTCAAGCACTTGTCCGTGTTCTGCTCTGCGAGATACGCCGACCAGCGATTGGTTTTTCTGGACAACGGCGGAGATGGCGTTATGTGCGACATGAGAGATATCAGAAATGAGGTCCGGGGGTGGTGGTGCTAGTGATTGCTGGAGTGATTGGGCAATTTTCTCGGCTGCAGTCAGTTCAACGGAAGGCTTCCTAAGAGCTAATTCGTCTGCAAAGAGATCCTGACCACTTTGAGAGCGCCCACTGGTTGATGGTGAATCACCATGGTCTGGAGAGTAGAGACAGGAATCTTCAGAATCGCTGACATGCTCCGGTTTGCTGTGACTCTTGTCATGTGGGGTTTGGGATGTTGTTGAATCAGATCGAAATCGCGTTGGCACCGAATCCTCATCCGGACTATTGAATAACTCTGATGAGGTAGAGGAACTGGTGAGGGCACGACTCCTGCCCTTCTGCGCAGCGGCTTCTGCGTCTGGAATTGTCCAGCTCACTTGACCGGTGAGCTTATTCCAGTAGTAGTAAGACATGCCATCATCGGCAAGTCGTCTTACCCAAGGCTCAGGTGTCCCCGAGCGCTTTTGAACACCGAAACCTAGGACGGAAGGTTCCGTCAAGGCGCTGAGTCCTAGCCCTGCGCTTGTGCCTGATCGCGAACTAGGTGGAGAGGAAGCCAGTCCAGCAAGTTCACCAGCGGATACATCGTCGCCTTCGATGGGTAAATCCCGTGAAATCTGGCCCGTGTGCGTGTTAACATAGTAAATCTGGAGAAGAAGATGTCGGTCTGATGTGTAATGAATCACAACAAGCAAAATGTTCTGCTCACCTGACCATCCTGTGTGACTTGGGGCATCCAGAAGTCACTCGACAAAGTCGCGCTGTGTTCCGCAGCACTGCGGGATTCAAGAAGACCGTTGGAAGGAACAGACAGGTCATGTTTATTTCGCGGCAATTCACTGTCTGATAAGCGGTGGTCCTGTGCCCGGGAGTGGAAGTCATTCGAATGGACATCATGAGTCGTTTCATGTACTTGCTGGAGAGGCCCTTGTTGAGTTGTAGCGCCATTGTTGGAGAGAACGATCTCTGCCTCTTCATCAGAAATCACTACTACATAATTGGATGGAAACCATCCCCGTTCATCGCCAAGGAGCCCATCCCACCAGCCTGACTCGAGCTGGGTGAGAACCTCAATAATTTCATTCTTGTGGAATGAGAGAGATGAAGCATCTTGTGTCTGGTAGTCATATAGAGCTCGACAGAAGAAGGTGGAGATGTACTGCTCCTCCGGAAGCTGTGAAATCTGCTGTTCCTGTTCGACAGTAATCGTTGTAGATTGGGAGGGGTAACTGTTGACACCACTGTACATGGCAAGGCCGATTGCAGCCATGTAAGAGTTGACTAGACTGGAGAACCTGAATTCTGATGAATTGGCGGAAGCGGAGCCAGCCAGCTAAGATGAGCCGTATGCCCTCACAACGGGTCATTACGTAATAACACAAGTTCATATCGTGTTATCGTAGACTACATGCCAAGGACAAGGAACTCGGGACAGCACTATGTAGGGTAGCGAAGTCCACCAATCTCACCGTTTCAGAGTCCTTTGCTTCTCTGCAAACTGCACAATTTTTCGATCTACAAACATACCCTTCCGCTCTCGCACGCTGTCCATGTAACCTTTTGCGATATTGTCTCGATCTGCTTTCTCGCCCAGGTCTTCCAGCTCCTCCTCAGTCGTTGGTATCCAGAAAGGATCTTGGTCGAGCAATTCATATCTTGTGGTCCAAACATTTTAATGACCTACAAAAGCCCAACAGGTGGTATCACTCACCCGCTGAAAATTAGCTGTGGACTTGCAGCACCAGATGTTCGTTTGCGTATATCTGCATCACGGCATGAGACTATCTTATCCGAGCTTGCACATTAAAGCTCACCGTCTGCGAAACCAAAACTCTCCACAACGGGAAGAAGAGCAGATACTGTGAAGAACGTAGTCCCCTCCTTCATCTCCTCAGCCACAATTCGACCACGTCGTCTCGCAACTACTCCGTAGACTTTCCCAAGGACATCCGCTGAAAAATAACTCTAATGAACATAAGCTTTGGAACTGACCAGTGGATCACATACTCGAGGCTTGAATATCACACGAATACATCGCCAACATAAGCCTAGGAGACCAATCAAGCAGTCCATTTCTGCAGGCATCTCTCACTGCTGATATCACAGAGCCTGTCACTTGTGACAACCTATTCTGGACTGTTCAAGATGTTCAGCTATCATATCTTGAGGTCAAACACTTGTGAAGAACATACCGATCTCCTTCTGGACGCCATCGGCATCAACGTCAATAGACTCGACGAAATAGGCCATCCCTTCGACAGGCTCAGCACAAAGCGGTCCTTGGAACGTAGCTAACTGGAAGCCTGTCTCAACGTAGCCCGTAAAATCAACATCATTGCCAGATGTATCCGTAGACCGAGTTGAATAATTCCGTGAGAGGCGACGCCTCAACCTGAACACAACGTTAATGACACCGCAAGTGACACGACAGGTAACGCACGATAACGGTGTGGTATCTTTGCGATTATCAATAAGAACACAGCCCCCAGCGTAACGAGGACCAAATGACCAGATTCTGTCGCAAATTTTCGCCCATTCCCCGCCAGCTTCGTTGCACCTCTCTTCTAGTGCATTCCAGAATTGGTCCGCTCTAACACTTGGAGTATGGAGTACATCGCCTTGAACACCAACCAGTTCGTTCTCGGAAACAATATCGATACTACCACCGGAGGTCTCCCTGTCGGTTTGGCCGTCCTGTTGCAATTCCCTGAGAGTCGTTAAATTATGCAGCAAGAATTGCAAGATAACATCGGGAACGGGCGCCGAGCGAATCGAAAAAGTGACCAAGTTCTGTGAGCTTCCACCCTGAATGGTTCCACGGGCAGCATTCGGCGTCTTCGTAGGTGCCATATCTATCCCCAAAAGTGAGTAGCGAGACGATGCGTTGGAGACTATACATACCTTGGGCTTTCACAGCGGTTTCGCGGAAAGGAACTATTGGTTTAGACGCCTGAATCTCCACACGAGCAAACCTCTCTCGCAAATCTTTCAAACATCTCTATGAATAGGGTGAATGAAAGGAGATGACAGTGGGCGATCAAATCATACCTCCAAGTGTAATTCTCCTGCGGTCAAAATGACATGTTCTCCAGTTTGTTGCTGAAAGGTTTCCACGCAGGGATCAGCTTGAGCAAGGAGCTTCATCCCTGCGACAAGTTTCGGCATATCAGAAGGGATGACAGGTTCAAGTGCCACCCGCACTATAGGGGATACCTATGATGAAAATATTGATTGCCAGTAAGATACAAACACTTGCGTGATGCTTACCGTGCGAGTGACACCACCAATGTTGATGAGACTATCTTGCACTTGGACAGGATCCGCGCCCTCTGGAAAACCTATGCTTTGTGGTGCACAAAGCGTGGCATTCCTGTAGACCTTGCCTGCCAAACCCCTGATTGCAAAGGTGTTCCCTGCCCTGACACTCTCCACAGGGATAAGCTCCCGGCCCATCATCACGTACAATCCATCAATCTTGGCCGGAATAAGATGTGCAGCATTATGGGCGTGATTTGGAGGAAGGGAGGCGTCGTATTTTGGCAGCACACAGTATATAGTGGAGCCAGTGCGTATCGTCCCGGAATACAGTCGTGCAAAGCCAAGAATAATTTCAGACTCCTCAGAAGCGTTCGACTCTCCTAGAGCCACACCGGGAGGAGAGTCTGGAGCTGCATGGGGAGGGTCCAGAGTCTCTGGGATAGGAGTGCTGTTATCCCGTGCTTCTTTGGCTTCTCGCGCCCGCTGACGTAGCTCGTCCGCTGTCACAGGCCGTTTCTTGTTTTCCGGAAGTTCTTTGGCTGCAACAGCAAACATTTTGCTTACATACGCAACCACAACTGCGTCTGGCGCGAAGTTGGACGTGAACAGATCCTGCTCTAATTTGTTCTTTGGCTGTATGCTCTTGTCGAATACATTAGGATAAAGCATTCTGGGGATGCGAATTGCCTGGGCAACAGGAGGGGAAGGAACGACATCAATAGTCGCCTGAATGATGCATGTAGACAGTGAAAGCCACTGCATAAAAATCGTGGACAGTAACTGTCGGCTGTCTTTTGACTTCAGCTCCCGAGGTAAAATCTTCAGATTGAGAGCTGTTACGATTTTGGTAACTTTCTCTGTGTTCCTAGAGATCTATTAGCATATCATGTTGCATCATATGGAAAGATGATGATTACGGGTTCATCACAACGGCGTCATAGACCGCCCAGATGTTCTCCAGCACAAATTGGACAAATAATGGCTTCAATGAGCGTCCGCGTAGATGCTTGTGACTGATAACTTTCTTGGTTTTGGGATCGAGATAGAAGTCGCCCCACAAAACGCGCCTTAGATTGGCTTCCTTGAACCCGAGCTTTGCAGAATAAAGCTGGGCGAATTTCCCAACTCTGAAACCCCAACCATCAATGGCAGATGCAAATACTACATTACCCCGCTCCGGCGCGAAGTAGATGTCTTCATCGTCTTTCTCCTTGAATTCATCTGTGTCATTGGCGGCCGCTTCGGCTTCATCTGCAAGCTGATCCTTCTTTTCAACAAGCCGTCGGTCGCGCTCTTCCCTCCATCGAAGATCGTCTTCCATCATTTCACTTGCAAAAAAGCTGCCCATAACAGCATTCACTTGTTCTATCAGTCGTGAAAGATGCTGGTAAGCTTCAATGGGCGCCAACTTCAGCTCCGTGATGAGTCTATCCATTTTATTGATGACGAGTATCGGGCGGAGGTTATCCCCCCATGCCTGTCTAAGCACAGCAATAGTCTACACAACTGGGGTTAGATGTATTCTTTGTCACAAACGGACTTGCCCACCTGCGTGCATACACCTTCAACGACGTCAACAAGGACTAGTGCACCATCGCACAACCGAGACGCAGTAGAGACTTCGCTCGAGAAATCGACATGTCCTGGAGTATCAATCATATTCACCATATATGTCTTTGTGGACCTTTCTGGGCATGTCCATTACTATTCTTTGGCATATGCATCATGGTGAGATGGGTACCTTCGTCGGGTCGCCCCATGACCTGAAACTTGAGTGATACTGCGCTGCTTTCCATCGTGATCCCGCGTTCCTGTTCGTCTTCTCTACTATCAAGAAACCTCAGTTTACCCGCCATCCGATGAGAAATAATGTTGTTTGCCGCGAGAAGGGCATCCATCAGTGTAGTCTTTCCGTGATCGACATGCCCGAGAGTCGTGATTATTCGAACATTAGCTGGGTCCGAGACCTCCATCGATGTACTTGTTGATCCCATATGTGTACCTGCGTGAGTAAGGATGTGTGTAGCGTGTGTGTAAAGTCTCTGTATAAAGCTTGATGGTAGGCGGCCTATTAATTATTTGATTATGACTGATTATGACTTGCAGGGTGCACTTTCGGAAACGAGCCATATCAACCGGAAAAGGAAATCATTAGTACTCGGAAGCGCTTGCCAACCGTACGTGTCAAGCTGAGCGTTCTACTAGCAATCTATTGAGACTCTGCCTAACTGACTCGTCTAGACCCTTCCCGATCAACACCAACTTCCCTGAATCGGGAATACCTGTAACATCCCCTTCTACCACGGATAGGTCGTACATATTCTGCACGCCCTGCAGAACGTACTGCTCCCCAGATTCCATCACGAAAAGACCCTTACAGCGAAGGACCTTGAGTTCCGATAGTGCAGTCTGAGAAACATCGTCTGGGATTCGATTATCCCATAGAACCGTACGTATCCACTCGTCTAGTTCTTCGAGACGACGGCGGGTTAACGTAGGAACAGCGACCTGCAGACTAGAAATACCACGCAATTCGTAGTGCTTAGCGGAGGTGGCGGGTTCCACGTGGTCATGACTGTCATCGTCGCCATGTTGGTGTTGTGTAGATCGCAACCCCTTTGTCCCTCCTGCATATGCATTGATATTCATGATATACGCCAGATCGATCTGACCACGAATAGTTCGGTGAATTGGAGCAGAGGGATTGACCCTTTGTATGAGTTCTTCAGTCGAGCGCAACTGCTCTTCTGATGCTAGATCGACTTTGTTCAGCAAAATAACGTCTGAGCATGCTATCTGTCTGGAAATGCTGTAAGTGGTTAGCCAAATTAAAAATATTATTCACAATTACCTGAGGCTTTCGCCAATGCCGTCGACAGAATGGTCTTCTTCCATTTGCTAGGATGTAATTTAGAGAAGAAACTTGTACACGTCAGACAAGTGCCAATGTACCTGTTGACCAAAGACAGCGTCGACAACGCAAACTACGCCATCCAAGGCAATCTGTCGACCTAAACCCTCGGCATACTCCTCATTAAGCCAGAACATGGACGCAATGGGACCTAGGAGACACAAAAGTTATATGTAGCACATGGAAAATGAGACATCGACTGCCTACCAGGATCAGCAAGGCCAGTCGTTTCTAGTAGGATATGGTCAAAGGCACCTTTCCTTTGCATAAGTTTCTCGATGGCAGCTACGCCAGCGTCTTTGATAGAACAGCATAGGCATCCATTGGCCAACTCAAGGAGCTCCTGTGACTTCTCTGCTGTTGGGTCATCTTCTGAGGAGATATTGATAGCTTTGGCTATACTTAATGTTAGTGAAGAACTTCACATCATTAGGATAGTAACGGAAACCTTCGATGCTCTTCCAATGAATGTTTAATAGATGCAAGTAATAAGTATAAGCAGATTCAAATCATTACTCACTGAAGTATCGCCAAATTCATTCATAATCACGGCTATCCGATACCCGTGACGCTCTGTCAAAATACGCCTAATAGATGAGGTAAATGCATGGTACGCATGGCACTGAGTATTTAGCGTACCTCAGCAAGGTAGATTTCCCCGCCCCAAGAAAGCCACTGATGATTGTGCATGGTACTCGACGGGTTGAGGCGGATTCGGGCGTTTGAGGCGCTTGATCCTCATGCTCGATCAACGTCCTTGTAAGCAGGCATTAACAATGCAAGCGAGCGACAAACTAAAACATACCGCGAACATACGGTATGTCATCATCGAAGTCCATGACTTTGATCTTAAATGCTATAACTTTGGGATTAGGTCTTAGAAACTGAGTTTACAGTGCATGAGCAAAGTGAACGATTATGCGGAGATGACTTACTGGTCTGGTCGAGCGGATCAGTCGAAGTTGTAGAACAATGGGCGTGAAGCAGAGTCTACTCGATGCGGATGGTGTTCGTACTGCTTCCGAACCTTACGGTATACTCTTAAGTCGTCGGTCTTGCTTTCCGTTTTATGGCACACTAGTGCTCATCCATATCTTTCATCCACTATGTCAACTCTTTCAAATAATGCATTTCCCCTAACAGATGAGCCACTCAAAAACCTAATTCAAGGACCAGGAGATGTGGAATGGAGGTATGCGCCGCACACGCTCTTGTGCCACCGCTATGAATGTGCTCCACTTGTTAGATATGAAATGCGTCGGGAATGTCAAGAGATCATTCCTGGCCTTCTACTAGGCCCTTTCCAAGCATCAAAATCGCTCGAGGTGCTCACCTCGCTTGGCGTCACCCATATGTGAAGTTTAAACCCTCTTTGGATCGACGGCCCAACTGATTAATCGACGCGTCTCTTACTTGGTGTGCCTTTATGCTTTCACGTTTTATCCCCAGAGTCTGTATACGCGATAAGAAGGAAGCCTTCTCCGTGAAAGCACGTTTCCCGGAACATTTCCAGTATTTGGTACTGGATGTGGAGGATAACGAAGACCAGAATGTCATTCGTCTGTTCCCGGAGTGCGTATCTAACGCACGATATTCCATGAACATGCTAATAGTCGGTCAGAGCTGATAAATTCATTTCCCAATCATTGGATGCAAATGGCACAGTTCTAGTTCACTGCAATGGTGCGCTCTGCGCTTGATTGTTAGCAGTGCCTACTCAGTCCACTTACTAAGGCGGGATTTCCCTGTCACCTGCCTTTGTTGTCATGTTCGTCATGCGTCGTTGTCAGTTGTCATGGGAGGATGCTCTTCATCTTGTTCAAAATCGCCGCTACTGTATCTCGCCAAACGGTGGCTTCTTGACACAGATCAAGGTCAGCTTTGCATTCCTGCGTTTTGAGCCTTTGTGTTGCACCGCGACGAAGCGTTCTGTTGGGAGCTTTATATTCTAATGGAGTTGTGCCCCAGGAATACGAGTCGATATACAAGGCATCCGTCGCTGTTGCCGGATTTCCGCAAGGGCAGATGCAAAGAGTTGTCTCCCGGAGGAAGAGAGACGATGACGATGAAGAGGAATTCAGGTGTGTCCATTTCTTGAAATACCCCCTGTCCTTTGCGTTCCTTGACAATTCATCAGAGAGGAAGACCGCAAAAGGGCATTAGTCGACGGGGAAGGGGACGATGCAATGGCAACGGATTTATGATCGTGTTTTCCCTGAGCTTTCTTCATTTCCTTAGGTCAATTCTGTTTAGTTTACTACTACTGTATACTTGCTTTTAGAAGTCGTTCGTGTTCTGTCATGATGAATGGTATAACTTCTGTTGGAGTTTAATGTAATCGAGTTTTGAACTGGGTATGATCTATAGTGACTTGATCTTCGCCTTCTCTTTCTCCTGCAAAAGCCGCTTTGCATGGATCTCTGAAGAAAGCAATCAGGCATAAGGCACGCGCAGCAGCAAAGGCTCTGACCTTTGCGTTTTACCCACGCCTCGACCGAGATACCTCCAAACACAATACCTGCCCCTGCCCACTGCCCGAAGGTGAGTTTGTGGTCATAAACTACCACAGAGAGAACCATGGTGAACATCTTTCTTGTCAACGTAATCATTCTGCGAATTTGTGATGAGCAAAAAGCGTGACATAAAACCCCAGAAAAGGATTACGAACACTAAAGTCAGCGATCCAAAATGTTGCAATGTCTCGAAGATGAACAGCTGCCCCAGAGCGCCAGTCAAAGAAAATTGGACTAGTGGTCCGATGACAGAGGGGTGTGTCCTTATAAACCCGATTGCATTTGCAAACTCTGATTGTGAACTGCTCGAGGGGTGAAGTACAGGGATGTGCGGCAAAGGAAGCGTTCCAAGCGCGGTGCTCAACAGCGTGCAGAACAGATTAATCCAGAGCATCATCTGTTGCCCGGTCACCTTGTACCGAACGAATACCTCATCTTGCGTCGAGTTCACCGCGCCGTCGAGAATGAGGTTAATGACAAGGTAGAGAACGCCAATCAGCTGGCCATGAGACCCTTGCTCGCCATTAGATGAAGCCTTGGACGGCTGTTCATTGCCGAAGCCCATAAAGACACTGATGCCGGCTGTGACCATTGCGACGACGACGTATTTATGTGGAGCAAAGCGTCTCCGGTACATGACGAAGTTCATGAGCATCACTGGGACGAGCTTGCAGGACTTCCCCAAGACCATTGTAGGATAAGTTATGTACGAGAGGGCTGCGAAGCCAAATGGAGCGGCTACTGTGATGAAAGCCGATATTTGTAGGTAGCGCAAGAGCAGAACTTTGGATGTGGGTGAAGAATGGGCATGGCCGCTGACTTTGGTGTTTGAAGATCCGTTGGTTTTGGCATTGGATGAACCGTTCGCTTGTGTCAGGGAGGCGATATTTAGACCCAGTAGAGACGATAGTGATGACCCTGATTTTCCACGGATGACTATGTATGCGAGGGCAGACAGCGAGCTCAGGAAACTCTGGCAGGTCCCAAGGAAGAGGGCAGACTTGAACTTGTCTGTTGATTGTCCGTCTATGTATTGGAACGGAACTGATACTAAAAGGCTGTCTCAGTTGCTGCATTTAATATATATAGGCTGAACCTACGTCGTTCCTGCGCCACGGCCCATAGCTGAGCATAACGCTGGTGAGCAAGTGTCTTTCGTCAGAACTAGTGAAATTGGCATACTAGAAACATGGAGTAGACTCCGAGAACACATAGCCCAAGCCTAACGTTGAAAGCTCATCAAAACGGATACATGGTCGTTTAGTAAAAGGGCATACCGAAGGACCGACATCGTACAGGCACGCAAGGCAAATTAGGTGTTGAACCAAGTTGAGTGTACTACTTAACGCGTGTTATACCTGTAGTACGTGTCACAATGGGATGTAACCCTAACCCTAAGCTAGGGTAATATGATGTCCAAGCCCAGCTGGTCACTCAGCGCAAGAACACCTTCCTTTAAGCGGATCACATCCTCTCTAGTTGGCCTATCATGCGATGATATACTCGTAGCGCCAGCAGTGAGCCTTTGCAGCATATCTTCTAAACCCTCCATCTGTTTCTTCTGCAGAAGTTCCTCACTCTGTCCGATTGGATCATCATTATCTGCATCAAGATGTTCTCTAGCATGCTGCTCTGCTTCGTGATCGACAGGAGCAATATCAGAAAAGCGAACGCCTGCGAGGGAAGATGATATTTCGCGTGCGGTTGTGAGAGGTGTTGATTCTTCTTGGCTTTTTGAGCTCAAGAATGATGCGATCGCAGAGATTGCGCCACGCATAGATCCCAATTCACGACCTATCGGAACTCCTACGCGAGCGAAACCCGCGTCGAAACCGTCTTGGAGTGCGGATTCCTTGCCTGCGATTATTCCTTCTCGATATCCAGACTATAGATGGAAAAATAAATCAAGAGAAGAACGAAGTTTCTGTGGGTGCACGTACATTTGTGAACTCATTAGAGAGTTTTGTCCAGTCTGCTTCAGTGGCATGATCTGTTTGTGGGTCTTCCTCCCAGGGTGAATCCATGCTACACACGGTTAAAGCTGGCTGACGGCAAACATATTTGAATGTCCTACCAATCTCTTGAGGATTACGAGTAAGTTGAAGAGTTATCTTATCAGTTTTCCTTTCTAAGATTGCCGAATTACAACCGAGCCGCCACGTAGACCATGTTAGCAGTGCATCTGAATGCGATCAATCGGACAACCCAGGCTCTACGTCGAACTTTCTTAATTGACTCGCACAGTACTGTGGTTCGCGAAGTGGCACGATGAGAGGGCCGTCGGGTGCAGCCTCAAAATTACTGGCTATCATCGGTTGTGAATTTTGCCGACTACGCGTATGGTAGATATGAAAAGTAATAGTAAATTATAAGCCGCTTTGGGTCCTCCGATGCCAGCACAGGTGGGTATCAATCAACTTTGGTATCGCGCTCGTTGATAATCAACTAGTTTAGCTAGTACATGCAGTGTAGTACGTACCGTACAATGTTCCCCCGTTCGGCTAGCCACTCTTGGTCAATCTCAGGCTTAACCTAGTTTCAGAATTGAATTTTAATTGTTAAAAAAGTGTTTTATAATGCTGACTAAGTAGGGTCGTCGGTAACATAAATATTGGGTGTACCTTCCTATTTTGTATTTTCGTGAGAAATCGAATCATTCGCCACGTCCGTCGGTATTTCAGTGCCTGCCTCATCACTACCTTCTTGTCCTTTAACTAGTTTCTTGACCCGAGCAGCCATTCCTGCTTTTGTTGACCTTCTTCCCTCGGTTTCTTCCTGTTCACTGCGATCATTCACTCCAGGCTTCGTCCACTAATGGCTGTCGCGTCCTCTTCGGACGTTGCAATCCTTGCACTGGGCGTAGTCCTAGCTGCCGCATACCTTTTCCGTGATTCAATATTTTCCTCCTCGACACCTAAAGCTGTCCCGGTTGCTCCTTCAAAGCATGCAAATGGTCACGGAAACCCCCGGGATTTTATTGCTAAAATGAAGGAAGGGGTAAGTTATCACCTTTCACGTACCGATGTGTCATTTATCTGAGTTCCTTGTCAGAAAAAACGTCTCATCATATTCTATGGTTCACAAACTGGTACTGCCGAGGAATATGCTATCCGCATAGCCAAAGAGGCAAAAACCAAATTTGGTCTCACATCTCTTGTCTGCGACCCCGAGGAATACGATTTTGAGAATATGGATCAAATTCCCGATGATAGTTGTGTCATTTTTGTCATGGCTACCTACGGCGAGGGTGAACCCACCGATAACGCAGTTCAGCTCATGGAAAGTTTGACCGATTCTGCTTTTGAGTATAGCAATGGTCAGCATAAACTCGAGGGCCTCAAATATGTCGTTTTCGGTTTGGGAAACAGGACTTACGAACACTACAACGCCATAGCACGCCAGGTAGATGATGCACTCACCAAAATGGGCGCAGTCAGGATCGGCGAGCGTGGTGAGGGAGATGACGATAAGAGCATGGAAGAGGACTACCTGGAGTGGAAGGACACTTTTTGGCCTGCATTCGCTGAAGCTCTAGGTGTAGAGGAGGGTCAGGGTGGTGATACCCCAGATTTCGCTGTTACCGAACTAGAGTCCCACCCTCCGGAAAAAGTATATCTTGGTAAGGATTTCTTGTCCATTTCTGTACACCTCTCATTCTGGTCTGTAGGCGAACTTTCTGCACGTGCCCTCACAAAGACCAAAGGCATCCATGATGCTAAGAACCCGTACGCCTCCCCGGTCAAGATTTCTCGCGAACTCTTCCAGGTTGGCGGAGATCGTAATTGCGTCCATGTCGAACTTGACATTGAAGGTTCCGGGATCACATATCAACACGGCGATCATGTCGGCGTCTGGCCTCTCAACCCTGACGTTGAGGTCGATCGTCTCCTTTGTGCACTTGGACTCTACAGCAAGAGAGATACCGTCATAAACGTCGATTCGCTCGACCCTGCTCTTGCCAAGGTTCCATTCCCTGTACCTTCGACCTATATCAGTGTCCTCCGTCATTATATTGACATCAGTGCTGTCGCCGGTCGTCAAATTCTCGGTGCTCTTGCCAAGTTTGCGCCCACTCCTGAGGCTGATGCATTCATGCGTAACCTTACCTCGAACAAGGAGGAGTATGCAGCTGTTGTCGGGAATGGATGTTTAAAGCTTGGCGAAGTTCTTCAACTGGCTGCGGGCAATGATATTAACGCACACCCTACGCCCCAGAACACAACTGCCTGGGCCATTCCCTTCGATATTGTCATCTCATCAATCCCTCGTTTGCAACCTCGCTATTACTCTATCTCGAGCAGCCCGAAGCTTAATCCTACATCCGTGCACGTGACAGCCGTTGTTCTCAAATACCAGTCCATTGCCAACAAGCTCGCTGCTCCTCGTTGGGTGCATGGCGTTGGCTCAAATTTCTTGCTTAATGTCAAGCACGCCGCTAATGGCGAGACCGCTGCCAATAGTGAGGGACTCGAACAGGTGTCGTTGCCAGTGTATGCTATCGAGGGTCCCCGCGGGGCACACAAGGCCGAGGATATCTACAAGGTCCCAGTCCACGTCCGCCGTTCTACATTCCGGCTACCGACAAACCCCAAGAGCCCTATCATCATGGTTGGACCTGGCACTGTAAGTCTAATCGTTATTGTGCTTTGTAGCTTTCCGCTCACAGATACGGCTCAGGGTGTTGCGCCATTCCGAGGGTTCATCCAAGAACGTGTCGCTCTTGCCCGCCGAACACTTGAGAAGAACGGTGATGATGCTCTGGCAGACTGGGGTCAAATCTCTCTCTTTTACGGTTGCCGTAAATCAACGGAAGACTTCCTCTACAAAGACGAGTGGCCACAGTACACTGCCGAGCTGAAAGGCAAGTTCACGATGCACTGCGCATTTTCACGGGAGCCACCATACAAGCCGGACGGTGGTAAGATTTACGTGCAGGACCTCATTTGGGACGACCGTAAGAATATCGCCGATGCCATCCTTAATGGGAAGGGATATGTGTACATTTGTGGTGACGCCAAAGCGATGAGCAAGGCAGTGGAGGAAGTTCTTGCGCGAATTTTGGGTGAGGCAAAGGGTGGGAGTGAAGCAGACGGTGCAGCTGAGATTAAGCTGATGAAGGAGCGCTCGCGGCTGATGTTGGATGTTTGGAGCTAAACGAGATTATTGGTTTGGGTTGCTTATCTGCTAGCTCTGCCACTGACACGACACTCTGATATCATATTGCAATAGATTTAAATGTCACGATTTTTACGTTCTGTTGCACTCTTCTTGTAGCTTATCTGTTGGCGGTATTACCTTGTCTCCCATGGCTAGACCCAATAGAAGGAAGATGATAGTTGCTATCACCAGATTTGTCGTTCGTCGGCGCGGCCCGGGACCGTAAGCTGTCACGGTCTTATTCCTCACCATTTTCGTCCAGGCATTATCATGCTGCGAAGCAGGGTATGGAGACCAGCGAACAAACTACGGACTTTCTCTCATTCATGTCTGCGCCCTAATGCACAATCAACCAGTTCTCAATCTCCAGGCCCATCAAACGTTGGTGTAGAGGACTCGCAAGCCCATCCCCACCAGGAAACTCATGCTAATGTGCTTGAGGGCATGAGGGAATCACCCGGAGCTGCGTCAGCTGGTCCAAGTGTCCAGCCTGCCGACTCTCCTCGACGACTCAATTTCAAGATATCCGCATACGATCTAGACACCATCAAACAACGTTTCGGAGATTGGATGTCACTTGCAACTGCTGGATTTAAACAGCAAACAGACGAACTCCGTCAACGCACAGATGAGCTCACGCAGAAAACGTCCACAAAGTTATTTAAATTGGGCTCTCAACTCAACCGCGTAACGGGGTACGAGCAGATTGAGGCGCTTAAACAACGGGTGGTTGAACAAGGTATGCTGTATTTTATTACTGTGTCTGTACTAAAACCGAGACTTATTTGGACCAAGAGGCTAGAATCAAGGCTACGCGTCAAGCAGCTCGAGGGGCTAAGACAGCGTATGATGATGCTGTCTTGCAGCGTTCTCTTTCCCAGCGCCAAGTGAATGAGCTCTTGCAGCGCAAATCTTCGTGGACAGACGGCGACGTCAGCGCATTTACTTCTCTCGTGCGTTCAGATCATCACCTGGAACAACACGAGGTCGCGACGAAGGCCAAGGTCTCCGAAAACGAAGATGCATTGGACAGAGAGTTTGGAGAGCTCATGCGCGCCATTCTGGCTAGGTACCACGAGGAGCAAGTTTGGAGTGACAAGATCCGAAGTGCGAGTACCTATGGGAGTATGATGGTGCTTGGGGTTAATGTGGTGGTGTTCATACTGGCGATCGTGGTGATTGAGCCTTGGAAGAGGCGGAGACTAGCGCAAACGTTCGAGAAGAAGGTAGAAGAAATGGCCGCGGAGACCCAAGCTTTGATAGAGGCTGGGAGTGCGAAACTGGATGAGCGATTGGTAAAGCAGGAGAGATTGATCTCTGAGATTGTGGAAAGGGCGGCATACGATGCAAGAGATTTGCCTAGTTCGGTGTCACTGCTGCCAGCTGTGACAGCATCCGTCGCTGGGGAAAAAGTGAACGCTGGGCCGGAGCAAGCATCGATATGGTGGCATCCGATATCACGCAATGTTCAAGATCGCGAGGTACTGCTTGTTGTGGGCAGTGCTGTTGCAGGTGGTGCAGTTACCCTCGTAGCCCGAAGTCTTTTCGGAAGTTAGTATCAATGAGATGGACTAATACTCGCGTAGGCCGAGCCCCCACCAGCCAGTGCTTCACGACGCTAGTGTACCCAGTCGTTTAGAGATAGACCCTAGGCTACCCAATCATGATGTGACTTGCAAGCTCTAGTATTGTACCCCAATTTGACAATGGCCTGGTCACGCGATAGGGGCTCGGTCGCCTTTGGAACTTCACGTGACTTAAAACTGACAAAGTACCTTTTCCATAATGTAGTGGCTGTGCTAGCTGCGTGCACAATTAATCGCCATGAAGGTCGTTACCACCTTTCACCCGGCTTCATCTGTGGTAGATTCACTCAAATTTAGGTTGAAGGATGAGCAGCCCTCGGAGTTTCTTGTCGTCGCAAAGCCAAATAGGCTTGACATCTATGCCCTGCTTCCAGAAGGGCTCCGTCATCAACAGGGTATTGACATCTGGGGAAGAATCAGAATTATCAGAGCTGTGCCGGTCTTGGTGAGCAGCATCCTGCAAACAACATATCTGTGATGTTAAAGTGAGATTGCGGGACTCGTTTTCTAGAGCAGAAGCAGTATCAGCCTGCTCGTGCTTACCGATCACCCGGAGCCAGAGCTTATATTCCTGTCTTTTACCGTGAATGGTGCAGGATCGACGGAGATCAATCCTACAAAATATCTCTCATTGTCGGAACGCAGTGCTCGGCCAGCAGAGTTCTGCCACACTCTTCTAGTTGATCCGTCAGGGGGCGTGGCTGTCGTGAGCGCTTACACAGGCAAGCTCAAGGTCGTGGTGCTTGACCAAAACGGAGGATATGACCGTGACTTTGATGCATCGTATGTAATCAAATTATTCGCGCTTTTGTACTAATGCATGATCGTCAGAATTTCTGAGCTCAACCTTCTGGACATCACTTTTGTATCAACATCTCGGGATATGTATACCTTGGCCATGATGCACATCGACTACCAACAACGCCTCCAGCTTCTTACTCGTGACCTTTCCATTGAGGACCTCCAGCTTTCCCCATCCCCATCACCACTCCTACCTTCGCTCCCTGTCCCAGGTAAACTGTTTAGTACGGCCATGGATGATGACGGAACCCCTACTATCATACATATTCCCTCCTACAAGGGAGATGATGATGATTTTGAAGGAGGTATCCTTATTATCGGAGGGCGTAAGATCATGCTGTATGATTTTGTGGACATCGAAACACGGGCGAAGAGGGAGAGCAAGAAGAAACGTGCAGATAAGAAGAAGACCACTGGAGATGCAGAAGTAAATACTAAAGAGAAGGCGAGTGAGTGGAAGAAGAGGAAAGCTAGAGCTGCGGTGGAATGGCCATGGGCAGAAGTCACTGCGTGAGTTCCGTCCGCAGAACTGAGACTGCGGGCTCACCTGCCGCTAGATGGTGTCATGTAGACGACCGGAAGTACTTGATTGGGGACCGGTATGGAAAGCTCGCGTTGCTTTCGTTAAACCTTATGGGAGGCACGACGCTGACACTGATGGCACTCGGAGAGGTAGGTCTGCTCAAGACCCCCTGGTCGTTCTTGTGCTGATCATGTTCACTAAGACGTCTGCACCAACCACATTAACCTACCTTGCCAAGCAAGTTTTCTATCTTGGCTCGCACTTTGGTAGCTCTCAATTGCTCCAGATTACCACTACCCCCATCTTCTGCGCTCGATGCCCCTACATTGCCTGTTCCATCCACGATATCGACTATCAGCCCAAACGCGCTCAACTCTGTGAGCATGGGTAGAAAGGACGATGTACCGGGTTATATCGTTGTTGGAATGGGGAGTTACGTCACCGAGCTGGAGTCCTTCAACAACCTCGCTCCGATACTTGACGCTGTGTTGATTGACACGGATGGTACTGGACAGGTATGTAAAATGACTCTTCACTGTTTTGGGGGGCTGAAGTGCTACAGAACGAAATTGTAACATGCTCAGGTGGCAGAAATACAGGGAGCATCAAAGTCATACGAAGTGGCGCTGACTTTTCAGAGAAAGCGACAGTTCAGGGACTCGGGAATATCACCAATATATGGCCATTAAAAGAGAAATACCGTGACCCGTAAGTTTTTCATATGTATTGACGTCTCCTAACGCTGATGATGAAAACAAGCGATTATGCCCACATCGCAGTCTCAACTCTGCAGAAAACGCACGTTTTTCGTGTTGACAACGCTTCATCGATCTCCAGCATCGACGGTGACAAGAACGTTGGTTTTATCACCGATTTACCTACCCTCATGGTCTCAAATATCCTTCGGCGCACGCGCAACGCGGAAAACAAGTCCGACTATGCGGACTCTGCATTTGTTGTACAAGTTGTTTCGAAGGGCCTGTTATTACTTGAGTACGACCCTGGCCTGCAACAGTACACGAGAATTGGTGAACCATGGACCTTGGAAATGTTCGCGGATCCCGGTAAGGAGGGGTTGTGGAAGGGGCGAGAGGTCGTGGCTGCGAGTGTCAACGCCAGCCAGATTGTGCTTGCACTCAACTGGGGGAGGGTGGTGCTGCTGACTCTGGACGACAAGCGATTTATCAAGCTGAGGTGAGTATGAGCATCTAAGCAAAGGTTTGATTGATTGTCGGGCATTATTCCAGGGACCGCAATTTTGTGCACAACAACCGCGATGCGGAGATTTCCGCAGTTTCGTGTCTTCCGCAGGATCCAACCAAGGATTTCGCGTTTAATATCGTGGTCGGATTCTGGACATCTAAACACGTCGAGATACTCTCACTGAAACCTGCAGATGGAACCATGCCAACAATTTCAACAACCCCTGTACTCTCCTCCGCACCCCGCTCACTCCTGTTGCACAATTTCACATCTGATGACTTTAAGTTGTCAAATACACACCCACATTTACTCATCGGGCTCACGGATGGTTCCGTCGCGTCATTTGTGTATCGAAATGATCAACTGCTTGACCAGAAATTGGTCTCTATTGGAAGTTTGCCTGTAACAATGCGTTTGTGTCGGATCGGTACGAGACAAACCGTGCTTGCATGTGGAAGCCGGACGGCAATCTTATTCTGGGAGAAAGAGAGGCTGATGTATTCGCCGCTTATACTTAAGGTCTGTGACACTTCTTGCGTCATGGCTCGTGACCGACGAATTCATAGGATGTGGCAGCCGCCGCGGAATTGAGTACAAGGGCTTACCCATCGTCTATAGTCCTCGCTAATTCCGATGGCCTGGTCTTCGGGAACGTGAATAACTTCGATAAATTGCACATTCGTTCTGTAGGTCACTAGACTTGTCTTCCGTTGGAGTCCAGCTAAAAGTTAGTCCTCAGATACCTCTCGGCCTCAACAATCCCTTACGCGTTACGCATATCCCGGCGCTTAGAGTTTTTGCCGTCGCATGTCGTTGCATAATCCCGGCCCGCATTGGAGACTTGGAGGAGATCAGGGGCTCCATACAAGTATTTGACGACATATCGTTCAATAGTGAGTTTAGTTCAACACACCAAGAAGTTTCTTGATGATATGTGTAGAGCTCGGGCATTTCAATCTGGAGCAAGGCGAGGAGTCGACGTCGCTGTTGTCCTTCACAACAGATTCCGGATCGTATTTATGTGTTGCAGCGGTGACACTCGAAGATGAAGACACGGAAGCCTCCAAGGGACGCATTTTTGTTTTGGAAATGACGTCGAATGCAATGCAGGTAAACATGTCTGTCGTAACCTCGCATGACGTCAAGGGATGCCCCTACGCTTTGACTTCCGTGAATTCTATGATCGCTGCGGCAGTCAATAGCATGGTAAAGAATCTACCTATACAATATGCTCGCAGCCGCTTATTTGCCTCGCAGGTCATTCTCTTCAAGATAGATACAACGAGTGGAAATATGATAATGGCGAGGATAACAACCTGGAACCACAACTATCTGGTGACAAGTCTTGTGTCTCGCGGCGACATCATTCTGTTAGGCGACGCAATCAGCTCAATCTCGATGTTGCGGCTCGAGGACAACCGACTGCACTTGATTGCCAGAGACTATGGCACACTATGGCCCACCTGTGTCGAGCTCACGAGCAACTCCACCCTGATTGGTGCAAATGTGAGTCGAGGTTCCTTTTTTGACATAGTGCACTTACTTACACTCTCTTGTGCTCAGAGTGAATACAACCTTTTTACTTTCAGTCTCCAGAACTCGGGCACGCGGCAGCTCCTGGAGAGAGACGGCAATTACTTCCTTGGAGACTTGGTGAACAAGTTCCTGCCTGGTATGCGTACTCCTTATTATAACTTTCACATGCTCATACATATCAGGGACACTGTCATCCCAGGAGGTTTCGCTAGACACGCCAATGCAACCCCAACAATTGTTCTTCACGTCTACCGGGCTTATCGGTGTGATCATTGATCTTGCTGACGATCTTGCTTTGGACCTCACCGGCCTTCAACGCAACTTGTCCAACTACATCCAGAAACAGGAAGGGCCGAATCACACGAAGTGCGTCGCGAGTCACTGCCTTTAACAATTACTCAATTCACTTGGCACATAGGTACCGCACGCCAAAGAATGCACGCGGTCGCAGCGACGCGGATGCATCGTCCTTCGGGTTCCTCGATGGTGATTTCCTTGAGCGTTTCTTGCAATTTGTAGGAAAGCCCCAGGCGCTCAAGCGGATTATGGATGGACAGAGCGAGCCCGAAAGACTCACGATATCGGCAGACAGGATTCAGAAGGTGCTTGAGAGCATGCAAAGCATGCATTGATCGAGTGAGGGGGATTATATGGAGTTGCAACTTGATCACTCTAAACCAACTCTAAATTTCATTAACGGTCGTATCACAAACATGCCACAATGTATGAGTATTGATATCGAGCGAATGCGAGTATCCTTGGTAAGAGAAATTAGTCTACGACCAGAAGGCCGCATACAGCTGTGAGATGACAGAAAGTGCTCCGACATCTCCAGCCATAACCATGTCTTCTTGATCATTAGAGTTCCGCGGGGCAAAATAAAATCCGGAAACAAGGACAACGTAGCTGTGACACATCAACACATCGTACGATATGACCCGAGATAGATACTTACCTCAGAATGAGAATACTTCCACGGTGGTAATTACTCTTGGCCTCGATATAGGTGTAGGTCATCAGAAAAACGGACAAGATGATCGCGATGACGTCCCAGCGCGGGAATACGAGCCTGGGTAAAGATAACGGTAAACGCAATTAACATCGGCAACTTCAAGAGTATGGTTTGATACACACGTAAATGCATTTGCGACCTCACCCATTTTATCGGGTGCATACCATGCGGAGAACGCAACCATGGCTGGAATCTGGAGTAGACAGACTTGTAAGGCATAGGCAGAGCCAATCTCGACGCTGGGGAAGAACGATCACAAGTGGAGAGGTCAGGTGTGAAGGGCGACGACTAAGCTAAAGTTTACCTCAGCGATATATTGCCGTTCAGAGCAAACGAGATAGCATTCATGAATTCTGTGGTATTAGGCACCAAAGCGAACAAAGTGATCCCCAAGAACTTTTCCTCGATGCCAGAATCTTTCAGCACGACATCCACCATATCCACAAGGAGCTCTATTGACACAATCAATCGGAAACCACGACAAAATCGGGAATGAAAATTTGGGCGTACCAGCAATGAGGGCATATAAAGCCGTACATGACAGCAATACTGCTGCACTCGTTACACGGCTCCACTCTGGCGCTTCATGGCCATGTGCTGATCCATGCTCCTCCTCAACGACACTCGCACGGGCCGCTCGAGTATGCGCGTGCTGGTGCCGGAGGGCGCTGACGGTCGCGACAGCTACGGCACGCGTGAAGTCATCAGTGGACATAGTAGAGGGCAGGGGCAGGGCACCGGTAGACTTGATGGCATGGTCAACGGACTCAAGAAGGGGTGTGTATTGTGCTTGAGATTGGGCACTTTGGGGGGTAGGGTGAGGGGCGTAGGAAACACGTCGGGCCAGCGAAGGGGAAATGGGGGACGCCGTATTCGCCGTTGCCGCGGCCAGACGTGGGGCCGGAGTCTGAAACCGAGAATCATCCTCCGGTCGTGTCCGTTCACGGGACTCCTCCGGTCGCGGACGTGGCTCGCGAATAGTCGGTGGAATCTGGAACGGCGGGGATTGCGCTGTAGTTGTTGTGGTTGCATTGGAATGAGGACGGGTATGTTGGTAAAGCGAGAGACGAGATGGGTGCGTGGTTGGAAGCTCGAGGGGCTGCAGGAGCGGTTGCGGATTCTGCCATATCTGAGTTGCATGTGTGCGGAGAGAAAACCACAGGCCGATCAAATACGACTACAGCGAGTACAAGGTTTACAATTTTTGAGGACACCAAAATTGAGAGGGGGACTCACAAACAGTAAAATTACAGCGCAGAAGTACATGAGGCTCTTCACTGTAGACTGATAAAATGGATCTTCGACAGGGTCAGGGTGTTGGTAGTAGCACTGGTCGCATCTCCACTCGGACGAGCCATGGGTGGAGCCATCAGGACATCCGCTACAAATTAGCTGGAACTGCAAGCAAGGTCAGTATATGGTTGCTACACGAAAGAAATATACAGGGAAGAAGAGACGCACATTCCCATATGTTTGATAGAACAATGTTGGTGTTAGCGTTCCAATAAACGCCATGATCAACATCATGCTTGTTACGCCTGCGCTCTTGGCATTGAACTTCATCTCTTTCTTCCTCAGCGCGCCCGCGCACATACTCATACCGGGCATCAGCAATACTCCCGCTAATAAAGATCCCACGATAGACCCTTCGACGAGATGCCCCTTGCCTTGAGTCAACGCGATAGAATAGAGGACGACTTCAACGACACTTCCGAATGTGGCGTTGATAACGGCACCCATGCCAATAGAACTTTGGGCGCTAATGCTCGCCACAGCCATGCCAATGAAGTAAGAGAGAGGAATGACGCTCGCAAGGCTCATGAGGAAAATGAGTGCCTTGGAGGCAACGAGGGCGAGGATGCGAGGGACATGCTCGCCTGCCTCCTCCAAACCTTCTGCAATAGGCATGAGCACGAACCCATCGAGGATAACGAAGAAGACAAGTGGGAGGAGGTTGACAAAAATGATGTTAACGCCCCCGACAGTGTATTTGTAGTATTGCCATCCAACGGCCCGATAGACGCATAGCAGTACGGTGCTCTTATGGCCAGACGTAGAGGGGACAGCCTGACCAGCTGCGAGACGGGGTGTCTTGACTGCACTAGGGGGGACGAGTGGCGCAGCACAGAAGCGTATACGGGTAGGAGATGCGAAGATGTATTTGATGAGAGCCCAGTTGAGCTTGGCCATTGGGACAGTGATGATAAGTGCCCAGCAGGCTATACAAGTGAGCAGAAGGAGTGGGGCCACGAGGGTTGTGAATAGGATCCAGAAGATGGCCCTGCCCAACCAGTCAGCGGAGATCTTTTCATACGGCGTATGGTCGGTTGGGCTTGGGGCAGCTCCGTAGGATTTGCAGGGGGCTGGAGGACGAAGAAGAGCTCGCTCGCTGGTGGTATTGGCAGTGATGGTGGGGGTGCGAGAGAGGGATGGATTGCCACCGACAGTGCTAGCGCTACCACTAGGCTCAACACCCTCAGGTGTGATTGTGCTTTCTTCGTCGTCGCCCTCAGCATCCCCTTTTACATACTTACCAAATGGCCATGCAAGGTACCAGCCCAAACCGAACATGAGGACAGCGTAGCGTCTGCCACCAAGTGGAACAAGACACAGCAAAGCAGAGACAGCAAAGCAGGCCAGTGCAAGCCACCAGCCAAAGCAGACAACCCAGAAAATATTTCCCGGGAGGAGGTGGCGCTCTGCTTGAGCAGAAGGGACGGAGTGTAGGGCAGCATCTGCATGGCGAGTGACGGAGCGGGATTTCTTGTACAACGCGGGTTTCCAGATGGGCAAACCAAAAGGGTGCTCGACATTGATGAGGGACTGGCGATCTTTAACTGTAATGGGATCGTCATCATCTCTGTTGTTTGATTCGCCATGTTCCGAGCCTGTCTCTCGTTCTTCACTGTCCCTTTCTTCTTCTTCTTCTTCTTCTTCTTCATCAGCATCATCTTCTTCTTCCGGTTCCTGTTGATCTTGTGAGGATACAATGCCTTTGCCACGGTTTCTGCTTGCGCCAGCACCTCTGTCGTTGACGTAGTCTTCATAACTAGGCTCTTCATCCTGGCTGAGCACGCCGTCGTTGTCTCTGATGAGAGGACGAGGACGACGAGAGCTGCTGGTACTGCGGGTGCGGCTGTTTGATAAACTACGGCTCATTGATGACTGAGGGTACGGTGCCCGCGGTGTCGGTGATGAAGAAGGAAAGTAGGACGTCCCTACATTGTGATGTGTTGGTGTCTCAGTGGGCGACCAGTGCGAGCTATGGCTTCTGCTGCGGTGGAGATGGAGGTGACTTGTTGGAGTGGGGGTCGTGGAGAGCTCTTGGTTGTCGTGGTCATCCATATTGACTAGACTTGAGTTTACTTGCGTGAGTAGGTACTAGTACTGGTACTTGTGAGCTCGTTCCAATGGCCTGGTACTTCGAGGGCCGAGGCAGACCCAATACAAGGAAGACAGTCCAAAGACAGACTCGGATATAAACGTTCTCGAATTCTGCATTAGGTAGATCTATTTTTGGGTCGTTGTATGGACGTCCGCGTCAGATTTCAAGCTCACACAGACATGGACACTTGCATGGCACAAACACATCGATTGTCCTAGAGTACGCTCAATACATGGTAAGTACACTTTGAGCAGGGGGTGCATTAATACAAGATAATGGTAGATCTGCGCTCAGACCTTGATACTACAAGTTGTTTCGCCGCTTTGGAATTTCCAACTGTAGATCTATCAGCTCACGGAATGACCTCTCAAAGACCTTGCACTCGTTAGATGGACCTGGATCATCGTAGCTCTGCGCCCAAACACCACGACGAATTCTAATTTCATTTCGAAAGTCTACGTTCTATGAGGGTTTGTATCGCTTACCTTGCTGTTCAGGTCACAGTGGTATAGATTTGAGCTAGTAGAATTTAGGATTGTCAGTCTGAAGCCTATTTCAATATTCGCCGATCGCGACAGGGGCCACGCTTTACTCTATGTGCTGCTGACCTGGAAGAAAGGCATATCCACGTTGACACTGCTGATATGCTCCCCCTTTTCTCCGCTGCCAATATTGACGCGGTACATATTTTGCTATTATTATGTTTTTCATCGCACCAACGTTTCGTCAAACGTTGTACATTCTCTGGGCAATTCATGCTCAAATACGCAACATTGCATCCTCCGCGGACCGTAACGTTAAATGACATTCCATACTTCAATGGTCACAATGAGACTCGACTATCCCCCGGAGGCAGCGTATTCGTGTTTCCTTCAGTCCTCTCTTTGATCCCTTTCATCGAACATAGCATTTTTTCTTCCGAGTCTAACTGGAGAAATTCACGTACTTGTCGTGTGGTTTTTTTAAACGCTCAGCCTGGGCCCAGCAGACTACAGTATGCCCTCACAAGCCATGCCTTACAATGCGTCGCTTCATAAAATATCTATATCAACATACTGTACGCTGTCTCTTTTCTCGATAGAAGTTTCCTAGATGTTTCATCGCCTGGCCAAAAGTCTCACAAACTGCCACATCATTTCTTAGCCATTGTGGTAGTTTCCCGCGAATCGCAGGGGACGTGAACCGTCGATCGATAAGAACGAGAGAAGCCCAGTCCCCGCGGTGTCGGATGGCTCGGCCTTGCGAAGGGCTTAGCAAACCTCCCGAATTCACAGCGATCGAGCGTGCTCACCTATACTCTGATTGACTGCGTTCATACACATGTTCTCATACATTTCGGCCGCTGCGTCTTTGCCACCAGCATGTCTCTTTACCCCAGATCGCGACTCTGCTTGATTCGCGTACCGCATACGCTCCTGAAGCTCTGGAGAATTTTTGTTGGCAAAAGGCAACCCAATTACAACAACAGCACGAGCGAGATCATCCGAAAAGTTCAGCCCTTCTGAAAGCTTGGCCCCGACAACTGCAAATAGTATCGCGCCAGTCTTCTTATCTAGTTGCATCTCCAAAAGAAAATGGTCATGATGGCGAATATGTCACAGTACGCAAGACTTACATGTGCTTTGGCAGCTATAGCATACTCCCGAAGGATCACTTCAACTCCTGAACTCTCCTGGGGCTCCAAGAAGACCTAGACACATCCAATAAGTCGCTTCTTGTTACTTATAGACACTTACTTTCTTCTTTACACTGAATTTGTCCAGTAATCCACTCTGACTCCAAGCCTCTCTTGTAAAATTCAACGATGCATAGGAAGGGAAGAAGACTACTATTCCACCAGGCACGACATTGCAGAAGTTCAATACGATTTGACCTAGCTCGGACACGACTTGCTGATTGCTCTGCTGTGCAAATTTGAACTCCAGGTCTAAACCCGAAGGCCCTTTCGTAAGCAGCAATGTCTGCACGTTAGACGCAGGGATAATATGACCACAAGAGAAAGTCGTCAGCCTGTCTTGAGCTAAGTACGTGAAAAGCTCGGACACTACAGCAGACATCTATCGCTGGCATTACTATATTGCAAAGGACCGTCGACGAAACCTGCTTACTGGTGACATGGTCCCACCGGCAAGCACAACTGAACGTGCCACCTCCACGACATCGCGGAACAACGCTGATGGATTCAGCAGCTGATATTTAATCTCGACAGCATCTCCAGTAGTAGAAAATATTAGTCGACCGTCTACAAACAATGGTGAGCAAAGAAACGATCTCAATACGGCTTGGCCCACCTTCACTTGCCCCCGCCAGCCCCAACATCAACGCTTCAATTGTATGCAGTGGCGGCGTGGCCACACCCGATGAATATCTCCCAGGCTTCTCGCCTACAAACTCAGTAATATGACTGTGCCCTTGTCAAAGTGTACAAACCTTCACAAACATCAACAGCATAACGAGATATCTTCCGTGCTATCTGCAAATAATCAGAAAAACGTCTAATTGAGTTAGTGCAACGTACTTTGCTGCGCTTGAGATATGACTCGATCTCGAGGAGATTGATACCCTCTACCTTTCTCCCAAGCCTGTGGATGAAATCTGGCACAGTTATGACTTCAGTATCTTGCCTTTTGGATTTGGCGTTGAACTTCTCCGCCATCCAATCCATTGCGACCCTCTGGAATGCATCGAGAAAACCAAGAAGCCTCTTCAGATGCAATGCATGCGTTGCAGACAGCCGGTTGCGAAATTTTTGGTAATACACTGAGACCTGTTTCAATGAGGTCGACAGGAGATTGGATGTCAGGCGGACACTTGAAAGTGACAGTAGAGTTGGTATCAAATCTGAGGCAACTTCAGCCAGGACAGTAGGGTGATCTAGGTGAGTTGCCTACTGTGGGCTTCATCAATGATGACAATCTGGTTGGTTAAGTCGATTCCCAGGGCTTCTCGGGCGGTTTTCTGCAATAACAGGTTATAGGGCAGAGTAACAAGCTGAAGATCCAACATAAGATCCAGCGAGGTACATCAGTGTGATAACTTGCTGACCTCTGCCTGAGGTATTGCTCGTCTAGATCCGTAATAAGGGCAAGTTTGCGTGTTCTTCCCAGCGGTGGCAAGGTCTTCTATGTCTTTTGGCGATGCCTTGAAAGAAACCCGTCAATACAATTCGCTCGTATACATCACCTTCACTAACTAGAATCTGATCTCGTAGATCGAACATGCGGGTGTCATCACCCACCGGAGGCAAATATTGACATCGTTTATTTTGCTTCCCTGCGAGTATATCCACAACGGTCAATGAATACGCGGGAATTCACTGCCTGGTACCTTCCAGTAATTCTCGACATTTTTCGTCTATATCTCCTGACCTTGACCTTGCGTCCTCGTTGATACACAGCTGTTTGCGAGATCCAAGGGGTACGGTCCGCCACTGGCGCTGATCTGTTTCACACTTTTCATCATCTACACTCCCGAGGGTCCGTTTCTTTTGACAAGGATCGTGATCGGCTCGAGAGATGTTTCCCATTGGGCTCTCATCTAGAACCGCACTGCCCAATGCGAGGTGCTTGAACTTGAGCTTGGTCAATTCGGGCAGGACCTGCGAAAGTTGTGAATGTGTGCGAGAAGCATAGTAGACTTTCGTGCAGGACGGCTCATCTCCTTGAGAGGCTGGATTATGTTTGGTATTGTCTATTCTATTCGTACACATTAGTTCTGTCTCGCATTAGCAAAGCTTGATCCTCACTTCGCCATCAGAGCACGAACAGCGGGGGAGAAGTTATCTTGGCTATCTTCATAGCCGTCGTCTGGAAGATATGCGTCCTCGTCAAGATGGTCTTGAGCAAGATCGACTGTCACGCGCTACTTGGACGAAGTAAATGATCATTGAGCCCAAATGTGAATACTGAGCGCACGCACTTGCTTTTTGGTAACCCGTGCCCGAGCCAGCATACGGAAATGAGCCTCGGTCTTCCGAGCTTTGGCGAGGCGTTCTTCGTATTCCTTATCCTCTGCCTCCAGCTCGCGCTTCCGAATATCGAGAGCCTGAGCTGCTACCCATGAAGGCTCTGATATTGCATTAGGATGTTACTTGCAAGTCCTACAGAGACCTACTACTGACCAGCACTTGTGAGGGACTGCTGCAATAGTTGGCCATTGCGGGCGCGGTTTTTCTCGTCCACAAGCCACGAGAGGCTCGAGCACAGTAGACTTAGTGTCTTACCCTGATTTCCCGCATCACAAATCCGCTGACCAGCTGTTACAAACACTCACAGTGCCAGTAGGACTCTCCACGATGGTGACCTGCCTTTTCTCAATGGACGTATAGACATGACGCATCAAGTCTATCTGTATCGAATAGGGCGGGTCGTATGGAAATGCAGGGAAACTACTGGGAGTGGGAAGGACGAGATCGTCGTTGTCCATGCCGAACAGTGCAGAGGCGCGACGCGTGACCTCACGCGTCGTCGCAGGGTACTTGAAAGTTCACCAGTGCACCACACAAAGCAGTGAAAAGTGGAGCGTGTAACAAAGCTTGGGTGATTTATAAGATGATGTGACGATGTAGTACACTGTGTCTGGAACTAGTGCATATAGTGGAACATTGCGGATAGTGAAAACAAAGGATGGATGTGGCCAAGCGTAAGTGTGGCAGTTACTACTTAGATAGGTAGAGTACAGTGAAAATCATACAACCTGAACTCTTGGGTATGGTGGTGAGCAAGCTCAGCAGAGAGGTGTAATTGATTGATCGTTATCACGTCGGGCAATACTCCAGTAACCAAATCTTTGCCGCACCGTATTCCTCCTTGACACGTTTTAGTAGCGACATCACTTCCTCGAGGGTCTTCTCTGTGGTTTTACCCTTGGCCGTGTTCTGTATCTTCTCGCAAGTCAATGACACCTGCTTCACGCCCAGCGCGGCTGATGAGCCCTTCAGGAAGTGCCCTAGCTGTGATATTCCCTTCAAGTCTCCAGTTTCCCTACATAAGAAAGTCAGATTCTAGTGTAGCCATTGCAATCACAATTGAGAAACCTACATGGCGTCATCCATTTTTTTGAATGTGGAATCCACCTGCTCAAGGTAGTCGGTCACCATGTCCGATACAAATGAGCTGTCCCCATCATCCAGTTCGATTATCTGGCCGAAGACTTCCATATCGATCACATCATGTTTACTGAGCTGGTGGTGCAATCAGTTATCATCATTACACGACGAACAACATGACGAGATGGGCAGGGGCTAAGTGCGGGGTTCCCGGCGCACGAGTTCTGCCTCCAAGTGCATACAAACAACCCACTTTAAGCTGGAGACATACCTTGCACTCCTTCTTCTCAACCTCCTTCAGGTCGTTCTTTTCCTTGGGTGTAGTAATGGGCGAGCCTGCCTTCGGCGTTGGCTCCTCCGAGGCAGGTCGTGATTTGACGTCTAGCTTCTTCTGTGGTGGGGCTTTGTCGGAAGGAGACGGTGGTGGACGCTTGACAATGTCGTCAATGATATTCGGCGAACGAGCACGCAGAGCAGGAGACATGAAGAGAGTCCTGGCCTTGTTTACTGACAAGGGACAGCGTTCTGAATTAACAATCGGGGTAGCGGCTCTAGGACGTCAGGCTGTAGGGATTCGGGGCTATGCTTAAAGTAGTCTACTGATTATCTGTTGCCGCCGCAGTGCCGCTGCCAAATATGTAGCATCATTGACAGATTCACGAATTGCACTGGCTAGATCGTCATCTCATTTTCTACAAAATAACCCCCTGGCCGGCGGACCCGCGCCCCAAACCCAAACTCTCCATTAGTTCAGCAAATCCTTGCCTCAGATAATCTGGCGAGCCCTCAATTCGGCGATCTCATTCTGAGAGTACCCTAGTTCCAGCATGACCTAGAACAATTCACCGTGATCAGAAACCAAAATGCACAATGAAATGTAATTCAATAAACAGAACGAGGGTGGCGAAACAAAACCCCCCAAGATGTCACTGGCATATGCACGTACCTCCATTGTATGCTGTGACAGCCAGGGCGGTGGTCGTCTCACCGGCATCCGCTTTCCATTGTAAGTAACGGGTGGAGCTACCATCCTCACTTTCCCTGCTCGTGGGTGCTATTGAATCAATCGACATAATCAGACCAAAGTCTATCACACGAGGACGGGGAAAACGTACATCAACCTCCACCGTAGCCTGCCGAGCGCCAACTTGTGGGTGCGCGAATGACTGTTGGATATTATTGATTGGACCAAACGGTACCCTGCACGGAAATGGGCGTGTGAATACCTTGGCAAATGGACCATACATAACTAGACATCATGCACAACTCACCCTAATCCCGTGAAGCGTTCGATCCAATGATCCCTTTCATGTTTTTGGAGCACTTGTGTAATGATGTCCACCAACACCTCCCTGTTTGCTACCCGCATAGCATTATTAGCAAACCTTGCATCATCCGCCAGCTGGGGATTTTCCAGAATCCTTTCGGCAAGGAGTCGGAACTAGCGTCACATGTGCCTCGGAGTCAGGTCGTCTAGAACTGCTTATCAGTGATACTGCGCACCTGCTTGTCGTTGCCCGCGCCAATCATGAGAAATCCGTCTTTGCATGGGAAGACTTGGTAAGGAACGATGGACGGGTGGGCAGTTCCGTGCCGAGAGGCTTCCTTTCCGGCGATGAGATAATTCGACGCTATATTCGCAAGACCTGCAAGCTAAGTATATACGAGAGAAATTGTATCAGCAATATTAGTTCATCAGGAGTGTAAACATGTGCTAGTCACCGTACCTGTGTCTCAAATAAGTTGCAATCTATCCAAACGCCTTTTCCCGTGTGCTGTACGGAACGCAAACCAGCAAGGATGGCGCCGTGTGCGTAAAGACCTGTCATTAAGTCTGTCACCGCAACGCCTACTTTAGAAGGTGGACGATCAGGTTCGCCTGTGCTACGATCCATGAAAGGCAGGACATAAGACTCAAGATATCACCTGGAGGCGCCTGCAACACGGCATACATACATGTGCATCAGCCCAGCTTCGGCTTCAATGATGACATCGTAACCAGCAGCTTCGCGGAACGGGCCTGTCTGTCCATATCCTGTTTGCATCAGTTCGATCGAATACTGATAGCAGGGAAAGTTAAGCTCAGACGAACCAGTGATGGAAGCATACACAAGCCGCGGATTAAGTACCTTGCAGTCCTCCCAACCAAGACCCATCCCTGCGAGCTTTCCCGCAATAAAGTTTTCTACGAGCACGTCGGAACTGCGAACCAGCCTCCGCATGACCTCGAGTCCCGCAGGATCCTTGAAATTCACGGTGATAGAACGCTTGTTTCTATTCACGGCGAGGAAGTATGCAGATTCAGGAGGGAGGTGTGATGATTCTTTCGGAGAATTCGGGGAGACGGGAGCAGAAGGAGGAAGCCAGGAGCCTGGCTTTTATTAGCTAGGCTACGAATAGGCTGGCAGAGGTGACTCACGAGTGTCGTCGCCGCGAGTGACTTCCTCGACTTTGATGACATCTGCGCCCAAGTCTGCGAGAAGCATGGTGCATGATGGGCCTGCTAGTACTCGAGTGAGGTCAAGGACTCTGACACCCGTTAGCGGAGGCGGAATGCCCTGGTCATTAGACTGAGTGGAAATGAGGGAACGTCTGATGAGACGACTATCAAGACGGGTGACAGTACTGAGCGCTCTATATTTCGACAATAGCATCTCAGTTGACCGTCAAGGTACCTGGAAAGCGTTTAGCAACGGTCAAGGCAATGAATTTTGAAACTTGCGATAGATATAGTCCAGGTCCAAAGGCTAGGTACTAGCACTTAGTAACTACATAATTAAGTAGGTTGTGAACAAGGTGGCAGAAGTCCAAGTCAATATTATCGACAATGACATGCGACATCGCACCTGGCACCGCTTCTGCATCCGCAATGTGCTGGTACTGACAAGAAAACATAACAGAAAACAAAAACATATCAATTCGTAACGTTCATTACACAAACATGGGCTTCTTCTCGTCGCGCAGGACAGTAGGCGAGTCCCAGTCATACATCCATAACGACAGCTCCGTGTCCATGTCTGTGGTTCAGGTCATCCGTACCCGATTCGTGCGTAGCTTCTGTTGCTGTTCCGTTCTCTTGATGCGACAATGCACTGACCATGATGGGGGCTGTGAAATCTGCAGTACGGAAAGTACAAAGGCAAGGCGCGCGAGACGCACCCTCCTTCAATGACTAGGCACAGTGACCACAATCTCCACCGTCTCAGCGCTGGGCGCTCCCCTCTCGGTACCGAACAGTTCTTACCACCACAACAAAATACTCCACGTACACATACAGACGTCATCACGTACGTCTTTCGTCGACTCCCAGTTATACCGTTCGTTCATGTTCTCCTGTTTACAGGGCCACCCTTGCACAACGTCTCGATGAACTTGCTGCCGCAAATTCTCAAGGCTTGCTCGAGTAAGTTCGTTTTAGCACTTGAGACTGAGGACGTGACTCGTCTGTTGTGGTAGCGATCGTTGCAACCACATGGGTTGATGCAATGTTTCCTTCCGCCAAAATTGGTCTCCCATGTTCACGTTAAACCTCCCACCATGCTGATTTCGCTCACAGTGACGATGAATACCGTCTTCTGCGACAAAACATCTTTGAGCGGCTTGCTTCAGGGAGCTCAGTCCCGCAGGAAGCTCCCCTTGTCCCCATTGTCTCACATCCGCCCAACGGTAAGCCTTATGCTGTGTCCGTTTCGAAGAGACTGATTTCAACTTCTCTACTCGGGTTTACAGCCTACAATCCGGCTTCCGCCAAAAGTCGTTCACCATCCGTCCGCTCCAAATCCTCGATTTCCTCCGCCATGAGCACTCTCTTTAAACGTTCTTCCCGAATCTCAGCTCACACAACTCTCACCGCAACAACAGACGACACGTCTATCTTTTCCGGCAGTACATCCCGGCGACCAATCCCGCCACACATGCGAAGCGATGTTTCTCTGACATCGGAGAATCTGTCACATACAGCTGATGTGCAGTATTTAGGTGTAAACGGGAGTACCAGCAGTATCAATATTGGTGGAAACGGGGGAAGAAGCAGCCCGTACCGGTCCCTCCGCCGCCTTCAAACAGGACCAGCTACCCCTCCCCCATCATCCTTCCGTTTAAATAGCACTACTGGCTCGCCCTTCACACCCGTTCCCTCAACATCAACAACCCCACACACATCCTCGCATTCTCCGATGCAGTCGCACGCATTATCTCTATCACCATCTACGAATCCTGCCGACCCCGAAAATCTATCCTCATTAGAGCTGAAGCGCCAAATTGCGACGCTTGAAGCTGAGGGTGGACGGTTACTTGATGCGTTCAACGGGCTTGAACTTACTGCACTAACTCGACGTCATCCGCCACGAACGCCTTCTGTGCGTCGAGTCCGCGTGGGAGTGGGAGGGAGCGATTATGGTAGTAGAGGTGGGGGAAGTGAATATGGCGGTAGAGGCGGGGGCAGTGAATGTGAAGGCAGCGGGTACCCAAGTACCGGGAGAGGCACACCCTGCGAGGCTGATGCTCAATCCATGTACTCCGCGTCGGCAGCCTCTAGCGTCAGCCAACCACGCTCCCAGCCGCAGTCATATCGGAATCCCTCGTTACGCGCCCCGCCATCAACATTATCTGCGTCGGCAAGGAAGCGTAGTATGTCATCTATATCGTCTCGCGCACGCGTCCCCACAAACGGCTCGATGCACGCTTCGCACTCATCGCCGGGACTCACCCACAGCAAGCTACGGGAACTAGGCAGTGTCTCCTCTGTTAACCTTGCACGAGACTCTTCCATGCACCTCCCTTCGACTGTACACAACTCGCCGGTGCGTGAAGTACCTGATGATGATGCCTCCATTCTGGTACTCGAGAGCGAGCTGGGTGATATTCGACGGCGGCGAGGAGAGGTGACTGCACGATATCAAGCGCGGCTGGAGTATTTGCGGGCACAACTGCGGGGGGCAGAATTGAGGGAGAAGTTGATGAGGAGATGAGGAAAGGGGTCTATCGGGTTGGCCCATTTGCGGCGAGCATCATTTGTAACTGGGATATCATTATATACCTTCGCATTATGTTTTGTGTTTTATGCGGATTATACTGAAAACACGCTTCCACCGGTCTTGACTCAGCATCTTATTGGCATCACTCGTTTAGGCAACCTCGCGCTTGCCGCATACAATTGTATCTTACACTGGCGCTCCTCGCTGTATCGCTTAACCAGGGGGTTCTCAATTAATTCTACTTCAAAAATCTCGCATTGATTGCTTTCAACGCTTGAGGCGATGTTCTCATTGCTCCGAACGACGCTCGTACCACGCTTGCCAGCCAGCGTCCGTTTCCGGTCACAACTCGCACCTCGTCAAGTTCAACACGTCAAACGACACAAAGGTCGCGTTCCGATACCTATAGGCGGTTCAACAAAAGGCACCACGCTTGCTTACGGTGAATGGGGAATCCGCATAAAGGGAATGGGCGTCCGCTTCAGCGCGAAACAGCTTACTACGGCTGAGGAAGTCATAAAGCGCAAAATAAAGGTCGTCAAAGGCGCAAAAGTCTATCTTAGAGTTTTCCCTGATATTCCAGTTTGTGTCAAGGTCTGCTGTATATTCATTTGTTCTCTGTATGGACTTTTGACCAACGTCTCCAAGGGAAACGAAACTCGTATGGGTAAAGGAAAAGGGACGTTCGAGTTTTGGGCTACTCGGTATGCTCTCCTTTGCGCTCGTGCTTCATGAGGCTCATTTGCGCGCAGTGTTCCCACCGGTCGCGTCATATTTGAGATTGGAGGGACCCCAATTAGAGAAGAGTTGGCACGCGAAGGCAGGAATTCCTACCCATCTCTATTCTATTCAAACTCACCCAAGCTTTACAGCTTTACGTCAAGCAGCAGACAAGCTCCCAACGATAATGGAATTCATCACACGTTCGACCCCCCCTAGACTAGGAAATTTAGTCCTACATCCAGAACCCCCCACCGACCAACTTTCATCTACTGCACAGACCTAGTAGCGCTGTTTCGTTCACTTTGCAATGCATTCATATTTGGATTACAAGGCTTTGTTGGGCCCCAGATTACTAACGTGGAAAGAGAAGTAAAGCAGAGGTGATAGCATCAGTGGTATGTATATACATTGGACGTCCATCATGTAGCGACTTTGACGGACTTTGTTTGCAAAGAACAACAGCGAGAATAGTTATAAATGGAAGAAAACACGAGCACGGATCACTGCGAGATGCTCATCAAACTTGCAACAAAGGTCAAAATCTGCAGCGACAATCAGCACGACAACGAAGACCAGCCATGTAATCAAAAGAGACGCACAAGCCGTGGACGAACATCCACTATATCCTCAGGCACCAAGAAAATCAGTGCGTTCATTTTTCTCGCAATGGAAATAGCCAATTTTGCTTGAAAGAAAGAAAAACAAAAATCAGCCTCTGAGAAACCCGAACGCTCACAAAAAAAACCTACCATTCTGCCGCCGATCCTCATAAGCCCCACTCTCGCTGACATTAATCACAAGAGCAGGGTCTACGATCCCTGGTCTCATCGCGTCCAGAAGATCGAGGAAGAACAACCCAGTGGTGATAGCTGGATCTTTGAACGATCGGATGGGTCGTACGCCAGGTTTGCCTTTTGTTGCGGTTGCGGTTGCCCATTTGAGCATGTCTGTGTCGCTGATGGGTTTGCCGGTCTTGGAGAGCGTCATCAGAGTCTTTGTGATGTTCAACCTGTAATAATCGAATTGAGGCGTGTAAGTAGCGTAAAAGATTCGACGTACCTCATTAGTTGCCAGACAAGACCAAGAACGAGCGTCTTTGAGCCATCGACGATATCAGCCCCCTGAATACCAACGAGGTGCATCCCATTTTGCTTCCCAAGCTCCACTGCGTAGTTTGTGTTTTCCACTTGCTTGAAACGGGAAAGCGTGCTTTGGTTGGGAGTGACGCCGATGTCTTCCTGCTCTTCTTCATCAAGCATCGTCGGGGGTGCAGCTTGTGCACCGCCTTTGGGCTTCGAAACACGGCGCCATACTACAGAGCCAGGCGAAATCTTGTCGAATGCTTGGAGGATGACGAGTCCATCGCGCAAGTTCTCAAATAAGTTGAACACCGCTGGCTCGACGCCGAGCGAGTTGAGCCAAAGCGTGAATGCACGTGCTTCACGCTCGCCCTCTGCGTCAAAATCCTCGACAGCGCCGTAATCTTTGGCTTCTTGTTCGTCGAGGGGCTCGAGGCCGGGCCAGGTGTTGAAGAGGTTTGCGACGAAGGCAAGGTTGAGACGGGGGTTACCGGAGACGAGGGATGAAGGTGTGAGGTACTTGCGACAGCCGATGACTTCGGCATTTTGGAGGACTTGTTCTGCACGTTGTCTCACGTCCCTAGTTTGGAGAGGTGCCAGGGAGCATTGGTCTGGTTTGAGTTGGTTTAAGAGGATGGTGTAGTTCTCGCCGTCTGAGACGTCACGGCTGAAGTTGTTAACTCTAGTGGATCATGAGTTAGAAGGGATCAATAAGTACAGATGATGGGCGTACCTCCGTTTCCACCCTGCTGCTTTCAAGTGGTAGTTGAACCAACGGAGTAGAATTTGATCTGGCGTCAACCGTAGAAGATCGTCGATAGTTTCGCCATCCTCGCACAGCCGATACAATTCGGGGTGAATCTTAATGTCGACTTGTGCGAGCAAACCACGTCGGATGATCTGCCAAATAAGCCCAAGGATCAAATGCTCCCGCCCCTCTGCGATATCAGATGAGCCAATATTGACGACGGAGCATCCGATACCCTTGGCAGATGCGATCACAATGTTATTGTTCTCCGTCATCTGGAAAGCGTTCAACGGTTTCCGTGCGCTTGGCTTGTTCAACACACGCGTATCGATGGTGTCGGGGACGGAATCGTTGATTAGTTTACAGAGGATGAGACCGTCTTTGCATTCGTCGAAGAGCTGCATGGTTGATGTAGGGATTGGGAAAATGTTCCCGATGTCGGGGTCGTTCTCGATCACCTGTAAAGAGTGAGTATTAATGAGACAGAAGACGAGAGTTATGAGAGGAACTCACCGTATTGATGTGATTCGTGAATTCCATACGCTCATCTTCGTTAATCGTATGACTGACGTTTGCATTTGAGCCCTGGACTGTGACCTTTCCTGCTCGTGTGGGAAGGACTGAGGCCTTTGTTTGTGTGCGCAGTTTGACGTTGAGCTGGCAAAGGAGAGCTGATGAAATGATCTGTAGGATGACATCATAAACGGTGTACGGACCTCGACCCAGTCTTCCAGCTCGACTTTGCCACTAGCATCGACAGAGACATGTTTAAGCGTCTCTCGAGCCTTGTCATACGATTCTCCGCTGTTCTGCAGAGCTTGAAGAACAGCGCTCTTGTCTATACGGCCTGGCGTGTTGGTATTAATCGCGCTGCGGACAAGATTTATTACTCAAATGAATTCGAAAGAAGATCTCACGTACTTGAAGCGATTTACGAGATCAAACATTTCATCTTTGGATACTTCAGGATATTTCTTTTGAAGTCGGAAGGCCTCCATTGGAGATGACGATGATGACGATGAGGATAGTGGCGGTAATTGGACAGAATGGATTGTGGAACGCAGTGCTGGGGGTCTCCACTTGGCTGCTGGCGATTGACTGCGCGTTACCATCACCATCTTCAACTTGCAAGTACCTTCAAGTTTTGTCAAACAAACTTCATTTTTCTGCTCTAGCTTTATACCCTACATATTACACGCAGTACGCAGCCCGCAGCCGGCAGTTCCGATCGATGTCTTATATGGAACTATGATTAGAAGCGATCCAACATTGGAGTCACTATTTTGACTGCGCATGACACAGCTGCCACTGGCCTCGTGTCAATGGGCAATGGGCATTGGTGAATGTGTAAGTTACGGCCAGTCTGGGTGCTGCCAGGTCTGTGTCTGCGACAAACCTGACGCTCGGCAAGTCTTGGTGCCGTCGGCAAATTGAAGCGGAGTTTTAATGAAGCTCCTGTGCGTTCATCACCCCCATACCTAGTGTAGGGGGCAGAAGTATTTTGGGGCGAGTTCTGCCAAAAAAACGGCAGAAGCCGCAGAACGGCAAATGGCAGAACGGCAAAAGTCGGCAGAATTGTTTCGAGCGTTTTATCGTGTTCTAAGGTCACGGCAAAAAAAATAGCTAAGCTATTGCGCTACACCCTCTGACGTCAACAGCGCATTGATGTTCCAGCCTGGCTCCATGCCTTGTGACCCACGGGCAACCACATCAATCTCTTCGACAAACCCTGTGGGTGTGATTCCTTTATCGACCTTCTCCAGCTCGTTCCAATCAATAATATCTCCCTTGAAAATATCTGGGACTTCGCCAGTACCTTCTTGCAAGCCTCGCGATTCCAGCATCTCGTTTTCAAACCTGTCAAATTCTTCGAGCAACTCCTCATCCGTAATTGACTCCGGACCTGCGAGAAATTCGTCGTCTGAGTTGCAAGAGGCACCAGCAAGTGGAGGCACCCATGCAAAAGACCTTTGAAGTTCCACTGCCAAGGCTGTGTCGAGTCCGTGCTCTGGCCGAGTGTGCATATGGGCGTGTTTTCGACGTGTGGGCTTGCCAGCTTCGTGATCCACCTTGTGTAAGAAATTTGCGTAGCTTGCCCGGAGTTTGCTAAGAGACTCGAAAGTCTGAACTGATAAGTTGCAGCGCTTCATGGATTGTACCCCACCCAGACCCGAGAAATAATGCTCGACGTCGGCAGCATGAGGTACGATCGAGTGGATTATGACTGTGAATGCTTTCAATGGACAGCGCTCGGCACTGATAGGGAGGGTTTCCCACCAATCGAGTGCATCGGCCTGCCCTCCAGAAAATACTCCCGAGGATTTGTGATAATCTTTTAAGTCAGCAACGAGCATTTTCGCGAGCTGTTCGCTCCATCGCCACTGTTTAGCAATGTCGAGAGCTACCTCCACCATAAACTTGAATGAACGTCCATTTACGGCTTGTGAAATTGCGAGTTTTCGGCACATCAGGTGTAGGAATAGTGCGAGACTGTGAGTTTTTGTGTTCATTGCGAAAAAAACGTCGGTTGAAGACAGCCTTGGTGTGTTGCCAGAAGTCAACATTATCTCCATCTTCGATTGGCAACTGAGAGATTGTCTTTGCGAGCCGAATTAGCCCAAGCATGCATGAAGCAAGTGGCGAATCGCGGGACTCCTCATCTCCGATAAGGTCAACAATTGGCTTCATGACCTTGATCCCTTGTTCAATGGCGGGCCAAAACTCTGCGTCGCGAAGGACAATGGTAACAACATCTGGGGCAACAGGAGAGAGGCCTCCAATCTTCTTCTGTGCATCTTCCCGCAGACATAAATGGGAAAGTGATTGTCTAGAGTTCATTTAATTCTTTGCTTGAACTGATAGTAGTCATATTTTGTCTTACCTATGATCATGGACACTCATTGACTGGAGAACGAGTGCATACCAACGAGACTCGCAGTTTTTCTTCAATCCACGGTTGATGCCATCCTTTTTCGCCTGTTCTTTCAACTGACCACCCCAGTAGTGGGACCCATTAAAGAATGTCACTACCCGAGTAGCTTTTGTCACATGCCGCTTCATAAACAGGTGTGCACATATTTCTCCGATGATTGTATTGAGGCCGTGGAGAAAGCATGGGAAGGTCTAGACTCGTCATTTCATTGGAATACTTTGACTAAAGGGGGGAAAGATCTTACGAGAACCCAGTAAAATTTCTCTTGGAACTTCCGTCGGAATGCTTTCATCACGGTGGGATTGTCAGTTGTTGCCGCGATTATGTTACGTCCATCTCCGATCTCCATTCTTTCCAAAGCATTCATGGAGACTTCAAGGAGTTTGTCTGCAGAACCTCGGTGCCCCGTCATGTCCTCAAGGTTCAACACAATTGGAGGCTGATTGACTTCAGCAGCCAAAGACCCATATAAGCTTCATCTTATTTTATCCTCCCACCCGTCAAGCAAATATGTAAGCTTTTTGCGTTCCTTGAGCCGTGCAATGTCCTCAATTTGGACGCGCGCAACTTCGCTATCCATAATTGAATGTGACAGCATGTAACGTGATGGTGCTGAATACGAGGGCCGAATTTCATCAAGGAAGTTACGGAAAAACCAGTTCTCCGCAACCAAGAAAGGTATATTAGCGTGAACGATGAATCTGTGGGTTTAATATTCACGCAGTCAAAACACCTCAGTCAATGATTTGTGACACTTCAACTCACCAAAACAATTTGAAATTTGCACGTATTGCTTGCTCTGGAGTGACTGGAAGATCCACGAATCCAAAGAGGTTCTTCCGTTTCTGTGGAGCTTGAGCTGTGTCTCCTGATGGGGATGAAGAAGAATCTGCATCCACGATAGGTGGGGGTAGTAGTGCTTGATTTCCGTTCTTCGTGGCGAGATAGTTACGGACTTCTGTGCGAGCATGATCCGGAGCCGTAGGGCAAGTATTTCGGTCAAGAATATGCTTGAGAGGTTTGTCGTCGCGACCTTCTATAGACGTTGAACAGTAGTTGCATTTGTAAAAATAACGGTTGGATGAATTTTGGACTTTTTGATCTTGGATAAAGTGGTTGGTGATGATTTTTTGAGTAGGGCGGCCCGTAGACTTTTTCGAGGACATTTTGGCGTGCACGGAGGCTCAGATACACTAATTCGAATATCAAACATATGCTATTTGATGATAGTACAAATAAGATTCACGTTGACTTCTGCCAACTTCTGCCCAACGCCCTCGACCTACTGCCGGCAATTACCGCTTGGCAATTGCCATTGGCAGAATGGCAGACTTCTGCCAACAACACTACCCATACCTCATCGTTGCCCATTCCCCGCTGGCCAAAACCGTTGGAATTGTGCCAAATATGATGAATTTGGGAGCAACATATTTCGTTATAGGAGACTTGCTGTGGAGACAAATATAATATTTCACATCCGAATGTTGTAGGGTATGTTGAGAATATTCACATCATATTTCACCACATTTCTTTCAGTTGTGTGTGTGAAATAAAATTGGTTGTATTTGTGGGAATTACACTATAATCTACTGATACAAATGCTTCAATATGCGACCAGAAAGCATGATAACGATGCGAAACATGGCAGATCAACATGGCAGCAGCAAATACAACACAGCAATGAGGCTGGCAAGCAAGAGCAAACAACCACGGGGCAATGAGGCAGGCAAAAGCATGTAAGCGAGAGCAGACAACTGTGGGGAAACAAGGCAGGCGAGAGCAGATGACTACAAGGCAGGCAAGATGAGGAAAGCAAAAGGGATACTAGTATAATGAACCATTGGCGATGTTGCTATTCTTTGTCCAGCCTGCATCTTGTTCCTAGTAGATATTCTCAGCGACTTGATAACAGAGAGAGTGGCTGTACTTATTAGCCGCTTGGCCTCAGTATCATAAGAGTTGATCTGCACCTCATTCAACTTTGAATAATAGACATTAGTGGTACTCAAAGTAGGATTCTAGACTCGCTAGAACGTCGGTAGAGCCTGCTAATGGTTAGAAAAACTGAGGCTAAAAAGCCACAATAGCACTCAGCATGCCTCAGCACAATATCAGACTTCGAAATGACACTTGTGCATTTGCGAGAGTATGAGTATATACAAGTATAATGAGTAGCTACAGATCCCCCTAACGCGCGTCATATTTGAAACTAGTATTGAGAAAATGTGTGAAAACAAACAAAAAACTAAGTACAGCTGCTAAGATCTATCAGGGACTGTCGAGGCTGAAGACATGACACCGGGAGGAGTAAAACTCCTGCCCGTCGACATTGTCGCCGTCACGCATCTCGAAGTCCCCATCCAACAAGTCCAATGTGTTGCCGAGAGGGGCGCAGAAAGCGTCATTGTTGTCGTCAATTGGGCCACCCCCAGCGCTAGGGTGCTGCAAAGGGGGGGGGAGCGAGCTGCAAAGGGGGGGGAACGAGCTGAAAAGGGGGGGAGGAGCGAGCTGCAAAGGAGCTGCAGGGGCGAGTTGACAAGGGGGGGAGGGACCTGAGGGTTTTGGGGAGGCAGGGACAAGGGGCATTAAATTAAATAAAAAGAACGGCCAAAAAAATACATACCATGTAGATTAGCGGCCCCATTTTTGTCCAGAGGAGTGGCACCAGCGCCAGTCCATGGACTAGCCCCTCTCCCCCACATGAATGAACCAAGCGCACCTGGGAGGATGTTGGGGTAATGGAAGGGGCTGTAGACTGCGCAAGTATCACCAAGTGCGCCTGGGGTGATGGAGTGATGGAATGGGTTGTAGACCATGTAAGTATCACCAAGCGCACCTGGGGTGATGGAGTGAGTTGCAGACCGTGTAGGTATCACCAAGTGCTTGGTTGCTCGCTGTCATCCATGACGAACTCACAAGTGAGACAGCATGCAGACTGTGCGAAAAGTTTAAACTCCGATTTAAACTCTGCCGATCAGCGCACAATCAGTCAGGAGGATGATAAGGGAATCATCTCTCAATCTAAAGCTCAAGCTCTCATCATGCCTCAGCAATCCAGCCGTAAAGATCTCCTTCATGCAGTTGATAAAGTTGCATTGTCACTTGCCCAACTCCAATGTCAGGAGTCAAGCTTGGATTCCAACTCTGATTCAAGCATGGACATAACCTCTTCACCATCTCTTTCCTCCAACATCTCTGGTGGATTTTCTGATGAATCTGATGATTCTGATGATATCTCTGGACATTACAATCAGCTTCAGCACCAAATTGCAGCTCTCCATGATGAGGTTGCAAGGGCTTGCGTACTTCACCAGCCTGACGAGCCTCCCCCGCGAGCCTCCCAGCTACATGTCCTCGTTCATCATGAGGAGCACCGCCCGCATTTATTTCGGCAGAAGCTACGTGTTGACCCTGTCATATTTGATGACATCCTTGATCAAATCTCCAATCATCATATCTTTCATAATCAATCCAATAATCCCCAGCTTCCCGTTGCCATCCAGCTTGCCATCTTCCTCAATCGTGCTGGCCACTATGGCAATGTGATTTCTCTCCAGGATGTTGCCCAATGGGCAGGTATAAGTGTTGGATCAGTTGTGAATTGCACTAATCGTGTAATGATCGCACTGCTTGCCCAGCATGACAATTTTATTAGCTTCCCACATCCTGACTCAGAGGATGCTGAGCTTGCTCGGCAATATGCACAGTCCAGGACTTGTCCTGAGTGGTGCAACGGCATTCTAGCCATTGATGGCACAACAGTTGACCTTTATGCCAAACCTGCTCATTTTGGTGAGACTTTTCATGATAGGAAGTCTAACTATTCCCTTGGCTGCCAGGTATTCCCCCCCCCCTCCTTCATATTCAACAATTAAATAATTTTGTAGGCAGTTATTATGCCTCACAACCTTGTCATTGACGATTACGCCCTTGATCATCCTGGAAGTGTCCATGATGCCTATGCTTTCCGATCTACCCGTCTCTATCAACAGCATGAGGCCCTTCTTCCAGGTGACCATTGGGTTTGGGCTGAAGTGCATACCCACTTGAAAAGTGGTGCATAGTCCCTTTCAAGAAGCCCCGTAATGGAAGGTTAAGCAAGGACCAGAAGACATTTAATTATCATCTTTCTAAGGTGTGCTCATATATTTGTGATTTTTTTTGATGGTTTGATTACTGATTTTAATTTTTTTTCTTATTCAGGTTCGCATACGTGTTGAGCATGTGTTTGCTGCTCTTAAGGGGCGGTTTCAGTCCCTCCGAGAACTTCACCTCAATATTCACACAGAAAGAGAGCTTCAGATTGCCGTCCATTGGATTATGTGTTGCATCATCTTGCACAACATGATCATCTGATTCGAAGCTCACCATTGCAAGGAGAATGCAGATTTTCACCGTTCTGACAGGTGGGCTGAACGAGAGGCTAGAGAATTTGCAGCTCAAGAGTTTGAAGATCCTGATGGAGATGAAGTTGTTGGTGACAGGTCTTATGAGGGTACACCAGGTCAAGCTTCTTGTTTGAGGATGATGGATCAACTGTTTGACAGTCCTTACACAACTGCTGAACATAGGGAAGGGTAACTTGAAAGAACCATGGTCACATTGGCAATCAGAAGGTACATGTACTACTACACTGCTACACAGATTCAAGAAATGTATATTAAAATGACATGATGAAGACAAAAAAAAGCGAAAACACAATCAGGATGATGATGATGATGATGATGATGATGATGATGAGGGACCAGGAACATCTCCACCCCCAGCATGAAGCCTCATAGTCTCATACAGTATCTTGAGGTGCCAGGTCTCTGCCTCCCTCTCCTGCAAGGCAGCTGCAGCCTGAAGGCAAAGGATTTCCTTGTCCTTGGCCTCCTGCTCGCGTTGGTGTGTGGCAGTTGTGGCAAGGACATCGTGCAAACGGGACTTGCAGCGGAACTGGTATTCGTTCTTCTGGGATTGGTAATTCATCTTCATGGTGTAACGTTCGTTCTTCGATTCCCGGCGCTCGGACATGTCACTATGCATGCTCTGGATCTCACCATTGAGCATGCTGAGATGACCCTTCATGTCCGTTACTGAATGCTTCTTCTTCTTCTTCTTCTTCGAGCTCACAGAGCTCTGTGGCTTCATGGAGAAAGATGTCTGGGATGCTGTCGGCGAAAGGCGATAGTCGGATGAGATATAGGGTGATGAGGATGCTGTGGATGTGGGAGAGGAGCGGCTGCGTGACATTCCCGATGACAAAGCAAATGAGGAGTGTTTGTGCGGTGCTTGGCCGCCAGACAAAAACACCGCACGACTGTGGTAGACAGGCGTCTGCACCTTCTGTGGGAGAATGAAAGAATTCTTGTCAATGCGAGGGGGAGACGGAGAACCTGTATGTTGCTGTTTTTGGCCCACCACTTTGGGGGGACTGTCGAGGCTGAAGACACAATGCCGGGAGGAGTAAAACTCCTGCCTGTCGACATCGTCGCTGTCGTGCATCTCAAAGTCGCTGTCGTCCAGCAAGTCCAATGTGTTGCCGAGAGGGGCGCGGAAAGCGTCATCATCGGGGGGCTGCAAAGGGGGGGAGGACCAAGCTGGAAAGGGGAAGGAGGACCGAGCTCCAAAGGGGGAGGAGGACCAAGCTGGAAAGGGGGAGGAGGACCAAGCTCCAAAGGGGGGGAGGAGCGAGCTGCGAAGTGGGGGGAGGACCAAGCTGTGAAGGGGGGGGAGGACCAAGCTGCAGAGGGGGGGGAGGACCAAGCTGCGAAGGGGGGGGAGGACCAAGCTGTGAAGGGGGGGGGAGGACCAAGCTGCGGAGGGGGGGGAGGACCAAGCTGCGAAGGGGGGGGAGGACCAAGCTGTGAAGGGGGAGGAGGAGCGGGCTGCGAAGGGGGGGGAGGGATCTGAGGGCCAGGGGCATGTTGGTGAGACGAGGGACCAGCCCCCCCATGTGGACCAAGAAGTCCATAGAAGTCTGCTGCGTGATCGACTCCCGGTTGGGAGGTGAAGATTTTGGCACCAAATGTGGGGTTGGAGAATAGGAAGGGGTGAAGTTGATCGTACCACGGAAAATTGAGTAAAACCTGTTCTGAAAATCAAATAAGTTAAATCAAATAGAAAAGAACAGCAAAAAAAAATACTTACTGTGTAGATTAGCAGCCCCGTCGTTGTCGAGCGGAGTGACACCAGCGCCAGTCTGATAGAATTTGTCCAACTGCTCCTTAAACAGTCTTTAAAGACTATAAATTGAATTAGTAGCTATAAACACAATCAATAGCAACCACTTACCTGCCAATGTGATTGCCCACTGCTTTTTCAAATGTCTTGGGCTCCTGAGCGTATAGATGGGAGAGCTCATCGCCCGTCTCGAAGATCAGTTTGGCTAGGACTTGGTATATCGCCCCTTTGTCCTTGCCACAAGTGCGCTCCCCATCGCTTAAAGTGGAAGCTTGAGCTTTCTTTTCCTTGTAGAAATGAATGCGGGTGTCTGCAGAGTGAGTGGTGATATACTGTACCAGGATATCTGTGCGATGAAGGTCCGAGGGTCGCATCCAGTAAACAGTCGTCTTCGGTGTATTGGATTGTTGTGCTCGACCTTTACCTTGTCTACTAGGTTCAGGTGGTTGAGGGGGCAACTCCATTGCCCTTAGGCAACCTCGAGCGTTGGCTTGTAGTCTTGCAGAACGGCGGGCACGTTGACGAGCAGGAGGCATTGGTGTTCAAGCTCTGATTGAGAGATGCCGGCCGACACTGATGTAAAATTACCTTAGTCAGGTTTGTCAGGTTTCTACCGAGCATTCTACCGAGTCTAGAATTTTACTTTGACTCCCACTATTGAATTCACTAGTGGAACCAGCTGCGTTGACTTGTTAAAGCCAGTGAAATGCGCAGAGGTTCTATCAGAAAAAAGGGAATTTTTCTTAACAACACTTATGGTGACTTGAAGGTGATTCTAAGTAAGATTCAGTAGAATTCTGCTAAGTATGCCATTGCTTAAAACAAGTAGGGTCTTCTGATGAATATGACTTATTGTTACACTTATCAGCGCTTGACATAAGTACACAGTTAAGCAATGACATCAAGTGTGACCCATCATGTCAGATTCTCTCAAGACACATTGTAAGCTAAGTCAAAATAAGCAGACCAGAAGTAGAGCAAAAGACATCCAAGCATATCTTTCAAGTTAAGACTCCCAAGTTCCACACAGTTGATAGGTAAGTGAACAATTTAAGCACTCACACAACCGTTCAAGTTGGATGTATACCATTAAGATCATGATCAAGACAAAGCGGTCAGGGAAAGCATCAATTCAAGTGGTGACTAAGACAAAATGTGAATTAAGACGGCCAAGCAAAGGACATAAGCGTGATCATAAGAACCGCCAGAGTGGAATCAGGTCAGTAAGTAAACAAAGCACTGGCAAGCAAACCACCAGAAGAATGACAAGAACAAATATTACTACTCCACATCAGAGCCATTAGCATGATCCGAGTCTTCGGACCCAGACTCGGTGTGGGTGAGGAAATAGAGATGCGAACTCCGGGGAGTCACAAGAATATCTACCTTGAGGGGCAAGCTAGTAGAATCGTCCCTTAGGGGATGCTACTGAGTCAATCTCTCTAAATAATGAGAGGGATCAAGAGAAAGGCTCAAGTCAGAAGTGCGCGAAGGCGCGGGGCTGATGCGATGAACGCGCGGAACGCGCAAATCGTGCGGAAGAGTCGGAATACACGCGGTACATGCGTAGTAGGGGAAGAGCGGCGGAAGGTGGTAGGAACTCTCCTTGGCTGAGGAACGAGGCTTCACAAGACTAGGAAGATGATAGACAAATGCTGCAATGATATTAGCGCTCTAAGCGCAACTAGACAGAAAACTGATAGTGAGTCCAAGTAAGGGAAAAGTAAGTAAGTCTGAAATGCTCTGAGTCTTCTAGATATGTAGGTCGCTACGCACGCTCTCAGGGTAATGAAACGTAAGGGAAGCAGATAGGCTGTGCGGAAGCAGATAAGTATGTAACACTATGTAAAAGACCCTGGATGTGGTCAGAGACGGAGATGACAGTGAGAGTACGTACCAACGGTACCGGACATACAGGACAGGACATGGGAGGGTATACCGAACTTAGCGCCGGGCTGCGGAAGGGTGCGCAATGTCGCGGATCGTTGCACATGCTGCGGAAGGTTGCGGAAGGTCGCGCGTGTAGTGCGCGTCTCTATAGAACTACGCATGTGTTGGGATAGGGATGAGGTTGATGTACAAATGAGGGGATATGAGCCTGTAGAGATATTGCTCTCTACATCGGACTCCGAGATGTCCATGAGCTGGGTGCATTCATCAAGATCTTCATCATCCACAGTGTCATCGACAGCTCTATCATTGCCAGAACAATGGCTCTTCTCCTTAGCAGAAGTGATGACAGCTTGGAACTTCTCCTCTCAGAAGCTTTTCATGATCAACTTCACATATGAGCACGTGGAAGAACCCCAGGTAACGTCATTGAAGCCCGTTTGGTGATTGGAGACTTTGCCGGTTGAGTGATTGAGCATCTTCGGCAAGGGTATAGATTTGCCCTTGGCAGCGAGAATCATTTCGAGGATGTGTTGAATTGCAGCCACCCTCTCAACTGTTACAGTGGCCCCATCATTTTCCCATCATCACTCTTCTCCAATCTATTCTTGCTATCTCTGACTGCTTATCAACATGCTCTGCATGAACGTTCTAGATACTTCTGTCTATTCTTGTTATCTCTGACTGCTTATCAACATGCATCACATGAACATTCCAGATAGTTCTTCGATGTTCTTCTTGACTCCCTTACTTCCATAGTCGGCTTGGTCTGTGCCCTTCTTGTTCACTATAAATACCGTGATAGCTACACTTGTATTTCTCTAACTTGAATCTACTTGGTACTATCCGATACTTGATTATCTTCTGAGGAAGATACTTGATTCCGATCTAGCTCCTAAAGAGAGACTAGCCTTTACTCGAACTTCGTCTAGAGGGAGAGCCCCTCAGACATCTAAACCGAACATCGTAACATTAGAACTCCTTTATTGGATTAGTTACACAAGAACTATCCAAGGCGTAACACTCAACGAGCAACATTGGCATAATGAGACCTTGGAGGATTTTTATCCTGCAACTCATGGTAAAGTAGTTAGAGATGATTTTCCAGTGAAGTACATGGGAACACAGTTGGGCAACATGCACCTCACAAGCCTGTGGTAAATGCATCTTTTTTCCATAAAGACATGCAAAGTCACAACTCACACCACCCTGGTATACCTGGTGTACACTAGAGAGCTCAGTAGTTGTTAGGAAACAATACTGAAGGTGACATGCGGTGTGGTGAACAGCGACTTTAACCAGATCCCTTCCTGTAGTGCGTGCGTAATGGCCATGTATTCGGCTTTGGTTGAAGAAAGTGCATGTGTGGTCTGCTTTTTAGATACATGCACGATGAGGCCACTTGTGAAGAACCAAGTGTATCCAGAGATGGAAAGACAATCTTTAGGTGAGCCTGCCCAGTCAGTATTGCAGTAACCGTGTAAAAGTTCAGGGTTCTGCTAAGATAGCAAAGTAATTGCTTGGCGTCCACATAGAAATGAGGAGCTGGGTGAGTGCAATGTTGCACAACTTGAAGGGCATGAACCACACATGCAATCTCTGCTCTGGAACAGACGGACAGATATAGTAGCTCACCAACTATCTTATGATAGCGGGTAGGAAGATTTGTGATGTTGTCGTGGATATCTGTCTCGAGGCCGAAAAGATGTTTGGCATCTATGTGGAGCTGGATAGGGTTAAATCTCCTCCTTTAAAACTTCCCGGAGAAAGGCTCGTCTGGCATCGAACATATCTAGTTCCCAGTCGTTGTGGGAAAAACCTTGTACAACCAGTCATGCCTTCTGGACCAGCCCACTCTTATTTCATCAGGAAAAACCCTCTGGCTATATAGAACTATATGACAGGACTTCAACTTTAGGGAAATTTCAGAGCAATTATAGATTATGAATAGATTATGAATAGTTGGCATAATCTATAATTGTTTTGAAAGTTCCCTAAAGTTGAAGTCCTGTCATATACAGTGGCTCAAAAAAGTGTCCCAATGTTTGTGCAGTTTCATGTAATTGCATTATGGCGAGCCAAGGCGTGTGAATCTGATGTGGCAGTGCAGACATATTTGGTAGTAATACCTTCTGGCTCGAATCTGAGCTATGTGGCGTGGGAAACGGAGCTTACAGAGCGGAGATATGATAATTCTACAATTGTGACTCATTGGGACACTTTTTTGACTTTGAGTTTAACAACTGCAATATTTATGATTATTGGACATTGTTGAAAACACCAAAACCATCTACAGGGGCTATTTGAGCTATAGGAGAGATGTGGAGAAGAGTATGGGAATGTTTTTAAGCAGAAATGTATAGGATTGATGGAAAATATATTTATGAGACTAGTAGCAATGATTAAAGTCAAGGGAGGAAGCATCAAACATCAGAATCATAAATATTGCAGTTGTTAAACTCAAAGTCAAAAAAGTGTCCCAATGAGTCACAATTGTAGAATTATCATATCTCCGCTCTGTAAGCTCCGTTTCCCACGCCACATAGCTCAGATTCGAGCCAGAAGGTATTACTACCAAATATGTCTGCACTGCCACATCAGATTCACACGCCTTGGCTCGCCATAATGCAATTACATGAAACTGCACAAACATTGGGACACTTTTTTGAGCCACTGTAGTTCTATACAGTCATCAGCAAATCATTGTGTTCCTTATTGTTCCTTAATTTACTTAAAAAATTTATCAAGGTGGCTAAGGAGAATAAATAGAATTAAGGAAACATCAGTCATATTATTTGTGTGCCTGAAATTTCTTGAACACACCACTTTGTAGTATTTTGCTTATAACTCATTAGAGTCTGTTCGGCCATGGAATTTAGGCCAACTTAACTTATGAAATTTGTATCTAGAAATGCTTTGTCATGATTTGTAATGACAGAGAATCAAAGTAGATGTCACGCTCAGCGCTGCGCTTGTCATCGATAAGGATATTGTACTCACCATAGCTGTCAACAACATGAATCCCGACGATCCCGCCCACGAAATGGACCCCATCGACCCACATGACCCAGCCAATGAACCAGCTGATGAAGATATGACTATTCTCGAAGATATTGATGGAAGTACGGCAGTCGGCAGTATAGATGAGTTGGAGAAGTGGATCTTCAAGGCGTTACTTGGTGCCTCTCAAGCGGCCACGGTAGTTTCATCTGGTGCCTCAAAGGCCATTTCACTTTACACGCAGTCATACTATGACAAGGAGCCTTACCATACATCTATTCTTACAGGATTAGGATGGGTCAATGAACTACTTACAGGACACCCAGATTGTATACACTGTGAACTTGGTGTGCATTGTCACATATTTTATGTACTGTTATCTCTACTTTGTGATTCCGGGTGCCATGATTCAAAATTTGTGATGCTCGAGGAGCAACTTGCTATATTTCTGTATGCTATTGTCACAGGGCTGTCTACTCGTCACCTTGGCGAACAGTTTCAGTGCTCAAATGAAATGATATCAAAGTAAGTTAATTCCTGTCCTTGAGTCCTTGAAACACTGAACTTTCAAAGGTATTTCAAACACATACTCAATGCATTTGTGTCCCGCCCTATCTATCAAGCATACATTCGGCTCCCTTGCACAGATGATCCGGTCCCTCTCGAAATACTGCAAAACTCGAAATACTACCCCTACTTCACTGACGCCATTGTGCCATCGACGGTACTCACATCCCTTGTCACCCCGACAGCAAAGAGCGTGATGCTGCACGCAATCACAAGGGCACATTAACTCAGAACTGCCTTGCCGTGTGTACATTCAACATGTCCTTTTTATACATCTTGACCGGTTGGGAGGGATCAGCGGCCAACACCCATGTATACTACCTTGCTCAGATTAAGGACTTCAACATTCCTGCCAGAAAATACTATCTTGCCGACACAAGATTTGGAGCCTGTGACGAGTTACTTGTACCGTATCGCAATGTGCGCTATCACCTAACTGAATGGGGTAGGGGCCGTCTCAAGTAAGTTTCATTTTAATTGCCTCATTTTCTTACTGAAATAATATACATGTAGGCCTTGCAATCATAGGGAACTCTTCAACCTACGTCACACCATGCTCCAGAACATAATCAAGCACATTTTTGGTGTGCTCAAGAACCGCTTCCGAATTCTATCCCTCCCCCCTTTCTATCCCATGAGTGTCCAAGCTCGTATCCCCCCTGCAGTGTGCCTAGTGCACAATGTCATCCAGGTCCATGACCCGGATGACATGATGGATTACCGCCGAGCTGACGATGACAACAGTATTTATGCAGGGTCTGAGCATCACACCAGCATGCTTGCTGAGGGTCCTCCCTCCGACGAGGCTCATACTTGTGCCCATGATCGTTGTGATGCTATTGCACGCCAAATGTGGGCAGACTACAACAGGGTTCGACAGGAGAGAGGCGAGTCTATTGTTGTAGATGACCTTGAGTAGTACTACCATTCATTTACCTGATCACACAATGTATGTTGCAAGCAAACAAATTGTATTGGATTCTATGAAAGCAGTACGAAAACAAACGAGGAGCAGACAAACTAACTAATATACTTCATTAAGAAAAGTTTGTGGACAGTGTCCCTCTTGATTGTGAGATAAGAATCAGCAATAGAAACATCAGCACAAAAGTGTTCAATGATGGCAACCACCTCATGGTCCTCTAGACCCTCCTGCACCTGAAGGATAGCTTTCTGCTTGCGCAGCGGGATCAGATCCACGGAGTGCGTGATGCTGTGCGCTCTTCCAAGGTGGTTGTGGCACGATCAAAGCACATGGTGAGACCCTTGGAGAGTCCCTGTATCTCAGAGCCCACTTGCTGGACGGCCTCAGGCATGCTAATGCGGGCAGATTTGATGCCAGCCTGATGCCGATGAACTGATGACGGACTTGGAGGAATTTGGGGTGAATGAGCATTTGCGAGTTGTTGTTGTTGTTGTGGTCATCTTTGCGCTTCCCCTTCCCCTTCCCCTTGCCCTTAGGTGAGACACCAGAGACGGAAATTAGCATGGTGGAAGATGCCCCCGGTGTTGAGGGAACAAAGGTAGGTTGGCTGGCAGAATCGAAGGAGGAGGAGGACAAGATCATCATGGTGTCGCTGTCCTTGTCAGAGGTTTTGCTGGCGCCACTCTTGAGACTCTCCAGCACTTGGGACTGCTCCAGCGCGTCGACTTCTTGGAAGCTAAAGGTGTGGCTGGTCGCACTCGCACCCGCCTCTGAGTTGGGGCCATGTTGAAGCAGGGGGTGATATGCGTGACTGCCATGCGCCTTTGATGGCAGGATGGCGCTCATCTTCTCATATGGTAACCACCCCTTGCTTTTGAAGCTCTTCGCAAGGGGGATTTCCTGGATTGAAAAATTTAGTGGTACTAGTAAAAACAGTAGATAGAATGTACCTTAACGAGATCTGCCCAAACAGACTCTGACTCAGGTGTGATGTTGGCGCCAGTCTCATTGCTCCATGAAATTACGGAAAAATTTGCGACCCAGTTGACAACTGAATAGGTGGCGTGCATCTTGAGTCATTTTAGTACTATAGGAGGACAGAGGGAGCACACAAAAACATACCCTAGCCCATTTCTGTTGACACGCCTCAGCTGTTTTCACTGCACTGCTTGTGGTGGTGTGTGCTACATCGCTGGCAGCCTGCGTCCAAAATGTCTTATCAAAATTGAGTCCGTCACCCCCTTTTGCTTTATGGGTGGTGACATAGTCCAGGAGACGTAACTCATCAGCGGTTGACCAGTGACATCTTTCAGCTTCCTGGCCCGCTGATTCACCCTGCTTCTTCTCATCTGTTGCCTTTTTTCGCCATAGATGTGTTTGAAGGCAGGGAGAGGACACCACTGAATTTTGAGTGGGTATTAACCCTGGACCTTGAAGGTTTGTTCTGAGTTTGAGTTGCTGGCATGTTGACTGTTCACTATCTCTTGATTATTGATTGTCACACTGATGTCACACAGAGCTTACACGACAAAGCATTTCTAGATACAAATTTCATAAGTTAAGTTGGCCTAAATTCTGTGGCTGAATAGACTCTTAGGATCTTAACTAAAAAATGTCATGAGACTATGGAAAGACTACCCTTGACAAGGGTTACAACTTTGATTTTCATCGGAAAGATTCCCACGGTCTACCCTAGTCATTCCTTATCATGGTCCTTAATCAAAATCCTAGTCCCTAATAAGCAAAAACTCGAATTTTCATCAAGTCTTTCTTTACTATTGGTATTCCTGTTGGTATTCCTAGTCTTAATAAGCAAACATCAGTCACATTACTTGCGTGGCTGAACTTTCTTGCACACACCACTTTGTAGTATTTTGCTTATAACTCATTAGGATCTCAACCAAAAAATGTCATGAGACTATGGAAAAACTACCCTTGACAAGGGCTATAACCTTGATTTTCTTCGAAAAAATTCATAAGGTCTACCATAGTCACTCCTTGTCAAAATCCTAACGGTAGTAGTCAAATGTGCGAAAATTTTGCCAAGTCTTTCCCCTAATGAGTTGCCTTAACTATTGTGGGAATTTGTGCAGGACGCTGCACAAATTCCCACAGTTGACTTTTACCGTGTAAGTCCTCTCAACTGTCTTCTCTTTCTTCACTCTTTTCCTTATTTTTGTTGCACCTCTTCCTTCTTATTTCTGCTGCCAAGTCCTGGGTGTTGGTGGTTGGTGGTGTCGGTAGTGTGGTTTTCTAAGCTAGCCGTGGCATGAGGCTAGCTTAGAATTTAGTCTACATGTGAATTAGGCAAGGTGGCACAGAGCCAGTGGTAGTGTTCTGGTGATGGCGGAATACCTGAAATAGAAGGTGGTACCCATCTGTTTGCAGTCTCTGGAAATCACTGTTAGATCAGTCTTATCGATGTGTTGATGTATCAATGTAATATCAATGTGCGATATCACCTCCACTCGACATCAAGCCATCAAGCCGTGTCCCACCCACTCCAAAAATGAGCAATAAAAAGCCCAAAGACTGGTGGTGGGGATATTTTGATACCCACCCAGATTTCGAGAAGAAACTCCCTGTGGCCTATGCAAATGAGAAAGAGAGACGACCAAAAGTGATGCACGGAGCATGCAAGATTAAAAAAAAATGATTGACGAGCAGCAGAAGGACTGTGAGGAGCAGTGCCAAGGCCTGCGAAATGATGTACGAACACATGATCAAATCATTGCATATTGTAAGTGTCTTAATACTACACCATGCTCTGAAGTTCTGTTAGTTATCTTTTTTTCAGTGTGGTCACGATCAGAGAGTTTGATCAAGGACCAAAATTGTCCGTGGATGCATGGAAGACCTGATACCATAGTCCCCCATCTCAATTCTTGTGATAATCAACCACCAGAAGTCTGCGCACAGGCACACACTGTGTGTATCGAAAGGGGGTGGATCAAGGCACCGAGATTTGCTCATGAGGTTTTTAGTTTGAATTCACCACAATTATCAGGTGTCAGTCTCAGTCTCAAATCACCCATGAATTTCCAACAATCATCGCAGTTGCCTTCTCCACTTGTTGGATTATTTGATGTTCCAGCCGTGGATTCAAGTATCCCATCCTCACGATCTCAGTCACCACTATTATTCCGCCCCACCTCATCTCATACTGGTAGTCCAGCTTTTGGTGAAGGATCCCGGCCAACCCCATCAAAATGGGTGCGTCAGATATCGCAGTCTTGGAATCACATGATAGATACCCCAACTACTACCGGAGGCACTCCTTCACAGCCGCACTGGACACCAGCTTTTCAGGAACACTTCAAGACTCATATGGCTGACATCACTGTGTCATACAAGTTCTCCCTCAATTGGATCGAAAATCAAGCAGTTCGTAGCTTCATGAATGAGTTTTTCCCCTTTGCGAATCCAATCTCAAGTTATCAACTCTCCAATCACATTATTCCACGTGAAGTCAAAAGGTACCAGCAAGCTGCCAAAAACCATTGTTGTGGAAGCGACACGACACTCCAGACAGATGGATGGACAGATGCAAACTTTCGCTACCTGCTGGTGTTCATGATCACAACAGCGAGTCGACAGGCAAGACTATTTTCATTTTGAGTTTGCCTATAGTGATTCAAAAAAAATCAAATCCACACAGTTCAAGTAGTAGATGTATTTGCTCAGCGAAAGACTGCTCAACACCTCAAAATTCTCATTATCAATGTTATTGAAGAGGTTCGGCTCATCGGGAAGGTAAATATTGTGGCTGTTACATCAGATGCATCGGGCGAGTCTCGGGCAGCTCGAAAACGGCTCGTCGAGGAGTTTCCATCATTAGTATCTGCAGATTGCTATGCTCACCAGGTAATTACGTCTGGTGTCTCATTTGCCAATCCAAGTTATTAATACTACTCTCGCAAAGATCAATCTTATTGTTGGCAACTATTTCAAGACATCTGGTGGCACAGTTTACCTGGGATACTCAAAGAAAGCATCTGACCTCATTTCTTGGCTTCGAAGCACAACCCTTGTTCTAGCAACACTAAGAGATATACATGTTGCCCTCAATTCAACTAATCCATCCCATCCTCACTGTGTCCTCACCGTAATCCGTGCAGTTTTGACACGATGGACTGCTCATTATCTTGCCTTCAGATGACTTCTTGATCTTAAATTTGCACTCGACATTCTCATCAGGCAGGAGAAGAGTCTCGGACAAGATTCAAATATAATTACAGGTGACACGGCCTCACAAAAAAAGGCAACAGAGATGCTGGGATTGATTGAAGACCCAGTGATGTGGATGACCCTGGCTCAGTAGAAATAATTTCTTTTTCATTGAGTATCAGCTGAATCAAAATTTTCGTAGGATGGTCGGTCACCTGAAGCCCTTATCATTGGTAATGTCATATCCCATACATGAGGTTTCTCATCCGGCCCGGTCCACCCGATTTCTCGGGTCCGTTCTAGAATTCATTTCCCTGAGTCCCCATTTGTATATGCTTCTTTCTGCCCCTATGTGTCCGGATCCTTCTGACAGTTAATATCCGGGTCCATTCTGATCTGTCCATTAGTCTATTCATTTCCCTTTCATTTAACTCGTCCCCTTTGTTCTATTTCATATCCGGCCCCACTTTCGATCGTCCGCAGTTATGTTTTACTCACTAGTATGTTTTCTACATAGCTTTATGTTCCGAGGACTGCGCTTCGGCCGGACGTCCGTCGGATACCTTATAGTATATAAACCCCTTGTAACCCGTAGTATATCCTCAGTTCGAATATCATCTTAGACTCAGTTCATTCCTCATTTCCCTCGGCTCTTGGGATTGTCATCCTAGTCCGACCCTCCAAGCCTCGGGATTATATCCCTAAAGGCTCAATCCCTCCGCTTCTACCTTCGGGTAGCCCATACCCTGTTAGTTTCTACCCGGACGAAGTCTCGGGTAGCCTCCCCTCTTTCGTCCAGCCCATCCATATACCTTGGCCGACGATATCTACCCCCTGTAAATTAGGGGCACATACTCGGGTAAAGAGCGCAGCGCACGAGCTGAAGCTAAGCCCCTCTGGTCCGACCCGTTGAACACGGTCTTAACAGTATATTCGAACTCACACTTTACCGAGTATACTTATCATCATGGCTCCCACTCAGACAACCAGAACCAACCTCGCCGCGGCCGGTTTTCTAGCCAGCTCACGTAACGCTGCGTCCGACGCACAGAACTTCACCGGCTTCACTCGTCGTCGTACGAGCGTACTAAGAACCCCCACGGACAGCATCTCACAAATCATAAACCGCCCGCACCCAGAAACTCCTACTCGCCCGACAACCCCCGGACCAACAGACCCGGATGGGCCTGACGACAGTGGTGATTCAGATCCGCCGGGCGATGATGGGGATGACCCATTTGGTGGGCCCCCAGAGGACGAAGATGATGGGCTAACCCCCGCTGACAGAATCTTCCTCCGCTTCTCTCAAGCCATTGAGAACCTTGCCCGCACTACGCGGAAATCCCCATCCGAAGACTCCAAAGTCAAGGTTCGGGAACCCGATACTTTTGACAGGTCCGAACCTCGCAAACTCCGCGCATTCTTCGTCCAATGTGAACTCAACTTCCAGAACAAGGTCCGCTCTTTCCGCACGGACCGGGCTAAAGTCAACTTCGCCCAGTCCTACTTGAAGGGCATGGCCCTGGAGTATTTTGAGCCCGACCTCCTGTCCGGTGCAACTAATGACCGCCCGGACTGGATGGATGACTATGCTGAGTTCATGCTAGAACTCCAGACCAACTTCGGCCCCCATGACCCGGTCGGGGATGCAGAAATGCAACTCGAACAACTCATTATGCGCGACGGACAGCACATTAATAAATATGTAGTAGAGTTTCAACGACTTGCTTCCCAGGTCCGAGGTTTGGGCGACGGAGCATTACGCCGTCAGTTCTATAACGGACTTCCGGCCCGCATCAAGGACGAGATTTGTCATCAGGGTAAACCCATAACCCTCGCCGAATTCAGATCCCTATCCCAGTCCATCGACGCCCGATACTGGGAACGCAAGGGTGAGACCTCCCGCGAGGTAAAGCCCTCCACATCTGCACCTCCTACGAAACCATATGTACATACCTCCTACTCGATCCTTCACACCCGCTACTGACCGGACAACCCCTTCCGGAAGTAAACCCTCCAAGCCCTCCACCTCCTCCTCACAGCAACCGGACTTGTCCTCAAAATTAGGCAAGGACGGTAAACTGACATCCGAGGAGCGCCAGAGGCGCATGGACATGAGGCTCTGCCTTTTCTGTGGTGGACCCGGCCATACGGCCCGGGACTGCTCCAAATCGACCTCGCGCGCTGCCACAGGCCGTGCAACTACAGTGGCCCCGGATGCTATTCCCGAGGCCCCTGTTGAGGCAAAAAATTAGTCTGTGACCCTCCTGACTCCGCGCGGGGCGAGGGTCTCGTTGACTCAACCTGCGCATTGGAGTTACGACTCAACGCTGTCGCACTCACGAACCCATCATCACTCCGTCCATTTGTATCCATATCCGCATATCCGAACATTGCCCAATTCCCGGCTTTGATAGATTGCGGGTCCTCACACTGTTTCATAGAGACAAGCTTCGTCCGAAAGCACGGACTCTCTACCTATGCTATTCCTCCGCTCTCGCTCCATTTATTTGATGGTACTTCTAACGCTACCATTACACAAGCAATAGATTTACCGATCCGATTCGCATCCGGTGTAGTAACCTCCGATACATTTTATGTAACTCCTTTGGATTCATCTTGTGTTATCGTCCTTGGATATAGCTGGCTCTCCCGACACAATCCATTGATTGACTGGGTTAAGGGCAGCATCGAGTTCCGGACGATACCACATGAAATGCCATCGCCTTCCCCGACGTCATCAGATCCGGATTCCCCGGACATCCTTCCTCCGACTTCACCAGGCCCCTCGGGTCCTTCCACTGATAAAACCGCTCCTCACATTTCCTTAGTCAATGCAGTCGCCTTTTGTCGGGCCTGTAAACTTCAAGGTTCGGTCCAGTTCAGCATATACCTTCGTCCTACTGGCATCGACCTCCGGTCCGCTTCACTCTCGTCCAAACCCCCGGACCTATCTAGAGTCCCCTCGGATTACCATGAGTACGCGGACGTATTCGACAAAGGCAAAGCCAGCCAACTTCCTCCTCACCGGCCTTATGACCTGAAGATCGATTTAGAGGACGGCTCTGCCCCGCCCATCGGTACTATATATTCCCTTTCCCCAGTTGAGCTTGTAGCTCTCCGCAAGTTCCTAGATGAGAACATTGCGACTGGTCTCCTCCGCTCCTCTTCCTCCCTGCACGGAGCTCCGGTCCTTTTTGTCAAAAAGAAGGACGGATCACTTCGGCTCTGTGTGGAGTTCCGAGGCCTCAATAAGATCACGAAGAAAGACCGCTACCCACTTCCCCTCATAGCCGACCTCCTAGACTCTCCGAGCCGTGCAAAGGTCTACACCAAAATCGACTTGTGCTCGGCTTATCACCTTGTCCGCATGGCGGAAGGTGATGAGTGGAAAACCGCGTTCCGGACCTGTTACGGGTCCTACGAGTGGTTGGTTATGCCCGAGGGACTCACTAATGCCCCGGCGGCTTTCCAATGTTTTGTCAACACTATCTTTGCCGACTTACTGGATGTATATGTCATCGTATATCTTGACGACATCCTTATCTATTCTCACGACCTCGCATCCCACAAACAACATGTCCTTGAAGTCCTTCGTCGGCTCTGTAAGCATCGCCTATATGCAAAACTGGAGAAGTGCGAATTCCACTCCGACTCGGTTGAATACCTCGGCTACCTACTTTCCCCTACCGGCCTGACCATGTCGTCCGAGAAGATCCAATCCATCATCGACTGGCACGAGCCCCGGAAGGTAAAGGACATTCAGTCCTTCCTCGGGTTTGCCAATTTCTACCGACGGTTTATCTTTAATTACTCGGACATTGTTGTACCTCTCACCCGGCTCACTCGGAAAGATGCCCCCTGGGATTTCTCTGATAAATGCCGGACGGCCTTCAACACCCTCAAAACCGCTTTCACATCGGCTCCAGTGCTTACGCACTGGATGCCCGATGTCCCAATTGTTGTGGAGACAGATGCCTCGGACTATGCCATCGCTGGAATCCTTTCTATCGTTTGCCCGGACACAGAACTTCGTCCGGTTGCATTCTATTCCAGGACATTAACGGCTCCCGAGCTCAATTATGATACCCACGACAAAGAACTCCTCGCCATCTATGAAGCATTCCGGTCCTGGCGCCATTATCTTGAAGGCTCGGCCGAGCCAGTTGATGTTGTCACGGACCACAAAAACCTTGAATACTTCGCTACAACTAAACTCCTTTCTCGCCGGCAAGCTCGCTGGTCAGAATTCCTTCATCAATTCAACCTCATCATTCGTTTTCGGCCGGGAAAACTCGGTGCTAAACCCGACTCCCTAACTTGTCGTTGGGACGTCTACCCCAAAGAGGGGGATAAGGACTACGCTCGAGTTAACCCTCACAACTTCCGGCCCGTATTTGCCACGGAGCAACTCGCTTCGTCCCTACGAGCATCCGACCTAGCAATCCCCGTACTACGCGCATCAGTATTAATGGATGGTGAACAACTCCATATCGATATCCTATCCGCCCTTCCGGACGACCCTATCGCTTCTACTCATCTCCCGAACCCTTCGGACCCGAGATGGACAGTGGACGACAATGGATTCCTCTGTTGCGATAACCGCAGGTTTGTTCCCGAATCCAACGACCTCCGTTTATGGGTCCTACAGAATACCCATGACCACCCCCTATCTGGTCACTTCGGTCAGAACCGGACCCTAGAGCTAATCCGTCGGGAATATACTTGGCCGGGAATACGTGCCTATGTTAAAGATTATGTTAAGTCCTGCACTACGTGTTCTCGGGCTAAAGTCCCTAGACATAAACCCTACGGCCTACTCAAGCAACTCCCCATCCCCGAGAAACCCTGGAACTCTATTTCCATGGACTTTATAGAACAACTCCCGTCCTCGGCCGACTTCACGGCCATCCTGGTCGTCATAGACCGCTTATTCAAACAAGCCATATTCATCCCTACTTTCGATACAATCACCTCCCCGGATCTCGCACAACTTTTCCTGTTACATGTATTCTCCAAGCACGGAGTCCCGTCCCATGTCACCTCCGACCGAGGCACGGAGTTCGTCTCTCACTTCTTCCGCTCCCTCGGGAAAGCACTGGACATGACCCTGCATTTCACCTCGGGTTATCATCCAGAAGGCGACGGTCAGACCGAGCGCGCCAATCAAACCCTCGAACAATACCTCCGGATCTACTGTAATTACCAGCAAGACAACAGGTCCGAGCTCTTGCCCTTGGCAGAGTTCGCATACAACAATGCTCCTAGTGCTACCACGGGTGTTTCCCCCTTCTTCGCTAATAAGGGTTATCACCCGAACATATCCATACATCCAGAACGAGACCTCTCATCCGCCCGGGCCCGAGAATACGCCATTGACCTCGATGAGCTCCATCAATTCCTTCAGGATGAGATGTCTTATGCGCAGGATCGATATCAAGGCCCGGCCGACGCTAGACGTAAGCCCGCACCGGATCTCCAGGTCGGACAACAAGTCTTCGTCAAAGCCAAGTACTTCCGCTCCACCCGTCCGTCGAAGAAACTATCCGAAAAGAACCTCGGACCCTTTGATATCATCGCCCGCCCGGGCACCCATTCCTTCACAATCCGCCTCCTGGACACAATGTGATCTGTACATCCCGTCTTCCATGTTTCCCAACTCAAACCCACAACCCCGAACACCATCCCTAACCGAATCCAACCACCTCCCCCACCCGTCTCAGTTGACGGGGAACCCGAATACGAGATTTCTGGAATCCTCGATACCAAAATCGACCGTAGAAGACGGACGTGTCAACTACTTTACTTAGTTAGGTGGGCCGGTTATCAGGGGACGGACGAAGAAACATCGTGGATCCTCGCTACCGAACTTGGAAACGCGTCCGAACTCGTACAAGACTTTCATTCAGCATATCCGGACAAGCCGGGTCCTATTGTTGTACAGTAAAAAGACAAAGAAATGATACATTGTACATAGGGAAGAGACATCCGGATCATCCGGACCACCCTACTCCTCCATTCCAGCCCCATCTCCGGATTCCTCCTCCTCACCCTCCTCAGTCCCTTCCTCAGTATCCGGCCCCTTCTCCAACTCCCTCTCCCTCTGGAAGAACATCCTCATCTCAGTCAGAAAGAGGGCCTGGAAGACCCTCTGTTGCTCCAGGAGCCGGCCGATGGCACCAGTGCTACTTTCGGCCGCTTCAACAGTCCTCTCGAGAAGACTGTTGGTCCGGGCCAACTCTGCGACCATGTCATTGACAGCCGCCACCCAGGCCTGGTCGTCGTACTCCTGGAAACCCGGCTCCTCGCTGATGATGCTGGGCAAGGGGCCGGGGACGATCTCAACAGAGTCGTCCAAAGGAACCGGACTCCTCTGACGCCTCTTCGCCTTACCCTTAGGAGAAGGAGTCCCTGCAGCACGGGCCCGCTTCTTACCTTTCCCCTTCTCCTTCTCCTTCTCCTTCTCCGTACTCGTCCGAGCAGGTGGCGCCCCACCATAGCACTTCATCTTCGCAGTGCGACAATGGTCACACGCGTTGACCGGCTTCAGAAATCAGTAAAATATCACGTCCGGACGTAAAAATGTACTCACCCGACCCGAGGCTGACACGTCCGAGTAAACGCAGGCCCGATCCTTAATGGAGCAGGGCTTACAGGGTCGTCCGACGTCCTTAAAGCCCACAGAAACCTATGTCCATCAGACAAAAACATCGTCCGACGAAATGCGCTACTCACTGCAGGCCCGGACGAAACAGACTTCTCAGCAAGCCTCTTCCGGGTCTCCTCTATGTCCTTCTTCTTCTGCTCCTCCCTTAATCTCTCCTCCTCCTTCAGCTTCTCCTCCTCCAAACGCTTCCTCTCGGCTTCTACTTCCGCAAGTAATCTCTCTTCCTCCTGGGCCAGCTCTTGCCGCGCTGCGTTTAGCCGGGCCCGGATGGCCGCAAGTCGGGCATTAGTAGCCGGGGTAGAGTCGGATGGGGTCTGGGACATGGTAGTGGAGTTGGTGGGTGGTTAGAATTAAAGGGAATGGCGTCCCACCCAAACCCTTAACCTTTTATCAAATTTTCGCTAAAATCCGGATCCGTTCTCGCGCTCTTATCATTGGATCGGATATCCGGCCTCGGCCTCATGGGCTCGGCCTTAATGGGGGGATACTGTCATATCCCATACATGAGGTTTCTCGTCCGGCCCGGTCCACCCGATTTCTCGGGTCCGTTCTAGAATTCATTTCCCTGAGTCCCCATTTGTATATGCTTCTTTCTGCCCCTATGTGTCCGGATCCTTCTGACAGTTAATATCCGGGTCCATTCTGATCTGTCCGTTAGTCTATTCATTTCCCTTTCATTTAACTCGTCCCCTTTGTTCTATTTCATATCCGGCCCCACTTTCGATCGTCCGCAGTTATGTTTTACTCACTAGTATGTTTTCTACATAGCTTTATGTTCCGAGGACTGCGCTTCGGCCGGACGTCCGTCGGACACCTTATAGTATATAAACCCCTTGTAACCCGTAGTATATCCTCAGTTCGAATATCATCTTAGACTCAGTTCATTCCTCATTTCCCTCGGCTCTTGGGATTGTCATCCTAGTCCGACCCTCCGAGCCTCGGGATTATATCCCTAAAGGCTAAATCCCTCCGCTTCTACCTTCGGGTAGCCCATACCCTGTTAGTTTCTACCCAGACGAAGTCTCGGGTAGCCTCCCCTCTTTCGTCCAGCCCATCCATATACCTTGGCCGACGATATCTACCCCCTGTAAATTAGGGGCACGTACTCGGGTAAAGAGCGCAGCGCACGAGCTGAAGCTAAGCCCCTCCGGTCCGACCCGTTGAACACGGTCTTAACAGGTAATCAACATTGCTCAGGCTGTGCACTGTCGTCTCGATGAAGTTCTGATCATTTTCGGCTATCTAATATCAAGATATATTGTGCTACAAGGGAAGGCTTCGTCAGTCCAAGAGAATTCAATGATCCAGTCTATCTCAATTCTCTCGAAAAGTGCTGGAGCAAATGTGATCAAGATGTATTTCTAGATGCAGTTGTTTTGAATCCCCTTTACAGGATCAAGCCCTTCGCTCGCCTTCACAAATTTACCAATGCAGGACTCATGACACTATTTGTCAAATTATGGGGTCAATTTTTCCCTAATACACCCTCCAACGAGTTTCAAAAGGAGCTCTTGGAGTATCTAGAAGGACATGGGGACTACAGTGAAGAATTTATAAACTGGGTGGACTTGGTTCGAAGTGCGACTGAGGTCGAGGTATGTTTAATCTGTCTATTACTATTTTTCTCGTCACTCGACACTGCAAATTGTAGCGAAAATGTCCCGACCCTCTCAAGATGTACGACAGCATACATTTTCAAGACGTCAAGCCAACACCACTGCAGAAATTCACTCAGCAAATGTTTCCGATCTGTGCAAACTCGGCCTCTTGTGAACGTCTTTTCAGCACAACACTCACAAAACTTTGTTCGCGCCTCAGTCTTAGAGGCCTCACAGACTGGACAGAATTGCACTTGCATTTGCGAGACAAGTATATGCAGATGGGGGACAAAAAGGGCTGTCTGCATTGCACAAGGAAAATCATCCCCGACCCACTACCCCCACCAGCCACTATGACTATAACTCCTGCAGACTCTGTTCCTGATGATCTATCATCAGAGTCTGAGCAGCCGGAAACTCAGGATGGAGACACCATTGATGATGACCACTCACTCGGGCACATCACATCTGTTCTTGCATAGCATTCATTAGAAGACGAGAACACCATAGCCATGGGGTCTGCATTCAATGATATCCCCCTTCAACAACTTTTCAACTTCGAAGATGAGAGCTGGGTAAAAATGACAGAAGCGTTCGGGATGAGATCAATTGATGATGAATTCAAGTTTTATGAGTTAGTCGACATGGATGCGGAAGGTGAAGATGATGAGCAAATGTTCGACGACATGATGAGTAGTACAATCTAGCCCTTTATCTCCAGCCAATGATATTGTGTTCTTCCAGCTTAGTCACCACTGCTGTACCGCCAGTGGCTGAGCCAAACCTGTTTTCGAGGCTAGTCAGTGGCTGGCCACTGGCACTAGAAACACTGCACAGATGTTCATCAATAAAAGCCTTGGCAGCTTCAGTTTCTTTCGATTCAAACCTCTCCAAGATTGAAGGTCCAAGCAAGCCATAGTGCGAAAACCTTGTTCAGACTTGGCTTGATTTTGCTTGATTTTTGTGTTTTTTTGGAGCAATAGTTGTGGAGATATTGTGTTTTTCGAATTGATGTTGACTACTTTAATTAAAAATTTAATAATAATGATTTGGCTCACCAGCTTTGGCTTTGGCTGGGGTAAAGAGGAAATTGAAAGTCTAAAACAGTTTCAGATTCAAGCTAAAGTTGGACAGGAACATTCCAATGGAAGCAGCAGTCATCTGGGCTGAAGGTCAAGCTGATCTTGAATAATTGCATGTCAGTGCTCAGTGCCCCGGGGCACTGACAATTTTCGAAAAAACAAGCCGCTGTGAACTTTGAAGAAGTCGACATTGAAATGTGAAGGATATGCATCGCATAAGGAGATTGTGCACACACCAATTCAAGCGGACTTTCCCGATATCCGCTGGCCCAGCACCTTTGTAGAACACAGATGCGAAGTGGGGATCCTGTTCCTGTGCGTCTTTCAGAGCGAATTCCTGAGCTTTGTAAGGTTGCAATATTCAGCCTGGTGCCAAAAACAGCAGACAGAAGCAGGCAAAACCCGAATACAGAAGTAAAGGAGTCAAGAGAATGACATGATTAATATTGGCAAATCTGGGAACATTTGTCGATGGCCCGAGGACGTGTCTTGGAAAAGATTTTGCGGTTGCGGAATTCAGAACAAAAGTGGATTCCAGATAAATGTTTTGGGACCAAAGACAGAAACTGGCCGGATAAAGTTCACCCCCCTGAATCATGGAAATCCCACCTGGGCTCTTACTCGGTGGATGAACGCTGAAGCCAATCATTCAGATTGCCTGCAAAGGTAAAATTGTGCAGAGGTGAAAGTGGCTTGAATGGCTTTTGTAAAGCACACTTCTTCTTTAACCCCCTTCAGGCACCCAGGAATTTTAAAAATTGTGGTGTGATAGTGTGATTATCAATTACATAATTAGTCTGTTTTGTTCTATTTGCCTGCAGTCACTAGCAGGCTTTGTTTTTCCCTTGTTCGCTCCAGTGAAATCTCGGTGCTTGTGGATTCCGGCACGATCCTCGTCTGCTCACTCTGCTGGTTTTCATACTCATTTAAGGCACCTCTGGTGTCAAAGTACAATTTGGTGGCGGGTTTCAGGAGAAGGGTTTCTTTTTGAATAATTTTGAGGATTCTGATTAATTTCTTAACTATTAATTTTTATTATTATGAAAAGACTCGCAAAAACAAAGACAGCAAGTTCGCATTCACAGCTGCTATATGTTCTCTGCAACACCGCACCTGAGCTTTATAATTCAAACTTGCAATAACGAGAACTACATCATTTTCTTCTTTGTGACCGAATTGTAATTCAAATGGCCATTCCTATGGTGCATTATCTGCAGTCCAATTGAAGCAATTCCAGATTTGATCAAGTCCAAAAATGAGATTGCCGTGTTTTACATTTTTTTCCTTGTGGCCGAAGCCGGAAACCACCTTGTGGGCATCTTGTTGATGATTTGCCACATTGGAGGAGCAAATTGAAGTGTTTGCCAACTTTGCTTGGCCAGTGCCGCAAGTACTGAATAATTCCTCAGTGTTTAATCAAACTTGAATGTAACACAGCCGGCAAAGGGCGAAAAACAAGAAGAGCACGATTCATGTGTGATCGCAAACGGGTTTCAAGCATATGTGAAGGCCAAGATGTGGCATGAAGATATGACCACCTTTGAAATTGTCAAAGGCAGTGAGAATTGTCTATCCTTTTGGGGGTCTTGGCTATCAGTGTGAAGCCCAGATAAGCAATTAAATAGGATCTCCATTCCTTCATAAAGAAGGGGATCGATGGCACATAAGGTCCTATAGCTTGGGATAGATTTCTACACCTTCTCTTTGACTTTCAGAAGTTCTGCATGGTGTTCAGGGTCAGCAAACTTGAGGATGTCATTGATGCAGTGGGAGTGCAGCCTGAGATCGTAAATCATTTGGCATATTACCTTGAATGATTTACCGGACTTGGTGATAAACTTGCTGCATGGCTTGACATTTTCAAAATAAGCCTAGAAACAGTAAGTATGTACAAGATTCAGAGATCAATGACTAGTCCAGCAACTTACCAGTTGATCTATCCCAGTCCAGCCCTTTACTAGATAGATCTCTACTGCAAGCTCTCCATCAACCTCTATAAAACTTCCAACCTTGTTAAGGCTGGTGGCCGTCACTCCCTGATGTAGTGGAACAACCTTTGGAAATTCCAACATGTTGGTGGTGATCATGTTCTAACAAGACTAAATGAGAAGTAGACCTGAGCCTATCAATTAATGAGCTTACCACATTAGTTTGGGAGATTGCATGGAGTAAGTAATATGCCAGATCATAACCATCACTACTCTTGGCTGAGCAGAGAAAGTTATCCTCCCATGTAACAATGGTATCAGGAGGGCTAGGTTGTTTAACCTCCTCATACTTAGCCACCTTCACAAAGGTAAAGAAAACTCTGCTAAAGTGATTTAAAGTCAATAAATCAGCTAGCTGTGATCAAATTAAGTGCTTACTGGGGTTTAATTGTACTTTCAGTACCATCAGATGAACCTTTTTGTCCAAACGAGTAAGTTTAGACTGCAGTACATTACCACCAGGTGAAAGGATAGATATCTTGGCCTTCTTAGAAGTCTTCTTCTTTTCCCACCATTTCTGACCTGTTTCTGTATGAAGTTTCTTGACTAAATAGTCCTCCGAATCATCACTAAGTTCCTTCTGATTCAATGGCTCAGTGCCCATCAAGGAGTCAGTTACTTTCTGCATTAGGTTAGCAGGCATTTGAGGAAGAGTACTAGAATAATAAAAAATATGTATAAGTATGTTAATAAGGAGGGGTATTTGACAGGTGCAAAGAAAATGATATAGAATGAAGTTGGATATTAACTATTAAGTAGATCTGGACATAGGAGATATGATTGCGAATAGAACCAAATATTAACTATTAAGCGGATCCCGGCATATAGGGGTCAGGATAAAGGGAACATACAAATGGGGTAATGGAATGGAAGCAGGGGCAGATGTGAAGTCTGGACCAGATTTTTTTTTAAAAAAAAAATCGTTATTTATTGTCTTTTGGGGTGTAGCCCTATGATAGACATTACATACTGTAGATTTACACTATTTATTCATTGCTGACTGCTTGGTGCGTTGGTATCTTTGGTATTGGTCCAGGCATGAGCGAGGACGATTGGACTAGATCTGATGATCCAATAGAAGGTTGCACTGTATAGGGTCTAGAACACGAGATATGACAGGTGCATGCAGTTGTCCACCTCGGATCACTCACTCACCCACTATTGATTCTATACCATATCACTTCTGGATGGAATCATTGTCCACCAGGATAATCGTGGACTACCCCCTAAATTATGACCTATTTATGATTGCTTCACCAGAGCATCAATTTTTTCCTGGTGCCCCGTAAGTCAAATATCTTGCATCGACCTGTGAAAATCAATTTGTCAGTGAGGTAAGATAGGTAGTTTGATCTACCAACATTGAGGGAATCAGATGGAGAAGGGGACTTGTCTTGTGTTCCCCATTCTATGATAGGGGTCTGACAACAATTGGAGACCATCAGCATAGTGGCATCCAGCGGATTGAAAGGAACAAACACAGTGACTGTCCTCAAATAACAACAATGCTACCACTCGCCTAGGGGATTGGCCAGTATGATTTGCTTGCTAGATGGCACGTGGGAGATTGGATTGCTGAAATCTACATCTAAGACAAGTGCAAGGACAAGGTAAACATTGCAGTACAAGAAATGGGAGGACTACTTAGACAATTACAACAGTATCTATGGCTTCATCTTCCTCAAGCGGTGGTCGGTCTGATAGATATGTTAGTTATATGATTATTCACCTCTACAGTACACTTTCTATCCTTTTCATGGTCTCTATACGTACATATTCATTACCTATATTTGTCTGACCATTCATACACTTTCCTGACCTCCCTAGGACTTGTACATTGGCAACTTACTTTGGACTCTAGTCCTGATCATCTTTGGTCCCTCAGGAGCCTCTAGAAGCGGCCAATTCAGTTCCCATTGCAAGACGACGGTTATGCGAACAGGTTGATCAGCTGCATCCTTTCATGGGTTCGTTCACAACTTTAGGCTAGTTGTTCATCTGGGTAGCAAACCCTTTAATTACTTTAGCATATTACTTTTTTCATCCTCACCCACATACTGATACTGTATCATGCATATTGATTGTTTTAATATTTATCACAGAATATATATGCATTATATTAGATCACCTATGAGCAACCACAATTTTGTCCATTTGAGGGAGACCAATTCACTCCTCTTCTCGGCCACACAGACAGTGTGTCCGTCCGCCACAGAGGTCAAACCAGATTTCAAGCATGAAGATTCTGACCCACAGGAATTGTTTGAATTAAGGGTCGAACTATCTGAGTATATATAGATCGCGGCAACCCCAGATGACATGGAGCTTAAATATACGGGTCCTCTACTCCAGCGCCTTGCCACAATTCAAATAGTCACACATGGAATTACACATGCTCTGTCCACTGAGCAAAATACTAGCTGGCAATGGCTGGAGGACACCCTCCATCACACCCCCTCAATTTTCAGTAAAGATTGCCTACTCGCCTTGCACTTTCAAATGTTATCTCTTCCATTCTTCACCGATGGAACTCACTAGTTGACACCCGCAAACTAAAGTGGAGGGACTTTGATAGCGCCTCCAAGAGCATTGGGGAGCAGGTGCTAAAACGGCCCAAAGATGCCGCAAACTTCCTTCTTCCAATGAGACAGGATGGTACTAGATTCTTTGTGTGGTATTGATTGAGGAAGGGGAGGTTTCGTGGGGAGATTGATTATGAAGACACAAAGAAGGAGTTTGACAGTAGACCGCAGGGGCACTTCATGTATGACAAAGTATTCAACCAATGGGATATATTGCAACACTCAATGACTCCACAGTAGACTTCAATGAAGTCAAGAATCATGAGGCGGTCAATCCCCTTCCCGCTCCAGCTATTGACAGACCTCCCATCCTTCCATCTGACCACAATGATATTGGAAGACACATCCTCTATGGCAAAGACATTCGTGAGGACATTCTATTCTCTGATTCACTCAAAAATGTTCTTTTCAGCCATTACGGACTTGTTTGTCACCCACAGTCTGAAATTCAGTCACAAGGCAACTTTACAACCATTGAAGAACCTTAAATGATCGACACCTACACCGTTAGAAAATATCTCATGGAAATGAACCTCCCCCTTCTCCAACAAAGAAATGGATTCTCTGTTTGATATTTTGTTTCCTGTCTTGTTCAGGACATCAACCCTCCTTCAATCATGTGGGATCTACACCCAGACAACATCAAGGAACTCATCATATCACATGTGCATTTCAAAGTCGAATCCATTACAGATGCAACTTGCACCGGCTACCTGATGAGTCCATGTGTCAAAAAATATTTTGGTCCATGGGTCTAGAGTCCAGAGTAAGTTGCCAATGTATTCAAGTATAGTAAAGGTATACAGTACCTAGAGTCCAGAGTAAGTTGCCAAAGAGGCAGGGAGCACTGGACTCTGGGATATGGGCGATGTATGGTAAACAAATGTAAACAGACAAGCCATAACACAAAGGTAAGGGATAACTCGACCTAGACAAGTCCTAGGGAGGTCAGGAAAGTGAGTGAATGGTCAGAGAAATATAGGTAATGAATATGTACGTATAGAGACCATGAAAAGGATAGAAAAGCATACTGTAGAGGTGAATGATCATATAACTAACATCTTGCTCACCAGAGGTACTTGCTGCATTTGCCACGCAAACAGACAATGCCAGTCCTTCAACTCAGGCTGAAGATCCTTGGACCATGAACCCCAGCAACAGTGTGGCCACAGTTGAACCAGCTCAACCAAATACATGCAGTGAGTTCACCAAGATGTTATAATTTGACACTTACTTTTATTCCAGACCCAATTTGTTGGCTGAGGCAACTGCCCTCTTAAACATCTCAGCAGGCTTCCAGGGCGGCAAATTGGCCAAACACCTAGCTTACAGTCACTGTCCAGATCCTTTCTGTGGGCCCGATGGAATCGCTCCTCCTGGTCACATTACAGCCTGGTGCACCGGCAAAACTGCAGGCGGTGCTTGAGTCAATTATCACATTCCCATTGAGCTTCTTGAATGCTTGGTTATGAATGGTCAGCATTGAGGAGGGATCTGGACCGTTGCAAAGTGCAACATAAAGACCCGCACCTAATTCCTTCTTCAAACATTACAGTGACCCTCAGTTTTGACGATGTCTGCCTAGTAGAGTGTTCCAGGGACATCTAATAGTTTGGCATATTTAGGGACATTTACTTACATATCTATATCACTATCTACAATATATAAGCTGGAATAACCGGCGGTTTAGGTGGCTATTGTCCACCCCGTCATGCTGTGTTGCGCAAGTTGATATGTGCATTGAATCTCAAAAGTGCATTGATGTATTTTTCAAAGTTCTATCTATATCCTATAGATACTAGCCTGCGCTTAATACCAATAAATGTCAACACTGTACGTTCAGTACTAACTTTATAGGAACACTGCCTTCTGCCCAACAACAATCTGTAAGCATGATTTTGATTTTCCTCCCAGTCTTCTCTTACTCATCAGCATTGCTCATTTATAGATAGCCTTTTAACATTCAGGGATGGTGTTCGAGGTTGTGGGTTCGAGTTGAGAAACATGGAAGACAGGATGTACAGATCACATTGCGTCTGGGAGGCAGATGGTGAAGGAATGAGTACCTGGGTGGGCTATGATATTGAAGGGCCCGAGATTCTTTTCCGATAGTTTCTTCGACGGACGGGTGGAGCGGAAGTACTTGGCTTTGACAAATACTTGTTGTCCGACCTGGAGATCTGGTGCGTGTTTACGTCTAGCGTCGGCCGGGCCCTGATATCAATCCTGCGCATAAGACATCTCATCCTGAAAGAATTGATGGAGCTCATTCAGGTCAATCACATATTCCCTAGCGAAGAAGGGGGAAACACCCATGGTAGCACTGGGAGCATTGTTGTATGTGAGCTCTGCCAAGGGCAACAGTTCGGACCAGTTATCCTGCTGATAGTTGCAGTAGATGCAAGGTTGTGAGAATAGATAAGGATGTCGTCAAGATATACGATGACGTAGACATCCAATCAGTCGGCAAAGATAGTGTTGACAAAACATTGGAAAGCCGTTGTATTGTGGGAAGTCATGTTAATTCCATTGTGGGTGTATCCGGCTCAGAACAAACAAAGAGAGGACACTATGCAACTGGTATAAGTATGCAATAAACGAAGTGGGACCAAACTCACACTTGGTTCAGTTTGGTCCACTTCGTAGCAACATTACAGAAGGTGGCAGTGGGCTGATATTAATATTTATGGCGGAGCTTGAAACTTAGAACAACCAAATCTGAGTTTGAATCAGTTGTTAAACTGTTGGCATCATTTGCTCCACAATACTATATGGATCACTGTGTCATTATAGGACTGGTGGGGCTATTCCTGGGGAGAGCACCTCCATGAGGTCTTTCCTCAGGTGTTTTGAATATTTCCTGTGATCTGAGGTCACTGCGTCCTTATAGGACCAGTGGGGCCATTCCTGGGGAGAGCACCTCCATGAGGTCTTTCCTTGGTCTTTCATTGGGGGACTTGATTGTGTTCTGTGATCCGAGGTTCAGTTCATTGCATCCTTATAGTACCGGTGGGGCAAGTCCTGGGGAGAGCATATCCAAGAGGTCTCTAGAGAGCCTTGGGTGTTCTTTCATGATGGTTTGATGCCCAATTCATTTTGTACTTGTAGGACTGTGGAGGACTTGGACACATTCAATCAGCTATAGGCAAATGTTTGGCAGAACTATGCTAGTACCAATGGATTCCATACTACACCACTTGACCACAGGTTTATATCATGTTCTTAATTCCTGCAAGGTCACCAAGGAGACCATGTGGAACAAGTCGTCAAACCTTGGATTTACCAATACAAGCCAACAATTGTTGCCAGTAAATTGTTCACTAATTTCTAAGGTTCTGCCCTAGAGTAACCACTGAGAGGAGATGTTATGAAGCATTTGTCACATTAGGGATGCAAACACTGCTGCCACTGGGTAAACTAATGGAGAGCCATCAAGAGGCCTGATTGGCGCCCTGCTCACAGATCCTAACTAACTTTGTTCTCCCTGATACCTTTCCTCATCAATCTCAGCACCCTGTTCGGCCAAGGTCCAACCGCCCATAGAGTCAGTGGTTAACACATCTGCCCAGTTGAATTTCAACAATGGAGTCACCTCACCAGGTGTGGATGGTGAAATGCTCCTCTGGCCCTAGGCGTCATGGATTGAATTCTAACATCCCTAGGTGTGGGTTGAGCAGAATTAACATATTTGAATAATCTTACACACCTGTGACCCAGATCCTGATGGCATGGCAGACTCTGTGGCCTTGCCTTTGCCCTTGTCCCGGCTGGAAATTTGAGTAGGGGGCTGCTTGGAGCTGGTATCTTTGGGAACAGGCTGCATCCAACATACTGATGAGAAGGTGGGACTATGACAGCAATGGACCCACCTTGAGCATTTTGGCCTTCTTGGTTTTCCTCACTTCAACAGGTGCAGGAGACTACTCAATCAATTAGCGACATACTGGGTATCCTGATGAGAAACATACAGCTGGACACTTGGATGACGACAAGAGGCGTGCGATGTCATGATCCATAACACTAACATACAAATTGTTGGCTACTACTACTACTACCGTGACCGTGATTTATAACGGCGCAAACTACCTAATGAAGCTATGTTTAACGGTCAGGAATACAAACACGATCAACAGAATGACAGGCGCGAGGACCCCATAACTGCTAAGTGAACATGAGCAAAAGCAAAAGCATAACGGTAAACGAAACGAGCGCGAGCATGAAACTAGGATACGAAATGAGGCAGGTGAATAACGGAGGCAAGTGAATAACAGGAATTATTGACATCGAGCCCTCTTCAATGACGAGGCAACAGAACTGAACACCCCACTGGCAACCTTGCGCTTCTGAGTGCGCGCGGGAATGGGCATGTTCTCCTTTGAATGCTCTGCGATGAGATCAAAAGTCGGACGGGGAGGAACCCCTAACCTCTTCTCTTCACGAGGAGTGAGGACCATGGAGTCGTACATGTCACGAGGAAGGGAGAGACCATATGGCTTCCCTGGGTGCGCAAACTCTGGGTGCCACTCGTTCAAGTGAGCCTCGATATTGTATCGCCAGATTGCTGGCCTCCAATCTGTCTCCCGGTTCTGATGAATGCACAGCTTGCAAAAGACGGGGACATTGCGACATGGGCGATTTTCGGATCCCTTGCTTGCACTCGCATACTGGAACGACTCCTTGAGCGGACAGTTGCACTCCCATTGTATCCCACGGCTGGAGAGCTCCTTCATGGTGACGGTCACGGAGGATATGGCTACCCATATGCGAGCGTAAGTCCTTCGTGGCCTCTCCACATTGTGGGCATGCGCTTGAGACTGCCTTCCCTCGACCGGCATTAGCCAGCACTTCAGTTCCAGCTGTGCAAACGAGAGCGTCAGACCCTAAATATGCAAGTTAGTTAACCGTCAATAGAACTTGAATAGAGCAGTGGAAAAACAAACCATGAAGATTCTTGTAGGGGAAGACGGTGCCGTCAAAATTGATGGATGTGATTGAACTGAGTGGGATTTTGGAATCAACGATCTTCTTCCATAGAAGTGTGACGGCAGCTTGCAACACATTGTCGTTGAGTGACCAGGTAGTCCCACTCGAGTTCACTTCACCCATGTGATCCGGAGAAAGGTGGTCGAGTGCGTTAACGATATGTGGATTGACTGGCTCGAGGAGATGGCCGGGACTGGAGACGGCAACTACTTTGAGTGTTCGTGCTTCTGTTCCAGGCACGAGAGAAACGTTCTTGATGTAACCTCCATTCCACACCCACGAAAGAGACGATGAACTTGAAGAAGATGGCAATAACACCAAAATCTCGCCCGTTACTTTGACATTGCTTTTTGAGGACATTAGCGTGGCAGTTTTCACTCGGCTGCGAGGTGATGAGTTCTCGGAGAGAGCTGTAGAACGAACAAGCGCAAGAGCAAGGGTTTTCGAAGGTGTACGGATGAGCGTGATGAATAGGTCGCCAGTAACGAACTGATCCCCACGAAGCAAATTTCCTACGTCCATGCCATTGTGGGAAATCCTTAATGCGCGTGAACCCACGGACACGAAGTAATCGTGTCTGGGACTTGGGCGTGAAGTCGGGGGTGACAGTTAATCGGATGACAGTCGACTTATGGACCCACTTGTTCACACAGTACAGAAAATCTTGAGGGCAAATTCCTGGCCCTTTTGGTGGGGCAGTAGGTGAAGCTGATGAGCTAGAATCAGGCTCGGAGTGCACGTCCAGTGCGACAGTAGCGGGTTGGAACGTATCCTCGAGTGTCTCCTCAAATGTGAGCAAAAGCTCCTCGTTATTGTCGTCATCGAGCTCCGGCAACTGAGGTGCTTGACTGGCGGACGGTGGCTGAGAAATTGTACTGGGTGGTTGTGCACAAGGAGTGATTAACGAGCGATCTTCTTCATCCTCTCCATCTCCGTCATGGATGGCAGGGTATTTGCCACCTCCGAACACGCACATCAAGTTGATCCCAGAACCAAAAGCAAACAATGTGTCGAAGTCGTAGGTTGAAGGAGGCATTTGCGAGGACGCGAGGATTGCAACCGCTTCATCTCTATCTGTGCGCCATGATTCAAGCGCCGAGGGGCATGAGCTAGATCTGGATTACGGGCGAAGACACCGTCGATGTCTCGAGCAGCTCCAAGACGGTCGAGTGATTGTTTGTAATTCATAGTGTTGTTATGTCCACCGCACATCCGAGCAAATGCGAACGTAAGCTCAAGTGCATCGTCACCGACATCGAGAAGGAAAAATGGTGCAAGGGGGTCGAGTTTTTGTTGCTTTTTGATACAGAAGATAGTGTTCTTGGTGAATGTTTGAGAATTGTAGAAGAGTTGATTAGGCATCAGTGAACGACGTTGATTATGATAGCATGCGTAAAGAAGGTGCGCGAAACGGCTGAGTGATATGACCTGCTCGGTGAGGGAAAGTGAGACCTTGATAAACGGCTCCAGCAAACTGCAAAGAATGTCGCCAAGAATTTTGATGGCGTCAAAGTCCACTACACGTCCACCAGAACCAGGTCCAGGTGGCACTACTTAGTTGCCCGGTCTATTGGTTACATCAGTAGGCATTATATGAGGGTTGATTTTCGCTCCTGCCAAATATGATCATGTATTCTACGACAATATTGATTTGTTCCTAAGATGGTTACCAATATAGACGACTGGCAGGAGGAGTTGGTGGCTAAATTGTGACATGCTGCCATCACAGCCAACAAGGTATGTGAGCGCCTATGCAACATGGTTGTCGAACAGTCTCATTTACACTCATCTATGTTTTGCCTTGAAAGATCATTCAAGGCTTTCCAAAGGACAGTGTCCTTAGCGCTGGCTAACAAGGGTAGATTCACATGGCAATTTGTGTCAAAACCATGAGATATTGCCATCAGAGTCAAAGGATACACCTGAGACACAGCCGGATAAGTCCCTGTGACAGATCCCATTCAAATTGGGGAACAAATTATCAATATTTAAAATGTTATGTCACACCTCAAGATTCATGATCAAAGCCTAAAAGGGTTTGCAATTGGTTTTGTTACCAGACTTATACTCAAATTGGGAATGAGAAAATATGGCCTTTAGCGTGTTCTGAGAAAGGTCAGGCCATTGAGAAAATGTTCCCGTCTTTCCTCAATGCCATCACCCATGTGCTTGCCGAATCATTTCCTGCACAACCACATACATCACGAACTCCGCGTGCACCTATACGATCACTCGGGCGGAATTGTTACCCCAATGATTGACATACATAAGCAACCTGATGCTTTCAAATATGTCATAGCATCCATTGTTTTCGGTAGCCGTAACTGCATCAGATTCAACCCGACCATCTCCATAAATCTAAAGCTAACACAACTGTTGTCTGAGGCATTTTGGGCTCAGAATATCAAGTGTATTCCCCAACAACGTAGGAAGGCTGTCACTAGAGAGAATCAAATACTTCAGTCCTGCATGGAAGTGTCTACAAACCCACAGAGATAATTTCACTCGCTTCCCAATCATCTTCTGAGTCCATTGCCCCCCACTGAGTAGCCGTCCAAGGAGAAGTCCATGTTGCCCAACCCCATCCCCACAAACTCCAAGCAGACTCCTCCCCTTGTCAACTCATTCAATATCATAGGAAAGATGACTGTCAATCAAAATGAGTACGAGCTGTTGAAGGTTTCCTTCTCCCATCAAGGACTCATAGGCCGTGGAACAGTGTGCTACCTGGATGAGTACATTATTAAGGATCACTGGGTGACGGGTGGCAAGGATGTTGTCTTGAACGAGGTGAAGATGCTAGAAGCTCTAAAAGGTGTCCCAGGTGTTCCGAGACTTGTGGAATATTGGCTGGTTGAGATGGTGCCAGACCAAGTTGACAATACACAATCATATCGCCAGAAGATCCATAGTAGTACAGCAGGCATGTATCGCACACATATCCATCTTGTCCTGAAACCCCGGGCTCGTCCTTTGCACGAGTTTCGAAGCAGGAAAGAACTTGTCAAAGCATTATGTGATATCATGCTTGGTAAGTTCTTACTGTAGTTGGCATGATGGATCTTGTTGACTAAACCTTTGTCAAAGTTCAAAAGTGTGCGGTCGAAAAGCACAATATTTTGCACAGAGACTGCAGTCTTAACAATAATAGCATGATAGAAGACACCGACAATGGCAGTCGAGGGGTGTTGATAGACTGGGAATTCACGGCGTGTATCACATCAGACAATCTGTACTCTGCTGGAGGAACGGTAAGTAGTGTGCACATATTGTAGTATATTGAATAACAAATTGATCAGGGAACAATACCTTTCATGTCCATCAATGTTCTTCAGGCAATGAGCACTCTAGAATATGAATAAAGTCAGACAATGGCAGAAGAGCGGAAAAAGGCCATGGACTCCTCCACCCGCCAGGAGGTACCCAAATTCAGGCATACCTACCACAACGACCTTGAATCTGTGTTTTATGTCTTTGCCTGGATCTGCATCATGTTTAAAGGGCCTGGTGGTGAAGAGCACCACCTTGAAGACATAGACAGTGATCTCAAAAGGGCGGACATTTGGCTGCCACAGTAGTGGCATGGCCCGCCTGAAAATGCAAGTGCAATAGCCATGTCCAAGTACTTCTTTTTCTACAAGAGGACATTGTGCACAGCCAAACAGTTCGATCCCTATTTCAAGGACCTTCAAGGGTTCCCCTCGCAGAGGAGTGGGCTGAAATTATCAAACAGAAGATGGAGTATGATGACATAGCTTCCTTGCTCAACAAGCACCTCGCCAGACTTCTTTTTCGCATGGAAAATCTAACCTCTTCTCTTACATGCTGTTCGTCCATGTGAATAATACCTGCTTGCTTTGTTTTTAACTTGACACCGCATCTATCCTAGCACCACCAATATTTCAAGCTTCTTCATTGATTGGTGTCTAATCTCCACAGACACTTTCTCGTACAGTATCAGCACTGTGGGGACTCAATTGTCATCCTCTGGCCTGACAAGCACTCCACACAATACAGCATCAACTGCAACATGTTGTGTCACATGTTTTATGTCAGTGCTCGAGCGGCTTTCCACAGACTCCAGAACAGATGTGTGCACGTTATCAACTACATAATTTCAGTAGGATGCAGGGTGGGTTTGTGTTCATCTTGCGCACAAGGCCTTCTAATACATTGCACATAGGTGTAAACATTGATCTTAGCAATGACTTTGGAGAAAGTGAGCGGGTGCATGATGTGCTCCAGAACCATATGTTCTATGCTTGACACCCCCACTATATCATTCACTTCAAAGGGGCTCCACTTGGCTCAAGTGGAGTGAACACATAGTGTCGATATGAATTGATTCCGCAAGATCTCATCACATATGTTATATACCCAATACCCCTACCACATTCCTACCGCATCATCCACCTTCTCATTGTACTTGTATAAGCTTCACAAGAACCACACAATTAGCCCTACCACATGTCCACTATCTCATCCTCCGCTGCAGTAATCAGACCTATTGGTTTCATTTGCCCATCTCACAAGTAAGTGAACTCCGCCTTGGTCTTCCACTGAACTTTTTCCTGTTCTATTGTCTATTATCAGCACGTGTGTGATAGTGCTTTTTACAGAGGCTTTATAATTTTCGAAGGTGGGCGATGATACAGACCTAACATTGCCATGGTTGCTTCATTCTGAGACACAATAGTTATGTTTCTGTTGTCTCTGTGGGGTTGCACAATGCTCGATTCTGGAATAGGAAGCGCGCTGCCTAAACCAAGATCCGCAACACTGCCTGGTCATGTGTGTCCGCTAAAGTCCGTGCTATTATTGTCTCTATAGGCACTACTTATGATCAGTGTGTATAAAACATGCATACCACACACTAGCATCTTGTTCTCCGACAATTTTTGCCTCCCTCTTTGCCCTCCTCTCTCTCTGAATTCTCTTACAAATATCAGACCTAGAAAGCCCTTCATATTGAGTATATATTAGTAGTCGATGTGGTGAAATATACTTGTGTGACATACCAGTTTTCTCTTGTGTTACAGTGGATAATGGAACAGTTTCTGCCTGGTTCTTGTTCCATTTCATCATGCCCTTCTGGTACCTATCAAGTATATTAGATAGAATGAGAAATGCTCGTGGGACGTACAGATAGTCGCTTGTTCCGCTAGATGCAATCAATACTTCTCTTCTTTCTTCTCTTGCAATTTTGTCCTACGAATCTTGGACTTGGAACACTTGAAGGGTTCCTGGGAGGTGTCTTTCATGGCATTGTTGTCTAAAGTGTCGATGCTTGTAACAATGTTGCATGTATCTAACTTGAGATGAATTTTCATTCCGAGGATCGAAAGGAAGTGAAGGATACCTCATTATTCCATGGTATTATCCACATAAGCGCGACCGGGTGGAGCCGTTGTGTTTGATAATATAATAGTGTTCGGCGTTGGCATCCCTTAAAGAGTTTTGGAGATAGTTGCTGGAGATTCCTAGTAGTGTGACTTTCACACTAGAGATCTGTTAGGCAAGAGGCCAAGTTAACGTCAAAGTTTGACAGTGAAATGGACAACGGGGGTGTATCTAATTTCAAAATGTGTTTATTGACAAACCACCTACAAATCAAACAGAAGCACATGATATGTTTCTCATGCCTGCTTTGGTTGCTACCGCTGTACGTTTCTGTAGTCATTCAGCATCATGTTCCTCCTCGCACTCATGCACTGCTTCCCAATTATTCATCACACGCGGTGCAAAGCCGCCAAACCTGTATTCTTCATAAACTTGAAGCAAGGTTTGTTCCAGAGGTATCAATGGCAAGAAACACTAAATCCTTTAAAATGTGGGAGATTGAAGAGGGCACATTCCCTTCACACAAGAAAGTATCAGCATGTGAGAGTCTAAGCAATTGATTGCGACATTGCTCATAGTCCATATACTTGTACTTGTCAGGTTCCCACCAATGAGGGTGCCAGTTTGACTCGAAGACAGTTCTGGGACGAGGGACGTGAGGATACCAGACATGGCGAAGGACTTTGAATTCGATTCCATGTTGAAATATGCAGATAATGACATCTTCAAGAGATAGCCCCCATTGTTCTCTGATGCACTGGACCACACAGACAGGGCTATATATGACAAGTCCTGATCATCTTTGGTCACTCAGGAGCCTCTAGAAGCGGCCCATCCAGTTCCCATTGCAACAAGATGGGGGGGGGGGGGGGGGGGGGGGGGGGGGCTCCATCGCAGGTGATAAGGCTCGTAATGAAAATGTTCATCGTTGTGGGTGTTTGCGAGCATTTTGAGTGCCCAGCTGAACTGTTGTTTGAGAAAAAGGGATGTCAATGGTCACCTGAGTTTTGCACCAGCCGGCATCCTGATCTTCCCATTCCTCTCCCTCATTGTCAACACTTTTACCTAATTGTGAGTTGATCTTGTCCCAGCGTGTATGCTGCACATCGTCAGCATCATAGTCAGAACATCCAACAATATTGAGCAATTCCTTGAAGCTCTGATGCGATTTCTGTGCGCTTCCATTCCAGTACCAATGACCAGAAATAGCGGGAATGAAACAGATATCTTGAAGCATAATGGCCTCTTTTGGGTCATGACATGGGGGTGTTGAAGAGAGGAACTGGCGTACTAGGCTGAAAATATTCCTTGCTGTGCGGAAAGGAGCAGCTTGCACCGAGGAGCAAACTCTCGCAGGCAAGGAAGCTACAGGCGGGATAGATCCTGGTTGTTGTGCAGCATGGACTGGAACACTTGGGGGAGGCTCCGGGAGCACATCCTCATACTGTCTAAAGTGGATTGGCATAGGAACACCAACACGGCAGCTTCTATGCTGCGCCAGTGACAAACCATTGTCTACTTCCATAGACGAAGTTTTGGGATCAATATTGGATGGTGAGATGCGTGAATCGACTGGTGACGAGGTACCCAGCACCTCCCCAGGGATGTGCATGGCTGATGGAGGTGGGGAAGCCTCTGTGGCCAGGTTGGAAGAAAAAGAGGGGGCTTGCAGACAGCGGACCTGCGTCCTCGATGACTCCATGCTAGCACTCACACACTATTTGCCAATGTTGGCATTCAATCGGGACCGTTTTACAGTGCCTAGTAGGTCTTTTGCTTTCAAGAGAGTGAAGAATAATTGGTTCTTGCCTCTCATGCATGAGTGTTGGTGCTTGGTATAGGTGCTCGCTTGAGTGAACTCGTGCATGCAAGTGCACCTGAAAATCATTTCAGATGAGCCAACAATGAATCTACTGAAGATGAGCATATATGGTTGAGCCAGCAGTCAAGGATCAGATCAAAGGACTTTGGACCCACCATTTCATTAAACTTGAATCTTCACTATGAGATGGCTGGCACAATTACTTGACACCGCCTCCGCAGCACTAAAATCAAAATCCCCTGGCGGCCCTGGCAAGGGGGCTGGCACACTTGATGGCGGCCAAGCTGATCCGGATGGCTGGATATGGTGATGGAGCAAACATGACATGAATTGCAAAGCGAAAATCAGCACAGCTATATATTATAACTGGTCAGGACATTTTCTATCTGCCTAAACATGTCCGCACCATCTTCTCCATGTTCTGATTGCTCATTGCTCAACTCCAACATAAAGTTTGAAGCCGATATACTGCATTACCATGCCAAAACAGGGGAACTGCCAACATTTCAATCATAAATAATTTAATCTTAAGAAGGGAATCATTACTCACATGTACTCTCTCTCTACAGGCCCACCAACCAATATGGGCAGAAAATACACCCTTCATTATCTGACACTTACTGCGAGGCACATGTGTTTCAGTACCGTGTTGCCTGTGTGGAATTGGTGACAGATATGTGGAGGCAACCATATATCGGCGCAATAGAGGAGTGTGTTGAGGGGAGTACGTGGCTGAATGTGCAACTAGCAGTTGCGAGTTGCGGCTACTTGTGTAAGTGTGTTTGCATATCAAGGGTGAATGTACTAATAGAGACCATGAAAAGGATAGAAAAGTGTACTGTAGAGGTGAATAATCATATAACCAAGAATATTATGGGAGAAACTATGTACCTGCAGTGTATTATCCTCAGAGAGATAGCTCGGAGACTGCGGTGGGAGGGAAACCACCAGACATTGTCCAATTTAGTGTTTAACCTAGGTTAGCACTTATTGTTGGTGTCCAATTGGACATTTTCGGGACCAGGGGTATACCAGAGTATACAAGCACTATGTGCAGCCCAGGCTGCTAATGACTAGGCGGTGTGCAAGCACACCAACCAATTGAGACCGTCATGGTGGTGACCATCTCCCCCAGACAATTCCGTCATGTTGCTAGATGCCAATGGCACTGCCATGTGGCTATCGTGTGAAATGGTGTCACCGACTTCAACATGTTCGTGTTGCGGATTGTGATGTGTCGCAACATCGAAATGTAGATATGAGGTAGCAGTCCATAGATATCTTCATTCAAAGAATGTGATGAAGTTCGACTCCAAGAAATAGACCGTGTATTTTGGGCCGGTCCATACTTGGGTTTAGAAGGGCAAATCGTTCAAATGTATGACAATATATTTCACATATGTCAAGATGTTTCCAATGAAGAGGTGAGTACGGCGTAATCATATAATTGCTCAAAACTGAACACTTGGTGCATAGGTGAAATTTCCAAGTACTACTTAGATCGTTGTCCCTTGAAACACATGATTTGATCACAGCAGGCAATACAACAATATCTCGAGCCCCACTGACCTTGACTCCATCAAAATTGGGGACTACATACAAGTTATGGACAGCGAGCACATGGGGAGGCACGGTGTTGTGAACTGGTATGCCAAGGGATCAACCAATCTGTGGTTCCGGGATATCTCAGAGGACGAGAGAGAGTGCAATGATGGATTGTCGAGCATTTTAGTTCCTACAGCAATGGTTCAGTGGACAAACCTCGCCCAGACAATCCAGTACACCAAGGACAAGGGTTACAATGTCAGGCCTGGAGACGTTGTGACTGTTGTCCGCAGACCAGAGTATCAGACGAAAGGGGTTGTGCACAGCATTGACTTTCCAAATGCTCATTTGACCATACTATCTGATGGTGACCAATCACTTGTAAGTACCATTCAATCCGACCCGATCATCTCTGACATGTAACAGGTTGTTGTCCCAATCAAATTTGTGACCAAGATACGCAATGCCCCCTTGGATTCTTTCAAGAACAATATTGGCCATGAAGTTTTGGTTCTTTGGGGTGACCGGAAGGGCTACCGAGCCACACTCTACAGCCTCTCCTCTGAGACATGCACTGTTGCTGTATCTGGGCAGCAGCGCACCACACTCAAACTTCCTGACATTTCCACTAGGTGAGCAGCACACATGTCTTCGTTTTATTCTAAAGCTAACAATTGTTTTAAGGTATGGGATGAGATTAAATGGGGCGATGCTCGAAGGCCCGGACTTGATCTCATTCTGTGAAATGAGAACACAATCGTACTTGGCACCTCCACCTCGATCCACCACCCCACCCGTCAAAATGGAAAAAGTTTCCTCGAGCTCGTTGGTTTCCCTCACAGGTGTCGGGCCATCCACCGCGTGGTCCACTTGGTCTGCAAGTGCCAACACTATTGATGTGACACATGACCCTATGTCGAGTGTCAATCCCACCACGTCTATATCCGACCCCTGGACTGTTGATGCCCAGGACAGCATTGATGCCGAAGCGAAGAACCTACCGGACAATGGTAAGTCCTCAATGGAGGCATGATAATGTATACTTATTTCATTCCAGGTCCGCTACCATGGTTGATGACCAAGGAGTTTTCTTTGAAGTTATTAAAATATCACGCACTGTTGAAGGTGTCGCTGAGTTTCCTCAGGGGCAAGTTATACAAGCAATTTGTATCAATGGCTTGTCCTGACCCCTTCTGTGGCGAGAGTGGGCCTGCACCTGAGGGTTGCATTGCCGCATTCTGCACATCGAACAGTGCGGGCGCTGCACTTGAACACTATCATATCCCTGCCAGCGATCTAAGCCCGGCTCCTCCACGTAAAAAAAACAGCAACAGTGCCTTGTTTTGGACGGGAATCATTGTGTCCTTATCGGAACTGTAGTCAAATGTTCCACTGCAAAAAAGACTGTTGATATTATGATTAGCACTACCTTAACTCTGTGTTTCGATCAGGTATGTCTAGTGGAACCTGCGAAACACATGATATAATATATATACCTATGTACGAACATGATATACTTGACACACGAATCTAATTGTTCCTGTCTCACCAACACTGTAAATGGAGGACACAGTTCCGATCAGTCCATGCTCACTGGTGAATATTTTGGGCGGCCTTCAATGAAGTTCAGTTTAGGCAGTAGATGACCACTGTAGTGGTCGCTGCTAGGTTTTTACAAGGCACTACCATAGACACACCACAACTATTATGAATGACCATTTGGCATCAATGTTACATTGATTTTGCAACTTGTGATGGCTAACTGCTTGACAATGCAAAGAGCCATCATGAAGTTCCACTTAAGCAGTAGGTTACCATTGTAATCGAAAACTGTTCACGTTTGACAAGACATTGCCCTAGACACATCATGATTATGAGTAACGACCATTCAGGGTCAGTATTACACCAATTCTGTAACTCATGATTGCCGCTTCAAGTTGGTTGGCTTTGCAAACAATCATGATAAAGTCCACCTTAGGTAACAGATGGCCACTGAGCCAGTGATATGCAGGACATCCTGCAACAAGTTACCTATCATATATCACAGTTATGAGACATATATTTCTTCATCAAAATTATGTTTTCATTGCACCTTTTTGTCTTGTGATATCATTGTGCCATGTTTATATATTCCTTTGTCTTTGGATACAATCTGGTAGACATTTGATCCAAACTTGCCATTTATATATAAAAAAACCACATTCTCGCCGATACCCTGATGTACTGAACAGGGACCTATACCTTCAAATTATTAGCATTTAATGATGAGACACTTAGATTATATATTATATGTATTCAGTATTATGGATATAAATTTATAGAAAGATCCATCTGTAATTGAGGTCTGTTTTAGGAGGTGTCATATACCGTACACTGAGCCCCTGAATCATATCCCATCTCTCGCAACACACAATGTCCAGACCTCCGAAATGTAGCCAAGCTATACCTTAACCCTATCCCTACCCCTCGGCAGGATAACTCCGCATCCCAGTCTCCACCGGACATACCCCTCAGCAGGATCTGCCCTGCTTTCCTATACGTCGGACATCTTATTCTGGTCCTCCTCCTGCATACCTCGGATCTCCTTTTCGTCGGACGTCCTATTCGTCGGATCCCACTCACTCGTCTGCTCGTCCGCTCCTCCTGTATTCGTCAGACATCCTATATGTCAGACCCGCTCGGGTCCACTTAACCCCTAAGCATCGGACCCTAAACATCGGACCTACTCAGATCCTGAGCTTCGGACCCAGGTCCACTTAACCCCTAAAACATCAGATCCACTTCACAGTTCATCTCCGTCCCCATCTCCCGTGATCCGCTTGACAGTTCATTTCCGGTCCTACTCCTATTCTGTTACCCCATTTGTATAGTCCCCTTGTCCTAACCCCTATATGCCCGGATCTGTTTGACAGTTAATATCCGACTTCATTCTCGATCATACCTCCTATGCCTGGATCCATTCAATACTTCATCTCCGTCTCTGTTCCTGTATTATTTTCCTTGCGCCTGTCAGTTTAACCTTTCCATATGTTCCTCGCGTTGACCCGGATCTCTGCTGACTCCGTCCCCGTCGCACATGTCCATAGTATATAATACCTTGTAAACTCATAGTAGTTTCCTCAGTTCGAATATCACCTTAGATTATCCTCATTCCTGTTTCCTCGGACCCGGAACCATTTCCATGGGCCCGGGTCCACTTCCCTGTCCAACCTCTGTGTCCTGGGATTGATTCCTCGGGCTATACTCCACCTCTACCTTCGGGTAGTCTACCTCTGTCAGTTTCTACTCTGGACATTGTCTAGTGTAGTCTTACCTCTAGCTTCTGTCCTCTCGGACCTTCTGTCCTTTCGGACTTCCTGTCCTTCTGTCCTTTCGGACATCCTGTCCTCTCGGACTTCCTGTCCTTCTGTCCTTTCAGACATCCTGTCCTCTCGGACTTCCTGTCCTTCTGTCCCCTCGGACTTCCTGTCTTTCTGTCCTTACACTTGTCTGTTCTGTCCCTCATGTCCGCCGGACTAAAGCCCCTATTCTCCGGGTGTACTAAGCCCCTATTGTCTGGCGGACTAATCCTCTTATGTCGGCCGGACTAACCCTCCTTATGTCGGCCGACGAACCCCCTTTATGTCGGCCGGACTAATCCTCTTATGTCAGCTGGACTAATCCTCTTATGTCGGCTGGACTAACCCTCCTTACGTCGGCCGACGAACCCCCTTTATGTTGGCCGGACAAATCCTCTTATGTCAGCCGGACTAATCCTCTTATGTCAGCCGGACTAACCCCCTGAACATCGGCCCGACTCTTCCTCGAAAAGCCTACCAGACTTGTCCCCTTGAAGTCCACTGGGATTCATCATCCTCCCTTGGACTTTGTTTCTAGCCTTCGGAAATTAAGGGCATGTACTCGGGTAAGGGGCGCAGCGCACGAGCTGAAGCCAAGCCCTTCGGATCCGCCCTTTGAGCACGGTCTTAACAGGAGGTGGTAGTATTAATTAACTTTTTCTTCAATTCAAATTTTCTGTCCTTCAAGTAGGTGGTTGCTTTTCACATCAGGTAGATACTGCCATGGGACATCTCTATAGCTACATTTAAAAAAACACACCCAGAATGTATAACAATGGCAACTGGCTATGGTTCAATAATCTATTGTTATGCATCTCTTAATTCACTGACTGGCTTCCTCTAGACTTGATCCCCATACCCAGCAGCAACTTCCATCCCACCGCTCCTGGAGAAGAATTTTCTCATACAACTTTCACCCATCACAATTTTGATTCACTGGAGAAAGATATCAAGAAGGGTATAAACTATATCCTTGGTGAAATTGACAAGTATTGACTGTGTAAGGATGATGAGGAAGTTGAGACACTGGCTTTCTCTTGTTACCAGGCTATTTGTTCTATCACGAGATTTTACACCCCCACCTGCAGCGCTTCGAGAACCTGGAGCTACATGGTAAAAAGGTATCTCCACATGACCACCGAGCACACTTCAATTTTTCATATAAGTGCTAAAATGTGTTGCAGTTTGAGGGTTGCACACAAATCCTGGGTCCTGAGCGCACAGCTCTAATGGACCAACTTTTATCAATGTTCCTCCAGCTGATTCAAAAGCATTGATGTCAAGGCTGAGCCATGGAAGGCCAACTCGCCTTACCACCTTCGGAGTCACCCCTAGTGGGGTGTCTGTTTCATCACCACTCATCTGTTCAACATCTAACTGGTCAATGATACATTTGATCATATCCCAGGTATCAGTATTACAGTGTCAATTTTGTCCCACTATTTTTTGGTGTCTTTCCAGAGTCTGTAAAGGTATTTGATGATACTCAAATTGATAACTGTCAATATACCCCATGTTTTTGAGTATTGCACCTGTCCAGTCGGTTGCTTCAATGATAATTTGCGAGAAGCCTGATTCATGTCTTCAACATTGGCAAATTTACCAATCTGAATGTGTTGTCGATGCTGCACTTGGATTTGGCGTAGTTTCTCAATGCACAATGTGCACAGATTGTCGAGGCTTATGGTTTCTGCATCAAAGATGACTTTTGCAAAGGTGCCATTGCTGACCTTCAATTTAAAATAAATGACTAGGAGGTTAACAAATGTGCCGTTGCTGACTTTCGCTTGAAAAGTAATGACTAGGAGGTTAATGACTTCCGTGTTCCAAGGAGATTTCTTCAGTGAGTTATTCCAATCAATGGATATATCGCCTTGGGTGGGGATGCAGTCATTGTTGTTGTTGAACACATGAAGAGTTTCTAATGAAGGAGATTGAGGCAGTGAGCAATTTTTTCCCTTGAGATGCCTGTTCTCTTCTAGATAGGTCCAGAATGCAACCTGATGTAATTAGCATAAGTTGAAGTAAACAATTTGTTAAACACATACATGTAAACAATTCCTCAGGCCTCGCTTGCCAGGACGCTTCCTACAAGGACTTGGTTTCAAATCATCCTCACTATCACTTAATTGCGTATCTGATAAGATATCCTTACCCTTACGACCATGGGATTGGGGACCAATAGTGGCATTTTTTATATTGTCTGATATCTGTTCAACCACAGAAGGGATCAAGCTATCGACAGCATTCTCCAGAGCTGGAACCAAGACATGATCAGATAGTTCGAGAAAGTGCTGTGCAACAAGCCGATTGAGATGATCTTTGATGGCAGAAGGCAGTGGAAAAGGTCTTGCCAGTGAAGGAGTTTGGTGCGAGAAGTCCACAGATTTGGAGCTAATGATGGGACTTGTGCTCGCATCTCTCATCTGAGTCGCAGAAGAGGGAGCTTGAGGCTCAATTGGAGGGCTGAAAACTTGGGCTTGACACTCAGCATCATACATCAAAATGTCATTTTCTATGATGTGATTAGGCAGTGGAGATGCGGAGGGTTGATGCCCAGTGCCTGTAGCGGATTCAGTTTAATGCTGTTGTTGTATATGTTGTTCATGGGGTATTGCTACAAAGACTGTAGAATCAGACAAAGCAGTATCTGTTGTTTGCAAGTAGTACGGGCCTAAGTTAACAACAAATAGGTCATAATCAATGACTTACAATACAAAATGTGAATCTGTCAGCAATACTCAAAATACCCGGACAATTTTAGAAAGCAATGCCAATTGTTGGAGTGACAGCAGGGTGATTGACTTACATATGTTAGGCGATCCTTTTTGCCATGATTTTGGCAAACAATAAGATGATTATTTTTGATTGTGTGTTATGTGAGTCCAGCATCAAGATTGATCAATTGGTAATTCTAATTCATTGCGAGTATGTATGAACTAATTGATAAGTGGTATCCAAAATGTATGTAGTAGTGCATAATCAGAGCCAAGCAATGAAACACCAATCACCAAGTGGAATAATACAATCACCAGGTTCAGCTTCAGTCCAAGTGTAACCTCTGTCGCTTCCCAGTTGGAATGACTAATGACCGGGGTGAGTGTGACTTTGTGAAGAATTCTTGTGGCTTGCGCTTCTCATCATCAACGAGAGGTTGCAGTGTGGGAACCTGATAAGGAAGCCAAGTGTCTAACATGAGGTATTTGTCATAGATAGCAATGATCTTGGAATGTGATTGCAAAGTCTCCATGGCTGCCTGCTTCTTGTAAGCAGTATTCACATTCAAGTGCATGAGTGGGAGTCCCTTTTGTGGACTCCAGGCATGAGAATGTTTTGTTGAATACCTCCTGTTGCTCTTCAGTGACCAAGATGTACCGAAGAGTGAAGAGTTTAGCAAGTGCAAGGACAAGCTTGTCAAGCGCTTTGTGCCCAACAAACACATCACCGGCAATTTGCCATGTTAAAATGAAAAAAAAAAAACCAATTTCGAGTTTGATTTGCCTGCCTACCCACGATGCCATGCCAGTCACGTTGTCAACAGTTACTCAACCAGATAGATACTACTACTTTTACATGTTGCACAAGCCTGGGTTGAGCTTGCCACAGCAGAAGCAGATCTTAGCTCATCTGGCTCCTCTATCTCTGAGGATGGTCTTATCAGGACCCCATCACCACCCTCCCCTGTGTCTGAGACATCTGATGGTTTGGGCACATCATCAGGTGGCTCAATTTTGATTCATCAAGAATATGCTCATATTATCGGCTCTCTTTCTGCTCTTTGGAATGAGGTGCAGATGGCACGTATTCTTCACATACCTGACAAGCCTCCTATGTGGGCACCACAGATCCAGCTTCTCGACCACTTTGCCATCCATCGCCCCGAGCTATTCCGGATGAAGCTACATGTCCATCATGTCCATCCTGATATTTTCGACAATATTCTCGATCAGATTAGCAACCATCCCGTCTTCCATAACGAGTCCAATAATCCCCAACTTCCTGTTGCCGTGCAACTCGCCATCTTTCTCAATCGCGCGGGCCACTATGGCAATGCAGCTTCGAACCAGGATGTTTGCCAGTGGGCAGGCGTTAGCGTTGGATCTGTCACGAACTGCACTAATTGTGTCATGACCGCCTTGCTTGAACAGCATGATGCATTTATCAAATTCCCCTTGACTCTGATGATGTGGCACTTGTCCATCACTACGTCCAGTCCAAGTCCTGCCCAGAGTGGCAGAATGATATTCTGGCAGTTGATGGATCAATTTTCAATCTTCATCAAACGCCAGGTCACTAAGGAAAATCATTTTATAGCAGGAAATCACAATACTCCCTCAACTGCCAGGTATTTTATTTATTTATTTCACACCTAGTTCTCTGATTAAAATTTATTTTAGGCGGTCATCAATAAGCCACACCGGTAGCGCACATGATGTATTTGCATTCCAATCCACTCACGTCTTCCAAAATCATGCAACACTTCTTGGGAATGACCATTGGATTTGGGCAGACAGCGCTTATCCCCTGGAGCCATGGTGTATTCTCCCATTCAAGAAGCCTCCTCATGGGGCCTTGACCAGTGACCAGAAGACCTTTAATACTACCCTTTCTAAAGTATGTATTTTATTTTATTTTATTTTGCCTCACATCCATTTATATATATTTATCCTTACTAGATCCGTGTACGGGTGGAACACACATTTGCTGCTCTTAAAGGTCACTTCCAGTCTCTTCGAGAGCTTTGGCACCCAATCCAGAGTGAAGATGACCTTCAGTACATGTCCTACTGGGTCATGTGTTGCATTATCCTTCACAATATGGTCATTCAGTTTGAAGAGAATTGTGGCATCTTTGGTGGTGCTGGCAGTACTAATGATTGGGCCCTTCAAAACCAGGGAGCAGACCCTATTCCACCTCCAGAGCCACATGACCCTGATGTGGGTCTCATAGGAGACATTTCATATCATGGCACCCCTGGCCATGCAGCTCGTGCAAGGTTGATGGAGCTTATATTGGGGTAGTAGACTCACAAGATACAAGACAAGACTGTTACGATAACATACTTCGGACCGGCCTCCCCTATCTTTTTCCCTATCATGTACCACCATATGACGCCTTATCACCTTCTTGTACAGCATCCCTGATCGCCGTCTTATCTCGTATCTCTTATCTTGTACCCTGTACCCTTACCATTGCCTTGGTAGTCCTGCCCTGAACTAACCTTTACCTATAAGTAGTCGATCGTCTTGCCTTGTATTCTTTAACTTGAATCTACTCAGTCTTCTGATAGACCTTCCTTGAGCAAGACAGCTCTCGTATACGAATTCACTAAAGACTCTTCGTCTTAAGTGTCCTTTACCTGATCGATACCATTAGTCCTGTCTTCGCTTGCCGACTCTTGTCACCAAGCCTTGACCCCAACGATAACGATAACGAACCTCTGCATTATCTTCGTCTTACGATAAGACTTAGTACAGAGCTCCTTACCTGAGTCTACGCTTTCAGCGTAACAAAAGATTCAAGTTTTCCATCGGCTCCTCATATCTTGAGGGCCAACTGTCAACACAGTCTTCATCTCGGAGAGAAGATTCCGACGACGTTGTCCTGACCTCTGATAGCTCATCCGAAAGCTCCGACGACATCCCAGAACCCACCCCAAGACAGTTCTTTCCTCCTCCCCCCCCTCCATCAAGTGGGTTCAGTTGTCCCACCCAGGACACCTGTTGGACCTCCACCAGTTCCTCCCCCGAACCCATTCAGACCACCGGCCCCACCACCAGTAGGACCGTTGACCATGTCGAAAGTCCCAGAACTCAAGATCGGTTCTCCTAAAGATTTCAATGGTGATACCTCCCAAGCAACAAGATGGTTGTTTAGCATTAAGGCTTATCATTTTGCCAACTCCGATACCTACACCGATGACAAGAAGAAGATCATCACTGCCCTCGCCTATATGACTGAAGGAACCTGCCGCACTTTGGGCAGGAAACATTCTACACCAATGCGTATAGCGGAGCAACCCCATCCTTTGGATCATGGGCAGACTTTGAAAAGAGTTTCAACACCGCGTTCCAATCCATTGATACTCAAACCGACGCCTTGAACAAACTAGAAAGACTCCGGCAAACTGGAGAAATCGCTGAATATATTGCCGAGTTCAAACTCCTTTCTGCGTTATCAGGAATGAAAGAAGGAATCGGGCTCAAGTACTTCTTCAGGAGAGGATTGAAAGATGGATTGAGGAAGGCCATTCATGGACTCTCCGAGGTTCCCGATACCATAGACAAATGGTTCGCTGCAGCAACCCAGCAGAGCGCCAACTGGCAGATGGAACAAGCGTTCAGAAACGCAAACAGGAACAATAATCAATCTAGGAAAGGATCTGGGAATCACTCTGGTCAAGGACGAGCCAACTCTAAACCCAGCTTTCACCATCAACGCGACCCTGATGCAATGGATGTGGATAGGACCTTGTCCCCCCAACAACGTGATGACCATTTCAAGAAAGGTCTTTGTTTCAACTGCTCGAAACAAGGTCATCGTTCCAGGGATTGCCCTGACAAGAAAACCAAGACTAGAGCCGCAGGAGCGTCAGAAAGAAAAGGGAAAGGAAAGGGAAGGGCTAAAACCCCTGATGATGAAACTGACGATGAAGAAGATATGGATACCAATCGAGTGGATTTTTAAACAGAGGACCTGTATCGACGTCAGACTCCTCCCTTTACGTGCTGTATACTAAAACTGTAGGACGAAGCAATGAATTCCGTGTCCCGGTGACACTCTTCTCTACAAAAAGCACGAAAACCGTTGAAACCACCGCTATCATTGACTCAGGAGCAGGAGGCTCTTTTATTGATAAAGACTTCGTCAAGAAGCACAAGATTAACTCCCACAAACTCCGAAAACCCTTCCATATTACCACCGTGGATGGAAGCAACTCGAAAGCAGGAATGGTCTCCCATTATTGCGTTCTACCCATCAGACTTGACAAAAGATGCATGTGGGGAAAATTCAATATTACCCAACTCTCTGCTCGAGACAATGTCCTCCTTGGGAAGCCTTGGCTCTCCGCCATGAATCCAGACATCGACTGGACTAAAAACACGATATCCCTTCCTTCATCACCCCGATCTAAACTTGTTGAAACCGAGATCAATCTTGAAAGAAGGAAAAACCATGTAGAACCCTTCCTATTCGAAGCCAAGAAAGCGACTATCGAAGAAGAAGAAATCGATTCTTTTCATCCTCTCAAAACGCTCTCCAATGAGAAGGAACATTGTATTGAAGAAATCAAGAAGAAGAAGAAATCCAAGAAACCTAAAGAAACTACCCCCGAACTCCCTAATTTCAATGCTATGGAAGATGTATGGGTTGGAAACACCCAATTCCTCCCACATCCAGATGATATCGCCACCTATCCTCTATCCGATGACGAAGTACTAATCGAATATGCTACGGATGGAGCAAATGTTCGAATAATCGAGAACATCTCCTTCGACTCTCCCTTAACCCGTGATGGGACTTCCAAGAAAGAAATCCTTGCCAAACAAACCCCGCTTAGGAACATTTGGATACTTGCTGCTTCGCAAGAATACACCAAAACAAGCAACAAAGCGCAGGAGTTTGCTATGGAAGACGCCCAAGCAAAGAAGAAGAAAACGTTCGAAGAACTTGTTCCCGAATATCTCCATGACTTCGCAGATATTTTCGCAAAAGATGGCTTGAACAAACTTCCTCCCTCTCGCCCTGGATTCGATCATAGAATTGACACCAAAGAAGGCTTCGTTCCGAAATCATCAAGGGCTTACCCTCTATCCCCGAAAGAAACCGATGCTTTGAAAGCATTTCTGGACGAACATGTAGCAAAGGATTTTATCACCTCGTCAAAATCTCCACAAGCATCTGGCTTCTTCTTCGTTGGAAAGAAGGACGGATCGTTAAGACCCTGTCAAGATTACAGGTACATTAACGAGTGGACCGTGAAGAATGCCTATCCTCTCCCTCTAATTCCTCCTCTTATCGCAAAGCTGAGCGATGCCAAATTCTTCACCAAGATAGATGTTCGTTCTGGCTACAACAATATCCTCATACACCCTGATGATAGATGGAAAGCCGCATTCTCCACCTCCTTCGGCCTCTTTGAACCGAAAGTCATGTTTTTCGGACTATGCAATTCTCCTGCAACCTTCCAGGCGTACATGAATCAGACTTTCGCAGCCGAAATCAACGAAGGATGGCTCATCGTCTATATGGATGACATCCTTATATTCTCGGATACCTTGGAAGAGCAGA